GAGTAAACTCCTGAACAATAGCCCAGCAATAGTCTCATTCTGCGCCAAGCACCTGCCACCTTTTGGCCCCGAGGGACTCTCAGTTCCAAGGAGGGCTCATGAAAATAAGGCAGCTTCGTGAAAATAGTAGCCCTGCAGCATGGGAACAGCGCCTGCAGCGCGCATGGCGATGCACCTGTAGTAGAAGACCTGCTGGCGGTAGGCCTCGGCCTCGGTGCAGTAGAAGTGTGCGCGCAGCAGTGGCACCACCAGGTCTGCCAGCAGCCAGCGCAGCCACATCGCCAGGCGCCTCTGCGCCGCCGTGTGCTCGTTCGGCGGCCTACACCCCTTGCCATCCCCTGCCAGCACAGCAGTTTGTCATTTCACACGTGGTTCCTTCTATCCAGAATCTCAATCGCATTGCACAGTCGTCATCTCATGAGTGTGCACCAGGTATCAGGGTGCACTCTGCTGCCGTTGAACAGATTAATACTAATGACAAACCGGGGACCGCTCAAAAATCTACAAAAAAATAGTGGTATGGGACGAGTGGAGCCAGGTATATGTCATCGAGGAAGCTACCCGGGGGGAGGCAGCAGAGAGCCGGCATGCACGTGGATCGCACGCGGTGCAGGGCGTGCTGCACGCTCATCTGCTCGTACCGCCGCAGCCGCACCAGCCGCGACACAGCACGGCGCAGGTAGCGCCGATTCCCCGGGTCCCCAAGCAGCCCCTGGCACGCTCACAGCTCCAGCATCGACATCAGTCACAGCCCAGTTTATTTCGGTTTTCAGCATGCTGGAGCAATATCTTCCTCCAAGGGCACCATCCATAACGCTTGGACCTCTCACAGAGCTCTGATCCACAAAGTCACAGTGACCTCATGGTGTGTGTTCAGTGATTGTTTGTCATGGATACGGGACTGACAGGGCTGCTGCTGTTGATGTGTGAAAGACAAAGAGGGAACATGCCAGTGCTCACCGGGGGCACCACATGGCGGATGACCGACCAGGCAAAGGCAGTGACCCTGTGGCAAGGCACAAACTCCCTGATGAGCTCCTCGCTGGAGAGCCTGCTGGGGCCTGCTTCTGCCGTCCTGTCCCTGCCAGCGCCCGCGCTCGGCCCAGGGCCAACATCGCCTCCTCCGCCAGCTTGACTCTCTTCACTTTGGGTGGCGGCCTGCGGAGTAAAGCACCCCTTGAGTTTGCAGCAGGCCACTCACAAGCCTGGTTGAATATTGTGGAGGCGGGATAGGCACAAGTGGGCTTGCTTCAAGCGTACAGATGAGGCTCATTTGTTCTGGCCGTGTAGGGAAGTCAATTTCCAACATCTTCAGGAGCCAACCTGGTCGTTGGAGGGTCGCATGCAGTCTAGGTCCTGGGTGATGGTGGGCATTGCCGAATCTCCATCATCCCAACACATCCCGCTCTCAGATGCTGTGCACGGCTCAGGCTCGGCTGCCTGTGTCCTGCAATTATTACAAAACGTTGTCATGGTCTTTGGTTGCTGTTACTGAGCATCTGCAAACTCCAATTGAACTGCAAATGAAGGCTGATTGGCCAGGTGTGGGAGGTCTTACCTGGGTCCAGGCTGTGCTGTGGGCGGGTCAGCACGTGACCAATTGGGAGGAAGCGGGCAATGTTGCTTTAGCAGCAGACTGTATGGGCATTTGTGTGAGCGATCTGCAACACCACCACTGATCCAGAACTTCACGATGGCTGCCCCCACAAATCAACTAGGTTGGAGGTACTAGGCTTAAAAGCAAGGGTGACCTGATCCGATTCTGGATACTCACCAAGCAGGCTCTGCAGAGCAGCCAGCAGTGGCTTCAAGCGAGCAGGAATGCGGCGCGGTGGCTTCTGTAGATTCCGCTGTCTGTGGTGCGGCCGCGAGCTTCGCGCCACAAAATTGCTCCCGCGGCGCTCCTGAGGCTTGGTGCTATGCCCCAGGAAAATAGCGGCATACAGGGAGCGCGCTGCCCCCTTCTGCCCATGCAGAGCATTGAGCAGGTCTGCGCACATGCACCACACGAGCTGGAAGGTGTTTCCCAATATCTCACAGGGTGCAGCACATTATAGGATGTGCCAACAGGAGATGCAGAGCATGTTTCAGACGTTACAGGAATATGTGTGCAAGGACTGAGATGTCGGAGGATGCAAGGGGCTCACGAGAGCTGGGCAGGCCTGCCTTGCTAGGGAAGGTGGCGCGATAAAACAGCCCCGTTCTGGAGATGAGCATGTCGGACGGCTTCTGAGGAGCCTGCTTTGGTGCGTTGGCTCTGAGGCGCGCGCCAATGCCAGCCGGGCGAGGCATGGCGGGAGCTGCACATGCCTCAATCTGCTGCCCGAGTCCGGCTGCTGCATCTGCATCAATAAGCCCTGCAGACAGAGTGCTTCATTACACTGTACGTGCTAGGAAAAGAATCAGCTATTTTAGGCATACCCAGAGGCAGCAGAAAGGAAGGTAGGCGAGGAACGTGAAATGGGTGTGCTTGCCTAGTTTACCGATGGGGTCCTGGTCTGCAGCGCCTTGGGGCTGAGATCCAAAGCTCCAAAGCTCTACGGGCGTGTCTACGAGCATCTGTGTACCCAGCATGCCTGCACAAACCACCATGTCTTGTTGCCAAAAAATCATACGCCCTCAAACAGCAAGCATCACTCTTTGCACCTCTCAAGTACCTCTCAAGTAGAAGGGTGAGCGAGAACGTCCAGTCGAATCTGGCAAGATGAGAAAACATTCCAAACTCACCGCAGCATAGAGCACATGCACCATTTGGGCACATACACCTGGAGCTACCAATGTCCCTTTCCTCCTGCTCAATGGGGGTCTCCTGGTTGCATTGACCTCTGCCCTCAAGAGATTCCTGGCAGAAAGGTCTATGTGAACATGCTCTTTGTCGCGCATTCCCCAGGTTTACATCATGCTCAAGGTCATTGTTGTGGCCAGGGTGCCGCCGCGCAGTTGCATGAGTGCCGCTGTCACCGGCAACGCCTCCATCCCCAAAACGGACGCATGCCCGTCCCTTGGCGATACTGACACCTCTGGACCTTGTCTGACCACCGGAGTCATGTATAATGACACCTGTCACCGCATATTACCCTGGGTCACTCCCAAGACAATATCAAGCAAGGAATGGAGGAAAGTGGGTGTGTTCTCGGGCAAACAAGGCGATGACTGCTTACCGGAGTTGTTCATAGCTGCGGCCTGCCTGGCGGCTGCGGCTCTGCGCCGGGCCCAGCTGGATGGCCTGGCTGAGCGCACAGCTTGCCGCTTGCTGACACCTTCTGATCTAGGCGTAGAAGCGGCAGTGCACAATTCTGGAGGGCCCACAGTCCCAATCCTCCTCATCTTTGCTGCCCTGCCTGCGCACACAGAGCACCGTTCTCTCCTGTCCTGCTGGCGCAGCTCAGCACATCGCATGCCAACAGGCATTGGGACTTTGTGGTTTCGTCTGTGGCACACCCTGTGGAGGCCAGCTGTCCTCCAATCCCGACGCTGGGCCGTCCGAGTCTGTTGGCTCGCCGTCCTGCGTGACAGGAGAGCCGGGCACTTCCACAATGGAGTTTGCTTGAGCTGGCCGTAGAGGTGGCAAGGGGCGCACAGCGGCTTGCTTAGCTCTCGCGACCTGCAGCACAAGCAGGACTCAATGCCCAAGAGCATGACGTAACCAAGGCTGTTAATATCATGCACTGGCAAATGCATTCAGATATCTAGTCTGGAGCACGTCTGACTTACCTCTGCGATGGAGGCGCCGGTGACTTGCAGGAAGCAGCCATTGGGGAGCGGCAGGAAGAGGGAGGTGTGCATGAGCAGGAACAGCATCAGGGTGTCCCCGATGCGCGACAGCAGCAGCTGCCATGCCTCCCCCTTCAGCAAGTCTGTGGTGGTGTTTGCATGGTGCGCCTCAGTCCCAAAAAACCCCACCGTTGGAGCAGCTCTGCTCGATGGGCGCTTCTGCAGGGCCGGACACATGAGATATACCATCATAATCACCCCCTTGCAATGCACGGTTTGCATGCAAGCCAACTGAAGGAGGCAGAAGATCTGCGCACCTTGCGATACCCAAGGCAGAGCACATTTGTGTCACCTCCTGGCGCGCGCACCAAGGCTTCAATTGCTCTGTTGAGGATCTGCGCCCGCCCGAGGGAAACACTGAAGGCTTGAATCATGAACATGGGTGAATGGCTAGGTGCTTGGGACATTTCCTTGGTCCCAGTGTAATCTTACCTCCATCTGGGACGATTGCTGCTGCAAGGTAAATTGACCCTTCAGGTCAGGTGCATTGCTGTTGCAAAAACAGAGGCCTTGACCCAGAAGGCCATCGACATAGCTGCTGGGGTCACATGACCGCACCAACTGCGCCTGGAGCTGCTCTTGCCATTTCCCACTGAACTTGATCAGAGCTTCCTGAATGCAAATTGAATTCAATTTTACGAGCAGCAATGGAGAAGGACGAGAACATCTGCCAAGGCACGTAACTACACTCCCCTGATCTGCAGGACAAGCTGACCTTGATAGGCAAGATCGTTGGGTACAGACGATGTAGAACTGAAGCCGTGTACATGACGTCGGCTGTATGTCCATCAGCACCATTGTTGGTGGCCATTTACGTCATGTAGACTCCACGATGATGAGAAGAGATCAGACCAAAATTCGCATGAGCTTCACTTCTTCTTGCGCACTTTAAGATTGTCTTGTTTGCTGTGCTCAGTTAAATTTATCGAACAGAAAATAATAAGTTTCGTGCATTGTTATGGAGTCTCGAAGATTGTCACATCTGCTTTATATTTGTCATACTGATTTCGAAAGGAAGACTCTGTACAATTGCTGATCTATCGACAGATGGTGTGAAATACACTAAGTTGAATGAAGTTGAGTTATTTAGTGGAGGCTCTGGGTTGGTCTTCTATCACATCGTCCAAGGATCTCTCCATGCTGCGCATGCTCCGCTCAATACAGCGATAAGAGGACTGGCAAGAAATGTAGGCTTTCTTGACAATGTCCAATTCATATTAATTTGCATGTCCACAGGTCAGATCATCGATCCTCGATGAATATGCATTTGGCTCTCAGCTCCTCCCCATATGTTCCAGGCGATCACTTCCAGAAGCTTTTAGGCAGCAGATTGCAGATGCATGGAAGCTGCAAACACTGTTCCAGAAGCGTTCCATATAAGAAGGTTCTGCCTGAACGACATGCCGCATTCCCATCGCTGCAAAAATGGCTTTCCAGATCTCACTCAAGAGTTGCGTGCAGAGCAGCTGCAGATCCAAGGTGCCCTGCCAGCCCCCCAAGTCCCTTGCTTGCCAATTTTCCTAAAACTGTGAGAGTACATAAGATGTCGTGATGCAGATGCTTGACACTCATTATTACAATCCTGCAGCGAGGACCGCGCCAGCTACCGCCTTATTGAGGTCACCCTGAGAAAACCAATGGTAAGAAGCACATGAGCCGTTTCAGACCGCCACAAGGTGCCCACTTGTGCGCAACAGCCTTGCGCTACATGTCCTAGTACAGCTGTGTACCAGGGTGTTCTTGTTGCTCCGCAGGGCCTTGTCCTGCTGGAGGACAAGGCCAAGAAGGCAGTAGTTGTGGAGGAGATTGTGGAAGGAGGCAATGCAGACCAGTCAGGGCAGGTGCAGGTTGGAGACATCCTCACCAAGTAGGAGCCCTGTCTCTGCTCTCATTTGGTGATCTTGCGTTCAAGAGCGCTCTAGTGCCCAGGCAACTTTCAAAAGGACATGTGTTATCTTTCTGAATGTGGTCTTGGTGTCCACAGGTGCAGTGCCACGGTATTGAAAGCAGGGAAGGGAGGGCAGTATGAAAAGGAAGGGTATGGACAGCGGCCATATGACAATTGGGATAAGGTCATGTTTGATTGCGAGGGCGAGGACTTTGACACAGTCATGGCAGCTTTAGGAAGCAACACTGAGCGATGGGGCATATTCAACATTAGCCTTGTATTGAAGCGTTATATCAAAAGCAATACGCCTGCATGATTGACAGCTGATGTTCCCGGACTAATATATTTTACATGACCTACACTGGTCGCAACAACCTGAATCCTATTCCGCAGGCTAAGTCAGAAAGTAGCAGCTACATGGCTCTTCAACAAATTTACCGTTGCCCACCACAAGGTTTCGGAGAACTGTGATCTCTAAGATACCCAGCAAGTTGCTAACCAAACCCTGCAAGTAGTTCTTGCCACTACAGATCTAAACGTGTTTATTGTTTTTTCCAATTCCAGAATCCTTCTTGACTTGAATCCCTCTTTCGAGACCCGGCATCATGCCTTCGACAAACACATGTCAACTCCTCTCAAATGCACTCCACTCATAACACGCCCACTTGTAAACAACAGCAGACTTGTGCACCGTCAGGCACTGCCCACTCATTCATTGCCTGCCCAATTCCTTGCAAGCTGCTCTTGCGCATCTGAATAAAAATGAAGAATTATGGTCACACCCGGCTGCTCAAGGCACATGGCGGATCTGCACGGATCGCACAACGTCCTCATTGGGCGGCCTGATATCTGACACCACGACCACCAGGTCTCCCTTCTGCACCAGGTCGCGCCGTTTCAGCAGCGCAAATGTGCGGTCGACGTTCTCCTCTGGGTCTGCGCCAAAGTCCAGGCGGAAGGGCATCACTCCCCACCTCAAGTTCAGCCGCTGCCGCACATCCTGCTTGTCTGCAGCGCACCCACCAATGGAAACATCAGCCCCAAGGCAACTTTTGCAACACTTCCAGTCATGACCGTCCTCTGTACCTGCTGGCTTGTGCCATTGTGCCATCATCACATTGCTTATCCAGAGATGCCCGTCTGTATGGAGACGGCGACCATGCGGGTGGTGATTTGTCCATCAGTCTACAAAGCGGTTGATTGCACACTCAGAAAGAAATAACCTTTGGAAGGATGAGCTCTCAGCGCAGGATACTGTGATAGAGGCAGGGAGAGCGGAGCAAAGAGTGGCGCCCACCTGTGAAGGCGAAGATGGGGCAATCGGGCCTGCACCGCGACAGGAAGTTGGCCATGTAGCCGCGGCGGGTGTAGACAAAGATGGCGCGCGCGTTGAGGTTGTTGGCCATCTGTGCCGCGCTCGCGCACAGCTCCTCGCTCACGCGCCCGTCCAGCCGGTCAGTCAGCTGCGGCAGCACAATCTGCCCGTGCTTCTCCTGCCTGCACCGCCATCCCCATGCTCTTATTTTTTACCCAGGATCCCATATCAGCATGTTGACAAAGAACTTGCTTCTTCCTAATGAAATTGAGCTCTGTTCAGCTGTTTGTGAACAGCTCTAGTTGCCAGACTTGAAGAATTGAAGAAAGCAGCTCTGGAGGAGTAGTACTAGCTCTGTTGGAGGCTGCATGAGATGTACTCAGGCATGGGAATGCCAATGGAAAGATGGGCTTCTCAGGACAAGCGCACCTGCACCATTCTTCGATCCTGGTCGCCACGGCGCGCAGCACGCCGATGGCCTTCTCGGGGTATGCGCCCGCGGCCGACTCGCCCGACAGCATCAGCGCGTCTGCCCTCTGCCGCACCACATCCGCAATGTCCGCCACCTGCAGGGTAAATGCACCACGTTCAGGAGCAATCTTTAACCGCAGTGCACATGCATGACTGAGCCCTGGAGTCCTGATACTCAGTGATAAGGTTATCCTGGGCAACTTGGGTCCACAGAGAACAGAGGGAGAAGTGGTGGGGCACCTCAGCGCGGGTGGGTGTGGGGTACTCGATCATGGACTGCAGCAGGTGCGAGGCCACGATGACGGCCTTGCCCGCCTGCCGGCAGCGCACCACCACCTCCTTCTGCACGGAGGGCACATCCTCCAAGGGAATCTGGGCACCTGCAGCACGCACATCCAACAATTCACATATTGGAGCAGCCCATTGCATGTGCATCCATGCATGGTCTGCTATCCCTAGGAATTGCAGCGAATCAATCTCAACATTTTCAGCAGCAAACAAACATGATGTCCAATATACATGGCCAGTTCTCAGCATGCAAGGCTGGCTCACCATGCAAGGCTGCAAATGCCTGCCGGCAAATTTCATAGATTCACATCAAGTGCAATGCTATGGAAAGCTTGGCCACTGGTGCTCACCAAGATCGCCGCGGGCCACCATGACAGCGTCTGAGGCTTCCACAATTTCCTCGATGTTGGGCACGCTGTCATGGGATTCCACCTTGGCGATGACCTCGATGACCTTGTCAGCGCGCGAGTTGAGGTAGCTCTTAAGGTTCTTGATCACGTCCGCGCTCTTCACGAACGACACCGCGATGAAGTCCACGTTCTGCCTGATTGCAAAGTCAATGTCCAGCCAATCCTGCACCAGGTCTCACAAATCTCAACATGTGTCGACGACAGAACCGGCTCTCACAGTCACAATAGCTTGGCACATGCTGGCGTCTACGCAGCGATTATTGGTCCCCCAGAACAGCAGACACTGACCTTTGCAGCTTTCAACAGGGCCTGCGCAATTGTTGTTCTCCGGTGTTCCCCCAAAGGACAGCAGTGGACACATCAGGTGGATCAGTGCAGGTCAATTGAGCTGGTAGGGTTTTGGCATGCACGAGTCAGTGTGCTGGGTGAGAGCGACTTGAGGCGCACCTTGGAGGAGAGGACCGGGAGCATGGAGTTGCGCGCGCGCACGAGGTGGCCGTTGCGGCGGAAGGTGAGGTTGGCGCGCGACAGCACTATGCCCGGGTCCACCACTTCCACCTTCACGTCTGGGCCCATCTTCTGCTTCACCTCCAGCGACACCATGCCACCATCTACCACCACCAGATCCCCCACCTGCCCACCACAAGGAAATTATTTGAACATTTTTGACATTCTGCCTCTCTGGCCAGCTGGTGAACATCACTGACTCACACCTGGACGCTCTCAGGGGTCTAATATGTGTATGTAGCGCGCCCCGTGGTTTATTTGTATACTTTGAACTCTGGGGAGCATATTGAACAACGGTCCTTCTGAGGAGACCTTCAAGCATGAAGGTTTTTGTTTGCATCACAGAGCATCCAGGACTAGGGACTCTGGGGACTGTGTGAATGCCAGAGCAGCCTATGAGGGCCATCAAAATCACTGCGACAGGTACCGTGTAACTCAGACCGGTGTGGACAAAAGTATGAAGTGCCTTCATGACGACCTCGAGCGCTGTGCAGTGCAGGGGCCATGACGGCAAGCATGCAAGAGGATAGCCTTGCCTGGACATCATCGACAAAGGCATCGTAGCTGACGCCAATGGCGCTGCCCTCCACTGTTTTGGGGTCGCGGATGGTCAGCACAAACTCCTCGCCAACCTGTATGATGCACAAGACTTCTTTTCCGTCTTTGCAAGACAATGGTGGTCCCACAGAGCAAGTGAGGCTCGACATCACATCAGGTGAACAAGATTAGTGTATTGTCATGGGTGTAGGGAGATCTCACCTCAGCCTTCAGAGGCTGCTCAAGTTCACTTGTGTGAACCTCGCTGCCCTCTGTGTCCAACATGATGGCCACCGAGAACCTGCACAGGCGGGCACAGTTTGTTAAGCTTGCACGCAGGACTCATGTGTGCTCGAGTACATTCCTCTGGTGCACTTGGATGCCTGGAACGACGCGGATGCATGAGAGGAGGGCAACATACCCCTTCAGCTTGTTGAGCTTCCTGATGCGGTTGATGACAGCTGTGTGCCAGTCATGTGTGCCATGGCACATGTTCAGGCGTGCCACATTCATCCCACTCGTTGCAAGAGTTTCCAACATCTCTTCGCTGCATGTTGCTGGGCCGATGGTGGCCACAATTTTTGTGCGCCTAGTACTCCTGAAGCCTGCGCCATCAGCACTCCAATTCAGAATATGTATTGATGGGAATGATCCGCGCCATTGCATTCTTATACAATAAAAACAATGAACATGATAAATACGTCAAAGAAGACAACGTTGGTTCAAGGCTGGAAAGGAATATGCACTAGTCAGCAGGCCAGTGTTGAAGCAAGCGGGCAGATCGAACCCAGAGCACTCACCATTCTCCCCCATTTCCTTGGCTAGCACGGAATCGACTTCGAGGTCTGATTTCAAGCCATGCGAAATGTTCTCGGTCAGTTTGACCTCTGTTGGGGCACTCCCATTGCCATTGGACTCAGCGTTGTGCTGCTGCTGCTCCTGCTCCGTGGTTGCCGTGCTGGTGGCTTGTTCAGCACGTGGAGCTTTGCCAGACTTTTTCTTTGCTTGCCGTGCTGACGGGCAGAAGCTTGGCCGTGGGGCAGGGCATCGCAGAGGCACAATGCTGCTTGGAGCTCTGCGACGAAGAGGACTTGGGCCAGGCCCCAAACATCCTAGCGCGCGGCCTTGCATGAGGCTGATTCTTTCTTGTCAGGCCTCACAACCTACATAAACGGCTTGATCCTGGAGTGGGGATCTCCTCGTCAATGGATCTTGGGTGCCGGAAACGTTGGGCTCAGACTTGGATGGGAACCCTCGAGCTCCGCATTCCCCTTGAATTTGCTTTGTCTGGGGATTGTTTCTAATATTACACAGGGTTATATTAGCCCGCGTCACAATTTGTCAAGAAGAGACTGTGTGGAGAATGTAGGAGTTCGTCGCTGTCACATCATTGTCGTTTACTGCATGTTGCATGAAGTCTTGGGAGCACTCCGGAAGATGAGGCCATTTTGGGCACTGGCGCTTGTGCTCAGCTCACACTCACTCCTTGTCCAGTCTGCACCGTTTGTTGGTGGAGAAACGGGCTTCAGAAATCTTGATAGTGTCTTGAATTTCTGGGAAAGGACTGCCAACGCTGCTGCTTTGGTGCGCTCCTGCCACACACTACATCTTTTCTAGAACGTTTACACCTTGGACTTTCAAGTCTCGAGTGGTTGTCTGCATGCTCTCGCCATTCGTGGTGTGTGATCGAGATGTTCAACTTGATCCATGCAGGTCACAACCAAAGAGCTTCAGAAGCAGGGCAATTCTGAAGGCCTGAAACTTGGGAATGTCCGTCTCGCGTCCTTGAAGGTAAACCTGGCATAGCTTCAACCATCTACTAATAATAATTATCGATCTTATCTGGTTCTTACCCGGCTTGATTTTTCTTGGTCGCAGTTTTCAGTGTACTCCATATGATGGCCGTAGTGTTTGCTGAGCAGCTTCTCCAGGGACAGCAGAAGAGACTGACAATCGAGGTCGATGGACAGCCACATCGTGTGATCTTTTCGGACGAGAACCAGTGGCGCTCCCTATTGGATTCAATTCCAGTTGGCAAGGTGCGCCGCTGCTGCTGTGAATGCTCTTAAACATTTTGGTGACGCCAATCCACACTATCATGATGAAATGACTCACCCTTTCAAGGGTTTCGGCTGCCTGCAGGGGCACAATGCAATTGCAATGCAACCTGCCTCGCAGCTTTGGTCGAGGTCACTGGAGGAGAGCGCAATGCTGCCAGATTTCACGCTGACTGGACCTCTCGAGCTCGTGCTGACTGAGGCTCAGCCCGTCAAATTGTATCTGCCTCACCATGCAGATGCTGGGCTGGTGCGGCGGATCATGCTGCAGCCGGGAGCTGCACTGACTGTGCACAATGCTCGGTCAGTCGCCCTGCGCCGGCCAGTGGATCTACCCCTGCCGCCTGACTCCTTCGTGGCGAATGTCTGGGGCCGATCTGTCAGAGGCACGGCTCCGAGTGCTTCAGACTCTCTGTCAGGTGAGCTGCTTTCCAGCGCATCTGTCAAGGGATCAGTAGGCCAACCAGCGTCCTTTGTTTATGAGAAATGTGATGCGTGATGCATCAAGATGTGTTTAAAAGAAGAAAAAGGGCCAAATGACCGGTGCTGTCGGGCAGGATTGCTGCACATGGCGCATGGTCTACAGCAGCAGGCGCTCGATCGGCTTGCATCTGCAGAGGACGCATCCAAACTGGCGGCGGTGTCTTTGGAGGTGCAGCTCAGCGGGGGTTCCTGGTTCAGGACGGCCGCGCCTGCCCCTGGGGAGGCCACCCCACAGATGAGGGTGCGGAGGAGCGTGGGCGCAGCTGATGCCATTGAGCTCAGCGTGCAGGACGCTCAGGTGGGCTGCTGCATGCCTTTCATTTGCTGGATCTATTGAAAAGTGCTTTGCATACGTGTGCACCATGGCAGTACTTTACATTGTTGCTTACACCCATGATCCTATTGTTTCTTCTTGAGATCCGTCCTGCCATCTGCCTTTGCCGGTCATCAATGTGATTATGACCAGCAAAGGCAGTGCGTGAGGTGTGTGTCAAGATTTTAAAAATGCACTGTTTTGCCCCCATGGTACTGGCCAAGGGAGAGAAATCTCTGCCCATCAGCTGACAACTCTCCCCTCATCACCATCCTCTTTCGCGTGTGACAGGTGGCAAGCAGGGGAGAGGCGGCGCTGTCGGCTACTTGGGCATGGCCGGTGCCGGTGGCGCAGCCAGCAAAGCTGCAGCGGTACGAGGCGGTACTGAAGGAGTTGCTGGCGCGGCAGGGCCTCGACGGGAGGCAGCAGCTGGACAGCCTCAGCCTGGCGGAGGTGGTTGTGGATGTGACCACTCTGCTCTCCCTTGAGTTTGAGGTCGAGCGCGAAGGCGGCCAGCAGAATGTGACACTAGGTGATGCGACCTCCCATCCTCCCACTGTTGCAAATTGATCGGTCCTGCAAACTCTTTGTTGGGCCCATCATTATCAAGCAATTTTCACAGTAGTTGAAGGGAAGTGTTACACCCAGTGTCTTGCTGCATTCTCATCAGATATCCGTGGTGTGGATGTCAAGTGCTTCTTTATGCATGGCATCGTTGGTGGGTGGATTTTGAATGGTGCACTGTTTGGCAATGCAGGGGAGGGCATGTTCAAGCTGGGCCAGGCGCCGCACGAGGTGTGGAGGGCAGTTCTGGCGCTGAAGCCGGAGGGGTCAGGCCAGGTGGCGTTTCAGCCGCTGCAGGCGCAGCTAGTGGATGCCAGCCGCAGCACAATCTCAATATCCCCCTTGGCTGAGGCCATGGCCCTGGGCAACGCCACGCTGCCCGAGGACATGCACTTTGTGTACCCCAGCATGACGTGAGGGGGCCGGCACTACCGCTGCGAGCGAGCCGCCGACGTTGTCTGTGATGTTTAAGGAGACTGGTTGGGCACCATTGGATCCGATGAGTCATCCATATGGATGATTATCAGGTGCAGGCTGCCACATGATGTCTCCTCGATCTGTACCGTACAGATCGAGGAGGTGACATGGCTCTGTCATTTTGTGCACTTATTGTCCTATTATGGTCACCGGTCATGGTCACCAGACATTTCTGCAGTATGTACAACTTGTATTGGACGATCATCGACAGTTATGACTGGTTGTTTGGAATCCCTGTCAAAGTACTTTGACTATAGTAGCTACTTTGACTAGTCTTTACCTCAAAGACCTCCTGAAGTAGTGCAAAGCAGAAGGCCGCCTTCAAGCGGCTAATTTGCTGGCAGCCAGCAGTGCACATGACTTGATGCAAATCATGAGCTTGTAATTCGAGTGAATCACAGAAAGAATGGAAGGAAGGAAGGAAAGAATTACATCACTCCCAGCCGCCTAGGGCTGACTGGATGAACTGGCAGCATCCAAATAATCAAAACAATCCATCACAAAATGTGCAACACCGACAATGTCCAACTGCCACATGAACTGTTGCATGGTCACGATGGCCGCACCAAATAAACCAGAGTATCTATTACGAAAGAATGAGGGCAACAAGCAAAATGTCTTGGCTGTCAAATCCTTTCTTCAAACCCTGCATAACTCCGTGAGTTTTGGTTTGGCAGTCCCTGTCTGATGTAATAGGGTTGCACCATCTTTCCCTCTAGGCCTTCCTCTACATATATATAACTCCGGGCGTGGCCGAGAGCGTGGCCGGACTCAAGCGAGCTGCTCCTGCTCGCGCGCTGCTCCCGGGCGAACAAAACGCTTAAGGCAATCTACCATTGATTCATCCTTTGATGACCAAATCCGTTGGTGATCAGGATCCTGTCCCGACAGCAGGCTGCCCGCTTTGTCCGGCGCGGCTGATGTGACCGCTGCAGGAGAGGGTATCGGGGAGAGCCATGGTGCTGCTTGACAGGCAGTACTTCGTTCCTGATGACTCTTTGCCGGCAGACCTCAATCAGGATGATGAAGTCTGGCATCTTGACTCTACTGGCGAGGTGTTTGCGGAGTACACCGACTATCTCAGGCAGCTCTACCTGACAAGGTCAAGACAGTGGGCCAGTGTGTACACTGGGGTTTGCAACCTCACGTACGATGAAGCCGTACGCGAGGATGAAAGGGGTCGGGCTCTAGCCAGCAAGGTATGACCGCTGGAAGCGCTATTCACCGTTCGTTCAGAGCCCAGTACAAAGTGTGGGGTAATCCAACTAATCTTGTGTCTTCTGGTTGGCAGTTTCCAGCTGAGCTGGAAGAATTTGCGTTGGGCCTGGTGCATCACAGCGTTCTGAGACTTGACGACCTCATAGACTACATACATGACGCTGTAAAGCCCCGGGCAATAGCAACGCAAGGCAGGGACAATGACCTCCAACCAGAAAAGCTCAAGCATCCTGCCCCTCGACCTGTGATCCGCTGTTGGCTGTTTGAGGTGAGCTTACCGTCTTGTGGCTTGCTTCCTGATCTGCGTGCACTCGCCAAGTTCCAGATAACTAGATGCTTGGACACCATCAGCCCTGCTCGTGATGCATCTGTTATTATTATGCAGGTGGCTGTCCACGAACAGGTCGGGGGCTGCCAGAACTTCTGGATGGCCAAAGACGAGTTTGTCGATCGGTATGGATTGGCAAGGGAGATCCCCTTGGACGTCCAGGAGCTGCTGGCTGTGGCCAGGGCCAGACAGAAGCCCAGGAGGGGTGGAGGTGAGCACCTTCCATCGGCAAAAAATTCCGTGCAATGCAATTTTTCCAATTCGAACCTTATTGAACCACCAAGAATCACCCACTGCATCCAACAACGTTTTTTCTTAAAAGCTGATCTGCGCCTGATTGCAAGGTCTAAATAAACATAGAGCACTTTTATTGTGACGAAGTCGATCTGTGGCTGCTATTTAGATGCATGCATGAACTTAAGCATTCGTCAGAAAGAGAATGGGCCATGCCTGCGATAACAGCAGTATAGGATGTTGGCTGATGGAGGCTGTGGTGGGCGCAGGCGCTGCGCGCAAGAGGGCCAAGCTGGTGGAGTCGGCGTCCGTGAGAGCCGTGAGCGAGGCGCCGAGCGAGAACAACAGCATGGACATCGGCATGTTGCCAGCTGGCGCTGATGACATGAGCGATGGCGAGCTGCCCAGCTGGCGAGGAAACCAACCCGTCGAGGCACCCTCCACCCCGGCCGCTGATGAGCCCGTGCCCACAGTCGAGGTGTGCGCCCATGCAGCCCATCAATACCCTCCTGTGTGGCCTGACTCTTGCACATCTCTGCTCTGCACGATGTAAAAGGGTTGCCCCCCTCATTGAACACCGGAGGGATACAAGATGCACATTGACAAAGAAAGCCAGGAGCCTCAGGGAAGAAAAGAGCAGCCTCTGCAGTGTCTGGGGGCGCGTCAGAGCTCAGCATCACAAATGCAGACTTGGGAATGCTGAAGTGGACTCAAAAAAAATGCCATTGCGTTCTAGGCTGCTTCAATCAACCAAGCAGTGTGGGTTATTGTGCAGGAGGAGGAGAAGAGGTATCGCCCCGGGACAAACAAATACATCGCGTTCCAGGTGCTCAAGGAGGCCGGCCCCAAGGGCCTGACGGTGCCGCAGATCATGGAGGCCAGCAGGCAAGCTGGCATGAAGGAGTTCGACGAGACCGCCAAGCGCGTCATCCAGTTCGTGCGTGTCGTTACCCTCTCCTTTGCTATGACTTCTCCCCTGTGTCTGGGCAAGCTTGGTGTTTTGCTGACAGTCAACTCTCCTTGCCTGCTCGCTGCACCTGCCCCTTGCTGCGCGTGATGATACCATTTTACTGCTGAAGAGCACTGCAGGCTCTCGTGCGGCTTACAGGGTTTTTTTTTAATTATATAACACAAAAGGGATGTGAGCGCCAAGGAGTCAGCTCAGGGATGGATATGGTGCAGGCATTGGCGAGCGACCCGGGGTTTGTGAGGGTGAGCAAGGGGCTGTACACACTGCGTGCGCTGGCACCCGTGGTGGAGCGTGCAGCGGTGCTGCCCACCAAGCCCAAGGGGCAGCGCACGACGCGCCCGCCGCCGCCGCGCTTCGACCCGAGCGCCTTCCCGGAGCCGCCCGCGCCGCCGCCGGCCGCCGACGACGGCCAGGGCGCGGATGACAACGCCACCGTGCCAGTGGACTTCCTGGACGGCAGCTCCGTGCTCGCGCCGCTGCCGGCCGATGCCGACCCCTACCAGGACGTGCTCATCGAGGAGGAGTACCTGGAAGAGGAGGACCTCGAAGCCGTCTCCAACGTGCGCGCGCCCCTTGCTGTGCCGGCAGATCATGCTGCCTTCTGGATGCTTGCACCAACCATTTCTCGACACTTTTGGCTGAGCAGGACAGACTGCTAGATTCACGCTTGTTCATTTTCGTCTGGCCAGTGTCCTGCACGTCGACTGCTAGAGTGCCCATACTGGCCTTTCGCCGCGCATGCAAGGTGCAACCAGGGGTAAAGCATGCGGCATCTGGGAGACCAAACAAGGAGGTTCTTGCTGTCGACTGACGGCAGGCGGTGCGACCGCAGGCGGAGAACTTTGCGCGCAAGAGCGGGGCGGCGATGGACAACGCGCTGGCGCGGCTGCACAAGGCGGAGGAGGACGTGGCGGCCCTTCGCGAGGCCATCAAGGCGGCGCAGGCCAAGGCGCGCGCGACGCCCAAGAAGCGCAAGAAGGGCGAGGAGGACCCGGCCGCCGCGCCCTGCTTCGAGGTCAGCGCCGAGGAGCGTGCGTACAAGGGCGACCCCAACGACCGCAAGCAGATCGTCAAGCACCGCCAGCGCATGAAGGTGCGCACTGGCACGCGCCTTTACCTCCCCCTTTGCTCTTGCCTTTTGCTCCTTGCAGGCGCTTGATTGCTGTGCTGCCTGTTTTGACTACATGTCTCGCATTACCAGTCCCTTACTAGAGAGGGGTGGCAGATTGAAGCTACCTCTTCAGCCCTGCTGCATCGTTGGTAGCATCCAGAGAGTTTCAGCAGCATGCTTTCTTTGCCCAAGAGCAATGTTGCCCCGAAAAGCTCCTGCAAGCGATCTGTGCTTTCGTTGCTTCCTTCAATGCTACTCACACGCTGCCATTGCTTACCAAGGACACAGGAGTGTGGATGATTGTGCTGGTTGCAAGAAATTGGCCTGTCGCTTGAGCTTTTCTGCGCTTTCACACAGGAGCTGGATGAGGAGATGGAGAGCAGGAAGCAGGCGTGGCTGAAGAAGCAGCGCAGCGCGCGGGACCGGTCGCGCGGGGCGCAGAGCAAGGAGGTGCAGGCGCTCAACCGGCAGCTGCAGGCCGCGCTGCAGGTCCTCGACGTCGAGCGCTACCATGCCGCCGCCTGCGAGGAGGCCGCCATGGCCGCCGACCGCGCCCTCCACAAGTCAGTTCCCTCCTACTTCTGTTTCAACCCTCAACCCTCAACTGCACCCTAATTCTCTTTTCCTTCTGTCTTTGACTCCCAGCACCCAAGAGTCGCTATAAAGACTCATAATGGGCTGACAGGTATGCAAAACTCTGGTGGATATTATTTGTCAGAAGCTCTCAAGAGCCCCTCTTTTCACAATGGCAATACAAATCTGCAATATGGCCCCTTGGGCTGCCCTTGGGAGCCGCAGTTTCCCTTACGAGTGCCTTCATCATTACCAGTGCACTTTGAGCGATTCAGATGCCCCGCAAACAGTACAAAAGCTCACGATAAATCAACAGTGGCTTAGTAGCAAAACCCCCATTCGGAGGGTGTGGTTATTGGATATTGACCCCAGACTGTTGTGTGGGTGCAGGAAGGGCGGCGGGCGGTGGCGGGGCCGCGAGGGGGACGAGAGGGACACGGTGCGCTCAGCAGAGCGCGAGGAGAGGGAACGCCGCCGGGCCGAGGCGCGCCGTTACCCCATCGACGACACCGAGCTGCTCGCCGAGCTGCGCGAGAAAGCCTACGTCGAAGGCACGCCCTTTCCCGCCCCTTCTACCCTGTCCTTGTTGCAAGGACACCTGTTGCTGACCTCTGCATTGCTCGGGTGCCTCCTTATCGACGACATCAGCATGCATTGCAGCGCTGCATTGCAGACACTGGCTGCTCTGCGGTAACATATCGCAGGATTGAGGGCAGGCTTGGCCGATTAGTTGCGCGCATTCGACGCAGCCGCTGCACCAAATTTACACACAGAAGGTGTGAATATCTTGCGAAAGATTAATATTGGTGCAGGCGGGGAGATGCCGGCAGAGGACGTGCCGACGGCGGAGATAGTGCCGATGGACGACGCCGCGAGCGAGGCGCTGTCGCGTACGATGTATGTGGCGGACTTCGCGTCGCAGTTCTGCGAGCTGCTGGCCGTGCGGCCGGTGGGCTACCAGGAGCTGCAGGCCGCCATCGTCGGCAACGGGAGCGCCGCCACTCGCGAGCCGCTCTGGGAGATCTACGAGGGGCTCATGCGCTTCCTGCTCAACGTGCGCCGTCCCTTGCCTTCCCCTTCCCCGTTGCCGGATGCATGCTCTGATGTGAGATTGTGTTTCGAGAAAAATTGCAGTCAGCACCTGACACGCTTCCAAAATATTCTCATGTCCACAAATGTGGGACACAATTTCTCCATTGCCGCCGATGCATGCTCTGATGGGAGACTCTGTTTCAAATGGTTGTATGGTCAGCACACCACACCCTTCTCATGTCTGCATATTTGTGAGACACCAACAATCATCCCTCGAGGGCTGATGCATTATCTGCCGCTGAGTTTTACAAACTTGACGGGGATGGGTGTGAAAATTTTGTGTGTGATGTGGTGCAGAACACGACGGGGCGGACAGAGCGGAGGTGGCTGAACTGCCTGGGCCTGGCGACGTGGCCGGAGGTGGTGCGGCGCTACTGCCTCTTCCACCCGGCCAAGCACCAGGACGCCATCATCACCGACGCCGCCAGTGCGCCCCTTCTTCCCCTCTTCTTACCTCCCTGCACATGCACACACATGCATGCCTGCAATGCAAGGGGACGGTAAAAGAGTCCAACGGCCAGCGCAAATCAATTCGATTCTGCCCATGCATGCAGAAAAGGCATGCACTATATTACGGCTGTGCACAATAAAACGCTGTAATCAACTCTGTGTCGCGCTGAGCTGCGCAGTCAGCTCCCACAGCTGCCATTGGCTGTCTAGGATTGCACAGGGCAGTTGGCTTACTACACCCTGTGATTTGGCAGGTATGCTGGGGGAGCGGGGTGCGGAGGAGGTTCCGGAGGAGCTGCACAGGGAGCTGCTGTGCCACCTGTGCAACGAGGCGCTGGACCGTGAGCCGCTGCGGGCGCTCCTGGCCGCGCGCATGGAGAATGCCGAGGGCGTAAAGAAAGTAATGCGCGAGGCCGCCGCCGGCGACAAGGGCAAGATGAAGGCGAGCTGCTTCGCCCTTTTATCTTGTGCTTTCCCCTTTCTTGCACTTAGGGCGGTGTCCTTTTCACAGTCTATACAGGAGCTTGGTCAAGGCCCGAGCTGTCTTTGCTGAAGCCTGGCAAGTAGTGGTCATCATTATCGCTTACTTCTCCGCAAGAGCGTAATAGAAATTGCAGGGGTGTCTCTGCCACAGTAATGTATCCGTTGCTCGCGGTTGTACAGATGTGCCATGCAAATTTTGTTGTGCTCCTGCGGCCAGGAATCGGTTGATCATAATGATCCAGGTTCATGAAGTCTCAGTCGCTCTGCTGCCAACATGCGATTGTGATGCCCACGCAATCATCTGTTCGCCTCCTTAACCACATATTATGCAAGGAAATGCGTGGCAAAGGAGCGAGCTAGGTACCTGCTTGAGAAAGCCATCCATGGTGAGCCGGACTTGCTTTACAACTACAGATCCTCTTGATAGCATGTTTTTATGCAGGGTCTCATTGAGGCGGAGAAGGAGCAGCGCAAGAGGAAGCGGGCGGAGGGCAAGCACAAGAGCTTTGTGGAGGAGGAGGACAAGCCCAAGCTGGAGGACCTGGAGGCCGACTACGCCGCCACCGAAAACGGCGACTCAGGCCTCGGCGACAGACGGTCAGTCACCCCTCTGCACCTCTCCTTACACAGATCAATACTGCCTACGTTGCATCCCATGATGCCCGGCATGCATGCACGTTCCTGTGACGCGTCTTGTGATGCATCCGCACCTTCTTGTTTCTTTCTGGCGCATCCAGCGAGAAGCACTCTGGTTGCCTTGATGTATCAAAACTGCAGTGCGGAGGGTAGGTTTACAGCTGTGTTGTGATAGACGGGCTTGTCTCTACACAGGATGTCAAGGGCACGGTCAGGCAGCGAGGCGTTGGCGGAGGAGAGCGGTGGCGATGTGGGGGACCCGGGGGAGATGCAGTGGGAGGCGGGGGACCAGCGGCGCAAGGGCAAGGGCAGCGACAAACGCTCCAAGGCCGACGCCGACCGAGCACACGCCCGCGAGCTCGCCGAGGCAGAGGAGGCTGTTGCCAGGTGGGTGTTCCTCACGTGGACGCCGAACTGTCCGTCCTACTGCTGCTTGGCCTCGTTGACCTGACCATGCTGACCGCCCCTCGTTGTTGGCTCGCACTTTGATACATATCTGCTGCGAAAATGAGTAGATTTGGGCATCCTTAATCTGCTAGAAATGGGTCCTCTTGGCCCTCACAGGGGCTGACTCACTGGCAAAGGATGCAGTGCATGGTCCTTCATCATGCGCACGGGAACATTTGAGAAGCACGCTCTGCACACATCTGCTACTGAGCTTTCCGCTGCTTAAGAATGCAGCGAGCTTGTTGCCATGCATGCTACCGGTAGATGAGCCCTTTTTTGCGTGAGTGCAGGCGACAGGAGGAGTTTGAGCGGGAGCTGGAGCGGTGCAGCGTTCGGCGTGCGCCCCTGGGCTGGGACCGCGCGCACCGGCGCTACTGGTGGGGCCTGGCGGGCGAGCGTGCCTGCATCTACACCGAGGACGGAGAGGGCCGCATCGGCCGCATGACCGCGCCCGACCAGCTGGCAGCGCTCATGGCCGTCCTTGACACGCGCGGCTGCCGCGAGGCCGGCCTCCTTGCCTCCTGCGAAAAGGTGCGCGTGCAAACTGCTGCCCATATATCATACCTGATGTGCTGCACTGTCCGGCCCCGTTATTGGTGTGGGGTTCATATCTCCCGCCTTCTAGTGTGACTTGTCGGCCACACTACTCCGAACTTAACTGGCCCTTTGCCTCTCCTTAAGCCATGATACTGCCCTGTGCTCATTGACATTGTCTGAACTTGCAAATCTCTTAGAACGTCCGGCTTTGCAAGCAGTACACCTTTCTATTGCCTTTGAGTGATGCTTGTTTTGAAGTCGCTTCTCCTTGCATGCACAGGCGTACAATGCCATAGCGCTTGGCATGAAGCGAGCAGCGTCGGCGTCGGGCGGCCGCAGCGGCACAGAGAACGGCGATGTGGTTGCTCCGCCGCGTCCGCAGGCCCTTCGCAGCAGCAAGCGCGACCGCGGGCAGCCGGAGCACTACGACCCATCCCAAGACGGCCGCAGCGTCCAGCTCTCCGCTTCACAGCAGCGCCCTGCGGTACGAGCCCTGAGCCACCATCTGCACTGCCACCGTCCAGATCTCGCATATCCAGCGTTACAGCTGAGTGGTCTGAGTGGTGATTAAGACAGTGGTTGGAGCCATTGGAGGGAGCAGCCAGCATTAGTCGCATAGTGCATGCAAGGCCACCCAGAGCACAACTCTCCTGCTGGAATGCATATAGTTGAAGCCCTGGGGCATTTGAGAAGCACGGTGGGGCAATGGTGCATGAATTGGAAAGAAAAAATATTGGCTTCGGGATGTGACTGCATGTATTGAAACCTGAGAGAGCTGTGTGCATGGAGCAGTCGCTGCCGGGCGTGGAGGGGCTGGCGATAGCGACGAGCGTGCAGTTCATGCTGGACCTGCAGCGCAATGCCTTTGACAACGAGATCGAGCCGGGCCCGTCCTGCACGGGCGGCTGGAAGCCCTGGCTGCAGGCCGTCAAAGCCGCCGGCCAGGGCCACCTGCCCCCTGGCACACCTGCAGGCATGCACCCCCTCCTCTCTACCTGAGCACCTCACCTCGATCGTTTGTCAGAGTTGCAAGATGATGCCTGGCTTGGGAACAAGGTGGCGCTTTTGGACCAATTCTTGTGAAAATAATAAAGAATATCAATGTTAGCATGTGTGCAAGCGATGATGCTGCATCTTGTCTCACTCTTCTGCAGGATTGGGCATGGTGCTTGCCTCTGTTGGGATTGCAGGCTGATGCATGGCTCAGATAAGAGTGGGGACAAGTTTGGTGGGAGGCATGAAGTTTGAAATTCAATGGTGTTGTGTGCAGGCCAGGGCGACTTGGTGTCGCAGCTGCGTGAGGCGATGAAGGGGCGGCTGATCCAGATGGAGGAGGCCCTGTTCATAGCGTCCGGGCAGCGCTTTGAGCCCGAGTCCGAGGCCGCCGCCGAAGCCCTCTTCCTCTCCGGTGCGCATTTGCCTCCGCTCTTTCTTGCATTGATCACTTGGAATTTGCTGAAGTGACTGACAAGTCACAGTGTCATTCTACCGTAAATGGACTGGTATTTGACGGTCCAGCTGGTCAACACTTTTATGGCCGACATGCAGTGTCGTTAGCCGCGGCAGTGCTGGTGCAATTTGTGATAATGAAATTGTTATGTACGTGTGCGCAGGGGCTGGGGGCGATCGTGAGGGCTCTGAGGAGAGGCCGACCGATGCCGACGCGGCAGCGGCGGCCGACGCGAACGGGAACGCCAGCGGAGACCCGGCGGCGGAGCAGCCGCCGGCAGACGCCGAGGCGGACGCGGAGGGCCCCGAGGGTCCCAGCCCGGCCAAGCCCACGGGCGGCGGCCTGCGCATGTGGCGCGCCGCCCGCGACCGCGCCGCCTGGAAGGCCGACGTCCTGCATGTGCGCATCCCTTGAATTTTCTGACAGCCCCTTTTTGCCCCTGGCTATGGACTTCTCAGCGCAGCAATGAAGTGCAATGTTTGAAAAGTTTCGAGTTTCAAAGACTCTTAACCTCTTGATGACTATCCGGCATGGCTGCTGTGCCTCTCCCGGCACCAGCTGGTGCCGATGGAGGGTGTTAAGAGCTGAGAGAGGGTCAGTTGGGCTGGTGTTTGAGGTGGGTGATGGGTGCGTGCAGGCCAAGACGTCTGCGAGGATGGCGTACAGCGCGGTGGCGCTGACAATAGTGAGCTACCCGCTGCTGGACAAGATCGAGGCCATGCGGATGGCGCCCCCGCCCAAGCCCAAGAGCGGTGGCGTCACCGCCGAGCTCGAAGCCGCCGCTGCTGCCGGCGCCGCTGCGGCAGCCGCCGCCCTCAAGGGTGAATTTCCTGCTCTCAAATACCGCGCTGTCGCTGGTTTGAGCCTGCAATTGTGCATCGAGGGAGGATGCCTTGCCACCCTGATCGTGTTGCCTTGAACCGTTGTCCCCTTGTCGCTGTATTGCCGTCGCCACTTACGATACTTCAGAGAGATTTGTCTATGGATGCGAATGATGATGCTAAGCTGGCCCCTGATTCTGACTGACATGTGTCGCTGTGCTGCGCAGCTGCCTCGGCCAAGGGGAAGAAGAAGGGTGAGCTGGACGATGAGCTGGACAAGATCAACACCAGAAACAGGGCCACACGTCGGTAGCTGTGCCAGCCGAACGCCAAATGGGATGCAGGGTGAATAGGCAGTGGAGATAACCTCACATGGGGATCACCTTCACATGGCATGGATGGGCACATCTGCCTGTCCTGCAGGCCCTTGCCATCGGATAGTCTTGGTTTGTTGAACGGGATGGGACATGCAAAAAGGACGAGCAAAGGTTGATGGGAGCTTCCCCTACTTGTGTTGTAATGTATCTGTGTGGTTGGGAGAGCGCTCAGTCTCGTGACCGTGGCTGCTTGATTGCTCTCTGGTTGGTCCTGCTGGTTTGGCTGTCCTCTGTACGGTAGTTGGCAAACAATGCTTATGTAGCCAGTAGGGCAGCTGTTGTGCAATCTTGAATGGTCAGCCAGCCCGTGTATATTCTTCTGTCTCTGGGAGTGAAAATTTTCTGTTCATGCAGCAGCATTGCAGATCTAGATATCTTTTAATAATTTGTACGCAAGCTATGCAGGTACTGCGCATGCTCCAGCCGGTGCAGCTAGCTAGCCGCCAATCAGCTCATGAGTCACAATAATAATGATCACGAGACAATTCTACAATTTATGAGTGGGATTAGCAAGTCGTGCTACGCCTTCCCAAGAGATGCATCGTACAGCAGCCCCTCAAATAAAGAGTACTCTTGGTGCAAGGAGTCCAGCATGCTTCCAATATTAGTCATGACTCCAAGGTTGGACAGATGCAGAGTCAGATGCATTGCAGACCATCCTGGGCCGATGGCCTCCAATTGGTGCCAGCAACTGCCCCAAACATGATTCTGGACCTGATCTGTTCATCACGTTTACGAGTGTCGCTGCGATCGTGGATTTTGACGTCAATTTAGTGGTTCACCGAGTAAGTCAGCACCGGAGATTACTGAGCCGCAGTGAAACTCTATTGAACGGAAGACAGGTGCTTCTGCATTAGAATCTCATGCATCTTTTCCTGCTGCTGCGCATTCAATTGACTGGTTGTGGGGAAATGGGGAGCGTATTCAGACTTTGATCTAGAAACCTAGATGGCTTCACTTTGTGCATTCTGCTTCAAAAGCTAAGCTCGTAGAACAATGCTGCTGCAGGATTCGTCTTATGACAGGATGTCAGAGAATGAATCTGCTGCAAATGGTCTGGAAGTCCCGGAGTCAGTTGGGCACACATTGCCAGCCAAGTGTCCTTGCGCAGTTGGGCCAGGGTGTCAGGCATCTGCAGAGTATCAGCTGAGATCAAGCTGTAACGTATCGATATCGTCGAAGGATGTTCAAGATCAGGTGACGAGAGTGCATGGCAAATGTGTGCTGCATGAATGACATGGCCGATAGCCCTAGCAGTCTCCCAGGAAGTCTCCTAAGAGGTTGCATTTTGCAGGGACTCTGTGGGCCTGTTCGAGGCTGAACAACGTACACTGGCTTCGAATCTGGGAGCTTGGGGCTGTGAGATGGCTGGCAGAAGCGCACAGCCCACAGCAGCACCTTGATCGTCTGCGGTGGATTGAGATCAGGATGCCAGAGGCTGCAACTGGCCAAGAGAGTGCTTGGTTTGCATGTTTCCTTGCCCAACCTCCCACGCTGCCGTGCTGTCATGCACCATGGGCACCCTGTCTTGGTTTCCTCCCATGGGCCACTTGAAGCACCTGAACATCACTTTCCAGAGTGGTCCTGGAGATGTCTGCCAGGCCCTCGCTTGTGCAGGGTGCCTGGTGACACTTCGCCTGGCCTGCGGGCCCGTAGGAGGGGTCATTGAAGTTCCTGAGCTTCAGTTGGGTCCTTTGCTCGCCTTGCAAACTCTTGTACTGATGGCTTCCCACCTGCTGAGCTGCGTGTGAGGAATATTGTGATGTGCATCTGTTGCATGCTGGTACGGGCACCAGGCTCTGGGGAAATATGTCAAGCCAGATCAAGATGATCTGCTTTGACGCTCCGCCATTACTTTCTGGTGTGCCCCGCCTGTCAATATTTGCGCAAGCTGCACACTGTGCGCCTCTATGTCACTGGTCTTGGGAGTTCTGGGACAATGACATCTTTGCAGCCCCTGGCTCATGTGCGGCGTACTTTCATTCATGGAGGCGACTTATTTCTTAGGATTCCAAGCAAAGTTTTTCGGGAATGCGCAAGGTTCATTAGCAGTAAGGCAGGAGGGGTGCTTGTACTGTGCTTTGATGATATTCTAAATTTTGTGGAGACAGTCCCTCAATGCGGCTTTGATCATGACAGCACAAAGGGATCCTGGCTCACGGAACTTTGCTCGGCCTTGAGAAGCAGGGGGATTCATTTGGGAGACCGGCGGGTCACCAAAGAGAAGTTTGATCTATTATTCTGAAGAGTATACCCCGCACTTTGCGCATTGTTGTTGTGGAGCTTGCAATCAATGTCTGAAGCGCAGTGTAAATGTTTTCTAGCTTTGTTGCCAACAGGCGCTTGCTGAAGCAAAACCTCCTGATGCATGACTAGAATGAGACGTATGGTAAAGCAGGTGCTATTGTGCAACCTTAATCAGCGCCCTTAAATTTCTCACTGCATTTGTGGCTAGCATGCGAGCGCTCATCCATAGTCATTGCAATCGTGAATTTGTGCCCATGCCTTTGAACATTATCCCGGTCGAGTAGCCGCTCAAATTGACATCATGCTGATGTGTTTACAGTATACTGAGGGCAATGGGATGTCTTGTTTCACTTTTCAAACCTTCTACAGTGAGCATGCTTTGGTCACTGTTGCACAACAATGTCTAATGATCTCAACGATCCCTTGAAACACAGATCCTCACAGAACCTCACGTTCAACACTTCAATCTCTTGAACACCGTCACCAGCAAATGCCTGACGGCAAATAGCCGACAGGATCTTTTCAATTTGGCCGTGAAAGACCAAATTATGGAACACACTCAATTGCATTCCACCTCAAAGGCTAGCGTTGAGGCACGCCCCACGGTGGCGGAGCACCGTGCTGTGGGAAGCCGCCGGCATTTAGTGCCTGCACCACAGGAGAACCGGCTCAGACTGGACTCACATGCACAACATGACGCAGCGCTTGTCAACACCCAACGACAGACATGAGAGACACCATGTAGACTTTGAGGCATGAGTGTCGTGCCTGCATTGGTGGCGGCGGCGGTGCAAAGCCGTTGGGCGCAGCAGGAGGAGGGCCCGCCATTCCCGGGGGCGGCGCCGGGGGAGCATCCCTTGCCTAAAACCACAAGCGCTGATCCATCAGCGACGCTCAAAATCGCTTGATATTCACACTAGCAAGCCCTTGTTATTCATAGAATGTGTATGCTAGGCAAGGCACATGAGAGCAGAGATTTCCATACAACTATTTTATTACACGCTTTCCCAGCAAAAGGCAAGGTATGTCTCGCAGACAAGCTGAAGTTGAGGGCTGCCACAATCCTGCCCCTTGATGGACTCGCCGGATCCAAGCAGGACCAAATCAACGTGGGCACGGTGCTCAGTATATATACTGCGCCCCGCCTAACTTTCAAATGGCATTCATCATTCTACACACCTGGGGCATCATGCTGTTGGCTGGGCCGCTGGAGGGCCCGATGCGCTGCTGGTGCGCCTTGAAGGGCAGCTGCAGCGAGTACACCTTGCTGTCTGCATCCCTGCGCGCCACACCAGCCCCACTGATACTATTCTTCATATCAAACCTCCCTCCCAGGCGCCAATAATTTATCATCATGCCACCTGCTGCCTTCACCCTAGATGTGGCGGCTCCCCCATCATGGCACAGGAGCACCAGAGGGAGAGAAGACAGGTATGGAGAAGTCAAACCAAAGCACTCTCAATCCACACAGAAAATTGGACGCTCCCACAATGCACCCCAACATGCATGAAGAATCGCACACAAGCCGATGCATAAGCAGGGGGCCGCACCAGTTGTTGAAGAAGCGGGCGGTGCGGTCGACCTCCATGTTGGGCACCTTGAAGGCGATGACCTCATATGGCTCGGCAGCAAACAGCAGGTACTGGTACGCCTTGTCCGAGGCCTCCTTCTTCTGCTCAAACGCGCTCATGAACCGGTGCCGCGGCTTCTCCCCCTCGTCTATCTCCGGGTACTCGACCTGCGCGCAGCACCCAGGACTTCTCAGTAATTTTGTGACACTTGACAGCACTTCACCAAGCTGAAAATGCAACATGAGCTTTCTCAATGCTACATCCTAATTTTCTACATGGCGACAAGTTTGCATGAAGCTGGTTGCTGGACTGAGCGAGGATCCTCTCTCCTTCCATGCTGGTGTATGACGCTCAGGCTTGGATGACGAAGGGACCCCACTCACACCAGCAACAGGGAAGCAGGTTAATAGCCTTTACATGCATGGCAGGCTCCAGACAGCCAGGCAGTTGTAGTCAAGCAGCAATGCATCTGTCCTGGGCCCCACCTGAAAGAGCAGCGACCGCTGGTCTGCTTCTGGGTCGTACTGTTTGGTGACCCTGTACCCCGGCCGCCCGATCTTGACCGTCTTTTTCACGGCCGACCTCCTCTGCGGCTGCGGCTGCGCCGGCTTGTCTACTGCTTCCCTCGCTGCACGCTTTGCCATGTTCTGCTGATGCCGCTTTCCCTGTTGGCGTACACACACCTCTTATCAATGAGAAAGCGCTCCTTCCTGGCTGGACTTAGTTAGTCTGGCCAATGGCGGTTGCCGTGCATCGGTGAAGATGTGAGAAGATCCGCATCGGAAAGAAGTTGCAGTAAGGGACGTGCAGGTGAGCACATGCCTGTGTGTGTGCAAGGTAGTTCCCTTCGTTGTTGTGTAGTGTGAGGCAGAGCCTGCACTCATACTGGCCCAGGTGGTTGCGCATGAAGTAGGGATCCTTTGACAGATCGATGGTCTCCAGCGCAAGCCGCCGTAACCGCTCCCTTCTGTCGATGGCCTGGAGAACAACAAGAGACAGGTGCTTGTTTGGAGACCAGACTGAGGTGCTCAGGTGTGCTGACATTAAGCAGGACACATTCGACCACCAAGACCCAATCACGATGTTAACTTTAGTGGTTGGTTTTCACGTGTTCAGCTGATGATGAGTTCAGAATTTCCTAAAGCCAGGGCTTCTACACAAAAACTGCCGTTCACAGATCAACAGACCATCAATTTCTAGCAGGTGCACAAAATCATGAGTAGGTCTCGGATTTCACTTCCACACACCTCATTCTGTGCTGACGCGTGCCCACCAGAGCCAACCTTGCTGCCATGCTCTCTTGCGTCCAGAAAACTCATCCTGGCTGGCGCAGGTGGGAGTGCTCAGGAAGCGCTCAAGATAATGCGCCTTCCCCGATATCAAGGATTCAAAGAATTTGAGATCAAAATACTTCGATTCAAAGACTGTCTTGAGACAGGCGAGGAGCAAAGAAAGTATAGCTTTAGCTCTGAGAGCGATGTGGTACCGATGTAACGATGTACTGTTACTGGAGGTTTATTCCAAGCTTTGCTATAAATTTTTCTTTCCTACTCTTCACTGCAATCAATAACTTTCAGTGATCTATGTTTTTGGCAGAGCAATGTGAATGCGCTACTTATAGAGACATCCACCCTTTAGGGCCTCTTTAAATGTTTGTGGACCCCTTTCATATTAGGGTCAGCTGCCCTTCAATCAGAAAGCAGATTTCTCTGCATGCTGCAGGCTTCTTTAATGCTATCACTACACGATTATGCAACTGCTGCAGCAGATCTCCACGGGGTTGAGCATCACTGCCATGAGCTGCAGCTGCCAGTGGCGAGACCCGCCGGCGGTCCATCCTTAGTGACTAAAGAATTTGCAGTCCGTGCACGTGATCGATCCGTGATATCAGGAGGATCAGCCATGATGGACCATGAGGATTGCCTAATACGGTAACATATGCTTACCTGTGCTGGTCTTATGGCTACTATTGCTTACACGTGCAAGATGAACTAAGTCCTTAGGTGTGCCTCAGTGAGCATCTGCCCAGAGTTTCTTCAAAAAAACAACCAGCTTAGCATATGCATGCATGTTTGCCTCAACCACCGAGTAGGAGCATGCTGCCCATGCCAGGTGAGCATCACTCAGCCTCGTTACTGATCAACGTACCCTGCAGGATACGCCCGCCGTCAACATAGACCTCACAATCCCATTGTAATTGTTGACATCAGATGCTTCACCACAAAATGCATGGCTGCACCAGGAAATACACTGCAACGGCAGGAACAACGATCAGGTCTCTCGCGGCGCGCCCGACAGGATCTCTTCTCTTGCGCGCGCGGCTTCCTCCTGTAGCCGGGCCAACTGGGCCTTCTGCTCGGCGCTCAAGCTCTGCAGCACGTCCTCTGGAATGTCTCCGCTGCCCTCCGGAAGGTCTGCATTGCCGCGCAGCATGCTCAGGTATCGCTGCCACTCCTGCACGAATGCGCTCCACTGCGCGGGCGTCGTCTTGGCGTCCCTGTGCCGCCGGAACTCCTCCTTGGCGTACGAATTGCCCATCACCCGCAGCGGCGGCGGCAGCACGCTCGCATGCGCGCGCAAGATCTGGCGATACAGCTGCAGCAGCCCCCTGTGCCACGCAAAGGAGTGTGAGCCCTCAACTGTCACATGGCGCACCCTCAGCAATCGAAATGCAGATCCAGGATACATGGCATGCAGTCATCATGAGGAAGCATACTACCGTAGAACAAATCTTTATTCAATCACGCATCATGACGATATCTAGAAAGTAGCCATACGTGGCCATCCTTTTCACGGCTGACTTCCCAGTACATGATATACAGGAGGATGAACAAGCAGAAACTCACGCGGGGGCTGTCTTCGACATGACTATTTTACTTGGTGGTGCTGCCCCCCGTGAGAGCTCCAAGCTGCTGGTTCTCAAACTCCACTAGTTGCTGTTCACGGTCCATCTCGATGATGAGGGGCACCAGGAGCACAAGGCAGCAGGTGGCTGTAATCCAGCCAGCTCTTCCTGTTGACTTTGCAAGCTTCCAGGCAACTGTCCTTGCTGAAGACACCGCTCCTTGGATTGTGTTCACAGCCTTGTTCTGCTGGCCTTTTGACGGCTCGATCCTTGCCTTTGCCATAACACCTTCCTGAAATTTATTCTTCTGAATACATTCACTTCAACCACTTAGCTTGGGTCCAGGCCAATGATCGTGGCAACTCGAATTTCCAGCTGCATCGCATTCCTAGGGTTTCCAGCCAAGCGCCAGCATGGCTGTAGGGCAAAGCTGCAGATATGAAATCAAGTACAAGATTTCTGAGACCACAGCGCACAATTGGGTGTCCAACGCTCATCTTCGAGTCGCAGACTCGCCTCATAGCTTCAAGATGCAGACACTTTGCGGGCATTGAGCGTTGATTACTAGGATTGGTGGAGGCGACATCGCCTCTCTACGTGCTGCTCTCAAGGCACTTGATACAACGAGCAGTAGCTGATTGTGCAAAGAATTACGGATTTCTCAAGCATAAAGGCATTTTCAACCCTCCTTAATTCAGTACGTTCACGCTTCCTCTATGCCCCACTTGCACATGCCGATGGGCTTGAAGGTCTAGCTTCGAAAACGATCTCAGCAAATTGATGAACGCGTTTTCAATGCATTCCAGTCTAATACTGTGCGATCTACCGGCGGGATCGCTGGAAACGGCCAGCAGAAGCCAGCTTATGGGGAGCCAGTCGCCTGCCGCTCTCCAGCCACATGCATGCAAGCAGCAATTGCAGCAGATGAAGACTCTGCGGCAAAAACATGCTCCGTTCAAGGCCGAACAGAGGGGGCCCAGACAGTGGCTGGGCAGCAGATGCAGAGGAACATGCATGCGGCCGATCGCGCTGGCACCGGGTATGTGCTTTGACGCAGCGTGTCAAGCAGCCATGGACAGAGCATTCCTGACCGCCACGACCATCCCCCTACTGGGCCTGGCGGGCGCTGTCGCGTACAAGTACCGGCCAGCGGCTTGGCAGAAATCTGAGGGGAAGCAGGTGCGGCCTGAATCCAGACCTCCTTCGTCCTGCGCTAACCCACACTGGACTGCTCTCACCAGGGTACAATAAATGTCCATTAAAGACGACACGAAGCAGCATACTGCATGGATTTGAGATGACGTGATGAATTTTTGGTTGACAATCAAGCCCGAGTGATCATCAGTGAATTCACATCTTCTGTTGCTCTGGTCAAAATCAGTCGAGGAGGCAAATCAGCTAAGGTAATAATGTTTTTGCTGTGTGCAGGTGATAGAGGACCCGGGGACGGGGGCGGTGTTTGAGGGGAAGGCGGGTGCGCGGCCGGAGCTGGACCGGCGGGGGCAGCTGGCGTGGCGCGCGCTCTCGTACCAGCAGTGGCCCGTCGAGGCCGGGTCCGAGGGCGACCGCGTGCGAATCCATGTCGGCCCTGTCAACGCCCTCGAGCCCCGCACCTTCGTCTTCACCAGGTGCTGTGCTAGATCGGCCCCCTTGACATCCCCCTGCTGGATGTGAGCAGCCCCACCGAGACAGCTGGCGCTCTCGATGTCAATGCATGCAATGACCGAGCATGCATTGTAAGCGTTTTCTGAAGCGTCAAGATGCCTAGGTTGCATGTCCGCCTGTCTTTTGAGTGGCTAGCTGAGATGTCTCTGCATTGCGCTGCCAAGATGCTGCAGTTTCAGCGCCGCTGCCGAGGCTGGGAAAGGGATGCGAGGAGTATGTGAAATGATGACATGTACGCTTGCGCAGGACACTATCGCAGCCGAGCAAGGTGCTCGGGGTGAGCCTGCCGCGGCCGATGGGGGTGGTGCTGGAGGAGGACACGCGCCGCGGCCGAGTCGTCGTCGGCGGCTTCCTCGAGGGGTCCGTCGCCGAGAAGCGCGCCAAGGTGGCCACCGAGGTCCCCCCTGCATGGCTATTCTGTGCCGTTTCTGAAAACTTGCATCGTACAGCTGATTCTCGTGCTCTTTCTGCGCTCCTCTTGGCTTGTCATTACGAAACTAGCTCTGCTCTGTGGCGGGACGCAGCAGATGTTATGTGTGGAGGAGATTCTGTGTGAGGTGTGGTGACTCTGGTGGTTGGAATAGGTGGCGAAGCTGAACCGGGTGCTGGAGGACAGCAGCGTGATGGCGGGGGATGTGCTGCGCGGCTTCACCTGCACCAATTTCGTCTACCAGACGCAGGCACTCTTTGGGGCCAAGGCGCCTCAGAGGACCATCGTGCTGTACGGAGCCGACAAACAGAAATGGCCTCAGGCGAGCTCGCAGCTCCCAATGTTAGCAGTGCACTTGTAACGCTAGCTTGCAAACTGTCTCTTCAGTCTCAAAATGTTTGATAGTTTCCAATGGGCTACAGCATGATGAAATAATGGCATGCCCTAAAGGTGATAGGGGCGCTGAGGAAAGGGGACAAGTCAGATGGGAATGTGACGCTGGGCAAAATTGTGCTGCTGCCAGTGTCAGAGCACGTGCGAGGGTCTGTGTGCTGCACGCAGAAAAATCCCCCCCCGCACCCCTTCACTTGTGCTGCCTTCAAAATGCTCAAATTGCAGGTGCATTTCGTTGCTGCCACAGTCAGAGAGAGGGAATACAATCATTGGATGCAGGCAAGCGCGGCTCTGGGGGCTGGGGATGCGGCGGAGGCGGAGCGGCTGGCGCGGAGTGCGCTGGAAGTGCGGCGGCAGTCGCTGGGCCCCGGCAGCAAGGAGGCCGCCGCCGCCATGTGCACCCTCTCCGGCGCCCTGCGCGAACTCGGCAGGTGCGGCCCTGGGCCACTTTTGCCGCCAAATCACATAACATAACACACTGTCTCAGGCAAGTTCAGTTGGCAGTAAAGGGTGACCCAGCTCTTCTGACACCAGCTGATCTGTGTCCATTCATGTGCCATAAATGCATGGCAAATTCTGAAGGCGAAGGGCTGCCTGCTCCCGTGCGGAGCATATTTAGGATCCTATGCATTTGCAAGGCTGCCTCGCCTTTTCCGCTTTGCCATGTGCTGTGCACATGGGTGTGGCAAGTTGGGGGTGAGCTTGTGGAGGGCATGAGCCAACAACTGGACGCTGCATCAGACATGCAAGAACTGGAAGCCTGTAGTTTGAGAGAGAGAGCGTGAGAAAGGCAGGGAGGGAGGGACAGAGCAGGGTCACATGGGTACATCATTTCATCACACTGAAGATGAACTTGCAAGTGTATTGCAGGTATGGGGAGGCAGAGGAAATGGCGCGGATGAGTTTGGAGGTGCGCGAGTTCCAGTGCGGCGCCGAGTCGCTGCCGGCCGCCGCCTCTCTCGCCGCGCTCGCCGCTGTTCTCGCGGCCACGCAAAGGCCTGCCGACGCCGAAGCCCTCGCTCGCCGCTGCCTCAAGATCCGGTGCGCCAGTGCAAGCAACGTCGCAGTGCTGTGTCAGCTGTGCTGATTTGTGTAAGCGGATCTCCACGGCTGTTAGACACCAGCATCGTGGCAAGTCGTGTCAGAGCCTCAACCAATGCCGCAAGTTTCAAACCCCCGCCGCTCATCACTATAAGTGTTGTTGGCTTCAGCAGCTGGCACAGGCGAAAGCAATGCTGGCAGAAGCACAACCGGTGTAGCCAGCGCAAAGGAATTGGCCTGATAGCTGAGCAGTTGTCTTTATAGGCTTTGTCAGAGCCCTCATTAGCTGGGCATCATGTGATCTGTGTGACTGCATTGATCATGGTGATCTATCCATGCATATGTAGTGATTTAGTGGGAGATGTGGCAGGGAGGCCAGGGCAGGAGCGGGCAAGCTTGAGTGCGCAGCGGCCGAGAATCTGCTGGGGGATATTCTGAGGGGTGCCGGCGCCAAACAGCGCGCGGCCGAGGCGGAAGCTGCCTACCGCAGCTGCCTGGCCACCCGAGAGAAGCTGCTGGGGCTGCACCACCCGGACGTGGCCATTGCACTGCTGGGTGCGCTGTTCTTCATATAATCAAATTTGCACCATGCAGCCGTAAAAGAAGCCCTGATAGCTATCATTAACTCCCAGTGAAATGTTGCGTATTTGCTGAATGCAATACGCTTGAATAAAAAAAAATCAAATATGACAGCTTGCTAGCACGCTCTGTCTGTAAGAAGAATATACGGTATATGAGGAAACTTTGCATGTTTGCTTTTGTCTTCAATGCACATTGTTGAAGACCCGACAGGGCAGTATGTCACTAATGGCATGGCTAGTTGGGAACAAGACTCTTGACTGGGGTCATGCATTGTACAGGGCTGGGTCTGGCAGTGGCTGCGGGTGACCAGCCTGACATGGCGCGCCCCATACTGCAGAGAGCTTTGGGCCTGCTGCAGAAAACTCTCGGCCAACAGCACCCCCTCACCATGCATGCAGCCTCTGCCTTTCAGTCTTGCTAAAAGTAGCATACAGTGCATTTCTTGCAGGCAATGTCCAGCAGTACATTCCTTCACTTACATATGAGTACTTTAGCAACACAGTGCCTGTGTTCAGGCTTCTTGTTAGTGCAGTTGATGTCCCAGAAAGTCACCAGGCAATGTCACAAGGTGAGTATTGTGTAATATCTTCCAACACTTCAACTAGACTGGGCCCATTTTCTCTGAGGAGCGAAGCTCTGATAGTACAAAAAAGGTGGTGCCACATGCAACTCAGTGTCTGGTGTGCACTACTATAAGTCTCCTCAGTAGTCAAATCTGGCAGTCTTTGCTTCAGTCGCATCTGCATCCTGCCTCTCCAGCCTCCTCTCCACTGAGAACGCCAAGATGAAGTAGGGTTTGCAGAACTTTCTGGGGGCACTTTTGTGTTGATGCGCCCCAGCGGTGTGATAATTTTGGGTATGCATGAGACTGGGTGTGGCAAGGGTGCATTCCGCGCCTGCAGCATGAGCGCAGTGGCCACGTTTGGGTTGGTGGGCCCGAGGGCCTGCTCCAGGATGGACACAGCGGCGCTGCACAGCGGCTCAGCCTCCTTGTACCTGCGTGCAAACTTCCATGCTTCCAGGGTCTGCATACCTTTCTGTTGTACTGTGCCATCCCCCCACGACATAATGGAAGAGGTTGCATGCATATCCAGCCATATCCAAAATTACTCCAAGTCTGCAGAAGTGTGGTTGGGGCTGTCACTGCCCCAGTGGACTTCTAAAGTCTTCTCTGCCAGCGTTTTAACACCCGGTGCTCATACAATAGGCAAAATTCGGTGCGAGTGGCTCTACCTGGCGTGGTCACGCAGGGTGTCGGCCAGGGCGAGCATGGCGGCGGCGATTTCTGGGTGGTTGGGAGGGAACGCGCGCTGCTTGGCCTCCAGCGCCACGCGCGCATACGTCAGCGCCTCCCCGCGCCGCCCAGCCGCCCGCAGCAGCGCTGCCAACGCCACATAATTGCCCGCCACCTGCGCGCCTCCCATGTTTTCGCTTTATTGCCTGGTTTCCAGCTAGTCGCTGGTCATGACGTGCTATTCGCAGACCTATAGAAGAGTCCGCAGTGTGCAACGGAATATCAACCAGAAAGCCCGCGAGCGAGTATTTGTGGCCGATCATGGCCATGAGCCACTTAGACGGCAATGCTTCTGCCAGCCAGAAGAGCTTGACAGACACCACCACTGGCGGGGGCGCGATGCATACATACACCAGGGTATTTCCCGTCCCCGTCTGCCCAGAGATAAGGAGACACTAGGAGGGTGCATGGGGCTTGGAGGTTAGACGAATGCTCGCGCACCATGGGGTGGTCTGGGCCAAGGGCGTCCTCGCGAATGGACAGCGCGCGCCGCAGCATCTCCTCAGCTTCCCCGTACTTGCCCTGCACCTGCATCAGCGCCGCCAGATTCGCCAGGGACAGCGCCACCTGCCACCACCACACACATTGCCTTGCACCATCCACCTTAACTTCAATTGCTGCACAAATTGCATTTGCAACCCACTGGCACATAGCTTGGTCATGGTTCGTCCAGCACGAATACCCACAGATTGTCCTCTCCTGCTAGAACAAGAGGAACGGCGCAAGTGGGCACACCAGCAAGACATTAGGCAGATGCGAATTGAAAGTGCAGGAGAAGCATTGTCTGACTAGGGAGACAACAGGCATTCTCTGATTGAGACTGCAGTAGAACCACTCTAACTATTCCCTCAGAGCATAGCCGTGCTTCAAAGGGTGAAGCTGCATGCGCGCCTGGGGATGGGTGGGTCCCATGGAGCGCTCTTTGATGGCGATGGCGCGAGAGTACAGCTGCTCGGCTTCTGCGTGGCGCCCCACGCTCTTCAACAGCACTGCCAGGTTGTTCAGGCACGCCGCCACCTCCGGGTGGCTTCCCCCCAGCGCAGCCTCCCTCATGTCCAGCACCTGCGCGCACATGGGGGCACATGCTGTCAGCCCAGCCCGTGCTGACATCACAACGCACTGGACAAATCTTTTTCATCATAATGCATGCACACAACCCCATGGCTCAAATGGCCCACCAGTGAGATGAGGTCTCATGTCCAGCACCTGCGCGCATGTGCCGTCAGCCAAGCAGCAGCCATGTTGCTGCGATTCCACATGCGGAGCGTACTAGCAACCGGACTGGGTGTTCTCTACATGGGCATTTTCAGGTCGTCAAAAAGCAGTGAACCTGCTTCTCTGAGAGCTGCTGGATCCCAGAGTGGAAATGCTTGGGCAGAGGGGGACCTTTCCGATGAGGACAACTTTATAATTTCACCTTCATGTCAGGGTGGGGTCCTTACCGTGCGGTAAACCGTCTCGGCCTCGGCGAATTTGGACATGGCTTTGAGCAGGCCGGCCGTATTGGCCATTGTTGTCGCCACTTCTGGGTGTGTGGGACCCAGCTGCATCACCTGTGCACATGCTTGCAGTCAGCATGTGCATGCATGGGTGAAAGTCAAAAAAAGAGATAGGACAGGAGGACCTGTCCTTGTGTGAGCATGAGTGTAGACAAGTTTCTTACAATGCTTTGAAAGGGCTTGCCTGTATGTCGTAGGCCCTTGCGTACAGATCCTGGGCCTCTTCCAGCTGGCCCATCTTGTAGTGCACAACTGCCAGCGCTGCAAAAAGGACACCAACATTTTTTCACGCTTCTTGCGCATTGCCCTGCCACCTTGCACTTGTCTAACAGCATGCATGCAGAGATTCAAAATGACACAGATGCCGCCAATGGCATGCTCAGCACAAAGTGTACACGGCACAGCATTGAAAATTGGCATGCTCGGCAGGTAGCAGGGAACACCGTTGCAGACGCAGGCGAGGTCAGGGTGGTCGGGGTGCAGCTGGGACTCCAGCAGGGCCAATGATTGGCGCAGTGGCTGCTCCGCCTCGGCCCACAGCCCCTGGTCGCTCAGTGCACAGCCCACCTGCCACTGCGCCTGACCCGCCCCTAGCGCGTACCCTGCCGCCTCCGCCAACCCCTGCACCGCCTGCCAGCAACCCCAACAACCCCTACTGTTCACTTGGCAGCATCTGATTGCTGGAAAATGTAACATGAAAATGGAGATCTGAAACATGCTTGAGTGGACAACCACAAGGGCTGGTACCACCACCAAAAGTAAATAGCTAACATCTGAGAATTGCTGCCAGGAAATCATGTCTCTTTCGATGTGTCCTGTGCCTGACAACTTGCATGTATGTTAGGACCATGTGACAGGAAATGAATAATAGCACAAACAGAAACTGTGGCGGCAAGGTCGGACCTCGCAGAAGGCCTGACGTTGAGAGAGGTCCAGGCGGGGAGCGAGGAGGGGCATGCAGTGCCACACGATGGCCGCGTACGCATGCGCCGACAACTGCGACGGCTGCTCCAATGCCCACGCCAGCACCTTTTGCGCACCATTTCAAAACCCCTCGCTTCTCTTCGCTTAGCTGCTTGGATGTCTGAGCATCACTCCCTGCCTTCTTGATCTTGGGACTCTGTATCCAATCCTAGTCACTCTGCACACATCCTGCCTTGTTTCTCTACAATTATTTTAAAGTGTTCGTATTCGAGCGTGAATGACGACTTCGAACAATATTTTGATTGTACCTCGGTGACGGCCGGCTGCGCGCGGTCGAGCAGCCGCGCGGCCGTCACCGGCGCGTTGGCCGCATGCAGCTCCATCGCGGCGCCCAGCTCTCGCGCAAAGTACTCCACCAGGCCCGTTCTGCAACATACGAGCGATCAGGCACAGATATTGCTGGATTCTGCAAAGTTCTAGCCGGCCCATATTTTTGATGCTCGCTGCAGTGCGCAGCTATATGCGAGTCCTTGCACACTTATGGCTTAGCAAATGGATGCCACAGGTGAGATGAGGTGTGTGGGTCGTTTCGAGAATATACTGAACATTTTTGCCAGGTCCAGGTGTTGATACCAATTCATTGCCACTATTTGACACGAGCCAGGCAGACAATTTATATGCAGAGCAGTGGAGACCAGGCGCCGTACAGACCTACCTGGCAGCAGCGTGGCCGAGCCCGAGCTCGTCGGCCAGCGCGCACGCCGCATCGCGCACCGACGCATGCATCTCCCACCGCGCCTCCTCCGATGCTATGCCACCGCCCGGCCCCGTGGCGGTCAGCAGCCCGGCCCGGACCAGAGCGCGGAGCCGGCCGCGCGCCTGCGCCGGCGCGGCCGACAGCCCGAGAAGCTTTGCGGCAGGGCCAAAGCTGAAGCTGCCAGGCAGCAGCGCCAGCAACACAAATGCGTGCAGCACTTCCTCCTCCAGACTGCATGCCATTCCGCGCACCAGCCTGCACATCATCACACTTACGACATATGTTCCATTTCTTAGCGACTAGGTACGTTTAAGCAATACCTTTATCATGGCTTACAAATCTTTTCGGTTCTTGCGCTTCCTCCACCGGTCGTATGCATGCCTATTAGCACATGCAAATGCAATATAAATTGTATGCTGTTCCTATGAAGGCTGCCGCTGGAATAAAAGAAGCAGCCCAACTCGCCTCCACCACACGGTATGATGTGACTGGTAAAATGGCTGAAGAAGAAAGGATGCTCCAGCTGCAGCATCATGCGTTGGCTGTCAGCTGCTTTCAGTCCAATTCTTAGCTGAGGCCATGCATGCTGCATTATAACACCCTTGTGTGATACACAGCAGCTAGGACGCTCCTTCTGGGATTGACTGCGAGTTAACTAGTATTCACAAAGGGCAAACAAGGGAGGCACGCACATTTCGAGTGCGGTGCAGCCGTCTTCTGGGCAGGTGAGGGCGGTGTGCACCATTTTGGCGGGCATCATGTCATTGTTCAGTGCCGTGCCCGATAGTTGCAGCAGCAGCGGTGACCCCCCACATGCCGCGGCTATCTTTGACAGCCACGCCTGCTGATGAACCTGATTGCCCCGTACCGCACCCATCAGATTGAATTTTATGCTCAAATCAGATATCAGATATCAGAAATCAGATATCAGACATCAGATATGCAACAACGATTCAGGAAAGTACATTGATGTGCACGTAGAGTGCTGGCGATCTGGATTGGCAGACATGGCAGGAGAAGGACTTTGGTGGCTGTTGTATATGTGGAGGCGGGAAAAGTGTACCTGTGGATGAAGCTGCCGCAGCAGCTGCAGGGAAGCTGGCAGCTGCAGCGCCTTGAGGCTGTACACGGCTGTGTTTAGTTTGGGCAGGGGCAGCGGCTCCTCTGCGCAGATGATGACCTGCAGCTGTGTGCCCACCTGCAGAAGAGTTGTCTTTTAATGCTTGCATGAGCTTGTATGAGCTTACATGTATGTATTCAGAGTGGAAACAGGAGCTCGAATTAAGCTTATCCCTGTGCATGGTATCTTGACATCAGTGGCTGTTGACCGCTGCAAGACTTGTAAAGTTGCCAGTCAGTCACATGAGCGGTGTTTGATACTCTGAGCAAGGCCCCTGCTCATCCATTTGTTTGGTCTTATGACATCACTAATTGACGATGGATCACACTGAGGAGGAAAATAATCTGGTCATTTAAGTGCATGGGCAGTGTGTGATACCTTGAGCAGGCGTTGGAGCAGGTGGGTGAGGTGAGCGGTGACGTTAGCTGGCGGGCAGGCGGGCAGGCGGATAATCAGGCCCATGGGCAGCGCCTGGTTGCGCGTGAGCCACGCCTGCAGCAGCGATGCATCCGGCGACTCCGAGGGAATCCCAAACGCTGCACAGCGCACCACACCACCTCAGTACCTCAGCACACCTTCCCTGGTGCATGACAATCTACCGCATAGTGTTAAGTATAAGTACCTATCCTGTGTAAATTATGGTTTGAGCATCTCTCAGCCCAAGAGCCTCCACATAGTGTAGACTTGCGTGGTCACTTAGAGACAGTGAGTGCATGCATCATGCACTTGGAGACCAAGACCTTGTATTGCAGGCAACGATATGAAAAATGTGGCTGTGGGATTTTCTGCAATGCATGGGTTGCGCGCACCAGCGAGCAGCTGGAAAGCAGCTTCCGAGGCTGACACCGCGCCCGCCATGTCAGCCCAGTACGCGTTCTCCCAATGCGCGCACGCCACAAGGTGCCTCGACGCTGCCAGTGCCAGCGTCGCCTTGCCTGCAACATTCTTCGAGTCTCACCCACTTTCTAGAGAAATATGTTGTGGAAACCGTTACAGTGCTCTGGACTCACAATGTCAACAGTGAAACAGAACATTGACAAGCTCAGGGCACTTTGCGACGGTGAGGTCAGCGCTTCACCTGCAATCCAGCAATCAGTATCAATCACCGGAGGCACTCTATGACTGCTGGGAACTCTCAATTGCATGCATGAGGCTAGGGTAAAAATAAGGATTGTAGAGGCGGAAGCACAGGCATGCATGGAGCTAGGGAAAGGACAGGGGGGCACCTTGGCCGGGGGGTCCGACGATGGCCACCGCCTGCGGGGGGTCCGAGCCATTAGTCAGCAGGCTGGCGACCTGTTCTACAGAGGCGTCCAGTCCAGCGAGCACTCTGCCGCTGGGCGCATGCGGCAGCCCCGTCACTGCCGGCGCATAGCTGCCGCTGCCGCCCTGGCCGGCTGTCAGCTTCCCCGCCCTCGCGCCACCCCTGCCCACAAGCATAATCAATTTTGCTGAATGAGCAGGCTGCTCTTAACAAGCTCTTCAGTATGTTTGTAAGTACTGATTCTTTCATAAGTCAGCAGTCTGTACTGAGGGAAATCTTGCAGACTTAATTCAAAAGGAGCAGAGTGCTCAGGGCAATAGGAGGAGCTGGGCTTTGTTTGTAATGGAAAGAAAGTTTGGACAAGCGTGAATCAGCTGAGCTTGGTGTGAGATCAAGAAGGGAGGGATTTGTCAAGCTGGGCTTGGAGGAAGAACACGACAAAAGGGGGAAAGCAGGAGAGGAGCAGCACCGGCTGAGGGAGCGCCACAGGGCGGCAGCCGAGAGAATGGCGTGGCAATTAGTGATGACGGTGCTGCCTGGCGCGAATGCAAAGTCGACTTCGACCGCCGTCAGCATGAGGGCGTTGCCGCGGCTGAGCGCCCTCTGCAGCAGCTCTCGGTTGGCCTTGGACACAAACACCTCGCTCAGCTCCGCCGCCGACACCCTGCACACAAAAGAAACAGTCCTTGTTTAGCACTCCCTTCATGTAAATGGCTGTGTGAAGCACCTGTCTATGTCCCTGAGCTGGCATGCAGAGCAGCATGAAAGGGGCAGCATTTGCTCGGAAGGTAGAGGGGGCAATTGACAAAAGCAATGAAGAATTACAGCCTGCCTGCTTCACATGCAAACAGTGCATTGCAAAAGAAATGTCTGAGACAGACCCACAGACTGTCTTCTCATGACATGCATGTTTGTGACATTATGACAAGTTGATGTAAGCAATGGTGCATTTAAAAAGCAATAACCTAGTCCTGTCATCGCACAACCTTTCGAGATCTTTGGGGAAGCGCGTCCAGAAGGCGTCCCAGGGTACTTCCTCGGCTGCGCCAAAGCAGCGCCGCCAGAACAGGCGCATGGCCGGCTGCCTTATCAGGCCGTGGGGCCCGGTCGCAGCGTTCCCTTCCGCCCATGCAGCCTCCAACGCCACCCTGTCCGGCAGCTCCATGCCAAGCGCCTGCGCAGAGGTCAGACTGCATGTGTGAAGAACTCACATGACACAGAACATCTTGTGTCTGTCAGTTGTGAAGTTATCGATACTGACATTGATAGAAATATTTTGCTTTCTCTGGTAGAAAGAAGTAATGAAATTGAAGAAGTATGACGGAACTATCACACGGCGCCGCATGCCGGCATGCGCAATCCAGAAGGCTTGCTGGGATTTGTCAAGCGTAGCTTTTCAGCAAATCTCATGACCAGAATTGGATGCAACAATCTTACAGCAAGTGGGTGTAGGCACCTTGGACAGGACGGGTTCAATGGCATGCAGAGCCAGTCCGAGAGATGTGCCTGCCTCTGCCTGGAAGGCACTTAAGCCCCCCACCGAGGCCAGGCGCTCTTTCAGGACGAAAGTGTCATCCACATTATCCTGCACGCACATGAAATTTTAGGAAGACTATTGATGGGTAGAATCGTGTGCCGGCTTAATCTGAAGCTTGATCTTAGGACCACGCACAGCTATTGGCAGGCAGCTCAGGCCGACCTGCTCTGCTTTCCTGGTGAGGCAGATGCCATGCTTGGCTGCCAATTTGCTCAAGGCAAACAAGAGTCCCTGAAAGGTTGGGAGGTCCCCTGTTGATGCTTGGACCCGAGCCAGCCAACCCCTGTTGACACCACAAGGGAAAAGTTGTTGCTGCCAATCAGGATTGAAGCCCAATGCAAATCACGGTTCAATCCTTTAAACATGATGCAGCGAACTGCAGCACAGTCCTCACATTATTGCCATATTCGGGGATGGTCAGGGACTCGCCTGGAAGAAAACTCCAAGAAGAAGCAGCACGCCTCCTCCAGCAAGGGCTCCAGCTCAATGAGCAGCTTCACATTGAGTTTGGAACCTGCTGTAAAAATTGCCGCCTGCAGCTCCTCAGCAGACTCTACTAAGGTGAGGCAGGCCCGGCCACAGTATATCGCTGCATTTGCAAGCCTGCACCGCACATCCAACTCTGTATGCTAAGATTGGCGGGGTGTGCCACTCGATCTGTGCTCGAGCTTGCAGTAAATGAAGCATGCTCCTTCAGGACTGCATGAGTGGAGAGATTGAGGAGATGAGGACACCTGTTGCACTGCAGCAGGAGCTGTATGACAGGCAAAGCCTGCACTGGAACATCACTCCGCATCTCCTGCAACTCATCCCGAATTTTCTGATGACCTCCTGCTTGTGGTAAGTGATCGTGATTGCACGGGTTTGCTGGATTTCTTCTGCCACAGGAGGAGCGCACCGTATGCAAACATTTGTCGCTATACATAACTACTTCGACTGGCTCTGCTAATTGGTAAACTTGACCCTTCAAGGTGTCATGATCAGTGTCCATGCTCACTCCCTGCAGGAGTGCACTTGTTAGCTTGTGTTGTGGGGCACATTACTGCCTTTCTAACAGTATGTGGTGTCTACTCATATCATACCATGCTGTTGTTTCTGCTGGCAGATGGGATGGGGTCATTGTCTTTCTCTGCTTCTTCATCCATCAGCAATAGCTCATCTCGCCTGTTTAGAAGCTGCATTCTTTGGAGTTTGCTGGCAACACCCTTATTAACCAGCGTCTGATCGCTGAGGTCTGCCAGCTGCTGCCCATTGAGACCCTGCCAACAAGCCTTCGCTATCACATCTGCATGACTAGCACCTGTCAAACGGAGTGCTGCTGCGCAATTTCGTTGGTACGAATGTTATCTGCTGATATTGTTGGTGTAGCCGAGGTGAACGCTTACCTCAAGGAGAGATTGCAGGTGGCAAAGAGTGGGCTGTCGCTGCAACCATTCGCAGACAGCTTGAGAGGTCCATAGATTCAACGGAGCCCCCATTCTTCCTGAAGCTTGAGGAGTACTCGGTTGTCCTGCTAATTTGTATTTACTTATTTGGCTACATGATGGAGCGATGCTAGAAGGGGAGCCGGTATCGCTACTAAATGGGGATGCTTTCGTCGGCAGAAGAATAGTTGTAGACGCATCCACGTGCCACTCACGCACGACAATCTAAGCAACTTACTTTACATCAACTTCTCCTTGAAATTCTGAGGAATATAGACGGCCGAGGTGACGGAGAGCGGATGTAACCGCAAACTCTAGCTTGCTCGTGCTAATTATTTTCTATCCCTTTCCTAGGGTTCCCAATACCCGAGGTCACAGTAGGGCCAACCCATTGCAGTCTGAATCTTGGCCCATACTTTCCTCTGCAGAACATAACATCCACTATGAGTCTCCGCTGATCAAAGGTACAGCCAGAGCCAGAGGTGCGCCAGTTTTACTATGACAGATTGGCCGAGCAGCGAACTGTGGCATCCAAGCTCTCCTCAAACGGCTGCCGCGATTTGGAAGACTGCAGTGTGCCAGAGTGCTGCTCATTATCACCTGCATGTGCCACATGTGGATGTTGAGATCACCAGTTAGTTTTCATCCATGTGCGCCAAAAACATAACCTGACACAGGACGGTCAAAATGGTTTGAAACAGATTGCTGGCTAGAGAAAATAATTAGAGCATCTCACAGGCAGGAACGCACCAAAGTACCAGCAGGCACTGTGAGCATGAGCTCTGCACCCGAGAGTCCATCACCAGGCAGCGGCCGCACCAAGAGGGGCCCATTATCTGGGGGCGCAAATTCTTTCTCAGGCTTCACGCATGCACTACATTTCCTTCAAGCTGTACTACACTTGGCACAGTCGCGTTCAATAATTTTCATTAATCATGAAGTTCACCTTCTGTGATATCATCCAGGGCAACCCATGCCTGCATCAGACAGTCCAAAAAGAACCGTGATCAGCTTTAGGCATTCCAAAATACTTGCACTACAACTCAGCAAGCACCACATGCGATTGAATGCTCAATCTTGCCATATGAGGGGAGCACTCACCGATATGTAAGGCTGTATCTCCACGTCACACTCTCCAAGCCAGTCACAGTCCCGATGCCATGGAAAAGCTGACGCTTCGCCAGCATGAGGCGGCTTTATAATATACTGCGCTGACACAAGAATCTTGCATGGATCCCCATTCGGCAATCTCGAGGTCATATAAAAATCATGATGCAGATTGCAGGAAGTCCTGATCACCTGATCATTGAAGATGCATGCCTCCCTTCCAAGCAGCTCTATGACGAGATCTTTCAATGGAGATACAAAGATGATGTCACATGTCCTTCTCAAAAGGGGCCATGCACTGCGGTGCTTCCGAAAGTCCGGCTGGCTGCAGGCAGTCAGTGGTCCGACCCCATTCGGTAGCGCCTCAAAGATGCAACCCCTGCATAGAAGTTTTGCATGATGAAATTCTTTGGTCTTAGATCAGCTATGGCAGGGATAGTCAGACTGAATGTAGATGGCTCACCTGTCAGTGACCCAGCCCCAGTCAGTTGCTGTATGAGCCCTTGATGAGTCTCTTGCAACCTCAAAGATGGTGTCGCACTCCTGAAAGGCAGAAAATTTGTTACCATTCACGTGGCTCACTCAACATTTAGATAGCTTTTAGAATCAACCGTCAGCCAAGCACCAATAGAACTCTGTTGTACGGGATAGATATCGCACTTGTCGTAGTGCGTCAAGCTCCTCCGGTCGCAAGAAATCTTTCACAATGGCGAGACCTTGTGCCTCGTATTCATGCTTGATTGCCTGGTGATCTTGTCTCATAAATTGGTGCGTGTTGCGAGGCCTCTTACATGCATGCGATTTGTCTCTGATTACGATTTCAAAGGAAGACTTTCATTGTCACTATACAGAAAAATTAGAATTTACTTTGTCCCTCCGACGATTCAGAATCTCGCGAGTCTTGAGCACCCGATTATTGCCTGCCCTCTGTACCTTTCTTGGACAATGGGTGTGGCCCTGAGTCTCGATGGGAAACAGTGAGGTCGTCTAGCAGATATGCATCTGACGTATCATCATTGAACCCAGCTTTTGATGTCGTCACTTATACTGGTAATGTCCTTATGAGCCCCTTTGACAGTACAGTATCATGCTGCAGCTTGCAGCACAACATGCGCACATACCGGCGCGGCGCCAGTGGCTGACATGCACACGGAGCGCAGCTGACGGCAAAAGTGATGATGACAAGTAAATCAATCAGGCATGTCAACTACTCAGCCGATACTGAGGGTTCAATGAAAAGCACTTGTAGGGAGCCTGAATGGTCCACTAGTGGTCCCTAAATTGCACTATTTGATGCAGCACTAAGCTGACACTGACTGAACCCTGTAAATTCTGAGAGAGTCTAGACTGAAAGCCTGTGCGTGTGCCTAGAGCCTACAATGTCACTCCCTCCTGGAAATGGCAGCTACCTCTCTCCCTCATCTCACAAACTGGAGAAATCATGCTCTACACGCTCATTTTGAAATTGAAGAAAAAATCAGGCATGCGGCTCGCAATGTTCTCAAAGTCGCTGTAGCTCAACCCAGCCCCCTCTGGGTCAATCTCCTGTCCAATCCGTTCATGTATCTGCATGACACATAGGTCAACCTCAAACATAGGACACTTCCAGTGAAGTAGTCTGAGCAACGTCGATCTTGCGTGCAAAGCCGACACAGTCACGCTGTCATGATGGCTTGCATCAGAAAGCTGCGGTCTAAATTGAAAGACAGTATGGTTTGCACCCAATAGAGCATCATGCAGCATTCCAGGATTGATCTGCAAGCAGCAGAGCCCTGCCTGAGTGATTTGCTCTTCTGTGAGCTTCTCGCCTCGCAGGATGGCAGAGTCGCGCCGTTTCCGCCGCGGCCGGCTGGTCTGCTGCTCTGGTGACTCATCGTCGTCCTCAATATTCAGGATCGCCATGTCAGCGTTTGTCAGCAGATGTACCCCTCTCTTTATGTCCCTGGGGCCTATTAAGTCATCACCTGGCACAGTCACAATGTGATGGCTTGATCATCAACAGTGTCGGTAAGAGAATGAACAGAAGTCCATAGCTTTAGGACTACATGCATCTGTGCAAAGCCATGGTGCTTGTTGAAAGAGGAAAATCAGGGGCTACTCACCATCAAAATCCCAGATGGCAAAGGCCCACACCATCTTTGTCTCCTGCGTTGCTCGGGGGCTAAAGACACTGAAGATGTTGACGAACTTCTGGAAATTGATCTCTCCGCTTCCATTCTCACTGAAGAGCTCAACTATCCTGGCTGCAAATGGGTTGCACTTCAGCTCATCCACCTTGAGCATCTCCTGCTCATGCAGCAATGCCAGTCCGACAGTTATGAGGGGAAGTTGCTCGTGATCTCAGTCTTGATCCTCTATCTCACCCCCACCAATTCTGTCACTGCAGAGTGACGATATCTTGCAACACTGCAGATCGTCATAGCAACAGAGGCTGACCTGCAATATGAGTGTACCGCTTCGATCGACATCTAAATGAGCAAATCGAGTCCAAAGCTTGAGCACTTCTCTCGAAGTGAACGGCGTCTCCCTGACAAAGCGCCGGACCTCCTCCCTCGGCAAGCTGTGAGTAGAGCAACAGCCACCAAACATCGCACCCCAGGGGTGCGCAGATCGAAGCTGCCTTTGATATAGGCGTTGGTCATTTGTCCACAAGCCGCTTGAATCCGTTTGGCAACGTCGCCCTCTCTTCTGGCGCCGTTGGATGCTATTTATAGCAGCTTCCAAGTTAGGCACGTCAAATCTTCGAGCCCCTCGACCGGCACCACAAAATGGATGCCCTGAAAACTTGGCATGGGCATGCATCAAGGGCTCGGGCACCTGTGCATAGCATCGGCAGACATAATTGCGCCTTACTTGAGGAGTGCTGCAGGAGAGGACTGAAAATGATGGCTGTCAGGGTCCCCTGGTGTTTTATGGTATGTCACACCCATATGACTTGTTTGTGAAGTCCAACAGTGCACCCATCGCCCTTGCTCTGTACTGAGAACTTAATTACGAATACGACTACATTAAGAGAAAAGCAAAAGGGCACGAGCGGTGTTCTTTGCTGGGTTTTCTCCACATATCTGAATATGCCACATATTCCTTCGTATCGTGAAGCTGCCTGTTCCCCTAAAACCAATGTACAGGCCGCCAGTTTCGCGTCGAAGTTAGGCTTCAGGGAGCAGTATTACATCCCAGTGCATGCATGGCATTTTCCAGTATTCAGTGAGTTGCTTCCCAGGGTTTTGTGTGCCTATACATATGAGGTGTACACGAGGAAGTTCAGCTTCTGAGCACGGAATTGAGTCACAGATAATGAGAAAATTCCTTATAATGCATTTTCGGGCCTTTAAGAGGTCCAAAGCGGCCGAAATTCATGGTGCCAGATTGCCATCTTTCAAACTATTCTTGTTCTGGTGCACTCTGGCCTCTGCCTGTCCAGGGTCACTAATTTCATTTCCCCTCAATTCGCAGGAAGGACTGGTCGCTTGCTGCCTAGCCTGGAATGCAGCACTCTGCTGAGGCAGCTGACAGCAGCACCCGCGTACTTCCTACCGTCGGCCCACTTCATCCTGGTACAAAATTTTGGGATCGCTCAGCAGAGAAAGATCCTTCAAAGATATCAGCACTATATTGAGCACGCAGAAGGGCAGCTGCTTGCTACAGCCAGAACAGCCGTGCTGAAGCACAAGGGGCGCCACTGAGCATCACCCGCAGGTCCTTGCATGGGCCAGACCGGCTCTGGAATATCAAGTATGGAACCAGACAGGGGCGGGCAGCAGAAGGCTGAGTCAGCAGGCACGGCCCAGCCAGACACAGCCGCGCCAGATCTGGCGCCTGAAACCACAGGCCGCCCCAAACGCAAGCCCAGCACAGCGCCGGGCAAGAGGAAAAAGGTTCTGCGCCACGCCAGCAGCTCCCCGCCCAATGACAGAACGGCCAAACGGCGTGCCTTCGAGCATCCGCTGCCGGCAGGACTCATCAGTCAGCCTCCTGTGACAGACGGCGGGGCACCTACGAAAGAACCGGGGGAAAAGGTGCGCGGCGGGGCGGCGGCGGTGGCGGCAGCGGGGCACGACAGCGAGGACAGCTTTGCGCTGCACTTCTCCACGGACGACGAGCAGGAAGAGGCCCTTTTTGGGCCGGACGCGAGGGGGAGGGGAAAAGCGCGCAACAGGCAGGGGAAGCCGTCACGGGTGAAGAGGAGCGGCAGCGGGGAGCAGGCCAGGACTGGCGGGATGTCCGGCATGCAGGGATGTCAAGTTAGGCCGCCCCGGGGCAGCGTGAGCCAGCAGCCTGTCCCCAGCGTGAGTGTCAGCCCGCGCGCCACCTGGCCCCTCAAGGGCTACTCCTCTTCTCCGCAGGTGTGATCTCCACTCAGCAACCGATGCGATGTGACTGTAACGCCCGCCACAAATGTTCTAGACTGCACCTCACCCTGTTGATGCAAACGTTATTGGTGGAGTGATCTTGTATGGTGGCAGTGGTGGCCAACTGTAACCCCAAGCTCTAAATTCTATTCTAGGGGAATAAATTCCTTCCCGTATGGTAAGTGAATAGAGTTATTGTATCCTGGATGAGATTGATAAGTTCACCTGTTTGTGCTGTGCAGCTGGTGGGCATGGTGGATCTGGTGCAGTGGCTGCGGGGCACGGCGAGCACGGGCGGCCGGGCGACGGCGCCCCCCTGCGTCGGCCCGGCCGAGACCGCGCCGCCGGAGTGGCAGCCGGCCGCCGTCGAGCGGCGCTACCGGGCGGCGCTGGCGCGCGCCCGGGCCGTCACGCGCGTCGCGCCGGCGGATGCCGCTGACGAGGCGGCTGGCATCCGCCGCAGCGGCCGCGCGCGCCAGACGCCCGATGCCTTTGTTCCCGGCCTCGACTCCCCAGGTCTCAGGTGAGCATCAGCAAGGCCTTTCACAGAGACTCTTGACTGTACTGTGTGCAGCCGCTTCCTTTTTCGCGTGGCAGGCCGTCTGATGGCTAGTACTAGCAGGTTTCCAGTGCAGCTGACCCATGCTTCTGTGTGTCCTTTTCTTCTGGTGTAGAAGGTGTGGGGAATGAGGAAGAGGTAAAAAGATTTGGTGTGTGGCAGGAATCGCGGCAGGAGGGTGGTGGAAAAGCCGGACGCAGCTGGGGAGGGTGAGGATGACGATGGGCCGCCGGAGCTGCTGGAGGGGGACGAGTACCAGGCGGTGCTGCCGCAGCAGCGGCCGCGGCCGAAGCGGCCGACGGCGGAGGAGGCGCGCTGGCTGCAGCACCGGCTACTCGCCCCGGGCGCCTGGGGCGATCCCTCACGCCGCGTCCGCATCCTCTCCTCCACCGATGCGTCAGGCCGCCGCTTCAAGTACGCTCTCATGCCAGGGATCGAACTTACTTCGTTCATGATTTTGAATCTTGTCACCTCAATGGCTGTCATCAATTGCCTCATTTCTGACGGACCACGAGAATCTATCAAATTTGGTGCAAAGCATACTGCAGTGGGTGTCAGAAATCGTTTAGTCCGATTATGTCTGATAATGTTATGATAGTAACATAACACAACCATGTAATGCTGCTGGGTCGCACAGTTCAAACGTCAGCTGTCTGTCCACATATCTAGCTGCAAGGCTGAGGGACAGCTGTGTTGAGCTTCCCAGGCAAACGGAGACCGGCGCGGCAATATCTGGGCAGCTGCAGAGGGATCTGGGTCTGGTGGACTCCCTGCCGGAGTGGAGCCAGCGGGAGATCGACATCTTTGAGGCGGTGCTGACGCGCGACGGCAAGGATATGGACCTTATAGCGTCCCAGCTGGCGCCTGAGAAGTGCGTGGGCGACGTTGTGCGCTTCTACTTCTGCTCCTGGAAGGGGCGGCTGCTGCCGCAGGCCCAGCTTTGGTATGAACGCAGGAAACAGGTGAGCGCCACCCTCTGCGCGGCTTTCTGTTGTTCCATTTCACGCCTGGATTGCTGTCTGCAACACAAGTGACCCGGGCAGAGCTTTCCGCTTGAAGTAACAGCGCTTTTCAAATGGGCCCATCAGCTAACAGTCCAGATGCAAATTGGATTATCGTTGCGTTACCCTTGAATTCTTTGCCGAGGGATTTCAGTGCATGTACGGGCTCATGCGGTACAGAGGATAGCAGCGCAAAGCAGCTCATTGTACATGGCATGAGCGCAGGAGAAGCAGAGGGCGGAGGAAGCAGAGAAGGTGGAGGAGACGGCGGCAGGGGTTGCTGTGCAGCGCAAGGCGGGTGTGGTGCGGGCCGAGCGACGGCGGCAGCTCAAAAACGCTCTGTTGTGGCAGCGGGATTCCATGCGCACACCCCTGGACCTCAACACCACCCGGTGGGTTCACCCTCTTACCTTCTTCCGCTTTTGCACATCTTTCCGGTGTTCCTCTTTCCGTTTGATGATCCAAAGTTGATTCCTGCAATGTGTGCATTTTGCTTTCCCCGGGTGTTGGTCCTGCTGCCTCAAATTGGATTTTCTGCAGTGGCAGTGCTCGCACAGTCCTTTTGCCTCATCTTCTTGGCTGACTGAAGACAGAAAAGTTGCTGATTGAAGGGAGTCTTGTTTCTGCATGCAGGGTGAAGATCCTGGAGCGCCTGGTGAGGGCAAGGGATGTGCTTGTGGCAAATGCTCTGCCAAAGTTCAACGCCAGCACTCTCACAGAGCATAGGGAGCAGAAAATGAAATCTTGACTTGTGGAAAGAGTAGGTTGGGAATCATGTGTGCAAGGGTGTGATGTATGTTACGAGGTAGTCTCCTGGTGTGTCATTGATTGGTTTGTTGCCCTTGCATTCTAAATGCTGGGGGGCGACTATGCTATTATTGAGAAGAGACGTTGCTGGCAGAATTGCAATTTGAGTATGAGAGCGCTCCGTTATATGTATATCAGACAGTAAGCTATTTAGGCTCTTGCTTTTGCTTTGATTGCGCTTCCATATTAGATTAGCAGCTATGGTGATTAGGCAGTGCACTGCATGCGGCAATGTCATGTGTTGCATGCATATAACAGAGGACGATTTTGTTTTAATCATAAAATGTGCCTTTACACAAAGGATGCAACATCCCCTTTGCAGAGGACAAATATGTAAGCCAACCCACCTCACGAATTTCATCAACCACGTGGCAATGATGGTTTCTGCAAAGTTGCTGCTGCGTGCGGCTTGCCAACATAAGGAGACTGAGAACGATCAACTCCTACAATAGCAGCAATCTGCATGACAAGAATATAAAAAACATGAAGTGAATTAATTCGAAGATGTGCTGGCGCACTTGGCTTGGTTTCAGAATCTGAAACTAGCTATAGCTAATCATCTTCTACAATTCTACTACATTACACGTGCTATCTGCTGGTAAGCCATACTGCAAGATGGGCTGAGTCCGACTCCAATCCTTCAGCAGTACTTTGGCTGTCCCTGCTCGTCCACAACTCCATTGCTGATGTCATAAGTGGCTGCATTTCCCTCTTCAGGGCTTTTTGGGCCCAGATACTCTGCTGTGAAGCTCCCGTGTATACCTGCATTACAATACATTTTTCACACCGCCAGTCTGCATGCTCCAATTTGTTTTTTTCCGCAGCAATGCAAGATAACAACACAATTTCTTTTCAGATTTATGGCAGTGCACTGGCGTAGAGCAAGAGTTGCGAGCGTTTGCAAGGAAAGGGCAACATGCAAGGAGAGCTGCACCGTGGGGGATGTGATGAGGCAGGTGTATGAGGGCGACAGGGCCCTTGGAGATGCATTTTGCATCCAGGATAGCCAGGTCTGTTGCGTTGCTGGCCGCGCGGTACACCATTGTCAGCACCCAGCCGTCATCCTCACTATCTGCATTCTGGCGAGGCACAAAGATGGGCTCCTGGCCAAAGACAAAACATGCATCCTCATCAGCCAAAGATCTCCATTCTTCGATCTCTTCAATCTTGAGCCTCGTTTACTATCAAAGCAGAGATTGCCATAATGCGGCAGAGTACAAGAACTGCATTAGCGTGTTGGAGCCCAGGTTGCTTGCCAATGACTCACCTGAGCAAAGCTGTCACGGCCGGGACACCACGACTCCTGCTGTATTGCGCTGCTGTCCCGGGACGTGGCGCTCCCATCAAGCCCCCAGTCCAAGGGAGCGCTCAGCTTCAGCACCATCTGCCACCACACATTACACCCCAGTGAGTCTCTCCCACCACAACCAACCTCTCCAGCCTCTGAGCATGAACTTCCTCTGTCTAATGTGCGCACCAGCACGGCTTGGATTTTGCAGGAAACCTCACTTTGAAAAAGAAATGATGAGAGGGTCACCTGGAGAGCGCCCCAGTTGGGTGGCCCCACAACGCGGCTGGCAGCGGAGTAGGAATGCAGGTGCGGCTTACCACACACTCCCGGGCTGACTGAGGGCAGCTCTGCCGCCCTGTCTGGCACCAGCGGAAGCTTCTGCACCTGCCACAACCACACCACCATGTATCAGATGGCAATGAATAGATAATGCACGCCGCTTTCCAGGACCTCAACAGCAATCAACAGGCATGCTGAACACGGCAGCCATGCATAGTGGCACAGCAATGAACTAATCAAAAAATCCGATGCTGTGGACGTTGCACTCTATGTGATACTGTATCCAAGCAGGTGAACGATGCAGGCTGTCATGAAAGCGCTGCTGCACCGCACATGCCCTCTCACATGGATGAGAAAGACGAGTTGTAAAGAACAAAAAAAGTCATGCAGGCAGCAGATCAGGCAGACCTTGCCGGTGGCGAGGTCTAGCACGAGGCGGGTGAGCACAGCTCTGCCAGCCAGGCGCTGGTAGATGGCCTCAGAGCCATTCTCCATGCTCAGGCTGAAATCTATGCCGCCGTCCATGGCCGCTGTGTCCACGACAATCTGGGGCGTTCCCTCCACCTCGTATGCATTGACATGGTGGAAGGAGAAAAATGGGTCTGTCTCCAGAACGTGATCCGATGGAGGCACTGCATTTTGCACACAACAGAATCAATGTCATGATGCATGCCTTTGCATGCATAGATGGGCCTTTTCAAGACAATCCTTGCGTTTCTATTCAACGTGCACAGCGACAAAAATGGAGCAATCCTTGAATGGAAAGCGGGTTTCATTGATGCGAAGGCCCCAGCCAGGGTGGTGAAACCAACTCCGCACCTCCCCATGCTTCCCATGCAGAGGCTGAGCAGAAAGGAATTAAGCGTTGCTGATGATAGTTTGAGCAGATGAAAGTAGCATAACCAGCCACTTCACTTCACTTCACTCCACTTCACTTCACTTCACTTCACACGTTGGGCCTCACCGCTGCTGTGCTGCTTGAAGCCAGGGCGGGGGATGACATGGATTCGCGTGGGGCGGTCCTGGAACTGCAGGCACTCTGCCAGGCAGGCGCGGCCGAAGGTGTACTTGGTCAGCAGCTTGCCAAAGTCCATGCTGATGGGGTTCTCCAGCGCGATGTAGTAATTCTCAGTCACCAGTATGTCATGGAAGAAGCCAAATGTGGCCCCCTGCACCCACAGTCCTCCCTCTGGTCACCCCTAAGCTGGTGCTTACTGAGGCCTTTTTGCAGTAAGGAGACCTGCATGGACCTGCTCTTGCCAGCCACACTTGTGCGTAAGACATCTCTGAACAGAAGAAGCTGCAAGGTCCTTGATGCGCACTCAACAAAGGCATGGTGGGGCCAAATCATTGCCAATTGTGCATGCCATGAGGTGGTTGATATCTCCAATCACCCTTTGCGCCAGTGAATAGGCCCCTTCCCCGGGTGATGGAGACTTGCGCACCTTTAGCAACCTGGAGGTCTTGTGCAGGAGCTGAAACTGCTCGTCATACTCGAAGAAATTGAGCAGGCCGCCAGAGGGCTCCTCAGAGAAGTTGAAGCCGACGAGACACCTGCCGCCGTTTGGCCCGTCCACAATTCTGTGGTGCGCGCCGAAGAATTTCTTGGGGGTGTTGATGCTGCCGCCCAGGTCTGTGGTTCCCAGCGTGCGCAGCGTGGCGTCCAGCTCATACGGCAGGTCCCTCTGCGCACCGAGCATTCAAATTCAGCTGTAATTCACCCTTAGCTGGTCCAATGCAGTAATTTGATGTCAAATTGAGCATGGATGCCTCTCCAATGATAACTTACCAAAGAACTTTGAGGACATTGTTTGAAATTATGCACACCGTACACCAAAGAATTACCTTGCATTCAGGACGAGGGATTTCTGAAAATATGCATGCAATGGTCCACAGACTGTGAGGATGTTCATGAAGTGCATGTGGTTTGCTTGAGCCCGCTTGATGAGCCAGGCACACCTCGTAAAGGGCGAGCAGCTTCCCTCCCCAGTACAGAACGCTGGTGTTTGCAATCCCTTTGACGGTAAAATCAAAGGGGTTGAAGAAGGGGCCTCCAGAGGGGTTGCCGACCGAGAAGGCCCCCCTGTAGAGCATCTTCTGCGCCTGCTGCTCCTTTACAAAGGCCTCGGAGCGCACAAAGCGGTTCCGGAAAAACACCCTTCCATCCTTGAACGCAAAAGAGCACACCTGCTCGCACAGCAGACAATCTGTGACCCTTGATGCATCATAAGGATGCCCTTTGCCTCTTGCACATACCTGCAATGCATGTTGTGATAAGTCACCCCACCTCCTGGTGGGCCAGCAAAAAAATTGTCTCATAAGAGCAGAACTAGATAGAGCATAGAAGTGGCGGCGTACCATTCCGTCCCCATCCAGCGGCTGTGAAATAGCTGAACCCCCAACTTCAAAGAGTCCCGGCCCATTCCTCAGAAGCGTGCCCTGCAGCTCCTGAGGAATTTCACCTGCGCAAATAAAAATTGCAATCATCAAGACAGCTGCTCCAAATTAGTTGCGGCACGCATGGCAGGCATTGCTGGGCTGCTCACCCTCAATCATGTCGTCGCTTATCCAGAAGTCATGCTCTGTGCGTTGGGACCTGTAGCCTTTGAGAAAGTTGTCAAAATCATCCCTCGAGAACGCCTTGTCTTGTGGCAAACTTCCAGCACGCTGCTCCAATGGTGCCGTGCCAACATCAACTGCAGTAGCTGCCGATTGTGCTATTGTACTGGGCCTTGTGGATCGTCTCCTTGCACCTGAGGAAAACTGGGCAATTCATGATCGTGCACGTGGGACACCCATCAATTCAGAGCAGAACAAGTCTTCATTAGCATGCTGCTTGCATGCACATGAATGCACTCTGCATTAGAGGGTGCAAAGAAGATTACATTTGAGCCTATTGGCTTTTAAGTGAATTGCACATGGAGTTGCAGCTTCTCCTGTGATGCCCCCCACATGCACAGATCCACCGAGCAGACCAGACGGCCTGCAGATCATCAAATTCGATCTGAATAAATTCAATAGGTGCTATGATAAAGGAGCAACGAATGATAACACTTAGTGATCATTACAATGTTGAATTAAGGCAAAGAAGGCCGAACGGAATGTCCGCCATCCTAGATCACCTCATTGTACTTGTTCTGCCTAGGATGGTGAAGTCTCTGGGCCCGACAGGTCACGATGCCTCTGGAAAATTTCTGATTGTACCTTTCCACAATTGCAACCGTCACAATTTGTTGAGACAATACGCAGGTACTGGAATTCTTTTGTGAACAGGTGTTTGATCTGCAAGGAGTGGTGCGCGGCTCGACTAGAAATTCTCCAGGCTGGGTTTTAAGGAGGCAATATTACTGGACAATCGCATCTGATGATCGTGCACTCTCCGGTCCGAAATTATTGTTCGAATTCCACCCAAAGCCTGCCACGTTACACCGAGAATCGTGAAAGCTTGCACGATTATGATCTGTCGTTTGCAGCTATGAAATTCACTTTCCTTTGAAATCCTTTCTCTCTGGAAATTGCCTTTGACCTACAAAAAATATGCAAAGAATCGATTATATGTCGGAGGCCTTGAGGCTTGCCACTCGGAAATTGCAGGCAAGTGAGCTTGCAGTACTTGCTCAAGTATGCCACAACCTGCGTGATCAGGTCCGAGAAATCACGTCGGGACGGCGCTTGGATGTTTCTAGAGGAGTTGAGCAGTATACTATACGTGTAAATAGCAGGTAAGTAATCGAGAATAGGCGTTGCCTGCAAGGTTCCCGTGACGCATCACCATGTGGTGACCCATGGGGCATTAAGTAACGGCAAATTGGTAGCATGCTTGTGTGTGCAGGTCAGTTGGATATCCAACATCTTTTACGTATGCCCGAGACAATCTTTTGCCAGCACGGTTTCCTGTATTGGAACACATAGAAGGATGCCTCACCTGCAGGTGATCTAGCTCATATTTAATCTTCAGAATTTATTTCTCGTGCACTGCTTATATGAGTATCCATACCACTATAATACGTACTGAAAGCACGCCAAGTATTGGGCAGGAAGAAGGGTGTATGCGGGTTGGATTGCTCTTGCAACCTGAGCCCACATGGAGAGCCATTCTACAAAGATGACGGTGTCTTGAGCGCATTGCATGTGCGTTCTCACCAGAGAGACCATTACCTGACCAAGGTCTTGTCGTCTCATGCATGTTTGTTAGGTACACTGGCCACTTGGCCAAGATCCCATGGATGAGTGACGCTGCTGCCAGCCTGGCATAGGGCTCCTGTGGTGATGGCAGAGTCAGCTTTGCCATCCTGGAGTGTGGGCCAGCCTGCAGCTGTGAAAGGGCTTGCCCCCACAGACGCTCACAACAGGGGTTGCAGGCGAGCATAGAGCTCATAAACGATGCCAGGTTTGTGCTGTCATCCTCTGGTGGGGATTTTTGTCTTGTGAATTGAAGAACTTCTGCAATCATATGTTGCACTGGTTTGACTTCACCTTTGGTGCTGCAAGGAAGGGGTGGAGTGCGGTGGCTGCCCGATTGATAGCGCAAGGGACGTTTGTATGCCAGTACGCGGGCGAATTGATCAGCACAGCAGAGGCAAAACAGCGGCTGGCCTTCTATGACAGCCAGAAAGCTCCATGCACTGGCCACGCACTGCTGGTACGGTCTTTTCCTGGGGTCCTTCTTGGTGGTCATTAATGTGTGGGTTTCAGAACCGCAAACTGATGATCATCCCTGAGCGCCTCATCCTTGAGCACCTAGCATAAGAAGGCTTGCTGTGTACACATGTGCCTAATTCATGTATCCTTGAGCACAGAAGGAGAAATCCCTTGTTTCTCTGATTATGTCAAGACCGTGCACTTGGCAGCATCTGCGAGTTTGTGCATGCAAGAGACCCACACTCCGGCAGCTTACAGCGTGGTAGAGATCTCTGATGAAGCCTTGGTATGTTTTGCTGCACATTTGCAGGTTGTCAGAGAGTGGCTGCCGTCCGGTGATGCATGCCTGCGGATAAACATAGATGCCACACGGATTGGCAATGTAGCTCGTTTCTTCAACCATAGCTGTGGTGGTGGCAATCTGGAGCTAGTCCTTGTGCGTTGCTGTGGATCTCCAATACCACACGTGGGCATGTTTGCCAGGCGAGACATTCATGCCGGAGAGGAGTTGACATTCATGTATGGCCAGCCTTCTGGAGTAGACAGCGCGATGCATTCCGTCAAGAGCGGAGGTCAGCCTGAGGATAGTAGTAAACAAGAAAACAAGCGTCGGGCATGCTATTGTGGAAGTGATGATTGCTTGGGCTATTTGCCAGCAGAGATTGTGTAATACATTATAATTAATTAATAGAAGAGACATTGCCATCCTACAGCATTTCAATCGATTTTAGATATCTGGACAGCCAATACAGCGGCATTGAGATGTCGTAGATATGCATTACTATTATTATTACACACTTTTCCTGCAAGGTGCGTCTGCATCAAACTGCACTGCAGGTAAAGGCTGCCACGATTTCTCACAATCACAGCCACTTAATCCCGTCATGCTTGCGTGACAAAATTGGATCCCAACATCTGCATGCCAATCGTTGACCCATCACCCAGCGCCGGCCAGGATTACAAGGTCACTATAAACTCTAGTATCAAATTCTCCTTCACATCTATATTCTTGCAGCTGCAGATCTGAGTAGGCTGCGGTCTTTGATGGCTGTGAAAGCTCAAGGTCAAGCTGAGAAATATGAGTCTCCGTTGCAGCTACATCACTCATCGGCCGAGGCCCTGCCTGCGCTGGCCCAGGTGCATGGGGATGGGCTCGGTGCGGCCCTGGCGGCTGGCGCCCAGGCCGCTGCCCTCGCTCCAGCCCATCTGCCGCAGCATGAGGCTGCCCTTGTTGTCCGCCTTTATGGGCCGCGTCAGCGCCGCTCGGCTGCTGCGCATGGCCGCCTCCAGCTCGCGTTTCAGCTCCGGTGTGGGCTTGCCGTGCGGCACGCTGCACGCCAGCAATCGCTCCACCTGCACCGCAGCCATTTGTAGTCATGGTGTCTGCTATTACGAGGATACCAGGCTGCATGACAGCCAACGTTGCATCTGAACCGCCATAACCAAAGCCATGGGATGTGCCACTTCAAGGGTCCCTTGATGCAGTCGTCCTGTGGTGGGTGTTTGTTGCCGAAGCAAAGCATGATACTTGAGCTGCTGCAGGCATGCAGGCACGACTATCGACATGCTTGTAAGCAATGGGTCTTTATGTCTGACCTGTGCCTGGCCCTCGCTGGTCAAGGGGCTGGTTCTTGGCGTCTTGAAGAGCGTCTGCCCAGTTCTGCCGCAAGCTCTGGGCTTTAGTCCATACACAGCGGCCAGTGCACGAACCTGCAAACAGAAAATGACTTTGGCCATTCCGCCAACCATATACAGCACAGTCCAGCATCAGCTATACATGTGCTGTAATTGCAGAGAGAAGTCTGAGAACCAATCATAATCCATGAAAGAGCGACACCTGCAGTCGCTGCATCTTTGAAAAGTCAGGCAGCTCCAAGCCTCCTGAACCCGCCGCATCCTCCACAAAGGCCACGATCTCGTCATTGACAGCCTCCAAATTGAAGCTAGCAAAGTCTTTCTTCCTCTTCTTTCTGCGCCTGTCTCGGGCCCTCCGCAGCTGAGCGTGCAGCAGGACATCGTCTGATGCATTGCAGACGTATGATCCCGTTTCTCTCGCACCCTGCCTGTCCTCGTCTGGATCTTGCTGCCAAGCATCCATAGGTTCTGCTGCTTCCTGCCACCTAACGGCTGTGCTGTCCTGGTCTGTGTCAGGCCTTTGCTGGGGCATGCCCACATCACTGACCCCTGATCGAGCTTCTGCTGTCTCTGTGTCGTGGATCGCAGCTACTGGCTCATCAGCATCTGATGCATCTTCATCAATAGCTCTTTCAAGTGACTGCAGTGCTTCCACTTCACCCCGGATGCGTGCGCTCAAAGAAGCCAGAGGATCATTAGGAGTCTCTGTCAAGCTGTCTAAATCAATGTCAGCCACAGAAAGAAATCTGGCCCGTTTCCTCTTTCCCATGAGGAGGAAGAGACACTGAGCTTGCACCAAAAAAATCCGATCTGCGATGCAAATAACAGCCACTAAAATTGCACAGTTTAGATCAAGATTATCCTTTCAGCTTTCAGTCACAAAATGACGACTTTCATGCTCATGGAAAGAATTCTAGCAAATGAGCAGCATCTACTCCAACAGGATAGAATATCATCAGCACGTCCTGAGTGCTGCCTGAAGTTTCTGTTGACATCATGATATGAACAATTTATAGACTGGGAAAGATGTCTGTTTCCAATCCGGATCAAGTTTAGGGGCAGGTACCTCTTGGATCGTCGTGACAGTCCAAGAAAATGGAACGCCGCTTGATCGATCGCTGTCAGATTCAGCAAAAACACAAATACTATAGATGATGAATTCACAAAAAACAAAAAAATAACGAGCTGTTATCATATACAGCAGATGCATTCGAAGTAGACGGATTTTTGAAGCTTGCAGGCGAGCTTACCCAGAAAGGATTGTGCGTCGATCTCATTTATGCCTAGTGGAGGGAAGCTTCAACTGAAAGGCGAGCTGAGACTGTAAAGATTGTGCAATTGATTGAATGACTTCCTGGCCGTGCATTCCATCAGTCAAGAGTATTTTCACAGTTTGACACAAGAGCACATATGTGGACCTGAGCAGGTGGGAATCCTTGGGACATCCACAAGAAAAAGGCAAAGAAAAAGAAGAAAATCAAGGAAGAGGACGGTGAAGAAGCCCTGCAGGACGGTGACATTCGCACGAAGGGTATGTTCAGATGCCAGCCCTCCATGACACTGCAGCACTCGGTTGAAGCCACAAAAATTGTTGATCTATGTCATTTTCTGAATGTCCTGCCATGATCTCATGAGATCTGACTGTGAACGTGCCTCTGGTGCAGATGGAAAAATCATAAAGGCAGGCGCAGTGTCAGTGCAGAGCAACCTCAATTATGAGCAAGAATTTGCTCTTGAGATGCAGAAGGCTAAGGTATGCAGAGTTGCAGATCCGCAGTCAGATGGTTGAAAGTGATGTGCTATAGAGATTCATGCTTTCAAGGCACTCCCCGTACTGAGACCTTCTCCACTTTAATTTGCAGGAGGGGAAGGTAAAGAACACTCCATGGGGATCATCGTTTAAACCGCCACCAGAGATTCTCCATGGTAATTGTCGCGCACGTTGCACACAGAGGATGGGCTATGGCAGCCAGTGTGCCCCTTGACTGCAATGCTAGGTGACGTTGACTGGCAACTTTTCAAGCGGATATTTCAGCCCTGATCTGTTCTGCGTGCAGGTTATTCAGCACCGGTGACAGGGAAAACAGCACAGGAGCGGCTAGATCTAAGGTAATTAGAGAGAGCTCTCGATAAATATTCGTGTGCCATGCTCATGGTTTGATCAGAAACTATGCATATACTTTCTGAGCATTTGGAAATCTCTTGAAACCAGCTCAAATGACACAACATTGAGGACCCTCTCTATTATGTTACAGATGCGCAGTCAAAACAGACAAATTTTGCAAATAGGATGGCAGACCTGGCGAGGCAGTGAGAATACATCTTATATAATAATTGGAGGGCTCCGATTTATGCTGGCAGCGATAACACGCAATTTCCTAAGTTGTAAGTTGGGTAGTGTACTTTTAGTAGAAAGACAAGGGCGTATAGAACCAAAGCAAGGTCCATATACGATTACATAATCGTGACGTTGTCCTAATGAATGTACATGTTGGCATGTAAAAGCAAGGAAATTGGCATTGAAAGTATATTACAGATGAATTGGTGTGAAATTTTTCCTGATCTGCTGGGTATGCCAGTCAGGTTCCCATACACATGCACTTGCAAAAGCTGTACACAATCGAACTGTCCCCAAGCGGCAATGTAAAAAAGCACATCAGTCATTGGGGGACTGCTCTCTTGCACCTGCAAGGTTTCATGTCTACTAATTGGCAGTTCCCCATAGCCTGCAGCTGCTCGGAGCTCTGAACAATCCATACAGCAGATGCCATGAGACCCCTGAGACGAAGCAGCTCCGAAATCAAAGAATGTAAATTATGGTGTAATGGCCATCATGTAGGCTGAAGCTGTTCATACTTGCTATCGACATCTGCTGAAGCAAATTGGCACACAAGGGACAGCAATGCTCGGCGTGCGGCAACAGATGCCATGTAACTCAATACAATACAGGTACTACCAATATCTGCCCGTACCCAACACGATAACGCAAATATTACAGGCAGCAAGATGAGCCACGCTATCGCCACTGCACTGCCTCCCAAGTTGAAGCAATGCAATCCGCTGGTCTTATTAGATTGGTGAATGGCACGGAGCACGGTAAGAACCATAGCAGCTCCCTCCTAGGATAATTCCTGGTGGATCTCTGGGTACACCCACGGGCAGTACTCCTTGCCAGCGCAGTCCTCTGCACAGCCCAGCAGATAATATCATCAGTGCTATACTGGCCAAATATTTCAGGATGTACAGATGCACGTATCTGAGAGAGACGTGCCTCAGGACACATGTTCCAAAGCATGCTTCCCTGCTGTTCAAATCAATATGTGAACACCATGTTGCATCCTGAGCATCACATCTTGCAGTTGACAAGGATATTGAGAGGAGAATTGTGAAGGGCGCTCACCTTCAGGCGTGGCTGGGGTGCGGGGCTGCTTGAGGTAGTGTCCGGTGAATTCCCACATGGGGCACTCCTCCAGAGAGTACTCGGCCGGGTACACCTCAGTCTCCTTGGCCGGGCGGAACCACCTGGGCGCCCACGAGTCTTTCCTCCTCTCCCTCTCCTGCATCACACACAAATTGATGCCTCGATGTGATTACAGCTTAATCTGCTCGCACCCATGGGCTGACTGTCCTCTAGCCTCCTCAGGCAATCTCAGCAAAAGTTCTCGGCATCACTCGGTGGTCCGCCTCACTCTGCTTGGTCTGCAGCAGTTGAATAATCTGTTCTGGTAGACTGTCACCTGAGTGTATTCTGGAGCACACTGCATGCTAGGGACACAATCTTCCCGCACCTTGCGCTCTGCCCTCTGCATCTCCTCCAGGTTGTACTTCTCTGCTCCAGCAGTGCCCACATCGCCCCACTGCTGGAAAGGCACAAGGTCTCAGCCAAGAAAACACCAGATCCGCTCTTGAAGGCAGAATCTCACGAGCTATCTGCCCAATTGCCACGCACACGCTCCAGGGTACAGGGGTGCGTGTCCTTAGCACGCAATGATGAAGCACAGGCAGTACAGCGCAGTCACACCTCGAGAGCAGCTCGGTCGGCCCTTCTCCTGGAGTCTGAGGGCAGCGGGGCCAGCCCCTTGCCGCTGTTGAGCATGCGCGCAAAATAGGTGAAGCCGTACTTGTCACCCTCCGGCTTCTCCTTGCACTGCACACAGCACCCTTCCTCTGTCAACATCACTGACAGTACAGCCCGGTGAGTATCGGCTGACTTTCTCTTGAAACAACCTGGGACATGGCTCTGAAGTGTACCCCAAGTGCACCACAGACTCCAAGCTACAGAAAAGCTACATGCCCAAAGTGATAATTGACTGGGTGCTGGGAGCACACCTCCCACAGGCGGATGGTCTTGGCATCGGGCAGGGGGTCTCCCTCCTCGTCGCACTTGGCCATATCCAGGTGGCTGTTCCAGGCGCCAGACAGCGCCAGCACCTTCCTCCCCTCCTCATCATACACGTGCCCCGACACCTGCATGGATGCATGCAAATTCCCTGGGTGAACAGAAGTACTGTAAACAGAAAACATCCCTGCCGGGTTGTGCCACAGCAGTGAAGCCAATTAAAGTCCTGCGACAAAACTCCCCAATCGGCGGCCTGTGATTGCATGGACAAGCACTTAGAGCAAGCAGTCAGAAAATTGACACCTTTGGAGGGGGCTACTGTTTGGACAAGGTAGGGGATGAAGCAGGCCGGCAAACAAGCGCACCTCGTAGCGGCCGGAGCTGAACCAGCCGCAGGGGGTGAAGTAGAGGGAGCACTTGGCGCCAGTGGAGGTGTTGAGCAGACTAAAGTCGCCGTGGCAGTCGACCCAGGTGCTGCCCACGATCAGGTTGTGGGCCGAGCTGTTGGGCGGCACCAGGCTGAACACCTCGCCCGTCCGCCGCAGCTTGATCCGAGAACGCCCTGCGACGAATATTCCAGACACCTCAGCAATGTTGCCACATCCAAACCATTGGTGGCAGACCTCAAGGTGCCGAGCAGCTGATGACGGAAAGCCATGTCTATGGGTCTCTCAGTAGCTCTAGCTCACTAGCTCACGAATACATCACGAACGCATGGCCCCAAGTCGCAAGGTATGACGGCTGAATACAAGGCATTGACATCATCAATCGTGTGCACTAGGGCTCACCCACGGGGTAGATCTCGATGCTGTTGCCCAGAAACTTGGTGGAGGGCGCGGACACAATGTCATACACCCACTTGTCGTTCTCTGCATGCCCCGCGCTGACGGGCGGGTGATGGCTCACCTGCACATCATTCACTCTTTGTGATGATTCTCAATATTAAAAGATATGACTACATCATGTCAGTGAAGTAGGCCTTTGTGGCCCTAGGAGGAAAAGGCAAGGAGATGTCTTGTCAAGGCCGCACCTGCTCTGCTAGGAAGCGCACTCCATTCTCTGGGAGGTCCAGCTCAAAGGTCTCGCCAAGAATGGGGTTGAATGGCTTCCATGGCCGCTCGTTGCCACCGAAGGGTCCAATGCAGAAGCCAGCCACCCATGCCAGCCTGCAAGACCCCGATACGCTTATATTCCATCTCAGATAGCATGAGATTAGCTCGTAGGGGAGCTCCCATCCAGGTCCTCCACACAACATGCTGGAAACAGCGGTAAAGAACATTGTGGTATTGCAGAACTGAGAACCAGACTTGACAGGGGATGATGATCGCAGACATGCCTCTCGTATGGGTCTTCAGTGGCAGCGGCACGGTCCAGCTGCTCGGTGTACTCCATGATCTCAGCCACCTTCTGCAGGATCGTGTAGGGTTCCATGATCCACACTGGCAGCGTCACCAGTGATGTCAGGTCCATGCCGATGTAGTCCTTGTAGTTGGTGAACGCCACCACCCGTTTCTGCACACAGCATATACAAGATCGTCTCTGGGCCCATCGCTGCAATGCATTAGGGTGCTTCAAGAGGAGCAGCTGAGGAGATATAATGAGTAGCAGCAGGGGAACTCACGTCGTTTGCATCAACTTTCACTTCTTCTGCTCGGGAGCCGTCAGGATTGACCACGTCCAGGTCTTCAAATCCCAGTAGACTGCCAAGCACATACCATGCCTCAGAAAAGGATTGATCTTCAATAGACAGGTAAGGTGCTGGTTGTTCACCAGTATCTTGCGTGCTATTAGCCCTTCCCATCAAAGCTAGTAATACCCAAATCGAGAGGATTGGCACCCATCAAGACTCTGCAGGGCTTTTCAGGTCTGTGACAAGGAAAGGTGCGTTTCCCAAGTATCTTTCTCTTTCATGTCTATCCAGTGTGACGCTGATTAATGCATCAGCATGACATCTGCAAGAGATTCAATCAACTGATCTCGAATTGGAGTTCAATGTGTCACAAGTATTTCCAATATCGAACGCTGCAGACCTGCTGATCGAAGTTGTTGCATAGTTCCAGGCGCCAGCCAAAGCCCCATACAAGCCACCATTCTGCTCCTGTCCTTCTTTTTGATCCCCCATCGCCAAGTGAGCACTGCTAGAGAGATGATGGGCTGGTCTCAAGTCGCTGACACACCAACCAGCGGGACGTCTTGCGCTCAGTCAAACTGTGTCAAGCCAGTGATCATTTCGGGCGCACCACACCTTTCATGAGATTGATCAGAGGCCATCTATCATGATGCGCATGTGGCTCGGCATAAAAATGAGAACGAGGCCACAGAGTAGCGAGGCAGGAGTCAGGGACCGCAAATGCATTGACTCTCCCGTAACCCCGTAACACGAGATCCTCCTCACCGATTTCCCATTCCTGACCCATACATGGGGATTGTGCGAGCCTGACGGACCTGCTATTTCGCCAAGAAAGGGCAGTAGTGTCTTTCTGAGGCGTCCAGGCGTGTATTCATGAAGGGATCGTCTTGATTTAGTGCTTGTAGCTGGGGGGTGGTCACTCTTATTTAGCAAGCTGCGGAGTTGTGGCGAACCCATGCTCGCCGGTACTTCCCTACAAAGCAGCTACAACGCTGCTGTAAACATCTTGAGAAAGGCTGCAAACGCTGGGTCTGTAAAGCTTGGGACGGAGCCTGTTGCAGCTGATGTCCCTCTTCAGAGTGCACTCGACCATAGCAGGTAAGGCTAATGTCCATTGCCCTTGGGTTTACTTGATTTTCTGAAGGCCTACGCTTGTTCTGTTCATGATAGATGCTGTTATGGTTAAGCGGGATTAAGCAGCTGCAGTGTACTGTATCTCACGCCAGTGTGCCCTTCCAGGTCTGGCTTGGAAAAGGCAAGTCATATGCCTGCCACACAGCAGTGGCTGAAGCCGCAGCTGGACTCCAGTGAGGGCACTGAGAAGGTGGGTGGTGCCGCGACAGTGGTATGCTCCTGTAATTACACCGGTGACCTGCTGATCAATTCAGCCTCAACATGTGCATGTCGTGCAGATGTACTCGCTCTTGGAGCAGCACATCGAACACCCAGAATTCCTGAAGAAGCTCGAAAGAGCCAAGGACAAGGCAGCTGCGGCTCCTGGCAAGCATGGGGACGAGGTGCTCCACAAAGAGTGGTGGGAAGCACCCCCTGGTGGAATCAGCACTGCTTCAGCAGATTCTGACGGATTTACAGAGGTACGCGCGTCTCATTTGCTTGCTGCCTTCATTTGCTTTACGCAACGTCAATACAGAGTGATATGGCGTTGGGCATTTTGCTGCTCTCCTTGCAGGTGACGCGTGCTGATATTCCGGAAAACGAGGCACTGGAGAGCTACGTGATGGTGCAAAAGGATGACGTGCTTGAGGCGATTGGCACCTTTGTGGCTGCTTATCTGGCAGAGCTCCCTGAGGCCCAGAACCTGCCTCCAGCCCAGCTGCAAGCCGCCCTCAAGACAGCCTTCAAGGTGTGGAATTTTGCCATTTTTGCCTCTTAAAACCTTTCTGGCCCCTACCACACTCGTAGATCAGGTGGTTGTCCTTCCGTACAAGCGTCTGCTGTCACGTTCATCAATCAAGTGCCACTGCCTGTCAGCTTCACGTAGAGGATTTTATGCCAAGTGCGCATGTCTGTCCTTGGCATGCTGCAATACGAGTATGAAACCTCAGCAGAGGTATGATGTCTAGATCATTCTCAATATGCCCCCAATACTGCAAGCAGCCGCTGACGGCGCATGTGTGGTCTTGTGCCACAGGAGCTGCGCAAGGGACGGGTGCGGCGGCTGTGGGAGTGGGGCCGCACGATCTACAGGGTGACGGCGTTCAGCTACGGCGCATTCAGCGTGTATGAGAACCCCTGGCTGGTCCGCGCGCTGCTGGCTGCCATGTGGACCGCCTGCCGCATGATGCTGCGCGCAGGAACCGGCCTCCCCGTCTGACTGCATTGTATTCCACTCAAACCTAAGGCGGCAGCTTGACCTGCCGAACAGGAAGACACCTGGTAGGAAGAGCAGGGCTCTGGATTGCTCTGGACCCGAAGGCCTCAGGTGACCTCTGAGTGAGAGATCATCTTATACACAGTCACAGCGAGGATGCTTGGAGGCAGTGCTGTGTTACTGACGCAGCGAGCCAGCTCATTGGCCTCCCTGTACAGGCAGTGCATGGAGTTGGCCCGCCCGCACCGATATGAAGGCAGAATGTCCCCGTCTCCTTGCATCCACAGGCTACGGGCTTCTCTGGTTTTCCCATGGTAGCAGGGTTGCCTGCAAGGCTCCTGTGGCATGGAGGAGGCTGACAGTGACAGGGCAGGCTTGTCAGGTCCTCAGTGGAAGGATACCTCATGAGCAGTGTACAAAAGTGTAGGGACAGTTTTCTTGCGGCCATCGGATTAGAACTTTTGCCCCTTGCAGCGTTGCTGGCAAGGGATTGTATACTAGTTATAATAGGTCTGTCAGCAGATCAGACCTTTGGGAACGTCCCATTTTTATACCTCGATCTTGTATCGGTATTCACATAGTATTGACGCACTGTAATGAAGCCTTGGCAAGATTCTACCACCCAGTAACTACAGAAAATCAGCGTGAGTTAAGATAAAAGCACGTGGTGGTGCTTCTTGATTCACATGTGGCCTGTATATTATTGCCGGTGAATAGACGGTGTCCAATTACAAGGAACGGTGTACGATTGCATTGAATAATAAACTAGCGCAAAGGCACAGAGCAGTGTTCCTTGGGTGTTTCTTGTACATTGGTTCAATTTTGCTTATGGAGAATAAGGTTGTATGGCTCCTACGGGTGCCTGCAACATGGTGCTGGAACACAGAGGATGTGTAATCCTGCAAGACATTCCAGTCCAAGGCAGCAAAGGCCAGAGACAGCAAAGACGAACTTCCTTGCATGCCTCTTCCCTGAGGATCACCTGTACCTAACTCTGTTTTGCTTCCTCTCCAGTTTCTCGCGCTTCTTCTTCTCTGCCGGTGTCTCCTCCTGCGCCACGCTCTGCACACAGATGGAGATACTTCAGGAAATGGAATCCAGACAGTAACGGCATTAAGATCAGAGATCAAAATCAGTTGTGCGCACTCGAAACCGATCGAATCTGAACAGGCAAGAAATAGAGCCTGGCATGTGGGAGGATACCTGAGGTCGAGGAGCAAGGAAGTATGGCTTCACTATGTTTACCCAGAGTTGATATGCCGCGTACAAAGGCACCTGCAACCATCATGTACCAATCTGAGTATTGTCCAAGACTCGCTCTGTCGTTCCAGGAAGTTGCTGCACAAGGTCTTTGGCAGGACAAGTATTGAAGACACTAATGATCAATCTGCATGGCTGCCACGCGCACCACCAGGAAAGCCATCCAGAAGCGGCTTGAGAAGATGGTGCCAATCTGCACAATAGCCGCAAGGTAGATGAGATCGTGGTAATAGGTGCACAGGCCACCCATGTTCAGATCAGAGCCTCCATCCAGCAGCTCCCCATTCGCCCCATACGTTGGCTCTGTCAAAATGCATGACCATGTGTAGAATCAGAACACCAGGCCAAAAGAAAGCTCTGGCACAGCTCAAAGAGCAAGGCAGGTGCTATGTAAGTGAAATTTTCAGTATGTCCGAGTGGCGCAGCAGCCGTACCTGCCATTGATGCTATACCACTGTAACACACTACATATATCAAGGAAGTTAGCCCAAATCCGAGCCATGATTGTAGCGTTCTGCTCTGCCTGAAGAGGATGAGTTTGAGAGTCACATGGAGAACCTGCCGAACAAACGCGAATTTGTTATGGCTTGATTGAGTAACATTCCATATTCACAAGGCTTAACTGGATCCTGGCTCCAAATAAGATGTGTGTGATGTGTCAGCACAGAACGCTGCCGGTCTTTCTTACATTAGCTGTGAGAATTATCAGCTTCAACAGCTTCACTCTCTTTGCATTCGCTATAACACGATTCTTGGCACCAGCCTTCGCCATTCGCTCAGTCTTTCTTTCCGAAAGTTAACCGATGGCAACGTTGCTGGTTTGCCCAAAACTACTCCTTAGTTTCAAGTGTCATACTATGTATCCAGCGTCCTATATACCCCGAATATGCATGAGGAATGAAGCAGCACGGGTCTGTACAAGAAGATTTGAGAACTCCACCTTAGCTTCCAAGAACTCGGGAGTTGCCCAGACTCTCAGCAAGAAGGTGAGCTCTTGTCATCACAACCAAATCAGGCTTTTCGTGCATGTGAAAGCTGAGTCAATGCTTGGGGATTTATGACTCATGTGGCTTGCCAAACGGCACATGATGATGAGGTCCAAACTCCCTGAAGTGCCTAACATTCACTTTTGTAACCAGCTGGTTCCAATTTGACACTGTTGGCTGGGGCCGGGCCGGGGCCGGGCCGGCCCCGGTATCGATTGCTGCTGCAGCTGAGCATCACTCATGGCATGACGATCCTAGTCATACCATCTTCCTGATCATCATGCATGTTGCGGAGTGTACTTTCCAGAGGATCATACAAAAGAATTAGTATGATAATCACTGGGTCATGACTGATCAATTTAGTGGCCGCCAGGTGGCCTTGAAATTGGCGGCCGAAACATTGCTGCATCATGGCATGATGCGAATCAAGGTTTACATTGCTATCAAGGTGGATCGGTTTTTCTTAAGTATCACCTTGAAGACCATTACCCTTTCTCAGGGGATCCTACATGTGTACACAATACACTTAATCGACAAGCAAGCAGCTTCCTGTACACGGGTGGTAGGTAGGTGGTAGGTGGGTACTACCTAGTAGCTAGTAGCATGCTGTACGCACAGAGAGAAGTGGACATGCGGGCAGCCTAGCATCGAGGAAACCAGAAACATCAACACCTTTTTCTCCTTGCAGATCCTAACAGATCCTTGCCTCATGGCTTTTGTACAGGTATTTACAATGCGCTGCTTGCTGCCAAACGACATGCGCAAGTGAATTTTTCTTCACACTAGTGCAATCTAAACTTAAAGGGCGATACAAGCACCATATCAAATTCAAGTTGAGGGTGCACACGATAGTCCTGCCAGGCCGCCAAGCAAGCGGGCGGAGAAGGACGTTCACCATGCAAGGTGGCTCACAATATCAAGCACCCTGCAGGCCTCTTTGCAGTGCCCTGGCTGTGTGGCACGCCGAACAGGGCAACGCCCCTTGTCAGGGTGTAGGCCAGACCCAGTTGCCATGCTTACATGCCCCTCTCTTTGTGGGCGATATATGCGCCCCTGAGGCCTCCCTAGGGGTGCCACAATTGCTCTTCATGAGCTAGCTTGCTACGTTAAGCACTGCACCACGTAAAGGTACAACAGGAGTAACCTGTATGATGGATCCTGGTTCAACCTGTCTGAAGTGTCTCACACAGACGCTCAGAGACCACGGGGCACGCGTCAGCCACTTTGGGCATGCCTTCGGCCTTTGTGTGGACCTCGCCCCTCATTAGCGCTGAGGCTCATGAGATAGCCACCAGATCACCACCCCACTAAGTCACACTGGGGCAGCAAGGAGTCCTGCACTTGCTGCTCAGCGGCCCCCTTGAGTTGCTGCATGTACTCCCCATGAGCTTCCTTGTAAGATCGTGGTACTTCACCACATGAAGGCACAGCAGGCTGCTCAGAGCTTGGCGATCTCGCCTCGGATGTCGTTGAGGAATTTCTTCATGCGGGCGGCGCTGGATGCCTTGTCAGCCTCGGCCTCGGCGACCCAGGCCTGGCAGGTGGCCAGCACCTGCTCACTGCGCAGCCTGAAGTGGCTGCGCACCACTTCCTCAAAACCCAGCGGCGGCGACTTCAGCTGCTGCCAGATCGCCCAGTGCATCGTCTGCTCCCTGCGAGTGGCATGAGGAGGCGTCCAGGTCACATGCTCATTTCATCAATAAACGCCACGGAAGGCTCACACCGCGGGATGCTTATTTTGGTACTCTCCTTGCTCGCTTTATATTATACTGCTACACTTGCAATGTTGCATGGGGTGATCTGGTCTGCTCTGACCTAGATGTGCAGAGCGTTCCCAGGAGGTATGCATGGTATTGACTGCTATCATCTTTGCAGCAGCCGAGGGAGGACCCCGATTTCAGATCTACGAAGTCAAGCCTTGGCAGACCGAAGCCCTGAAAGCAAGAGGGCATGTGGCCCAAACATGGCCGATGCATGCATTCTGTTGCTGCACAGATTCCCAGCCGGCGCACCTGATGTTGAGGTTGTAGTGCTTGTTCTGCTTGCGGCCCTCCGGTGCGTGCATGATGGACTCATAGCCCGGCTCATTGAAGTAGGGCTCGTCCACCAGGATCAGCGACTGGATGCTCACCAGCACCTGCGCATCACACCATGTCACTGTCACAACTTGTCCACACACCTTGGACAAGCTCGCCCAATTGCAGAATCGACAACATCTCCAAAAGCAAGAGTATTCGTAATCTGATTCCCGATCTCACTGTTCAGAACACAAAGCGGGGAGTCAGTTCAGTTACCAGCCGTTGAGAGTGAGTATTCGAGGGAGATGGGTGTGTCTGATGACGAGGGGGAATGGCCCACCTGGAGGGCGGAGGAAGTCAGCACCTCCCAGCCCTCGCCCTTGCCCCCGGCCCAAGTGCCCAGCAGCGACAGGCACACCTTGCCGCAGTTGTAAAGGTTTGGATTAAACCTCACCGACCCGCCGCCTGCACCACAACACCTGCCCTGTTGAGCCCCATTCAACAGCTGACTTGTTATGTCATTACTATCAATATCACAGGCTGTTCCTGCCAAACACAAGGTGCATCGCCAGACAAGCTGCAGGTACGTTCACACCAATGCTTGTGCAATTTGGGGACACAAGCCCCCATGATGCAGGTGACATCAGGTTACATGCAAGGGAGGGATCGCAAGGGGGTGGATGCAGGTGCGGCATGTGGGGATGTAGTGATTGGCAGGGGGTTGAGGGAACAGAGCATGATGCACCTGTTGTGCGGAGGTTGACACTGGGCGGGATAGTTGGGTAGGTGGGCGGGAAGTAGAAGTCAAAAATGAAGCAGCCGCCCTCGTACGGCGTGTTGGCGGGCCCTGCAGCCAGCCGATAGGATATCTAAACCACGAGAGGACTTGAATGATCCTTCACAAACTGCACCCTTGCTAAATGGGCCAAACAACAGGGCCTGGAACTCCTAATGGTACACGGCAGCAGTCAATCAAATTGGATACTTATGGACATTGGAACCAGATGCACCTGAAAGATGTCAAATCATTCAAGTGCAGATGCTTGAACCACCCTGGCTTGATGCACCGGGCCATTCTACACATTTGAGTGTCACTAGCCAAATACCCCAAAAGGCAAAATACTCTCTGCCTACACGAGCGTAGCGGGGTAGGCGTGCGCACCGGTGATGAGGGCCTGCCAGAGGGTCATGTTCTGCTCGTCGACGCGCGCAAATACAGAGGAGGATGGGTTGAGGGGCAGGTCCACATTGAGGCTGGCCACCTCCTTGCCCAAACGCACCAGTCGCGGCCGCGGCTGAGCCTGCTCTGCAGCAGCGTACTTGCCGTACTTGTGGTTCCTGTCCGCGCCCAGATCCGCAACAAAGCCCAGCTGCACAGAGTTGCTTCCCTCAGAATCTCTTGCACCAATGGGAGGCAGGCGAAGGTTTTGCATCGGTGGCTGATCTACCCTTCCATGCGCTCATCTGGCGCCTTTTTACCGGCTTCGGACCTTTGCACCCAAAGGTCCAAAGCCGAGAGGGAAAGAGCCCAGACATTACGCTAAGGTCTCGATGTGGACACGGGCTGGCAAACAGGAACAGTGAAATATATTCCTGGAGCTATCTGAAGCGAATGGGCATTTACCCTCTGAATGGGTCACTCATGGGCAGAAGCATGTGAAAGTCTCCAATACAGTGTTTCATAGATGCGACCTACATCATGGGCAATTAATTTCTTCACATTTTCATGGCAAGACAGGTGCGGCACCTGCAGCTTCCGCATCGTCTCCACGTAGGCAGCGTCGGCAGCCTCCTGCGTCTGTGCACTGCTGCTGGCAGGAGTGTTGCTGCCGCTGTCGGCCGCTGCACTCCTGGTAATCACCCCGGACGCCGGAGCCGATGCCTTTGCACGCCTACGCAATCCAACATAAACTCGATTACATATATTCGGCAAAATCTTTCTCCGTCTATGCACATGCATGCTCCACCAGGATAAGTGCAATCAAGATATGTTGCAGGGACAAATTGCAGCAGATTGTACACCTGCCATTGGACAGGCACGAACGTGCTGCCAGTGTGTGACAAAATAAAGGGTTACCTGGCGACTTCAACAATGAAGTCGGCCAGCGCTTTGCTGCAGCGCTCCTCCTCCTCAAAGTCCTGCTGGTTGGCCGCGGCCTGCACCGCTGAGCTCGAGGCAGCAGCGGCGGCGGCCGCGCGGGTAATGCCGCCACGGGCGCGCGAGGCGGAGTGCAGCACGGAGAGGAAGTTCTGCGCCTGGCGCTCCAGATTGTCCAGCAGCTGCATGAAGGAGGTCTGGGCTCCACCTGTGTGAGCAGAGGGAGCGCGCAGTCACGCCTTGTGAGCTCTAGCAAGAGGTTCCAAGTCAATTTGATGCATGCACTGACGAGGAATGGCCAAGGGTGGGCAAGGGTTAGGTGCTGTTCTCTGAGACGCAAAGTGGTGGGGTTCGGCTTGATATTCTCACCGGCTGCGGCGGGGGTCTGGCACACGACGAGCAGGTGCGCTGTCCTCGGGTGACACAAGCAGGAGGCCACGCGAAGAATATCTGTGTAGTACTTCACCCTGGCGCACCGATAGAGGCTGTTAGTGGGCTTTCACTGGTGATGACTGCCGCGTATATGTAAACTCAAATACAAGCAGGAGGTATTTTGACGTAAGGAATTGCTATGTGTGTTCAGACTGAGGTTTCACACCTGCTGGCCATGTCGGTAAAAGAAGCGCCGCTCAGCAGCGACTCAAGCACAGGGATCAGGCAGGAGGAGCCCACGACGCTGACCATTTCAGCCTCTGATAGTCCATTGGCTTCACTCCCACACTCGTCCGAATCATCTGCACCAGACGCAGATGAGCGCCCTCACGTTCTCCACAGATCCAAAGCCCCGGAGAATATTCATTGAAGGGTGCAGCGCGCTGAAACACAGAACGTTTCCAGGGATGTGCTGCATTGTACCAAGGGCAGGGTGCAATCAATAGCACATCCCCAGCCAGGTGACTGTGCACCCATTCCGTGGTGCAAGGTCACCGCCTGACAAGATTGTGAGGCCCAGCACAACAGGGTGCTGGATGCGGCTGCCGCGCACCTGACCCGATGGCTTCAAAGCTGCCGTCAGACGAGGACGGCTGGAGGCCGTCTGCGCTTGCGCCGGCCGGGGCGCTGGGTATGTCGCAGCCGAGGGCGGCAGCCAGGCTGGACATGACTCGGCGCAGCTCTGCATCCTGTGCATCCTGGGCAGAGGCTGCCTGCTGCGGGTCCCACACTTCCGCGCTGAACAATCCCCGGCCACTGCCGTACCCCGTCCCGCTCGCCCATGTTTTGCTCCTGCACATGTTGGACACACGGGGATCAGCAGAAGGCCTACTATCAGTACCACTGCACTTGCCAGGCCTGTGTGCAGCAAGTATGCAGATGACAAACAAATGACCTGATCCAGTCTTTAGGAGCATATGTGCCCTCAGAGTTTGCCAAGGCCTGACTTCATGGCAGGGCAAACAGAGCGTGGCGAGGAGCACTGTGCATGTTGTGGCAGAGGGGTAGGCATTGCATCTCTGGAAAGATTGGGAATTGGGGATACGCACTTGTCATCCTCCCCTGCCGTTGCCGTCTTGGCCCGCTTTGTCAAGGGCGCCATGGCCTGAAGGTGCAGCTCATCCACTCCAGTGTCCCTCGCACTGATCCCCACAAAGCAGCAATTATTTTTGAACGTCTCAGATGACCTTATGCAAAGATCAAGGACAACATCAACGAGGAGGGTGCAAGCAAGGCAGAGAAGAAATGTCCGGATACAGATTGGTACCTGTACACATCAGTGTAGGCATTGTAGCAGGCTGGAAGGGAGCCATAGAGGGCCTCCAGATGGGCCAGCAGACGCTCCAGCCGAGTGTACGCCACGGGGATGTGTGCGCTGTTCAATGGGCTCTCCACGTCTATGCGCGCCGTCCGCTGCAACAACCACCACGTGATTCATCATCTTGCCTGTTTCCCTATGACAACGACTTTATTGCGTTCATCGCCCCACTCCTGCTGGTCTCAGCTACTTGGGCTGACTACTTACAGCAAGCAGAACTGGTTGCACACACCAGCAAGGGAATCATCAGTCTCTCGTCCACGGTACATTTCAGGAGTGCATTGACAATGTATAGAAAACTCCACTGCAATGACAGGTGATGAATAGTCATCAATTTTTCATCCACAGCACAGTGAGGAGCACATTGCTCATGTGTGGCATTACAGCGTCTTCTGGAAAGTCCACTGCTCACCTCGAGGAAGGTGCGCAGGTGCTCGAGGAGGTCTCGCTGGGAGCGCCAGGGGTCCCACTTGGACAGCTGCAGCATGGGGTGGGACGCCAGTGCGCCGGCAATGGGCCCCAGGCAGCGCGGCCGCAGCAGCTGCACCTGCGGTGGGAAGAAGGGGTGCAGCCCCCGCTTGAACTTCAGCCGCAGGCACACCTCGCCGCGCCCTTGCAGCCGCTCCAGCTCCTTCAGGTCCTGCGCACATGCACTTCTTTACTGTTTCAGGGCTCTAATCAACAGCGCAAGACAGCCACCCGACGCAGCGTGAAAGGCCTTGCTCAGGGTCACCCCGGTGCCACTTTGCCTCTCCACCAGTGCAGCCAGTACTGCAATGCGCAGAACGATGCAAGGGGCTGGCGCCACACGAGGCTGCAAAGACAGCTGCACGGGCCAGGGAGGAGCACCTCTGGGGGAAAAAGCTTGGTCCTCAAGCGTTTTCATCAGGAGTTGAGTGGCAATCAGAAAGCACAAGTGCGGGAAAACGTGCCTGGGTTAAGGGGCTGCTATCGGCAAATTGGGGAAAGACAACCTCCCAGTGGTATGCATCGTCCTGCACAGCGTCCAGCTTCCAGGGCAGATCCTGCGAGAGCAATCGCAGTTAGGGTCTATCATGCCAATGTGTTACATCATGTGGGGCTCTTCCCCAGGGATGGTTATGCATGAGCAGCATTCCATTGGGTGTATGTCATGAGCAGCATTTCCACTGGGTAGTGTCCTTGCTAACATAAAAAATTCGAGACGAAAACGGAGGCACAGTGACTGACCAAGCGCTGCATCATCTCGGACAGCTCCTTGGAGAGCATCTGGAAGGCCTCGTTCATGTTGAAGATCTGATTGCGCTTGGCAATGCTCTCGAGGTAGCTCAGCTTTTGAGCGCGCTCTGCAGACCCCACACTGCAGGAGGCAGCCTCCTCCGCTCGCAGCTTCCTCCGCTCCTCCTCTGCCACCCGCTCCTCCTCCAACCTCTTCCACCTGGAATCAATGCAAAAGCACTGATAGTCAAGCTCATTTGCAGTCTTCCTGCCAAAGATTCTACTAGTGTGAGCACCGTCGGTCACTCCTGGCAACTCTAGGCGGAGGTCAAGCTCTTACTCCAAGCACAGGCACGCACACAATATTTTGCTGGATTTTGAGGTTGAAAAGTACCTGGATGTTTTCTGCAGGACCTCCCTGATGAGCTCCTCGTCATCATTCTCCCCCATGCCCCAGGTGTTGCCCTGGTCATCCTCATCCTCAGAGCATGTGCCATTTCCATCCTGATCTTCTTCCTCGGCTTGGCTTGCAGCTATCTCTCCAACCAAAAGTGCATCTGTATCTGTGGCAAGAGGAATGCATCAGGATTTCTGGTTGTTGCCCTTTCCTGGGTAGGGAGCAGACCCCATGCAATTCGGGCTTACCATACTCGAGTGTGCTGCATACGGCCTTCAGTACATCCGAAAGCAGCGCATACTCTTCGAACTGATCGTTCAGGCATTGCAATCTGCCGCTAAGATCGTCATCCTCAGAGCTCATAAGCATCGCAGGGCTGTTCGGGTAAGTGTCCTGCTGGAAGTACACCACCTGCAAGGCGCCATGCTTGAAGCTCTCACACACCCATCTTGATACGATATCGCATCAGTCAGCCTAGAATGGGTGCCCCGATCAGCTGGTCAGGTGTCCTTCGGGGGGATGGGAAACCTTAATCATCCTGTCTGATCACGGTGTCTTTGGCATAGCCAGGCATCAAATGAAGATACATCATGAAATCCTCTTTGCGGGTTCACATACATCTAGCAGGCGGAAGCCCAGATGCAGGTGATCGCCATTGCCGGAAAGGCCATACCTGTATTGCTTTGGCCTCCTTGAAATGCAACTGAATAGTGGCGTCATCTTTCGTAATGCTTTGCAGTTGCAGCGGTTGGGCTTGCTTGAATCTATCACTGAAGTACTTGGCATCTGCTGCAAGTGCTTTCGCCATCCTGTCTCAGTCAAGGGCTGGCCCCAGTTGATCAAGGAAAGGAGACGGACGGCAATGATAATGGATGTTCACAGACGCATGAGGGATGCTTTCGAGCGGTTTTCTCCAGCATCTGGCTTCCTTCACATCGCTTCTCTCTCCATTAACAGCGTTCACCCTTGGAGCTCTTCTATCTGGAGGGGTTTGACCTCTGACCCACGTAGGTACCCCGTCCTTCATCATCCAAAAGTTCTCGAGAGCCAGTACTCGACGCGCACTTCTTGTGTTCATTATCCAACTTGGAGAGGCCAAACAGTGAGAAAAAGTCCCTCACAGAAACACACCAGATCATGATGCAGACGCTGGCATACTCTTCGTCCCAGGCCGGAAGGCCGAGGGAGAATTGTTGCACCAGCACCGGCAGAAGTCTTCAGCCGAGTCCGGTGTCCTCGTGCCAGGGGATTCCGCGGCGGCTATCGCACTCCTTTGCGGGAACACGGAGTCAACCGATTGTTTTAGAGAGACGGTGAGCTTGATATTGACTGTCCTGCTGGTTCAGAAGCTGGTGGAGGCTCTCTGTGAAATCGAGTTGAAAGAAGTGTATCAGTAGAATTCATTGATGGCATTTTTTAAGAAAATGTACATTTTCATTTTGGCACCTGATGTGTGGGAGTTGTTGACGCAGAAACGTGGTGGTGAGTTCAAGCAGAACAGCACCAGTGAAGGAACCTTGGTGGGAGAGAAACAACCCCCCAAACATGAAGACAATAACAAGTGTGCAAGAATTTATTGACGAGCTGGTAAGAGTTTGTCTCCTTGTTGAAGGGAACTCTTTTATTGCCAAAAGCTGTTGCAGATATCACAATGGTCAATGAAGCATTGGGCTCACACTCAAGAATTGAGAATTCTGCAGGCTGCTGCGGGCGACAAATTGGTGATTGTGGACTTTTATGCAAAGTGGTGCAACGCCTGTCGAGCATTGTTTCCAAAGGTGTGCTGATCTCCTGTGCTCCTAGGCGCTGACTCCTGGCAAATCACTTGCACATGTCTTTCTTACCACTCTTAATGCTACAGCCAGGACACAGTGGTGCTGTTGGTTGAGCAGGCATCAATTTACATTTGTGTGGTGCATGACAGCTGTGCCAGATCTGCACGGAGAATCCAGACCTAGTCTTGTTGAAGGTGGATTTTGATGAGAACAGAGAAGTCGTCAAGCCACTAGGAATCAAGGTAAGTTGTGTCCTTTCATTCAAGCAGAGCATCCTGCATGCATCCATACATTTGCGTGTGCTGCAAGACAATCATCATGACTTCCATAACGAGAGTTCGCAAAGTATGATTTTAAGCTTCTTGCGCAGGTGCTGCCTTTCTTTCATTTCTACAGGGGCACTGAGGGGCGTGTCGGTGCTTTCTCTGCTTCTGTTGGCAAGATTCAGCGTCTTCGGTGAGCGCCATATCTCATGTACTTTGTGCATGTTTGGCAACGCTGCCGATTTCCGGCGGAGCTCCTCTTTCCCTGGTATTTACCTTGCATTATACCCATATCCCCTTAAAATGCAGCGTGAGACACTCCTTGTATCTTGCAGGGATGCTTTGGCAGAGCACAGCACCCCACGCTGCGCCCTTGGGAAGACTCTGTCGTTCCCTGAGTTCCCTGACATCATCCCTCGCACATTCTATGTGAGGCCCTCGCTGAATGTCCCTTACTAAGCAGCCGGTAGCTGGTCGTGATCCCTGCAAGCATCGCCAGGGAATCCAGATGTTTTCTTATGTCTGGCAGCACTCATGTGGATCACAATGGTGTAGGGTAGTGCTGATCTGTACTTAGGGCAACTCTCACCTGCTGATTGCTGAGCTTGTGATGCCCGCAGGGAAACAATGTGGTTCTGCGGCACCCGGTTCCTTCATTAGAGAGAGATGTTGAGAGGGAGACGAGGGAGCCTGCTGCCGTGTAGCATTGATTTGCAGCATTTTAAAGATGAGCAAGCACTGTTATAGAGAATAGGATAAGGAGCAGCTTCGAGGATGCAAGCAACTACATGTAGGATGAGGGTGGGCAAAGTGAGAAGTAGATGCAGAATTGGGCTGGGATTTAAAAAATAGCAAGCTTCAAGCATCCTCATAATGGTTGCTGCAGTGCAGCAGCCGCATCCACTCGATGCAATGGACCGATTGATTTCACGTTCCTATTTATATCATTGACGACATTCTTCAATTCCTCCAATGCCATAGTGTGTGGCTTGTATGGAATTGGAAGCCTTCTGAACTTGAATTTTTTTGCCCGAGTGGGGTTGTTGCATTTGCATCTCTAATGCAGAGCCAGTAACAGCCCGATGCCAATGGCGTCCTCTATCTGTACCCAGGCCCTTTTTGGTGGCTCAGCTGAATGCACAGTTGTTCATGTAGTGGTCTCAAACTCCAGCGTGGGCCATTACATGATGTACATGTAGATTGGTGTCTGGATAAGCTTTGTGTCTTTGACTTTGATAACTGACGCGTTGCAACACGTCTGTCTCGTGAGTGGTCTGGTCCACTGGCAAGTTGTCATAGACGTAGTAACGTACGTAATGTAATGGTGCTTGTCGAGCATCCGATGTCGGTGACCACCATGATCCAATCATCATGACCATCAGATGATCTCGGCGGGATGACTCATGATTTAATCTCGCCATGCTTGTCTTTCTTATTTCCAGCATCTCCCCCTGGCCACATATCAAACGCCTAACAAAGTGGCGCTCGCAATGCCTTCATCTCTTGCATTCTCCCTTCTCTTGTAGTGGACCAAGTAGTCTGGAAAAGCGCATGCCACTGCATGCTTCCTGATCCCTTACTAAGGTTTCTCAGTAGAATCGAGTTCCACACCATTTCGGCCGCAAAGAAACTCAATCGATGTGAAACAAACTTAACTCTTTGTTGAACTGTAAATTCCACCTAATGGAAAGCTCCTATGAAGAACCAAGTCCATGTGAGGACGATGGAGGTCCTTTGAGCCTCACTGCCTACGATAGTAACTCATGCTTGTGAGTTTGCTCCTATAATTCCGTGTATAACCTTCTGAAATTTTGTACTTGATCCGTGAAGAGTGTTCCGAATTGCATCACTAGGCATATGAGTTGCTCTTTAATGTGAATGCAGGCTCACGATAGGAAGTGGGGGAGTCATCCGCCTGAGAGACATCCGACAGGAGCTCATTAGCGGGGAATGGTCACGGGTACGACTATAATCCTTCTTGATGTTTAGAATGCCAGACTTTCATGCCTGACAGTGATGAAGATGCACCAGAAGGAGACAAAGAACGATACAAAATACGAGATACAGTAAGACAAGACGTCCTTTGTCATGATCAGGAAGTTGCAACACCGGACAGAGGCAGCACGAAGCTGTCCGGCAGCCGCGCCTTGAGGCCCCAACCAGAACTAGGTGTCAGGGCCGGGCAGCTATCTGTGAGTCATGATGGAGCCTATGCAGCAGCAGCCGGCACATCCGTAGAGGTGATGGAGGGCCATGTTTTTACCCCTCCACCACAAAATGTCTTGCAAAGGACATTGGGGAGTGCATGAGCAAATGGGTGCAGCTACCGATGACCGCTGTGCTGAGATAATGGCTGGTGCAGGACCCTGATCAGGCGGCTGTTTCGGTGCTGGACCTGACGTTCAGGAGGCCAGCAGCCCGAGATGGGACTGGCGCAGAGCGGTGCGAGAGCGCTCAGGTTGATGAGGAGCATTTCAGGTCCAGGCCGGGGCTGCGAGTGCTTCAGATGGCCTGGCATCCAGGTGCCCCTGTCTGACTCACCTGGCTTGGTTTGCCTCTGGTCCACAAGCTCTCCAAACATGCAGTGATGAAGACATGGGCCAACAATCACGGGTGGTGAACCTTGAACTTCCTTCCAATTGCAGGGAGCAGCACTCATCTGGCAGTGTTGACAAGCGACAACAGTTGGCAGCTGTACCATGCTGGCAACCTGTCCCACCCTGAGCAGCGCTTTGAGCTCAGATTGCAGCGGCGAAGGTTGGCCTCAATCCTGCTTGCCATACCACTGCAGGACCTTGTTGCACAACCAGAGATTAGAGCCTGCATGGAGGCGATCACAGCTTCAGAAAGCTTCTCAGATTATGTTGCAATTGCATGTCCTCAGAGTCTAAATGGTGGGTACGACATGCAGGGGGGTGGGAGTGGATGGGGGAGAGGGCAGGCGAGCAGTGGCCTTTGCTTTTGGGCCGCAGCATTCCTGGCAGCGTTTCACGGTCTATTTCCTGTGCTCGGACGGGGCGATTTTCGCGCTGTGCCCCGTGGCCTGCTTTGGCGCCGGAGTGCCAGCCAGTGCGGTGCAGGCACTGTCAGAGGCGACTGCTGAGAGGGATGACCTCGCACACTCCGGCACCACAAAAGCCTGGCTGCAGCAGGTACATTCTGTGCTCATCATTGCTCAACAGTGTATTGAACATGACAAAACCCTTGGAAGAGAGGCAGGAGGAAGGTCTCAAAACCCAATATGGTCCCCAGATTCCACTGTGTCGATGGAAATATTGTCACTTGTTTGCATGCACCGTATGAAAGGTATGCCATTGCCAATGGGAGCTGGGTTCGAGTGGCTGAGAGGACTGTGCATCTGCGCAGGCCCTGTCAGGGCCACCGGTGCAGGGCAGCCTGGGGGTTGGGGGAGTGAGCGTGCAGCGCCTTGCCCTGGACGAGCATGTGCCAGGGCTGTGTGGGCCGCTGGGCGTGGCCTGCGCGGAGGGTACAGCCGCCAGCTTCCTGGAGTGGGCGCAGGAGGACGTTGAAGCTGTCAGCCTCTGCGTCAACTGGTGACAATTCATTGTGCTGTGCCTCGTATAGGATCATATGGGCAATGACCATATTGATGTTGTCAGCATTACCACTGGAAACTGAGGCTGCCGTGCATTCTCTTCTGTCACCATTCTGGCGAACTTGGTTTATGTGTTGCAAAGTGAAGCGAGTGGTTGGTGCTGCCGCTGCAGGTTTGGTGGAGCTGCAACGGTGCTGGCCGTGGCATCTGCTCGTGGCCTGCTGGGCTTGCACCTTCTGGCAGAGGACATCTTTCCCACGTGGGCAGAGTCCGCTCCGCTCTGCCTCACAGACGACACCCTCCTGCTGGGTGTGCGGTCGGAGGTCCGCCATTTTAGACTCCACTTGTGACCCAATATCCAAGTCTTCAGTCTTGCCGAGATCTGAACTGGCGATGCCCGAGGCCGAAGGCTTTCATCATTTCTGACGAGTCGTCAGGGATTCTGAAGTGTGTTGTGACATGCAAACAGGTGCCAGTTGTGGATGAAGCGCCCCCGAGCCTTCTCCTGCTGGACCTTGTAGACCTCCAGTCACAGGCAGCCTCCAGGGGTGCGCCGGACGGCGAGCACACAGGGCGGGTGGCAATGCACCTGCTGCCTGATGAGGCTGCCCCAGAGAGGCTCTTCGTGCGCACCCAGTCAGCTGCCTGGATCGTCACTCTGTCATGGCTGCCAGCCCTCGCCAACTTCCTCGCCGAAGGTAGGACCACTGCCCTCTCACATCTATCTTCCAGTATGGTCTTGCACGGAGGATTACTTGAGCATGCATTGCCGGCTTTCCTATGATGGAGGAGCTGTATAAGCAGACGCTGTTTGTTGCCACCTTGAACGCATTTACAGCAGCCCACTCAGCAACAATGGAGGATGGTAATATGGAGTGCAGTCTTGCTCAGCTTGCAGTTGGTTGCACGAACATGCTCGATCGGTGGGTATTGGGTGATGTCAAATTATTTGCATGCTGCACTGCAGACAGGGAAGCCTTGGAGGAGGTGGCAGAGCTGCCACCACCCAGGGTGGAGCAGCTTTTCACTGCACAGCCGGGCAGCACACTCACTGGAGCCTGTGTGGTGGGGGATGCGCTGTCTGGCACCGCCCTCGTTCTGCTCACCTCCGACGGGGCCCACCACTGCCTGCGGCCCTCTGGCAGCCTCCCAGCAGACCAGGTGCTGTACACCTTTAATCTTGAAACACCAGCACGCTTCTTTGCCCCTCCTCTGCAGGTATCACTTGCCCATGTTGGCTTGACGCCTTGAGTGTATCTTGTTGCAGTCGTTCCCTATAGACAGAGAATTTGTTCATGTACCGGCAAGGCCGACATGGCATCAGGCTTCCTGACGGCTTGTGCGGTGCATGCAGCAGCCGAGGAGCGAGCAGCGGGACGCAGCAGCCCGCGAGGTTGAGGAGCAGGTGCAGCAGCTGTACGGGGCGCTGCTGCGCGGCCCAAAGGGGCAGCGCCAGTCGGATGGCCGAGCGTTGGCCGTCAGCAGCCCCGAGGGCACCAGGGCGCTGGGCGAGGGCATCCGGTCGCTGCTTGAGCGCCACGTGGAGTTCATCCACCAAGGCCACCACCACCTGTTGCCGGTGCGTGCACAAATTATTTTTACGGGTTTTAGATGGGAGCCACAACACCCGCGCGGCATGCAAACATGAGTTTTCTGAGGCCGTGGCATCGTCAGGCCCCGCAACTCATCTTGTCTTGCAGCTTGAGGGTCTGCAGAAACACACGAACTTGGCTTCCCGGCGAGGAACGTTTGCAAGGGTTGGTGAAGTCTGTGATATCTGAAGATACTTGCGGAGAGCAAGTGGATTTTTGATTAGGGGTTCACCACAAGACTTGCACGAAAAACTGCTACCGAAGACCTTGTCGTGTGCGGGTGCAGCGTGTGGAGGAGCTGAAGGCAGCGGGTGAGGCGCAGCTGCACCAGCTGGAGCGCATGACTGACCTCCACGCGGCAGTACAGCACAGCCAGGACACCCTGGTCGCCCGCCTGGACCGCGCCTCAAAGCTGCATGCCAACCTGCAGTCCCGGTGCGCGCTGCAATTCATGGGACGGGGACACCCCTTTCGTTACTAACGGTTTTCCCAATCTTACACGCGCCTCACACCCCATCCTTGAGTTTACTCGCATCCTGCCTTGCCTGGCTTCAGAGGCTCTTCGCGCAGCTGCCCCTCTTCATGCATGCACTGCATAGAGGCCCTTCGTCAAACATGACGCCACGCCTAGAAAATTCTTATTCGTGGCGCTGGTTTTCTAGGCACTGGTTTACTTCGAGGAAGTTCACCCTGATGAGGCTCTTGCTCAGTAGCTTTGCTGTGACAAGAGGCGGCGTGATGCCTGGGTGTGGCGCTGATATGGGACTGGGGCGATGGATGCCAGGGTGAAATTGTTGGCGGAGCTGCACTTCCAGCTGCCGCGGCCGCTGTCGCTGGCGGAAACTCGCATGCGCGACGTAGTCATCCCTGACGCTGAGGCCGCCCTCACGGACCTCCAACGCAGCGTCCAGGTTTGCGCATGCGCTCTCCCTGCCTCGCCCGGCCTCTTATGGACGCCAGTAATGGGCATCTGGCACAATGACTGGAAACAAGGCGGTATTTGGAATGGGATTTGCACTTCTGAACCCCTGACATGAACAAGCCCAGGGGTATTGCATGCTGGCCGTGAGTGATCACGATCACCCATGCAGCTTACTGCCTGAGTTCTTCAGGGGAATTGCAGCAGTGCTGTGTCTTTTGTGATTCCATCTGCCCTTCCCATGCGGGGAGCAGTGTGTTGAGCTGGCCAGGAAATCAAAGGCTTTTTTACTGCGCAGAGTGCGAGGAGGCGCTGGGCGGCGCTTGGCAGCAAGGCGCAGCAGAAAGCGGCGGCACCGATGACATCATCGGTGACGTCACCGTCGGTGCCGGCCGCGCAGCTGCGCCGCGTGCGCGCAGCGCTTGCGGAGCAGGCCGCTCTCACCGCATCCGCCAGCCGGGGCCTGGCCGCCATGCAGGCCTGGCTGCAGGCCTGGCAGCAGGAGGCTCAGTATTAGCTCTGAGAAGGTCATGAGCGTTTGGCATGCATGGGTGTTTCGTGCTTGCAGGCTGCTGCGTGTCTTGCATGTTATGCTGTTGTGTAGAGCGATGTGCGTGAAGTCTTCATCGGTTGGCTCGCAGCATGACCACCCAAATGACGACGACATGGCATGCAGTACTTGATTCTATGCATTTAGAGCATGCAGATTATAAACACACTGCTCTTCTCAGGGCGCACCCATGATGGTGTTATATTGCGATGTAATAGAAGTAAGCACGATGACTGGTCATGTACCTCAGGTAAAGGCTATTTACTGGGCATATGAGCCTGAGCATATACAAATTTAAGTTCAATATCCAAGTTTACCCGGTCCAGCACAAGCTAACGTATGCTGCCGCATAGCGCCTGTGCCATCATGATGGTCATACCCCGTGTCGGCGCGTTTTATTGCGTAATGCATGATGTACCGCCCCTGCCAGGCAGTGCCAGCGCTGGGTTCTTATATATCTTGTAAACCTACACGGCAATTCAATGAAGTTCAGACGTGATGCTCATTAATTATAATGGCAGTGTCCACACTGTGGACTCCACAGTGTGGAGTCAACTCCACACCGGTGCTAGGTATGCAAGGATTTAGTGGGCAAAAGCTTGCTGCAAAATTAAGGGCAAAAGAATTAGACAGGCAGCTGTCAGCCTCAGACCTGAGATCTGTATGCAAATATTGAAGACTTCAGTTGTGCTTACCGTGGCACACAGTGCACAGACTGTGCGTGGCTTAAATGCATGCATGCAAAAGTAATATTGATATCATTGATATTCTTACACGTGCACGCTAATCCTGTCAGGTGGCAAGATGCGTCTGCAGACTATCATGGCATTCATATGACTGTAGAAGCTCGGAGCTTCTGCAGTCCCAGGCAAGTCTTACTCGAGTCAATGAGAGTCGGAGTCAAGTGAGAGGCAAGCTTGCAATCTGTACCCGCTGGTGCAAGACTATACCCCAATTTTGCTCAGTTGACCTGATATCTAGCGGACATGCACCCCACCCATCCATGCATAAGCGCTTCACGTGCATTTCACAGTGCAAAATGGGGAACCTTCTGGAGCACGGGTAGCGCTGTTTGATGCAACGCTGCCACGACTGTCCATCACTCGTTTCAGGGAGGGTTCCTTCCCTTGACCAGGGGGTCGATACGTCTCTAATTCTGGTGGTGCTTATCCACTGTCGAGAGGGATAAGTTCCAGCGCCGCTCAGAGTTCCATCCCTCATTTCCAGCGCAAGAACAGCCTTAGCAACTTTCGATCCCTACAACTTCAGTGCAATGGCTGCTCTCACCGCTTCCCTGGTCTCCTGCCCCGTGGCTGTGGCTGCCAAGCCCAGCAAGGCTGGCTTCTCCGGCCTGGCCCGCGTCGCTCTCCCCGCGAAGGCTGTCCCCACCTTCGCCCAGAGGACCGTCTCAAACGGCTGCCGCACCCGCCAGATGCTCGTGTGGGAGCCCGTTGACAACAAGTAAGCAGCCTCCTCTTCCCAACCTGTGAGGGTGGTTCTGGGTTCCTGGCCACAAGGTGGACTAAGGATAAAATGTTTAGCTGCTTGCTCAGTGAATTCTTTGGCACATACTGTTGTTTGTCGCAAAGCATACAGAACTTGATCTGGGTTCATGCACAGCTCTGCATGTGGGGCTGCAGCAGCCTTTTGTGGTGTGTGGATAAGTTTGGGGTGGCATCGCTTCGTCTGCATTGGGTTATGTGTCCTGCGGAAGAAGGGGGCTGATGCTGGGGTTTGTCACTGTCTTGCAGGTTCTTCGAGACCTTCTCCTACCTGCCCCCTCTGACCGACGACCAGATCGCCAAGCAGGTCGACTACATCATCCGTCAGGGCTGGACCCCTGCTCTGGAGTTCTCGAACGCTGAGAGCGCCTACGTGAAGGATGTCGCCAACATCCGTTTCACCGGCGGCTCTGCTAGCTGCAACTACTACGACAACCGGTGCGCCACGGCTATTCCTGTTTGTCTTATCTCTAAAGCGTGTTAGAGCGAAGTAGGGAGCGAGCCGCCGTACTGTCCTTTCTGTGCTGCTTTGAGACTCAATGCTTTTGTGCTTCATCGATCTTCCAGAACGCTCTGTATGATTTGTTTTAATGAATTGTTGCACGTCCGTCCGCAGCTCGTGCTCTGCACCCTACTGGTGTCCGAGAGCATTGGGTTAAACGCGCAGAATAGAAAATTTGCTGGCATCCATCTGTGCTGCAGTGCCAAATGTTTTTCTTTCTTTGCTAATTTTCGATCGTGACAGCCTGGAGATGGTGCATTTAAGCGTCAAGTTGGGTCGAGTGCTGCAATGCCTTCAACGTTTCTCGATGGTGTCCGCAGGTACTGGGCGATGTACAAGCTGCCCATGTTCGGCTGCACTGACGCCTCCCAGGTGCTGGCTGAGATCGCCAACGCCGTCAAGACCTTCCCCGACTCCTACGTCCGTATGGCAGCGTTCGACGCTGTCCGTCAGGTGCAGACCGTCGCCATCCTGGTGCACAGGCCCGCCTCTGCCACCGACTACAGGCTGCCGGAGAACCGCAGCCGTTGATCGGCTGCACAACGCAATTAGAAAGACCTCAGTACTGTAAATCATTAGCGAACCTTTAAACCTGCAGATTCCCTGTGGCTTAGCTGCTCCAAGGAATAGTACTTTCAAGACTGGGGGTGCCTGCTTGTGATTGCTGAACTGTTGGTCCATGGATTGTCCCATTGTCTGTGAGCACATGCTCCACTTCCACCTGTATTGGCATCTGCCTTCTGTCTGAGGGACTGCTGAGAAGAACACCGAGAAGAACAAGAGCGATATGTAAGGGGCTTATTTGGGGTCGAAACCGGCCAGTCTGGGCTTGCTCAGGGCATGGCAGAGCACAGCATAATGCACCGCACTTCATGCAGTCTCATAGGCACATTTGCACATTCAGACGCATCTGCATGCGGCCATGGTCGAAGCATGAAGTCATGGCACTTAACCTTCACCTTTTAATGCGCCATGAACATCATGATCTTCATACCTTGGAAGCAATGCCCGTTTCAATTTACCATCCAACATATTGTGTTCATGCTCACTCCTGTATTGATTGAGCGTCACACATATCAAATCATCAGTAGCACGCACATCATGAATACTCGAGAATATGCATGCCAGCACGCACCAAAGTATCACCTGCCATATCATATAAGGGTCTGCAAGGCTGCTTGTGGATGTATGTCAGTCCAAATTAGCGACAGGTCAAGGGCAGGACATGGATGCAAATCACAGGCCAAACAAATTGTGCGTGCTGCGGGTGGGTCCAGCCATTTTCTGTCATTGTAAAGACTGCCCAGATCCTTGCAATAACAGCGCTTCTTGGTGAAACAAGCAAGGGGGGGTACGCAATGCCCCACGATGCCATTAGCAGTGCCTGCGGCCACCTGTATTGCTGAGCTACTACACAGCAGCATGTAGACCCATACCAAGCCAGCAATGCAAGGTCACCAAACAGATCCTAAGACCTGCACCTGCACTGTAGGTGAAGTACTCAAAAGGAGCATGCCCCGCTGTTTTCTGCCATGCACATCAGATGACAGGAGTGCAAGAGCAAGCGCGCTCTCTCTCTCCCTCTCTCTCTCTATCTGATAGTCTTGTGAGCAATGCTGTCACAAAAAGTTCACAAGGCAGTGTGGCGCTGGTGGGCGCCTTTGCTGGTGATGTGTCAGGCCAACAGCAGTAAAAGCTTGGCGTTTTACACAGGAATTTTCTTACATAAAGTTTGTAAATGCATTGCCAGGTAACTTGTCAGCATCAGCTCAGCAACCCACAGCGCAACGCCGCTGGGGCACAATCAGAGCTCTGAGTTCACTCTGCAAATAATGGACATGCAGCAGTGGTCGTGCATCATGCTTGCTCCCCCAAGCGCCCAGTCAGCTCAACAGGGCGAAGAGCAACCTGATGTGGATCTTCAGAAAAAAAGTAAAGGCAGACAAAGCTACTGCCAGTGGCAACCGACACGAACAATGATCATGCAACTCTGGCCACTAACACTGTTATTTTCCCCTGATATCTTAAATAATAATTCGGTGCTGTCGTCGGATTGCTGTCTGCCAATTGGCGCTATGTGCACCGCTTCTTTGCAAGCCTCGTCTGCAGGCCTCATCCCAGCATTGTCCAGTCACTTTGCATGGGCCGGGTGGACGCTCTTTCCCTTGTGGCCCAGGCGGTAGGGGTGCAGCACAGTGACTGCGCGCTTTGAGTTGAGGACGATCCACTTTGCGATCGAGGTGTGGAAAGCAGCCTGCAAGTTGCACATTGCAACAAGCATTAGCTGAAGGTAGATGGGAGCATACAAGGCGCCGTTCTTCCGACATTCCAGTCACTGCAGATCTGCTCTACAGCATGCTACATAAGCACCATTCCATGTCCAAAGTGCAGGGACTCGGCAGCAGATTCTGCTCTGATGCACCCTGTAGGTCACTCCATGCCCAGCACAAGTAATACCTATAGTTTTGCAAAAATCTGAATAGATCAGCAGACGCAGTGGGCCCAAGAATTTGAGCTACAATTCCATCACAGAGAGCTTCTGCCCTTTGCAGAGCAGCACTTTCAAAGCTTCCAGGGCTGTTAAAACCGTGCCAAGCATCAGCAAGACCAGAGAGTGCACACCTCGACAAACTCATGCTCGTGGGGCACGCAGACGATGCAGGCAGCGTCGATCTCATCGGCCTTCTTCACGATGGCGGATGCCGGGTGCGCCTCGTCACTGGGCTTCCTCACAATGTCCACCACCACTATGATGCCTGCAGCCACCAGCTTGGGCACAAAGCGCTCCTGGATGAACCTGTTGGCTGCCACTTCCTGCACCAAACGTGGGCAGATTTGACATGCAGGCTTGCTGGTCCTACTGCTCCTTGTTTGCCTCCGGTCTCTCTTGGGGATGCCACCCCTTTGAGCAGCTGCTGGGCGAAAGGGGTGGCCCTTAAATGCCTGGTATGCAGGATAGGGCAAGGTTTGGAGGTGATAGTCAGCAGGCTCAATGGCTGCAGGCTGCAGATGGGCAAGGTGCAAGCTAGCTTGCCAAGGGAAATTGTCCTCTAGACTGCAGTGCAGCGTACCAGGGACTTCTCCTGGTAGAACTCGCGCAGCTGCTCGCTCTCGTCCTTGATCACGTGGACCAGGTGGAACTCATCGCCTGCAACATGGTGCAGACCTTCAGGAGACATCTTCCGTCACAACAACGGGACTTCGGCAGGAGACATCCCAGAATTGGCATCTGCAAGCTTTTTTGGACTGCTCAGTTCATGAGGTGTTACCTCCCGATAAACTTATAAGCGTGCGACCTGCCTGAACAAAGCGGATATCCCTGTGACATTACCTGGCTTGAACAGGTTGACGGCAGCCCAGTCGGCAGCATCCTCAGCATCCTGGATACAAAAATTTGAGTTCACATCAATCACAAATCGTGCTCTTTGGATTGAAGTCAGCTATTTACACTCTGCATCGTCACACACTGCATCGTGACTGCCAGAACCGAGTGAACGACCTCGTCAAAGGTCCTTCCATCTTCACACCATTGCGGTGCTGAAATCCACATCAAAAAAGGTACTGCACAAAGAGAGCTGAGATACTTTAGAAATTGGTCAGCATTTCAGATCGCAATGGGTCGAAGGTTCTCACGGGTGTGTTGTCCACCGCAATTAAGATGTTTCTTCCAGTGTACGCTGCCATACTTGCAGATTGTTGATTATTTGAAGGCGCGAGATGGGTTGAGTTTATGTTTAGGTCACGCAGTCCTTTGAGTCAGAGCATCGGGGGAATCCTGCTCCGAAATATTCTCTCGGAATATGCACGTGGGTGCAATCTCCAGGCGTTCCCATCCACCTACATGCAATGCTGGGAAAGGAGATTCTAGGATGTCTCCATGAGAGTTTATTGGCGCGTCAGATCCTCCTCTCGCACTGGCACATACTGGTCTCAAGTGCTGCAATTCAGACTTCAGGTGCATCTGTACATAATATCCAACTTATCATATCGATGCAATAATTGCCAACTCATTGAATGTGATCACATGAGTCAATTGCACTCAGTGGCTGGCGGCAAGCCTGCACACCTTATAATCATCACCGTGCCAGTGCCATCATATAATGGATAATTGGTTGCATGCCAATGCAGTGCACATTTATCTTTGAAAGCAAAAGTATCACCAAGTTGGCAGTCACAGTGTCACTGACGAGGGCATGATGGTGCAGGAAGTGCTTAAATCAAAATTTTCTAGATCTGGTGCATGCACTGCACATGCATGTGACATCATGCTTACCGTAATGGCAAGCAAGTGCCGTACCGAGCAAGTGATTTCTATTACAATACATCTTAAGTATTCTACAGAGAAGGGGCCTGCGTCAAAGAGAAGTCAACACAGGCGGGACAAGTGTCACGGTACTTGGATACTTCGCTGCAGACTGTAAACAGGACAATCCTCAGCTACTCTCATTCATGTGAAGAGTGCACAGAGGCTTTCACTTTCAAAAAATAGGCGGAATGCATTTAGACTATGTGACTAAGGCTCATCCTTCCAGCAGCGAGGCTGCAGAAGGTGCAGCTTAGCCCATAGCTGAGGGCGCCATAGCTCCCATCATAGCAGGGGCCGGTGCAGGGGCTCCGTTGAGAGCATACTGGGCCGGGAGCAGCACAGTGTCGACCACGTGCACAATAGCCTGCACCCATGTTCACACAGAGTTAGGCCCACTCCTACATATCCAGGCTGTGTGCTCCCAAGTCAGGGCATTCAAGTGTTATGTATTATTGCATCTGCGCACCTCAAGAGAGGGTTGGTTGAGTGCATGCTGCAAAAAAGTTTACATGCGCTGTGACAGAAACATGGAGATGCCAGGCTCAGGCAGCTTGCATTGAATGTTGCGTAAATCAGGCAGATCCAATGAATCGTCTACTGACGTACGGCAAGTGCAGTGTTACCTTGCTGGCGACAATGTTGGCCTGGGTGACATTGGCAGCAGTCTGGACACCAGAGATGACAACGCCTGAAGGCTTGAGGTAGACAGTCAGGCTCTGGCCTGGCAGGTCGGTGGCCAGCACCTGGTTGTCGGTCAGGCTGGAAGACTGCACACCACCCCACTAAACATCAGTCACCTTTTCCTCCCAACCATTCTTCCAGGTTGTTGCTCGTCTGCCTGATAGGCACGCTGCCTCTGGCAGGACTTCTTCGGAACAGTGTGTGATAGTAATAGTAAAGGGCACCAGGGGCAATGCAGGTCTATCAGATGCTTCCAAGCTCAGCAGGTCAAGCCGGCACCCTATCATCGAGTGATTTCCAGCACTCAAACAGTGAGGGCGGCCGACTCTATAAGGACTCACTGCAGAATGTGTTCTGACGATTTAACACAACTCCTGATCGTTGCATGATTGCAAGCATACACTGCAGGAAAAGGTGAGAAAGAGGTAAGAACAGTTATATGACGCACCTGTGCAGCAACCTTGGGGACGACGTGGTAGAGGAGGGTGGGCTTGAGGATGGCAGAGTTGAGGAGCTGCTCCTGGGTGTAGCCCAGGCTCTTCTCAAGCGCCACGAATGCATCGTTGGTGGGCGCAAACACAGTCGCCACCAGGTTGGGGTCGTTCAGCACATCTGCACCATGCACACAGCAGATGAGCAAAGCAAAGCAAGGATTGAATGTACGCAGCAGAGCAAGAGACAGGCAGGAGCTCTAGGGCAGGGGACAATCCTCATGTGTGGACCTTGTTGGCCTCAAGCCCATCAGAAATGTCCCTGATGTCTAGCACATCCAAGCAGTTTTCATCCACTGGAAACCAGGTGAGCTTGGTGCAGAAATAAGGATATGAATGGGAAAGGAGCGTGGACTGCACCTGCAAGGCCTGTCTTGGTGAGGGCAGCGACCAGTGTGGACAGGGCTGGGGTGGCCTGAGCTGTCTGGGTGACTGTCTTCTGCTGGAGCAGAGTACGTCCATTTCCTGCAACAATCAAGAACACTCTCATTAGGCCAGATAGTCAGATCGATGCACTTCTTCACGCGAATATCCGTCAGCTCGAGATCTCCTAGGAGGCCCTGTTCTTAAAACAAAAGACAAAATGGGACATGTGATACCTCATTCATATTGTTTTTAATATCAAGAAGCCTACTGCTTCATATTTTGCTTCAAGCTTCCAGCGCGTGAGCTTGTTCGGATGACTGAGATGCCGCATGACAGAAACCGTGCAGCCCGAATGAAAAGCCCTAGGCTTTTCGTGCAAATGGTGAAATTCCTAATGGAGATTTACAAAATACTCGTGTCACTCTGTGTAGTCACATCCACTCGGCGATAGAAGATCGAAGAGAGCCCAGGAAGTCAATGAGAAGCACGTGTAGGAGCGCGTCAACTTGACAAGACACTCGCTTCTACTGTATGATAACATGCACTGGGGTGTAAATTCACGCCGGGAACGTGAGAACAAGCTGTATCTCTACGACCTTGACAAATCCTAGGATCATAATACCATCCCGGCGGCACCACCTGATCTTTGGATTCACGGCCTCACAGGTGAGAAACACCCGTAAGATGCGAAAAGACCAATCCGACTCTCTTGTCGCTGTGTGGTCGCTGCGTGTTGTCTCGCGCTCTACACCTTCCGAAGAATATTCAATGCGATGGACATGGTACAATGCAAACGAGCTTTGCAACCTACCCGCAGAGACGGCGGTGATGGCGAGCGCAGCAACGAGGAGGAAGATTGCCTTTGCCATTATGTTGCTGTTGGTGTGAGGATCGTGAACTGTTGAACTGATTTGTCTTCTGTGGAATTTACGACTCGGGGGGTGGCCGATGTCCACCCCCGCTTACCGTGGCACATTCTTGGTCCAATTCCTCTCCAATTAGTCAATGCATATTCACCACATCCCCCTTTTCTTGGCTACGTAGCAGGCAACGTTACCCATGCAGTTGAGGCTTAGTCAGTGTCACAGGTCCCTGCTGGGTAGCTACTCAGTGCATGCGGGGCTGCACCATAACACTGCTGATTCCTCATTGTGTTTGGCCATGGCCGCACACCACGGGTCATGTCAATACAGTATGGGAAGTATTCAACAATGAGCAAGCCAAGATGACGTTATCTAGACACCCATGTATGATGATGGCCGTGCTCACTTGGAGTCTCGGCTGCCAGCTGTGCAGGGAATTTTTTAAATCTTCAAGCCAAATTGCTGCAATGTTAGCTGATGCCATGTGAGCCCAAACACACCCAGCAGCTGACGAGTCCAGCATTACCGGTACACCTCAGCATCATCATTCGAGATCAAAGGCTGCCTATCCTGAGGCTAAGGGTTTGCTAAGGAAAGACAATGCTCAAATCCATCTTTCATCAGTACAGTGATGCACCTTTATGGTGCAGTTGTGTAAAAAGGTATCCCTCAACAGCAGCAAGCAGCACATTCATTCGCTGCAACGTGGCATCAACGTGCTGCTTCACCAGAGAGCAATTTTGTTGTCCGCCACAAAGGAGTAAAGTGCTTCTGGTTTCCGCGCCAAGGGGTGCTGCGGTGCCTGCACCAACAAAACATATCGCCTCAGGTCTTCACGATGTACACATCAGGACGCCTGAAGATGCTCATTCATGTTCAGGTCATTGTGCAGAATGGACCGTTGTTTGCACAATTAATGCGCAGCGGCGTACCACTCTGCCTTTCCCCCTCCATTGTTTCACAAAGAAGCTTTCAATCCTCCGCGCCTGCATGCCACATTTGGTGAGTGGCCGGCGCGGCAACATCCCAGCTCAAGGAGAGGCCTTGGTACCTCCAATTGATGGCAGCAACGACCACAAGCATAGGGCTCAGGGGTGTCATCTCCTCAGACTCGTCACGAGCCAAAGTGAGAGGGGTGGAATATGGGACTGACCAGGCGCACTGCAAGGGGCTCCCCAGAGAGTGTGAGGGGTGTGGGCCGGATGGTCAGCATGCCATGCCTGTTGCCGTACACCACGTCTGTCAGGTAGCGGTCCCCTATCATCACCAGTTTCGACGGCGAGCACCTGCGCAGTTTACAACCCGCCATCATGCGCTGCAGGGACTGCATGTGTTAAGTCCCCAGTGATTGACACATCCCTCAGGGGCATTGCTCCAAATGCACAGAAAACAACCTCGTCCCTTGTCTTTAGGAAGCCAAAAGCTGCAAGATACAAATTGAGCAAGACCACCTTGTTCCGGAAAGGCACAGAATGCACCAACGGCTGTCTCAGTGCTTGCATGAGCAGTCAGAGGCGGGTGGCAGGCAGTGTGCGCACCCAAAGTGGGCTTCCAAAGTGGCAGCTTCCCCGGCCGGCTTCTTCTCGGTGTGCCTCAGCACAGGGATCCCAAGCGCGGTTTCCAACGCATCCGCATCGTGCCCTGACCATCAGCTGTACATGAGTAATCAAAACCCATAGTTTCTGCAGTGAAGCTGTGAAGCAGCTCTGTTGCCATGTCGTCAAGTTTTCTTTCAGTACCTGCTAATACAGAAGAGACTCTGACAAAGCCTATAGGGGGCACCTTTCTCTTTTTCTTCATGCACCAGTCATTGCCTTTTCAAACACCAAGCATCAGGTGGCCTGCATTGCCTTCGACACAATGCACTCGCACCATGCAGCCCTCGTTTCCTTTAAACCCAGTGCCCTTGCATCCCCGAGGCGTCGCCGCACCTCGGGGGTCAAATTGCGCAAGCCCAGCAGAGTTGCTGAACAGGACTAGGCGGCCGCCGAAGGCCTGCTGGCACCTGCGCAGGCTGGGCAGCAGCTGCGGAGCCACCTCATCCGCATAGGGCTCCGTCAGCGTGTTGTCCTTGTCAAAGACGCAGCCCTCAAAGCCTGCCTTGCGCAGGGCCTCCCAATCCACCCAGGCTATGGACGGCACGCTCACATGCGGCAGCGCCCACTCGTTCTTCCCCTGGCCACCAGATCATGTCAATTGACATGCCAGAGAGAAGCAAAAATTCCAGATATTATACTTTTGCCAAAGGGCAGACTTCGCTTGCATGGGCAATTGTGAGAGCTATTGGGCATGGCCTGCCCATTCCCCTCGTCTTGAGAATCTGATAACATGAGTTCTGGAGGGCATTGCAGTGAAGATGTCCACAGACCAGAGCGAGTCTCACAGTATGTGCACAGAACTGCAAACACTGCGATGCCAAATGTCAGAGAGGTGATGTGGTGAACAGGGGTGAAGAGCGCACAAAGAGCACGCGCATGAAGAGGCAGATGCCGACTAAGTTGAAGCTCTGCCCAAGTCGCTGCCACAAGGACCGGTGGTGCAGCGGTACATCGTTCTTTGCTTCGACAGTGGCAAGGGATGGAGATTTGGAAGGCAAATATTCTGCTTGGGCTTTCAATTTTGGTTTGCGTTGGGTTGTGTAGTCCTCCTGCATGTATTCACAGACTCAGGCCTGCTCAATGCACTCAATGTCTAGACAAAACCTCAGCACAAGGAATCCTGAGATGTGCAGGTATTCACGGCTATCTATTGAGGCATCGTCACACTGTGAAATGAACACAAGTGGATCGCCAGATCACAGCTTATTCTGATAACAGGATGTGATCTGAGTCACACCTTCATAAAAATTGGCCTCATATCATTGTGGCGCCCATTGCTAAGTCTGTGCCCACTCGAATTTTGGAGAGTGCGATTTCCAACAAATAACGTTGCTGTTTGTGCACCTCTGAACTGCGAAGTGTGTATTTTCGGAAGAAATTGGAACGGCTGCCTGTGGCTTGCCGCCAGTAGCATATGAATGTACAATCTGTCCTTTATTAAGCTAGGAAGATAGCAAGTTATTCCGAAGCTTCCAAGACACCCAAACACACCACAGCTTCCTTCCAGGCGGATTTAGGCACGTGACCACAGCCCAATGTCACTTGCAAGGATCCTGCTGCTCATCTCACTCTCTCTGTGTCTGGACTCTGCTTCTAAAAGCATAGCCTTTCTTTGGGGCAAGGAGGACACTAAATTGACATACGCTTCCGGACTCAATCATGCAAGTTTCAATCTAGATGGCCACCAAGCTTGTTCATGCGCGAAACGTTAATTAACATGCAGTGCCAACAATGACTCACACTTTGGAAGCCTCCAGCACACTGAGCATGCCGACGCACCAGGAAACATGTGAGTCATCAAGTATCTTCAATTACAAGGGCCAGCAATCTTATGTCCAGCATCAACACAAATATGTCAGGCGAAGAAGAGCCGATACTTGCACAGCAGCACAAATAGTCACTGCCAGACCAAAAAATGTCGGTATAAATATATTCATTCACAGGACGTTTCGCCCTGCTTCCTCACCCAGGGTAGCGTGGCAGCGTTCAAGGAGCACAGTTCTCAACACAATGAAATGTACACGACGTGTCTGCTTATACAGTCCCGGTGCGCAGCCAGCAGACAAGGAGGAAACCGTTCAGATCCGCTCAAGACATGCCATCCAGCATCAGCTGGCAGTCCTCTTCTCAATGATGTTACGGACCGTCTCCCGGATGTACTCCTTGATGCGCGGCTCCAGCTTGCGTCGGTCCAGCGGCTTTGGCGCGTTTGTGCGCTGACGCTCCGAAAATGCCTGCATGGCCAATCAACGCTTGCCTCTGGAACCATTTGTGAGATGGAGACTCTTCGGCACACTGTAGCACAGAGCGTACCCAGGCTGTATTAACAAGCTCAGGCAATCGATCTTCCAGGGAGGAACCTGCATGCATGCCACAGGGATGCCACACACACCTGGAAGAACTCAACAGGCAGGGACACCAGGGTCTGGAAGAGGGAGGAGGAGAAATGTGGAGGAAATTGAAGAGAGGTGGTGGGCGGCATTGGATGGTGAGCAGGGTGGAGAAAGACAAACCTTGCGCTCGTTGTCGATGACGACGCGGAGGGCCTTGCGGTAGGTCCAGACAGCCTCCTCCGGAGAGATGCGGCTGGCGCGGTCGGGGCGGCAGTACTCGCGCAGGCTGTACATCGCACACTCACGCACCCACTCCTCAAACCGCGCCGACGGCTCCGTCCAGTTGTCCTCCCACACCGATAGCGGAATCGCCACTGCGCGTTGCATCAGCAACTTTCAGCAAACAAGCAGACACGGACGAATGCAGTGGAACCAAAACACAAGCACAAGCAATAAACAATGTCAACTGGATGCAATAATAAATGTCAAGTGCATGCAGTTGAAACTAGCAAACTGAAAGATTTATTAAAAGATATATTAGCTGAAACGTGGGTGGAGAGGGTCAGCATTCACCTCCGGATTTGAGGAGGTCTCCCAGTTCGGCGCTGTCTCCACGCTGCAGTACACCATGCACCTGCTCTGAGGGGTTCTGCCAGGCAGTGCCGGAGGGCCGGTCTAGGCTGGCGTGCGCGGCGCTGCCGTTCAGCACCATTGCGCCTGGGCCCCTCGAAGGAGACCACACGGCCGCTGGCGGCTGCTGCAACGAGGGGCTCCAGAAGTCCGGCAGCAGCGGCGGCGGCGGCGGCAGCGCGAAGCCGGGCGGCGCCTCCGGCTGCGGCGCTTCCGCGTCCCACCGCGAGACGCGCGCCGGCGCGTCGGCAGCCGAGCGCGGCCGCGCCATCGGCGCTGGAAGCGCGCCCGGCAGCTCTGGCGGCGGCTGCGCCAGCGTGAAGCCCTCCAGCAGCGGCGGCGGTACCGGCGTGCCGGCCAGCGGAGACGACGCGCCGTTGGTGCCTGCCGAGGCCGCGCCAATGCCTGCATGTCCACGAAGCTCTCATCAACTTGCTGCGCCGTGTCTCGAGCAATCGGGGAAAGGGAGGAGCAGTGAAAGAGCAAGTAGAATAGTAACACCTGGTCAGGTGCTGCATGGGTGCCATGGGAGAAATGGGAAAATTGAACTTACCAGGGGGCAGAGAGGGCTGCGTATCAGTCGTGGTCAGGTCTGCGAAGGAGCGCTTTCGCGAGTCGCCGAGCCAGGACGGAGCGCTGCTGGGCGGCATGGCCGACCCATTGTGCAGCCTGTGGAGCGGCCTGCTTTGGCCGGCAGACGGCAGACTGGACACTGGCATAGAGGCAGCCTGCACGCCACGAAATTTGGCCTCAACCACCGCCAATGCATTACATCAAAGTATCAGGACAGTTGATTCCCATCCGGTTGAAGATCCTCCGCATGCCTTTCGCAACTGGCAACTGCAACCGCGGATGTCTGAAGCATAGCTCAGGGGAAGCAGAATCGAGAAGAGGGCGCACAGGGGAGAAGGGGCCGTCGAAATGCAGCAGGGGCGGCGGCTGGGGGCTCATGAGGTCGCGGTGGCCATTCTGCAGAGGCGGAGGCGGAGGCGCGTGGGGTGCGGGGGACATGAAGCCGCCACCAAAGGAGGGCGACATCAGCAGCTGCTCCGGCCGGTGGATCTGCGGCGTGCGCATCGGCTTGTGCCGCCCGCTCCCCGCACTCATCATCCGCCCTGGACACACACACGAACTCAGTACCCAGCCCACCAGCACCAGTACCGTAGCCAGCACCATAAACCCCGCACCCCTCAAATCGCATAAAAGTCATTCCTTCCAAAGGATGATGTTCCATCACCACCAATGGCTCGGGCTCGGCGAGAGCCTTTTAAAAGTGGTCTCGTAATTGTCGTAGGGCTTATATTTTGCATTTGAGGGTCTCAAAATATTGACCCTTTTTTGTAGAACTAAAATTAGAATAGATCATAATTATTTTTTGCGCGAAATATGATGCTGAGTACAGTATACACATCCTGCTGATCAATGCATCACCAGGAGCGCTGCACAATAGCGTCCGATCCCTATGGATTTGGCCAAGCTTGATTTCTGCTGTGCCAAAGGAAACCTTTGGCTGTACTCATGCAAATTTACAATGTACAATGTGAGATTGATAAGAAGCCCTGCAGATAGAATCCACCGACACGTTCGCCAAAGACGACCTTGTGATGGCCCAGAAATTGCGGCATGGCAATGAGAGGAAGAGGCACCTGAATCGTGGAAGCGGTTGGGGCGGTAGGGGGTGCGGCCGTTGCCGTCGGCGGTCCAGAAGCCGCCGGTGTAGCGGCCGCCAAAGCGCTTGCGGCCGCCGCGCGCGAATCGGCTGCGCTCGGCCTCGGCCGCCTCCGCCTGCACCTTGGCGCTGCACTTGGACAGCGGATACTTCTTCAGCACCGCCGCCGACCGGCTCCTCACCTGCGCAGCACAACTCTGTCTGTCACAGCCAGCTCTGAATGCGGCTCACAAGTGCTCGCATGCTCAGCTGGTCAGTGACTCTCCCACTTCTGTCCACTGTCTAATTCACAGTAGCATCTGTCCATTGCTACCTCAAAACTACAAGAAATGAAGAAGTTTTGATGCATGCGCAAGACAATATTGATCTGATTGGTGCATCTCGAATGCCCTTAGATACATGTTGTTTCAAGCTTGAAATGTAAAAAAATGCGACTGCGGGGTGAACAACCCACAATGGAGTAGACCATAAGGACGAATGAGGCACACCTCCAGGTCGGTGTGGTGGGACAGCTGCTCAAGGACATCCCCAAAAGAGCCCTGCGCGGAGGAGGCCTTGTGGATGTGGTCGGGCGAGAAGGGCAGGTACTCCACTACGCGCAGCATCTTGCGCAAGATCACGCTGTACTGCGGGCCCAGGCACCGCGCATGCACCGCCTGCAGTTTGTACACACAATCCCCCTCAAAACCCAGCATCACAAGCTTGTCAGGACACAACCCAAAATGGACGTGGACATGGTTGCCTGCCAAATGAGGGCCTGCAAGAACATGGCTCTCACGCAGGACTTAATGAAACTCGGGGAGACATAAATTGCAAAGGAACTTAGATGCACAGGAAGTTCACGAAGACTACACAAACCAGTAATCCTCTGCCAAGGAAGAGTGCAGCAAATTGAGGAGTGGACTGTCGGAGAGACGACCAGATGACAAGCAACTGACCTGCCTCGGTCCCTAGGAGCAATTTCACACATAAGCAGGCTAGGACAAGAGGGCCGGTGCGCACCTGGAGCTGGTGCAGCACGCCGCACTCGCAGAACTCGCGCTTGGCGGTGGCACCATTAGATTTGAGGATGACATCCAGCAGCAGCGATAGGTCGGCCATGCGCGCCCGCTGCCGCGCTGTCAGCTCGCTCGACGACACGGCCGGGCGATGTGTTGACTCCTTTGCTATCTCCCCGTCCTCCCTGTCCCTGCAGGCAAGATCACATGCCTGAGCCCATTGTCAACAGTATGCCCTGAATGGTCCAGGTCATTTTGTGCTTCCAGCATCTTCAGGGAGGCCATAAGTCAATAAGCCAGAGAAAGTCCTCTCTTAAAAAAAAGTGAGAGTGAGTGTCTGGCTGAGTGAGTGTCTGGTTGGGATATATAGCGCTGTCATCAGCCAATATGGCCCTTCAGGGTGCGTCGTTGATGGCTACGCATTGCTCGAAACCCTTTCAGCTCGGAATCTGTGTAATGGCGGTGGGAGGACACCTGGCATTATCGTCATCTCTGGAGTCGCGCTCTCTGGAGGGGCTGCGCTCTCGTCTCCGGCGGCGAACCTCCCCCTCATCTTCCTCCTCGCTCTCTTCCCGCTCCGGCCGCGGTTTCCGCTCCGCAGCTGGGCTGCCCTCCTCCGCTCCGTTCGCGCCCTTTTCTGCTCCTGCGCAGTAAATTCCCTCCTCATTCCAGCTTCTGACACTTGAGGCATGCACATAAGCAACAGGAAGTCCTGAACACCAGACAGAGACAGTTTCGCGCTCCAGAACTCCTGCAGTGTAGCCATCCCAGTGATGAGCACTCACCCTCAGAACTTTCGGCTGCTGCAGTGCTGGTGGTGACGTCAGCAGCTTCAATTATGGGCTCTGGTTTCCCAGCTGCGGACATCGGCCGTGCCGCAAGCCCGTTCGTGTCCGTACCGCCTGAAGGAGATGCATCCGCATTGCTGGCTCTGCGCTCGGCGAGCAGCTTTGCCGCATCAATTTTCACCTCTGGCTTCTCATCGATCTGCATGCCCACCACAACCTTCAGCTTATCTTGTGTGTCTCGCACCAGACGCATCTCCTTTGCAGGCAGCATGCGCATGCGCAAGGTCCTCGATTGCAGGTTTCCTTGCACACAACTCAGCAGCAGAAGAGACCAGTGCGGAGGCCAGCGCACCTGCATGGGAGCGGCAGTGTCGGGGGCTGCAGAGGAGGGAGGAGTGGCGCGGGCAACGCCATTGGGCAGGTCGGCCTGCGTCAGAGAGGGGCCCACATCGCAGAGGTTGAACAAGCGCAGCATGCGCACAACGGCTTCGTGGCTGGCGTCCTTGAGGCGGCCGCTGGTGCCCACCAGCTCATCCAGCCGCCGGTCCACCTCACTGCGCCGCCGGAACTTTGACGGCGCCGTCCACGCCTGCACCGTTGGCTTGCGCTGCGCCGGCCGCCCCGCCGCCGACACCTGCGCGTGAGCGGTGGACAAAATAAGCATTGACGAAAGGAGGCAGCCCTTCCTCTCGTCTCTAGCGTTGGCCTCGCCTTGCCGTCTGCATCTCTCTTCCCTTAAAAGGGCTTGATGTTTGCATTGCAATGCGTTACACTACCCACCGCACGCCAAACCATCCTCCTGCTCATGGAAACGTGTGTTGTCGTACAGCAGCTTGAGCAGGGAAAGGGTGGGCTACAAGGAGTGCAGTGCAAAATTAGGATGCTGGCCTGCACCGCACCTTGAGCCGGGGCTCGCCAAGGACGGACGCGCCACCGTCGACGCGCGCCGCCAGCCGCTTCCGTGGAGGCACCATCGCGCTGTCGAGGATGCTCCCTAACGGCGCTGCCTCTCCTCTCCTCGCCGCAGCCATCTGTGCAAATATGAACACACTCAAAGTCCCGCGATTCTGCCATGCCACTTATTTGTCACTCTCTCAAGCAGGGCTCAACGGTGATTACAAGCCTTCCACAAGACATGTAATACATCACATGGCATTATGAGGAGCAGCAAACCTGCTTCAGGCGCTCCGCTCGCTCGACTTTCAGGTGCGAGACGGCACTGCCGGGCCTGCTGGTGCCTTCCCGGCGGCTGATAGCTGACTGGGCGGTGCCGGCGTCGGGGCGCCAGCGAGAGAGGCTGACTGCTGTCTCCGTCCCCTGGTCCCCAGAGCTGGTGCTGACATCATCCTGGCCAGCGGGGGGCGTCCAGTCAACCTCCAGCCCCTTCCTCACAGCTAGCTCCTCCAGCCTGCAGCATGACACGACAACACACCTCGAAACAAAATATCCACAGTAACGTCACATGCCTGCCGTTGCTGTATGTCCCTATTTTCACCAAAGCATGCTGCCAAAGGACATCCAGGCAATCCCCGCTCCCGGCTAAGTAAGCTAGAACCCTTCTGATGCACTCCAGGACACAAACACACGCAAAGGTATCAAAAATTTACTATACAATCCCAGGCACGCATCTGTGTGTGTGCTGACAATGAGAGAAGGCCTTAGGGTCCACAGTAGCACAAAGAAGGCACAGCAGAGGGCACGCACCGCTGCCAGACGGAGGCGTCCCAAAACTCAGAGGCCAGCCCGACCTCGGACTCCAGGATGGCGACCAGCGCAGGCTCGGCAGCTTCATTCTCCAGCACCATGATGGGCTCAGGGTCCTCGCTGGCGTCGGCCGGATCCTCCAAGTCCTGCTCCTGCGCCACCGCCTCGCCCGTGCCGCCGATGAACCCGCGGCATACCTTGGCCTCGCACAGGCACCGCATCGGCTGCAGCACACACTCCCGGCCTTGTCAGCACCCTCGCAACCCCATCAGCCCCTTCGAAGTAGGAATCTCTGGACCTTGGGACCCAAATGAGCCCAAGCCTGATACAAAGGGTGTAAATAGGCCTGCAAGTCGGTAAGATGTCCACTTTCCATTATTATCCATGTGAATGACAATATCTTGCATTCAGGCACATCTGTGCAATTCAGGGCACAGGTGACATGCAGAAAGGGGGCAGCAGATGAGGCGGCAGCACAGAACAGGGGGAGGGTGTCAGCGCAGACCTTGTCGCCGTAGCGCTCAAAGTTGTAGTCAAAGGTGAGCTCGACGCCGGCAGGGATGTCCTTGAGCGCGTAGAGGCCGATGGCAAGCTCACCGCGCACCACCCACTTCTGCGTCTCGCAGTTTGGGTTGCAGGAATGGTTGATGAACCGCCCCAGCGCTCCCTGCAAGCACCACCCAGACAGTTCACCATGAGCCGCACAAGCGAGAAAATCAGCAATTTTCCCTTTTTCAGCATGCTAAATCCCATGATGGGCAGCAGCTGCAAGAGGAACTGCAGAATGCTCTACCCTGCGAGGTGTAGCTGCTGCAAGAAAGCACAGAGACTGGAAATACAGACCTTGCGTGCGGCATCGATGACTTCGCCATTTCCGATATTCATGAAGTAGTAGTGGCGCTGACCGGATTCCTGGTAGTAATCCTTCCGCCGCAAGTACTCCTCCTCCTCTAGCACCTATACCCGAGTAGAAAATTTAGCGTGAAGTTAGGACGTAGAGCCACACATTCGGACTAGCTTGAAAATTTCTTTCTGGGATTGTGGACGGTGACTGGGCTTTGTACCTCTCCAATGTACTCCACTATGAACTGGCCGGCCACCAGGTCCTGTGTGGCAAAGAGGCCAAAACCCTTGGCTCCGGCTCGCCGCTGTCACAGAACAGTCCAGAGTCAGTGCTGCTTAGCACACAGTCATACAAAGACAGGCAACACTGCAAGATTCTGATTTGTGCGCTGCACAGAAATGAGAAGAAAGGGCGGCACCTTCTCCAGCTTTGCATATTGCCGCTTTGAGAACTGCTGGTTGCTGCATCGCTCTCCACAGGGACAGTAGCCCTGGCAACAGTAACAGCAGATCGAACTCATAAACCAATGTAGCTTTTAAATGGTCACAATTTAGACAGAAATTTGCAAAGCCTTACAACCATTTGCACATCACAGCGTGAAGAAAAGAAGGATTGAGGTGACTTGAACACGGAATTGCCACAAATAGAGTGTATGCAGAACATGGCAGTGGCTCACCGGCACACACTCCATGTTGAGCATGCGATTGAGGCAGTCTGGCCCGCAGCCAGGACCTCCATCATTGGGCAGCCGGCAGTGGCACAGCATGACATCGTCCTCATCCTGCACCTTGGGGGCACGGTGCGTGTAGATGTTCTCCCTGATGAGCTGCCACACCTGTGGCCTCCTTCGTGCCCTCCTGGCAGCATCGCCATGGTGAGCCTCTCCTTCCTGCTGGAAAGAATTGGAAGCCGAACTTAGGAAGTGATCATCTGCGTGGTTGTCTCAAATTTTGCACGTAAGATGTTCCTGTCACCAGAAATAACATCTTGCAGATCGCTCCTCTGAAACTCCACACCTCTCCAGGCACTTTCACAGTTTCGATGGCAGCAACATACCTCATCTTCCGCCAACTGCTTGTCAATTTCCTCGTTGGAGAGCTCCTGAGGGACTTCGCAGCTCGCAAAGTTGGACTCTGGGTTGTCCTCGCAAAACCTTCACAAACACAAGCATATCTTTCAATGATATTACTCTTGTAAGATTAAAAAAAATCTCGCTTTTTTCACAGCTCACGCTACGCTTTGATGAAAGAATGTAAAATTTGTCTGCTGACATGAAACATCCACTTGAGAAGGGCCTGCACCAGGAAGCCTCCTCGTCAAGAGCGTCAGCAAGAATTTGCGAGACTCGACGCCATCTGCTGCAACGATCGCACTGGACCCAAGTCTGAGCTTTCTTTGCATTTGCATCTGGCGTGGACGCTGCAATCTCGTTTTTGAACTCTCCCATAGTCTTACAACATTCTTTCTGACAACGGACAAGCTGTCACTTCTGCCATGCAGAGCACTTCCATGTGCAACGGAAGATTTCACCACGAACTAACCAAGAATTTGGCGCACTCTGCCCGACACTCTGAGTGGTCGGAAAGGTGCATTTAGGGTTGTAGTCTATAGACTTATATGACCCTCTGCAGCAAAGTATTGAGGGCAATAATACTGTTTAGAACCTCCTGCAGCACGCACGCATCGCTACCCAATCGGCCCTGTCTTCTCCAACAATGGCTGCGCCCGGGGTCATTGACGATCCCGCGATGGCTTCGGCTTCGCATGTTAGTTTCCTGAGCTGGGGGGACACCTCGCCCTTCACGGCCGATGGTGTGGCTGGTCAGCCTCAGCCTCGGGACCAACAAACCTTCTCAGGTGGGCCGCACAGACATTGAGGTTTGCAAGACAGGGGTGGAATGCACCACGTCCTGAGTGGGACGGTTGAGGTGATGGTGCAGGACCTGTACCTACAACAGGAGGGCCAAGAAGGCTGCTGCACAGTGTGAATGTCCACAGGATACCTCTTTTGTACCAGTGCAGTGGTCTCTGGACAGCACTCGATGCACAAAACGTGTCCTTTTAGATTCCAAATGAGTCTACATAGGGAAAGGGTGACATCGAGCCTGTCACGTTGTGTCGGAGGGAAGCTTGTGTTCGCGTAAGGCGTAGGGCTGTGCATCCCCGGACAAGTGAAGCAAGCCAGCAATCAAAATCAGCTCGTGCGCAATTGTTCATGTTGTTTGCACTCTCCATGGAGCGTTTGACTGCGGTGTTTAAGTGTGTTTGCCTTGAGTTTTGCTCGAGCTTCCTCACCTTCCTCAATTTCCTGCTCTTTGTTCTCTTGAATTTCTATGAAATTTTCACCTTTCTGAGGATCGATCCATCAAAACTTTAGGGTTGAAGATGTAGAGCGTGCTAGATAGCAGGGTCAGAAGGCATCACTGAAGACCAGAAACTGCTACTTGGCAGCCAGTGTGTGTGCTTGAATCAGATGCGTTGGTCTATGGTTCATTGCAGTACTGTCTCCAGCTTCAGAGTGCTGTCTTGTGATGCAGGTGCAGATTCGCAGCCGCAGCAGATCCGCCGGAATATCAGGCTTCGAAAGAATGTGGAGCAGGACTGCGGCGGTCGGGCTCGGGGGTCTAGAAAACGGCAGGCACTCCCCTTGCGGCTGACCCAGGACCTTCCAGATGAGGTCTGCGCGACCAGCATTGCGGCGTTGCCATCGGATCTCCTTGTGCACATCTTTGGGCACCTGGACCTCAAAGCTCACCGCTTTGTGCTGCCTCTCGTCTGCAGGCAATGGTAGGTTGCTGCCCAAGACAACCCCTTCTCAGTTCGGGGTTCTACATGGGTCCGTGCATGTCAGTCAACTGTGCACAACACCTCCCTGTGAGCTTATAAGTTCCTCTTGGAGCATATCAGCCCTGGAGGCCATAGTGAGGCCACCACATTCCTAGATGTCAAGCACAGCTGGTTCCACTTCAAAAGTCATCTGATGGTGCCAGATATCTTTTCGTGCAGGAATGACTTGCTGGCGCGGCCACTGGCGCTGTGGAAACATGTGGACGTTGATTTTGCTGAGGAAGTGCTCACAGCCACCTCGGCCTCGGTCCCCCTGCTCCATGCAGGCAGCCCCCTCACGCAGCCCAGCAGCGGCCTCGCCATTGTGAGATTCTGCCCTGCAAATTCTCAAGAGCACACTTGTGATAGAGGCAAGCAGACAGAGGCGGAGCGAGTGCTGGAGATGAGAGGAAAATCAGCCATGCATGAGAAGATTATGCACCCAAAAGCCCCCTGCCGATTTGTGCGACAGGTTCAGTGGCCATAATGTTTTTACCTTCATGTTGAATGCTGTTCTACAGACTCAATCCACTGCAGAGCGTGAAGGTGTGATGTGTGCGGCTGGTGCAGGTGAGGCAGGACAGCATCACGCGGTGGCTGCAGCCGCGTGCGATGGCGGTGCGCTCGCTGCGGCTGCGCGGGTCCGGTGACCTGGAGGGAGCCCTTGTGCCCGTGAGAGAGCGCCTGCAGGCGGCGCAATTTGTGGAGCACCCCCGCATTCACGACTTCAACAGGCACGGCCCTTCCTGCTAACAACACCTGCCACAAGCTGCATTCCCCACGGCCCTGTATGGCAGAAATGCCGTGGCAGATCTGTGGGTCCCTTCTGAAGGCCTGGCTTTTGACCCAGCACTGGTCTCACCGCGAGAGAGGCACGGGAACGGATGCCAGTTTCTCAATGGCCGTTTTGCGGTCGTTCTCTACGCATGGTCTCTGACGCGTCTCTGTCGCTGCACAGGTTTGGATTGGCGACGATCCTGGGGACGGTGGTGATGTCGCTTGAGGAGTTGGTTGTGGAGCGCTGCTATGACCTCATCACCACCGCGGCGCTCAGAGCCATGGGCTCCTGCAAAAAGCTCAAGGTGAGGACAGCCGCACTCTCCCATGCGCATCCTCCTGAACGTCACTAACACATGGATCAGAAGTTGGGGTTATTCTGGCCAAATCACCCAAGGCTTCACCATTGTGCATGGCAAGGATAGGCACGCTGCAAGCCGGCATGAGCAGCGTCAGGAAGATGACTATCCTGCTGGTGTCCACGACCTTCAGCTCTACTGGAGCGTTGTTGAAATAGCCTCTCCCCACTGTTATGTACCAGGGGTAAAGGAAGGTCAACATGTCAACAACTACGTGCTAGTCACTCCTATCCAGGGATGTGCGGCAGCTGCCAAGCGAGTGCGGACGCATGCGCGCAGGTGCTGAGCCTAAAGGGCATCCGGAGCGTGCTGGACGTGGAGGACTTTGAAGCAATCGCGGCCTTGCGGCAATTGGAGGAGCTGGTTCTGGACTGTGACCAGCCGCCGGAGCCAGAGCCCGGCAGCGAGGAGATCAAGTGGGGCCTGCCCGAGTTCCCCGAGGGCATGCTGCACCTGGTCAACATGACCCACCTCACCCTCTCCTGCCATTACGGCATCACCGAGCTGCCCCCTGGCATCACCTCCCTCAACAAGCTCGAGGTGCGCTGCTGAGAGGGCCCGTTTCTTCCCAATACATGAGCTGATCCCAGCAACGAACTAATCTGAAGCGTTTACAAAGTGCCTTGGGCGTGCTGGAATGCTTCTCTCTACTATCAGAATTTTTAGAGTCAGGCGCCCTGTTCAGAAATTTGATGCAATGAAATGTGCTGCTGGAGCTGCTTCACTCACAATGCACACGCCTCTGTGGATTGAGTGATTCATGGAGGCAAAAAAGATGTCACCCAAGGGCGACGACAGGGTCCAAGTGGCATGGCTGCTTACAAGTCACCATGCTGTGTGTAAGGAGCAGTAGTTTTAGGCAGCTCAAGCATTGAGTATGGCACGTTTGTGAGGCGGTCATGTGCGCGCAGGTGCTGAACCTGGACTTCTGCACACTGTCTGCGCTGCCAGCAGTGTTGGGCGAGCTGACAGCGCTGACAACGCTGGACGTGGAGGGCAACTTGTACCTGGGGGACTCCTTCCGGGGGGCCACCACGCCCACCGCCGCCACTGCTACCACCGCATTCGCGCCCCCGCCGTTCCCCCTGGACCTGGCCGGCCTCCAGTCCCTGCGCTATCTCAATCTCAACTCCTGCGGCCTCACCGCCATCCCCTCCGTGAGTGGCCCTTATCAGAGGCATTGACACCGTGATGGGTGGCATCTGGTGCACGACGCATGTTGCCAAGCACAGTACAAGCTGCATACACTGTGTGTCCGGTTGTCAACATCTGTCTCTGCACGTTTGAATTTGTATCAAGTTGCGTAGGACGCGAGCGGCGTGTTGTAATCCAGCATCGCAAGGGCACTATAAATTCAAGCTTGAAGTGAGCACACCTGTTTGAGACTATGGGGCTGCTGGGTACTATTGTGGTCCTATGAAGCCATGGGTATACAACGCTGATGGTTGGTGTGGTGCTGGGCAAATGCAGGTGCTGAGCACTCTGCGGAACTTGGAGACGCTGGATCTGGAGGACAATGATCTGAACGCTGCACTGCCAGAGTGGCACCTGTCCAGCAGCCTGGGCTTTCTCTCGCGTCTGCAGTGCCTCAACCTCGCCCAGTGAGTCCGCCCACCCGATAAGCTTTCCACATCGTAATGAACCTAAAATTGACGCTCTGAATGCGAGTGAGGCAGCATTAGCCTGCTGTTCCCGGAATGTGTGAGCATTGGGCATTCCATTTCTTTGCCTGTTGTTTTGCCTGGCAATACTGTGGCTTCGGGGCTTGCGGCGCTTGCGGCGCTCACTCCACATCATTGCCAGGCTCATCAGGGCAGAATTTTGTGATGCCCATGCAGCAGCGACATTTTGTCAGCAGGATACTACTGCTTTGCACGTCGCACATCTCTGCACTGCAGCTGGCACATCAAACAGAAACATTTAGCTTTGTGTAGGCATGGCATGGCAGTCTGCCGGAGTGTGGTGACTGAGTGGGTGCACATGCGCGCAGGTGCCGGCTGGAGGCGGTGCCTGCCCAGGTGGAGAAGCTGCTGAGCCTGCGCATCCTGGACCTGACCAACAACCGCATCACGGACGATGGCCTGCCCATGTGCCTGGCGCGGCTGCCCCACCTGCGCGCCATCGGCCTCAAGAAGAACGCGCTCACCACCGTCCCCCGCGTGCTCGGCTACATGCGCTCCCTGCAGGAGATCTACCTCGAGGACAACGCCGACCTCGAGGCACGCCCTTGTTCAACAATCTTTGCGTGGCCATTGACTCTCACGAGACGTGAATTTTGGAGTGAGCATAACTCTGCGAGGCGCACCTGCCCCCATCTGCTCGTTCCCTTTTCTTCCCTTGGCATCCGTTGACCTCTCATAAGACACTCTTTTTAAGTATTGGAGTCGGAGAACTCCATGAGGAGTGTTGGAGGATCGTGGAATCAAGCCTACTCTGTGAGGAGACCTGCAGACGCACGCTCCTTACTCTGTCTGATAACAACTCCCTTGCTGAGGTGATTGCGCTTCCTCTGAGCAGCGGCTTGAGGAAGGTCTCCAATGCAGCCTCGTATTCTGGGAATATGCAGCCAGCGCACTGTTGTCCTTTTAGTCTGCGCGTGCGCACCGGCTGTGTGCATCCCTACGCTATTTGGTGCACGCCCATGCATCCATTGTGCAGGCAAAATGCTGATGAAGGTGTTTTGATGGCTGCTGTGGTGGTTTGTGCGCAGGTGACAGTACCGCTGGATTTCCTGGTGGAGCTGCCCAACCTGCGCAGTGTGATGATGGGGAAGCAGGTGGGCACGTGGACCCCTCGCTCCATGCTCTTCATGGCCGACTTTGCCGCCAAGCTCATTTTGCGCCACCCCACCAAGAACGTCCTCCGCATCTCTTGCCCCGGCCACAACGCCACGCCCTTCGACGAGGATTAACTCTCTTTGAGGACGAAGGGATTCCCTCAGAGGCCCAAACTCACCGCTAATGGACATACCTGGGGGCTGGCTTGGGGGCTGTTTGGGGCCACTGACCTTGACCCCATGAGGGACTGACCATGCGCGTCATGCCCCTTGTCCATGCGCATTCAGGGGGGCTCTGGACGTGTATCCCTTGTCTGCGGATATTGATAGTGATTTTAGAGGTCTGTGGCCAGTGAGATGTGATGTTGGGGCGTGCTTGACAGCCTCACCACAAGCATTGGTGGGCTGTCATGGTGGGTCCAGTGCAATTATGCCATTTTGCAGCGAGCTGGTGCATGAGGAGGGTCGTTTGCTTTTTGCTCTTGTTTTGTGGTGCTTTCAGAAAACATCCGCATTCCCCGTGAAGTCCAGTCGTGTTTCAAGACAATTTTGCGCGTACTGGACTCCAGAGTAGATGTTGAGCATGCCTAAAAGCAACCGCCCTATGAATGCTGTCAAGACGTGGTGGATGATTATTGCAATATGTGCGTGCTAACTTATTATTGGGAGGACTTCTCTTGAAGTTTTTTACAATGCAGCAATTGCCCTACGCAAGAACTGCAGGCTATCATGTTGGCAATTGCAAACGTGTAATCAGATAATTTGCGTGCATGCGCATTCCATTCAGTGCAAATCTCTGAATGCCCCATTGCGCTCTTTACAGTAATCTTTATGCATAACCAGACTCGCAGCTGCCTTGCAATTGCTTTTGCAGTGTCCACCTCAAAGAAGTGTGTTTTCATTTTTAACATGTTAACAGCGTGAGACATTCATTTGGATCACTGACATAGCATGCATCGCAATGGCAATTGCCTGGTGTGTCTTGACTGTGCTTTCGTGTGAAAACCTAAACATGTGCGCACCATCATATTTACATGACTGAATCTGAAACGCCTCATGTGTTGAACACATTTTATTTGTTTTTGAAGGTGGCTCTCAATGCAGTTCCTCCTTCAAGAATCCAATGATGCTTTCTCTAGAGATATAGATGAGATTTCCTGCAGCAACCTCGCATCACTCAACACTCTTGATCTCAACACACTTGACACCCTGGCATTCTCAACACGTTAGAAAGCACTGGATACACTTAACGGGTCTTGCAATTCATACCCTCCAGCCAGATCATAGTCAACCTAAGTATTCATGCATGCATGACGATATCGGGGACCTCGCGCAATTTGTTGCAAATACAAAGGGCCACAGTTGCAACTGAGCTGAAGTCGTCACAACTGCAGGGCTCACAGTATTAATGTCGCACCAACCTGAACTCTTCAGTACCACCCTTGCTTATATTTAATTACCGCCTGGGCTGAATATATCTGCACACGCGTACGAGGCTTGCAGATGGCCAAGAATAATGCTCAGAGTCCAGTAACTTTGCTTAATCTTCTTAGTCAATAAAATAGTGTCATCCAAGAGGCATGTCTCACAGATCTGTGAGAGCCTCTAGACAAGCTCTAGAGGCTTGATACCGTCCTAGTCATCGGATAGATAATGATCCAAGCAGACAAGCATGCATTGCTGTTGAAGCTGCTAGCTTCCACACTGTTGGAGTCGAATCCTTCCTCCGCAGAGGCAAAATTGTCTTCTCGGGTCTGAAGAGCTGAATCAAGATCTTGAGAGCATGTTGTGCTCTGCAAAAGAATGGTGCTTTCCAGCTGAATGGCTGGCCTGCCTGTTGCAAGTGGCCAAGCACACGCTCTGCTTCTCTCCTGTGTCTCACACACACAAGAAAGAACTGATCTGCACTTCAGCAGAAGCCGCAGCGAGCGGCTTCTCTCTCTTGTGCTCTATCTCCTACCACTCCTGAAGCTCACAAAAAATACATTTGATGCTGACGCCTCGTGAGAGCGCCTCTCGAGGGCCATTGAAGACAGCCCTGCCACGTCACCCTGCCTTGCAGCCATGGTAGCCAGCCCACATGAAATGCGTACGCCTCTTGCAAGGGCACCAGGGGGTTCACTCAGATACACCTCTCCTAGCGATACCTGTAGCAACCTGGTCAGGCCATGGCCTGCTGTCACCTCCTGAGAGCACACCAGAGGGTTGTGCAGAGACAGCCCTGGCACAGCACTTGCAGTGGAGCCATGGTAGGCTGATCAAATAGATTGCTAACCCCTCTCTACCAGGGGTTACTAGCACCAGGTGAGATGCACCCCTGCCTGGAGCCATGGCGGCCTGATCAGGCCATGACCTCCTGCAGGGCCTGGGTGGATCGCAGGGGGCTGCGCTGAGTCAGCAGGCGGATGCCGTTCACGATCAGGCGGAAGAGCTGGAACTGCAGCAGGCACCACCAGAGGCCCAGCCCGTTCAGCGGCCAGGGGCCGTGGTGCAGCGCCGCCAGTGCCCCCAGCACCGTTGCCATGTTCGCCACGTAGGACCACAGCAGGAAGTTCAGGTCGCGCCCTGCACACCACCCCAGCACACGCTCACTCCAACACCCCTCTACAACCTTTCTCCAACTGCTGTGCGTTTGTCATGCGCTGGCTGCGATTGACAGCACCTGCATGCCCCTCTCACTACATGCTCACTCCTGGCACATCGTTGCCCTGCTCTGCGACCTTTCCCGATAGACATGGCAGACTTGGCTTCTTGAGAAGGCCCGGAACTTCACCAGATTGGGGAGCCAAACTGTTCACGATCATCTCAATATTGATTGCCAGAATGTCGTGATCAACCTGTAAAAGAAACCCCTGTGTGACAGCCAAGTTGCACCTCTTTCAAATGCAGCCAGGAAGGAGCAGCAAGGCAGTGCACAAGGCGGGTAGCAGTCGGGGACTGCCGACGAGCATTGCCCATAGCAGCAAATGAGGTGCAGCGAGGTGGGGGGATTGTGAGATGCTGACCTGCCAGGAGCATGCCCTCTGTGGCCATGGAGGCGGTGTGGATGAGCAGAGCGACGCACATGAAGGGCAGGAAGCTTCCCATCATGGCCACCACCTCCGCGCTGTTTGTGAACAGCGCCGGCAAAAATACCACCACCAGTCCTGCACACATCCCGCAGGCTTGCTGTCAGAGAGAACAGGTATCCAACACTGTACCCGATCTGATACTTAGATCCCTTGCGCTGCTGACTCGACACGCTTTAGCCCTTGCGACAGTAGTAAAAAAGGTACTATGAAGAGGTTCTTGACACGAAGGATGGCAGGTGAAGGGATGCCTTGTGAACCAGAGCCGAGGGGTGTGACAGGGAAAAAGGCTGTGCAGATGATCTTACCTGCGCAGATGCTGTTGAAGGTGCCCACGATGAAGCCAGTCGTCATGAGCTGCTTGCCCAAGTTCTGTGCCGCCTTGGGCCTGCCCACCTGGAAGTTTGCAGCAGCACACACCTCAGACCGTCAACTTCACATACGTGACTGTCTTATGTCACAGCCTGTCACACACTGAACTGGACTGGACTAGAGTGCCACGTACTAGACAAAGATCATAATCCTTCAGACTGGACTGATTGCTTGGTAGGTGACAAGTAATGGGGAAAAATTATGGGCGCACCACTCCGGGCAGGAAGGACTGCGCAGCCTGAGACACGGCGTCGCCGCAGGTGCAGAAGAACATGTAGGTGCTCTGCACCACGTGGTGCGCGCCCACAGTCACAGGGCCCAAGTATGATGCCACTGTTGTCATCACACCTGCGCACCCATGCACACCATAAAACTCTCAACAGAGCTAAAGACCCTGTATAGACAATGGCACGCAGATTGGCAAGTGCCGCCCCTCGCTCTATCAAATGAATATGCTTGTTCTGATCGTGGTGCATGCCTTACCGCCCGCGGTCTGTCAGTACTTCAGCCCCAGTGCCAACAAAATGACAACAAGCAGATGTACAACTTAAATCATTCCATGCTTCCGCGCCTTCAATGTAGGTCCATAGAATCAACCATCACCATTATCTGTCGACAGGGCAGCAAGGGAGGTTCTAATTGTGGAGAGAGCTGGGGAGGATGCACACCGTAGATGATGACTTTGGTGATGAGCACGCCGGCGATGGGCCCAGCGTAAGCCACAAAGTTGACGGCGGACTGCAGCGTGGGCAGCCGCCATCGCACGTCCGCGCGCCAGCCGGGGAACAGCGACCGCTTTCCTAGCGGCCGGTACAGCGCCCACAGCAGCACTCCCGCCGTCAGGATCTGCCAGCCAACACATGAAAAACCGTCAGCACTCCTCCTGCTTCGGTCCAGAGCTTTCACAATCGCAGCGCACGCAGCCGCGACTTTCAAGCACATCTCTGGACAACTGTTGCAGGAGCAGCGCTGCAAAGTACTGGGCACATGGCAAGGCTGAGCAGATACTGGGCAGCAGCCGTGCCGGCTGCTGCCGGATCAAGCACATGGCTCTCGTACTAAACGGCAGGAGCAAGAGCAGCGCAGCTGAGCAGCATGCATACATGTGCAGGGCCAGTGAAGCTCTACCCAGCAACCGGCACATGCAAGGCTTCTGTGGGATGAGTACGATTTGCCAAGCTTAGACTCCAGAAGCAGCGCGCACCTGAGCGACGGCTGTGGCGAGGGATGCGCCGGCGATGCCCCAGCCGAAGCCGCAGACGAGCAGGATGTCGCCTGCCAGGTTGGCGATACCCGCCAGGCTGGCAGCTAGCAGCGGCGTCATGGGGTCCATGGCTGCCAGGAAGAACGCCTGCACCACAAATATCACCAGCGCCGCCGGCAGGCCCAGGCACCTGCGCGCACATATCACCTAGCCGCTGTCACTCCCGCCCTGCTTTGGCTGGCTTGATTATGCCCCAATCAAAATATCCTTTGCATGACTCTCTCGCGACGATGCTGCCGCATCCAATCCATGCAAAGGTACATAGACAGGTCTCATGTCCAAATGCTTTTACAAGGGACTCTCACTGACTTGGCTTCCATGAGCTTTGATCTTCTGAAGTGAACATCAGGTCATGTACCCCAACAACCGCAGAAACGAAGCTGACTTCAAGGACAAAAGTGCTGAGGCATAGTAGCAATTGGTCACCTGATGCGGACATAGGTCACGGCTGGCTCGACGACAGCGGCAGATGCCTGGCCGGCGATGCTCTGCAGAGCGGGGGGCGCATAGAAGTACATGGCAACCGCCAGAGCCACGCCCAGTCCAAGCGCAATCACAAGGGCATCGGACAGGATCGCACTCGCCTGCGCCTTGTCGCGGCGCGCGAAGCTGATCGCCAGCATGTTTGTCGCTGCGTCAGCATCATGTACATGTCAGCAGATGCCGTACTCATTTCTGCTAATCCATACAGTGCTTTCATCCGTTTGAGAGCGCTAACAGAACCTGTAGCACCACGCCCAAACTGGTGCCGCTAAAGATGATTTTGACCAGGAGTAATCCAAGATATCTCCACATAGGCACAGCTGTGGCAATAGCTCCTGGAGCACATATGCAATTCTTGTGGTATTGTACTTCAAGCAGGCTTGCAAGGATGTGGGCGCCCTACTTGCTGCTGCCAGGAATGTGAAGATGTAGGCATTGCCATCACACAGCATGGTTCCTGGCCCCAAAGCCGCCAATTCCCTTGCCGATCGAGTCCCCACTACTGATGTGTCCACCAAACTGCAATCGGGAAAGGGGGTATCTCAGCCAAGCAACGCATCAAACCATCAACTAACCCACAAGTCCACTGCAGAGGCTAGGTGCATGCGAGGGATGTGAGAAGATCTCAGGCCATCAAACCACACACAGATTTACTGCATGCAAGGTTGTGAGACCACATGCTATCTGCAAGGGAGTCAATGTCAGGAAATGCTCGTGCCTCTCCTGCTGTGGCATACCTGAGCACAGGATTGATGATCCATATGCCCAAAGTGGGCAGTGTGAATCTTAAGAGATCCCAAGCGCTCAAATTCGGTTTGCCTGCATCTGATGCATCACTGCTGCTGCTGCTATCGTGCTCGTGCACGGTAGCTGGACTGGAAGCTGCTTCTGCCTCCCTGACAGCTTCTGGTTTTGCGCCATTTGAGTCCACACCATTTTCAGTGCTGCCGGCAGGCAGACTGATAATCCCACTAGCTTCTGATACCCCCAAGATGGGCATAGCCTGGCTGTCCAACTCTGCTGAGCTCTCATCCAAATCTGCGGCGGTCAACTCTGCAAGACAGAGCAACCATGCTAGCGTCAAGAAACTGTGCGTTGACACCAATGCATTTCATATAAAAGCGCTGTTATTACTCAGTAGGCACACAAGATAACAAAATGTGTGAACTTGCTACAGTCACAGGTGTCACAGCTCGTGCCTGTGTCTCGCTCCACGAAGCCCACGCTGGGGTGCGAATCTTCCGCTGCAGACATTCTAGTGCGTTTGCACAGGAGCCCATGGGATTGGCCGTGAACTCTGCTCCAAAGGCCTGACTTCTCTGCAGCCACCCGTCTCAATCGGAAGCCAGCCCTCATACCCTGGCCAGTGGGGACGGCTTGGCTCCTCGTGGAACCGCAATAATGAGCATTTATCTTCATTTCTGCTGACCCAAACACTCCCTGCATCCGTTTGAGTGTGCTAGCAATAGCTCTAGCTCTAGCGCCGGGCCTAGACTGCCGCCGCCCAAGAAGGACTGGAGCTTGCTACGGAGTCACTATCTACAGAAAAGATAACTCTTCGCTTGCCTAGACTCTACACCATCATTGCTTACTCTTTTCTTCCTCTCAAACGTAAGCACGTGTTTCTGAGGTCGAGGAAGGCAGCTTCCTTCACCTTTCCCCTTAAATCCCAGATGATCAAATCGATACAAGAAGATTGCTATATCTATGCAATTGCTCTAATTGAAAAGCTATGCTTAGCTCTGGTGCTGAGTGTCTTCTGTCGAAGAGTCAAAGCGTGGACCAAGTATCGAAAGAAAAGTTACTAACCTTTAGGCACGTCTCACTTCCATGCAAGTCGACAGAACAAAATTAGGAGCCCCGCACTTCATTTCGTCCAATAAGGACGTTATATTTGTGAGGTTTTCACTGATCTGTTGTTTGGTCCAGACTTTGGACTCCAGGCAAAGGCGATGGCGATGCTTGGCACATGAAGAGCTAGGATGTCTCCTTGCAAAATTGCCTTGATATTTTCTCATGCATAAGATTGATTCCGTCTTCCAGTTGGCCCGCTCGTGTGTGCCAAAGCTTGTTATCCTTTACCCTAGGCGTCCATTACTCCAGGGGTTCATTTGCCACAGAAAGCGAACGCACTTCACAATGGCATCATGCTCACAGGTAATTCTTTTCTAACATGAGGGTATCAGTACACCACCGACCTTAATCTGCAGATTCCTTAGCTTCATCTGTATGGCAGCAGGACTACAGCTTTGGACCACACCTGATACGCCGAACAGAAGTATTTGCAGAGACACCGTTGTCATTTGCGTTCGTCAACTTGAAGCCTGTGGTGCCTGGTGCGTGGCTGTGGTTTCGTGGTACATGGCCAAGCTGCATGCAGAACGCTGCAACATGAAGTCTATTTTCATCTAGCCGGCAAATGTGCATGTCTGCGTAGGCCATGTGCTTGTCAGCAGCAAGCGCGTAGAGCCGCGGTTTACAAACCTCTCAGGTAGCGAAGTTGCGGACCTGTGGTAAGGCCTTGACTGCCTGCTTGACTGTCTAGGTGAGCTTCCTGCAGCGAAGTTGAAAAGGGCAATTGCCGATGGTACACTATAATTGTCTGAGAGTCGTCAATCCTGACAAAGGCAGTCTGTGTCATTGCCTTGTACAGGAAACTAGCGCAGGATGTTGGCAGGGCTGTAGAGAAACACTTTGGTGCAACTTCGCTCACTTTGGCTATTCAGGTCAGCAAATTTTGTCCAAGCCCCTCTGCTATGTACTAATTGATAACAGTGATTCGCATCTGGATAGAACTTGTTGTTTGGGGTGAAGGATGGGCAGCATGCCGGGCAGTCAGTTCCACACGTGCATGTGCACATCTTACCGCGAAGGCGTGGGGACTTTGAGAAGAATGACGATGTCTACGACGCTATAGACGGTGCCTCAAAGCAGCTGACAAGGTGATCTGTTTGTCATTGGCGCCATTATGGCATGATCTCCTTGCCCTGAAGCTCTTTTAGCTGGCCAGTCAAGACGAAGCGATAGCACCAACAGGATGTCATTCGTGCCTTTATAAAGGGTGCAGTTGCTAAAGGGGGACATGATCATGCAGTTTGCCGGGATCAAATGGTCTGCCAGGTTTACGACATGATGTCCAGCAATGCCAGCTTTGCAAGGCCTGTGACGCTCTGGAGATCTTTCTGTGAATTTTGGCTGGATCTGAAGATTCAATACGTAGCTTTTGAATTCAAATTGATTCTGATGTGTGTGTGTACTGGCAGAAGCGGCGGCGCTGCTGCTGCGACGGGGGAGAAGCTGGATTTGGATGCACAGCGCAGAATCCGCACCCCAGATGAGATGGCGGCCGAGGCAGCTGAGCTATCAGTGTTGTTTCAGTGATGCTTGACAGGTGCCTACTAGTAGTGTGGCCCCCTAGCAAGCATGGATAAGTTATCCATGCAGGATATGTCATAACCACGTGTCATTACCTAAGGATTCTTCATCGCCGATGCGAGACCTAGGGACAGATCGGCTCTGTGACAAGGACAAATATGCAACAATGCAAGTCGGAAATTTCTACAGGGGGTCCAGTGGATTGCCTAGTCACTGCTCTCGGCCTGCAAAACGCATCTCTATTAGTTGCTTGAAAAGACTTGACGGAGCAGATCGATGGTTGAGAAATATCTCTCGTCGACAGGATTGCCTCCTTCCACAGTTGCAGGATGTGCATCAAAATACCGGTAGATTAGAGCAGAATTCCCACTCTCGCAGCAGGGTGTCTTGCAGCAGCAGTGGGGCGGCCAGTGTCCTTCCAGCTTCCAATAGCAGCGCATATATTGGCAGTGATGACTACCGAGCAGACCGGAACAAGGAAATATTTCATCGAAATCTGACCGGTGGAATATGCGTGCTTCTGGCCTTCGGGTGTGCCTGCGCCTGCGTAGCACACGGACGAGCACCACTACCATTTGCTTCTTTGGCCCTGTCCACCTCAAAGATCACCGAAGAAGGTACCGTACGGTGACGTGTACACTTGTTGTCAAACGATATCCGATCAAGGGTTCATGATGGGTAATGAGGGGGGCGCCTGCCTCTGACTATGCACACTAGGGGTGCCAGTAGTGTCGTCCTATGAACTGCCTGCATTGACCAGATGGACTCTTCACGTCTGCAGGTCTAAGATCGGCGGTTCGGAGTGCATGGGCAGGTCTTGGGGCAGGCTTTCTGCACACATTGTCAGGGCCAGACCACCTTGCGGTAATGCTCCAGGCTTCTCACATGCAGCAACCATCAGACCGAGATGACACCCTTTCTCAGCTTTCAAAATACCGTGCTTTTCATCATTAGGAATTTGGCCCCAACTGCACTTTGTGGGGTTGCATGGGATGTCGCAGTGAGGGATTGCTGGCAACCCGCATGTACTGTTCATTGCAGGCACTGACGCCATTGACGATTGGGCGAAGTAGCTTCAAAGCCACTCTGCTTGGGGCGCTGTGGGGCTTTGGTCACAGCATTGGCCAATTGATACTGGGGCTGCTGATGGTCATCCTGAAGGTATGGCCACTCCAAGCCGTGATGTTGAGCTTTGGCTACTTGCCTAGCTGTTTGCCTAAGTCAACTGGTAAGAGATTGTGCATGCATGCAATTGCAGGATCGCTTCACATCCCTGGTGCCAGCCCTGAGCAAGTATGGGTCTGTGACCGTCGGTGTGACGCTGCTTGTCATCGGCGTGGGAGGCCTGTACGAAAACTTCTTGGAGGGCGCAGAGCTTGCAGATGAGCCGCAAGCTGCATACGCAGGTCAGCATCCTTTCTCTCTAGTGGGCTCCACCAGTGAATCCACCATCCTCTGCACACTGATATCTTTTGTGGGTCTGGGATGCCGTTTCTCTTTCTTGTCAAGTCAATGTCACTCTCCTACTGACAGGTTCTCAATCTTCTTGTTTTTGGGCACAGATTTTTTTCTGTCTTCTAACTGATTAGGAACATGTGCTGTCAGGTGCTGGATCACCTGGCCTGGAGACTGTGGGGACACAGCCAGTGAGCAGCAGCAGCGGCGGTGGCTTGCCAGCAGATGGCAACAGCCTGCGCACGCTCTTCACAGGGATCGTGTTTGGGCTGCAGCCGGACGCTCTTTTTGTGATTGTGCCCGCGCTCGCGCTGCCCAGCAAGCTGGCAGCCATGGCCTACATCTTCATGTTTGTCTTTGGCACCGTCGCTGCCATGGGCAGTTACACTGCCTTCATCGGTGCGCACGAATCCCTTGCAATTAGGCTTGGATGGCATTGGTTCATAGAGTGGCTGGTATGTTGCCTTCCTGCTGTGTCCCACAATTGCTCTGACCGTGCGTGCCTGCTGTGTCTTGCAAAGTCTAAAGATTTTGAGGTAGCGACAGGTCCTTCTTTGCTGCACACAGGTGCCACCTCAAACGCCATGCAGAAGAATCACTCAGGGCTGTGCTCAAAGCTGTCCAGCATTGCCTCTGTCGTGGCCATCTGCATTGGCTCGGCTGTGTTGGCTGCTGGCTTTGGCGTGCGGCTCCCCTTTACATAGCATGCGCACTAAAGCACCCTAGGCCTGGCATACTGAGGATGCAGATTTTGTGGCTTCACTGCATCCTTGTACAGTGTTACCTGTGAGGCGCGAAATCTGGAATGATATATGCCGTGGCGTGCAAACGAGGCTGTGCATAATCGTTGGGTGCCATGCTGGCTGCAGAGATTGCTAGTACAATAGGGTTCTTGAACCAGCTGCCTTGTGACAGCAAATGATGGCACCCTGTGTTGTACAAATGCTCATACGTTTGGCCATTGCGTTTCTCTGAAGAAGTATATGTGTTCACAGTGGTGTGTTAATTTGCAATATACTGATGCAGATTCGTTAGATATGGTCAACTTGTAACATGACAGCAGCTTGTTTGTGAAGGATAAGCTCCAAGTGTTCCTGATGTACCAGCTTGGCAGCAACCACAATGATCCCAATTATCCCAGTCACAGTGGCGGTTCTACAGTGGATTTTCCACTTCTCTCCAACTGTTGTGTTCCTTATGATATGCTGATCAGGGTTCTCAACAGACCTTATGGCACTGCAGCTACCACAAGCAGTGCATATCAAGCCTTCAAGGCTGTTCCTTTGTTTCACAAGTGCTGCAACATTCCAGCGTGGAACAACTGTCACAATTCTGGGTCGAGCTCCTGGTCCTCCAAGTCTGGCAATGGGAATCGGAGGATCGCAGCAACTCCTGACAGCTGATCAAGCTGTTCTCCCGACACATGCGCGCCAGAAAACACGAGAGCCTCTCCCCCACTCTCCCTCACCCCCTCAACCAGCTGCGCGTATGCTGCCCTCTGCACCACACCCGCATCCCAGTCAGCCTCAAACATCAACATAATGCACCATGCACACAACGCGCCTTTCACAGCACATTGCTTGCAGCTTTGACCCGCCGCCGTGCAAATTTCAAGTCATAAATGCCGCCTGATGGCCTTCAACAAAGAGTGAGGCATAGCTCTCCCACCCCCCCAGCCACCCAGCTGGATTTTATCTTTCGTTCATTCAAGTAACAAAAATATGCAGTTTTCCCAGTGGAGAGGGCTGGCACTTGCGCAAGGGGCACCTTGGCGATATCATTGACGCGGAAGAGGGTGTCCGAGAGGAGCAGCGTCTGGATGGCGCCCAGCTCGGCGGCAGCGCGGACGTGGCCGGGGCCGTAGAATGCGCGCGCACTGTCCTGCCCCAGCATCGCGTAGAACGCTTTAAGCGCCGTCACCTCCTGCGCCGCCTTCGTGTCCTGCACGCGCGCATGCTCGGCAATGAAGCTGGCCCTTTTTGTGTTCTCGAGAATGTTCACTTGACTGGTACATTCCATGGAACTATTCTTCATCCAGCGTGCGCAGACTAGCCACAGGTCACAGAGACCCTTGTCTTCCTATGCTGAAGAAGCTAGGCAAATGCCATGCCTCGATCTATTCAGTGCCCTCCCTTGCAACTTCCTAAAATGAAAGGACGGGCAGGAACTCTCAACAGGAACAGGCAAGCCCCTGGATATCAGGGTACAATGCTTGCATGAGGCGTCTTGAAATTGAATCCTAGGCCGGATGTTGTCTTGTTTAAACATAGGGCGGTTTAGGGTGTGCCACCTTGATCTGTGAAGCGATGCCCTGGGCTTCTAGCACTTCTCTGAGCGCATGCTTGTACGCGGAGGAAGCATGCGATGTGATCACCTTCTGCTTATTGGTGATCAATTCCCTGCATGCAGATGGCAGGTCAAGCATGCGAAGTCTTCATTCCAGCCAATTGCAACAGGCCATCAGGAGCCTTGCAAGGAGAATCAGGAGGTCCCTACCTGATATCTCTTCGGACCGCTTCTGCATCGAGGTACTTTCGGAACTCCTCTTTTGTGAAGCCGGGTCCTGCTATGACCAGGCACCTCACTATGCTCCAATCCACGTGCCGCGTGACAGCTGCAAATACCTGCGCACGACCCTCTACCTGCTCATCTGCTTGCAAGAAGGCTCAAGTAGCACAGTTGATTGCTTCTGAGCGCCCCCAATACAGTTAGGCTAGGCATGTGTGTCTATTCAAGGGAGGTCAGCCAGGTCAGAGGAACAATTAGGTGACTCAGCTGACCTTGTTGAAGAAGGACTCAAGGGCCTTGTCATACCCGGCAGCAGCTGCGCCGCGCTTGCGAGGCAAATTTGCTTCCACCTTTGCCTTCAGTATGGTGGTGCTCGAGCCCACCAGGCACACATTTGCCAACCCTTCCTGTGGCACAATCTCTTGATCACCCACACAGCCTGGAACACGAAGTTGACCTTGTGCAAATTGAACTGGAGCCATGCTGTACACAACAAGGCAACCATGCTGGGCATGAAGGTCATGGTGCATGCTGTCGCCATATCCTCATTTCCCCCCTCTAGCAATATGGAGTGGGGACTACGTACTGTGATTAGCACCGCGGCCAGATCTGCGGAGGCTGCAGGGTCGCAGGCCTGTTTGATGCGCTCTATGTCCAAGGAATCCCATGAGGCCTTTTCAAGCGTGAAGGCCCTCTGCGGCTCGAGCTCCAGCGTGTGGTACGCCCCCAGCTTGACATGCTCCGTCTCCGTCAAGTTCTTGCCCCGTAACCGAATGCTCTGACCTGTCACACAAGCACCACTCTTCCTTAGACATGATCCGTGCGGAGTCTCCCAGCATATACAGCCACAAGGATGCTTGTGCTGATGATCTAGAGTGCATCCCGGGAGGAGCAGAGCTTAACGGCAGAGAGCTCACCTTCTGGATCAAAGTCAACGCCCTCTACCTGCACAGTCAACTTGATGCGCACACGCTCTGACTCGCTGCCTGCTCCGCTGTCGCGGGCAATCTTCCTGAATGTGGTGGCAGTCACTCTGTCCCCCTCCCTGATGAGGTTGTACACATGCCACATGTCCTCCCCTGCTGGCGAGCGCCATATGGATACCAGTCAATGCATGTGGGCCAGCCAAAGCAGTGGGCATGCAAGCCCTGTGGCTGTAAGAATGTTCGATAAGATCTGCAATGGGCTGCATCTGGGTTGCGTTGCCTAGAGGTTAAAGTGTCGTTCACCTTCCTCTGGAACCAGTTTTGCGTGGCCTTCTCCATTCTTCTGGTAAGAGCGATTGACGAGTCGCATCGTGACCGTGCACAAGCCACGAAAGTACAGGCAATTAACAGACTACAACAAGCGTTTTCAACTCAACCATACTTCAATGGCGCTGGACTGATCTCGATCGCCAAGTCGAGGTGCCTCTCGAGAAGATTGAATTGTAATTACACGCGTGCTGATCTGGCATTCAACTGTTGAACATTGTCTTCATGTATCAACAAATGCAACAGGCTGGTTGTATCAATGTGATGAATATAATTGTCTTGGTAAGTACTGTCATTAAGCCAGAATTTGGAATGTGACAGATTCACCAACTGATCGAATGTTGTTGCTTATACTTTTATGCTGGATCCTTTGTTACCTGCACACCTCCATGATCACCAAAACTTTCGGAAGCATGCAACCTGAAGCTTATTTTAGGCTCAGGGCCCCCCGCTCCATTCACCTTTCGGGCCACATCTAGCTCACATGTCGGAGTCATTCAGTTTTCGGAAGCACAGGCAGTTCCTCTCGTCTGAGTTGCATGACAAGTATGTATCAGGGGATGAGGACTTATCCAGGGGCCTTCGACGCACCTACAGGCTGGTAATATTTGCAATCCGTTCGGCATGTGTTCGGCATTCCTAGTATTGCCAGAACTTCTGAATAACAATACCCTCCTTTCAGGACCGATGAACATTGAAACAGTCTCGAAAAATGCAACACAAGACAATTGACAAAATACCTTTGTCCTGCAGCCATCTTGGAACTGCAGTTCGTCTTGTAAAGAGACTGAACGAGTTCGTAGCTATAACGAGGCCCTTGAAGCGCACAGGCTACAAAAATGAAAGAGCATATGGTTACAAGCCAACCATGGCTACAGAGACGTGAGTACAGCGGTCACATCTCCTGATCGTGTCTCTGAGAGGTACTTTGGAAGGAGTATCAGTTCAGCACTCTGTATACAGCTGCCACATTGAGGCTTTGCTTCTGCAAATTTCAGGACAAATACTGCCTTCCAGAAGAAGATTGTGTACGTCTCTGCAAGGAAGAAGCTTGAACCTTACCATCCCAATGCGCCAAGGAATCGCCCCAAAGCCTCGGTGAGCTGTTTTTGCTTGTTGCCTCTCCGCCCTGCACCAAAGTCACACGTGTTCACCAGCAGCGACAGGGAGCAAGATCATGAGTCTGTGTTAGGGTTTACATCATGCAGTTTGCCTGTATAAAGATTACTCTGATAGTGATGGGTGCGTGTGCAGCTGACAAATGTGGTGGGCAATCGGCACAGGCTGCACCCGTGCATTGCGTGAGTCCCCAACCTGACATATATTTCCTGAAGCTTTGCGCCTCAGAGTTCTTTTGTATGTTCCATCAAAGCAAGCGCAGCAGCATGATACTGGGTCGCGCGTGCAGGCATGAGAGGTACAGAGGCAGCAGCACCATCAAATTCAATGATGGGGACCCAGACTCATTCAGGCCCTGGAAGACAACAAACCAGGTGCCACCCTGACAGGCCTCTTGTCACCTTCACTTGATACATCTGTGAAGTTGCTTTTATTGCCGGACATCCGGCAAGATACTATTGCATAACTTTGAAAGCCTTCTTAGATTCACAATGTCCTGCAGGTGTTTGCAGCGGCATGCGCCCAGGTGCAGAATACGGTTGGGCTGGCGAATCCGGGCATCAGCTCCTCAATCGCAAAAACAATGCACAGGAAGCAGCGGGTGCATGGGAGCTGAAATCGCAAGTCCTGATGACAACAGCCCCAATACCATTTAATATGGCCATTCAATTCGCTGACAGCCTGGCGCATGAACATGAGTTGGCAGAGCTCGGAACATTCTATTCCGTTTTGGTAGAGCATCGATCTGCAGCCTTTCCTTTGAGTGCCCTACGAGTCAGCGCCAATTGGCACGCACTGCGAGCATGGCATGCCTCAAGCCCTGGGACCATGAGGATGTCTAATGACCACTCATTTGCAAGCGGCTAGCGCAAAAACGTGTTGACCTGGTATGTGCGGTGAAAGGCATGAAGATGCACTTATTCGTTCGGCATGCAGGCCTTTCCAGTGCAGTACACCATGATGGGCCTTGGTTGTAGCGGCCAGCTTGACTGGTATTTGCGTCTGTGTGACGATGTCATTGAGAATTTCATGGTGTTTCATAACTGCATGCCATGCAGTGCATGCAGTGACTTCAAGCTTGGCTGACAGCTTGACGGGTTCAGGCAGACCGGAGTGCCAGACTAAGACCCCTGGCGAGTAATGACTATTTATACATGTACAGCACCCATAGCGAGCCGGCTATCCTTTAAGAGCAGGCTCCTAGTGGTCTCAGCCATGGTGGATTACCGGTGGTATTTTACCACACTGGGCCACCCAGGCTCTGAATGCCAACTGCCAGCTTTTGATAGCCAGTTTGACAACTTCTATCTGACCGAGTTTAAACTTTAGCGCCAATTTGATACCGTCCCCGTGAAGGCCTGCGGCCTGGAATTCTCAGACTACATCGTGCTCACTGAGTTGGTAACGCTACCACTGCGCCCAGCGCTAGGTAGAATAGCTAGAGTTACGGCTGTATAGTGAAGCGCCGCCGCTGTACCATGGCTGAGATGAGGCATCATACCAGCTGACAGCTGCAGCAGCATGCATGGTACAATGTGTCAATGACAATCTACATTTGCCGAAAACAGCCAATTTTTCAATGGGTAATCGAGTCAGAGAGTCAGAAAGCAAATGCCTGAGTCCCTCGGAGGGACTCCCTCCATACCGAGGATCCCAGACCGTCGATTGGGCACGGGGTAGCGGGGGGCCCCGTGCTGTGCTCGCAAGCCTCGAAGCTCGCGCTTTGACTCTCATAAACGGCTCAAAAGTCTATTAAGGACTTGTTTCGGGGTAACTGCTTCAAGAAAGAACTCTTGAATAGCAGAAAGTGACAAGAGAGAACGAAATTCTTCACTCAAGCAGGTGAGAGATGTGGCTTAGAGCGTCAATGCTTTGTAATAGGATCAACCCGAGAGATGCTGCATGTCTTAGGACAAATATATTCCATCATGAGCTAGGCAAGAACGCGGAGAGGCTGAACAAAAGTGGACGGAAATCCTGGTAACATTTATCTTTTGAACCGCTGCAGCTGCGTTGCGCTCATGCAGTGCTTCGTAGAAAACGCATTGTCGAGTTTTGTTGAGGTGAAGATGAAAGAGGAAAACTTGGAGCCGGACACATCTTTGTACAGGTTCAAGGGTTAATTTGAACATCCGAGAGTAGGTTGCGTTGTTCAGAAAGGAGGGAAGCTATTTAGGCCAGCCATCAATGTTCTCTCGTGACATCACTGCAGCATGAGAAGGCAGCGCAGAAGCAACGATCCCTACCACTCAGATGGGTTGCCTGAAGGGTTAAGCAGGTTTTGAGACTTTATCTGTCTGCTCGTGCAGGAGCAACTCTGCAATAACCATTCTGTCGACGCCATCATGGTGAGACACTCCCCTTCCTGCTTGCAGCTGACAGGGTGGCAGGGCATGCTGTAGCAGGCTGCTGGAGCCTTGCACAACTTGTTTCAGGTTTCCCCTGCTGCTTCTTGCTGCGTAGTGACTCACAGATTGCTTCATCTGTGCAGGCGCGCACAAAGCAGACTGCTCGCAAGACAATGAGCAGCAGAACGCCGGCCAAGGCACCAAAGAAGGTGAAGAAGAGTGCACGCAAGTCGGTGCCCTCACGCCGAGAGCCGGCCCCTGACCGCAGGACGCAGATCTACGCGCGATGCGGAAGGTCAAACGCGGCACCCGCGCCCTCCAGTGCGTCCCAAGCCGCCTCTCTAAGGCCTCTTTGCAAGGCTCTAGCCCTCAAATCTTTGTAGGCCGAGTTTTGCGTTCCAAAAGGACATCTGGGCTTCACAAGGAGCTGCTTGAGCTAGTGCTCGCTGTCCTCTGTTTTGAAGCAGCGGTCTGCTTGCACAGACATCACGTGCCAGATGAAGGAGTCTCAGATGTCATGTCCAGCCTCAAATACTTATTATTCCTGCCAAGATGTGGCGCAAATACACTGCAGCAGCAGAGGTTCTCAAGGCGCGGTGAGGTGTCGTAGGGAAATACGTAAGTACCAGAAGACCACGGAGCTTCTGCTGCGCAAGGCGCCGTTTCAGCGCCTGGTGCGAGAGCTCACGCACTCCATGATGCCGGATGCGCGCTGGCAGCTGAGCGCGCTTCTGGCGCTCCAGGAGGCGACAGAGTCCTACCTGGTCTCAAAGTTTGAGGACGCCCAGACCGCCGCCATCCACGGCAAGCGCGTCACCATCATGTGAGTCGGCTTCTCCTTCAATTGTGCTTCCCTGTTCAATTTCCAAGGCGACAATGCTGCCGATTATTTGGATAGGGTTTGGAAGCCAGGCTTGCACGGGATGGCGCACGTCATGAATGCAACTCCGCAGAGATGCTGAAAGGCATAATCAGCAGAAGGATGCCTTCCAGCCTAGCAAGCAATCTGCTGTACGGTACTAAGTGGTGAGGTTTTCTCTTGGTAATTATTGCTGTTCACTTCTTGTTGCAGGCCCAAGGACATGCAGCTAGCGCTGCGCCTGGCAGCCAGTGGCAAGCCGGGCATGTGAAGCATGCGCTGTGCTCCCTGGCAAATGAGAAGGTGCACACACTTCAAAACAGGAGGGTATGTCAAATAACCCCAGACAGCGGACGCGCATCTTGTTGTGGCATGGCCATCTGTATCATAGAAAACATGAAGTGCTCTTGGATCGCATTCAAGCACTTGACGGAAGCCCTACAAGGGTACGCCATTCGAAATCGATTGAGGGTTCTCACACTCTACCTTTACATGTCGTAGGAACAGTCTTGTTCATGTCACACCAATGCAAGAAATGTCTGTCGACAAAAGCAATTGAATTGCTCCTGGAATTTATTTTGGTATTCTATGGGAGCTTTGCATGTTATTTGTGTGCTTCGGGTCCATTTGAGCTGCAGCGCTCTCAGAGGCTCTCTGTGTGGGGGCCGCTGCCAGTGAGAGGAGATGTGTCAAGCATGCCCGTGTAAAAATCTTTGACAATACTCTGTAGGCTAGCGCTCACAGCACTGCAAACCCATGATCACATGGTTGTCCAAATTACAAAATATGCCTTCCTAGAAAGATCTTGACAGGTGCTTTCAAATTTCGGATGTCAAGCTGACACATTACATTCTATTGGGTTCCCAGAAGACTGATCATACTGGTGGGCAACGATATCAACCCACAACAATTTCATCCAATTCAGCAGGCAGCCAGTCCTCCAGTGCTGATCCAGCGTACTCAGGCATCTCTGTGGGGGGCGGCGGGAATGGCGCCCCATTGCTGGACTTGGCATATCGCCGGACGGCTCGCAGCCGCGCCACAATGTCCTCGCTCTCCAGCTCCTGTCGCACCTGCAGCAGCCAGTCACCGCTCACAGGCAGCACGATCTTTGCATGTGTCAAGCACGAGACAACTGTTCACAGTAACAATTCCCTCCATGGGAGACCCATGGCACATGTTGACAATGCATGAGAAGCAGCCTCATCAGCTCAGAGAATTGCCCGCTTTGAGCAGGCCAATAATCTTCACGTCAAAAAACATTTATCCTGCAGATGGCAGAATGGCATCCCTCTCACTGGAACATCACATTTGTCACTGGTCGAGCGCATCAGCAAGCCACAAGGCGCGGGTATGGACAACTGCATGCCGTCTGCAGCACACCAAAGAGATAGCTAAAGGACCAGGTGTCCCTTACCTACACTGTCAGAGGGGTAGGGGTATACCTGGTCGGCCTTGAGGGTGGGCACGCTGAGGCCGGTGAGGTCCTGCAGGTCGGCACGGCCGATGACGACCTCAGCGGCCGCGCGCAGCGCCTCGTCCTCCACCGCCATGCGCTCCCACTCGCTGCCGGCTGCGCCCACGCCCGCCGCAAACACAGCCGCCCCGGGCCGCCCGTCCCGCCCCGAGAACTGCGCGCACCCCGACAGCGACCCCTGCGCGTCCATTTTTTCACACCCTCAATTTAAAGCCAGCCTGCCAATGAAAGGATCGGACTGACGTGCCTAAGAGCTGAAGCTCCATCATCACACCTTCAATAGTCGTAACTCAAGCAGATAACGGCTTGTTTTCAGCCAAAGGGCAGCTTTCAGATGCAAGGCATGCCAATTTAGGAGTGCAAAGTGCAGTGCAGCACTGCTTAGACAAGAAATGGAAAGAGGTGCGGCCCACCTTGCTAACGGGCACCGCAGAGGATGAGGTGGCGTCCTCAGGTGCGTCTGGGTCGGGCTGCACAGGCGCGAGGGGGGTGGTCTCCAGCAGCTCCACGATGCGGTGGCCCTCCACCTGTTCAATGCCGTCCACCGGGTGGCACAGCTCCCTCGCCACCTGCTCTATCACCGGCCGCCGCTGCCTGCGCGCACCCACCGACACAACATTTGTCATCTCTCCAGTCTGAGTCATGCCGCAGCGCCTATCAGCGAGGGATCTCGTGAAGCTCCATAAGGCCACTCAGTGCCACCTATACAATCCCGGATTTCAATGGGTTGCGGCAATGTCCACTGCCGCAACCCATTGAAATTGTCCACTTTGGCAGCACCCAAATGTCGGGGCATGCAAATGTACGCTTGATCCCATGCAACAGCTCAGCTGGGCATGTTGCAAGAAATTCTGACTTGGGGCCAAGCAGGGGGAATAATATATGCAGGGTCCAGATGAACACATCAACAGTGCTGCAGAAGAATCACACAAAGAAATAAATTACTTATTAAGTCACCATTGGGCCAGGGCAGCGAGGGGGAATGGATGCGCACTGGACGAGGGTGATGGCGCGGCGGTAGGCGGCGCGCTGCAGCTGCAGGGTGAGAGGCTCAAAGGAGCCGGCGGTGCCGCGCGTGGTGGGGTCGGGCCAGCCGCCCATCGTCATGTCGAAGCGCACCGGCACGTCGCGCATGGCCGGGTGCATCATGCTCTTGCGCACCAGCCAATCCGCCAGGTCACCCGCCCGCGCCACCTGCCACACCAGACGGCTTTTATTAACATCCATGGCTCTCACCGCCTGCTCCTTCACCTCCTCAGGCCCCTCACAACAAGGCGCAAGATTGCTCTGAAGGAACAAGCTCCTCCTGGAGTGCCCTCTGTGCACAGACTGCCTGACCAGCATGCTGTCACAGAAATTTGTCAGGAATCTACCTAGGGACTGAAGATCGACAAGGAGGCAGACTCGCTGCGTTCCCTAGGCGCCCTGCAAGATTGTTGGTTTTGAGGTCCCTGTCCTACTGCTCACAAGTGTTGAGTGTAAGGAAGGCGGTATTCGAGTGATACGCAATTTGCAAGGAACAAATCACTCTTCAATAAATCCAAAAGCAGACAGCGGGCTCACCTCGCGGGAGGTCTGCAGGGTGACGCCGCGGCGGCCATAGAGGACTTCTTCGGTGGCGCGCGCGGCGTACAGGGGCACCAGCAGCCCGCACAGCATCTCATACGGCGCCAGCGGCTCGCGCAGCTCCATTGCATTCACCTTTGTGGGACTCTTGCCCGGCATGCCCGCATACATTCGGTGCCACTGGTCTCCGTGCTTGCCAAACTCCTGCACACCACAGTGCACGTCTCGCTACTTTTGTTGCAAGTCCAGTCACAGCCAATGCACTCCGCCTGCCGCTGTCCAAGCAGGCAAGCAGCCCCGACATGACGCGAGCGCATATTGGAAGGACAACACAGCTGCTGGGCAGGAATGAGTCCTTCATTCAACCGCGCTTGCGCGCTAACAGTCAAGCAAGCAGCCCCAACACAGTCGCACTGTTCATCAGGAAGATACAGCAGCTGGGCAGGCATCGGTGACATGCAAAGCATACGCCAGACAGAGGATGAGAGAGAGATGATTTGTCTGGGGAGGCGACTGGAGGGCACAAATCCATACATGAGAGCAAACTTGGAAATTTGAACATAGATGATGAGATGAGCAGTGCTCTCCAACGGATGGTGTACCCCATTAATTCAGACTGGGAAGACCTCCTAAAGATATGCTAAAACTGCCTAGCATAGCTACAATGGGGATTGCCAATGAGCGCACATGACCTCAGTCCTATCGATCGTGGATCATGCACCCCTCGGGATGTCAATGAAAACAAAAGCTTTCATCACCGGTCACATGCACTCATAAAATTGAAGTGTCCAATACTATTTGTGCTTGGTCTCAGTCTGCAATTGCCTTCAAGCATTGCTGCTCAGGAGTTCATTTGATATGCACCTGGTGCAGGCATGGGTGAATCCATGGGTAAGACGTTGTTGATGACGTTGTTGATGAAATAGTAAGTGTGGGGACTAGAGAAGGCAGGCACCTGGGGCAGGAAGATGATGCGGGACATATGGCCGCCGCGGGGCTGGATGGAGCAGTGCACGAGCGGGGGCAGGCCGGGGGTGAGCGCGGTGGCGACGGCGCGTGCGGCCTGCACGGTGGCCATGCGCGTCTTGGCCTCGCTGTCCGGCAGCCGCGCGCTCGGCAGGCCCAGCGACCGCTTGTCCATCGCCTCCTGGATCAGGCTCATGTCGATCGCCTGCGCGTCCTTGCGCACCTGCGCGCAGCACGCCCCCATGTGCCGTTGGATCCTAGCGGCGAAATTTGCAGCAATGCAGGCGCTAAGGGCTCTGTTTGAAATGCTGCTGTCGGCAGCATGCACAGAGATGCATTGCACCAAGGGATGTTCTGCAGTCACGCGTGATTCAGGCAGACAGACAACAGGCAGACCCCACAAAAGCTGTAGTGCAGCTCAAGTGTGCGTTTGTTGTAATGCTAAAAGGCGTACCATGAGGATGGCGGCCTCGTTGAGGAGGTTGGCGAGGTCAGCTCCGGCGTAGCCGATGGTGAGCTCGGCCACGCGGTGCAGCAGAGCGTCGCTCTCCCACACCGAGTCGCCCTCCCTCGGGATCGGCTTGTCCTTGGCATGCACCTGCCGCCACAGGCACTCATCTGATCAGCCTTATGACAGTGGACAGCTCATGTGGGGTGCACTAAGTACCTGCCCCTCCCAGCAACAAGGCATTGGCCTCTCAGCATGAGCTCAAACCTATCCCAAGCCAGCCTGCTCTAGGCAACCAATGGCAACCTTATTTCCTCTCCGAACAGCGATTCTAAAGGCCTTGGCAAGATGACGCACGAATACAGATCCCTGTGGGAAGCACCAGCAGGAAGCACAGGGCAGCAGGGAAATCACCTCGAGGATCTTGAAGCGGTTGCTGGTGGAGGGGCGGCCCATGTAGATGACCATGTCGAAGCGCCCCTTGCGCAGCAGCGCATCGTCCAGCAGTGCCACTCTGTTCGTGGCGCCCACCACCAGAACGCCATCATTTGCCTCAAAGCCGTCCATCTCGTACAGCAGCTGCAGCAGCCCCTGCTCGCGCTCCTTCGAGCCCGAGTCGTTGCCACGCCCACGCGCCTTGCCGATTGCGTCTATCTCGTCTGCGCGCATGCATGCAGGCCGCCGATTAATCGGTGCATTGCTGTGACTTGTAGCCCCAAATCTGGCCCTTTAGGGTGAACACAGAGCAGGCGTTCCCACTACGTCTGCTGTGCGGACCAACAAAACGCCAGCAAGGAAGTGGGCACGTCCCTTGCATGTGGAGGATGGTGTATCGCGGTGGACAGCATGCGGCGTGTGGGAAAGTTTGGGGTGCCCACCGACGAAGACGATGGCGGGGGCGTGCTTCCTGGCGACGCGGAAGAGGTCGCGGATGCGCGCGGCGGCCACGCCCTCAAACATCTCCACAAACTCGGAGCCATTGGCCGAGAAGAAGGCCACATTGGAGGAGCCCGCCATGGCCTTGGCCAGGTACGTCTTGCCCGTACCTGGAGGGCCCTCCAACAGAATTCCCTGCACCCGACAAACACTTGCCAGTTAGGGCGCATTGCACCTTTAGCATCCTTGCCAACCCATGCCTTCTGTGGCATGTAAGCTGACACACACTGAAATACGAGGACGTAAGTCTTCGGTATATAATTGCTCATGCATATCGCAGAAGGGCCAAGTCCCTGGAACTGTCATTGGGAAATGGTCCCCCAGATTGTGCGATGCAATGGGTGTGTGGGCAGCCACTTTACACCCTACTGCCATCTTACCCATGAGATATCACAGGGCTGGTGGGTTGCGGTGGGCTCACCCTGGGGGCGCGGGCGCCCATGGCCTGGTACTCCTCGGCGCCCAGAATCATCTTCATGACCTCCTCAATGTCCGCCTTGATGCTGTCGATGCCCGCCACGTCCTCGTAGCGCACCCCCGTGTCCTTCCTCTCCACGCCCACGTTGAACTCCTTCGCCCTGTGCCGCCCAAACTCCTCCGCCAGCTCCTGCAGCCATTCCCATCTTGTGAGCAAGATCTTCACAGTAGCAAGCATCCCCTCTATATCCTGCTTTATTGAGTGCTTTTTATGGCCTTAACTCCGATCTTGTCTTGCTTGGCGTACATGAGTGAAGCAAACATCCTTTCTGGACTCGGTTGCAGCTGGCAAGACCACTTGCAAGGTGAACAAATTGAGCAAGACTGACGTGAGCACTTGAATGCATAAGAGAGTACCTGCATGGGGTCCTTCTTGGGCCGCGTGACGGCCTTGAGCAGCTTGTCCCCCAGGCCCACGATGACGCGCAGGCCCACCAGCGCCACGATCGGCAGGAACTGATCCGCATACTGATTCAGCCACACAAACCTGCACCCCCCACACACGTCATCCCCATGATCAAGAACTCAAGCAGGCTGCACGCATCCAACATGCACATCTCAAGCAAGACCATCAGATCCGTGCCACCATGGAATGTTATAAAAAGCGTGTACTGCGCTTGAGCTGTCCTGCTTGAGTGAAGGTGATGTGCAACTCTTTTCTTTCAGTGCTCAAGTGTCTGTAGCGCCCCTTTGCCCGAGCCAGGCCTGTCTTTTATGCATCCCTGCTATGCGTGCCGTAGTAGAGTGCCCCATTCAGAGATAATCTGATTACTAATGGCCAGAGAATGGCAAGACAGGCGAGAAGGGGCTCACGCGTCGCCAGGGTCCATGACCACCAGTTCAGGGTGGACCTGCCCCACTTGCAGCATGTCCTTGTAGGCGACCCGGCCCTCGGCGTTGCGCAGGGGTGCCATGTTGCGCTTGAGCTCGTCCATGAAGGGGCTGTTCTCCCAAAAGTCCCCCGGCAGCTCCACATAGAAGCGGTACTTCTCCATCTTCTGCTCCGGGTTTTGCGGCGCATACATTATGCTGCAGCCAGCCAGGAATTTGTTCAGTCATAAAGAAATTCTCAATGACAGAAGTGGAACATGCCACTTCCAGACTGCTATTTATACGGCTACCGAGGCCTCTTGATGTTGTTATCAGCATCCACCCTTGCATCATGCACTGAGCAGAGGCACTAGGCATGACTCCTTGTCCCTCCCATCAGCACTTAACTGCAAGACAGAGGCTGGGTATTGACAAGCCTTTAGGCTGTCATGCGACAGAACACGCCAATCAACAACAAAAGGATCTCTATGGAAATTTTAGCAACGCACTCCTCGTCCTTGCGGTCGTATCTGGCCTCTTCCAGCTTTGACGCATAGCCCTCGACAGGCACCTCCACCATGGCAATCTTGGCATCGCCCAGTAGAATGACACGCTTGATCCTCTTGTCGTGCATGAGGTCCATGAAGCGCGCGTAGCTGATCTGCTGGCTGCCCACGGGCGGCAGGATGTCCCCATAGTAGATCTTGTCCTTCAGGGACTTGAAGGCCGCCGTCACCTTCTTGGGCGAGACGCTCGAGAGATTCACTGCTGCAAAAGGGGCTCCTGCGAGGAGCATTCTGGCCTGCACACATGCCAGATGCCCCATTCAGTTCTGCTGATGTACTGCGGTCCAATAGATGATATATTAGTGATGGCAGTGATGAGAGCCAGAGCGCACGCACCGTGTCTCCCGGCAACCCATCCTCTCGTCTGTCTGAAGTGGACGCCTCACAGCAATCGGCATCAGGAGGCTGAGCAGGCCTCTCTTCGCAGGAGAGGGACTGCAATTACATCACATGGAGTTGGTGTGGCTTACTCTAGGGTCCAAGCTCTGATGTGAGAACAACTGACCTATTATCTTAGACAGATTTGCAAAGTATGTATAAAACCAGGAGAGCCAAGGCTGCCAGATGCTGAGGTAAAAAGGACATCTCATCAAAATGTCACCTGCTCTGCCGCTCTCGACCTGGAACTTGATCGGTCCTGATCATGTGTATTTCTGGAGCATCTCTGAATAGCTCCTTCCCTTTTCCATCCTCGACCTCCACGAGGAATGCTTGACCGGCTGCTGCACCTAGGACAAGACGGTATGCCACGCAAGCCAGGCATTATATCAGCACTGTGAATGGAAGACTGAAAATACATGATGCTTGATCCCAACATCATCTTCAGTTATTACACGCTACATTTCATTAAGCTATTCCTGCTCCTATTAAATTGCAGGAACTTTTCCCGTTCAAGCTCGCAATCTACGTCAGAGTACTGACTGGAATCCTCGAATAAATCCGAGAATTCCCAAAAGAAGCGTTTTTCTCAGCTCTTTCTGACAAAGAATTGGATCGAGCCAAATTGTCGTCTTGTGGATAGGTAGTTACTAACAGTATTGAAGCACGGTGGCACGTGATCTTTATGCATTTTCTGAAGGCATGCTCGCCGATGTCGTGGTGATGTTGGTCATTAGGATCAATAGGAGCAAGAGGTAATGTATACAAGACTGTTTCGCACGGCATCTGTCGTGCTTAAAGCGGGAAATCCGACTTTTCCAAATCCCTGTTTTGATGCCATTCTGCCTAGAAGTCTCCACATAGCACAGCTCACAAGTCTACGCCAATGGCACAATTTGAGAAGCTCGCAGAATGCCAATGTATTGACCAAGTCTTCACTACATGTTGCCCATAACAACCAGGTACAAGACCTGCTATGTCAAGATAAATTTTGCTTCGATCATGATCTGATGTGACATCACCCAGAAAACATCTCAAGAGTCTTATTGTATTTGCAGTGCTGGTACACACCGGTCAGGAAGTCGTCCAATACGTCTGCAAGCAGCGCTGTGCTGTCAGAGACCACCACACTGCTAAGGAACCTGAACAATGGCGCAGAGGTGCAATGATGCTCAACAATCGTTAAAACATCAACCTGAAACAGAGAACAACATTGTCCTGATACTCCTTCTTGTCTTGCTGAGATGGACAGAAAAAGAAGTATATCTGCTAGCCCGTATTAATTGACGTTATCAGGGGTCTCCTGCAGATTTTCTTGGTAGGCACAGCGCATGTGTCTCGCAACAGTGCTGAGGAGGTCAGGGAGCTGATACGCGTGGTGAAGCCCACATCAGTCATGGTGGAGCTCTGTGAGGCCCGTGCACGGAGAATACGCGGTTCTGCACAGGTAAAGCTAATTTGTCATGCATCTGCTGTAACCTGATTGCGATCTGTGATAATTTGATTGCCCCGCCCAAGTCAATGACACAGCTAACTACATACGGTGACTTGTGACACCTGCTTTTGGTGTGTGCAGTTGCAGGAGGGAGGCTTTGCGAAAGATCTGGTGCAGGAGTTGCTCCGGCAGCTGGGCGCAGGCGGGCGCGACCTGCCGCAGCAGTTCGTAAAGATGGGCATGCAAGGTATCTGCTCTGGTCAGCATAGCACTGCAATCTCTGATGGGGAAAGCCTTCCACAAGCGTAAGTGTGTCCATTGTCAAGCCCGCTAACCACTTGATATACTGACATTTCACAGGATTCTACCGGCTGCTGAAGAGCTTGGGGATGGATCCGGGGCTGGAGTTCAAGGTGGCCATGGAGGAGGCAGAGCTGCTGCGAGCGCGCATTGTCTTCGGTGATGCTGACCAAGACCGGACTATGCGCCGCATCTCAGAAAGCCTCACCGTGCAGGCAGGCCCATCCACCTGCAATTCCCTCACCACTGTGTTCATGCAACAGGTATTGTAGGAGAATGAGAGGATGTGAAGTCTGTATATCAAGGATCACGCAGGATGTGCTTCTTAAAGTGCTCTTCAGGGTCAAGCATGAGGAAGGGAGAAGAACATTGCCTGATCAGGTCATGACGATTGTTTTGTCTGAATGCAGGGGTTGCTGAGCATGGTGATGGGCGGAGGCCTGCCACCAGCAGAGGTTGTGGATTTCTTGCGGAGCAATGGCAGCGGCAAGCTCACAGACCAGGCAAGTTTCCTCACTCTCTGCGCATCAAAATGCTGTGATGCTGTGTGGAACGGCAATACTTAGTTATTGGGCTTCGAGTGGTGCTGTATTTGCTGCGCCAAATCTCAGTGTGTGGGTGTGGCAGTTCAATGATAACCGTCATTGTGAGCGCAGGTTGAGGCCATGAAGAACAGGAAGATGGCTCGGGCCATGACTGAGTACATGCGCAAGGTGAACCCAGAGCTTGCCAGCGCCCTCACAGATGAGAGGGATGAGGTGAGTGGTTCAATATGCTCAGGCATTTATAGTTTTTTGGCAGGATTTGGCCCACGTCTGTGTCATGTAGCAGGATCAGCTGACATAAATTGCAACCGGTGTTGACAAGAACGATATTGATCTCATGGGGGTGTGTTGCAGTACATGGTCAATTGCCTGCAGCAGCTGGAGGGCCGCATTGTGGGAGTGGTGGGGCTCGCCCACTTGGATGGCATAGAGCGGAGATGGGACGCATTGCAGAACAACGACAGACAGAGATTATAGCACACTACTAATGTTTCATAGTGACAATTCTGAGGATTGCCTAGACGTCTGCTGACAAAGTTTACTCATCAGGGATACGGTAGTGAAAGCACTGCCATGCCTTTTGCTGCAATATTTGCAATCTGAGAGTCCCAATGTAGCAAACAATACAATTTGATTGGAGCTCCTCAAGGGGTTTTATGATAACTTAATATCAACAGTTCCTGGCATATATCATAATCAACTTGAAGGCAGCAAAGTGGATTCATTGCCCACAGTGGCTATCTGTGGCTCCACCCGCTGCTCCTCCCAGTCTCCTTCAAGATCTTGTATGCTCAGATATGCATCAGTTCCATATCCTGGCATAGACACCAGTCGCAAGTCCCCACCTGAGGAAAAAAATACAAGGCTAATGAGCCACTTTGCAGCCACATGCTGCAATCCTTCAGTTTTGCAGGGGCTGACAAGATTTTAAAGAAGCATCTTTACAGCTCAAACGGATGATGAGTTCTGCAGTAGAATGTGAAAATGTGCTGAGATGAAACAGCTATGTCTTGACAAGAGAAGCCTTCTCTTTGCACGCACCAAAGTATCGGGCGTATAGGCGGGAGAGTGGCAGGCCAAAGCCAAGGCCGCCCATCCTCCAGGGGCCACCAGGAGAGGCCGACCTCTCCGTCATGTGCGACCACATGTTGATCCCCTCCTGACTCTGACTCTCCTGCAGGCCACATGAGATCCGCACAAAATGACCCTCTCAAAAAAACCAGTAGTCACATAAGTAATACATCACCCTGACGGCAAGTCCTAATGTGGCAGTGCAATGTCAAAGGAGTCATTCAGGAACCCACCGGCATGCTGGCATCCTCTGCACCAACAGTGGTGAAGCCATACTGGAAGACCTTGTCTAGCTGGTCGTCAGGAATGCCTCCCCCCTGCAAAGAAGACATGAGACTTTAGTACACTGCTGAGGGTCATTCCAATTGTGATCACAGGCTGCTAGAGTGCTGGTCAAGGCAGGTGCAATCTTGATCGCGTGCATGCAATAAAGTATATTGCGCTCCTGAGCCGGAGGAGTTTTGTTTGTCACTAGCACTGCATATACACTGCGCGGCAGCCCTTCTCCCCACATGCCTCTTGCACTGCCTTGTGTGTCTTGCATCTCCCTTCCCTTACTATTCTCTTAATATGAGATAGACCTATCCTCTCAGCAGACGACAGTACCTGGTCGGAGATGCGCAGGGTGACAGAGGACTGCGCCTTGCAGATGGCCACGGTCAGCGCCGGCAGCGGCCGCCCCCTGTGTGATAGAACCACAGCGCGCATGGCGTTCTTGAGCAGCTCGTACAGCATGTAGTCCAGGTGCGTCGGTATGTAGGGCATCGTTGCCAGCTGAGCGCTGGTGCCGCTGATCAGCACCTCCGGTGCTGCACCAAAGGTTTCTGTGCACACCTGCATGAGTGTGGACTCCTCAGCATGCTGGCTTCGCTTGGCTGTGATGTAAAATAGAAAAGAGGAAGTGATGCAGAAGTCATGCATGACAGTGCTCAGGAAGTGATTCGAAGGCCAACACCTGCTTTGTTCGCTGGGCTGCAAAGGAGATGGCGTCGGGCAGGGACAGGTCAGTGCAGATGATTCCGATGTAGCCTGGCCGCCTGAGGGCCAGGTGAATGTGCTGCTCGGCCATCACACGGCGACTGATGCGGCTGCAATTCAGACACATGCAAGAAAATTCAGTTGCATATCTGGACGCATGAATATTACTGCTGCTGGCACAAAACCAGAACTATCAGCTTTTATTATCTCTCTTGCTACAAGGTATCTCTAAGTATCACCTGCGGAGCATGCTGTCCAAGAAATTGTCCATCTGCAGCTTTGGGCCGACGATAGGTTTCATCTTGCACTCACGGAACCCAGCTGCCAGAGCGTCCAGCATGGGGGCTGCATGACAGGCACAAAAGCCCATTACTTGCAACTCTGCAACCTTCAAGAGACCGGTTGGTGTCGACATGCAATTGCTCAAGTCGGCACAGATGCCCGAGGCACATACCATGCTCATCAACCAGCCGCTGCAAGACTTGCGTCAGTTTGTCATTATCTGCAGCCGTTTGCACCTGTAGCACCCCAAGTGCTGAATCTCATCCAGCTGTCATATCCATTCTGAGACAGTTGCCCAAGCATTGAGCGCAGGCAAGTGATTATGGACAATGAGAGAAGCCACTGCGCATCAGCTTGCAGGTGACATGAATCACCTGGGGCATGTTGCGGAGTGTGTTGAACGCGTGATAGTATGCATCGTACACCCGCTTGATGTGGGGATTTGTGACAACAATGTATGGAAGAAATTGCAGGTCCATTAGCCGCCGTGCCAGACGCTTCGGCAGCTGCAGCCAGCAGGGGCAGATTCGTGGCTAAATTCATGACACTTCAGGCACCATCTCCTCTGCACGATGATGGGAAGTGTCCAGTCAGTGAACAGAAACAGCGAGACAGCAGACCTCTCTCTGCGCATGTCTTGCGCTTGTGAGGATCTTGGATTCATTGAAAAGCGCAGCTCTGCCAAACTCCAGCATTTGCTGGAGAGAAAGCGCCTCGATGTCCTGGAGAGCATACTGCACAGATCCCGAGAATTTAGGCTTGCATTCGGGCCTTGTCACTCTAGTGTGATGATGAAAAGTCAATGACTGGGTGCCGCACCTTCTCGATAGTTGAATCATAGAACCTTTCTCCTGGTAATGTCTCAGTCGATGGAGCATCACTCCAGACTGTTCGGAGCAAGCACTGCTCCAACGACGTGCTAGATATCACATCGTGACAAGAAATTCTAGATGGTGATATTCTACTCCTCCAGAGACGGCATACTGAGTTACAAACAAAGGCCATGATCTTGACACACTGTCATCGCGATAGAGCACGCACGGATTGAAGATCAGGGCGCTCTTCTCCTTAGGCCGGCGACTCTTACACAATTTATTGGGCTCTGACAGAGAATCAAAGGTGCTGGAAGCAGCTCAGTGTCTATTTTCTCTTTCCGAAACGCCTCACCTCCGAAATGCATGATACGCTCCACCTGCATGCTGAGTGCAGGTTTGCACTGCAACAATGCCTGACTACATGAGAAACATCAAGGTTTGTATGTATTCTGAGGTCCTGACCTGAGAACGTATTTTGGCAAACACAATTACACGTACTTCGATTCCTTGTGAGGTGAAAAGTGACCCCAAGCGCAACATCCGTGTTGATCAGTGAATCGATTTCTGGTCCAACCTAGCTAGGCAATGATACAGAATGTGTGATCATCCACTGACCAAACGTCAGGCCAGCCAATTGAAACGGCCCCACCATCATTGAGCAGGAGCTGGCGCTGCACCATTTGATGAGCCATTGTCATGCCCCTTAAAAAGGGACACAAGGCTGCGCTGCGCCTTCTCCTCCTGCAGCACTTGGACGACCTCTGACAGCGCGTGCTCGCCGTGCACCACATTGTCCCTTGTGCGCACATTCACCGTCTTCTGCTCCCTCTCCTTCTCTCCCACCACCTGCACAGTGCAGACCATCAATTCAAATCCTCACTACTCTGTGAGTCAGGCCTTGTAGACCGTCGCAGAATTAACAGGGCACCCAGGAAATTGCAGAAAGAGCCAGGTGCTGTCCATTGCATGCATGCAGTCGACCTCGTTGGAGGGCACTGAACATGCAAGCATCTGTGAGGGGTCTTGTTCGACAGGCGGTATACCACGACAGAGCTTCAGTGGCCAAGAGCTCACCAGGATGTAGTTGTACTGCGCCAGCTGAGCCTCGCGCACTTTCTTCTGCATCTTGTTGTCTGCCAGGTCCACATCCACGAAGAAGCGGGCGTTCCTGAGCGTTCTCCTGACTTCCTGTGCGTACTCTGCGCTCGCTTCTGAGATGGGGACAACCATCACCTGCACAGCACAGACCCAAACTTCAAACTGGTTTCCTCTGACTGATGCTCAATAACTTCAGAGCATGAGTTCCCCAAGTGCTGAGCAGTGCCACTGTCTTTTCAAATTGGCAGCGGCACTGCTCAGCACTGGGAGGTCATGCTCTCAATATTACCCGAGCCCCTCCATGTGACTTATTCTGCAACCTCATCAAGGCAGAAACACCCCCGCACATCACTAGAGTGTCATTAAGAGAGTGTTGGGATTCCTCACCTGCCGTGGGGACAGCCAGAAAGGCCACTTGCCAGCATAGTGCTCCGTCAGGATGGCAAACATGCGCTCGACAGAGCCCAGGATGGCTCTGTGCACAATGACTGGCCGCTCAAACTCGTTCAGCTTGTCCGTTGCATACTGTACCCCGCAGCACACATGCGGAAGTCAGCTGCAGCTGCAGAAGAAGGAAAACTTGCAGTTGGGCCGCATGAATAGGGTACACTTATGCAAGGGAAAGCAATGGCGGGAATGCAAAACCTGCAGGCCGAAGCGGATGGGCAGTTGGAAGTCCAGCTGCACCGTGGCGCACTGGAACTTCCGTCTGAGGGCATCGAACACCGTGATGTCGATCTTGGGCCCGTAGAATGCGCCATCTGCTGGATTGAGCTGCACGCATGCCACACCATTGCCATCAGCACTGACCCGCATCAAGTGTCACCTCTGTGCAATCACCGTGATGCAGCTTTCCCAGCTCCAGTAGTCTTCCCAGCTCCAGTGGTCTTCCCAGATTTCATTAAAGGCTCAGCTGAAGCATTCATACCTTTCTCATCATTCTCTCAATTGTGCTTATTACAGAGATGCTGTGAAGGGGGGCAAACCTCCCAGGGCTGGCCCGTGGAGTCGAGGGCCTGCTTGAGGCTGGCTTCGGCGGCGTCCCACTGCTCGAGCGTGCCCAGGTAGGACTCTGGCCGCGTGGACAGGGCCATCTTGTAGGTCAGCCCAAACACCCGGTAGGCCTCGTCCAGCATGTGCAGCACCGCACTCACCTCCTGCAGCACCTGGTCCGGCCTGCACAGCACTTCTCCTGTCAGTTGTATCCTTACTGTTAGTTTTTTTTCCAAGATTTAGAAATCAGGGATTAAGGTAGGTCCAGCAACAAGTGAATCATAATTCTCCTTTCTGAGCAGGTTGTGGCTTTTACTCCACCACAATCCAATGGACTCTGACTTCTCCTTCACATTATCATCTGTCAGTGTAGGGTGCGCTGATCTTGATTAGAGTGGCATGTATTACAGGTAATCTTACAGATGAAAGAAGAGGATAAAGTCATGCCAGGGTGTCAGCCCCTCATCAAGGCACCCAGTTATAGTCTGGAGGTTTGGGGGGAGAATCATTCTGTGTCAGTATGGTCTTGGAAGTGGCCGGTGACAGATAAAAAGAGGGTGCTGGTGCAAACACTCGCCTGCAGAAGACGTGGGCGTCGTCCTGCTGAAAGCGGCGCACGCGCGTGAGGCCCTGGAGCGCGCCGCTGAACTCGTTGCGGTGCAGAACGCCAAAGTCCGCCAGCCGCAGCGGCAGCTCCCGGTACGACCGCGTGCGGCTGCCAAACATCAGGCAGTGCCCTGCACCAACAGAGTAAGCAGCGCCTCAACAGGGAAGGTCAGCTGGACGATCAGGAGCTCTGACTTCTTAGGTGAGACCGAACAAATGTGTGGGACAGTCTGCATGCATCCTGTCCTGATCCAAATAAGGGACATGCAATTCATGTCAAGACAGATCGCATGTAAGACGTCAAACATAACGGAGCTTTTGGCACAGAATTTGCATTGCATGCATTTCAAGACTTAAATGACAAGTTGACGCACCGGGGCAGTTCATGGGTTTGAGGCCGAACTCCTGCTTCTCGATGTTGATGAGGAACATGTGCTCCTTGTAGTGGTCTGCATGCCCGCTCGTCTTCCACAGGTCAAAGTTGTACATGTTGGGCGTCACCACCTCCTCATACTCGTACTGCCAGTACAGCTCCCGGATGTACTGCGCAGGTCCAATTCATACCTTGGAACACTACACGAGCCCGACCGAAGACTTGCTCATGTGATGACAACTCCGTCTTGCAATTGTCCTGCCAAATCTGCATGCAAGCAGGTATGCAGCACGTAGTGATCAGACAAATGATGATTGTCTGCCTGCAAGCAAGTTCTAAGTATATGAGAGCAGTATGTCAGAGCGCTTTTGAGGAGGATGCATGCCTCGATGAGGGTGTTGTAGATGCGGGCGCCGTTGGGCATGAAGAAGCAGGAGCCGGGGGAGAGCTGGTGGAACATGAAGAGCTCCATCTGCGTGCCCACTTTGCGGTGGTCGCGCTTCTTGGCCTCCTCCATGCGGTGCTTGTAGTCCGCCATCTGCTTCTTGTCCGGGAACGTCACCCCATACACCCTCTGCGCACACCACCATCTCCCATCAGACAGGTTGAGACAGGCCCAAAACAGAGGAGTAGATGGTTTGCCATCATGGCTGTCTCTCTGACTGGAGGCTCCAGTGTTGGACCTCAAGGCGACCAAGTTGCTCTTTGATTGCAGGTAAATCATCCATAGGTCGCACCAGCCTCTGTAGGCATGCAGTGAAATGTAGGCATGCATTGAGGAATCAAGGTCAACAAGATATGTCCAGAGCAGGCAATGCTATGCAGAAGCGTATGCATGTCTCATGACTCGAGCATAATTGGCCTGCAGGTGCCAGACACAGGACACTGAGAAGGTTCCCACCTGGAGCGGCTCCTTGGTGACGTCAGCTCGCCAGAACGCGCGGTTCAAGGCGTTGACTGCGCAGGTCTTCAGGTAGCCCGTGTTGGGAAGGTGCGGGCCATGACAGAGGTCCACCATTGGGCCACATCTGCGCATTTTACATGTCCCAGCACCATTTTTATTCCAGCACAAAGAAGTTAACTTGACTTTGCCGCCTTCAAAGTAAAATAAAAGGTGTCGGGGAAAGTTTGCCACTCCCCGTCGCCGCACCTGTAAAGGGAGATGGTGGCTTCGGACGGCAGCGCGCTGATGATCTCCACCTTGAACTTGTTCTCCTGGAACATGGACAGCGCCTCCTCACGCGTCACCACAACGCGCTGAAAATTCTGCTTCTCCTTCGTGATCTGCACCCATTCACAATATATTTCATTCTAATGAATGTTTCAAGGACACACCCGACACATCAATGATTATTGCAGGCTGCAGCACACGAGACTGAGAAACCATTGACTCCAGAGTGGCGAGGGGACAGAGCATGGCAGCGAATGGACCTGCTCGAGCTTCTTCTCCAGGATGGGTCTCTCAGCGTCCGTGAGGGTGCGATCGCCCATGTAGCAGTCATAATAAAAGCCCTCCTCGATGGCAGGCCCAATCGTGAGGCGCACGCCAAAGCAGGCCTCCAGAGCCTCTCCCAGCACGTGCGCGCTGGAATGCCAGAACGTCTGCACAAGCAAGTCTCTCCTAACCTATCATGGCTTACATGAGTAATTTTCATGGACGGGTCTGTGGCGACAGTGCCCCTCAGAGCATTCAAAATACTCTCATCGGCTTGCATCAATTCAAGAGGGAATCTGCGTCATTACTCACATGTTTGCCGTCCTCGTCCTCAAAGCTGCAGACTTGCAGGCTGCAGTCTCCCTCCAGGGGCCTGAAGAGGTCCCATACATCTCCGTTCACCTTCGCCACTACCGCCGTTTTCAAGAGGTCCTTTGCATATTCCTTGAGGACATCCATCGGCGTGGACACATTCTTGATGGCCTGCCTCTCAGAGCCATCAGGCAACTTGACGACTATGGGCTCATTCTTCGCTTTGGCTTCCTCCACCTGCAACCAGCTCAAAATTTAAGATTATCATTATGAGGATATAAGGTTCAAAGAAGCCCGTCCAGGCATCTCATGTGCAAACGCAAGGGAACAATCCACAAGCTTTGTGGCCGTATTGATTGGATGTGATCAGACCTCTGCAATGTGCCTCGCGTTGTAGTGTTCGAAGAGCTCGATTCTCTTCTTTATGAAAGCTTCAAGTTCCTTTGCAGACTCCTCGTGAGACTTCGGATCTGCCGCCTTCGTACCATTGTTTGATAATGTGTTCAGATGCAAATCATTCAGTTTGTGCTGCACTGCTGGAAGGCTCTCGCCTCCACAACAATCCGCTCCCATGGTAAATATAATCTGTTGCAAATCGTTTTGTGCAAGATTGAGAAAATTGCGATTGAGAAGCTGATCAGAACTGCCCAGCAGGATGGAACGCCGCGGGCCGACAACAGACAAAACACGAAATATCCTTGAACACTGCAATTTGCAAAATGTCCATAAATTCATTATTTTTCTTAGGTGCTTGTTGATTTGATATGAATTTTTAATCTGTTATCACGATCTTGCGTTTCCTGTAGCCCTGCAGCATGAGCAAGGCAATAGAGGCTGCCAAGCAAGTATATAAGTCTAGCAGCTCGATTGGTCGAGTGCTCTCTGGTAGTTTGGCATCAACTACAGATCGGGTAACATATGCTGAAGAATTGCGAGAAAAAAATGCAAATGCAGCGCAGGAAAGGTGCTCTGACACACTGCCAAGTGGTGCATCAGAGTCATACCTCTTGATGGGCAGGGGTGACATTCGCACAAAGCGAGGAAAGGTGCGTATAATAATAGCTTTGTATTCCTGAATCATATTTCCTTGACTTCGTGCCATTCATGCACATATCCAGGCAATTGTACATTTGCTGACACACCTACTGCTCTTGCAGAGATTTCGGGGAACTCATGGGAAGGTGAGAATAAGTAGTCATTACCAAGATGCATCATCACAGGGAGCAACCAGAATGTGCCCTTGCTGACCTAATGACAAGTGGGCTTGCTGCACAGTGTCCAATCTGTTTCTGCTGGTCCACGACGTCATGCTTGCTCTGCAGACGCGGCCAAGGAAGCTGAAGGATCCTTACGCCCCCAAAGCTTGGTGGCATCAGCCTGAAAGGGATGAGGAGTCCCCGGTGCCCATTCCATACCCACCAAAGCCAGCGGCAATCTACAACCCTGATGGAAAGCAGCCAGCCTCCCTCCAAGCTCTGGCCGCCCACTGGATGCAGCGTCTCAACCAGTTTTCTTGGAGTTGGAATCAGAAGTCTAACGTGTCATTGGTGGTAGCTTGAGCTTCGAGATCATTTGCCAGTCACACTTGATATTACCTTGAGCTCAACTTACAGAAACAGGCCATTTGGTACAGCATTTAGAAGTTTGCAAGTGGCACTCTTGACAATTGCAGGCTTCTAACATCTATCTCAAGTGCTGGAAGTTGTCGACTGAAGTGTTATGTACAACAAGTTTTGTTTCCAACGGCCCCTTGAAACCAGAGTACATTCAAACGCTCATCTACTCTATGTAACACTATGGAAACCCCAATGGGAAACTCAACAGTGGCAATCATATCATCAATATTCATGTACAGGAACACAGTGACACACACATTATCAAACGTCTGCTCACACCAGTTGCTGAATGCAGATGCCTCATGGTTTTTCTAACGCTAGGCCTCGGCATTTCCAAGCCACAATACCTGCAGAGCAGAACACCATCATTCAGGGCACTTCCCAGAAGGACAATGGTATTTTGGCTGCACACTGTAATAACATGTGTTGTGATAACAGAAGCTTTTCCGAGTCAAGCTTGAGTCTTAAGAGAGCTGAACAGGGGAAGCATCCCATGATCGCAACAGGCAAACAATGCAGAGCAAGAGACTCACCAAGCGTAGCGCCCGCAAGAGTCACAAGTGCCACCCGTTCCCAGTGCAGACGAGCCGCTGCAGGTTTCAGCGCCCTAATCAGGAAGTCCCCAGCCGAGATGATCATCTCATCGCCTTCCTCCTGTCTAGCGGCTGCCTTCCCCTGCACTTATGGCAACACCCCTAAGTCAGACACCCATATATACCCTTGCTCCTTGGCCACTCACGATTTCTCAGCACAATACCGCAATATCTGCTTGCACGGCATCCCTTCTTCTTTTATCCGGCACTCGTGCTGCCTTCGTGTCTGCTTCTCACCAACTCTCAACCCAGAGCAGCTTTGATTGAAGCACTAAACATGCCTCCAGGGCAATCAAGGTAGGAGCACAGGAGCAAGGAGGGGGGGCAGGCCGTGCGCACCTTGTAGGCGGCCATGCAGGACTGCAGCAGGGGCAGCATGCCGGCTGCTGCGGTGGAGCGCAGCGCCAGGGAGTGGGGGGCAGACCCCTCGCGCACCAACACTGCCAGCGCAAACAGCGCAGCCCAAAGCACCTGCCACAGTGACAATGGATGCATCAGCAACATCACTAAGCACAATTGCCTTAGCGTTGATCAGAACATTGCCCCTCCCAGCTTGAGCAGCACTGGATCTCCAGGAATGCAGGACCAAGAGACAGCAGCGGCTCAGCACTGAGTACGCAGGTAGTCGTAATGCTTCGTTCCAGGGCATGGCGGCAACAAAGGAGGAAAGTGATACTGCACTTCTTCATTACTGCGGCCGTGGTGTTCCAGGGCGCGCGCGATGACCCTGGCCGCCCCCAGCTGCAGCTGCCTGGCGCGGATGGCGTCGTGCATCGGCTCCTCACCCTGTGCCGACAGACAAGCCACTTTCACCGTCGGTGCTGACTGTCATGCCCCGAGTGTGTACACTCGCCCGCATCATGTCAAGAGGTATGCACTGCGACCATCCACGGTGCTTTTGTGGCACACAATCAGAGTGGAGGAAATTTCAACGCCGACACCTCACCCTCACAAACCCCCTTGGCTGAGGTGCTGCATATTAAATACATGACTCCATGCCTATGCAAACAGGAAATGTGCCTGCTGTATCTTGACTTTCCTACACCCTGTTCGAGGTAGACCAAGCACTCCAAGTCCTGAAGGAATGCGATCTGCTAATAGCAGTGGATTTGGGGCGGCTGCATGCACCTGTCCGAGGACGCCAAGAGCGACGAGGCCCTTGGCCTGGAGGTCGACCTGGTCGAGGTGCTGCGTGAGCGCGAGGAAGATGTCCGGCAGGCCCAGTCCGGCCAGGTGGGCCTGCAGGATGTTGTTCTCCAGCGCCAGGGGCACCATGCACAGCAGCGCGCACAGCTGCACCATCGCGTACTCACGGAAGCGCCGCATCGCGCTCACTATTGCCTCCAGGCCCCCCGCCCGCGCCACGCGCCACTGGTTGCTCTGCGCCCATGGACAACAGCATTGCTTAGTACTGTGCTTTAAGCAGGCATCATCCTACTGTCCCTGCCTGCGATACAATGCACTTCCTTGCTTCCGGCTAAGCTCTGCCTTGGCACACGCCAATAGTTGCTCTGCGGACATGGTCAAGAGCAGCGCTAAAGTAATATTTCACCCATTTGGGCACAACGAAGGACCAATAAATGTGGATTTCATCGGTGTCTCTTCAGCTAGCAGACGTCATGTGCTGTATGCATGGGTCTACCCTGCTGTCCCTGCCTGTGATGCTCTCCCTTGCTTCCAATATGCTGTGCCTTGGTTGGCTGGACTGCGGCATTGGATTACAGCACAACTAATTATTGTGCAGTATGCAGGGATCTGTCCTGATAGTCCCTGCCTGTACTGTGATATACTTCCTTGCTTCCGGCACGCTCTACACGCGCCGGTAATTGGGCTGCATGCAAGGCCTTTCACGCATAATGCACCCACTTCTCCCTTCACTCATGCGCTTGTTGCATGAGACACTGGTGACAGCTTACAAAGCAAGCAGAGAAAGCGCACGTAGGCCGCCATTCATTAAACAATTTGCCTATGTGCTGCAGGGGACTGGGAACTATAGTACGTTGAGGTCCAAGGGGAAGGCAACAAGTGCTGGCTTGTACCTGGCAGATCTCGCTCTCGGAGCGGACCAGGCTGACGATGGCGAGGCAGCCGTTGCACTGGACGCCTCCCGACGCCGTCCATCGTTTCATGACATTCACAATGGTGGACACACCCTCCCGGTCCGCTATCTCCTTCCGCACCTGCACAGATACATGCACCAGCACCTCAACACCTTCAAGCTCGCATGTTTCACCCACATCTTTCTTTGCTGCCTTCTCTTTAATGCGTCAAATTCATGAAGTATTGACAGCCATGGATAGCTAGTGTGTTGGCTGGGGTTGAAGGGTTGAATGCCCACCTCGTCGTCGTTCCAGGCAATTTTTGCCAGCGTCTCCAGGGAGCTGATCAGCACTTCAGAGTCCTTCTCACTGCTCTCCACCTGATGCAGCAGCGCATCCACCTGCACATGCACCCACAATCAATGGCACCATGCATGCAAACAATGTCACAATAAGAGGACTTCCTGTCTCCTAGAACATAAAATTAGTTGGGATCATGTGCCTTTCAAAGCAGCAGACCTGCTTCATTCTGAGCCCAGTGGCGCTGATGGGCAGGATCTCATCGTTCAGGGGACACAGCTGCGACATCTGTATCTCCTCTTCCTCTTCTTCAGGCGGCTCGCCCACAGGCAGGCGTGGCAGAGACTGCAGGAAGGAGGCTGGCTGCGCTGGAGGCTGCGGGAGCTGTGGCTGCCTCGAGCGCACATTCGCTGGCACCTTGAATCTGTGGACCAGCTTCCGCACAGCCGCGTTGGCCACGATCTTGCTGGGGGCCACGCATCGCAGCGGGCACGACAGGGTGTTGCTTGTCTGCAGAGAACAATCACCATCAATCAGTCACCTACTCATCCTCCAATACTGTGAAACGTGCCCTTCATGACCGCACAGTGCTGTCTACAGAGCACCAGGATGAAGAGGATATGCATCATGCAACTCCAGAGGGCAGGCAGGTGGCATTTAAGCAGGGCAGGCATTTTGGGCTGACCATGAGCTGTGAGGCAAAGTGGTGGGAGAGGCAGGGAGCGCAGAAATTGTGGCCGCAGGGCTCCAGGGCAACGCAGGACCGCAGGGTCCCCAGGCAGATCTGGCACTGGAAATCCTCCAGCGTGCTCGAATCGGCGGTTGTGTATTTTGAGGTTGTCATCCGCTGCAGTCACCAGACCACTCAATTCAGTCTTATGAGGACATCAGAACAAGAAAAAGTGTGCACTCCTTGAAAGCTCCTACGGCATGCAAGTCTTCCTATCAGGGCCTCAAATTCAAGAGTATTGTAATTTCCGATGCTCAATAAAGCCTAATGTGTACAGGCAGGTTCACAGTCTGGAGCCGCACCTGCAGACTTCTCATCCTGAGCCTGGTAGCGGCTGGAGAGGCGAGCATCTGCTTATCCTCTGCCGGCAAGCATGCGATTCTCTTCACTGGCGCCCACGCCCTCTTCTCCCTGTCTGCAGGCTCGCCTGCACCCACGCGCGACCAATCACAAGACGCGCCTCACGCACAAAATTATCATGGCCAGTAACGGTAGCCATTATGCGCCTGCATATCCGTCAGGGGTGATGCTTCAGATCAGCCTGGTAGAAGGGTGCCTCACCTGCATGGAATATGAGGTATTGTTCCACGAGGGGTGTGACAGACAGCACAAGAGACACTCTGTCTCCGTCGTTGAGAGGCGTCCCCAGTCCCTGGCTGAAGGCCCGCGCGCCATTGATGAAGGTTCCATTAGTGCTGCAGTCCAGCAGCAGGACTCTGGGCTGCTCTGCCGGCACATCATACAGGCTGGACCTCTCATGCAGCTGCCGTGCCTGCTGCTGTCCATTGCGCAGGGGATCTGACTCGGCAGAGGTCTGCTCCATTTGTGCGCTAGGATCGGCTGAGCTCGGCTCCGGCCGGAAGACACAGTGCAGGCGTGACACCCTCCCATCGTTCACGCCCACAAAGTTGAGCAGCCTTGTGGATAGCACCCTGCAAGGCAGGACATCTATACATATCCACAAGTAAACCAATGCAAACAACATTAGCACAAGCTCTGCCTCATCCTTGACCCCGCATTCCACACCCAATGCTTCTTCTTTTCAAAGATCAGATAGCATGTCCAGAGCAGTCATCGGGCCAGTACGGAGCCTACCCTGCAGGCGCCACAGGGGTCGCAGTGCCAGTGGAGTTACTCGGCGGCGAGTCAGGCAGCACCAGCATGCTTGCATGTGCCGCCTGGCTGCTTGCAGCTTCTCCGATGCCGCGCCCGAGGGCGACTTCGTCCCCCTGCAGCAGCACATGCGGCAACGCGGCCGAACCCGGCTCCAGCCAACCCCACACTGGCAGCCTGACCGCCTTCCCGCTCGCTGACACACCGGTGAAGATGTCCTGCACCTGCACAATAGCTAGGGCTAAATCATCCAATGTATTTCAAGTATCCCTACACGCTTTTTTGTCACATGTGATGAAGAGGACCTTATGCTACCAGGTTGAGTATCCCATAGTTGAGGCAATCTATTCCATCTCAATCAGGGACGTCAGAATACAAGCAGGGATATCCCCCATCGATGTCAGGACACAGAATGCAGCATCATGTCGGACGGCTGGACTTCTGGGCATCGCTGTGACACTCCAACATTATGCAGCACACAGCGCGATAGCCGTTGGATTTCCTGAGCTTGTGCCTTAGGCACTGCGTTATGCTCACACCTCTTGCTTGCGCAGAGAGAGCGACATCTGCCGGTTGATGCAGCGCGCCCGTGGAACAGGAGCGCTGTAGATCTGCCGGAGAGGAAGATGCAAAGGGTTATGGCCTGTTTGTTGATCAACCACTTGCGTCACGCCTGCTGATGAGGCAATAAGCTCCTGCTCCTCCTCATCGAGTGAGCCTTGAGAAGCCTCCTGCGCTGAGGCGCTGTCCTTGTCTAGGGCCAAGCCCTGCACAGAAGGTCACCACGAGGTGAATTGGAACCAACCTTGCCTGGGCTTATGTGAGTGTTGTTTGCTGTGGGACGCCTCACCTGTGAAGACCAGGGCGGCTCATCCTGCATTAGGATGTCTGCTGCGCCCACTCTTTCTGCAGCCTTTTGGTCGCTCTCCTGAAACACACATGGATGGTCCTTGCTGCAAATGCTGGCTTGATCAGCAAGCAAGCAATGTCCTGGCAGCAGAACCCAGCATGCTCACCAGCTTTAGGACAGCGTTCAGCAGCAGTCTGCTGGCAGCCTGAGCATAACTCGCTGCCCTTTGCCCCTCAGGCTGGCGTAATGCTACCTCAAATGCAGAGCGCTCAATTTCACCAGCCAGGATTTCGCTCTGACTTTGCTGCAGATGGCGACCCTGCGAGTATCAACACCATTCGGATATTCGGATAACAGTGTTTCAGAAAATTCCAAGAGGATTGTGCACATTCAAAGCCTGGCAATTTTTGCATGGCCACTGCCAACCTGGGCAATCCCAGAACTCACATATCTGCTATGCACGAGGTCTAAGAGGTTGCAGGCGAGTCGATGTCGGAGATCTTGTCTCTGTGCGGGATCCGGTACTTGTGGCATGCGCTTGAACCCACCCACGGCAACCAGGGACACGCTCTAAATCACTGACTATGCTACCTTCTAACCTTCCAGAGTCATAATACAATACATCGATCTATCGCAGCATCGTCCTGCTCAAGTGCCGAGGTCACCAAGCTCTTTCGCAACCTGGATGTCCACAAATACGCAGTGGTCCGAAACTTCTTTGCAGCTCTTCCCTAGTTGACAACAAAGTATTCTAATATTACATGAATGTTCACCTTAGGCGGGTGTCGGTCCAGGAACAACCGCATCGTCAGGAAACAGAAAGGGCGCACGTGCAGAAATCTGCATGGTTGTCATGGGTCAGGAAGCAAACACACCGAAGTCCTCCATTGTTATCGTCAACTAATTGATGATTCACTAGAGCAGAGAACACTAATCAAAATCTTTCTGACAGTTGCTTCGATCTCGGTCCTCCGTGAAGTTTGCTGATGCTGTGGTTGGAACGTCTGGTCTTAAATTGCAAGGACACACCAAAGTACATGGACCATTCATGTTATCAATCAAGAACACCTTGCTGATTGCTTTGACGTCATCAGCGCGAGTGCTCTGTCGGTTGTTGACACTTTGATGGCTTCTCGTACTGGAGGCTTTTCGAGGTGCTCCATGGACACATTGAAGAGGTGAAATGTCCTTGTCTGGCTTCATCTGTCTGAGTGCTTTAAAGTGAATAAATGTGCAATCGCAGGGATGGGTTGAGCGCTAGAGCATATGGCCAATCTGACCAAGCTCAGATCAGCATAGAACTGGGTGAAGGATTCGATTTGGATAATGAAATTGATGGTTTGCGATCACAAGTTGGCCGCTTGAAGGAGGTGAGGGCTCATCATGTCTCACAAACACTGTCAATACATGGGTGCTACTTCTTTTTGTTGCAGTTGGCCTGCTGTTTCCTTTACGCTTGCCAATCTGCAGATGTCACGCGCGATAGGCGAGGAGAATACATTGCAGCGACAACAGGCAGAGTCTTTGGAGGAGCTGATGGAGAGAGCAAAAACAGACCTAAAGCGGGGCATGCGGCGACTAAATCGGGCATTTCAGCAGAGCAGAAGCAATCATCTCCTTTACCTTGTTGTCTTCTGCATAGCTGTCTTCTTTCTCCTCTACATGTGGGCAAAGATGTACCGGATGGTGCAGTGGCTCAGCTGAATGCAGAATCAGCCCAGGAAAACCCCCGCAGAATACCTTGATGAATTGAAGAACAACTCTGAACCAGATTACACTTCAAAGCAGAACCTATGTTTGATTGCAAGCTACAATCTAGGCCAGAAATCTGTATGGACCAAAGATGCATGCAATATTATGAGAATCAAGGCAAATGCTGCTGAAAATAGACACAGATAACACATGTAAGATCTGTTGCTGGACGCTAGAGCTGCACCTACAGGGGCCCTGACACCTGCCCTCAGTATCGCCCAGGCTCCACATTCTGCTGGGGCATCACGTCGGCTTCTCCCAGGAAGTTTCCTGTGAGGAGCACCAGCACTCGGGGTTATGCTCCGTCCAGCAGGCATCAACAGGGCACATGAAATTGCTCCTTGGGCGTCAGTGAGGACAGCCATATCACACATGGTACTACAGTACTGCTATACGAGATGCACAAACCTTTGCCCTCATGCGGGTGAGTGACGATACAACAAGGACCAAGCTCTGCATTGCAAGGGAAGTTTTTCTTGGTGGAAACCTTGGCTGTCGTGTTAACAGCTTGTGATGACACAGCAGGTCTCCAAAATTTAAGCGTCAAACAACAGTGAGCAGAGGGGCTCCCTCCCTTTCTCCAGTGTGCACTCCCCAGTGTGAAGAGTCCCATTGGCACAAGTCCGCCATCCTCTGCACCTCCTGTTGTCTCCTCTAGTCGGCCCCAAGGAGGGCACATGTCTGGCAATGGTTGCTCCACCATGAGAATTATACAGTCTCTCAGGGCACAGACAATACTGTGGCGTTGCATCCTGCTGTGAGGACAGAAGAGCATGCCCACCTTTGTTTTGGGGTTGGCATAATAGACTTCCTTGCTGGCCTTGTCCCACAGAGCTTTCCAGCCGGCAGGAAGGCCCACTGACAGGGCCTCCAGATCTGGCTTCTCGGTGTAGGTCACCGGCGCTTGCTGGGCACTGACTGGCTTCCGCTTCTTCTCGGCAGCAGCCTTTGTTGTCTTCAGCTTCTCCCTCCAGTCCACAGCTAGCGGCTGCACACATAGATTGCCCTTCTTCGAATTAGGTGCATGAGAAGCAGCATGCAGAAGCTGCACATCGCATCAGATATCCCAGCCCTCGATTGAGGAATGACATGGCATGTCAGGTGGGCTGACAGGGTGTGTGGGCAAGGGCACCTGGAAGTTTGAGTTGTCCTCAGAGCTCACTCCAGCCCTGAGCTGCTTCAAGCGCCACTCCTCAGCCTCTCGCAGCCTCTTCCGCTCCAGCGCATCAGCATCCAGCACCTCATCTTCCTCCTCGGCCTCAACCTGCACCACAGCCATCCCTCAAGACACTTCTTGCTGTCACTGTTCCTGCTTGTCAGCCCAGAATAGCTCCCTAGAAGACATCCAAATCATCATACAGAAAATTTGTCTTCACAGGAGCCTGCCTCACCAGATCTTTGCGCACGGCCGCCCATTTGTCGATGAGGGAGGAGGTGGCCTTGCTCCCTTTCAGTGCCTTCTTCTTCTTTGCTAGCGGCCCAATCCCCACAGTGGCCTTCTCGCGCTTCCTTTTCCCCTCCTGCTCTCCTGCTGGCGGCTGCAGCACTCCTGCATCTGCACTACTCTGGGAGCCCTGAGTAGAAGGTGGAGTCATTGCGCGCACTGGCTCTGCTCTGTACTCCTTTGCTCTTGCCCCCGCGGCAGGAACAGGCGGGCTGACGCGACCATCAGTCAACTGGACGCCTGCCACTGTCCCGTCACCTGGCAGGGGAGGCTGCGCATCATTTTCTATGGGCAGTGGTGGCGCGGTGCCATGCTCAGCCGATTCCGTTGGCAAGGAAGTCACTGCAGCTGCTGCTGGTGCTGGGATTACAAGCGGCTGCGGCACGTAGAACGGCTGGGGATGCATGTAGTGGGCGTACGGTACGTAGTAGCCAGGCCACTGCGCAGCGGGCGCAGGCAGCCGCACCGGCATTGACGGCACCGCCGGCTGGGCCCCGGCTGCCGCGCTAGCTGCCGCGATCCTGCTGTTGATGTGCGCCAGCGCCGCGCTCGTGCTTGGGTCTGTTGCAGCTGGTTGCGGCAGCTGTGGCTGACTGGTGGGCTGTGGCAGTGCCGGAGTGTCGTCCAGTTCCATGTCAACGTCGCTGTCTGCTTCATTCGCTGGAAGTGGTGGCTGCGACGGCTGAGGCAAGTCAGCTGGCTCCGCAGGGTCGGCCGGCGCAGGAACCTCCCTCAGATCTGGGGAATTCCGGGGAGCTGCTGCGGGGGCTGTTGTGCCGTCAGGAATCTCCCCGTCCTCCGCCGCTTCAGGAGCCTGGGATGCGCCCGCGGCCGCTGCGGTTGTATCCGCCATCGCCGCAGTCGCAGCAGCCAGGCCGGCCTCGGCTTCCTGCAGGGCCATGGGCATAGCAGCCTGCAGGGTGCGCCAGCTCTCTTGCACCGAGCGCTGGTACATTGCCCACGACAGCGCCCCACCGAGGTCACCGGAGTCCGCCGCACGCCTCTGCGCGTCCGAGAACGCCCTCCAGTCGCGCAGCCGCACCTCGACCTCCACGGCCAGCCGCACCAGCAGCGGCATGGGGCCACAGATGCGCTCAGCCGCCTCCCAGGCGCTGGCCAGCAGCTCCTCCCCAGCTGTGCCCACCTCCTCGGCCGGCCTCTCCACTGCAGCAGCCTGCTCATCGATCTCTCCCTCCTCCTGGTCACTCCGAGCGGCCGGCTCATCCGGCAGCTCATTTGCGCCTCCCGACGTCCCAGGCCGGGCTTCCTCAGCCGGCGTGCTCTCATCAGGTGGATCACCCACAGCCGGCTCTGCGCTGCGCACTGCTGGCTCCGCGGCAGGCGGGGAGCTGAGGGCGTCACCACTGATGGCGTCGGGCTCGGGCACCGCGTGTGCCTCGGCAAAGGTGGCGTCGTTCTGCTGCTTGCTGCGCGGCACAGAGCCCTCTGGGGGGTCCCAGGCCACATCATCAGTGTCCTCGTTCCAAAAATACACCTTGCCACTGCCCATGTCCATGACCTCATGCCAGCCGAGGCAGCCCTCCAGCGACCCCAACACGCGCTGCTCTGCCTGTACAGTGCCAGAGTTTCCTGCTGCAGCTTCAGCATCCGGGATCCTGTCGCTGTGCCCATTCTCTGCCTGCGGCTCCTCAACAGCCGCCGAGCTGCTGGGAGCCTCCTCGGCTGGAGCAGCAGTGACCTGATCGTCCTGTTCGCCTGATGGAGGGTGCCCAGGGTTGTCGCCCTCCTTCAAAAGGCCGCTCGATTCAAGCTCCTCCATGAAATTGGCGAGCTGCAACAGCAGGTGACATCTCGAATTCCTGCAGAATTTAACAACGAGATGCCGCTGGGTCTGAGCTCATGTTCCTCAGTGCAACAAAGTACAGCTCCAAATCAGCGCGCCTAGTTGAAATCGTCCAGTCCTTCCAAGGTAAGTATGCACACCTCTGCGTCCATATTGCTGTCGCCATCCTCTGACGCACGTCCATCATCCCGAGCTCCGGAAGCTCCCTCATGCGCTTCTTCGTCGCCAGCCTCAGAGCCGGACCCGTCGTCGTAGCTGCATGTGAGCACAACCATCTCACAAGTCTAGGTATAGGGCATGACACAATGTTCCCAAGTGTTGATTGAGAAATAAGCCATTTAACACTGTCGCCGACTGTCATCTAGCTCGCCTGTAGCCTAGCAAAGACGCCAGCGAGTCTCCTGGCTCATCTGCAGGTGCAGGATCTGGCCCCTCCTCCTCCGTTGCTGCTGCTGAGGTGGGCTGTGCAGGAGGCGCTTTTGATACAGCGCTTGCCAGGTGAATAGCATTGGACGCAGGCACCGCAGCGCTTTGCAGACCGCTCCCACTTGGTGCTTGGACGACAGCCGGTTGTGTTGCAGGAGGCAGGGTGTGCAGCCCTGCAATGATGGAGTGGTGTTGAATTGTTGGCCCTGGACCTTGCAGCGGATGTATTGCACAAGCTTGCAGTCACACACCCACGACGCACCTCCATTGGTAGCAGAAGATGGAGCAGGTTCAACATCGTCTGCAAAGTAAGTCGTCAAATTTGCTGCGGCCTGTTTGGCAGCAGCAGCTGCTGCTGCTCTCAGCCTCTCCTCTGTTAAGTGTCACACCAGGGCTTCAGCACGAAATGCAGGGATGTCTGCAGTCCTTGAAAATACGCATGCTCTCAAATAACAAGATTGACGTCAGCAGACGGCAGTCAAGCCAGCCAATCCTCCCCACCTTGCTTCTTCTTTCTCTCTTCTAGCGCGGCAGCAATCGGATCAAAAGGGGCATCCTCAGAATCCTCAGCATTTACAATATCAAGCCGCGCTTTACGCGGATTGCCTTCGCTCTTCTTTTTGCGCAGCATGTCAATACTGTCTGAGCTTGATGGTACAAATTACAGGACAACTCATGAACAAGGTGGTCTGAACCTACAGCTCATCCTCTTGAGAATTCGACAAGAAGGTGGTGATATTGTGTATGACACAAACAAACGCAGGCAAGAGAATGCAAAAAAAATGAGAACAAGCCTGCAGGCTTGCGATTTTCCCCTGCCATTCCATGAAGCTTCCGCATGCATGAACGCAAGCCAAATGTTACAACACAACTTGTCTCAAAGGCGATAAACGCATCAATTTCTTTGCTCTTTACACATATAGAGGACATTAGAAAGGTGTCAACTTCATAAGAGAGATTTGCCGTAAAACTAGTTGCAGCAAGATCGTGCTATATTTTAGCTCATGTCTAATGAGGCTTTGACTGGCTTATTTGGAGCGTACGGAAGCGATGAGGACGAAGGGTCGGGCAGTGATGATGGAGCAGGCAAGATATTTGGCTCTGCAAGAAAAATTACTTTGCAGCGGAAGATTCCCTTTTGTATGGTCAGGCTGAGCATCAGGTTTTCTTGAATTTCTATAGTTCACAGATGTCAGCAGGAGATGTATTGAGACGATTTGTTCTCTCCTCTGCAGCAGGCACAGGAGCAGGTGTGGTCTTGCTGGAAGGGGACGCCGAGATACATGAAGGCGAAGAGAAGGAGGACTCAGGTGAAGAAGTTGATCTGTCAGCCTTATTGACACCCTCCAGGTTGCCAGAGGTCCAGTCGATGAGCCAGCTTGCGCCTCTTCCTGGAAATATCGGCGGCAGCTTCCCAGATTTGCAGCCTGGAGATGCAGCAGCGCGTTCTGGTGGAGTAGCGAGCACATCAAAAGAGACCAACAGGCCTCAGCTGCCTCCTGAGCTGGCAGAACGCCCTGCGGGCGAAGTGGACCCCCAAATGAAGGTGCGCAACAATCTGCTCTTTGGAATATACATGATTATAATGATCAGCCATATCCTTGTCTGCTTGGCCAAGGGCTGATGGCTCTCATTGTGCGCAGGCCAATGTGGATTCTGCCATGAGGGGGAAGGCACAGACAGGAAAGCTCTTCAATGAAGAGCTCAAGAGAATGCGGGCCTACAAGAACCCGGACTTCCTGCAGAAGATGGTGGAGCATTTTGGCATTGAGGATATTGGGAGCTGCTATCCAAAAGAAGTCTTTGACCCAACACACTTGCCCAAGGAAGACTACTACAAGGAGTGAGTCATTTGGCGTTCTCGCACAATGCTACCAGACCTGCACACAGAATTCAATAGCAATTATTTGTTGATGCGCTGGTAATGGGTGAGCATGTCCTCAATACATCTTGGATGAGCGCTGCTCTGCCCAAGTTTCTGACAACATGCTCTGCATCGGCAGATTGATCAAAGCGTGGGAGGCTGAAGAGAGTCTAAGGAGGGCTGAACGCAACAGGGTGGGCGTTCAGTTTCAGAGGGGCGCTCCAGAGCAGCCCACGGCATTACCTAGAGGCCTTACTGGTGAGCGCTGTTGCTGCCATGGGTCTCTGTCCTGAAAGAAGGCAGGGTCTCTCCAGCACCCTTGCCTGTTGGTTAATTTCCCTTGAAATAGGGGATGTTTGCTCTGCGGATGAGAGCCGCATCACTGTTCTAGTTGACTTTAAAGTGCAGCTGATGAGATGCCGTGTATCATAAACAGGATCCAGCACCAGCGCCAGCGCCGCCACGATAGCTGCCAAGGCACGGGCGCAGACATCTGCAAGCGCCAAGAGAAGCAAATGGGACAGCGCACCAAAGCGTTGAGATCTTGCCACTGCCTTTTTGGTGAATGCGAGTATAAGCTAGCAAAGTGCACCACCGTACTAAGAGGGCTGATTGTCGAGGTTCCTTGTTAGTGGGATCTATCAGGGGTCCCTTGTTTTCAGTCTGTTTGTACAGGACTGCATGCAGCAATGCATGTCTGCATTAGAAGATTGCTAGCTTGTCATGATTATGATCAGGTGTTGTAGAACGTCAAATGGAACGTCATTGCTTGCAAGAGTGCAATTTCTGATGTGTACCCATGTTTAGGGCGTTCTGCACGCTTGTATGTCCTAGTACTACACATATAATGATGCTACATCTCTTCTTTATCCCCACAATTTCTTTTTGCAGCAGAAGGCTAGATGACATCAGATTGCAATCCTCAACTTGACGATGCAGTGTATACGCTTGATCACACGCCCAACAGAAAACTTTGCAACCCCTCAATATATCATCACTTACTGCATCCCGCGTACGTGAGATCACCCCTGATATACAAGCAAGAGCGGTTGGCGCTAACCCACCTCTCTTCAACTTAAGAGTACAGTCGCGGGGCCCCATTGAAAAGAGCGACAAAAAAAGAATAGGTATTGTGTCACAAGGCAAACACGATAGTAATGCAGTAACCCTCTGTAATACCTTGTACATGCAGCGAGGGACAACTCTTGACACCACGCGAGAGCAACATTGTCTTCTTCTAGGGCAAGTCTGCACTGTGGCACAGACCTGGCACGCAGCCCACATTGTGTGTCTCGCTTAGCATGGGGCGCTCCAGCCACTCTGCAACAGGCTGTTCTCACAAGGGGTCCAAACCCCTTTTATGGAATTTCCTTCCTAGTGTACAGCTGTGCGAGCAGCATGGACCTCCCCGCCTCACCCCACGACCGCTGCAGCAGGGGCGTGCTCCTCTTGCTCGCTCGCAAAGTCATATTTGTTGCCCGAGCTGGGCCCCTCTGCGCCCAGCTTCAGGCCGTCAGTGGGCTCCCCCTGGCGGCGCAGCTCATCGAGCAGGGCAGCCTTGGACGTGAACAGCCGCGCGCCAGTCTTATTGACCACACCCTCCTCATCCAGCAGCACATACTTGAACGCTCCATCCGCGTCAGGGGTCTGTCACCACAAAAAATACCGCCGTCAGGATTTCAGGTGCCCATGCATGCACATGAAACCGCGGACCACAGTGACAGGCTCCCAGGAACTTGTTGCTCAGCGAGGAAGCCTCTGCAGAGGTGCATTTGATTGCAAGGGCAAGGGCAGCAAGAAGAGCAAGTTATAGAACGCGCCACCATGCACATGCTCCTGATGTCCCAACTGCATCCACATCTGCCTCTGCAAGCCTACCAAGCAGGCCTGGGAATCAAAACTTTCCACAACTGCAGGGAGACACCCCAGTCACACAGCAGGGAACCATAACCACCCAGGCCAACGAGTGCAGCAGTGAAGTGATATTACACAGCTGACAGACTGCTACATTAAAGAAACAAATGGCGAGCATGGCGAGACCCACCTCGTACATGACGGGCTGCAGCAGCCCCTCCATGATGGAGCGCAGGCCGCGAGCGCCGGTGCCCCTCTCCAGGGCGGCGCGGGCGATGGCGCGCGTGGCGGTTTGCGTCAGGTGCAGCCCCACGCTGCTCATACCAAACATGGCCTCGTACTGGCGCGACAGCGCGTTGCGCGGCCGAGTCAGCACCTCCATCAGCTCATCCTCTGTCAGCGCCTGTGACAGCCACCACTTACATTTCATGCACCATGTAATATCAGATAATGCCCATATCTCAAAGGATTAGACAGAAACCATTCCCCAGAGTCAGGCAACGATTTCTTAGTAGTTGGAAGGCCCAGCGGCTGTGCTAGCCACCACTTGATCCTCATCTGCCAGTGACTTAGCTGCCTTTGTGTGCTGAACCATGACACATCTGAAGACCCCTCTTCACTGCGATTGCAAGGAGGTATCTGATTTGACAATGTTGGATTCTCAGAGTCAGGCAAGAATTATCAATGCATCGGATGGCCATGGGGGAACCTTGCAGCAAAGATGGCACCTTCGGGAACATTAGACAACCTGCAAGATACAACTCTCCATTTCGAAACGCTCAAGGCCCTCAGGAGTGTGTCATTACTGTGTCATAACAGTGATTGGCAGTGTGTTTTGTATCCAGCTACCAAAGCTGCAGAAGTCATGTGCCCACCTGCAGGCTGGAGATGATGGGGAAGCGGCCCACAAATTCGGGGATGAGGCCGTACTGGATCAGGTCGGTTTGCTCCACTTGTTTCAACACATTGGATGACACCTTGGGCTGCCCGAAGCCTTGAATCTTGGCCCTGCAGAAAGACAGGCAACAAATCTTCAAAAGGCTGTTCGTTGATAAAGAAGAAATGTTGAGAAATTTTATAAAAAAGAAATGCCAGAAGATGGTTTTTAAAAGGCTCCCTTTCCATGTAGAAATGCCAGGGAAGACTTATGAGCACTCTGCACGACTGAGTGTTCTTACAATATCAAATGACATCGGGCAGGGGCGTAAGATGGACCCACCTGACTGGGTTACCAAAGCCAATGGATGACATGGCGGTCCGCTCTGCCACCTGGCGATCCAGGCCAATGAAGGCACCACCGCAAATGAAAAGGATGTCCTTGGTGTCCACCTGAGCTGAGCACGGAGACCTTGAGTACCTCACAACTGCGCCATGTGCACATGCGTACACAGCTGACAGAGCACCAGTATTGAGCTGACACAGCACCGGGTATTGAGCAAGACACTCAGAAGGGAAACAATCGTGTTTGCTCGGTCGCAGAAGGGGCAACCAGCAGGAGTCTGCTTGACAGCCTAAGCAACAGTGAAGCTGGAGGGTTAAGACAGGGCAGCGCACCTGCAGGAAGTCGCCGCGGGGGTTCTTGCGGCCGCCTTTTTCGGGGACGTTCATGACGGTGCCCTCCAGCATCTTGAGCAGCGCCTGCTGCACCCCCTCCCCGCTCACATCGCGCGTGATGCTGATGTTCTCGCTCTTCTTCACTATCTTGTCCACCTGCGCACCAACCCCGTGACAACATCACACCACTGCATGGTACTCAACTCCCAAGGATACAGGATAGTGTCACAGCATCTACTTCATGTTTTCCTGCGTGAACAACTGACTAGACATAGCCACAGCAAGAGTAATGCTTATCCATGGAAGTTCAGCTTGTTGTCAGACTCATCAATTCAGGCTCGTTGGGCAGCAGGCGGGCAGCAAGTTTTCAGGAGGTGCTGCATGCAAAGACAATAAGTAGGTCCAGGTGGGTGGGGTGCGCGCCTCGTCGATGTACACGATGCCGCGCTGGGCGACCTGCAGGTTGTAGGAGCAGCTCTGCAGCAGCTTGTACAGGATGGACTCCACGTCGTCGCCCACGTAGCCGGCCTGGGTCAGCGTCGTCGCGTCTGCCATCGCAAAGGGCACCTCCACCAGACGCGCCAACGTCTTGGCCAGCAGCGTCTTGCCAGTGCCTGCAAACCCGCCACTTGCTAAATGTCTTGTTCCTGTTACTCTTGTTTGATGGATGGAACCCATCCATTTAGCTCACTGCTTAATGCTGCACTGCTGGGCTCACAGTATGATGGATGGAGCATACAGCAGGCTCACGAGATGGCTCAGCCATCCTGTATGATGGATGGCCCATTGCTTTAACTTGCTTCATAATGTATGGGCCTGTGGTGAGAAGCTGGATAGAAGCTGAGCAGAACATTTCCAAGTGAAATCCCCAAGTTCAGTGTAGGTCCTCTTTCTCTTCTCTTAATGGAAGGAAGTCTTTTTTTGATTTCACAATGATGTCCGGCATGACAAGCACCAACACCTCATGCAACTCATAGATTGGTGGATGCACATAAGGGACTGTGAAGATGTTCCCAAAGACTTACAGGGGCCAAGGTTCAGAACTAGTGTGTCGCGGCACAGGCGAAGAGCACAACAGGTTGTAAGGAGATACGGGCGCAGGAGGGGTGGATAACGCACCTGTGGGTCCCAGCAGGAGCACGTTGCTCTTCTCCAGCTCCACCTCGTGGTCGCCGCTGCTGCTGAAGAGGTCGGAGGGGTCGCCACTATCACCGGCGCCCGCAAGACCGGCCAGCGATGGGCCCTGGTCAATGCAGGGGTAGCCGTGACCATCCCTTGAAACCACACACAGCACCATTAGTTAGTCCGCACAGGGAGTGCAGAAGGAGCTTGTGGTGAGGTGCTTCATTCTGTGCAGACATGCATCACAATTGCATTGAAAGACATGTTCTTCAGTGACCGCTTCAGATCATTGCTGCTTGCATGTCACTGCTCGGGTACAATATCTGCCTGACAGCTTCATGTGGCACAGATGGTAGGACTCCTGGTGGGTTCAATCTAGGCTGCATATTTTCTAGGCAGGCCATCACTACATGGACAATTTGGCTTGGCGGAGTGCAGGAGCTCACCCCCAGGCGTCCATTTGGCCCTGTGAGGATCCCCCGATGGCGGCAGGGTAGGTGGCAGCCTGCGCGCGGCGGCCCAGGGAGGGGTCCCCATGCGCGGCGGGGGGCCCCGGCGGCCGCTCCCCTGACAGCGCATCGGCGGCGGCCGTTGCGTCGTCGGTGGCGGCCGCATCGCGGATGCGCGCGGCCGCGTCGACCGCCACCTGCCTCTCCTGCGCCCTCTTGCGCCGCTGCTCCTCGTGCGCCACGCGCATGTAGTGGTTGTACACAGCCACTGCCAGTGTCTGGCAGCAACCATCCAGCACATTATTCAGGGCTCTGACAAGCTTCGCTAAAATGTACGCCCTGCCCCTTCCTTTCGTAGCAACGCTGCAACCCACTTTTTGAGCCCTTGTAAATCTCAGAGAGAGTTTCCGCACTTGACTGAAAAGGTAGTGCACACCTGTGTGCATTGAGCGACATCGCATGCAGCCATGCAGGGGCGGTAATTGTGCGCACCTTCTTGGTGGCTTCCTGACCGACAATGAATTTGTCGAGCGCCGCCACGATCTTTCTGGGCGTCGGCACCTTGGAAGGGTCCCACAGCCGGTAGCTGCCCTCAGCCGTGGAGCTGGTGCTGCCGCCAAACGATGGGACCGCATCCAGAGGCTGCTGACCAATGTGGCCCTGCACACAACACCACCGCCTGAAGTGCAGAACGCAGCTGGTATTCAATACCGATTTCCCAAATTTATTACTTGGTAGAGAGAGGGCAATTTGAGAGCTGTCACAGACCTGGGATGCCTGGTAGCTGGCAGCATGCCCCTTCTGTGCTGAGTCTGCTCCTCCCATGCCTCTTGGCATGTTGCCTCCGTCCGCACCAGAGCCAGTGGCACGGGTGGTCCTCACCGCCCTCATTTCAGGTGCCACCATTTTCTGCAGTGATCAGCTTCGGTCATTGGTGGCACTCCTTCATTGATGACAGTTCAAGCCTAACAGGGAAGAGGGGTTGCCTTTGGTTATTTATTAGCAACACTTATGCTGCCACATGCAATTCCTCGCACCTTGCAACTTGAGCACCACATAAAGTGCTCATCATCTACCTGCTGTTCTCCAGAAACCTGCACGCAAAACAGCGCACTCAATGGAACAACTCTGGGATATGACTCTTTTAAGGCCCTACTCATAAACAACTACATTACAGCTGGTAATGCGCATTAGCACTTGGACAGCAGCAGCGTGCACAATTGAACTAATCATATGCCTGTCAGGACACAGGTTATTGCTAGCACAGGCTCTTCATTGCGCACCGCAGTGGAAAGAATTGCGTGATTTTTGCTCGCCCTGGAAACTGCCACTGAGCAATGTGGGCACAGGCAAGCATCTTTCCCAATTGAGGTACTCTGCTTTTTCATGACGGATGATTGGCTCCATGTGCTCGCGCTGCGGGGTAACAATGATCCGAACTCCTACAGCAGAAACGGAGTTTAGGTTTGAAGCAGGGATCAGGAAAGGGCTATCATATACGCAAACAAGGTTACCAATCGTTGAAAACTGACACACTTACACAGGAAGCGAAAAGAGCATTTGCCTGCTGCAAGGGGGATGCAGGTCTCCAAGATGTGCACTGCTCGTTTGCTGGGCAGACAGTGCAGGCCTGCTGGAACGGACGGATGTATCGGCACCAATACCTTGCTGCTAATCTAGGACTTCCCATAAGAACAGGATACAGATCTGACACGGATTAACGGATAACTTCAAAGTGGATATGTAATCGTGTTGGTCTTTTATGTTGAGTTGATTTGCATCGTCTTGGAATCCTCTCACGATCGTACTGGGATTTCAACGGCGGACAAGGTTGGTACGCCCAGGCTTTACGACAGCAACGCAAAGGCCAAGGCCACGCAAGAGCCTTGTAATATCTCGGCACGTGGGGATCAGAAAATGCACGTGCGAGAATCTGCTTCTGAGAGTGCTCAGCAAATGCCAATGCTATTGTTTATAATGCACTTTTAGAACTGGTGGCGCCCGCATTTCTTGTCCCTTTCCAACCGATCTTTGGCATAGCGATGGAACTTGGGATGGCGGTCTTGGATCGTTCACTTTCAAGTCGATTTTAATAGAACAATGCTTCCTACATAGACATAAATCATCTATAGAAATGAATGACAATGTCAGCGTTCGCAGAACTAGCCGAATCAGAAGGGCACCTGCGAGACTGGTTCCTGGGAATGGGGAAGGCCTGAAACCGACTGGATCACATTCCTCAGAGTCAGATAATGATGGGAACGATGTTGAACAGTCAGCTGAAACACGCGAAGGTGGAGAGGCTACTCAGTCCACGGAAAGCCAATCCTCTCATTCCTCTGATGACGAGGATGGAGACCCTCCCAGTAGTCCTCGATCACGACAGAGGAGGGCAGTAATGAAGTCCAGCAGACCAAAAAGCAGCAGGCGCCTGACCCAAGGCAGAGCAGTAAGCACGGCCAAGAGACAACGTCGTGCTTCAGCTAGCTGCTCTGGCGATGCTCGGCAGGCCGATGCAGGCTCGCAAGGCCCTAGCTTCCAGGAGCTGCCAAAGGCTGCAATCTCTGCCGTGACAGCAGCTCTTCTGCCACCTAATTTCCCAGCCAGCAATCTTGTCTCGTATGTCATCTCCCTTGTGAACCAACAGAGAAGCTGATTCCTCTTGCAGCATGATCATGTAATTATTCTAGAAGGGACGCCACTGACGATACTACTGCGTTTGCAGGCTGCCTCTCTTTCAGGAGAAGTCAGGGGAGCTCGTTGGGGAGATTGGCAGACAAGTAGGAATGGAGGAGGTGCGCGCATAGTCCACATTAAATCTCGCGGATGAGCAAACTTGCGCAGGTCATCAAGTCGACTTTTCTTGACACAATCTGGTATTGATTATGCATGGGCTGAACCTGACGGTTGTGCCTGCGTGCAGGGTGCTGATGCTGACATCAGTGTGGAAGAATTGCAGCTGCCTTGCCATCCCCACTCAGCACAGTCCAGGGGGGACCTTGCTGCCTCATGCAGCAATGCGTCACACATACCTTTTGACCAACAGCTTGAATTGGCAGGACAGGTTGGTACTTCTGATGGGCCGAACAAATTGCATTTCAGTCTTCACTTCTGAAAATGCATGAAGGGATTGATCTGGATGGCGAGTACAATTTGTGCAGCTTTTGAAATTGTGGAATTCAATGTGAAGCCAAATGATGGTGCACAGGTGCTCAAGGCGCTAGGCAAGCGGCTGGAGTCGAAGAAAGGGCATGCCAGGTTGCGGTTCAGAGAGCAGCGGCCGCCGCAGCACCTCAGCGCAAGCAGTGAGCGAGACACGGGACAACGCCTCTCAGACGATGAGATCCTCCTGACTGTGGGCATCCTGCGCTACGGGCATTCCAACCGTCTGCAGGTCTTGCTCATGGCTCATCCCCCCACTCCTGCAACTCATGGTCAATCTATTCTGCCACTGAGGGCAATCGCGCAGCTGCTGTCTGTCGTCCCAGCAGCACTCATGGCGCCGTGAACTGCAGGGTGATGCCTGCAGGAGCTCGTTGTGGCAGGCAGTCAGCGGATGACAGATCTGCGCGATGCGCTGGCCTGCCCTGCAGACATCAATCTGAGGGCGCTGGGCATGGCAGTGCCCTCAGCCTACTTCTACATCGAGGGCACATTCTACAATGACCTGCGCGCCGCTGGCAGCCTGGACTATTCTGAGCCCATCATCAGCTTCTGCCAGCAGAACAGCCTGCTGCCCCCAGCAGCTGAAGAGGCTGACGCTGAAGCCAGGCAGAGAGGCGATGCAGACCAGGAAGGTCGGTATGGGCCTCTCGAATATAGCGCAAGTCTTGATTGTGGTTGTATTCTTCATGCAGCCCTTTTGTGACCCTGCACTTGGCGTGAGTTTTGCTGATGGGACGGATTGTCAGGGGAACCACAGTAAGCATGCCTGGCTGAAGCTCAGGCTGCACATGCATGCAGGAAGCCGTGATGAAGCACCACAGGCGTCCTACAAGAGGGAGGACATGCACAGCACGCGCTTCATGGACCTCGTAAATCTGCGTGTGGGCTCCTTTCCTGGCTACGTCTTCTGCCACCAAGGCTGCTGCGAGCATGCCCTCTACTTCAAAGATGTCCGGCGCATTCACCCTGATGACTCCCACAGCCTCTCTGACTACCCCATACCGGTGTACCAGGTAAGGACTCCCTTCCACCCCATCAGCGCCTGTACAGTCATCGGATACGGCATCCTGCAATGAACTAAAAAATCAGGCTGTGCGATGTGACAGCAGTGCTATGCTTAATCTTCAGGACATGCAGCAAGCGTCTGAGGTACATGATGAAGTGACAGGTGCAATTCTACTCAAAAGATAAAACGTGCTGCGCAGGCACAGTTTAGGCGACAGAGGTGCAGTTTGTGTGCGACCAGATTTGCGGTGAAGGTCACCTACGAGGATGAGCACGCTCCAGAGTCGCCGGCGTTCTGGTGCATTGAGTGCTATCAAGCCATGCATTACGATGGCTCTGGAAAACTGAAGTACCAGCACAAAGTGTTCCCGTACCAAGTGAACTGACCTTCTGTAATGCTGTTGGTGCCCACCTAGTATTGCCCAATTGATGCCCATGTTGCAAAAAAAATTCGAAGGAATAACTTGGTTCTGTGTGCTTATCAAGAGATCACCACTATATTTTCTGTCCACATCACTACCTTCTGCCTCGAGTAACGAACACTTTTCTCAAATGGACATGCAAACCTGTGCCATTCTTAGAATCTATTCAAGGCTGCCTAAATCAGATCCCTACTTCATGCAGATTAACAACGTTGTAGTCAGCAGGAGGACTCCTTTGAAGATACTCTTGGGCTGATCAATACACTGAATTTACTGATGCAATGCACGAGCAATCTGACAATCACAATCACACTGTGTACATACTCGGGTGCCCTGTGTGCGCTTCAATTTTGCTGCTCACAGTCTCTGTTCATACATAGTCCTCATGGAAGGAGATACCACAGCAAAGAGATGAGAGTGCCGTTGATCTCTACTTTACATGCTCCAGGCCATCATCCTTCTTGGCGATCTGGTGAGCTCTGCTGATTGATGAGATCCTCCAATTCGCGCTCCATGGAATTTGCCGCATCCACTCTGTTGTTCTTGCGATGCTCCAAGATCCGCATGTGCAGCTGCATGAAGGGATGGTCACGGATGCGCGCTGCACAGCCATTCACACAATATGTTCGACACCCATATGGCTGCTGTGCATGCACAACTGACATGCACGCATTGCGCCAGACGAGACAAGTCCACATAAGAATCGAGGAAGATGAGGCCGACACTAGGGCAGAGCGGGCACCAAACATTGGTATACGTGGGCTTCTGGTGCCGGATTGCCAAGCAAATGGAGGGGCAGATGCGCACCTGCTGTTGCATAATCCTCTTCATGGAGCGCGACTCCCATCTCACGCTTCAGCCGCTTCAAGGGCTCTGGCTCATCTCCCCTGTCAAAGGCAGCAAGCTTGTTCGTCACTCAAAACTGCTGCAAATCGTCCCAGCAATATTTTTCGTGCATGCAAACGATTCTGTTGCACTGTGTCCCAGCAGAAATCTCCATGCATGCAGACGAAGTGGTGGGATGGGGACTATACCTGATGCTTGTCAGAGGATTTGTGACAGCCTCTTCAGTAGCGATGACAATGGAGTCGGGGCTTCCAGACTGCTTCATCATCTTCAGAGGCATTGCGTTGTCTTCCCAAACTGACTTCCGTACGAAAACAGGGCATCTTGACTGCACCCCCAACAATAAGGAAACATCATTGAACCTCACTTCTGAAATTCCACCAGATTAACCAACAAAGCAAGGTCAGGTGGATCATTGCCAGTATTACAAATACCCACAAATTATCAGACATAAAGCGGCAGCATTCTGCCGAACAGTGCAGCATGCCAGAAGGGTCACCTTGAGGGCCAGCCAGCAGCCATCGCTGGGGCGGCAGTCACAGTCCCACACCAGATTTCCAGTGTCAGCATCGCCAAAGAAGAGGCGCCCAATGTATGTGCTGTCACGCAGCTCTGTTATCGCCACTCTCAGCACCTTCCAGTCGCGCTTGCTGATTTCCTGCCCCCTTTGCAGCACCTGTATCTCCAGCAAACGTCAGCATCCGGCAAAAGTACGCCGCGTACCATGCATGCAAGAGAACGCCGCGCCGTGAATGCCCTGCAGGTCTAAAGAAACTTTGAGTGTGAAGAGCACCTGCCACAAGAGATCCAGGGCCATTGGTCGATCGCGCTTGTGGTCCTCCAGAATTGAAGCCACGCTGATGAGCGTGTCACCTCCCACAGCAAGGACCAGGGCTGAGGCTCCTGGTTCCATTCTTCTGTCAGAGTCCCGCATCAAAACCAGGTGCCCCGATATCGGCTTCGTCTGGCTGACAATCACTTGCATGTTCACACTGCGCAGGCACACCGCGCCATTTCAAGTGTCGGACATTTCGTTTCATTCCAAGGAAACTAATGGCACCGTCTAGGACAGGGTTGCCAACAAGAGACAGAGGTCTATTCTTGGGGGCAAGATGAGCACCTGTAGTAGTCCCCCTCGTCAAAAGAATACGGTTGGAATCCTGCACGCATTTGCATCAGTGCAAATGAGGCAAATTGAGAGGGTCTTTCTGCTGCTCAGCACCTGGTGCTTGGCCTCTGAATGCGAGAAAAGTGTACGTGAAGGCAATAAAACATCTGTTAAATCCCTTTCCTATTGTATTACAGGTGTACACTACAAGATCCTGATAAGAAGGTGCTCCTGTAAGCCAACACTTTTGATACAACTGGCATGCGTGAGAACCCTTCCAAAAGATTACCTGCTGCGCACACTGTGGAATGATTCCTGCCACTTGGCTGCTTGAAGCCGATTGACCTGAACCAGATTGGGGTGGTTACACCTCTGCTCGTCACGTCTTGAGCATGAGCGAGCCCGATGCTCGATGATGTTGAAGAGCCCAAGCCCCTCTTGTGCCGTGGCTGTATCATTCGGCACGCTAGCGTGGATTTTCCCAGCAAATTGCAAGACACAGGACATTCCCTAACACATTGTGCCAACCTTTCCATCTTTCAGAGTCCAGATGCTGGCATACACATCGAAGTCACACCTCGAACGGAACTTAATGCTCGATCTCGCAGGATTCCTTGTGGAAGACACTAGCGCAGGATTGCAATATGCATACACGACTGTCAGGTCCCATTAACTGATCTTGTCGAGTGATGTGTCTCGATGAGTCAGCGCTGGGTCCTTGCCAAGGAAATGGGCTTCAATTTGCAGAGAGCTGTCGACGACACTAGATCATAACATCCTGCCTGAAAACTCAAGCTTGAAAGAAATCGCCATCTTATCTGCCCATCGTCTGATTGATCCTCGCTTCAGCTTGCTTAGCTTTCACATCAGATCAGTCAAGCATCAAACTTCTCTAGACGAACGTTTTCAACGAGCTGTACGAGTCCTATTGGTTAAGATTTCATCTGGCTTATCTGGACAAATCAGTGCATTGCGATGGGGCAAACTCAGAGCAGAGTGGGAGACGACTCCCAGCCTGAAGAACGCATCGAATCTGGTGTCAGGGTGAGGACAGATGCCCATGTAGCACAACTGTTCCAATATGATGGAAAGCTTAAAGAACGTGTTCTACAATCCAGGTGGACAACTATCCAGATTTGCTTCCAAATGGATATCTTGCTGGCTGCAGCCAGAACTGACACTAATGCGCCTTGCTTGCAACACAGGTGACCATGGATCTGCTTAATCAATTGTCAGGCACTCCGCGTCCAAAGTCACCAGGCCCCGCCAGGGCTCCCTCTACTTTGTGAGACCTTTGCATAGTGCTTCTCGGCAAAATCTACTTGTGCATGACTTGCTGATCTCAATACCGACATTGCCTGAACCAGTTCATTCCTATGCGCTGCCTGTGCTGATGAGCGCGGTTGCTGTGCTGCAGCGACAGTTCGCCAGAGGAAGAGTCTGTTGTGATACTGCGGAGAGACCCACAGCTACAGGAAGCATTGAAGCAGAGCCGCAGAGTGGGAGACATGCTGCTGAAGAACGAGGAGCGGGAGGTGGCAAAGGTCAACCAGCTGGTGGATGACCTCTTAGGCCAGGAATACAGGTGCGCTGCAAATTCATCTTGTCCTTATTGCCCTTAAGAATCTTTGGTTCCTGTTGACATGACTGGGCCTGATGCTCTGCTGTGCCCTTCGTCAGAGCGCCACTGAGGGAGCCGCCCTGCCTGCGAGAGAGGGAGGCTTGTCTGCAGTGCTACAAGACGACCTCTCAGGTGAGAGATCAGCAAGGTCTGGTGTATGTTGGGGATGCAAATTTGATCGTTTGTTTCACTGAACCCATTTGATGATTGACGACACTGGTATCAAGGGAGTTTCTTTGACGTTGCAGGACATCCTGAAGTGCGCGGATACTGTGTCAGCCTATGCGGCTTGTGCGCAGGAAGCAATTGCCAAAGCTAGCAGCTGATACAGTTGAGAGTAATGCTGCTAAATAGAATTCTGGCTGTCATGCTTTTCTTGCAGTCAATTTTTTGTATTGATGGATGGTGAACATGCCAATCTGAAATATTTTGTTACAGATGATTGAACTTTTACAGTGCCATCCAGACATGGAATGGACTCAATTTGGCAGCTCAAAATGGAGCGTGCGCAGCTCAAGGATTAGGTCAAGGTCACAGCCAGAACCTCCATTTACTGGCCTTGCCTGCCTGACAGGGGCAAGCACCTCCTCCATGTCACAGCGCCAGCCGCTGCACACCTGCACGACAGTCAACAGCCTGAGGCCTTGTCATGCTAGACAACAATGCAATCCAGCACAACTTGTGTGCTGAGGATTTGCCGACATGCGCAGAGGGATAGCAGACACACAGATTGGTTATGTGTGTCTAAGTTTCAGTGTGGCGCACCTGAGTCAGCTGCTCCCTTGTCAGGCAAGCCAGCAGCATCCTGGTGCTGCCGTACAGTTCATGGGTAAACTGGTACGAGGCCAGCTCATCCTCAGGCAAGGGCCCCAAATTAGATGCCAGATCAGAGCTCACAGAGTCCCTGCAGGACAGCCGTATCACGCTCTCCAGCAGCGCCCGCCGGACTCCCTCTGCTCCCGGCTTTGCATGCCTGAATTTTTGCGCTCTGCCTGTTCCTGCGGCACAAGAGCAGTTGACATCAATCACCTTGAAAGACAGAAGCTTTTGAAAAGTTCAGCTGATCGAGTGTTCAACAAAGTGCCACAGCAATGGACAAGAACCCTCAGCTTGACAAAAATATTATGGACAGACCTGCACTCTTCAAAAGAACACACCTGTGCCCATCTCGTCGATCACATCTTGCCATCTGCGGCCCTCCCAGAGGTCTGCAATGCCCTCCAGGTGGGCCTCACCAACTGCACCAACCACAAGAGGCTGTGCGCTGGGGTTTTGGGCCCGAGCAGCCTGTGCCAGGGACCGACACAACACTGCGTCCCGCTCTGTCAGCAAAATGTGCTCCACACAGCCGCGCTTGGCAAGTGGTGCCACTGCAGGCCTCCCACTCACCATCTCCTCATAGTTCAGAGAGCTCTGCAAACAACAGACAATGCCTCAAGAACAGTTCTCCATGTGGCTATTACTTTCTGGCCAAAACACAGGGGAAGACATTTTAGTTTGATATCTGATACCATAGCAGCTGGAAAGGAGCATAACAAGGAAATATAATGTGTACAAGGCAGCACCTGTTGGCCAAATGCTTGGTCCAGGTCCACCAGATCGGGTAGTGTGTCCAGTCTCCTGTAAGTGTCAGCCTTGACTTGGTCGCCAAAGACAATCTGCGCCCCCACCGTCAGGCCGGCAATGTAGACCAGCTGCTCGCCCATGAACTGGCGCTGAAGGTCCTGTCACCCAAGCCCTGCCGAGTCAAGGAGGATTGCATCAGACCGGAGAACGGCTCTGAACATGCCGTCAATTCGTTACTTCCGCAATGAGGGTACTGGCAGATGCAACAGAGGATGCATGAACGGGCGCATGTGGGTGTCTCAGAGAAACCCGCTAGTTTGTAATCAGGGGCCCCGCCCAAACTTTGCTGGACGGGTCATTGTGTGTAACATGGGAACATCATCGACAGCACACGCGCCCGGCGCACGAAAATGCAGCTATGATAATTGTCTTGAACATGGCAGCAAAATGAAATTGCAGGGGCAAGTATGGATACCTGCCAGAGTCGGGAATATCCGGGTTCTGGCATTTGGGCCAATTGCATTGAGACCTGGCAGAACATGCGCTCAAAGAAGCTGCTCGTTGGGGCCAAATCAGAGCAAGTGAAGATATTTCCAGAAGCAGCCCCATGCTCGGGGCAGATTGCCGTCTCCACAACAACAAATTTGGGACGCTCGTGCAATATGTGCTCTCCAATATAGGGCTGCAGCAGCAGGCAATACCACTCATTACAGCTGCAGCTCTTGCACATGAGCTTGCACAGGCAAATTGAAGGGACAGTCACTCTGACTAGCAGACATGCTGTAGCTTCTGCATCTGTCATGAGCATCGAATGTGAAAATAGTCGGGAAACAAGGGAGCAGAGATATGGTACCTGAGCCTCACAGTGCTCGACACCAAAAACATGGATGGGTACGCCTTCAGCTTGGAGGACGATGTCAGGCTTCCGACGGCTTTCAGCTCTGCAAGATTGCCTTGCAATTCTTACGGTTTGTTGCTCCCGTGGGCTGCCAGCCTGTTGCAAGACCAACGACACAGCTCAGGCCACAATCCTGCAGTGAGTCATGCACAACCTGACAGTACTTGGCGAGACAAACCCTTCGAATATAGATTTGTGCTGCATGTCGACGCCCTACTCACCTTCCTGGAAACAGGTGCAACCAAATTGCACCCATAGCGATGGATCGGGCCATGATGATGGATGGCATATGTCATGGCATCCCTCTCAAGAGGCCGTACGGATGCGGGAGTGGCGGCATGACGGAAGGATCACGGCCTGCACGATCCCAAAAATCCCTACTCAGATGTCTCCTATGACCAACAGCGAAGCCATGAGGTTGCAAAGCATGGTGACTTCAGAACACATTGGATCTTCAATGTTGCGGAAACAACAATCAGATATATGCTTGTCTATGTTTTAGGTTCATCATCAGTCGCCGATCCACATCACGTTTGGCAACCCTAGAGGACTGAGAAGACTGACATATGCTAGCTAGCTTCTTACAATAAATTTACGATCAAGGGTAAAGGGCATACACACTTAATGTTTCTCAAAGAGCCGCATGTAATAATTTTCCAGGAAGGCATCAGTTAGGAGCGAAAGACTTTTGCTAGGTATCTTCACAGCGGCTTTTGCCGTCTCATATGAACTATGCGTGTATTGACTCATCATCTGCCTTCCTGGACAACCAGCTCATACCATGATCACAAAATTCACAAAGGATATGATGGGTCCCGTGCCTGTTTGTCAACATGGCCCCTCCAATCCAGGCTCCTCCAAGCATTGCCGACATTCGTGAGACGTCGGCAGAAACGGTGAAAGTCGAAGATAGTCGAAAATTTGCGAAGATGAAGCCGCCACCCGGGTGGTAGCCCCCCATTGAAGGGTTTTGTTGAAGCCCCTCTTCCACCCCTTGCTATATAAACTCTGACAGCACAGATGGCCAAAAGTTGGGAACCCATGAAGCATGATCAGGGTTCTTCTAGGTTACTCCCCCTAGTATGATCTGCTTGCAGAATCGTGGGGATTCCTCCTTATTCATGCCACATGCCACCGGCGCCTCCCGTCACATCGAATGGCAGCCTCCACTGCCGCAGTGGCGGCCAATTGCCAATGGATCCAACGGATCCAGTGGATCCAGCTGGACGTCCAAAATTACAGGTCTACCGTAGTGACTGGATGTTCAACAAGGGTGCTCAACTGGGTGGTCAACTTAAGTTGGGCAATCAACATGTTTCAACATACTATAGTATACAGGACTTACAGTATAAGCTTCCCAGCCAGCCTAACCTAATGCACCCCATGGGCCACACCATAATCATGACATATACTATAGTATATGCTGGCGCCGGCTGGCGGGGGGGCGGTACAAATTTTGAGCACCGTGCCCACGGTTGATTGGGTCTTGCTTGAATTTGGCGAGTCCAACAAGGGGAAGGAGTTTGGCAGCCTTTACATGCACCTTGTCTGCAGACGCACCTTGCCTTCGGCAGGAAATGCGTGTAAGATAATTGTAAGATAATTGTAAGATATTCTTACAGTAAGAATAAGAAGAATATGCTATTGCTGGCACCGGTACGGTGCCGTGGCGGCCGTTTGCACACACCTGTATCATGAATCATGATTCATGACTCATGTTATCGATACAGATCTGATGTACATCAGAGATAACTTACAGAGCTTGAAGCCTTCAAGGTCAAGCCTAAGTTAGTTTGCAATTGAGTTTGTACTCGTAGTATAAGACATCAAAGAGTCTGACAACTAAACCATCTCATAGATCTGGGCTTATCTGGTGGCAAGGTAGCAATCATATTCTGATGTACATTACATGCTACTGTTGTATGCGCACTATTGATTTCATTGTTGATCTGCCGGATCAGCTATTGTGCCCAGAACCATCACGCATGTCTCAGATGGCATGTAACTGTGCCATCAGCAACTTTGCTTTGAAACCAGGTCTCGCAGAACAGCTGCATTGAATGGTGGCCGTGACATGCGTGGCCGTCACCACGCATTATGTGCGTCAAATATGCGCGTACTACAAGAGACTCGCATACTAGGCTAGGAGCTTATACCTATAGGCTAGAAATACACGAAAAGAATGACAACCACAAAGCCCGACTTGCCTGTCGCTAACTCACTCATAAGTCAAAAATCAATGTTAACGTTGCTTGGACTGCCATGCGCCAAACTATTCGGCTGCTCTGCATGCGGCACCGTGCCTCAGGTTGACCTCAGGCGCCTCGCTCAGCTTCATCGATCCAAAATCTGGCTCTCAACAGCAAAAAAGACAGGCAGAAACTACTCAAACCAGAAAATCAGCAAACTTAGAAGAAGGGAGGGAAGAGGCGCCAAGTGCGCTTGCAATGCTGCTCCCACTCCTTGCCAAAGTGCTGATGCAGAGTCTCTTCCTCATTGCTGATACGCAGCACCTGCAGTGTCACACCTCATCTATCAAGAAAGTCAACTTGCGCATGTCCAATGGGCTCCATACTTACGGTGCTTATGCATGGCAGCCGTTTTCTCCCTGTTTGGTACAAATGCAATTGCTGGCTTGAGATAAAGAGATCGTACCATGAAGATGGTGGAGGGGAGCGCCAGCACCAGCCACCACCACAGGGAGAAGGGCTGCAATCCCAAGAAGGAGAAGGTCCCAAAGAAAGCCACAATGCCCCCTGTGTACCCAGGATGCCTAATTACGGCATAAGGACCGCTCTGCACAAGCCTGCGCAAGCACAGAGTCGACACATTTTCAAAGATCGTCTAATGAATATCCTGCAGGCTTGACATGTAAGAGGGAAAGCGGCTGGACTTTGAAAGACAAGACAGAAGAAGAGATGTCGCGCACTTGTGGCCCTTCAGAATGCCGACTTCAAAGGTGAAATGTCTGTCCAAGGTGGTCATTGCCCACAACCGCAGGAAGCCCCCAGCAAATGCTGTTGCAACATACGCGACCTGGCAGCATTAGTCAAGAGATCATGCCGAGCGGCAGGTCCCATTCATGAAACGGAAAATGAAATCACACCACGACTGGCTGTGAAAGCATGGTGCTTGTGATAAAGATACCCTGCAATGGACGGTGCTGGCAGCAGACCCACCTCATATGGATTCCAAGCTTGTTGAAGCCTCTTGGCACCTAGTGCAACGTCCAAGCCAGCTACAAGGCCAGACACCAGCACAATAGCAACACAAAGCTTCACTCCGCTCAGAGATCCCGGCCTGACATACTGCAATGAAGATGACACAGCTTAGCAAGAAGTCTGGGATGAATGGGGTGTAGGGCATGGAAATGTTGCTTGGGAATCTTCCCAAGCAACTCGTACTGGAATAGGAGAACGTGCCTTGTCAGCCCTTTTGTCGATCCCAGTCTTAAGCGTGTTTGGTGGCAAGCTCATCAAGCAATTGACGATCAGTAGAGCTGCAGCAACAAGGCCTTTGGAAAGCGCAACGTCACTGTACCACATTGTCAGGTGGGTTCCTTTTGTTGGAATCAGAAACACCTCGATCCGTCGTATGTTCTCTGATGTTTTGACTTCAAAGACACTTCTTCAACTTAGTGTGGTGAAGTAACATGAATTTGGGCATGGAAATAGGAGGCGATCACGCTTAGCTTCGCGAATTCTTGATGAGTGGGGAAGCTAGAAGGGAGTTCTATAAGCAAAGGGGAGTAGATCTAGATGGGATGCTTAGGTTTTACAAGGAATATTTCAAAATCGGAAGTGCAAGGCGCGGATCTATTTTCATGATCGTTGAGCGCAGGTCGACGATCCCGCTGGAGCATCGAATTCAGGATCAGGAGGAAGTGATCGGCGATGGGTGAGTCTTTTATAAAGCTATTTGAATCCCTTGTCAACACTGCAAGGTTTTTTCCCAATCACTGGCCCAGGAACAGTGCTCAATGTTTGTGTGATCATTTCTGATGGATCTGCAATGTATTATCCCCTTTGCAATGAGCCTGATCTAGCCTGGACCGATGTCAATATACAGCAATGACAGTCGTTGTTGTCGGATGTTAACTTTGTTTAGTTGAGAGTCCCAACAATCATGATTGTACAGACAGCACAACGTCAATTGAGAGACTAGCCTTCCAATTGAATAAAAGTGTCCATGATCCGGCATATCAGGAGGAGTGCCACCTAATTTAAAACACCATGGGATCCCAATAAACCTGTCCCAGAATGAATGAGATGATCCCGCATGACGTGGATCGTAACTTAGCCTTGACTACGTTTCTCTGCCTGTCAAAGGGACGCCTCTGCACGCGCTCCATGTCACCAGTTGCCATAGTGCAAGGGAGCACTTGGTATGACTCCAGACAGGTGACTGACCCAATTCAATGCTGATGGGAGATTTGGCAGCTCGTGTAGGAATGACAGCGGAAGTAAGCAAATGCTTGTGTCAACCTACCTACTGGAAGTCTTGGAGAGCTGATCAAGAAGAGTGTGTTGGGTACATGCAGACAGGGCTGTTTATAAGATATGGATGCCTCAAACAAGCAAAAGAAGATCAGCCTCAATGCCATCCACTCCAGCAGCAGATCAGACCTGGGAATATCAGCATGCCAGAACCACAGCTTGGATGAACTGCATTTTATTGACAACACCATGCCTGCCATCCCCATTATGCAGAACATGGGACACACCAGCTCACAAGCCTCACAGGTGTGATCTCGTGATCACCGACTCTGGGCATGATTCTGCGTGCACAGTCTGAGGCAGTCTTCATCACCGGAGAATATTTTGTCCAGTGTCATGCATCTCGGCAGCGCCGCTTGACAGATTGTTGACTGTGCGCACAGGAGTCATCGGGTCGGCGCAAGCGGAAAGCGCCGTCCAGGTCTGGGGAGCTGTGCGGAGATGACTTGTCAGTGCTTGACGTCGACTGCCGCGAGGCAACACTGAGGTGGGTGTAAGCCAGGCGTTGTTACTCCAATGACCGCCTAGATCCAGTCACTCACAGCAATTGATAATCACCTTGAGTCCAAATCTACAACCCCAGATCAGATGTCACGCAAGCGTTGCGCCTGCATGGACACCTAAATGCATTGCCCGAACTCTGTCTAAAGTTGCAGCTGGGGCTCGGGCACTGCTCAACCAGTGCGCATAGCGATTTGGTGATCAGTGTTACATTATGCAATATCAGTCTCATCAATCTTCCTGAGACTCATATAGGCGCTCTGTGGGACCATGCCATACTAGGACACAACACCACACTATCACAATGACAATGGTGGCAGCTTCGCATGATCACCTCTGATGATCTACTGTGACCTTTGCCAGGAAAGCCAAGAATCGGGAGGCTGCTAGGAAGTCGCGAGAGCGGAAGATGAGGCGAGTGGACAATCTGACGACCAGTGTGAATGAATTGACCAAGGAGAATGATCTGCTGTCAAAGTGCATCCAGGAACTCAGTGAGCAACGCGCCAGTGTTGAGGCTGAGACACGGCTGACAAAGGTCCTATCTTGACCTTCTCATGACTCATCCGATCTCTCTTTCTGCTGTATGGGGAGATCATGGGGACAATCCACGATGTCATCACTATTGCAATTTGCTGAAGTAGGCCTTAAGCTATCAACCACTTAAGCGGCGTTGAAGTTCTTGAAAGTGACAAGTGATCAATTGAACACCGTACACACGCTGCAGGAGCAAATCCAGGCCATACGAGCCAAGGCAGCATCACAAGAGGACAGGCAAGTCATCGACAGACTGCTCGACAATGCGGTTACGATGGCCCACGCGCAGCTGCCCTCGCAGCCGCAGTCACAATATCCTCAGCTTCCCTTACAGGTATGAGGCAGTGCACACGAGAGCTCTTTTTGCAAAAAAAAAAGTTTTGCCGTTCAGCTCCCTGCACCATATTCTCTGCACCCCTGGGAAGAGCCAAGGGCACAATCCAGCCAGCCCTGCTCACGTTTGTCTTATGCCTAAATTACCAAGGATTGCCTTCAGGTGCCCATGCAAAGCCATCTGGCGGGGGCATTCTGTGGGAGCGGCAGCAAGGACAATGTTGAGGCAGCCCACTGGCAAGGGATCCCTTCAACGGTGCAGTCATCCTTAATCCACCCCTATGCACAGCGTTTCATGACCCCGGAGGAGATCGTGAGGGGTGACCGCCCCAGCAGCGCCAGTGATACCCTGCAGCCCAGTGCCATGTACGACGGCCGACTGGGTCCCGTGCCCCAGCAGGTGCATCTCAGAGACCCACTTATTTCTCACTACAGCGTTCGATAGATCCCAATATAGAGACGTGACGATTGCCCAGTTCTGTCGGGATCCGTGTCCCATCATACGACAAGTTTTTGAAACATGTACTGAGAGCACAGCTTTAACGTGGTGCACCCAATCTGGCAGCCCAGCCAGTCCCTAGATGCAGCCTTCTCCGGTGCCTGCATCGGAGGAGCTGCACTTTGCATGCTTCATAAACTCAAACATGGCGTGCTACCTGTGCACTCAGGCTAGCTGTGCACTCAGGCGCCAGAGTGACAATTTCACGAGATCTTTCAACGCAAAACAGCAGAACTGAACAGAAGCATGCCTGCAGGGAGCGGAGGCCGGCTGCATGAGCGGCTATGCGGTCAACGAATCCGGTGTGACGGCGCGTGGCGGCTCCCCGGCGTCGGCACGCGCGCAGCCGGACGTCGACACGACGCCGGGGGCGTTCCCGCCGCACCCCAAGCGCAGCCGCTCGGTGCGCGGCGGCAAAGCGAAGCGCGTCTCGCCGCCCAGCGCCGAGAGCTTCGGCGGGCCCCTCATGCTGCCGCTGTCAGAGCTGCGCTATCAGCAGGTGCGCTGCACCTGCGCTTTCGACGTCAGGGGCATCCGCACAGGAGCACCATTTGCGCGCATTCTGCGCCTGCAGCAGAGCACACAGCAAGCTCCTTTGCTTGTCAATCAATGTCACCATGCACTTGCAATGCGCAATCAGTCTTTGCCTGCCTTGTCAATGCCAAGAGCAATGCCGTATTGTAGCACATCACCTGTCTAGTATCAAGACCCTGCCGGTGTTTTGGCCCACAAAGAGAGAAGCACTAGCGTGCATTTTCTCGAGAACCGAAGGTGCTGATCGTGTCGTGTGCTGCACAGGAGCTGGCGTGCCACGTGGAGGGGCCGCAGGGGCTGAGGAGGGAGGGCTCTCTGGACCTGCTGGAGGCTGCCGGCGGCATCCCCTCTCCAGAGTCCCTGCTGGCCGGCAGCCTGTCCAGCCAGGGCGCCAGCTTTGCCAGCGGCAGCAGCCTCTCCATGGGCTCCATGCATGACTTCTTCCTGGATGGTGCCTCCCTGCTGCCCCCCGGGGTGTACGCCCACTCCAGCTCCATGCTCTGACAGGGTGACGCGGCAAAACACAGCGGCGGCCGCCGCCGTTGTCTGTTTCGCGATGTTCCCCACTGCGGCGATGCCGTCTCGCATGCTCTTTTCTTCTAGCTGGACACTTTCAATGCATGCTTCCCTGCAGCGCATGGCGACCCTTTGCCGGTCGCCATCGAGTGCAGGGACTTGGCTGACTGTGAATATTCCACCGTGTGCAGACAGACAACAGCAGAAGTGTACATGACACAAAAATTATACAGAGTGGAGAAGTTGAGCTGGAATGCTTTTGCAAAACGATGGCGGGACTATGACTTTGAGAGTCATCAGACATGAGCCCCTCCCCAGTGATGAATACACCATGTTGTGGGAGGTGTGAGGGTACGTTACTACGACTGCAGGGTCTCTAAGTGTTTCTGTTACTGGTACTGGACATAACTTCCTGCAATGTTATGGGAACTAGCATGTGTTGTGGTACTTCTGACTGTATTCTGGGAGCACATCTGCTCCCATGATGCAAATCTCTCTGTTTGCCAATTGGAAAGATAACGCAGGCATCCTTAAACGGAGAGATGATCTCAGAGATCTGATGTTGTTCTTATGCTTATGCTACACACGGTGTTTGCACATTGTGTATATTGATGCTTGAAGATTTCTGTACAGCCCAGTTTCTTGATGGGTTTTGCAAGATACAGATGATGAGTTTGTGGATTGCCGCTTCGCATATGTAAAGAACATCTGCAGTAAGAGCTTTGATCCAAAACAACCTGATTGCCTGGATCCGGCCGGAGGATGATTGACATGTCATAATCTTATCTGGCACCATGATGGTAGGCCTGTGCCAGACAGTGCATCTGCATGGGACATGACTAGTATTAAACATGCATGTGGAGACTGCAAGGCCGGAGTCCTATTTTGTAGCTTTACACCATATATCCACAGTACTTGTGCAGAAGCTTGAGCGGCTCAAGCAAGCACAGCTTCAGACATGTGTACACAAACCATCATGTGGGGCGGGCCCTGCAACCTATAGACACAATAGAATGTTCCAAGTGCTCCAGATCAGGTTCCATGATTATATATATTGCGCATGCAGCCAGACACAGCTCCCACACTGACAAGTCGCCTTACTCCATGCAGTCCTGACAGGGTCTCCAGTATGTCCACAATGTGTCATCTTGCTTCAGTATGTAAGGGCAGTGCGCCCCATGTGCATGACACTAAAGTCCTGCATGCCCCCCCAAGAGTCTAGATGGCTGCCACTGCGAGGCTCTGAGACGCACAAAAGGCCATCTCCATAGAGCAGCTAAACGAAAGAGTGCAAGTCAAGACGCTGAATCACACTGCATGTGCACCTATTTAGACCAGACCAGAGAAAAACAAAGTGTAAGAAGCAGGTCCTGAGTAAGCAATTGCAAGTAAGAGTGCCTGACTAGAAAAGTACACCGCAATGCAGGTATTATCTCAACAAGGCCATGCTGGGATTGCCTTCAATGAAGTCAACACACTGCTCCCTTTCCTTAAAGGGTAGCCCAGCGAGAACTATATCGTTGTGGTGCCGAGGCCTTTTGAGCACAGCATCCACTGGGCTTGATGAAATCGCACATCTCCAGTTCCTTTCTCTCATTCTGCGCTTGGAACAGTCGTGCGCACAACAAGGCGGCAGCATGCGTGTATTGCTGCTGCTGCATGCGGGCGATGCTGCTTTGCCTGAGGCTCATTCCCCCTCTCCTATTGGGCATTGTCCCTCTTGATGTGGGGTTGTGGGGGGTTGCTGGCGTTGCTGCAGCTCTACTCTGGGGATTCTTGGTGCTGCAGCTGGCCGTGGTCGTTGAGAAAATCCACAGGACTCAGACCCTGCAACCCATTCGGAGCTCAACTTTGAATGCGCAGATCAGGGCGCAAGCGCCTTCCCGCCAGAGGGGGCAGGTTTTGGCATAGTCATGGCCACCTCAAGCTTACCACTCTGTACAGTAATGATTCTACTAATAGACGGCTTAAATACATGCCAACATGAGCGCAAGACACTTCTCACAATGATTCTGCTGCCACCTGTGGACTTGGGAGATGCCTGGGAACTCTCATTTGCAATCACCATATATTGGGAGGGTCCTGCACATGACAAGGGGAAATGGCGCTCACCGCAGTTGCCTCGAAGGCCAGCCCTGAAGCAGCCTCGCCGCAGTACGCGTGCACAAAGGTCTGCATTAGGCTCTCGGCCACTGACTTGTCTGCGGGCGCGTTGCCTCCCTCCTGCTCGGCCCCCAGCATGCCCAGCGAGATGGGCTCTGCCAACGGCGCCTCCTCCGCCTCATCGCTGCCAGTCGCTTGCGGCAGCAGCCAGCCTGCACCGGCGCACGCACTTGCATTCAGCACAACAGAGCAGCAAGGACGTGGAACTGTGATGTGAGTGGGACACCACATCTAGAGCACCACCGCATGCAGGCAGGCTGGTTTTAGCACAAAGCAGCATGCACGTGCTAGCATGACCGGGCTTTGACAATGTGTCCAACCTAAGGTACAGCTTCCCGACTGCTTGGTGTCAATGGGTGACACGATCAGAATGCAGTTGATATCACAGTCCCACAGCTCAAAGCTATAAAGTGACCTGCCACCACGGCATGCATGCACGTTCAGGCACATGACATTGCAAGCATGGAGTGAGCACGTTTGGAGTACGATGGTGGGCGGCAGGGCAATTGCAGGTCAATGTTTGCATGCAGAGCGCAGCCAGCCTGAACGCAGAGAATGAGCAAGAGCAGCACCCTGGCACTCACGCTGCCAGTTGTGGATGTCCTTGACGTGGGCTGAAGCATCAAAGCTGCCCTGGTTGATGAGGGAGTTGGTCCAGTGCTCCACCTTCTGCACCTCTTCCTCGTCTTCCTCATCGAGGCCCCCTGCCACGCCCATCATGCACCCCTGCTCCAGCCCTGCCTCCACCTTCACCACCCCGTCCTGCCAATAACACAGGAATTTTATCATCCATTGGACCCTGAGGCAGCGGCTTGACCTGCTTCTCATAGTTTGATCATGCTAAACATGATTCTCCTAAAGCTGGAGAAACAAAAGTGATTCACGGCTGGTGAGATCCTGGACTGTCACGCAATGGAGAAAACAAGTCCTCTTGCCGCTTTGTTTTGACAATTGAAGACTATGTTGCTGCCATGATATCTTAACAGAAGGGCTGCATGCAGATGTTCAGAATGCTGTCAGGCAAGACGACCTTCAAGCCAACAGACCATCTGCTAAGATGAGCACAGTGGTGCAGGGTTGTGTGGGTTGTGGGCTCACATGCATGGGGTAGTAGTGGTGGCGGCTGGAGAAGCCGTCAGACTGGCTGGGGGACGCGTGCGGCAGCGGCTGCGAGGCGGACAGGTGGGGGGAGTGCATGGAACCCCCGCAGGGAGGGGGGTCCAGCTGAGGGGACTGGTGATGGCTGTGGTGGCTGTGGCTGCCGAGGTGGTGGGGCTGCAGGAAGCTGCCCGGGTGCAGCGGGAGAGGGGACGCCGCGCGGTGCAGGTCCTGCAGCTGCGCTGGCAGCGCCAGGGGGTGGCTAACTGGCGGCAGCAGGTTTGCCAGCTGGTCCAAGTGCGCCTGCAGCGCCGCCGCACCCTGCACAAATACAACCTCAAGGGTCACAACGTACTCCTTAAGAGGGGACAGCCGAGATCTGGTGCTACTTCTTGAACACAATGCAACAGTTTCACACACGTCTAGCCTTGAGCTTGGGGCATTTGTCTCTGGGCTTATGCTGAGTGCATAAGGTCAGCAGAATCATGTTCAGAAATACAAAATCCTTGCTGTCTAACAGGCAGAGAATAAAATGGCAGCACAGAAAAGGGCAAGTGTCAGAGCTTCACAGTATCCGCTCCATCAGCTCCTGCAGTGCTAAAGTCCAGTCTTGCAGAGAGCTAGTTCTGTGTTGGGAGGAGTATGATAGAGGCTAAGAAAGTGGAGGAATTTAGCAATAGATTGCTGTTGTCGAGGGGCGGCGCACCTCGACATCGTTGATCTCGGAGAAGGCGGCGAGGACGTCGTCGGCGCAGGAGTGGTGCAGCAGCCGCGAGCGCTTGTGCGGCGGCAGCTCCGAGGTTGCCGTATCGCGCCACAGCACTGTGCTGCCGCCGCCGTGGTGCATCCCGGCCGCACCAGTCTGCACCACGGACGCAGCCGCCGGCGCGCCTGCCTCGGCCAGCAGAGAGCCCAGCCCCATCATCCCCTGCAGGTGGCCGCCGCCGCCGCCGTAGCCGCCCATGAAGCTGCTTGGGCCCGCCACTGCGCACATGTTTCAGCCACAGTCAGCAGCTGCCACAGACACTGACCAGACCATTGGAAGCTTTGCACCCTCCTTGATTGCACCCATCGCAGTGGCACCAGACTGAAGCCAACAAGGCGCCTTCAATTGAGGACACTTCAAGACCATGCCAGAGGTCAAGATCATGCCTCTCCTTTCCAGTCCACTGCTTGGCCATGGGCTTGCCGGGAAATGGAGATACACGTAGTGGTGCAGGGCTGTGTACAGTGGCGCACCGTCGTGGAGGTGGTAGCAGGTGTCGTTGGAGGAGAGGGAACGCGTCGCGTGCTGGTCAGCTCCGCCGCCGGGGCTCATCGGCGAGTGCGTCAGCGCCGGAGAAGGCGGCAGCCGCGGCGATGGCAGGTGCAGCGCCCGCATCGCGCCCTGCCCACATGAGAGCGCCCATCTTGTCAGCAAGCACTTTCTTCAGCCATCTCCGTTCCTTGTTTCTGCTGCAAGCAATGTCTCTACACATGACCAGGGGAGGAAATGCAAAGACCAGGAAGGTAGCATGGATCCCGGGTATTGCTTGATGCGCCCAGTTCCCGGGAGTGCAAGGCCTGTTATATCAAAAAGTCTTGGTGGTAGCGTTGTGGCTGTGAACTGCACCTGCGGGCTGCTAAGAAGGCATGTGATTCTCTGCACCGTAAGGCCTAAGGTTTAGTATCCCAGAGGAGGGTGAGAAGGGCACCTTCATGTTGTGGGGCAGCCAGCCCTCCCAGTCGGCGCGGATGGGGAGGTGCATGGAGATGAAGGCTGCGCCGCTGGGCACGTCGTTGTTGGCCAGCACGCGGATTGGAGCGCTGCACGTGGAGCCCAGCAGCTGGTGCCCCACCTGGTCATACGCCCCCATCACCAGCCTGCACAAGGCACCCCTTGTCACCCACAGGATCGGCAGTAGCATCCTGGACGATGTATCTGTTGGCAGAGTCTTTCGCTATGTTCCTGCTCCCGACTGGCTCGCATTGGATTCGTTGCAAGTATTCAATACTTCACTGACTGCGACTCTGTGATGACAGACTTATCAAGCAGTGGCCCAGAGTCTCGAGTATTGTCACCCTGACATTGCATGTTGTGGTTCCTTGCGCTGGCAATTCAATTCAAGCAATGTGGGGTGCAGCGGTAATATGTGTTGCCCATTCTTTCGTAGGGATCGGTGCCTGGGAAACTTGGGAAGATCAAGGATGGGCACCTGAAGCGGCGGACGTTGACGTGGGTGCCCGCCTCGTCGATGGAGAGGTACATGTACTTGGCCTCCTTGATCTTGTCCTTGGAGTGGCGCGCCTCGGGCGGCACGTTGCCCGACCGCTTGCCCAGCCGCCCAAAGCGCTGGATCGACCGCAGCACCGGCCCCTGCCGCACGCACACACAATTAAGTCCACACTCATCTGCTGAACAGCTCATGCATGGAAAACATGGATCATTGTCTCCTCAACGGCACACAGGGCAATCCATCATCGATTGCCTGACAGGCATGCACAGATACACGATCATCTGAGTCCCTGCCGCTGAGCAAAAGCACAGCACGAGCTTCTGACATGCATGCGTGGGCTTGTGCGCATTGAATTTAAGGTGTGCATGTGAGTGAGTCGTCCTGTACCCAGCATGATACCATGGTCCTGTTGATGCTCATAATGGATTGCCTCAGAATCACAGCGCGAAGTTGCAATTGACTTGCCCCCAAGGCACCAGGTTGACCTCTGCGTGGGGCCGTGTATTGCATGAAATCCACACCAGGGTCGCGTGGGCTTGTTGGAGCATCTGGGTACCTGGCAGCCCTTCTTGCACTGGGCGCGCGACACGGACGGCCACCGGTACAGCTTCTGCGCCTTGTCAGCGCTGGCCTGGCTGCCGGGCTGAGACACCTCCACCGCCTCGTCGTACACCACAAACACGTGCACCCGCACCCGGTAGCCGTTGGTGAGGCGCACTTGGTACGTCACTCCAGACTCGCGCTCGGACTCTGCCAGCGACGCATTGCCATACTGCAGCCACCAGATGTGCATCTGAGGAAGACTCGCTCATCCTTGGAGACTTTGTGCAGGAGCAGAAAACTTTTGACAAAGAAGCAGTATGGACTGAAGCGCATGGTCATGCTGAAGACATGGCGGTCAGGGTGGTATTCTGCAGGTTTTGATCAGTGCAGGGGTAGCAGAGCAGAATATAAGGAGATGCTGACCTGGACAGCCTCGACAACTTCCAGCCTCTGGTCTCCCCCGTCCTGCAATATCTTGAGCTCGCACTGGTTGTACGACCACCGCTTCTTGCCAAGCTTGTATGCCCTGCAGCAGGCCAATGTTTACTCTTACTCTGTGACTCTCAAGTCATATGCAGCAGGCAGGCATGCAACTCTATCACAAGATGGAAGCAGCCGTTGAACAGCTGGTTTGAAAATGTCAGACAGAGCATGTGCACAAGCCCCCACCTAATCTCTGGAATGTCAGGGGAGGCCATCTCCTCCATGCTCTTGCACTGCTTGGTGAGCAGGGGGCAATTGGTCTCAGGAGGGCGTGCAGATGCCATGCTGCTGCTGCAGGCCCTCCTGCTGACCCTCTCCCCACCCATCTCAGCAGGACGTTGCAGCTCTGCACTTTTTCTAGCGTCCAAATAGCTGAGCTCCAGCAAGCATATGCAGCTTCTTCCCTTGCTGCCCTTGGATATCCAGATACGCGTGGCCAACGCTAATGGGTCTGTGCTGGTATTTTGCTGTCACAGACAGATTTCCTTAATGTTCAAAACCTCTCCCTCCAGCGCAAGCAGCGCAGTACCAGGTTAATCCTGCAGCACAGGTAGAGTCAGGGATTCAAATATGTCAAGAGGATGCTTGTATATAACAGGATGACAATGGGAGAAAGTGAAGTCCTTAGGAAAGCGGCTGTCCCAATTTGTGAATGAAAGGCCCCTACAATACCAAAATGTTTTGACCCAAAAGTCACCGTCATTGGGCGTATTGAGAAGGCCACTGCCATTATCAGCAAGCATTACCACTTGACTCAAAGATCCCTGGTGTCCAACGGGAAGCATCTCATTTGTTTCAATGCATATCAGAAGTGTAAGATACAGAAACAATACATGCACGTCAGGGATGGCTGAAATTTCTCTTGCTTCTGACTACCAGAGCTCAAATTTCCTCACGCGCCGAAAAGGTCTCTCACACGCACTTCCAAGACAGTTTCGAGATAATGGTTGAAGCTTTACTCGTCTACTTGCTTCCTTGTGTTCCGAGGAAGAGAGACTCTCGAAGGACTGCCATACGCAAAAGTCCTCTGATCAGAAATTTGCTTGCCTTCTCACCGCACGGCTTTGCATGCCGTCGTAAAGTTCGTCACCGCCTCTACAAGCTCAACGGCAACAGTTAAGGCGTCGCGTAGCAGAAGAATATGGACGACGACGAAACAGTCACTACAATTGGCTTTATCGAGGCTCCTACTGGGCCGGTTCAGAACATGCCACACCCTGACGCCCCGAGATCCTCGACTGAGCCCACCTCTGAGTATCCCTTACCCTGCCTTGTCTTGTGGCAATGACACACCTCTGTATGGCTGGTAGAGAGGCCACCACCCTAAAACGGAGCCACGAACTGGAGTGTACCTGCGTCGAGCTTCTGGCTGAGAAACTGGACGAGCCGTTGAAGACCTTCTGTTCCTTTATCCAGTTGTGACGGCTCGGGAACGCAAAGCAATATCCTCCGTCCCAGTGCTTACTGCTGGGCACCTTCAGCTGCTAGCGTGCGGAGCAGTGGTGCAGGAGGTGGAGCGGCTGACTTGTGTCGGAAAGTAAGTTCAGTGGATCCAGGTGGACGCGGGCAGGGCACAATCGTCTGGCGAGGTGGACATCTGTGGATTCTTTCCCTTCTTCCATCATTCTCCCGAAGCAACAGACAGCATCATCGGTGTTCTGTCCAGTCGTGAATTGGCGCGATTGGTGCCCTGCAGTGCAATAAGTGTACACATGATGTAGGTCCTGTTCTTTCAACATCATGGATGGGCGATCCTCACCCTGGAGACAAATGAGCAGATTCCGCAGTCATGGCCAAACGTTTACTGAATGATCATTTTTCTCGGCTGGCAAAGGTTCGTGGTATTTGCACGCTCTTGAAGCGTTTGCTGGTCTTCCTAGCTAGGAGGTGCTTTTGAGACAGAGCCAAACATTGTTCATCTGATCCATTTGTTGCATGCAGGCTAAAGGATACGTTGCAAGGTCGTCCTTCAAGCTTTTGGAGATTCAGGAACGTTTCAGAGTGGTGAGACCAGGTGCAGGTCACAAATCCTCTGTCTCTGCATGCAGAGCACAAAATTAAGTGATACTCATGATCATATGATGCATTGTCATGACTGCAAGCAGGTGCACACGTACTAGACCTTGGATGCGCGCCCGGAGCCTGGCTGCAGGTCGCATGCCAGTCACTCGGAAAAAAGAGCGGCTTTGTGCTCGGCCTCGACATCCAGGTGCTGCTGTACTGCATGCTGGCAATAGCTTGTCCACATTTGTGGCATGCTGGCTGCTGATCATAGGAGCTACCCAAAGCTTGGCGACTTTGCTCGTAGTATTGCTGAGCAGCATTTAGTTCTCCGCCTGTGGCACAGGCCTGTCCAGTCCCAAGGAGCTTCTGTGATGATCGTGTGCGCATCCTCCAAGCGGATGCGAGAGAACTCAGGCCGGTTGACTTGGTCAGCATGCATTCTGTGCACAGCGCAGCGGCCTCCTCCTGGTCAGGAGGATTCCACGCTGTCTTGTCAGACATGTGCCACAGCACAGTTGGGAACTCCGCCGCTGATGTCCTGCGCTCTCTGGAGCTCGCCCAAACTGCCGCTGCCATAGCGGTTGGAGACCGGGAGGAGAGAGATAAAAAAGCGTCCCTTGAGGAGATGTATTCCACAGGGCCTGCCGGTAGGCTATGTACCTTTGAGATTGGAGCTTGTGAAAGAAAATTGCTGATTGGTGCCGCCTCCTTATGCAGTTCTGGTGCCAGCTAATTGAAGTTGCCCCAGGAGTGTCATGAGATTTGTTCTGCACTGCCTTTGTGGCAGGAGGAAGACCAGGAGTGCTGCTGCCAGGGGGGCATTTTGTGGTGAAGCTGCTCCAGGGCTCAGGATCTCAGGAGTTTGCACAAGAGCTGCGGCAGCACTTTGCCAAGGTGACATGGGTGCAGCCAGCAGCCACCCGACAAGAATCGAGAGAGATGTACTTGGTGGGGCTGAACAGAAGACATTGACTAGCCGAGTGCAAATGATGGGAAGCCTGCATCATACTCTTATAAGAGCAGTGCATGCAACGGCAAACCGTGTAACGACAGGTGCTTACTAGGGCAAAAGGTTCGTCTACTTGCAACAATTTGCTCTTTGAATATATGATAACAGTTTGTGGCTCGCCAAAACAATTGGTGTGCATTCCTACTGGGGTTCGATGCTGTTCAGCATTGCAGTTCCAATAATATTGGTACAGTCTGTTAGTTCCTCAGAATTCCTCTATCTCTGCTGGGCCTGAGGAGGTGCTGGGCGCCTGTTTGGTCTTCTGCTTCTTTGTGGTGGGCGCTGCCGCCGCTCTCTGTTTTGTGACAGGCTGCCAGCTTCCAGTGCCATCATCCCTCACCACATACTCCTCCTCAACGTCAGTGATCTCCATGTTCTGTGGCGCCTGTCCCTGCTCAGCAAACAGCCCAAATTAGAAGGACACCATTCTGCTTATGCCAGCACCACTCTATCGTCTTACCTCAAATGCCCCTCAAAGACGGATCATGCAACTCATGTGGAAGCAGAAGTATGCCACATGCACAGGCAGTTATTGCAAAGTCGAGCAGCAAGGAGCGTGGCTGTCTCAGGTTCTGGATGTCTGGCTGTGGAGGGGTGTCCTTGAAAGCATGCGCACCGATGCAAGGATCAGGAGATCTTCCTCCAGCTGACGCATGGTGGCTAGGTCAACATTGTGCGGCTTCTGAAACACCCGCTTGCGAGCGTCACGCATCACCAGAGTTACCCCATCCTTGCACTTTGTGGCCTGCGACTGACTGGCCCCCTCTTTGCCAACGACCAACACCTGCACATGTGCTGCTCGTCATACTGACTTTTTGCTGAAGGGAAGGGTGTACTTGTTGAGAAAGCACTCCCGGCTCACCTGGCCAATATTTGCGGATTTGACCAAGTTGATGTCATCGTATGTTTTGTAGCTGTCAACGATGGTGGGCAGGTCTTGCAGACTGAGAGGGAAGCTGTCATTCCCCAATTTGAATGTGCCTCTCCTGCCTGATCCGTTCTCTGTAGTTGCAAAACATATGAATTGATGAGCATCATGCCATGTTCACGAAGAAGCAGAAAAATGGCGTTCTTGACCCAGGGTCTCTGGCAGCTCACCGTCAAAGTGTATCTCTAGTTTTGGGGCTGTAGAAGTGTCGGCATTTTCTCTCAAGACCTGTCGGATACGATCCGCAAGGGCTTTGTCTTGCACCCGCAATAGCAGCTGCTCCTCACGGTCCCCAGACATGCCTGCCTTGGAGATCTAGGAGCTAAGCTCTGGACACATGTGGAAGTGCGCCTCGTGAAAAGATAATTTCTATCAGCTAGGATGACATCTTAATTGATCCAGGACACCAGCGCATTATAGAGGGCAGCGTGGTCATTTGTGTCGACAACATGTGGCATGTTTGCACAAGAGAGCTGCACTAGATGATCACACTGAGGCCGAATTACAGCACTGGGGTAGAATTACATCTCAAATATGGAACATCAGCAACCAGAAATCTCGTTGCCCGATGTGGTATTTCTTACTGAGATCATCGCACGTGAGGACGTGCTGCCGTGCGGCTCCTTCGTTTTCGGGACAAGCACGAAGGACAGCAGTGGTTGGGAAGTACAGTATTACACAAAGATAGAAATCATTGACTATTCTCGTTCAGGGCAACGCTCAAGAGAAAAAAAGTGACTGGCAACAGGCATGTCCATTAGTTCTACCATGCCTCTTCCATTCTGTCAATTGAGTCTTTGCAACTCTTGTACTGCATTATGTTGACGATCGAAGTGGTGTGTTATCCCCTCAATAAGTCAGCTGGATCTTGAGGACCTAAGCACAAATTTGCTCAACTCTGATGAGCGTTTAACACAGCAAAAGGCTTGCTTTGGGCTGGAACAGAGTGCTCCATAACAACATCATGGTACATATACCTGCTGCTGATGGACAAAGGAAGGAGGTCAAGAACAGGGCTCTGCTGGACGCGACAGCAGGCGCTCTGGCTGGGGCTATAGCTCGCTTTGTGGTGGGGCCGCTGGACGTCCTGAAAATCAGGTTCCAGGTCCAGCTGGAGCCCATAGCCAGGAGTCAGGGAGCAAAGAGCACCTCCCAGCTCAGCATGGGCTCAAAGTACACAGGCATGCGGCAGGCCCTAGTGACCATCGTAAGGGAGGAAGGCATCCAGGCAAGATTCTGTCCCCACTTCCAATACATACCTACCTGATGCCACTAGTGAGCATTGCTACCGCCATGCAAGAGCAGACATTGCCACGCATGCCTCTCTCACGTCACAGAAGTGCATTAGCCATCTGAATGTTGGGATCCATTGTGCAGGGGCTCTGGCGAGGCACTGTGCCGGGGCAGCTGCTGACAGTCCCGTACACAGCAGTCCAGTTTGTCGCGCTGCAGCAGTGCAGGACCTTTGCAAAGCGGCATGGCCTCTTGACGGGCGACTGGGCCTTCCTGCTGTCCTTTGTCAGCGGCGCAGCAGCGGGCGCTGCTGCCACAGTCGCCTCGTACCCATTTGATGTGCTGCGCACCGTCCTGGCCGCCCAGGGGAAGCCACCGGTGCTGATCCTACACCAAACAGTAGCAGCCTAGATAGCACCTGGTTAGATCCAATAGCATGCCTATGCAGCTACTGTGCCTTCTGTGCATGGCTTGGACTTCGTGTTGCATGATGATCTAAGCATACTTTATTTGGGGGTAAGAAATGCACATGATTGCTCGGCGACTGTTTCAGTGGGATCGCAGAGGCAGTATCTTGCAGGATCGTACAAGTGAAGCTCGTCTTTTCTCACAGGTGTACAGAGGAATGCTGGATGCGGCCAGAGGGGTGGTGAAGAACCAGGGCATCAGGGGACTGTACAGCGGCCTGAGCGTGACCCTGGTTGAGATTGTGCCATACGCCGCGTTGCAGTTTGGTCTCTACGATCTGTTCACTGCTGCTGCAGCCAAACGGCATGCCAACTCTCCAAGCGCAGATGTAAGTCGCCGCTGGTCCCTTGTCCCTCATGTACATAGCTGGTATAAAGGCAGGGGACCAGACCTCCTAAGAATGCTTTGTAAAGAATCTGTGCAACAAGAAGATGCTGTAAAATTGAGCAGTGAGGTGAATGTGCTGGCACACAGGAAACAAGGAGGTGGGAGAGGTTTGTATGTGGGCTGGCAGCTGGCACAATTGCAAAGCTCGGCACACATCCTCTGGACGTCTGCAAGAAACGATTTCAGGTACACTCCAGTCAAGCATCTTGTTATTTGGAGCCAAGCTCTCTCTGTTGTACACTCATCATGGTGCAGGTGCTGCGCCACATCTCATAAAGTGGGTGACTGTGGTGCCTGTGCAGGTTGCTGGGCTGCAGCGCTCGCTGAAGTATGGAGCACGTGTGCAAGCAGAGTCAGTGAGGTCGCTGCCAGCCTGCTTGCAACACATTTGGCGGCAGGAGGGCCTCAGAGGCCTCTACAAGGGCAGCCTGCCCAGCATTCTGAAAGCGGCGCCCTCTGCAGCCATCACATTCACTGCATACGAGTTCATTCTTGGTGCTCTGACTGCATTTGTTGCAGCGGAGTAGGCTGACATTGCAGTCTGTAGATTCTGATTTGTTTCAGTCTTGATTGCCACCTAGAATTCAAGATGGTTGGTACGCGGGGCATGATGCAACCAATCCCTTGCAACAATTACAGCAGGTTCTTGCTAGTTCTTGCATAGGCTCATCAAATGCAGTCCTATCCAAAGATTCGTAATGAACAGCCATTGCTGTGGGGAGTGTGCAGACTGAAGCTGCAGGCCTTTGGTGAAGTTGATTCTTGCATGTCCTTGCATGCAGATGCTGTACGCAATGCCGCTTTCATGCTTGCAGCTGTTTAAATGTGTTGACCTCAAGAGTCTGCCTTGGTGGCAAAAATTCCTTGCGAATTGTGCAGCGCTGCTACTGTGCTAGCTAGCAGTGGCTCGCGAATGTTGTAGATGCATTGGGACCTTCCGTTGCTTTAAGAAAAGGACATCCTGTCAGAATGACAATTTCTGCTTGTAGCATAATGTTACATTTATACACGGCAACGCATCACCATTGATTACATGGCGCATATGGCATGCGAACTTGTGCAACACTCAAGCGAGGCATCCTTTGGCATCACAGGACTCTGTTGCTGAAATTTCACATCTCCAAATTGACACAGGCCAGCAGACGTGATGCACTCAAACCAGATAGCGGTCCTTTGCCTTCCTGTCATCGCGCTTTGCATCCGACTGCACAGCAACCACACAGCAGTAAGAATCAGGGTCACGACAGAGTTGATAAGACTGGGTGAATTTGGAAACTGCTCAATCAACAGTGCTGCAAAAACATGAGCACCACGTGAAGGCAGACAGGAGGGGTGCAGCTGGCAGAAAAATCTTACATGGGCAAGGTAACCAATGCGGCCAGTGGCTGAGGTGTCAAGGTCCAGGATCTGCTTCAGCTGCTTGCCGATGCTCACCTGTAATAAATCCCCAGATGCATCACCTAATGAATGTAGACACCATGTAATATGCAGACATTACATGGTTCACCATTTCATAAGAGGCATTTGTTACCAGCTACATTCATGCATGGCACCTTACCAACCTTGGGACGGCTCAGGCAATTGCAACAATGGCCAGGCAGTACCTGTGCCGCCTCGTTGGCTGCCGTCTTCGTCCAGACACACAGCTTGTCCTGCTTGGCGCGCACGTTGACCACAATGCCGCAGATCTCATCCCCCTCTGTGAATTGCTCACCAATGCAGGCCAGAAGCTGCGCCAACAGCAAAGTCAAACATCAGCTGCGATGCATATCCACTGGCTTGGCTCAGCTTGCAGTGCATCCACAGCAGACCGCCCGACGATTAGCAAATAAAAGTCCAGACGGAGATCATGTGTGCATGGGAAGAGTAGTGCGCACCGCATTCAGCCAGTACGTGTCCAGGACTTGCTTGGAGTTTGGGCTCTTTGGAACCAGCACCGTCCACTTGCCGCCATGCTCACAGGTGGGGTCCTCCCACTTTGGCTCCACCCCCTCCTTGAAGAGGTGGAAATCTGTGCCCACTGTCAGCCAGCTAGGAGGCTTGATGTTGTTGTACAAGCTGCACACACACAATGGATATGATCACGTCGCTTGATCAATGGAGTGGATGTCCTCTGCAGTTGTGAGGGAGTCTCGAAGGAACTATGGAAATCAATCTTGCAGGAGGACACTTACCACCAGAAGTCTTCCACGGTGCCAAATGTGTAGACGGCGCGCAACGTCTGACCCCACGTGCTGGGTTTCTGGCTGCCCTTAGGATTGTCAAACCACAGAGTCCATCTATACTCTAGCGGATGCTTCTTTGAGAAATCAGGTTCCCCGTTGCGTTCCTGAAACGATGGACACAATTGCATCATTAAATGTAAATATCTAATAAGTGGAGACAGTGTGTTGCTTCCAAGCACGTACAACATCGAGAACTACCTTCCCACACACAGAATCAGATTATCAACAGGTGTAGCAGAGTTTCGGCATCCTTACAATCCCACCGTTTCATGCCAGCGACTGAATTAGCACTAATTGATGCAGAGAGTGAAGAGCTCTACCTGCTGTGGAAGCTCGCCCTCCTCACGTGTGCTTGGCTCAGCCACTTTGCTGTCTCCTTCAGCCATTTCCTGGCGTGTATCTCTTGTTCAAATGAAGCTATGTATATCGATCGAATATTGGGGCGTGCTTGTCTCTATGTCACTTCTCGTGAGGTGAAAGAAAGGCAAATCTATGCTCTCTCAAAGCCGGCTGTGGAAGGTGGAGCAGCGCTGCAGCTGCCTGATCAGGCGTCATCGAGATATCTCCGATATGAATGCATCTGCCCAAAAATTCTAGTTTGCGTCCTCTCAACCTCCAACTTGATTCCTGACTGATATTGAAACTGGCGAGATGGTTCAGAATATCGCCTCAGCATTCGAGCAATCGCACCAAGGCCTGCTGGCTGCACTTCCAGAGTAAGCCAAGCTTCCATGATAATGCATTAGAAAAAGAAGTGTGCAACAGTTGCTTTCTTTCGAGCCCTTCATCCAACTATGAGGTTTTTTTGATTGTTTGCAGGGCTGACCTTGGCCTCCTGGCCGCTGGGGCCATAGTGTTCGGCCTGCAGAAATTGGTTCCTTCCTATGAGGACTCTTACAAGCTCTGGTATCCTAAACTCAAGAAACCTTCGTAAGTTGCTCATTATAAACTTAATAAGGCAGTTCTTTCTTCTTTCGTCTCTTTCTGCTTTTGACATATAAAAGATTGCTGTGTGATCTGACCAACTCATCAAGAGATCTGGCATGCAGCTGGAACCCTCCTTCCTGGGTGTTTCCTGCAGTGTGGATACCTCTGAAGATCCTTCAATCGGTAGGTGCTTGAATCTCACCAAGGGCAGTCAGTCCTTGATTGGCGCTGGGAACACATGCTAAAATGTCCAGCTATTGACCACAGGCTGCCTTGTGGTTGGTGTGGAAATCTGCCGGAGCTGACAAGGCGTCCATTTCTATACCCCTGGCTATCTTTGGTGTGCATGCACTCCTAGGGAACCAGTGGAATGGTGCGCTGCCCTCTTCATGTTGTACAAGACTGCTGATCTTTGATCTTTCCACATCCTTCCCATGATATCATGATCCTTACTATTCCATCGTCATGCAGTGGTCTTCTTTGGGCGCCGTGACATGCCAGGGAGTCTCAAATGGATGGGTGCATTCTGGTTGTCGGTAGCAGGTATGCGGCAAGCTATAAGGCATCGAGTTTGCACACTATGCTGGACACAAATCATCAATGCATGAAAGGTGATGCGCATGCTGGCTGAAATGACCCATGGCTGTGCGCAGCCACTGCATTCTCCTTCTACTCAGTGAACCCGCTTGCAGGACTGCTCGTGTCTCCTACACAGGTAACGTGAATGCACTGACACAGAAATGTGATGTCCCCCTCGTGTCATGATGTCCCCCTTGTGATCACTTTGTTCCTTGCCAAATCACTGAGCCGATATTGACACCATTGGTGTAATAAAGGGTGCATTATAGGTCTGGCAGATTGACATTGCAATATGAGAGAGGAATATATCAGAGAGCTCTGAAGTCTCATGTGCATGCAGATATGGGTGACCATTGCAGCAAAGCTGAATTATGACATTGTCAAGCTCAACAAGGGAGATGAGAAGCTCAAGTGAAGCTTAGGGATCTCCATTGTGATCCTACATTTTTTTGTAGGAACTAATGTTTCTGACCGCAGAGACTGCTTTTCTGATTGGAGCAGTCTGTGCGTAGCGCCTCTGTTGAGGAAAACTGCAAAATTTGAAGTTTCTGTTGCTTTCAGTCAAATCTCTGTTCAGGGAGATGTGATCTTATATTTAGTAAGTTGAACAATGTCTGGAAGCCATTGTACGGTATGTTGTTTGATTGCATTGAAGCTCGGCAGCGCTGCTAGCTGCCGATTGTGAAGCTCACAATGTGAGCAGAAATTTTTCTCTTCAGGATTTCACATCCCCTGCAAGATTCGTAGGTGAACATTATGTGCTGACACCCATGTGTCAACTTCGATGAGCTTTGAGCAGAGTAGCAGCAAGATGATCTCTACCATATGTATGAATTGCACATCTGCCACAATGATGTCAAACAATTCAGAAAGCAACCACATTTGGACACAGAGCTAGCTAGAATCTTAAGGCCTGAGTCCCTGCCATAGCTGACTTCGGCCTGGAATGCCAGTGAATAGCCTTCTGTGTGGGCATCCCCTTGAGAGGAATGATGACCAATGGGAGGACAAAACCTCTCAAAACAAATCCCCTGGGAAAATGCTTTGCGGACTATTCACCATCACCATGTTTCCTCAAGCGAGAGGGACTGCCATGCAGTAGTAAGGCAGCAACATCAACAACAGGCCTGCTCCGATTCAATAATCTGGTATGGTACACCATGCATCATACATGGGCATCAGTGCTGGTTTTAGTACATGATCACTCGGCTTCCACGCTCACTCCTGCTTCTGCGCATTAACCAGCCTGCTGGCCTCTTCAATGCTCTCAGTCTCCGAGAACCTGCATGACAACGCATTGCATGACCATGGCAGGAGAATCACATGAATTCTCTGCATGCATGGCTGCACATGCTATGACCACAACAAGGTGAAATGATTCCCACTAAAAAAGGCCATGATTGGGTTGGTGACATACTCGATCTCAGTGGCCACATCTGTGTAGTAATTCCATCCAGCCCCCATCCAAAGCGCTGACAACCCTGGATGCAGATAGCACAAATTAACTGTAGACTGTTGGACACGTCACAACATAGTGTATCTTACTCCACAAAGCAGTCACATGCTGTGGGGGAACGCACCTGCAATGATGAGAGGATTTGCTGCACTCTTCAAGCTCAGTGTCTTGAACACCAGCAGTTCCATTGTGAAATGCACAAGGGCGGCAAGGAAGGAGAATAGTGTAGCCCCTGGGCGCAGATAAGGCACATGAAAGCACACCATGCAAAGTGTCCATCAGTCCTGCCATTCACCAGGTTTGTCTGGAGCGGGCAGGATATCTTCCCAAATCAATGATGACACCAGAGACTTAAGCAGAAAAGAAATAGTTGTGACTCACCATATATGGCAGGAACTCGAGGATTCTTTGCGCATATCAAGCACAGCGCACATGTCACCGTCGTCCATGTGGCAAATGTTCTTCCATATAATTCATTGACTGCATTTGCACAACTTTGAGAGCCAGGATAGTGAGGACATGTGCTGCAGAGACAGAGACTGATTGCACTGTTCGGGTCTGCAATGCCCAAATCGCAAGAGCCAGGCATGCCACACCTAGCTCTGGTCGCCGATCAAATAGATTCGACTGGAAATACTTGTACTGGAAGACGCCCAGGTAAACTGGCCAAACACACACCACAGGTCAGATCAGGTCAACCAGTCATTCGATTTCAATGGAGATTTCATAATGTGCATACTTTCTTCAAAAAAAGACGATTGGGGATCAGCATAGTATGTAAGGAACCTCGGTCCCATTCGCCCAATGCTGAAAGTCCAAGTTCACACAAGGGGCAAAGCTTTGACTTCAACGAGACAGTGCATAACTTAGATCACCTGAAAATAGCCGAAGCAAGGCCACAAAGACCAGCCAGCGCCTTAAGGCTGTAACAGAAGAAGCCATAGGCGCTGGAGGCCCTTCTTGCTGCACACGCGATCCAAGCAGAATCACATGCAATACAGCCGTCAAAGTTGACAATAACCTATTCGTTACCTACCTTCAAAGGATGCACGATAATTGTGAGAATGGATTGTGAGGCGCGCCACGAGAATTTGCTAGGAGGGAGCCTTCTGATTGGAACGCCGTCTGATGGAAATCACGTGCATGGGACGTCTCGCTGTCTTGACTTCCCAGGTGAAGATGCTGACCAATTCCAAAAACAATGGCTCGTTCTCTTTCCGAAAATGTGCTTATAATATTGTGTAGGTGCCACGATGAATTAAATTAGCAATGTAGATTTCAACGAAAAGCTAGTCACGTAATGGTGATGGTTCTGGGTGTTGCAGCATTCAAGGCGTAAATGCGCATGGCAGCATGCTGGTGGCATTTTCGAGGCTGCTGAATATCTCTAGCAAAACACTTAGCAGTAGCCTGATTGCGAAGATGAATCCAGGCACCTTTTCCACAGCAGCTTCATCGCTTGTACCCAGAGCCCCGCCCAGCCAAGCCATATTTGCAATGGCATTCAACAGCTCCTGCAACACCCCATCGGCCATCTTGAGGCCACAAGTGTTGCAGCACGGCCTCAGATTGCATCGATCTCGGTGTGGGGCACTACAACAGGAGTATGGCTGGCACCAGCTACGCCCTCAAATACGTTGGCTCGGATTCTCTTCAACGAAACAGGAGGAGGAGGAAGAGTCGAAGTGAGCTATGCCTGTGGACTGTCCCTAATACCTTGAACCTGAAACAGTTGATGGGAATATTCTTGAGGCATCCAGACGAGCCTGTGCTTCAGCAATGACTACATTTGTGCCATGAAATTTGATCTCTCGTGTGTTTGGTGCTGCACAGCTTGCAAGCTGGCCAGCTACGGGTGGCCAGAAGTGCCAACGGTGTGGTGCCGCCCCTCCCTCTGACACTCGGCACAGTCAAGGAGAAGCAGGCATTCGAAAGGGAACTGCACACTGTTACAGTAGGTGAGCATTGTTTTTGGACATGCAAAGCATTGCCGCTCCATAATTGTCTGCAAGAGAAGGCTTCGTGCAAGTCTGAGAAATGTGTTTGTTTTGGGGCAGCTATCATAGCCAACATGGTGATTTTCTCTGCAAAGCTCGTGACATACCTGATGTCAGGCAGCAGGTGAGAACCCTTTTTCATTTTTAAATTTTATTTCCCAGAAACGGCACCCCTCATGTTCAAATACTACCGCTAGTACTCACCACCTGCCGCCTGCTTGCAGCACGATGCTTGCGGAGACAGTGCACTCTGTGGTTGACACCTTCAACCAGGCAAGCGCCTACTTTGGGATCCCTCTCTTGAATGTTGCAAACAACTTGTCTGAGCTATTTAGTAATGCAGTTGCTGTGTATGTAGCTGGACTGACGATGCAAGGCTTAGAGCCGTCACATGAGCTACTCGCATGTGTTTGTGCAGATGCTGTTAAGAGTGGGCATTGTGCGCTCAAAGCGTGCTCCAACAAAGATGCACCCGTACGGATACATGAAGGACAAGTTTGTGTGGTCGCTTGTGTCTGCCGTGGGCATCTTCTGCCTGGGGGCCGGGGTCACATGCGCGCACGGCTTCTCAAACCTCTTCTCCCCCCCTCAGCAGCTCGAGCATCTAGGCTACGGCCTGGCAGGTAATTGCATCCAAGCAGCTCTTTCTGCCGTTTCTGCTGGCAGAGACGGTGCAGACCAACCTCGTTTTTTTTTAGCTCTGCTTGTGCTGCCTTGACAGTAGCGATTGGGTTGCCTGGCCTTTCTCTTCATAGTCCCATCCTGCACTTGATATGTCTCATGAACTGCATTACATCTTGAGGTTCCTGGAGATGCTCTAGGAACCAGGAAACTGCGACACGGTCAAGATACAACAGCATGAGAACGCAAGGGTACTTTGAGGTTATACTGACAGCGTGTGTGGTTGGCATGTGCAGTGCTGGGGGTGTCGTTTCTGGTGGAGGGCTACTCGCTGCTGGTGGCCACGCGCGCGGTGCTGCAGGGGGCGCACGCGATGGGCATGAGCTTCACGGAGTACATACGCCGCGGCATGGACCCCACCACCGTCGCTGTCATGCTCGAGGACGGCGCCGCCGTGGCCGGCCTCGCCATCGCAGGTATTGCCCCTTTGCTTGCGCGTAGAAACCAGTGAGAGCCTTCCCAGAGCGCATGCAGCGGAATGGGACCTGCAGAGTACTTATTGTGATGCCAGTGAATGCTTTTAGGCGGATATGCAAGCAAAAGTGTAGTTGATAAGGAAATGAGTTGCGTGTGCAAGGGGCTTCATTATTGCATTCCTGTGGACCGCAAGGCCAAAGACGACCTCTAGTCGGGGCACCCTATTACATGATTTGCTAGGCAGGGATGCTCTGAGGACAGTCCTTCTGTTGTGTTTTAGAGCCCCCATGGCAGCTGGGTCTTGTGCAAGCATTGCCAGAAGCAGCAGCTGATAATTCTGGTAGAGAGAGAGAGAGTATCTGAGCTTGCGTAAAGAGAAGATCGTGTTATGACTGGTGTGTGTGGGTGGCGAACAGGCGCATCCACCTGGGCAGTGCACCTGACGGGGAATGCAGTGTACGATGCCATGGGCTCAATCACAATCGGCGGCCTCCTGGGATGCACAGCTGTCTTCCTCATACAGCAGAACCGCTCGCTCCTGCTCGGTGCGAGGCCAATTGCTGAAGTGCCTCTTGCTTATAATTATCTTTCTGTTGCCAAGCACTGCTAAAAGCAAAAAATATTATGAATAAATTTTCAACAGCTGCTTGACAAAGGTCAGAGCTGTAACTTCTTGCCTGGTGTTGCAGGGCGTGCAATGAACAACAAGGACATGCAGAAGGTGTTGCATCACCTGAGGAAGGACCCGGTGGTCAAGGCGGTCTATGATGCCAAGTCCGAGGAGATCGGTCCCAACATCTTCAGATTCAAGGCCGAAATAGGTGCTCCCCTCCACTCCATGTCTCGAGCAGCCCTGCTCCCCGCTCCCCTGCTTTCTGCGGTGTCAAAGTTCTGTCAGTCAATGCATGGTGCGGTTGATGCAAATGACGTGCTGATCGGGTCGTATGTGTGGCGCAGAGTTTGATGGGGAGCGGATAGTGGAGGGTCACATGGAGCGGATTGGCGGGCGCGAGCAGCTGCTGCAGCAGATGTACAGTGCGATGGCCACAGAGAAGGACGACACCGTCGACCTCGCCCTCAGATCCTACGGTGTGCATTTGAGCATTTGAGCGAATGCAACACATACAACGCAGTGCATTTGTCTCTGGCATGCAAGCTGGTGCATGCATGCCTGGATATGCAACCCATCTTGCATACCTCTGACTGCAAAGCAGTGCTGCATTGGAGACAATTAGTGCCTGTGTGGTCTTGCACTGTACACATGCAAAACGTGTGCTATAATATTGGAGGAGGTGGCGATTCGCCTGTGGAGATGATGAAATTTGTTGGTGCTGATGGCAGGGCGGGACATGGTTGGGGCGCTGGGTGCAGAAGTGGACAGGCTAGAGACGGAGATCCAGCAGATCATGCCCGGCATCAGGCATATCGACCTGGTACGCTGAACATTCTACTTCCTGTTCTGCATGGAGTGAAATTGCTGACAAATCCTTTCCGCCAGTGTTTGGCAGATACTTGCAGGATCTTCATGCGGTCATCTAGTGATGCAGGGTCTTAAGGGAGATGTGCTGTGCTGCAGGAGACAGATAGGGGGCGGCATGACAAGACCTCTGCGCAGAGGCGAGGCTTCTACAGTGTGGCTGTGGACCCTGCACGGTGCCCGCCGTCGACTGAAATGCTGTGAACGCTCCCATTAAACTTCAGCTCAACAACGCACGCAGTGTACACGATTCCTGTGCAAGGAGACTGCTTTTGTACATTTCTGGTGCTGTCCGATTCATTCGTGGTCCCTAGGGGCACATTCACTTCACAGTAAATTTGAATTAGGGCTGCACTTTGCCCGGCATTGGCACAGCGCATGAACTGCAGTGAGATTAGATTGTATTTTGGCGACTCTGCTACTGAACTAGATAAAATGTGGGGCCCAGATGCATGTGCCTTGATGCCAGAAAGAATTGCGCTTCATTTGATTGGGCAAAGAACCAAATGTTAACGGTGGTAACAGTCACCAAGCAAGCTTGCTTGGTAGTAGCTACTAGTACTGCGAACTCAACCCATATTTGTCTTGAAGGCTGGCAAGATTCAAGCAACATAGCGAGACGACTTGACAACTTAAAACCACAAAAGACTAGACATATCACAGTAGCAACCCCAGCTCACATGTCACGACTGAAACAGGGACAACGTTTGTACAACCCCAAACAATAACGCTACCTGTCATCAACGACCCTGCATCACTTCGTCAGATATAAATACCAGTTCTTTATGTATTAATTCAGCAAAGGACGGTAATAGCATTATAATCAGCTCAACAGGCAGATTGAGAATTCTTGAAAGGACATATCAGAAGCATCCTGAGGGCTGCTTGTCAGAAATCAAAACAACCAAAAGACGTCATGCATGAAGGTCCCAGTAAAACCAACCAACATTGCTGTATCTTGATTCATTTCAGGACACACTTCAATATCTGAGCTTGACAGTAGCCTGACGTGCTCAGCATGCGAAACACGCACACAATATCTGCTCACATTACCTCTGACGCCTCGCCTGCAACGCTGTGACCTGGCTCTACCACGACAGCGGTGCGTGCTGCGAGCACCAAAGTGGCTGCCTCTGCCTCAACCTCATCATTCTTCTCTTCATCCTCTTCACCTCTGAGCTCGCCAGCATAGGCACTCGCTGCCTGCTTTGCGCCGTCACCCTCAAGGGTCCAACGAGCTGCATCAGCTCCAGCATTCTCAGCAGCGCTCTCTGGGAGCGCAGCGGCGCCGAAGGGGGCAGGCAGGACGCATGCGGCAGCTTCCCCAAACGCAGGAGACAGCCGCTGGGGCTTGAGGTCCGAGTCCAGGGGCACTTGCGCTTGTGCCGGGGACGGCGGCGCGGCTGCTCTGGCGGCTACGGCAGCGAAGAGACGGGAGCCCGGCGAGAACGGCAGCTTGTCGGCGACCTGCGTCGGACTCGTCTGCGCCGAGGAAATATTTGTTTTCATCCGTTCCCAGTCGCTAACTTCCGTCCCTTCCCAGGCATCGGCGAGCGGCAGGGGCTTTGGCACGCACTGCGATTCCATGGGCCCGGGCGGCACGCTCTCACCGCCGGCCAGGTCCCTCTCGAAGAGCTGGTCCAGGAGCTCCAGCGACAGCGTTCCCTCCGGCGCGTGGCCTGCCGGCTCGTCACCGACGGCGCGCCCTTTGCCGTCCCCCTCGACTGCTCCTGTTGCGCAACCATCAAACCAAATTTCAACCCTTAGGGGGTCAGACAAATCAGAATTAGGATATAGAACCAGGGAACGGGCCCTTATAGATGTCAGAATACCAAGAGAGAGGACCTTGTAGTAAATACTTTTCATCCTGATGTCAATTATTTGGACTTCCCTGGCATCCATATATCTGCAGCAATGATGCATAGGGGGGTTACCCTCTGCGAGCGCCGCAAGCTGATGGTCGAGCCCCATGACGTTGCGACTCTCCCAGCGCACGATCTCACGCGCCACATTCGGCGGCACGCGCGCGGCCGACTCCCCGGTGGACGGCGTTGCCTCCGGCCGCGCGGTCTGCGGCGGGGTTCCCTCACCCGACGGCGGCTGGCCGGCTGCCGGGATTGTGCCGCTGTCAATGCTGCGCGCACGGCCGCCGGTGCCGAAAGGGTCCAGCGAGGCGGCGATCTCGCTGTGGACTCGCTCCCACTCGCGCTCCTGCTCGTCCGCGCTGTGACCCTGCTCGTCGTCGGGGGCTCCTTCGGTGGTGTGCTGCACGGTTTGCAGGTTGTCCTGAGCCGCCTCACGCTCCCCTGAAAGTGGCCATAAACCACCATCAGATATGCCGTTATGTAGTGCACTGCAATGCGCTTCAGGTCACCCTGATGGGATGCAGATGACAGGGTTCGAATGCGGTCTCTATGGACACGTTTCAACACTACATGAGGATGGGAGGTTTATGGCAATTCTGGTGCAAAGCTTGAGGGACAATCATGGCTGCGCACCGGTCTTTGCAGGGCTGCGTTGAGCCGCAGAGTCGGTGCCAGGAATGCGGCCGCGCCTGAGCAGGTTGCTGGCGGCATAGCTGCCGCGTCCACGCCTGGCTGCAAGGTACTGCTGCAGCACCGCGCGCTCCATCGCAGTCCCCTGCTTCTTGCTGCCTGCCTCCAGAAAACAGCTGTCCTATAATTGTGCACAGGGACATGCCATGCACACAAATGATTCCTACATGCACCCCTAAGGCTCAATGTTGTGCATTAAGTAATCTAGTTAAGTGGGACGTCAGTCCTTACCCTGGCGTGCCCCTTTCACAGGTGTCTTCTGCGCCGGGCCGGTTTTCTGCATGGCTTTGTTAGGAGAGGCGAAATGCGCTGCTGAGCTGCTCGCGCCACGCTTTGCAGCTTCGGCGCCTGCTGCATGCAGTCTCTGGCTGCCTGTCTCCTGTGGTGCTCGTCTCTTGTCCAAAGCAGCTGACTTCTGAGCTTTCTGCCCGTGCCCGTGCCCGGCAACCGTCTGGACTGCCCCGGGTCTCTGTGTTGCCTTGTGGGTGTGAGAGTGGAGCACGGCCAGGGTGTCCGCCATCACTGACTGCTCAGATGTTTGTGCCTGTCCGCACACACAAGCCACCATTCAGACAAGGACTTGCTCCTCATGGTTGTACGTACGCAAATGCTGAACTAGCATGCGGTTAGAAAGTTTGCTACATTGCTGTAAAACTCAAGGAGTCATATCTGGCTGACCATTCATGTTAACTCCCTTGCTTGCAGGTGTCAATGCACAAATATCACCTGTTTCCAGGAGGCGGCAGCCGCAGCCGTCTGGTCCACCGGTAGGGACACCCAGGACTGCTGCCGACCACTGCCCTGACTCGCGGACCTCTGCGGGCTGCTTGACATGGCGCGCCTGCACATAATTGCCTTCTTCACCCCTTTTGCACCCCAAATTTCTCCGAAAAAACAGCAAACTGCACAAAGCATCTGTTCTCCTATGGAAAGGCAGGCATGGGCTTGGTGATTGGGCGCAATCAGGGAATCAAGAAAGCACCTCTGGGCAGCGGAGGCGATGCGCGACTGCTTCAGGTGCGCCAGAGCCGCGGCAGCCACCGGCTTGAGTGGGGAGGCGGCCCTCCGGCCAACAGGACCCCCCGGCAAGGGTGCAGCAGCCTGGTGAGGGGACAGGTGCAGGGCGCGGCCGACAGCGGCGCCACCGTGGGGGGTCCCGTGCTTGGGAGTGGAGGCCCTGGAGGGGGATCCCAGGGGAGTCGAGGCGCGCGAGGGGGGGGACTTGCTGCGCCAGGGCGCGGGGGACCCGGGGTCCAGCAGCGCGGGGGGCATGATAGGATTCCTGAGGGTGAGGTATGCGCTCAGCGTGTGCTCCGGCTTGGAACCCGGCAGGAACCACTGATTTATGTCCTCCGTGGGAGCGGCGGCCTCCCCAATGCCACATCACACAGTCAGTCAGAAGCTCAAGCTCGCTATTGCCACTACTTCCAGGAATGTGCATGTTCACCAGCTTGCAGAAGGGGGCTATGTAGAAGTAGCGGTGTAGGGAGTGACCTGCTTGGCCTTCTTGGGTGTGTGGCTGTGCGTCTCCACACGCAGGTTTGGCCTGGCCTTGGCTACTGCCGCTTGTGTGCCGGGAGCCGGGCGAGCAGGGCCGCAGTCGTCCAGCAGCTGCGCCAGTGACACCCGCGTATGCTGCACCTTGTTCCATACCTCTTCCCTCTGCAACACATGCACATCATGCTCATGAGTACAGTTCTGATGAAAATATTTCAAACAAAGTCACAATCTCATCTTGAATGCAATGGGGCAGTTGAGGGTCGCGCAATCCACCTCCTTTTGCAGGACAAGCAGTCACATGCCTGCTGCAGACAGGGCTAAAATTGTTGCGGTAGGAAATAAGGTGCTCACCGGCTTCAAGTCTTCTCCGGCGGAGGTCTGAGGCATGAGGAGCCTGCTGAGAGAAGGCTCCCTGGCGCTGCGATGAGCGCTCGGCGGAAAATCGCCCAGGACACCTTGAGGTGCTGGTGCGTCCCAGCTACAGAGCAGAAGCCAATCCTGTCAGCCACTGCCTTAGATGTTCCGCTCATAATACATGTCATATGCTTTTTAAAGCAATCCAATGGTGCAGGAAAGTAATCGGCCAAAACGTTGCATTCACCCAAGCAAAGTCATCAAGGATGTGTGTCAAAGTTACCCCTCTGCAGGCGGTGCCTCTTTGGCTTCAGCCACTGTCTTCAAGGGCGACACAATGGGGGGCAGCCAGGATCCCTTCCTGCGCAGGGACGCCGCTGTGGCCAGGGAGATGCGCTCTGCGATTGACACTGCCGTCGATAACAGGCGCGGCAGCTTGCTGTTGCGCCGTGGCAGCGGTGGCGGCACAGCTGCCTCCACCTGCACAACAAATTTCCTTGCTATTTGCATGGACACCTCACCAGCTCTGCTTTCCTGTGCATTCTCTGCCTGTAGCTCATTGCTGCAGACGCCCTGTGTGTATGCCCTATGGCCTTTGGCTTTGGGTCTGCTGACCTATGATAACAACTATAATTATAACAGGTGATATCGATGTGTGCGCACCTCAGGCTCCGCTGTGGTGCCGATGCGCCACTGCCCTCCTCCCTGGTCCCTCATGCTGTCTGCATGAGCCAACACATCTACGCCTTTGGCCCCGTCAGTGTCGGCTGGCAGCTTGGTTGGCGTCGCCTTCGGGCTTGGAGGCTGCGCGCTTGTGAAGCAGCTGAGGCTCTGCACCCAGACTCCCACCCTTCTTGTGGCCCGCCCTCTGTATGCAGCTGCCACTGATCGCTTCTCTGCCAAGACCCGGTTGATGCTGACCTTGGCCGAGGACGACCTCTTCTTGGCTGTCTCCTTCTCAGGAAGCTGCTCGGGAAGCTGCGTGCTGGCTTCCGACTCCATCTCAACTTCTTCTGCAGTGCTGGTATGGCGGCTGGCATCCCCAGTGGGCTGCGCCTCGCTGGGGCTTTTACCACTGTTGCTGGGCACACTTTCTGCCGGGCCATGGCTTTCAGCGAGGCCTGTCTGCTGGCTTGGCTCTGGTTCCTCTGAGGGTGCAACATCTGTGCTGCCATCCACAGTGGGATCTTCAGATGCTGTGCTGCCCACACCTGCACCATAGCCTGGCTGATCGCTGTGAAAGCCCTTTTGAGTACTTGCAGCATCTCTGGGCTCATCCTCCGAGGTTGTGTGGCCACACAGGGAATCAGCGCTGTCTGCGAGGGGCTCGCTCTTGGGCGCAGATCTGGGCCGCGGCGAGGGAGAGCAGTCCTGTGCGTGTGCTCCTGTCGCCACTGCCTGAGTTACAGCGCCTGTGGTCGGCGGTGCCGCATCGCTTCTGTCCTGCTGTTTCAGGATGGAAGCTTTGGCAAAGCGCTGCGCGTACCCAGGGTATTGTCCGCTCAAGCTTGGTCGTTTCTGTGGGCTTACGCTGACTGGACGTGGCTTCATTGTCTCGATATAGCCGTTCTTACTTTGTGGCTTGCTGCCCTGTGAATTACTGGCGTGCCCTGGCACAGCAGGCAACCCTCACAGATTCATGCTCGACTTCAATGTCGCAGAAGGTTGGTGATGTCCTGAGAACCGCAAAGCACTCGCTTCAGTGCACTGACAAGTTGCTGCAGAGCGGCTCTGGTATGCCTGGCAGAATGATGAGTACAAATAGGAAGGTTGCTGTTTCAATGACTCAAGGGAAATAAACAGACTGCCATTTACGTACCTCATTCTCTGGCTGCTCAAGAGAAGATAGGGTAGCGTTCCAGGACTATGAACCAAGATTGTCCCTGTCCCTTTGCTCGTAGACCAGGTCCGGAGGGCCAAAGTCACATCGTGACACCCAGTCTTCCTTTCGGGTGCCCATCTGAGCATCGACGCACCGCAGAATCAGTCTCATGATTTTGAATACTGAATAATCCAGCGAATGTCGACTCCTCGGCCCAAAAAATGCAGTCAACCATATTTCCGCCGAGACACGTTTGTGCATTAAAAAGGTCTGCGCAACTCAATAATTCAGAATGGATCGTTACGATGGCTTGCCGAAGACGAGAGGCAGCCCGAAAACTCCAAGGGTACGGTGTTCACCTTCCAATTCTCTCCACGATGTGATTCGATTGGCCAGCATCGTCCTGGATTCCCAGTCTGTTCCCTGATAATCCAAAGGAGGACACAATGTGACTTTAAAGGTTGGATTCGGTGCAAGTCCGCAACATCGAATTCAGGAGGGATATGATAGTGGCAGAACAATCCAAATATCGTGAATCCCTTGACCGGGAGGGAACGCGTTGCGCAGGTCTCATAGAGAGGCGGCTTCAACGCTGGAGAGTGTTGCAAAGGCCAGCAGGATCCTGGCTTCACATCAGAAGCAGATCTTGGCACAATGGGAAAGGCCGGAAAGGGTACCGGAAGTTTTGGTGAGTCCCTGCTTTAGTGCAATCGATTTGCCTACAGCTCGATGAAAAATAGCACTTGCTGAGTTTTGGTCGCTTGATGTCATGCAGGTAAGCGCCACAACAAGACACACACTCTGTGCAGACGTTGTGGAAGGCGGTCTTTCCACATCCAGAAGAGCCGCTGCTCATCATGTGCTTACCCAGCAGCTCGCATCCGCAAGTGTATGTTCCAGCGCTCCATTTTACCCACAATTATCTTGGCTACATGAATTTTAATGCAAGGGACTACTTGAAGTGTAGAAGCGGTTTTCCTTCTTTGATCATGCATACCTGGTTTCAGACTGTGTCCTCTTGTTACTGGAGGTTGGGGGCAAAGGATTTCAGGGGACAAGGAAGTTAGTTCGGGACTTGATACTGGCCCTTAATTGTATATCAGACGTACTGCGTGCTTGTGTCGTCGGTTCAGTGGATTGAATTGTGTATGGCTGTCTGCAGATAACTGGAGCCAGAAGGCAATCCGCAGGAAAACAACAGGAACTGGCCGTATGCGCCACCTCAAGGTCGTGCTCCAGAAGTTCAAGAACGGCTTCAGGGAGGGTGAGTGCAATACCATAGCCACATTGCCGCCAGCATTCCCTTGTGTTTTTCTGGGAGGTTCCTCTGCTCTACCGGTGGCGCTCGCTGTTATTCATCGAGCAGGATGACCAGCTGTGCCAAGTGTGTGTGGAGCAAGTGATTGATGTTGTGCGCTGTTCCTGTTGCGCAGGTACTCAGCCTACCCCCAGGCCTGCAGCTACTTGATTCCACTGGATTAAAATGGACACAGTGACAGCAATCTAGCAGCAGCAGCTCACGTGAGGGAAGGGGTTTGGACTCCATGGAATAGAGTGTGTGGACAGCCACTATCTGCTGTATTTGCCGTGTCACGGCAGCAGCGGATTTGGGGAACGTACTGACCTGGGTGCATCAGTCAAGGTCTGACACTGGGCGAGCAAATCTCTTCTTTGGCGGTGATGTACCCTGGAGATGGTTGCGTTTCTCTTGTGGCCTGACTCAGCATTGGATGCTGTCAATCCAAATCTGTAAACAAGTGCATCTTCATCGATCGATGCTTTACGCATGCTAGTCACAAGGTTTGATCAGAAGCGGCATGCCATGGAATCAGTGATTTCACATCATGATCAGTTCCCAAAGTTTGGGACCCAAACCATGTTCAGTTCTGCATCTTTGACACTTGCTCCCAAAATGAGGGAAGAGACCCTCAGCTGTTCTAATAGCAAAGCCAAGTTCTGTGGTCCGGCAGGACTTCAGGTTGCAGGCTGTGGGGAATGATCTGTTTCTGCATTCACCCCCCATTGGGCCACATCGGCAGGCTGCTTCAGAATCCCTCTGCTCAATGCTGCCTTGCTGTTGCAGCAAAGCTGGCATGCTGCACCTGATTGGGTGTATGCAATGACAAGAGCCAGTGGCACTTCATTGTCACAACTCCTTTAAACAGTCACACGTACCTGAAGCCACGGCCCCACCGGGTGGAGTGCTCGCGAATCTATTCATGATCAGCTGCATGCGCATGCACTGGCAGGTGATCATCGTGGTCATGGTCATGGTCATGAGGCATCCAAAGAGATCCTTGTCCGTGCAACATGTCAGTATGAGCTGCTCTTCACTTCACAGCAGTTCTGGACCTGAGAAAAATGTGGTCCCCAGGTCTTGCATGCGATCGTAGGGGTGACCTAGTGAGTCGACCCCGTTCCCACGTGCTTTGCAGAAGTTTCTCGAAAATCGAGCAAAGAACCATTTTTCTTGTCGTGTGCGCCCTCTGATTCGTCTGGTCGGCCTTGTTAGACAACAAGGCACGAGGACTGCGGCAGAGGGGTGCATTGGAATAGGTCGCTGCAAGTGTTGTACATCGCCACACCTATGTAGATCTGCCTCAAAGTCAAGGGCTGAGCAGGTCTTCACTCGAAGCGTGGCCATCATGGCGGTGTTCCGCCAGAAAAGGAAGAACATGGAGGAGCCTCCACAGCCCTTCGCCTTGGAGACGAGTGGAAGCTGTGCTTCGACGCTGTCAGGTGTGGAAACCTTCGGCGCTGCAAAGCGGAGGAGAACGGATCAGGTGAGCACTCAGTGGCTCATGATTCCCTACATGACAGCAATACTTCATGCATGAAGATGCAGCCGGAAAGGGCGGCATGTACGTTTTCTGCACGGCAGATGTCTTTTGAACGTCTAGGGTTTCTTGTGGTTAACAGGACAGAAAATATGGTGTGCCCGTCAATACTGAATTGAGAGTAGATTTGGGTAGATTGGTGCTTTTGTGGCTCCGGGCGCCCTTGATCACGGGTGAGAGCGTGCAGTACGGCGCTGTCCCAAATTGCGCTTGTAATTTGCTGACTGGCGTGCACTGCTACAGGATTGTTCAATGAGCGGCCAGGAAATCCATCAGCAACAACCAACTTACTCAAATAATTTCTATTTCGGGCAGCAGCACCACCAGGTTTGGCGCTGGGGACTCCACTATGTCATTTTCTGTCATCGTTGAAATATCACTGTCATAATCATTTCGGCCGTGCAAACGTAAACGATGAAAATAGTAACATGTTTTGTGATGCAGACTACGTCGCCTGTGCTCGATCACACTCTGTCATCGCCTTTGCATCCCTCCACGTCACTTGCTGGAAGCAGTTGCGGGTTCACATATGCCATGGACTCCGCAGCTTCACCACAGCCGTCAACATCGGGGCCTCAACAAGGTGTGCATTCCTGGAAGAAATACAAGCACATGTCTGTGCAGTAATGATGCTCCATGCTCTACATTTGCCACAAGTGAAGCGATTATGGACCGCTTTGTGCTCCTGCAGCCTGGGGCATGTCAGAGCAGAAACCTGCTGGTAGCCTTGTCAGCGGAGAGAGCTTTCAGCATAGCAGCGCTGGGGAGCAGATTGAGGTGGCCATGCAGGCTGGGACTCCACATTCTCAGGTGTGGCATCAACACAGCTGTCCCCATGTCCTGTCCAGTGTTATTGAGGGTGCCCGAAGCTCTCTCTTTGTGGATGACATAATTGCTGCTGTGCATGTGCAGGCACAACCAGCATCACGCTTTGCTTTCCAGCCGGGTCTGCCCCTGAACCGCAGCAACTCAGCGCCAGACCTTCGGATTTTGCTCTCTGGCCCCTTCAATGCAGTCCCTCAGGCAGTTCTGCATCAGCAGCCCCCTCCCTTCGGCGGTTCCTCCACAGCCTTTGCCCTGGTTCCTTACAAAGCGCCCGAGGTATGGGAACTGTTTAGCTTGTACTGCTGTCATTGAAGTGTGCTGGATCCGAATTGCTGCACACTATTTTGGGCCGACCCGGGCCAGAGGAGTGGGGAATACACCTATGGCATGCCAACATCTTGATAGTGGGCATCCTCTTCCGTGATTTTCCCTTGATGTCCTGCAGGGGAGCATGCTTTATTAAGACAGCATTTGGCCACCAAGACTGGCCCGGGTACGCCATAGCCCCAGCAAGCTTGATGTTGTTTTTTCGTCGTGTGGATTGTGATAAATTAGTCTGAATCATGGCCTTTTAATGATCTTTCGGTGTCTGACAACGTGCTGGCATGCTGCAGGAGGTGGTTGCAGAGGCCTGCCTGAACAATCAGAGATTGAAAGTGGAGAAGATCCTGGCTCAGGCAAGGAATGAGGGGTTCGTTAGGCAGAGTCACAACGACTCCCCAGCGCTCGAACAGGAAAATGGCTCCTCTGATCCGGCAGTGCCACAAAATGTAGACCTCACCTGCCTGCCGTCAGTTTTGCATGCAGCATCTGGTCGGGTGGCCTGCATTCCACCCGCAGCAGCAGCCTCCAGCTGCCTGGAGAATAACACTGAATACGATGATGAAGCGGACCGCATGGAAGAGGACTAGGAGGCGGTGATCGACTGATCGATAAGCAGGGAATATTTCGCGGAATGTTTTAGCCAATGTGCAGGGTTAAGGTGGCAGAGACGGCAGCATCATGAAGCCATGATCAAAGTTTTGGCAGCATCTTGTACATGTTCTGCGGACAATTTTGCTGCGTGGTCCCCTGCGAATATTTATTTTGGCGCCGGCATACTGTGCTGTGAAGCATCAGTTTGGGGGCCACAATGTGCTTGTGGACGCATGGTTACAATGCGGATAGTGTTTGAAGTTTCAGCGAATGTCTGTAGGCTTTGAATGCTTTGCTATTTTATTTGGAGGGTATCTATACATCAACTTGGCTGTCCTTGGTATAATAGCAAGAAAGGAGGTCATGTCATTCACTTTGCGCAAGTATTGGGGGTTTGGACTAGGTGCTGCGCAGTGTAAAGCAGTCAGAAGGGTCAGGTCCTGGGTGGTAAAGGATCACCAGAATATCGTCATTGCACAGTACCTCTGTGTGTCTCGATAGGTTATGAGCGCTAGGGCATCAACACTGGACACCGAATGGGATGTGTCTGTTGGAAATGAGTAGCAGAGGAGTAATTGTTTATTCAAGAGTGATGTAGGACTGTCGCTGTGGAATAAAAATATTGCAGTGAGTGATGTTATCAACCTGTGACCGCCTGTGAGCTTTGAGCAACCTCCAAAATTGTCTGGTCGCCCGCTGTGTAATGGTGAAGGGGAAGCCCTTGAAATTCTTTCACACTACCTTCAGTTGCACAGTTCACCTTGCACTGCATGCCATGCTATCACATGTGAACAGGCACTCTCATGCTTGCATGCAGCCACCAATACTGTGATCACACCAGAGTTTTCTTAGCACTGGCCACCTAATATTGGTTACCGTACTGATACCTATACTAAACCCACAAGTGCTCCTAATAATAATCATCCAATGCCTAGAGACGCATGTGCCACACACATTACTCAATGGCTCGACATTTTATCGGACTGTAGAGCAGGCTCAAAAATGCAATGAAACTGTGAAAAGACATGTACGCCTGAAGCTCAGCAAAATGATTGGAGGAGACCCGCATCCTTGAGGCAGTTTAGGCATGCTCCTCCACATGTGCAAGCCAGTGGGTGCTCGTCCTGGCTAAGCAACTTGCGGACGGAGTCAATATGCCGCCAACCTACATCTTCGAGCGCCCTCCAACTTTTTGAGGACGCCCTAAAAGCAGCCAATAGATCATCCAATGTAGACTTCGTGCCTATGCTAGGCCGGCCTGTCACTTCAAGGACCACCATCTGCTCAGTCAGAAGGGTAATGTCCTTGATAAACAGTCCAGTAATGACTTGCACATCAATGCTGAGCCTCCGCAGCCGCAGCAAGGCATCAATTCTGAGCGACAACTGGGTGCACGATATGTCCAACACACGCAAGTTTGGCATTGCGCCGCTGATGACAAGTGGACAACCCATTATGCCCACGCCACCACCACCGGTCTCTATCTTCAGAAATGTCAGCCAGGGACATGGGAAGCTGAAAGTAGACAATTTCAAAGTCAAAATGCTCATACACGCGGCAGTGCATATCTGGCCGTAGCTTGCCCACCGCTGCAAGCTGAGCTTGGCAGCGCAGTGGAGCATTATCCAGGAACCCTCTGGCGCCCCTATCAACTCCTCAGGCGCAACATACACAAAGTGGGCGGCCCTCAGACTGCGGCAGCCAGACAGATCCAGGGCTGGCATGCTCGAGGGACTCCACTCCCTGCCACCAACGTTGCTGAGAGTTTCCAACTCCTTCAGTCCTTCTATGCATGAGCAAACCTGGCTGGACAACTCATCTCTGATGTTCAGCACAAGGTGTCGTAAGTGGGACAAGGCAGGGAGCCCGTCAATGCTCCATGCACTGAGGACTAGCCTCTGCACCCTCCAGGCCCCTGTGAGCATGATTTCAAGCCATGTTGGCCTATCGTAGAACGCATCAGCAAGGCCTCTGATACACAGTTCAACAATTCTGGTAAGCCACAAGGACTCTGCTCCTCTATCCAAGACCTCACATAGCTCGGAGCTTCCAACATCCAACATATCTAGATTGAGTGACACGGCTTCTGCCCGTTGCCAATGCTTGGTGTACCAGCACACAGCAGCCATGTTCCGAGGGATCACATCCATCCGCCTTGGTTGGACTCGAGAGAATCTTTGACAAGCTCCAGATGCTCGGGCCCAGTCGACGCTAGGCACAAACCCTGCAACACGTTCCAATAGCTCCTCTGGCAGGTCGTGCAGCATGCTTGCAACCACCTGCAATCAACAAGATCGACAATCAAAAAGTAACACGTGAAGGTCAGGCTTGATCATTCATAAGCAGTCCTCAAGTGTGAAGCACTGTTGATCAAGACTAGATGGCACCTCACTCTGAAAGCTGATGGCGCGCCTCGATACTTGGCTGTTCAGGAGCAACAAGCGTAGAGAGCGCTCGATCATGCAAAGGCTGCAATAAGACACTGTTTGTGTGTTGCAGCTTGCGTTCCTCATGCAAGGTGTCCTGCAGCTGCCCATTTGGGCAGGAGTGGGCGCTGACTCACTCGAGGATTGCGATTGACCATCATCGCATGTCAGCGAAAACTCTTCAGCTGTCATTTAAGCAAGTCTCAATGCTGGACTGAGCAGTTACGTCTATCCCATGAGAGATTGCATTGGCAATTTGGCCTGACTGGTGCAGCACTCCTCCGCGATGGTGCAGCACAATCTTGGGACTGCTATCGAGGCAGCTAGAGTTCCCTATTGGAGTGCAATTCGCATTGTCCCAGCAAATACTGCTGACTTCTCACCGCTCAAGAATTTGCATGGCGCAACGGCCGTGACACCGCTGTTCCGCAACAAGCGCCACCTTCAACGTTCACATCCCTCGGCGCGAAACTTGGTGGTTTCTTACCAGAAGACCTTTGTGGCACCCCTTCGAGGAGCAACTTTCACACTACCAATCGATCACACCCAGGTAAATCTACACGAGAATCACATGAGATGTCGATTCCTGCGAAACATCCATCAGAGGCACTGATGGCAGCCTCTGCTATCTGCAGAATGACATTGGCGATGTTCCATCATACCTGCTATATGTGCAACAAAAAATAGCATGGATTTGGATTAGCGACATGACCACAAGACGCAGCTAATAAGCAATGGACGAATGGTCCTTGTTTTCTCATCAGCAGCACGAAACTCCACCTGTACATTGATTTAATGCTTTCGGTATCAACAGTTGATTCAATACCTCCGATGTGGACCCTCGAAAAGGTGCTCTTTCTGATCTGCTCTTTTCAGATGGATTGATCCTTGTCTCACTTTGTGCAGCTGCTAGGCCTGAGGGGTCGCGAAACATACCTGGACCCTCAGATCCTTGGTGCTTATGAGGCCCTGGCAGCGGCGCCTATTGAAGAAGGATTCAGTGCGCGGGCCGCAGAGGGCCGCACATGCTTGCTGCAGGCTGCTGTGGATGAGTTGCGGCGCAGCAAGGGCAGGGGCACCATCCAAGAGAGGGCGGTCGACATCGAGTGGGCCCTGCTGCCTGGCGCACTGGCCCTCCTACAAGAGGTGCAAGCATGCCACCTTGATTGCTCAGCATCCAAGGCCGCACCCTCTTTGCTCCAGCTGGGTCCCGTTCTGCTGTGCTGACTAGGAACACAATGATCCACAGGTGGGGGAGTGCGACATTGTGCTGGAGTATGGCAGCAAGGCCCTCGAAAAGTGGGAGGCTCGGTCGATGAGAAGGGACGTTCTCTTTGCGATGGCACTGGCACACCTGGGCCTGGCTTCGGATGCCCTGGAAGCCAAGGAAAAAGTATCCCATCAGCCTCACCTTTGCTCATTAAACCGCTCCCAACCTTTCCTCAGTATACAGCAGAGAGCATTGAGCAGTGTTGTTCACAAGTGCAGTTGCACGCAATAAGCTTTACTGCTTATCTTCGGGACAGTTTCAAGCAGTGCTGCTGACAAGTGCAGTTGCATGCATGGATTCCACTACTCACTCCCCGGGTGCCTGGTGGCTGCAGAAGGTGGCTCTGGGCTCTGCGCACCTGGAGGAGGCACTATGCCTGCTGAAGGATGCAGGCCAGCCGCCCGTGTCCCCCATCCTGGAGCAGGAGATCCAGGAGGCCCTCGCGGACTTCAAGCCAGACTGCACCCTGGAGCACCTCAAGGTGATTACCAATGGAGCTGCCCCCATTCCCTGCATTTTCCCTGCATTTCTATCAACAAGTTGCCATCTAGTATAAAACCTATTCTTTTACAGAGATCAGCCAGGCAGGAAGCTCTAAAAGGACTAAATTTTTAGAGAAAACAGTCTGGATCAGAACCAACTGCAGTCTCAAGGCAGGAAGGCGCCGCGCTGAGTCTTCCAATGGTCCACACTGTCACTGAGCAGCATGTCTGGGGTGTGCAGCTGCCGCTGGATGGCGAGCATGCGAACACGCGCAAGGCGGCCATCGCGGTGCTGCAGGCCATGCTGGCGCAGCCAGAGCTTGCCACGCGCCGCGACGGCTCCCCGGCCGTCACCCCCGACTTTGTGCGCACGGCATTTGCGCGCCTGACCGGCCACGAGATGGTGCAGCTGCTGGACTGGGCAGATGTCGCACCCACAACCCCCCAGCTGTCATGGTACAAAAGCTGCTGCCACTCCGCCACCCTCCTTTATGTCATAGCATGGGGGTTGTCCCACTCAGTGTGAAGCCCTGGGGAGCAGGGTACAGTGGGTGACATCGATTGGAAGGGGGTGGAAAAGGGGTGGCTGAATCTCAGGGTAATGTGTGCACAGGGCGTACCCTGGCATGCTGGAGAAGGCGGCTCTGGCCCACATTGCGATCGGCTTCGCGCAGAGGCGGCCGTCCCTTGTCCGCTTGGCAGAGAAGATGGTGGCGTATGCCCCGGTGGGTGTTCCATCCAATCTGCTCAGACGGACCTAGCATGCAAATGAAGCTGATTTCAAACTGCACCAACAGCATGAAGAAGAAGTCATGGTGAGTGCCCACAGTAAGGACAAATTACAAGACCTTGACATATGAGCATTGTAACTATGATCCCAGGAAAACAGTGCTCTTGTGGAGAGGGTGGTCGCCAAGTCTCTGCTGGATGCACCAGAGGAGGCGGTGCAGCTGTTGCTGGATGCAGAGCGACGGGGGGACCTGCGGTGCGTGTACCTTACAGTCTTTTTTCTCAGACACCATGCCAATCAAACGTGTTCCTCCTATGGCAGAGCCTCTTCAGAAGTCTTCTCGTGCTGTCTTGACGGGGCTTGCATGTGGCCCCATTGCAACTTGCAGTCAGTTTGTGAGAGGCAGCTTTGCTACGCATGTCTTGACATGTGGCATGCAAGGAAGGTGTGCAAGCATGCAATTTTGTGAGACTGTGATGGGCATGCAGGTATGGCAGGCAGCCTGATGCCAGCAGCAGCGCGGGTGAACCCAGCAATGGTGCCGCGCTGAACGGTTCAGCTCCCTTCCTGGGCCAGATCAAGCAGCCTGATGGCAAGGAGGCGCTGGCCTTCATTCGCGCGCACTCCCCAGATGGCGACCAGGACCTTCTGCTGGGTCTCTGCCAGTTCACAGAGAGATGGTTGACGCAGGTGTGGTTGCTGCTGCCAGACTCCAGGAGCAGTGATAGACTTGTTCAGATCTGAGAAGTGCATGCATGCACCCTGCAAGCCTAGTATCCGTGGAAGGCAGCTTTCCACGTATTTTGGTGTGTGTGAGGGGAACTGAATTGATCTGCATTCAGGTGGCATTCCCGCAGTTCAGGGACACAGCAGACAAGAAGCCCTCACCCTCATTGCATGCGTACTACGAGGTGCGCTGCCCCAACCCTGTCTTATTCTGAGTACACATTACACAGGACATATTGCTTTGCCCTGTCCTTCTCTTTTGTTCTTTCTCTTATTCAACATGCTGTTGTGTGCAAGGCTACTGTGTGGTCAGCCGACAGATCATTACTTCCTGACTTCCCATGAGACCGTGGTCCTGCTCATAGGACAAGGATGTGTTGAGTGCCCTGCCATCCATCAAAGCGGATGGTTTGGATCCAACATCTTTTGATCGAGAAGTAAAGTCAACAGAGGTTGTTATCTTTCTCAAATTAATATCTCCCCATTTCTGTTTATAATTCCACTCGTGCTCTCCCTCTTTTTGCGCTTTTCTATGTTCTGTTGACAATTTTTGTGACTCTGCATAGAACCGTCAATCTGTCCTGACTGAGACCAGTGCTTGAGATTCTGAAAGCTTACAAAACAGTGTGGCATGATCCAAAGTTGCAAAGCGAAGTGGACAGCTTCACTGTGTGCCCCTGCTTTGCAGGACAAGCGCGTGACGAGTTTCCTGGCGCTGCGCGGGGAGGAGGCGAAGGGCATGCTGGGCAGGGTTGCCAGCTTTGGCGATGGCATGGCTAGCTCCCTGGGCCGCCTCATGCCCAAAAGCCCCCAGAAAAACGCCGCCCGCCAGGACAGTGCTGCCAGCGCCCCTGCCAGACAAGCCGGCGCCAAGGTGTGGTCAATCTGACATCACCCGTCAGTCACACTGCTGCCATGAAGCAGAGACTTTAAGTAGCCCCAGACATCCAGCAGATGTCATTGCAGCGATTTGCAAGCCATCAGAAATGACTGGTACTTCTGCTACTGTTGATGTGTGTAAAGAGGAGCTGAAGCATTCTGGTTGAGGACACAGTCAGGTCAACTACAAGCTTGCTCTCGGCGCAATAGATATAGTACTGCAGGGGCTGTTGCCAGGTTGCCCGTCCATGCATCCTTCCATGTCTCACCACTACAGAGGCAAGAGGCAAATGTTTGCAGGAGACTCGGCTGCCAGATCTGGCGTCAGCCACAATCCAGAGGCGGCAACGCGGCTGGCTGCCCGGCTGGCTGCCCTCTCCGGGCGCAGGGGCGGCCGCCTTCATGGGCTTTGCTGTACTGCTCGGCGCTGTTGCTGCTGCGTCCAGACTGCGCCCTTCACCCAAACCCCTCCAAGTTTCATCGCTGTAAGCATCCAGCCAGGCTCATTCTGCCACCCTGCATCACAATCTGTATCTCCTGAGACATGGTATTTTACCTTCCAGGACAGCATTGAGATGAAAAGTATACATGCACACGTGTGCAGGCCAGGCACGTCGGTTGCCACGGAAGCTGTGGTGGAGCGCATGAAGTTCCCCTGGAAAAAGATCTCCAACCAGGAGCTGACTGTCAAGAAAGCAGAGCAGATCGTCCGCAGGTGGCAGGTGTGTCCCTGACCTTGATTACGGTTGCAATGCGATTAAAAGGGTCACATACCTCTTGAGCAGACTGACATGATGCCTACTCCTGTGATTGGATGTACTTCCACAAGGAAAGGCAGGACAAACATAAATCTTGTGATGCAGGCGGCAAAAGCAGATGTGCTGGGGCCGCGGCACAGCACTTCAGCGCTGCAGAGCACAATTGCAGAGCCCTGGATGTCGACCGTGAAGGCTGACGCAGCCAAGGCGCAGGAGGCCGGCTGGTTCTGGCAATTCACCATCAACTCCGTCAAGGTGCGCACCTCTCACACCTTTGTCAAGCGGCCACGCACCCCCATCCTCTATGCTTTTCATTAGACGAGATTCCAGCCTCTATTGGTACAATGCTGGGCCATCATCTGGTAACAAGACATTGTCAGTCATACTATGAGAGAAGGCAGGCATGGGGACAGTATGAGCGCGAACGTAGGGCGAATATGCTGCATCACAGGTGCAACAAGAAGCATTGCTGAGTGAAGAAATCTCTAAGGCCAGGCCATCGCCGGTTGTAGCAACATTGAGTCTTTTGTGCGCAGGTGCTGAAAGTGGACGCGAGCAACCTGACGGAGAACGGGGGCCACGCAGTCGTGAGCGCCTGGATCGACGAGAAGGGCGACCTGTACGCAAACTCCGGCAAGCGCTCGGAGCTGCACAGCTACTCCAACCCCTACACAGTGGAGTACACGGTCATTCGCGGCCCCGACGGCGGCTGGCGCATCAACCACGCCCTCGTCACCGGCGGCAGATGATGGGCCGTTTTGGGAGAAAACTCCCAAGCGCATGCTGAGCACAAATGCAGCATCTGCGCCCTTGTCTGAATAGGTCGAAGCTAAGGCGTGCAGCCAAAAGTGGTGCTTGCTCCTGTCTCTCATGGGGACCCTGTTGTGTGGCAAATCCAAAAGTGGGTTTCCTTGGCAACATAACTGATGCAGTCCTGGAGTAACCGGCAATGGCTTCGATCTTTGACTTATTGTTCTGTTTTCTGTTGCTGGGGTGGGTTTGAAGATGCGTTCGGGGACATCTTAGCGCTGAACTATATGAGTTACTGCAGGCAACGCGACTGCAAGGCATTGTTTGTTATTTGAAGCAGACTCCCGCACTTGCACGGTGTATTGGTTTTGTCAGCCTTTGAAGTTTGAAGCTGTATTGACGATCTGTACATAATTAATAGTGGCATTGTCGACATCAAAATGATCATCGACAAGCAACTTCCGAGGCCGTGACCACGAGGCCATTCATGTGCATGCAGTGCCTGACTTTAAACCTGCAGTCAGCTAATTCCTAAATGACAGACACCAAGAAGAATTCAAAGTTTTTTTGAGTTGATCGAAGGGGCCTGTTCAACAGTTTAGCCAAAAGGGAATTCGGGATCTTGGACAGTGCAGTATGCCTGCAGAAAATTGGGGGCACCGGTCATCGCATATCTGTCAAAGGGCAAATCGAGAAAAAGAAGATTAGGAGAAGAGAGATGGAGTGCATGCATGCTAAAGGGATGAAGCCAAATCTGGCTTGTCATCTCACTGCCGTCTGAGCCTTCCAGAAGCTTTTTTAAGGAAGCCAGATCAAAGATCATCGAAACTTCAAAAAGCGTTCTTTGCATCAATTGACTCTCTCTATAAGGAGCAGGCTTTTAACCCTTGGGATGGCGCACTTGGCGTGTTCGACTTCTGTATCATGCAGCAAGAACCTTTGCAACCCGTTGCCCTCTCGGAGTATTACTTTGCCCTCAAGAGCGGCAAGATTTCAGCAACATGCAGCGGATGCAACTATTTTGAAGACACAAAGTGCGTCACTTCCATGACCCCAATTTCAAGAAATAATTGCTGAAGTTTGGGACCTTTACTATGCACCAAAGAAGATGAAGCTCGAGCTCAGATGCAATCTACACAGCATATGAGCTTACTTGGCCAATTTTAAACAGTAAATGTTGATGCAGGGCGAGGATCAAGGTTCGGCAGAGTCTGCAGAGCTGCTGCAGTCCTGGATGCCCCTGCTTCTCTTGACGTGACGAAGGTGGGATTACATTGAGCAAAATAGCAATGGAGTCTTTTGTGTTCTGATCTTGCTTTGCCAGATTCTTCAATGCATACGGACTTATCTATCTCTCCTGCTTGCAGATGGAACCCCTGGGTGACAGAATCCTCGTTAAACCTCAGGAAGAGAAATCGGTAATCGCCTTGATTGACCATGCCTTTGCTGAATGTTCTGCTCTGCAACTGTCTGAAGCACACAGAACATGCATGTTGGCAACGGTGAAGCAAATTTGGTATTTGATATGGACTGCTTGATCCGAACAGGTGACAGAGGGCGGACTCATGTTGACCGGAGGCGCCACAAAAGCAATCCAGGATTCCTACATTGGCAAGGTCCTGGCGAAGGGTTCAGAGGTGGACATCGAGGTTAACGTGGGCGACACTGTCATCTTCTCAAAGTACAATACTACTGACGTGAAGGTGCCTGATGGCGAGGTCATGTTTGTGGCACAAAAAAGCGTTATGGCTGTGTTGAGCTGAGCATCATGAACGCATCTGCTTGACTCTTCTGTAAATGTATGTCATACGTCAAACCAGCGCAAAAGACAGGAACAGTCCGATGGATTCTATCCGATTATATTTGCACGCTGCACCTCATGATGGCCCTTCGAAGAATCATAGCAAACAGAATCATTACGACTCTACATGTCGCAATGCTTACTCACAGACATAATCCATGACAACACTACATATTCACTGCAGCTACGGGCCCTTGGCCATCCGACAATTTGTTGAACCTTGGATCCCTGTGGCGTATGACACACTCATCATGCATGGACAAAAGTGCTCTCATTACCACGTCTAGCTCCGGCCACTACCCTCAATACAGCCGCTGCCTGAGCACGCACAGCGCCTGGTCGGGGGTCAGGCGCGCCACTCTCAGCGCCTTCAACTGCGCAGTACCGTCCTGGGGTGACATGGCAGCCAGGTTGGCGGCGATTGAGGCGGCCTGGTCTGCGTCTAGAGTCAGCAGCGTGCATGCCTCGGCCAGCTCGCGCAGGTACGCGGCCGGGCGCGCTGTGTACGGCTGGAACACTGCTATCAGCCCCGATACATCCGTCTGGAACTGGCTTGCCCCCTGCACATCAAAAGTTCTGCCTCTTGACTGTCCCCAACTGAGTCTTGACATTACTGATATTCCATATGGAGGCCAGAGTGCATGATAAACTTGCCCAGGAAGCAGTGGCTATTGCCGGCCTACATGCCCTTTACGCCCAGCAATTCCAAGTAACGCTTGCCACAGCAAAGCACCAGTCAATGCACCTGGCAACAAGACTCCCTTGTGTCCCTAACACAAAATGGCCAGAACTACGAGTCTAGCAAGCGCCTGTGTAAGATGTCCTGAATCTTTACTGCTCTGGAGATTCTCTGGCAGCTCAGGCATAGGGCAGGCACTCACCTCGGCAGAGAAATGCGCTTCTGTGGCAACATCATTGAACATGGTGCGCGTGATGGCGATTGCTGCGGCGCGCCAGGTGTCAGAGAATACCACGGCGTCCAGGCTGGCGCTCAGAGTCTGCAGCGAGGCGGACAGAGCCTCCAGCGCAGGCTGCAGCCGCGGCGATATCTCACCATCCCTGCATGGCAACGCAGGAATTAGATCACGAGAGCGCCGCTTGTTTCAGTTGCTTGCGCAGAAGCCGAAGCTCACAAAATGTGAGCAAGAGGACCCTGTCACCCCTGATGCTCCTATGGCTGAGGGCGAGGAGCATCAGGGGTGGCAATAACCTTTCTATGATCCACAGCACTAATAGCAGGAAGGCACCCTCTGCCATTTCGCCTTCAATGACCGCATGCTCGTTGCGCCTGAGTGGCGCAGCCCCTAATGGGGTAGCCAGCTAGCATGTGTACAGCTGCTAGCCCATCACAGCACAATGAAAGCAGATGCGTCCCAGAATTATCACTGTCACCTGCGGCCGGAGCCATGCGATGCAAATTGCTCAAAGTTGGTGCGCTTGCGGTAGCCGGACGTGGCATCGCTGAAGGTGGTGGCCAGAGACTTGGCCAGCCTCAGGGTCCACTTCTGCTTGAAGGCCGAAAAGGCCTCTGCTTTTGTCGCCAGCACGCTGCCCCTCCCATGGCCCTCAGACGAGTCTGCATAAAAGAAAAGGCCTACTTCATCAATCCATGCCCAAGAACTGTGCAGTAATTTCTCGCTTGTCACTGGCAGGCTTCACATGATATGCATGTTACCCGTGGCTGCGTGTCTCACGCCTTGTAAAGCTGACAATGGTTTCCTTTCATGCCACTTGCAGGCTACACGTGACATGCATGCGTGCCTGGCTGCTTGTGTCCCACGCATGAAGAGGCAAATCGGGATATTCTTGCAAATCACCACTTTGCCTCACATGACATGCATGCATGGGTGGCTGCATGTGACTGACAGTCAAAGAAGTGCGCACCTTCAAGGTCGAGCAGCAGCAGGGGCCCGGCGGCTTCCTGCAGGGAGTGGGCCAGCCAGTGCGCGGCGTTGATGTAGGCGCCGATGCGCGGAGCCCAGCCGGGCGAGGCCAGCGCTCGGAAGTCCTCCGCCACCTTGGCCAGCCGACTCAGCCGCGACTGCAGCTTCCGCAGCACCTCCTGCACAAGCCACCAGACACACCCACTGCAGACCCTTCCCACAACATCGCAGCCTCACACCAAAGACAGAAAATGGCCACATTCATTCCACGTTTGGGAGATCCACACAGAAATTGTAGACCTCATATATATCCCGGCTACTGCATCATACATTTCCGGACTCTCCACCCAGAAGCTGCTCCAGCAAGTATGCTGAAAAAGAGCACCTTCATTCCATTCTTCGACTCGAGGATGCCTGCAATGGAAAGGCTACCAAGTGAAGGCAGTGGGAAGGTTGGGGGGTGAGATGAGGCACCTGTGGGACGGCGATTGCGAACTGGCGCCGGGCGGTGGAGTCCGCCAGCCACGCGCACTTGCGCGCCAGGTCTGTCACAATTGCGAGCGCGCCCTCTGCGGCAGCCGGTGGCCAGAACTCTGACCGCCACGCCTCCATTGACCTGCGATCAGCGCACGCTTCATGCACCCATCAGCATCTATGCTCAACTGCCATCAGACACAACATAAAGCAAATAAAAAAGAGGGACACGATCACTTCAGCATCATGAAGCTTGCATTGCATTGAAAGAAGGACAATGTAAAACTTGTATTGCAAGCTCAGTGGAATCTATTGGGTTGCTATCGGTCGGCATGAGATGCCTTGCAGCCTGCTCTCTGCACTCTGTACCCCTCAAGTGTCATGCTTCTAACTGCGCATGCGCATCTCGCCTCGCCACCTCTACACAGGGATGACTAACATGTGGTGTGCTTGTGTGATTGTGTCGTGCAGCACTAATGGGATGTGCTCGCCTGGGTTCATCGTCTTCCATGAGGTCCATGCCGGGTTCTGTGGGTGCGCCCCAGGCGCTCGGGGCGGTCTGCCACGCGTCAGGGGCGTCCATGATCTCGTCTAGCTGCCGCACCGCCTCCTCCCTCTCTGCCGCCCACCACCCCGTGCTCCATGCCTGCACAATCCCCTCAACCTCTCAACCCTCGTGCACCTATCCTCAGGGGATACTATATCCAAGTGGCCCCCTGCTACTCTAGATATGGCCTGATCTCGGCTTGAACTCCTTCACGTGCTCATCAGCCAATGAGGAGAGACTGCAGCACAGTGTATAGTTCATGCATGTACAGTCCGGTGCAGCTGGATGTCAATCACCAGTGCAGGTCTAACATGAGAAGGAGGAAAGGCTCACAAGTTGGGTGGCAAGGAGTTCGAGGCAGGACCCCTGGTTCCAGGGCTCTGCTGTGCTCTGCATTAGCTCCGGGCTGGTCACGGGCATGGTCAGGCCACGCAGAGGGGCCAGGGAACGCTCAAAAGACACGGCCTGCTCCACCGCATGAAGCCACAGCGCTGTATTCGCCAGCTTCGCCAGCCGGGGATATACATGGTCTCGAAGTACGCCCTGCGCAGAATTCCACCAGCATGTCAAGCTTACATAAAAAACAACACACTTACCACTATTCTTTGCCCACAATTTGACCTTGCAAATTCCCTCGATAACAGTGCATTAAAAGTGCACATCCGCATGCATGCAAATAATGACATGGAAGAGACTGCATGCTGGAAAGCAAAGCAAAACTGATGAGATGGGCGCGCTCTATGCTCTAGGCCCACCTTGACAGCCCCCCTGATGGCGCGCGCGAACTCCAGGGGAACGTGGTAAACCTCCCCAAGGCCATGCACCTCCACAGCAGCCTGCAGGGGCGCGGTGCCGGGCGCCAGCTGGCGCACCAGCCGCAGCGCAGTCTCAAAGAGCCACTCGGGCCGGTCTGCGCGGTCCGTCGGGCGGCCGGCCGCGAAATGCGCGCGCAGCCGCTCCGCCACCGGCGCTGCGACCTCCTCAATCGCCCACAGCGCAGGGGCCTCCGTTTCTGCAGAGCTCTGGACGCCCTGTGCATGCATGCATGTCAGTGCAGGGGCTCCTGTTTCTGTGCGTGCATGTGCGTGCATGCATGGGAGTAGAAGTCAACGGACTCACCGCTTCAAATGACGAGCGCTGCACGGAGCGCTGCAAAGCAATGAAAGCAGCCGCAATCCTGTTCACATCGTCCAGCGCCTGCCATAGAAACAACACAATGTCAAGTGACGATTGAACCAGTGCACGACAAAGAAATTCTTGACATTCAAATAGCCACAGTAGTGTTGAAGCTGGACAAAGACATATGGTGAACATAGGCTGCATGCCTGTGGGTCTGCCTGAGTGAAGCCCTGCCACTCTTCTTCGCTGCTGTTCCTGCTGCTTGGGGAGGCCCCCGATCCCACAGTGACTGGCGGCGGCCACCCAACAGCCTCCAGCCGCTGCCTCAGCACCCCCCTCAGACATGTCACCAGCTTCTCCTGAGCACAGACAGCAGAACCTCGTCATGCCTTTTGAGGGAGCAATAGACATGCATGAGGCCAGCGTCACAATGTCCATGCATGCATGCAACATGCCGAAAGACCCTCGACACCAGCTACTTGCATGCATGGTGCATGGGTGTCAGGTGGCACCTGGGCACCAGCAGCTCTTGCCAGTGAGCCATCTGCGAGATCACAGAGCTGCACAGGCACCCCCGCAGAGGGCAGCTGCGCCACCGACTCACACTTCTCCGCCGCCGTCGAGTGGGCAGCCACTGCCTCAGAAACTCCAGACAGAAATGCCTGCAACATTATGCATTGTCAAAGCTGCACTTTCAAGAGGTCACTCTGAGCTAATGCATGCATGCGTTCTATGTTCGTTGTAGAATGAGCCAGATCAGAAGGGGTCATACCTTTAGGTCATTGGCAGCTGCTGCCCGCTCACAAGCACGAAGAAGCTTTTCCAGATGCTTTGTGATTGCCACAAGCTCCTGCACAATGGTTTTGTCCTATTATTTGCGTGCCCTATCTTGTCATTCTGCTGCTTGCGTTCACTGATACATGCATGAAAACAGATCCCTCTATAAGCACCTGCTAGGCTGCAGACATGAAACACACCCACCTGGAGGCTGTGAGCATATTTCTGGGCCCCTTCAATAGCATTCAGCTCCCCAGCCAGGCCGGCAGCATCCTGTGGCAAGCCAGGACCCACAGATGCTTCTGCCTGTCCGGCTGACGACTGCCTCAATCGATCCTTTTGCACCGCAGACTGGTGAGCTATGGCTTTCCTGACCTCAGCTTCCTTGTCCTGCAAGACAAAAATCCTTCCACATCATCACTCAATTCATGGGGACTGTTCCGCGGTGTGCTGTAAACAATGACAGCAGATGACCATGGAATGGTACAAGCACACATGCTCACCTGGAGCGCGGCAATTTCGTTTTGAAGGTCCCGCAACCGGGCCGCGGCAGTGAAGGTGGGGGATGTAAAATCCGTTGCTGCATTTGCAACTGACCCATGGTGTGCTTGCTGCTGTTGCTCATGAGGAATTGGGGCCACCTCCTGAGGGGCATCAACGCCTGCATGCTGCACAGGACTGCTGCCATGTCCATTTTCCACCCCATATCCATGACCCTCATACTGTGGCTGCGCATACTCATCCCGAGCTCCAGAGGGATTTGTCAGCGGTGCCTGCTGCTGTGGTGCCTGCTGCCATGCATTCTGATGTGCTGACTGGCTGTCAGGGTGGTGTGCATTATGGACAGGCCACGCCGGCACAGCTTGTTGAGCAGGAGCCTGCTGCCACGAGCTCTGAAAGGCTGGAGCGGCATTTTGCTGGTCTGAAGGTGCTGGCTGTGGGGATTGTGCTTTCTGCTGTGCCGGAGCACGCGCCCAAGGACTTTGAAACGTTGCCGCGCCCTGAGGGACAAATGCTGCCCGGGCAGGCTGCGGGCCTGCAGTGGAGGATTGCTGGTTCTGCTTTGCTGGCAGCCACTGTGGGTGGTTGGACATTGCTGCGTCTCACCCAACCAGACACCACAACTAGAAGTCAAACAACCCCTTATCCTCTCATGATTACAATATCGATTTGCTTTGACAGAAGGAATGGAAGTTATTTAGCAACGCGATCCAATACGGTGTGCCAATGAACTGTCAGCTATGCCATGAGAATTTCGAATGGCACCCGCCTGCACAACAAAATACGACAGTTAAAAACGGCCCCACAGAGCTTCCATACAATTAACAAATGCTCATTAAACGTCTCTATTCATCAGAGCATTAGTTTCAGAATTTAGATAGTGCTCTTCGGACGCAGAGGTCCCACCTTTCAAGCTAGTTTTTATAGATTTAACTAAGTTATTTATCAATAATGTTCCATTTGCTCAGGCTGGAGTTAGAACAGGGGAACATGTGCTTGGGCTTGGCCCTTTTATGTAAGCGTCTACCAAGGGCCAACTGAGTCCAACAATACCCGATTTGTAGTTTCTGCGTTCCCAGGAACGAGAGTAATTGAACAGCATGGCGGTGAATGTCAAGGCAAATTGCAGAATCAGGAAAGGCATTTCGCCGTCTTAGACCTGGTTATTCTTGGACGCTCAGTTCTCCCCAATGGATGCCATTCACACCAAAATAGTACAATTCTGCATGTTCTGTCCATGGTAGAGGAGATCTTGAACAGCGCAGAATGACTGGGCCTGGATTGCATCGCAAGAATCCATCCTTAGAACGCTTGCAAATAAACGCTGGTCCACTGCGCTCGCTGCTGTCACAGAAGTGGTTCCGGCTGATCGTGGCTATCTGTTGCTTGGCATTAGCAGTAAAACTCTGCCATGTTACTGTATCTGATGGGGATGGGGATGCGCCTGGGGTGGGTGGCCGCCGTAGCTTGACCGCTGCCGTTTCAAGCCCGATCCTCGTGTCGTATTCTTACTTCGAGAAGGATGCCATCCAGAACGAGAACATGCAGTACTTCATGTCAGTGGGAATGGGATACTCCAAAGGATTCAAGCCTCTGCTCGATACCCACTTCGTAGTGGTGGTCAGCGGAGAGATCTGCACGCCATGCACGCCACTGCTGAAAGCCCTGAAACAGGATTTTCGTGTGCGATACATGCCCGACCTGACGGACATCTACAGCACAAGTAGCGACAATGTCACCCTGCTCTACCGGAGGGAGAACAAGGGAATGGACTTTGCAGCACACAACGTACGAAGTCAACTCCAATGCATCACGTCCGTTGATAGAAACTCTTGCTGCAGGAACTTTGCTCATGCTTTGCCATTTGTCACTCAATTTGAGATATTCTTAGGTGCAATTTAATCAATTCTAGGTCGGCACTGCACTTCCCAGTGCCTTCTTCTCCAAGCTCCAACACTGCAACCTGGGCCAGACCTTGGCTACTGAATGAAGGCAACAATACATGAACGGTGTTTCACAATGCTGCAGGCTACCATCGAGTGGACAATGCAGACAGGGTGGTACCGGAGATACAGATACTTCATCTTCCTGAACAGCTCAGTGCGGGGGCCGTTCTACCCTTCCTACATGCCGCCAGGCTGGCAGTGGACGCAAGCCTACACAGATCGCCTCGTGGGGGACATCAAGCTTGTTGGCTCGTCCCTGGTGTGCCTGCCAGAGGTGGATGCAGGCGGCCCTGGCCCCAAGGTGTGCATGATTGACCTTGCTCAACTCGACATGCATCATGGCATGCACTGGCCCTAGCCTCAGTACTGACACCTGCTGACTACAAAACCAGGCTGAGACTGATTCTTATTTTGTATCATGCATGCTTGCCAGACGCTGTGATGCGCAAGAGAGACATGAGCATGTGCATGGCTGCTGCAGGTGGAGTCGTGGGCATTTGCAGTGGATGCTACAGCCATGGACCTGCTCAGAGGCAGCGGTGTGTTCCACACGCGCGAGTGCAAGCTGTGCAACGACGGTGTGGTGGTCATGGGCGAGTATGGCATGTCAAGCGCTGTGCTGAAGGCTGGCTACAACATTGCTACCCTCATGTCCATGTGCGCACCTTCCTTTATCTATAAGGCATCTCCCTTACAGGCTCATGTGCTGCTGAGCCTTGTGCACATGGTTGGCAACCTTCACGGATTGGGTTTTGTCTGCATGTCTTCTTTGCCTATCAGCATTTCGTCATATTGCTGTCAGTGCAGTGAGTGAGATTGTTCAAGTCATGCTGGGATCATGCACCATGGGGGTGTGATATTAATTGATGATTTGGCTCTATGATCGAGCAGGTATTCCCCAGGCGTGGACTGGAGGGAGCAGAGCCACTGGGGCTGCAACAACAACGCGCATCCCTCGCGCCATGGGACCTACGACGGCATCTCCATGCACCCCTTTGAGACGGTCTTTATCAAGGCCAGCTGGCATGTGGGGGAGCCCCACTTGGGCCACTACACCAGGTGGTTCACAGACCAGGCCCACAATGTGGACACCACAACAGGCACCTTCAAGGAATCTCTGTACCGATATGCCATCAGCGCCGAGGCGCAGAACCCCAACAGGGCCTCAGACTGCTTCAAGATCACTGCTGCCTGAGCACTTTCTACCCTGCTGCCTGTAATGAGTAGCCATGGAGTAGGCATGCACCTTGCAGCGCTGGACTTACTTTAATCTGACACCTTTGAAAATTTCGGGGATATGACAGCTGAAGCTGTGCTGAGACTCTATATTCTGAGCCAGCTTACCTCAGTGTGCTTCTGCCTGTCCGGCTGCCCAAGCGTTTGCATGGGATCATTAGATGCTGCCATAAATATAATTTGCTGAGCATCTCAAGAGTTTTGCCGCACAACACGCAGCATGTCACAGGACTTGCCTGCTGAGCATCTTCAAGGAACCCGCACTTGAAGGCTTTGGAACGAATCGCTCAGCAAAGGACTAGTGTGAATGGATCCGAGTAGCATTATTATTTCTTGCTATGAAGTATCCGTGGGATTTCAAATGAGAAAAGGTGTCAAATACAAAAGTCAGAGGTAGATTAGGGAATTTTCTTGTACTTGTCCGCTAGGTTTGTATTGACTCTCTGTGCGGCTTCATGATTTAATCCTAGTTCATCTTAGAAGTCCTATAGGCATGCTTATTCACTCAGTGGCACAGGCTGCCTGTTGCATGCAGCTGTCACCGAGGAATTGTCATCGGTAGAACAATGCAATAAGGTCCTTGCAGTGCTGCAGCAATGCTGAACAGCACCAGGTGTATCTGCAACTGTAGTGCGGTCAGACTGATGAAGGACACCATACTTATCCTAGGGATGCACCGTAGCTCGAAGGTATAATTTTTGGTATGTGCTGCAGTGTCAGTCAATGTCATTATGATCAGGGTGCAGGACAAGGCGGATGGTGTACCATTGTTGCAACTGAGGTTCTTGCTTTTTGGCTGCATAATTGCACCTGGTGTTATATACTATTTCCAAATTGTGCATTACCAATCTCCTGTTTCTAAAAATCCTTGCCCACACTGTGACAGCCCTTAAGAAAGGCAACTGACACTTCAGTAGACAACTTCCAGTGTCCCGGAGTCCTTCCTGGGTGTCTGAAGGCCAACTCTCCAAAAGCTGCATTTGAAAGTACATATTTGATACACAAACGAATGTGCTAAGTGATCCTATCCCACACTCGATCGCAAGACATCTAAAAAGATCACTGCTACAAAATCTGCTACACCTGCACAGCCATTTCATGCATAAAATGCTTCACACTTCCTTTTGAAAGTCATCATTCGGTGTAGGACTCCTTCAATTAAACTAGCAGATAGGAAATGGCATGAATCCACAGCCTCCACATGTTCCACCGCACCCATACAGTTAGACTACAGACTCACTGATAACTAGAACACAGGCAAAAAAGGCGAATAATGAAAAAGATCACTCCATGGGAGGACACAGCAGTGCAATTCTGCTGGAGGGACCCTGCCCCATCACCTGTCATATTGCACCCAGTGCTGCCACAGCTCCCGAATAAATACCCAAATTAAACCTAGTCTACCAGGCACTAACCATCAGGCCACACACGTATTTCAGGCCCAGGTGCACGTCTTTAGAAGGAAGTGTGCAATATAAACACGCCCCTCTTCCCAGGGTAATGTCCCTCATCAGACCTCTGGCTTTGTGAGGTGTCCGATGCGCAGAGTGTTCTTGGCAGGCACCAGGCGGCCTTCGTCCTCCACCAGCCACTCATCACCATCGCTGTCAGTCTCTGTGCCCTCATCATCGCCTTCGTCCTCCGATGCTATGCTGCCACCGTGGTCGATCGCCTGCTGCCGCAGCTGAGCGGCCAGGTCGGGCGTCATGGTGGGCATGGAATACAGGGTCCTTCCGCTGGGTCTGCCTGATGCAGCTGCGCAGACACACAGAGGCGATTAAGAATGCGCCTGGCACACTGCATGCACAAGACGCTGCGCACCGCCTTCACGAGAATGAAATTAAGCGCACAGTTTCCAATGTGCAACAATTATAGCAGGTGTTCTCCATCATGTTAGATCATTGCAACGAGAAAGGAAGCAGCATGAAGTTCTCACATGTTGCAGGTCCCTTGCTTGAAGCATTGGGCTCAAGCGGATCTCTTGGCGAGCTCCCTTGGCTTCCATCTGAGGCGCCCAGCAATGGTGGGGCGTTGTCAGACATGGGCACGGCTGTCACGCCAGCCGCGTGGTCCGCATGAGGGTGCTCTTGCTGCGGAGCTGTGCCCATATCTGCCTGCTCCTCCTCTGCTGTTCGTCCTGCTGTAACCCACAAATAGTGCATGAGACTTTTTCTCTTCTTACATCGCACTGCACAAATATCCTATACGCAGCACTGCATTTGCGTGCATTGCTTACTCCACATCATGCCTCAGGTGTGCACAGCGTCACAGTTGCCCTGACTGTGAGGCTCGGTGCACGGGACAGTCTCGGAATCTCAAAGAGATTGCGCAAGGGATTGATGTCCAAGCCCCTTCATTGGCTTCATGGTTGCCAAGAACCATGCAGTCAAAGTATAATTCATGACATCAGAGCTGCAAACTTGAGCAGGGCATGTAGAGCGCACCGGTGGCTGGAGCGGGCTGGCCGCTGTCCCTGGGGAGGGGTGGGTCGTAGTGGCGGCGGCCGCCCTGGAGGCGCTGGGGCATGCGGCGGAAGTAGTCCCAGGGCAACGGCTGCGTGGGGGCCGGCACGGGCCCCTGCTTGGCAACCTTCTTCTCGCAGCGCTTGTCCAGCCACTTGCGCACTCCCTTCATGCCCAGCGTGGGCACGTTGCGCTCCACCATCAGCGCTCCCAGCGTCTTGGTCGCCCTGCATGCATGCCACCACGGGAGACATCAGCCCACCACGTGACACGTGTCATGCATGCCTTGCGAGTCTGCAGACGCCGTGCATGCCTGGCTATCCTGGTTGCATGCAGATGTCACCCCAGATATTGCCAGGTAAGTGTCATGTCTGCAAATGCACTGTCTCTCTATAATAGCCTGTTATGCGCAGGAGTACAAAGCATGGCAGCTACCTAGGACATGCATGGCAATGTGACGGGATAGCAGGACATTATCAAATAGATTTTGAAGGACATGCAAGTCCGCAGAAACCATAAGCAAATGGAAATGAAAGTGGTGACAACTCGAGCACAGAGGATCACTTGAACCAGTCGATGACGGGGCGGAAGGCGCTGCCCCTGGCGCTGATCTGCATCATGTAGTCCTTGGGCAGGCCGATGAGCCCTGCCATGTGCAGGGTGTATTCTGGGATGGCCACAATGGCATCGATGATGCTGCCCTCCTCCTCGTCCACTCGGCCGTGGCCCCACATGGCCATGTGCAGGGGCGCTGCATCGCATGCATGCCACCTCCGTAAGAGTTGGCATAAGAAGTGCACCATAACCAACAGACAGCTAGACACAACAAAATTGTCTTGCATGCATGCCCACCTCCGTCAGGAAATGGACTGACACATGCACATTGAAAATAGACAGCCATACACATTGACCTCTTTCCAAGAAATACTGCATGTGACCTGCTACACATGATGGCTGTGCTTGGCCTCGGCAAGAATGAAGGATACAAGCAAATGCAGGATATATGCATGGGATGTTCTGTGCACCTGTATGTCAGAGAGCCAGGCACCTAGGCAGACAACATCCAGGAAAGTATGCTTGCCACTTGGAGTGCATGCATCACGCCCACATCATGCCTGGGCCTAGCTGAGCCTGTAAGCAGGTGCAGGGTTTGCCAATCAGGCATTCTGTGCAGCTGCCAAGGGCGCACCTTTGGACACGCGGAAGTCTCTGCTGATGAGCACGTCCATGCGCTTGGACACCAGCTCGCCCGACCTGTACACATCCGCCTCTATCGCAGACGTCCAGCACTCCAAGCCGCCACCTTTCCCCGACTTCTTCCTGTTGAGCAGCACACACCTCACCTCGAGTACAGCAAATCGCATGTTCAGATCACGGTGGTTGTTGTCCTGCTATCAGACTTCATGCTGCGCCTTTAGCATGGGTTCACAGTCTGGAGATCAGACAATGATTGTCAGGGGAGAGTTATCACAATTTTTATATTGTTCAAGACCAGTGGCAGCCAACCTGAATTCCAGCAAGCGGATGGCTCCACGAGTGAGACGGCTGCCCTTGATCTGGAGCTTGAGCGGCGACACGCGAATGGTCATGGCCTCGAAGGGGATGTGCATGGCCAGCGGGGTCACGGCCGCAGTCACACTGTTCGCCTCCTTCAACGCCATGACGTGCGATAGGAACGGGTGCAGCCGCGCCAGCCCATACCTGCAGTGCCATTGCGTTATCCCCTCAGTAACCTACTCCTCCAGAGATTTCCTCAATTGAAGCCATCAAGTCCTTGAAAAAAATAGTACGGCATGCAGATACCGTAGCTGATCCACAATGGTGACGCATGTAAAGACATGTTGGTGTTTGATCATCTCTTCAAGAAGGCATGGCATGAGAGGAACAATCACAAGCTGGATTCTGGCCAAAAGAAGCCTCACTTGGCCAGGGCGGGAGTGAAGGTGACGGTGGCAGAGGCTGGCTGCCGCAGCAGGAACCCAGTCGTGGTTCTCCATCCGCTGGCTTTCATGTCCAGGTGCTCTGTGTCCAGCTTCAGGCCAAAGGGCTGTATGGGGCGCCCTATGCATGCAAGGCCACATCATGACTCCAAATCTGCTTCAATTTCCAGGAGCACAAGTGCTCTTGGGTCAGCAGTACAGTAGCTCGTGGCGCCTCAACCGTTGTGAGAAGGTGTGTTGAACGAAATTTAAGTTTGAGCAAAAAAGATGGCAAAAGCTTCACCGGTCAATTTTGTATCCTCAGGCCGACTATTTATCCAGCTGCAGTCAACACCGTTGGCCTCTGCTGCTTGGCGGACCACTGAGACGCCCACTGCAGCCTCAAAGCGCACATACCCTCCAAACACTTGGCTGTGTCACACATACAGAGGTGTAATCTGAAAGCGTTTCTGTTCATTCCATTCTTGCTACTGAAATGCTCTTATTGCAGGTCCATGTCCTGCAGATTGAGCATGCAAGGCACTCACCCGATCTCCTCATGGACAACCAGGGTGCCATCTGCCAGTTGGATAACAACAAAGGGTATTTTAACCTCTCCAGAAAGCTGCTGCTCACAAAGGCCCTCATCTGAGCCCGATGGTTCCGCTCCCAGCCCAAAGCCTGCAATTTTACAATTTAGGCAGATCCCTATTGAAAGCGCAGGCCTAGCTCTCATTAATGAGCAGAATAATCGATCTGAAGCATAACTTGAAGCAGAAAGTAAGCTGAAAATAATATGGTATGCATACCATCAGTGAGGTCCTCTTGTGCTTCTACCACGGTGCCTCCAGACATTTCTGAGTCACGAGCCAACAGATGCTCATCGCCATCCTGTGACCACAAAACAAGTCCTTCATGCTTCAAAATTGGTTCTTCCTGAGTAACAATACTGAGTGGACGCTGCGCTGATTCAAACATGTCCCTACCTGTTCATCCTCCTCTGGCATCCCAGTATCAGGCTCTTTCGGTCTCCTCCTCTTCCTGAAGAAGCTGACCTTCCTGTCATCCACACCCTCCTCCAGAGCCCTGTCACCATCTGAGGGGGTCCTTGGAGAGGTGCAGCTCTTACTAGCAGCCTCCTCCCTTTGCTCCTTGTCCTTCTTCTTGCTGCTGGGCGGTTCCTTGTGGTGTAGGTTCTTATTGTCCTTGTCAACATGTTTGGCAGTGCAGTGGCACTCTGCGCACAATATCCCAGTTTTCAGGCGGCACAGGGTGAATGTTGGAAGAGATTTCTGCATCGCAGCAATATGGATGAGGGCCAGCAAAGACTGGCATTCTGCAGGTATTCACAGCATGACTCACCTTGATCATATGCGACCCCTCTGGGCCCACACACTGGGCATCCTGGTTTCTTCATGGCTTTGACCTCTCTCACCAGCCCCACATCCTGCACGACGCATCGGGATTCCAAGCTGCCTTTGCTGTGATCATAATGCATGTCCATCCGTCAAAGAATGGCCAAGTGTGTTGTGCATGGAAGGGAATGGAAGTACCAGGAAGAGACTGAGCAGGTGCAGCTGGCCCTCATCATCAATTAAGCCATTTGCCCATGGTCGATCCACAATCACACGCAGGGGCACCCCTGGTGCCGACCACAAGCATGAGGGCAAAGCTTAATTCAGATCAGCTCAGAGGCGCTGCCAAAGGCACAAAAGAATTTCCTGTTGGTGATGAGCTCTTTGAAATGATACCTCGCAGCAACTTCCAGCTTGGGTGGAGTGAGATGCTCTTGGCCTTAAACACCACACGACCACCCAGGTGTTGTGGCTGGACAAGAACGAGATCCTGCAGTGCCAGCTGCCTGATGCTCAGGCCTCCCACCTGCACCGACCCTGAAGACACACTGCCAGGGTTAGGAAAATGGAAGGGGGGATGTTGCAGAACGAACAAAGGAACATTCAAGAGATTCAGGACAATCAGCTCAAGAAGGCCTTAGGACGATTGAAACGGTTGAAACAATTGAAACCACTGTCTTTGCATTAGGATGTAGCAAGGCTGCAAGTGCAGGCTGCAAGAAATCATAAGTCTTTGGCAAGGATGGGTGGCAGGTGACTTCAACGCACGCAACCTTGTACCAATGCAAATGCCTACCTTGGACATACAACCGTATCATAGCAGATAAAGTTTCCATGCTGATGCCCTGAAGGATCCAGACCCCGGCGAACATGAATATTAACAAAGAAACAAAGAGCAGGGTGCCCCATGAAGGGAGTAGGTCCATTAGACCCACCATCGGCCTCGCTGCTATCAAAGACACGCAAAATGTTTGCGATTGCACTTGCAAAGCAACTCTTGATTAGGGATTAGATCAAGAAATTCATCTTGATGACTGGGGCGAAGTTGAGACGAAGCTTCCGAGGAACGAGTCACATGCATGCCACATGGGCGTGACATGGACGCCACATCAGCAGTTGAAAGTGCAGATGTGTCTCAGATCGATGGAGTAGCCATAATTACCTGTGTCACGACATCATTTTATTGATCCTTTAAAGAACTTGAAGACGATTGTCGAATGCAACCCACGTCAAGCGTTATAGTGCCCGGACTATGAAGGCCTGCTATGCATCCTTCCTTGACAACTCCAGCCACAATGGGGAGACCTCAAGCCGTGAGTGTGATCGTAGAAGACACTATAAACAGAAACATTGAAGATCGTATTCTATGAAAAGTATCGACTCCAATTCGCTGATTTGCTGTCCTGAGCACTCTCAACTGGCAGCTGAGGGTAGTTGTGGGATTATGCACGCAGGGATGCATTACAGTCTCGACTCGTTCGTGCTTACATTGTGAAAACGAAAGACTGGTGGCACTGCGTGGACTGCAGCAGGGCAAGAGAGCTAGCATATTGCGGCAGAGAAGGTTGCTAAATCATCAGTCGACGTTGAGTACAGAAGCTAAAAAGAGGGTAGACGCAGAAGACATCGGTGAAGTAGAACGGCCATATACCCAAATCAAGGTCCGTGATAGGTTGGCAGTCTCTGTGAAGGTCTACTTGGCTTCTCAGCACTGACGTGTTCCTCACCTGTCACTGCTCATTTTTCTGACAGGAGGAGCATACAGACATAGGAGTGAAAGCAGCTTTGGGGGTGCTTTGGTTCTACAAGAACGGCATATCTCCCCTTCTGCCGAAATCCTGCCGCTTTGTGCCTACCTGCTCAACATACTCTGTTGAGGCATTCAAGGTATGACACTGCAGCCCTGTCAATGTGCCGACTGCTTTCTTGCTCTGCATAGCCCCCTTGCGAATGGCGCATGCCTCTGCAGAAACTATGAATGGACCACATATTTTGCTGGTTTACAGGAGTTTGGGTTTTGCAAAGGAAGTGCTCTGACCGTATGGCGAATCCTTCGGTGCAACCCTTTCTCTAAGGGCGGATTTGACCCGGTGCTCTGGCCACCAGTGGGGCTTGCGGGGCTCTTCAATGAAGATGAGGCAATTAAGTAATGGCTTGTGGTGATATTGCATCGGTTCCAGCTGTTAACATGAACACATTACCATGATGCTTCAAGTTGAAGCTGTGGAAGCAAAGCAGCAATCCTACTCAACTGCAAAGCAGTGCTTACTTTCAAAAGATACAATGCTCACCATTGAACTGCAATGCTTGCAAAAATTCATGGCACTGGGGCAGTCTTGCTGCTTGCTTACACCATCAGTGCCTTCAAACATATGAAGTTACACTATTATACGGTAGCAAGCCAAGACTGTAGTAGGACCTGCTCAATTCCACTTGAACTTTGAAAATTGCCAGTGTCCTCATCATCAACAATTGACTCTCATCTGAAAGTTTCAACACTGAGTCTTCAACAGTGCGCTCACAGACGCGCTTCCGTAGTGGTGAGTTGCCAACTGAGAAATAAAATAACATTAAATCCGTGCAAGTTGCAAAAGCTGACCATGTTGACAAGAGCAGTAGACGCTCCTCATTCCTGAAGACATTGTACAAGTATAGATGTCTATGGAGGTTCTTGAAAAGTAAGCTTCAAATTTTCTATTCCTCGCCTCAGGAAGGGCAACAGACTCTGACAAGAGAGCTAATCCAAACTGCTGCTCGGCGAATCCCGCCGCTTCTTTTTTGATTTGATCTTTTCTTTCTTCGCTTTTCGCTTCTTCTTGTCCTTCTTGTGCTTTTCCTTCTTCTCTTTCCGCTTCTTGCTTGCTTTCTCCTTCCTCTTTTTCTTCTTCTCATCCTCTGATGATGAACTCTTCTCTGAATCACTGTAGCTACTCAAGCTCAGGTCTGAGCTCTGCTCGCTGCCCTCAGCCACAGGTGGAAGCACGGGGGCCAAGTTGCTGGCTCCATTCTGCGCCTGTTCGGGCGTCTCTGTAACTGAGATGTTGTTGTAGCACTGCTTAGTGAGGTGCCCGATCTGGCCACATTTCTTACAGGCACCCCGATTCTGACCGCCAACAGCTCCTTGTGAGCGGGCAAGAGACAGCAGGCTCTCGTAATTGTTCACAGCACTGTCAAATCCGCCTGCAGGCCACGGTCGAAGCAATCAGGATATCTGACAACAATATACTTTTCTGTAACGTGGAGGGCTGCAGGTGACTTGGCTCCAGGAAAAGAAACCTGGAGATCCACACCTGTCTGTAGTACAGCTTCCTGTGCTGCTGCACGCCTCGCTGCCCGACCACCTCCAAACTGTGGGGCGTTGAGGCTTGCCTCAATAACAGAGTTGCTGCCCGCTTGGGGATCTACTGAACCAATGGTATTCGTCCACATGGAGTTCCCTTGCAAGGTCGTGCTGCATACACAAACATTTGTCTAATTTTGCACAGTCACTGCCTGCTAAGGGCCAAACAAGCAGCCTTCGTGAACAATGTTTACCAGATGAAAGTCAACCAAGATCTGAGGGTGACCTGTGTAGCCGGCATTCGGGAGTCAGACATACCTCGTGCGGACACGATTTGTAGACGCTTTCAATCTCCCCGTAGACATCTTGCCTCAGCTTACTGTAGAAGGTGTAAAACAGATCTAGATAAAAGTCCTGCAGTCAAGCAGCGCAATACTGTATTCTCCCAACGACTGGTGGGACAGTTTCAGTGGTTCAACAACCGTTGTGGTTTAAGCTGCTGATATTCTGTCTCAGAGAGACGACCATCGGCTCCATGCGGCACCGCTGCCCTCCTGACGTGGCGAATGACGTCTAACTGAGTCATCGATTCTTGCACCTTCCCAAGAATCAGAGATGGAACAGTGGAAAGGAACAGGAACATGGTGCTAGTTTATCTCACAATCCAGGCATGACACTGATGACCCCATATCTGCAAATGCTTCATATGATTCACGAGGCGCACCCTCCCGGAGATCATCATGACTATGTCTGCATGCGCATCATGCCACCGTGGCATCGTGACGATGATGCATCAGTATAACCATCATGCGTTTAAGTGGAAGCTTTTGATGCGCCTTGTCTCCATTTGATGACAATCCCTGTGCTTTGCACTGATGCAATGATCAATGAATACATGGCAGATGGTATCCTTGGAAGGTATCCTAGTATTTGCTCCCTTGAGATTTCATTATGAATACCGTGTGCACAACAATCGATGTTGATATTCGATATGAGTCATCCTACATCACTACTTTCCAAGCACTGCAGCTGCAGCAGTCCTGGGTGAGTAGCTGAGTATCAGTGTCCTGCCTCACACTGAATATCAGCAAATTTTTCGCGCTCGGCATTGCATGCATGTTTGGGAACCTTGTGTGATGCGACATCGGACGAATATTCAATTTCAGTTTTAAAAGGCGGTATCGAGTTCATAGGCGATTGGCTGCCAACCGACTCAGCGCCCCACAATGCTGGCAGCTTCAGTTCTTTTGTGGGTGACTTTCGTCAATCCTGCACGCTGGATGAGACCCCCACCTGAATGTAACTTCACATCTGCATTACTAGTCTGCCCACAGTTGATTGGGTCTAGCGAGTCCAAAAGGAGTAAAATGGTGGCAACCTTTCCTTACTAGTATCTGCAGCTTGTCTGCAAGGCGTACCTTGCCTTTTCGCAGGAAAATTATGTAATGATAATATTGATGCAACTAGTCCGTGCCTTCATCTGTGACCAGAAAGCCACCTCGCTCCCTGTTTCTGTTCCTGCAGGCTCTGTCTCCAGGAGTGCAAATCTCACAAGATTTGCAGCTCAGCCGGCACTGGCCCAGCACAACTCCATCCCCCACCATGTACCCAGCATTCTTCAGGCACTCTCCTGCACCACCATGACAATGGTACTCAGATTGCAACAGTCACAGGAAACAAAAGTACCGAGGGGCAGACAATATTGTGAACAGCAGGAGAAATTGTAAGGTCTTGTTAGGCAGAAGCACACCGCTCTTACTCCAGCCCTTGCAATTGCTGTCAAAGTCCTCGCAGTCTTCTGGCAACTGCAGCTGCCTCGAAGGTGTATCCCCTCCCGCATGCTCCAGCCACTCTGGGTGGAACAGACCTGTGTGTATCCTGCACCAGAACAGCATGGGATTATGCCCAATGAAGATCCACTTGAGACAGAGAGCATGCGGCAATCAGTAATGAAGCAAGAACCGTACCACTTTGTCGCTGTCCACTTGACACCTTGGACAACTGGGCAGCCCTGATGCATTGAAGCCGCATCCTGCTGGCCATCCGGACTCAGACTGTAGAACAGCAGAGCGTCCCCTGACACATTTGCCAAATTTCACTTCTCCTAGTCATTCTCCATTTCTGCATGCATGATTGCAGCATCTGAAGACTTTCTCACCTTTTCTTGGCCTCATTGCAACAGAGCCCTTGGCGCAGGATGACACCCCACTGCCGCGATCCTCGGATATCAAGCTTGGCGCCTGCAGCACAAACACTCCCTGCTTGACTGCGACTCATAAAACTCCGCTCTTGCATGAGTGCGTCCAGAAGCAGCTCAGATGTGTCACACACCTTTGGAAATGCTGTTTCTCCACCGACCAATGAGGTGTCATTGTTGAGGTACAGCAGAACAGTGGCCACCCGTGGGGATCCATCCTGCAGTGAGTCATAGTGCGGCCCGTACTCCTCTCCATTGGAGTAGCGCAGCACCTGTTCCACAAAAGATTTGTCTTGGAAAGAAATTCTGATTATAGTATTCTGTCTCCTGCATGTTGTTCAATGCGCATGCGAGGTATGAGCTGGAATTGTTGCCTGCATGTCTTCCTGGTGCTCAAGGGGCAAGTGAGTCCAGGATGCCAAGCGATTCTCAATTCCCTCTATGATGGGATCTTGCTTGCGCATCAAAAAGGTCCCATAGCTGGTCCGGATGTTGTCTGTCACACTCGAGCCGCCCGGTCCCACCACTGTCGACCTCCGCATCTGGAAATTGCACAAAATGAAGCTGTGCTTTGTGCTGTAAGAAACCCTTGTCAATTAAAGATGCAAAAAAAGACGCTTTCCACATCCAATGTGCAACACTTTTAGGAGCTTGGAACGTACCATCGGTTTTGCTGTGCGGATGATGTGATCACATTCCTCTGGGCTCATGAAGTTGTGATAGACAAACGCGCGAGGTTTCCAAGAAAGAAGCTCCACCCTGCAACAAAAAAGGGGTGTTGAGAATCATCTTCCATCTGTGAACAAGCTAATCATATGCACCAGGCAAGTACTCACCAGCCCATATTCTGCTCATGCACTTCATTGAGTGATGGTGACACCTGCGCATAGCCATACCGTTGTGCATCAAATCCCTGAATTTCCTTTAATCATTTAATTGTGACGCGCATCTCTGGGCTCACTTTATGCTCACCTTTGATTGAATTGAGCCACCAAATAGCTCCTCACCGGAGGAGATCCCCACTACAGATGCCCATCATTTTATCAATTCTGTGGATTTGTTTCAAGGTCCCTCACTTGCCGATTCCCTTACAGAAAATTACCTGGACGACCGCCTGATACATGAATGTGCAGAGATAGTATGACCATGCTTAGCAATGCTGCATAGACAAGCCTGCCGATGCCTTTCGGAAGCGCCATCCAGCATCGGCTTGATGGAGCGGCGCTCCCTTCAAAGGCCTTCTAGTAAGCAAAATATCTTCCAAATAATACATCCATAACTAAGAAATGCCAATTGTCAAATTTCTGAATGTCACATTGCAGTCCGACTGATTTTCTCGTTGGGCTTTGGATCGGCAGTAGTGTTGTTGGAAAACCTTGATAAGATCGAGCCAGCTGATCGCATCTCTTTTTTACGATGTGTGATGTCAGATTGGAATTTTTAGGCGATCATGGAGTGCCATTCGTGGCGGTCAGGTGAAACCTCGTGCTTCATCGCTCCTGTGTCGGCGTTGTCCGGGCAGTCTATATTCTAAATTTAGTCTGGCAGACCATAACCATGCCCACAGGATCCCTCCAATAGTCTGGGAAATCTTGTACACTTGGCTCAAGTCTCTTGCTATGAAGGTGATACAGTATCTTTACAAGCCATGCGTACACATATGCTCAGAAACATGGGCATCTGTGGCATATGCAATATTCATGCTTGAGGTGTCGGCCAGCCACGGCGGCATGTGCAGCTGCAGCAACAATAGATGGGAAACCTGTCGGAGTCCGCACAGTCTTGATTCTGTAAATTTGTGTGCAAGGCAGTATACATGCACAAGATTATATGGTGGGGGGCATGTTTGCAGCAATGGATAATTTGGCCTTCAAGATTAATGTTACTCCAACTGTTCGGGCTATCATAATTTGCCTAGGCATATCAGAGCCTCTTGGCTCTGCACAGCAATGCACTGCTATCATCGTCCCATGGTGGCCCAATGTAAAAAGGAGACCAAAGACAACTCCTGCCCTCCTTGTCAAATCTCTTTGAAGACTCACCCCAATAAATCACATAAACTGAATGTGAGTTCAGCTAAAGGCTTGGCAACACACGTGGATCACGCTCCATTTGCGCCAAACACGGCGCGATGCATGGTAGACTTGAGCAGCAGTTCAAACGCACGCCCTCAAACTTTGCTCCGGAATTCGTGCCGCACATTCGTTAGGTTCTGCGCGCACAGAAATCACAGATCATCTCAATTGGGTGCCCAAATTGCCACAAAGACACTGCCAAGTCCATAGTTGCTCGCCTGAAGGCACAAGGGCAGCAACAGAAGAGCACACCACAGGTTGTCCCAGCGAGGATAGTGTACCTGGGTGAATTTGTCTCGGTTCTTGGGTTCGAGGTTGCGTTGTACATCAGCCATGAGCTTGTCCAGGCACTGGGACAGGTGCGCCTGGCGGTCAAGCGGCTGCGCTGCCACTATCCTGTTGCGCAGCGCCGTGTAGATCTGCACTCCCCAAACACTCTATGCGTTAAACTTATTTGTAATCAGCAGGCCGGCCTCCTTTCACAAGTCCATTGCAATCCTGTCTCGGTGGCATGCTACCAAATCTCTTGCATCCCTGGCTTTCTGGCATACCGCAGATCTAGCAGTCATCTGGATGCCAGGGTCCGAGGTATCGATTTGAGCACTCTTTGCTGTGCATATGACAAGAGGGCAAGCTACAAAGGCAAAGGTGAGGGACAGAGGATGGGGCGTGCCTGCTCATTGACTAGGATGAGGCTGAGCATGGGCCGGCTGAGGCTCCACTGGTTGGTGCAGTCGTCAAACAGCACGATCTCAAACAGCGTCGTCAGGAGCGTGGGCAGCAGTTCAGGGCGCTGCCGCAAATGCTCCGCAAACGCCTGTTCCAATCCCATCGCAGCCCTCTCTAAGTGATTAAAGACTTCAACCCGCTGCCACTGTCCCGTGGCTTCGCAAGCAAAAGAACACATTTACAGGCCCACTGACAGCCTGGACTGGGGCTTTCTTATTTTTTTCCGTTCACAAGTATGAACCCTCCTCCTGCAAAGGTGGAACCGAGCCGTCAGGATGTGCAGCAAACACATTTGTCAGTAAATTGACTGTGGAAGCTACCTGGGTGGCGGCGGGCTGGGGGCTGCCGTTGCTGGCCTGCACGGCTTTGAAGTAGAAACCGGCCAGGTTGTCCACGGCGCCCGCGCACTGCGAGCTCACCACCTGCACCACCCGCCACTCTCTTTACTTGTGCCAGCCCTGACTTACTTGGAACAAGCGCGTAAAATAGCAGCAAAAAATAAATTGCTGGACTGTACTGGAGCATATCTAGTCTGCATTTCCTGACAGGATGGCCCCCTGAAGAGGCAATCTGAGGCTGCAAGGTCCCAAGGCATGCAGTGTAGCATGCTCTCCAGCCCTTTGTCCAGCATACTAGTGTAATTCAAATGGCACCCAGAGTCCCAAAGGTCCATCCCCACGCATGATGAAGCTGTGGTACTTGTAACAGCAGTCACGAGGCATCAAGCCAAGCAACGGCTACACCATTACACAGAGGAAGAGATCTGTGCAAAGAGGGAGGTGGCACGGACCACGTCGAGGGATTTGAGCCCAGAGTCGAGGGCGGTCATGAGGAAGGCGAAGGTGGCGGTGTCGCAGGCTGCGATGACGCCGGTGTGGTTGGCGCACAGCACCTCCAGCAGCCCGAAGAAGGCCTTGCCCACCTTGCGGTACGCCATTATGTCCGCCAGCGGAATGCTCAGCGCCATCTTCATCGTTATGTCCAGCGCGTCCTGCAGCGCACACCACCATAGAATCTCATATTTCTTGCCTTTTGATGCTGTCATTCGCTGCAATATTACATATTCTCTCCCGGAGTGTATCTCGGTGGCCTGCTAGGGAGCGCTGCATATTTGTTCCACTGTCTTGACTATGACAGAAGTAGAGAGCTTGCCTTGGGGCGCATCAAGATGCTGCACTTGAGGTGATGAGTGTACGTTTGGACTTCAGTCTGGCGCATGCACAAGCAAGATAGGAGCAAGGACTCAGAAATACCTTGAGTGCGGGGTCGCCATAGAGCTCAAACACGCCGAAGTTGACATAGTTACCGGCCAGGCCGCGCTTGAGCAGCTCCAGGCAGATCCAGATGCCCTTGTACTTCTGCCCGTACGGATCCGACGTTGCCCCAGCCGTCACCACCCGCGACCCGTATGTCACCAGCACCTGTGCATTCCAAATTGCAAATTCAAACAAGTCGGGCGTCTAAAACTCAAGAGAGGATCCTTGCATGGCCGTAGACGCATGCAACATAGCCAGAACAAGGGCTCAGGCAAGAGAATGGAAGCAGCGTGCAGGCCACCTCGCCAAAGCCCCACAACCATCTCTTAAGTTTTTGAGAGCAGGGCTACCGAACACATTGCATTTGTACTCCACTGTGAGTACTCCACTGCGAAAAGTTCGTGCAGGAGACGAGAGATGGCGCAGAACACACCTTGGAGACTTCTCTGAAGAGCAGGATGCCGTTCGGGGAGGAGGAGTCAAAGGTCAGCCGCTGCGTCTTGTTCAGGGCGAACTCTGCCATGAACTTGAGCATCGCGGTGGTGACGTCCGGCGAGTCAGCCCATGCCTCCAGACAGGAGCGCAGCGTGGGCAGGTGCGCAGGGTACAGCCACTCAAACAGCAAGCCTGTGCAGGGAGCTCAACTCAGCGCAGCAACAAGATGCACAGCAGCACTCAAGAGTTGGAAACACGAAGGACAAGAGACTGGGGGATGTGCAATGCCAAACTGATTCACACCCTGCTCTCTGGTTGAACGTACGCATGGGAAACGAATAATAAGACGGCAATCATCGGAGACCCACATATGCAGAACATGTAAATGTGAGGCAATGAAGGAAGCTGTGCAAAAGAGCATTATGTGTCAGGGCTCACTGTAGGTGCGTTTGCTGCTGGTGGCCTGTGCGATGCCTCGCAGGTCGCGCATGAGCCCGATGACTGTCTGCCGCTGCACTGTATGGCGCAGGGCCATCGAGCTGCTGGCCGCAGACGCCACTCCCACAAGCACCTGCACATTAGAAGCCCACTATCCATCAATAAATCCATGCATCGACTGTCCATCAGTATCCATTTTGGTGCCTCCAGAATTACAGTCATCACGGACCAGGACTGTCACCCTGCCAGACCGATACGCCCACACTACAAGCAGATATAGGTGTACCTCATATCCACAAACATTCTACTCGGCCAGCAACTCTGAAGATGCTTGAGTTGCCGCCGGGCTGTGGCTTTGTTGGTCACGTGACACAGCATTTAAGGTGGTGGGAGCTAAATGGGAGCAGAAGGCGCACCTGCTGCAGGGGAGCCACGAAGGACTTGAACTTGGCAGGGGTGTCCTCCATGAAGAGCAGGCGCGCCAGCGTGCAGTAAAAGCTGGTGCGGCTCCTGCTATTGGCCGGGTCGTCCAGGAACGCAAAGTGCTCCGCTGTGTGGTGCTGCAGAATGAAAGCCGTGGCCTCCAGCTTCAGCAGTAGCTTCCCGCTCATATACCCTGCCGCTAGATCCTGCGATTACATGCCAACTTACCGTCCACCGCGATATTGTATGTCTGTGACAGGTAGGCACACAAACATGCTACTCCCGCATAAAAAATGCAAATAAACCAAGGGGCACGCCACATGCACATTAGAGACACTTGAGAATTTCCAGATGTGTTTCCCAATTGCAATATCACAAAGAGCAGAAGATAAAGGGGATGGCCCACCTGAAAGAGGTTCAGGGTCAGGGTGATGACTTCATCACAGGAGCCGTACACTTTCAAGTTGGTGGCGATCTTTGACAGCATGACATTCAGCACCATCAAGTGATCGCTCAGCCCTAGCCGCTCTGACAACCGCACATACACCTGCAGCGCAGCCACCGCATGCTTAGCCAGTCACTCTTGCACAGCCACATGCAACGAGGTCTGCATGCTTTGCATGTGTGCGACAGGAGGGATGGTGGGGTGGCTGCTCACCTTGGAGGAGTGCATGACCTGCTCTCCAACATAGACCTTGCGGAAGCTCTGGAAAAATGACAGGATTGCAATGTCGAGCCGTTGCCGCGACCTCTCCCCATACCGGCTCTGGTGGAATCCACTATCTACCATTTGCAGCAGCCCAAACACCCTCACCGCAAGATCCCCATCTATTGTTTCCTGCGCAATACACGCATGAACTCTTGCAGTCAGCACAGCGACGGACATATGAGGCTTGCTTAGGCGCTTGTTGAACCTCCTTGGACAGAAAGCAGGATCGACACTTTGGCATGTATTGAGGAGGTGGCAGACCTGTGTGTCTAAGGCGCTCTGATTGAGGCGCCCTCGCAAGATCGCCCCTATGATGTGTGTCAGCCATGTCAGCTGCCCCTCTAAAAGTGCAATGCTCGCCCCATCTGCCGTCCCCTCTGTTCCAGCCTGCCATACACACAGCCTCTTCAGTGCACAGCCATGCTTTTGAACTGGGCCATAGGATCATGATTGAAAATGGACAGAGCAGCAGCTCATAGGGGAGCACCTTCTGGTATGCCGCTACTATTGGGTCCATCCTGCCCACAATGAGTTCCACCGCGTACTCGTACTGGAACCTGCACATGTAGGGCAGGCTGTCCATCTGCTCCTGCAGTTGCTCCTCGCTCTCCAAGGGGTCCTCCGCAATGCCATTTGCCAGAACCGCCCGCACCGACTCCAGCCTACAAAAGGAGTGCAAGTGATCACCCAACATCCAAGTAAAGATGAAGAACATGGGATTCCATGGCAGCCCCATGGTCACTCGACCCTGCAATGGTGCACCCACGGGGGGCTGCTGAGATCGAGGGGATCCCAGACACCGTGACATCAACCCGATTCAATAGTTCCTTGATTTCTGGCTGACTGAGAGCCAAATTCAATCAACTTGCGGTCAAACAACAAACCTCTGGTGAGCGAAATTGAGCCCATGCGAAAACAATGGCTGGTGCAGCGCAGCCCACCTGGATGTGAGGTAGGCTTCGGTGATCTTGGGCACGTAGGTCTCCAGCAGCGAAGGGGATTCCCCCTTGAGGTAGGGCATGGAGGATACTAAACGGCTCCACAAGCCCAGCAGGTAGTACACGCTGTTGGATGCCCATTGCCACGAGTTCAGCGAGTTCACTGTCAACTCTGCAACCAGCTGTATCCACTCATGGTACTTGTCCACATTCACCTGTGGGCAGCACACTCTCACTTGATCAAAACCGCCAATGCAAGTGAATGAGTTGCCATGACTGTCATGAGGGGTTGCAAAGCAATCTTGGGAAACGGCACAGATGAGCTTGCGAAAAGCAAAGGTGCAAAGGTAACTCACCAGTTCCGAAAGCTGATAATTGGTCTTCAAGCGACCGAGCAGGCGGCAGAATTCATGGTAGTTGCTGTGCTCGCTGAGGCCCTGCTGCAAGCGCAGGATGTCGCGCGTGCCAGTCACAAGGTGGTTCAGGAACTTGCTGCGTTCCGTATCGCTCACAAACAGAGACCTCCGCACGGACGCTAGCCGCACCTGCCATGCATGCCCCAGATTAGGCATTGATCGCGTAATTTCTCATCATCCCATGCCGGACATGATAAAACAGGCCATCTGCTTGATAGCAATGCCCGAGAGACTCACGCTCATCCTTGCAGACTGCACAAGTTGGTGATGCGCAAGATAATAGGCATCACAGAGTATTGACAGAAAGCAGGAGGAATCACCAGGCATTCAAGCGCCATGGAGGACAGCGGCGGCTTTGACGCGGCGTAGAAATCTAGAAAGATTTGCAGTGTTTTGGGGTCCTCTATCACCGGCCTCCATGTGGACGGTACCTGCAGAAAGTCACTGTCAGCAGGCCTTCTTGTCTCTGCCAAAGTTCTGACGAGGGGAGGCATATTTAGCACAGCTGTGACTTCGTGCTGGAGGGCGTCATCACCTGGATCGTGCCCAAATCTTCCGATGACTCGTCCAAGCAAGTCCCCACAAAGTCAAACGACAGGCATTGGAGTGCCAGGGAGACAGCCTGCAGACATGGCACCACCACCCAATGAGCAGAACAGCACAGAAACATCATATTGCAGCAATATAAAATTAGTTGAACACTGTACAGTTAAAATTAGGCCTATATGTGCACCTGCTCCCTCAGCTTCTCCTCTGCTGCAGCGTTGGACTGCAGCAGCTGCAGGGACGCGATGGCCGTCTGGAAGACCTTGAAGAGCGCTGTGTCGCGGAATGCAACCGCCGGCTTGCGGTGCTGCGTCATCGTCCTCCCAGGCGTCGGCTGGTTGAACTCCACCACCAGCATGTTCAAGATCTTCAAGCCCAGCAGATAGTGCCCCTGCACAGGTCAATATGCGACTCATTTGGTACTCAGTGCCGTGCAGTACTGCAGAGTATAGTACGCACATCTCAAGCCTCCACATTCTGAACAATGGCCTTGCACTGTGCTGCATCCTGGATTGTGGCAAGTGGAACAGTGCCACATGGACTCACCGGGGAGCCTCCTGTCCCTTTGGTCAGGAACGCCTTGGCATCCTCAACGATGTTCCTGAAGTTGTCGTCATCGAACCAGCACAGCTTGGTGGTGCGGCACAGCAGCTGCACCAGCGACGTGATCACATAGCCCTCCAGCTGTGTGCCTCGACTGCGCTCAGGCGAATATTATTTAGTCAGTGCGGTCTTCTCATAAAGACTATGCCGCATACTGTATTTTATTTGCTATTGATATCTTCATATTCATCACCAGTGGGAGCAATGCGTCACCTGTCCAGGTATGATATGAAGTAGTTTCGCATCTCCAGCTTCACCGGCACACTGCAGCAGACCAGTTCAGTGTCACTTCCAGTACTTTAGAGCGGGGACATGTCTCTGGCAATTGTCCCCACAATCCTTGCACAATGCCAACATTAATGCTGACCTGATGGTATGCTCGGTGACAACTTTGATGAGGCTGGCGGAGGCGAAGAGCTGCGCATACGCCGATCGAGAATTGTCCAGAATTGCCTGGGCAATCAAACAAGTGTTTGCCACAGGTACTTGCCACAAGTACTTCCAATGTAGGTTCTAGACCTTCCAAAACACTGAACTGCCTCATCCCCACCTTGCAGTGAGCTATGTATTCAGTCGTTTGACCAAACACTCTCAGTATCTGCTCAGCCTGAGCGCGTTCCTGGGGGTCCTGTCAGATCGAACAAAGTTCGAAATTTAGTACTGCTGTAAATGCCAATGTGATGCATCGATGCTGTGCCTTGTCTCCTTTGTTTCACAACAGATCACAGTTTTGTGATGACTCTCGTCCTCCGCAAGTTCAGTATACAGTACTGCCAATTGACATCCTGGTGAATGCGTAATTAGAATAGTGTCGCGATAATGTACATCGACATGCAAACGCACCTTGGAGTTGTACAACCTCTCGCACAGCGCTTCGAGCTGAGGGAGCTGTTGCACTATATCTGTGGCGCCCGCCATGACCTTCCTTCGACAATTTACAGGTACAAAAAGATTTCATGCCTCCTCCAAACTATCGCAGCCATCTCCAGAGCCACCTGTCTCAACGTTTGCACCGGTACATCTTGCACTTTCCCATCACAAGAATGCTTCCTTGTGCGCATCGCACAACTTGCAAGCCCGAGTGCCAGAACGCCTTAGAAAACTGATCCACAGTAGCAACAATTGAGCCCTCTTTGGATACGCAACAAGCAAATGCCCATGTTGAGATGGTGCATGTGCAGACCAAAAGGGTTAATTTCCCCGGAAAATTACTACACTACGGGCCGCGACACTGGGGTGAATGGGGTATCGAATTGGCGGGCTCATAACTGAAGGAAGCAGGCTTTCTGACAATACTCTCTTCAGCTTGACTCCTTCGAAGCTCTGCAATCAGATAAAAATCCTCTAGCTCAAGATGAGAGAAATCGTTCACATCCAAGGCGGGCAATGTGGCAACCAGATTGGTGCCAAGTTCTGGGAGGTGATTGGCCCTTGAAAATTTTCTTTTGCGCTGTTTGCACGGTCTCAGGACACAAAATGATGATTTTCTCTATGTTTCAGGTCATCTGCGACGAGCATGGCGTGGATCCCGTGGGTATCTACCAGGTGAGCAGGGCCCAGCTTTTAAACAGCTCCAGACATGCTGCTGACTGTGATGAATTGCTGGAGGCCTGGTGCGGCCACTTTGGGCAACCATATCCTAATTTATTCCATTTTTGATCAGGGGGACAGCGACCTGCAGCTGGAGCGGATGAATGTCTACTTCAATGAGGCCAGCGGAGGTGAGCTGTGCTGTGCAGCTTTATTTTAAGAAATAGGGCCTCCCTGGTCGTCATCCACAAGATCCTCATCCACCTTTCTTGAAGTTACCCACATATATTGTTCTAGCATTTTCAGTGAAGTCCTGGGCCCTGTTTCGCGGGTGTGCAGCAGGACACGGGCGGCGTTTTGGTGGATGTTTGCTGCCTCTGATCTGCAGCAGAGTGTGCTTGGAGACATCAAAATGCTAACACTAGACCTCATGTGTCTTTTCAGGTCGCTACGTGCCTCGTGCGGTGCTCATGGACCTGGTAAGCGTGCGGTGACCTATTGTATTCCTGTTGTTAGCCCAACTCGGCTTTTTCGGTTGAACAGCTGTAGACTGGGCCAGAGCCGTCTCTGACGAGTGCTGTCTGGGTTGCAGGAGCCCGGCACAATGGACTCCGTGCGTTCCGGCCCCTTTGGACAGATTTTCAGGCCCGACAACTTCATCTTCGGCCAGGTGTGCTCAACGCTTGGCGCCCATTGCTCTTCCGCTTCGGACTTCCGGGTGTCTTGGATGGTCATGGGCCCGCGCCCGGGTGAAATGGGCTGGAATAGAACCTTATGGATGTCTGTGTTGCCTTGCAGACCGGAGCGGGAAACAACTGGGCCAAGGGCCACTACACCGAAGGTGCCGAGCTCATCGACTCGGTGCTGGATGTTGTGCGGAAGGAGGCAGAGAGCTGCGACTGCCTACAAGGTATGCTTACCGCATGTCAACATTTATAACATATGGGAGCAGATCATGCATTTGCGGCCGATTTGATGGGTCAGCTCCTTCATCTAGTTTATATACAATTCAGTGTGGAACCAAACTTGCTTCAGTTGCATTGGCTTTGCCAAGGTTCTTAGGCTGAAATATACATTATTCCAATATGTGCTTCTAAAAACATATCATGCTTATCAAAGGATGTAAAGATGGTTGGTGTCCTGGCATGCAGGCTTCCAGGTCTGCCACTCCTTGGGAGGTGGCACTGGGTCCGGGATGGGAACCCTGCTCATCAGCAAGATCCGTGAGGAGTACCCCGACCGTATGATGCTGGTGCGCACACGACACATAAGCAGAAGCAGCTTCATAAGTCAGCAATACCCACTGTGACCCGGCTTTGCCGCTTCATGTCGTGATAACAGGCTTATGTTCACCAGACTCACCCATGTGGAATCATCATTAAATCTCCATTCATATATGTGTCATTGTCTCAGGCACGCACAGTGTCATCCGAAGAGGTTGCAATGGTATGACTGTGGTAATGTTTGTGCGCAGACGTTCTCGGTGGTGCCCTCCCCCAAAGTGTCCGACACGGTGGTGGAGCCCTACAACGCCACGCTGTCAGTGCACCAGCTGGTGGAGAACGCGGACGAGTGCATGGTGCTCGACAATGAGGCCCTGTATGACATCTGCTTCCGCACCCTCAAGCTCACCACCCCCACCTTCGGAGACCTCAATCACCTCATCTCCGCCGTCATGTCCGGCATCACCTGCTGCCTGCGCTTCCCAGGTCAGCCCTGGCCTTCCTCTGCGCTGCCCCATCCAGGCTCCTTGCAAACTGCCTCTGTCTGAGAAATAGCAGCTCATGCCAAGCCCTGTACATTGGCAGCATCCAGAAAAAGAAGTCCCACAGACTCCCAGAATAGAGAGATGACCGGAGTCTGACAATTGGTTCTGTGACATGCAGGCCAGCTGAACGCTGACCTGCGCAAGCTGGCGGTGAACCTGATCCCCTTCCCCCGCCTGCACTTCTTCATGGTGGGCTTCACCCCCCTGACCTCGCGCGGCAGCCAGCAGTACCGCGCCCTCTCCGTGCCCGAGCTGACCCAGCAGATGTGGGATGCCAAGAACATGATGTGCGCCGCCGACCCCCGCCACGGCCGCTACCTCACCGCCTCCGCCCTCTTCCGCGGACGCATGTCCTCCAAGGAGGTGCGTGCCTATTTTCTATCTTCTATAAACTACTGTAGTAGTCATTCCAAAACCAGCAATAAATAATTGTTCTTGGCCAAAAAGGGTGGATAAATGAGACCCTATCTCCCAAATGTAAAACCTGTGATAATTTTGAGACCAGATCCGGAAAGCTGTCGACAAGCCCAATCCAATGGAGCACGACCTTGGTATGTTTGAAGCCGGGAAGACCCCTAAAATTTGCTTTGAATAATATCCCGCACCGCCGAGGGTGCGGGTTTTAGAATGACTACTACGGTATTTGTATTAATGTTTATCCTTGCCTGCAACAATCTTAAACTGTGCAATGTCCTGACTGTGCCACTTGATGTGCGCTCACTGAGATACTTCTGTAAGGTTGTGTCTGTTCCGCTGCTTATTTGTGACGCCTTCATTGGTGTCTTGTGCAGGTCGACGAGCAGATGCTCAACGTCCAGAACAAGAACTCTTCCTACTTTGTGGAGTGGATCCCCAACAATGTCAAGTCCTCCATCTGTGACATCCCCCCCAAGGGCCTCAAGATGGCCGCCACCTTTGTGGGCAACTCAACCGCCATCCAGGAGATGTTCAAGCGCGTCAGCGAGCAGTTCACTGCCATGTTCAGGCGCAAGGCTTTCCTCCACTGGTACACAGGTGCAGTCCTCCTCCCAATCCTTTGCATATGCTCTTCTGCACAGTGTTTGATTCCAACCCTGCTGTGTTTCGCTACCGAAAGAGGGAGCTGATGCGAAACCATTTCACAGACTGTGGCAGCGCATGCATGCGCTTGCTGTGGACCCAATTTACTGATATTCATGTGTCTGCCGAAGGCGAGGGCATGGATGAGATGGAGTTCACAGAGGCAGAGTCCAACATGAATGACTTGGTCAGCGAGTACCAGCAGTACCAAGACGCCTCAGCCGAGGAGGAGGGCGAGTTTGACGAGGAGGAGTTGTGAGCAGCCACTGCTGTCCTGTAGCCGTCACCTGCTCTGATTCTGTTGACACTGCAGACGCCACCTTCCTTGGCGGAGTCACTTTGACTGGGGCCAAGGCCGCCCGTTCACAGCCTATTGGCACCTGCCAAGTATCAGGCAAACTTCTTTTTTGGGTGTCTCATGTGGGAGCAGTTCTGTCTTCGTGGATGTCTCCTGTTGTGATGATCCCGGGTCATGGTGCTCATCTCGGAGCGCGCTAGTCATCAATGGCTTGCGTGGAGCTGTGAGCACGGCTGCAAGATGATGCCTGGTGTTGAGCTTGTGAGCCCTGGCAGCTCAAACAGCATCTGGGAAATGTGTTCCCTTTCAAGTTGCAGCTACATCAGTATGGCAGTCTGGAAGACAGCGTCCAAAGACTGGAAAGAACTCGTCCCAACAGGATGCGGACACAAAGGCTCTGAATGTCTGAGATTGGTACTTTTCTAGACCATGCCACTAAAACGGCTTACTCTCTCTTGCTAAATCGTTATTGTGCTTGCTTACTTGGGCCTTCAACAAATTACTCGACATGCCTGATATTGAGACATTGCCGATGGTAAGGACTGGGGTGCATAGAATGCTGCATTGCAGCACTGGTTGTGAAGTCCTGTGACACCTCAAGACCTGTTTAGAACCATGACCTCAAGATAATTGCAATGCAGTACTGTTCACTACTAGTTCAGGCCTGAAAACGCACGAGGGGCAGCGCTTCAAGAGAGGCCTCCATTGCCACCCCTTACTGGAACTCGATAACTTTCAGGGCAGGTGATTGAGTGCTGCGCCGGTTGATATTTAAGTAAATTGTAATGATGTCAAAAGTATGTTCTGCACCTGTTTGCACAGTCTGCACCTTACAATCACGGCATGCACGTGCTCCTCCTGCACCTGCATACCCTTCCGCAAGGTTGCAAGCATGTTTGCATATCCTTGCGCACTGCGCACAAATTGGCAATTTGAAAACTCACGACTTCAGACCAGTATATATCATGCTATTATGAGCTTTGTCAACACATCGTCTTGACATTTACTTCCGGAGGATCCTGCTGAAGAATAGTCCATGCTAGGGGGAATACAAGACGAGCACCTTGAACTCTCCCCGTCCCTTTTAAAAAATTCTGGAAATGTCTAAATCGAGTCGTTATTTTGAGTCCCCTGACAGATTCCGGAAGGCTGGACCTAGCTATAGCTCTGAGAGCTCCACTGAAGAGCCTGTCCCGCTCCAAATTCTTGCACCCACTTGAATTGCCCGTTCAGGACACTTCAGAGTCGTGCAACAATTTGGCAACCTGGGCTGTCCACTCTCCCATGCTGTATGCCAGCTTGACCTCGTACTCATTGAGCGCTGGAGGAAACCTTGCTGTCTCTTTGCCTGCCATGACCACGCCAAACGGCGTTGCCAGGGCTGCATCTTCCATTATGTGAGTGGGTGGATTGCCAACCACTACCTGCACCAGCACACAGATGTCACAGCTCCAGACGCACATGAGCACTTCCTGTGCAAGCAAAACCAACAATCTCCACCTTTCAGAAGCAGAGAATGCATGAGAGTGCACCCAGGCAGGAAACGCACCATTCCGTGCTGCAGAAAAAAGGCGTGGAAGCTCTGCAGGATCGCCTCATGCCCGCCATACCCCCGACTGTGACCGCCCACGCTAGTGAATGCGCTCCCAACCTTCCCCTGGCACACCACATTTTCTTTTCACTCATTTGGCGGGCGCCTCCTATTTACGCCTGGTGAGCTGCAGCCTTGCCTTCACGGCATTTGTCTTCTTCACGAAGTGCCTGCTGAGCAGATGCTGTTGTCCCTGGCTATTGCTGACAATGTCTGGCCGAGGCAGTTGCATACCTTCAACGCTCCAGCAGAGTTACGGTTCTTCTCCACTTGCAGGGGCGCAAGGGAATCAAGGAAGAGGCGCATTTCGCCACACATGCCACCCTGCCTTCCTGGCGCTCCAAGGATGACCGCATCTGCCTCCTTAATATCCTGCAATGTCATGTCACTCTTGCTCCACCTGAAATGGTTCTGAGCTGAGCTATGCCGGATCAATTTCAATATTCAGAGGGACTTACTATCATCTGCTCTGGGGGCTCCTTTCACACCATGGAGCAGCATCGACAGCTGCTCACCTGAATTGTGGCTACTGGAGCATCCAGAACACCCTCATCAAAGAGCGAGTGGTCATCACCCTTTATAGGGTCGCGCACTCGGTACACTGTCACCTCTGCTCCAGGGACCTGAAGAACCACCGACACATTCTGACATTCTCTTCTGATGTGGCAGTTGATCTGAAGTGGTCCTCCAGCTGGTGAGGACAGATTTGCAGAGGGCAAAGTCAAGAGAAGAAGCACGACCTTCCTTGCTCCTTCAGCGATGATGTTGGCTAGTGTGACAAGCAAGCCATGCGCAGAGAAGAATACTACCGCCACCGCGAAGGTCATGCTTGATAGCTAAGGATTGCCTGGGACAGCCCAGTCAGCGAATTTGTCGAGTCCTGAGAAAGATTCACCTTTGCAGCACCTTCAGCAATGACATTGGCAGTGGTCACGAGTCTCCCATGGAGGCTGTAGAAGACGACGGCAACCTTAAAGACCATCAGACATCAAGTAAGATATTGCCCTCCATCCAATCAGACGTGAGGCATGCCCCGATCTGAATACACTGCAAAGGTCAGATTTGCAACAGCGACCCCTGTAGCTGCAAAATCTCGCAAATCTAGACACCCCAGCCCGGCTCACGTTTTCGTATGGGCCCAAGATCCCAAAATACTATCTGTTTTCTTGTCTTGATTGGAACATCCTCCTGTAAAATACCCTGAATTAGAAAACCCGCTACGCAGTGGGTGCCTGATTTGGCACATCATAACTAGCGTTTTCCCCGCTTTTGAACATTTCCTAAAGCCTTTATCCTCTCTCCGATCGTGGTGCTGTTTCAATCCTAGATGAGTGTCCAACAGCATCAGCAGTGATGCAAACGACAATTGGCAGCCAAGCCAGGTTGGATACACAAAACTCACGTTTGGGGAGGGAGCAACGACGGAACATAAACGCGCACTCGGGTATGTGATCAATGCGATTCAATTTCCCTTGTCCTTCGGGAAGCAAAAACCGTATTCCTAGGAGGCTATCACAGGAATCACTTTGTCAAACAAGGCTGGTGTTATTGGGTTCCTTCTCGAGGAGCGGTCCTTGGAACGGATGGAGGAAGACTCTGATCGTTTGGCGCACCTAGCAGTCCTTTTGTGATCGCTACATCTATAAAGCGAGCTTTTTATGGCTGCACAAATTATGGCGGGCAATGCCGTTTGGTTCAATAGGAACAATCTTCTCCCAGGAGTCTCAAAATCTCCGTCGAAATGGCGATTCCAGAGCGTCCCAATTGCGATCTCGACGTATTAGATCACATAAACACGTTTTTTTGTATTGAGTAGTCCGGCCGATTGGAACTCCAGTAGCGGGAGGGAAGTGTTTGAGCTTGGCGGCAGACCAATCTGGAGCCGTTTTTTTGAGGTTTCCCGCCGTGGTATTTGTTGATGTTCTGACTGATTGCGCAGGCTACTGTAGTCCTTCAATTTGTCTTGATGTTGGATCGATCTCAGATCTTGCGATAGGTGTGACCGGAATCCAAAGCAAAAGGGCTTTGATGGCCAGGATTCCCTCCATGGTTGCAGAGTGGGAATGAGGAGATCGGAGCCATTATCTAGGCACACCGCCATAGATGGTTTGACATGTGTCTGATTAATCTCACTGACCTCTAAAAAGGTACATCACTCTTGTATATGTGGCTCAGTCAACACTACATCTTGCAATCTTGGTCCTTGCAGGTTGACCGTGGAAGGACTGAGGGGCTTCCCATGAGGGACCAATCCTGAGGCGAAAGTCCTGCTGCATGCATTGGAAGAGCCTTGGAATCTTGGGGTGGGCAGGGACCTGCAGGCTGAGCGAGATTGCAAGGTGTGATCTGGAGGAATCTTGCTACGTGACCTGCTGACTCTGCAGTGTAGGACCTCAAACACATGCAGCGACCAAAGATAAATTGCTTCGAACCCTAAGTTCGCTGGGTGACGCTTTCTTTAGGACTGCCTGTGCTTTTTGTGCACCTCAACCATCTTTAATGTCTGGGCAACCTGCTGCAGGGCAGATGCAGGATGCTCCAGAGGTATCCTACAGCCGCAAAGACAAGTCCTTGGGGCTGTTGTGCGAGGCCTTCTTGAGGGAGTATGGTCAGAGCGCGGTCTCAGTCATCTCCCTGGACCTGGCTGCCACTCGCCTGGGTGTGGAGAGGCGGCGCATATATGACATTGTGAATGTGCTGGAGAGCGTGGAGGTCGTCGAGCGACAACAGAAGAACCAGTAAGAATTTTCAACCGGGATTCAATGTCTACAACTTACTCTGCACTGTGGATGTAAGCAAGGGCTGAGGCATCTCATGCACACGGCAAGCTGCCAGAATTGTGGGGTGATGGTCTCTCCACTCATGCTGGAACAGTCTGGTCATCACGCTGAATGTTAAAGCTTCTGTGGCCTGTGCAGATACAAGTGGTGTGGATTGCTCCACCTGCCAGCGACACTGGCAAGATTAGAAGTGGAGAACTTGGATGACAGGAGCAACGCTGGCATCGGCCGTTCTGGGGACAGGCGCGAGAAGTCTCTGGGGCTGCTGTCGCAGCGCTTCATCCAGATGTTTCTGGTGGCTCCCGGCGACAAAGTGATTGCCCTGGAAGGGGCTGCTCAGATGCTTCTAGGTACCGCCCCGCCACTTGCTTGGAAGCGAATGATGATAGGAGTATATATGACACTCTGTCGCTTGCACAGAAAATCAAGGCGCATGGGTTGAAAAGTCACTGGCTGCCTATTCACATATTCTTCTGTACCAGACAAAGCCGGTGGGAGTGTGTGCCGCCTACTGCACTGGGAACTACAACAATATTTCAAGCATGTGGTGTGCTGCTTGCAGAGGCGGAGGGAGCAGGCGGGGACGCGAACAAGCTGAAGACAAAGGTGCGGCGGCTGTACGACATCGCCAACATCCTGGCCAGCCTGCACCTGCTGATGAAGACCCAGCTCCCCGACTCGCGCAAGCCCGCCTTCCGCTGGCTGGGCACCGAGTCAGAAATTGCCGCCGCCCCCTCCCACACCCTCAAAGACTTCTACAGGTGACCGCCACCCTCACACCACCCTCTCATTTCCACCAAGCAATGTCCTACCACCCACCAACCTTAAATGACACATGTCTGGCTCCCTTTGCAGCCTGACCCAGTTTTTTCCACCACCATTCAGCATCCCGCTATTCTTATCCAACAATTTTCAGCCTGCCTGCCTGAAGTCCTCCCCAAACACTCCAGGACCCAAACCCTACAGGCGATTTGGGCTTCCAGGGTGACTCATTGCAAGACACAGTCTTGGGACTTCTTGACGCTGATGATCTGTTGATTTTGGGTGAACAGCAACCAGAAGACACTGGCGCATGAGGCGCGCATGGCCGCAGCAGGAGGTGTGGCTGCCCCGCCGCATGCCAACGGGAAGCTGCCGGAAGCTGCATCCAGCTCTGCCTGTCAGCTCGGCAGCGCGAAGCGGTCAGCGCAGCACATCCCAACCGGGCCCCGCGCGAAGAGGGAGCGGCGTTTTGTGCAGCCCTGCTTTGGCCTAGTGAGTCACTCAGCACAAACGAATACCTCAGCAAAATCCTTTCACTGCTGCTGTGGTGTACGCAAATGACTCTCAGTCAGAGATCCAGCATTCAACAACATACTGTCTGCAAACGTCTGGCTTTATTTTGACAATCATCATGAAGTCTTATGCCAATACTATTTTATTGGTGCATTGAGATGGCTGCTGCATGTCCCGCACCAGGCAACAGCAGCGTTGCACGGGCAGCAGCAGCCCAGCACAGACGACTTGGCAGCGGTCATTACCACTGAGACGCCGCGCGCTCTGCCAAAGGTGCCAGTGCTCGATGCGTGGTCCGCAGTCGGGCCGCCGCGGCTGCTGCCTGCACAAGCGGCCACCCCAACGCATGACACCGCCAATGGGCACCCGAATGGTCCCAACTCTGTTCCCAACGCCATGGAGGGCGCTTGGAGTCTCAGGCAGCAAGGCACCCCCAATGCAGCTGTGCCTCAGCTGGGACAGCCAAATGGGGGCCGTGCAGAAGCCATGCAGGTGTGGCCGGGGCCGACCGCCTACAAAGCAGAGGACGGAACTGCGCAGCAGCTGCCAGGTCAGACCGCTGAGCTGGCAATTGCTGGGCGGGCCAGGAAGCAGCTGGCCTGGGAGCGGCGGGACCACACCCTGCCCACGCGAGCCCAGCCCGCCTGCACCCCAAGCATTGCAAGCCTCACGGACTTGTACACCCAGGCCGTGGCAGAGCCCATGTTCAGCCTCCCGGCGCAGGCGACCCTGCAGCAGGAGCACCTGCCCCTCGGCGGCTCTGAGGGCAGCTCAGCCGCGCTCAGCCAGCTCAGGTGCAGCAGCACAGCCAGCGGGCAGACGGCTGTGAGCTGGCGGGAGCTGCAGGCATCCGCCGCACAGGGCCAGCAACGCACCTACGCACCTGAGCATTACGCGCGCGACGCTCAGCCGGCCAATCACTCGTTCCAGCAGCCGTACACGGCGGGGGCCGGCCGCATGGCGCAGCAGGGGATGCCAGAGAGCAGCGCTGCGGCCATGCTCTTGCACAGCTCTGCCATGATGCTGGCCGCCAGCAATGCGATGGCGTGCGCGCCGGTGCAGCAGATGCACAACGGCCAAGCCTTCCACGGAGCAGCCGCGTCGAGCGTCGATTTGATGCACCTCATGAGCTACTACGACCACTTGAAAAGGACCATGCAGGTCCGACTGCAGCTTCTTACACGGCGACTGCTGTGCTCACCTTCCCACTCACCTTGCAGTGCAACGTGCTTCAATGGAGCTCAGACATTTCTCTGCACGCCAGTCAAGCAATGTTCTCAGCTACTTCCATGTCTTTCCTTTGCTGTAGTGACTGAGCTTAAAGTGTGCACCCGCAGCCGGCTGGGACGCCAGATTTGCATTCCCTTGAGCAAGCTGTCAGCCTGCTGAATGGCAGGGCCGGCCACCTGGACTATCGATACTTCTGCAACGGTAAGGCTCTTGCAACATGCTCCTGTCTCAGGAACGATGCTGTCCCCTACAACACACAGACTGAATGTAGTGCTGTATAAACCCATGTCCTCAGGTAGAATACAAGAAAAATTCACATAGCTGAGTGAAAGAAGGTCTGGCAAATGCAGATGCTCATCTGCCTGAGGCCTTCCAGGGAGCCTCTGCCAGAGTACCTAGCTGCACTGCAGCCATCCCTGCCTCTGCGCTGACAGAGATGCACAGCTTGCTGCCGACAAGGTGGCCACTGGAGGAATCCGCACCAGCGCCTCTGGCGCCGCCTGCAGGACGCAGCATGGGGCGGTGACATCAGCAATCACAGCATTGCTGCAACGCATATCACATCAATGGGAACGCTTGCCCACAAGCGTGGTGGGGGAGCTCAAACGCTGGAACTGATTTTCACCGAGGATCGAGAATGATCCGTTTTTGCAATAGGACTGAGCAGTCAACGCTTCACTGTTCATGTCTGCCTTGCTTCTGTTTGCAAAGAATTGCCAATTCGAAAGTCACAAGGTCTGGACAGATGGTTGTTTGTGTTTTGTGTGGTTCATTATTTTTGGGTGGAGTGGTACTCGGCAAGCAGCTGTGCTGGGCTTTTCTAGAAAACCTCCTGGCACACAGCTTGCCTGTGCCAGCTCCTATAACCATGTGGAAGGTGCAATAGCGTGTATTGCAAAGATGGTTTCAGTTGTTCAAGGATCATAGGTGTCCACTGCCATGTGCAGCGGGCAAAGGGCCCTTTGGGTCACGCTTCAATGAACATTCAAACTCTACGAACCTGTGAACAGCCCTCAGGACCTCGCAGTGTCAAACAAAAGCGAATGCCATGCAAGTCATTGAATTTCTGCAAATATCTGCTGAAAGAGCTTTACCTCAACCGTGGTGCACCGTGCACACTGAGTGCAGTTCGGAAAGAAAGGGTAGTGTTATTAAGGATAGGTCATGTAAGCAACAAAGGATGAACTTGGAAACCCTCAAAAGGACAAGATCTTGACCCCAAGGTCTAGACCCCCCAGGCGCCTGTTTCAACAGGTAGCTGCCATGCATGCATGTACATATAAATTAAACTGTGACAGTGCGCCAGTACCAGTGCGCACCTCGTGACTGAACTACCTGGAGTCCTCATCAGGGCATATGACGCATCTGTTTTTCGAATAAAAGTGTAGATCCAATTGATTGCCAAGGGTGTCCAGGATCGGAGCACACCTCGGCCTGGCGCAGAATCAAAAAGATGTCCAAATTAGGCTAGATCAGAGAGGTTCCAGCACCAGGAAATCTTGGTGAGCTCTTTGGCTCGCATCGTGGAAGTGTCGAGGATCGTGCGCTGCTATTGCGCGAAAGTTTACATTTGGAGACTTGCATGCGCATGCTCTAGTGTCACTTGCGATTTTTCCGCGCTGTAGGCAAGTCCTTGGCCACTTCTTGCGACAGCCGATAGAAAGTTACTCGTGTCAGTGTAATGGTGGACGTGCCCTGATATGTATGATAAAAAGCTGTTCTATTTCTGTGGAACTGCGTGTGTCCCAGATTTGTTGGCAGGGGCCAGCATGGGATGAATCCTGCGGGAGGAGCCTGCTGACACCGTACCTCGATGGGAAAGAGGGAACAATGAATGTGTGTTGAGATGCACATGTTTGTGTTTGCAGGTCCCTCTGCCAAGACACTGTCAACTTCGAGAGTACAATCAGGCGGTGAGGCATCTACCGAGAAGCTAGCAGATGTCAGGCGTCCAGACCGCTGCACCACCCGCTGCAGGCCCTCACAGCTATGCTGAAGTGGTGGCAGCTCCTCCTCCTGCCAGCAGCAGCAGCAACAGGTGTGCAAACGTTGAGATGAGCTATTTTCGTCACTGGTGAACGCTCCACATCTCCTCTGACCCTGCTGAGCATCCCTCTCTTTGGCTTGCAGAGGCGCAAGGGGTTCCAGCGGACAACATGTCGACAAGCCCATCCTGGGCTTCCTGAAGCTGCAAAACCTACACCACTACCTGCGCTTGCGGAAGGGCCTCCAGGTCACTGACCAGCTCTCAGCTGAGCTGGGGGTGGATCTCAACGTGAAGAAGCAGACCTACCTCCCGCATGCTGCACTCTCTTACGAGGTATGCATTTACATCATGCTCTACCCAGCACTGCAGATGCCTTGTTGCAATTGCGCCTTCGCCCTTGCTGTAAGCCTTGGCAGTCCTTTCTGTGGCAGTCCTTTCTGTGGAGGTATGCCAAGCAAGACAGTATGCTTGTGGACTGCAGCTGCGGGGCAAAGCGGGTCAGAAGATTGCGATGCTGCGCGCAACGCGTCAGAGCCTGTTCATCCGTAAGACCTTTGCCATAACTCCGCCCAGGGTCTCCTTCAACCTGCACACCACTGCCGGCGTGTCTTACAAGGGTGAGCGCTGTCCCCTGCTGCCACCTCTCCCTGGCCGCGCCTCTTCTCATCTGTGTAGGCGCATCCCTGCTTGTTCATGCAGCTTGTGCATACCGTATGTGTGGCAGCGTATTGATATTAGTACAGTACTATCACGGTCCATGCAGTGTTCGAGGATGGCTATGGTTAGGGCCTGACTGTGTGCATGTGCGCAAATGTGCAGGCCAGCCCGAGTTTGCTGTGGATGTGGACAACATCAAGCCCAAGGGCCTGGTGGCGGTTGCGGCTGTGGCCATGCTGCTGCTGGGCAAGCCCCTCTCTGGCAGCCGCGGCTTCGGCGGCCTCCAGTTCACCCTGCCCAAGACCGGCACCTGCACTGCAAAGGTGCGCACACATGCCACAAAATGCCCATGTTCTGAACTTGTAGCTTCACTCGATGTACGCCAAATGATATCCATTTGGTGAGTTTTGGTGAGTTTGCACACTTGAACACGGGTGCCTTCAGAAGCAAATGCAACCCATCTGGTGAATTCTGGGCTGTTGGCTTGAGTTCCTTGGGTGCTTTTCTGTGGCATGACCCACTCACACATGAATGTGCAGGCTGAGTCCAAGGCGATGGTGGAGCGGAACGGAAAGGGATTGACGCTGTCCGTGAAGCAGATCAATGGGGTGCTGCGCTTCTGAACGGTTCACGAAGATGCACTGTGTCTCTGGTTGTGCATGGGAGGGAAGAAATGTGCCACTGCTGCATGGCCTGGCCTACATTTCTTTCTTCAGTGCTGTCCTCGAATTGCTTATGTAGCAGATTGCAAGAATTGAATGGAGGGGTACAAGGGGGTGAATAAGCAGTCATCCGAGAGGGAAAGGAGAAATTGAGTGTTCTGAGCATCCAGCCTAAGAGAGCAAGTCGGACAACCGTTCTCAAGGATGAGACTATCGACCTGCAGCATCAGTATTGTGAAAGGCAAGTGCTAAACATGGCATTCAAAAATCTTGACTTTGTATGCTGTATATCTTGAAATGCTGCATTGCAAAACTGTTTTCTTGCTTTGTAATGATCTTGAATATAATGAGAATTGCGGAAAATACATTCCTCACTTCTTATTACGATCATGCTGGCACCAGCATATATGGCCATATGACATGCACATACAAATCTTGCATGAAACGTTAACATTGACTTAGAGCTGAAAACCATCACAACTCAAACTCTCTCAACAAATTCTCTAAAATAAAGCTGAGCTTCGTTCGCTTCAGCTCACAAATCCAAATGCGTCAGGCTGGCGCTGTGATCTGCAGAGCCGCTGACGACAACGTTCATGGTGGGATGCCAGTCCACCGCTGTGACATGGCCTTTGTGCGAGGCAGCGGCCTGGAACTGCCACTCGCCGTCCGCACCCTCCACCAGGACAGGCACTTGGCTCGTCATAGATGTCAACACCAGTGCACGGGTGTCGCTGCTCACGGCCAGGGCATGCTTCATGTGGGGAGCCTTTGTGCCGCAGTGGGCACTTGCATCCACCGTCCTCACAGGCTCCTGCGGCGGCATAGTTGCTGTTGTTGCAACATTGCCAGCATGCGAAAACAACCATTTGCATGTCCGCCTCAGGGCGAAGCAGGTTGCATTATTGTGTGATGGAGTCAGGCGCTGACCTTCAGCATGGCTGTGTCCCACCACTGGACCTCTCCAGAGGCGGTCAGAGCAATGACGGACGTCTCGCTCCCTCCAAACCGCGCGCAGGCAGGCGCGCCTGCGCCGCCGACGGCCCACGCAGCCACCTTTGATGCACAAGACTCAAAATCACAAGGACGCAGCCTTGCAACAAGGGGCATTTAGTAGACCAATGCCAATGGACACGTGCACTGCAAGTCATTGCTCCAAACATGGTTTAAACCAGGTTAGGATGCAAAATATAGACGGCAGTTCGAGCGCCAAGAAGGGAGGGAGGGCTGCCACTCGGTGGAAACATAGTGCACTGACAAAATGTATAACCTCAGACTTGGCGTTGGTGTTAAAAAGGCGCAGGAAGCCGTCGCAGGCGGCGGCCAGGAGCAGGCGGCCGTCCGTGGAGAAAGCGAGCGAGTCCAGCACCGGATCGCCGCCCACCGCAAACGTGTGCGCCTTCTTGAACGCCCGCATGTTCCATACCGACAGCTTCCCCGCCGCCGGCCCTGCATAACTCTTACCTTCACCCGCCATACGGTGCAAACTGTGACGGTGGGACTGAGACAGTGTTTTCCTCCCACCCTCACTTTCCATCTGGTGCAAGATTGCCGACTGGATCAAGACAGTGGCGTGGTGAGAGGGCGCCCGTACTGCCTAACGGTGCAGGCAATGGGCAGGGCAGCAGCTTGGCAAACTTGTGCCCAGTCGCATCCTCATCGTGTGCTGCCGCAACAGTCTTCACGGCGATCTCGGTGAGACAGACAGGAATGACCAGACAGGAATGACAGGATGAAGAGCGCGTACCGGAGGTGTGGGAGGAGGAGGATGCGCAGGCAAAGGAGGGGTCGGCGGGGCTGCATGCGACGGTGCGCACGTCCGGGAAGGAGGGGTCCAGGCGCACGTGCGCAACCATGCGCTTGGTGTCCACGTGCCACGCCTTTATGCCCTTGCCCACCGTGCCCACCAGCCTGCGCCCAGGCCAGCAGAGAACTCCTTGATCCCCCCATTTGCATGACATGTTCTAGGCAAGGTACCATTCCTTTGTGTAGCCCCAGACAACACACCCTTGCGCAAAACAACTCCAGGGGGCCTCAAGCGCCAGCCGCCACAGGTGCACTTCCAGCTGCTGGAAACAAAGTACAGGCTATGGGAAGCACAGGGAGGGTCAGAGGGAAGCAGCATTACACTATATAAACGACCAGTAGTTCTACTTATAGTCCACAAAAATTGCAGGAGTCCACATGAGCTACAGGGTGCAGCGAGGGATGGCCTGGCGCGCACATGATTTTGTCGGCGCGGGCGTCCCAGGCGAGGGCGGAGACGGGTGCGCCGGTGAGCAGCGTGGCGGAACGGCCGGCGTCGGCCGCGAGAGACTGCGGCGCCCAGATGCGCACCACTCCGTCACGGTCCGCTGTCGCCACGTTCTGGCCGCCCGGCGAAAACGCCGCCGCCACCACCGCCGCGTCATGCCCTGCCAGCTCCTCTGCCTGTGGGTCAAATTTCAGACTCTCTCTTCTTTGCCGTTGAAATATCTAGCAACATGCGTGGGTTTGGGAGCTGGTGGCAAGGACACTCAAGGCAGACAAAAGAGCAAGAGCATCGCAGTGAGCTTAGATGCCGGGCAGCCTTCTCTGCAAGACCTGCAATCTTGACCTTTCCAGCGCTAAGCTAGATTCTCAGTGAGTGTCCAAGCTATAGCCTCTGGGAAAAAAAACTGCGGAGCAGGCTGAAACGTGCCTGCATGACGAGGTCGGCCTTGCCAGCGTCCTCGCTCGAGAACCTGCGGTGCAGTGAGGCGACTGCATCTCCCAAGCTGGTGCTGTATGGCTCGCTTGCGCCTTGGTCTTGTGACTGCTGGTTAGATGCCCCTGACGCCCTGCGGTGACATGCACTTCGCTTTCCTCATGCAGATCTCAAGCAGTGACTTTGCAGACACACAGGTACTCAAAAAGAAGTGAAAGTAATGACAAAAGACACCGTGGCCCTTTCTAGCAGAATAACAGACCTGCCAGCCTGTACAGGAGGATCTGCTGTTGGGACATCTGGCTCAGGCGTGCTCCTGCCGCTGTAATCCAACGCTCCTCGCCGGACAATCGACCTTTCGGATTCACTGTTGCTGGATGCTCTTTGCGAGCCGGGCGCCTGCACATCAAAGGCAGTCCACTCTTCTGGTGCTCCAAGTGAATTGAATGAATCATGGGCCACCCCTGCAAATGGATGCTGGACTTGAGTGAAAGCAATCACAGCATCGGATGCAGATGACTGAAGGATGTACCTCTGGGACTTGTTCTGACTGGGCCTCTAGACTGATGAGGGGCCTGGCATCCCCTGTGCGCCTGTCTGGTGCCCACTCCCCAAGCTTGACATCTCGCCTGTGATTCTGGCCCGCCTGCCTGCGCCCATCTGCCGGCAGACTCTGCTGTGTTGCGCTGCTTCCGTTCTGAGTGGGGGTGGGCTGAACACCTGATCCAAACTCCTGCCTTTTGGCCTGTGACAAAGAAGCTGCGAATTAGGGATGATGAAGCACGCCGTATCAGAGCCAGAGGCAAAGTCAAAGGCACCAGCCTGATGCAGCACTTGAAGGTGTTTCTGTACCTTGGCACTGGCTGTGTATGTGCTAGGCAGTGGTGAGCTACTGCTGCTGGGTGCATACTCATCATCGAGGATGTGGTCGACCAAACTTAATCGCCCGCTCTCACTGACGGTAGCAACAGGACTCTCCTGCAGCCTCTGCTGCAACATCTGCAGTGGACACTAGAATCTCAAGATAGTAAGAACAAAGGCGACAAGCATATTACGCAGTTCTCATGATCTACCAGGCGCAGATGCAGTCCTAAGGGGGGCGCCAATTGCACCTTTTCTAGTCTGGCCTTCTCCTTCTGGAGCTGCCTGCATTGATGCTGCAGGGAAACTCGCAACCGCCGGTCTGTGTCAAAGCGGAGCACAGCGGGCAGCGGTAGCTTCTGGATAACCTCTGCAATGAAATTGCGGAAGGACGTCTCCACCAATTGCGCCCACTCCTTTGTGAAGAACACCTGCTGCCCAGGATGTGGCCCTCTATAAATGATGCACAATCCCATGGCCTTAGCATCCAATGCAAAGTTAGTACATTCTTTGTCTCACCTGAAAGGTAGGGTGATTTGCTGGAGAATGCACATAGGGCAAGGCAAACCAGGGGCTCCATTCCTTGGCGTCAGGGCCGCTCATGAGCATGTCTCCAAAGTCAGCAAAGAATGATCTGACATCGTTCAGCTTGCCAGCCTTCAAGGCATGGACAAGGAAGTACCTGATGAGGGACACCTGAAAAACCCATGTCAGTACACGGGTATTGTCCTCTCATATTAAATTAAGGCTTCCTGTTCCTCAGTTTTCCATCCAAGGGAGGGTCAAACACCTCTAATTTGCGTATGGTTGACTCATAGCTGGCGTCAAGGTGGCAGTACAATTGTGAGTCCAGAAACTCTAGCATGTCAATGAGCTGTTTGCCTCTGTTCTGGCGGATGATCTTCTGGAAAACCATCGTCGAGATCTGGTCCACCTGGAGCAACATAACGCCCACATGACATAACTTCACATGGTACAATGCATCTGATGAGTATTTGAATGCTTTGAGGGCATCAGAGAACGTGTACTCCTGCCAATAGTGCTCCAGGACAAAGAACATCCAGAGCACTGTGCAGACCTGAAAGCCGCATCCTCGGTCTGCTGCAAGGTCTGAATTGAAGGTCTGCAGAGTTGTTGTAAATCCACGAAACAAAAGGTACTCCTTGAACAGTGTATCAATGTAATTGAGGGACTCCATGTATGACGAAGCATCAAAGTGGCAACACTCGGCAAAAGCTTCTCTACTACCGCGAGAACATTCGATGGCGAGTAATTTACAGATATACCCTTAAAATAATATTCCTATTGGAATAAATTCACAGCATTGGAGTGAGAAAGAATTCACAAGGTTTCCAATTCAGGGAAATGAGGTAGACAGGAAAGGGAAACAAAGCAATACCACAGCACCTCACATGCATGAAACATTTCTTGGTATAGAAGACCCATGTCAACTACTTGGACATTTCTAGACATATGCACATGCAGGAAACCTGCTTGCAAACTTGAGCTTGGACCAACAGCTGTATGCATACATGACTGATTTTACCACTTGAACAGTAAAATGCCTACAAAGGTAAAGTACGTCAGAAACATGTCTACACAACCCCTGTCGGCCTTTTTCCAGGGCACCACAAGGCAATCAAGAGGTGCTAGCAGAGTCCGCGCCGGACCTCCGGACTGCGCGGCTGCGCTGCGCAAAGAAATGCAGCCGCTGCCTCTGCTGGCGACCCCTGTCAGCTGCTGATGGCAGGGCTGCTGGCTGGCCCCCAGGAAGGCTTGATGTGTCTTGCGCAGGCACCTGCGCTGTAGTTGCGCTTGATGCAGTGTCTTGGCTGTTCTGTGAGCAGGCTGCAGCCTGAAGAGCAGCAATCCTGGTTGCCTGCTTGGCAACAGCCTCCTGCAGAGCCAGCATCTGGGCTGCTGCCTCCTCCAGGGCATCTGCAGTGGCAGCACCCAGTCAGTGACATCTCTGCAATGTCTTTGGTATCAGGCATGCAGAACAGTGTCGAGTGAAGAAAATAGAGCACTCAAGAGATCCTGGGGCTGCACACCTGCCACAGTGCACTCCACAACTCTGATCCGCCCTTCCATGCCAGACACTGCCCTCTGCACCTGCAAAGCCGAGGAGAAGCCTTGTCAGAAGCACTGTGACACATGGCAATCTGCATTGGTGTCCAAATCAGGGTCCATATCCGCTCAGCTCCCTCACCTGGTCAATGCCCTCCACTTGCTTTTCTGCAGCCTCAAGCCGGCTGCCATTTGATTCGCCCTGCTGAGCCACGACCGAGACTTGCGCATGCAGAGACTCCAACTCGGCCCGGACACCTTCGATCTGCTTGCTTGACGCGCTTGCCGCATCCTTTGCCGCTGCTGAGGCTGCACCCTGCTTGACCTCAAGCGCAGTCACCTCCTGGGACAGCTGCACCAACTGCCCAGGCAGCGCTGCGAGGCCGTCCAGCTCAGCCCTCATCTGAGCGCCAGTCTGCTGGAGGGGGACCAGCTCCTCAGACAGACCAGCAACCTGCGCCGGCAGCGCGGACAGGCGCTCAAGCTGCTGTGCATGGTCAGACAGCACCGCGCGCGCCTGCGAGAGGCAATCTGCGTAGCGCGTGAGGTCTGTGCGCAGCGCCTCTGACATGCGCTGCATGGAGTCCTCCATGCCCTGCTGCACGTGCTCCACCTCTGCCTGCACGCTGGCCAGGGAGTCCCCCCAGGCGGCCTCGCTGATCTCAGCCACGTGCACTGCCTCCCCCAGCTCCAGCACAGTCTCCTGCAGCAGATGCAGCTCCGACTCCTGCCGCCGAATGCGCGCGTCGGCCTGCTGCTCCGCTGCGGCCAGCGCCTTCATCGTCCGCGCTGCGCCGGCCTTCAGCTGGGCCACATGCTCCGCCAGGCTCTTGATTTCTGCCGCCTCCTGGGCATGCTTGTCCAGTGCATCCAAGCGCGCCGCCAGAGCACCCTGCATTGCCAGAAGCATGACCTCAAGAATACGAATGGCAGAGGGACCCTGCAGTAGGAATCATGGATCCAGTCTAGGACGTCACAACTTGCTCAAGAACAAATCAAACAAAATGAAAGACAGAGATGACCATCAATTAGCACAGATTCAGAGATGTGATGAAACACCGTAATACAAAATAAATGCCCCAAAATGAAGGCCTCACCATGTTTGCAGTCGTGCCGTCGCAGGCGGCCTGCAGCTGTGCAATGGCGGCCTGCTGGGAGGAGCAGTCAGCCGCGAGCTCCAGCTGCGCATGCTGCATCGCCCGGTTGTCGGCATTGACGCGCGCCAGCGTCTTGAGTGCCTTGCTGGTCTCTTCTGCTGCCAGCTCATGGTCTGCCTCCAGGGCCTCCATAGAGGACGTCCATGCACCCACCTGGGCCTGCAGGCCGTCCACACAGCTGCTTGCATGCTGCTGCGTCTCCAGCGCTGCCGCATCGGATTTCTTGACGGCCGCATTCAGCTGTGTGAGCTCCTCGGATGCATGGCTGAGCCCTGCCTGCAGGGTACTGACTGTCGTCGCCGTGCTTGACTGTGCCGAGCTCAGGCCCTCGAGGGTGGAAGCAAATTTGGATGCTTCCGAGACCATCGCCAGGTTCAGCTGCTCGATCTCTGACTTCACTTCGGCAAGCTCCTGTGCAAGGTGCTGCTGGGCGGCCGGCACCTTGGACTCTTGGGCAAGGGCATCAGTCGATGGGGCTGCCTGTGAGCTGGCTGCTTTCTCAGCCAGGGCTTGCAAGTCTGCAGCCACCTCAGCAACCTTGCCCTCCAGGCTTGCCAGGCCTGCGTTTGCAGTGTCTGTACGGGTGCCGCTGCCTGCTGCCAGAGCTGCGTGTGCAGCCTCGAGAGCGGCAAAGCTGCTTACTATGGCAGTCTGCTGCTCTGTCATAGTGGCAAGGGTTGCGCGCTGGCTTTCCAGCTGTGCTTGCACATCCTCGTGCTGTGTCTTAGCCCTGCTAGCATGCTTAGTGGCGGTCAGGCTGTGCTGCTTCACATATGTGAGCTCCTCCTCCGAAGGTGCCAGCTGATCTGCAAAGGCATCCTGCATGCCTTCCTTCGCCTGTCTGTCCTGCCGGTCTTCCCAAGCCTGCTTGAGGCGTTCCTGCCCCATCTCCACAACGGCAAGGGTGGCTCCCCAGAGGTTCAACTGGTCTTCCACCTCCGCAAGTCTGCCCAGGAGAGAAGGGGGATTGCCTCCTGCCTGTGCCTGCTCCAAGGCGTCCACCCTGGCCTGCAGCTGCACCTGCTGTGCTGCCACGACTGCCATGCTGTGATTGTTGGCGGCCTGTTGCGCTGCCAGCCTGCTCATGGCCGCCACAGTCTCATCCGCTCTCCTGCCCAGAAGGCACACTTGGCCATCCAGCGCCCGCATGCTCTGTGCAACCTCTTGCGCATCCAGTGCTGTCCTATCAAGCTGGGTGGTGCTTGCCTTGCAGATCGCCAGCTCACCCTGCCACATGAATGCAGTGCTGGTAAATGACTGCACCATCACAGTCGCCTTCAGAGCACATACAGTGAACACAGCATTAAAATACTTTGAATCGAACGTGCAATGAGGAAGAGGCTGCATACCTGGAAGATTCCAATCTGCGCTGAGACACTCGCAAGATTCTCTACTTTCTCCTCTGTTAATGCCTGCATAATTAAGCAGCACATGCTGGTGACGACAGCTCTGATGAGAGTCCTCCTGGAGAAGCATCAGGTTGAATTTGACACAAACATCATTGTGAGGTGTTGCCAGCCCAAGAAGGTTGCACAGGCTGCTCACAAGGCGTCCGAGGAAGCTGTTGAGGTCCTCTGCTCGAACAGCCTTGCAGTCCAATGCGTCCATGAGATGGCGATCAGATTGCTGGGGAGGCCCAGGAGCATTCTGCTGCCTTGACAGGAACTCAGCCAGCTGCGCTTCCAGGGCAGCAATGCGACCCTCATGCTCCAGCTGGCCTGGGGATAAATAGAACAAGCTAGCTTGAGCAGAGTGATAAGCTTCAAGAACGTCCAGCTGACATCTACATATCCAAATACAGGGATGCCAATAAGGTCTTGGTCACCTGGAACCTCTCTGACATTGCCAACGGGCTCCTGCGGGGTCTCTTCATGAGTTGCCAATGCTACTGGCACTGCATTGTTCTTGCTTCCAGCTTGCCCCTTCTGCACAGCTTCTGCAAGAGCCACCTGCAAACAGACAGAAGATTCACTACTGCCACCGAATCAGGACCCTGGCCAACGTAGGGAAGCTTGAAATTGATATGTGCAAGTCTCCTCACCCCCAGCAGGAGCCAGGTGCACAGCTGCGAATTTTGACCTCCCGGACCATCTGTGGGGTTGATGGTCTTCTGGCTCTGGCCTTTGGTCTTGGAAGACTGCAGAACAATGTTGGCTGTGTTGCTGAGAGTCTTTGCTGCTGCCACCTCTTGTTTTAGGTCAACCAAGGACGCCTGTATAGGATAGCAGGAGAGCTTACTCCACAGGGTCCCAAAGATCCTTTAATCGAACAGTAGTCGACCTGGAAAGTGGCAGTGGCTTCAAGGCGATACTGCAACCCTTCAATGGAGTGACTCAGTACCTGGACAGCAGATAACAAAGCACCAACCGCCTGCCTCGGAGGCCCGTTCAAGTCCACATTCTCTTTCTGCGAGGTACATATAAACGGAAACGTTTTAAGTTGCCTTTTCGGTAGAATCATGTAGGGACTAGGAAATGGTGACTTGTGGAGAATTGGGTTTTACTAGACAGGCAATGAGCACGAAGGGTACGCTCGAGCTGACCCCAATACCAGCAATGAAGTATCACATATTTCATTTAATAAGATTTTCCGCAGTAACGCAATAGATTTAGTGCCGCATATTTAACAGTGCTGGTGTTACCATTACAACCCCTTTATTTCCAATGTTGCGGTACATCCCCTTTATCGCCACGGTGCTGGATACCTGTACGCCCTCCGCCATTTTTAAGCCTTTTGCTTTATTGCAGCAATTCGTATCGCTGAAAATTTTAATGTTCTGCACAGCGACAGCTGGATGCCCATTCGTACTAGAGCTCCTATTCAGGCAACTGCAGCATGAAGGCGCATGCTCTCGCCAAAAGACCTTGTATTTCCTCGCACGATCACGCAATCAAAGGCTTGTGGTCTGTTCACATGAGTGCAAACGCTGTACCGTCCTTGGTTGGCCATTGATCAGCAAGTGTCGTTATAGTTGTTGTGGCACTATCTGTTGACTGTCAAGCAATCCTCTTTTGGATGCTTGGAGGTCTGCTCGAGCTCTTCCATGCAGTGTGTCGATTGGCAGTAAATACTGTGATCATAGTAGTATGAGCAGAGGATATTCTGTAACCACTCTTCTCTGCTTCTGCGCGTTGAGCTTCATCTTTGGACGATTTGTACAAGAAATACCTGGACTACCACAGGCACCTAGTGGGGTGAGGAAGCTTTTCAGCGATGTATTCTATGCATGTATCCAAAGAGCTTAAGGCAGCATCCTTGGGTAGTACTCGGTGGATCGCTTCTGATGGTTTCCTTTTAGCACGATCAAGGTGGAGGAAATCGTTAAATCCCTATTTGTCACATGCAGTTCACTAAGGCGGGTCTGAGACAGAGCCAGAGCCAGCCTTCGCGGCGGCAAGCCATAGAGAAGCAGTCCAAGAATGGGGAGCCTGGAGAGGTGGGTGCAATCCTAAGCAGATGTGACTCATATGTCCTATCAATTGATGGAGCTCTGAAATGGTTGAATGCGTGGCAGGTTGCACCGGGCACGGAGCCTTTGTTCACCACATTTGAGGAGGCACTTGCTGCTACAAAAGCGATTCAAAGAGCACCTTCTGTGAAAGGTGCAGAGTCTGGCAATGACTTTTACTCAGTCCAACCTCAGCAGCTCATCAGCTGGTACCCTAGGTGAGCTGACAGGTTCTCAAAAGCACCATTGACTTGTGCAAAGATCAAGCTGCAATCTGCTTTATGTTAGGATCAAATTTTTGGAGGTGCCCAAGGAGCTGAGGGGGTGTGCTGCTTGTTGCGCAGAATAATACTATATCCTGGGTTCATAGACCCGGAGCGCTGCAAGCACTTTGTGAAAGTTGCAAAGGCAAGACTGGCGCCGTCAGGTCTTGCCCTGCGCACGACCGAGGGGCCGCAGGAGACGGAGTGAGTTTGCAATACTCCCATCAATTTGCATGCTCAGTTTAAGATAAAAAACAGGACACGCTTCTGATGACCCATTAGACATTGATGTTTAAGGTCTCAAGGGGGTCATGATTTGTTGCAGGAATGTGCGGACGAGTCAAGGGACCTTCATGAGTAGGAAGGATGACCCAGCAGGCGTCATAGCGTGGGTGGAGGAGAAAGCTGCGCAGGTCACTGGACTGCCGGTGTCGCATGGAGAGGTGTGTACTCTTGACTGGGACATGCAATGCTAAGCCTTACATGGCAAGCTCCAAGCTTCTTCTGCCCTGTCCAATGGAGAAGACATGATCTGACAACTTTCCTTGTGTTTGCAGCCCTTCAATGTACTTCGCTATCAGGACGGCCAACACTACGATAGCCACTACGACATTTTTGAGCCGGAATCTTACGGTCCTCAGCCAAGCCAAAGGGTGAGGAATGGCATGGAAGACACAATTTTACAGGATCAGCCCACCAAGAATTGCCGTTTCTCTTATACATTGTGCCTCAACTGCTACACATGTCTTGACGATGTGCGATGCTGCCATGCAGATGGCTACCATTCTCTTTTACCTGACAGATGTGGAAGAGGGAGGCGAGACAATCTTCCCGCTGGAGGGCCGATACGGCCCAGATCTATTGAAAATGACAGGATTCAATTACAAGTCTTGTACCACAGGTTTCAAGGTGAGCTCACTGGTTGGCCACACAGCAATTTTGCAAGTGTGCAGGCGCACGTGTTCGGCAAGTGGTGTTGTGCACTTGTCAGTTTGGTGCCTTCTCTGCTGCCTTCTCTGATGAGCCTGCCCCTGTACCTACCAATAGCCCTGATGAGTGCCGTGCTGGTGTGCAGTACAAGCCCCGCATGGGAGATGCTCTCATGTTTTATTCCATGCACCCCAATGGAACCTTCGACAAGCATGCACTGCATGGCGGCTGCCCTGTGATGGCTGGAGAGAAGTGGGTGGCAACAAAGTGGATCAGAGACAAGTGCTTCACACCGCCCTGTCTGTGACTAGAGACACCTGCAGACAACCTTTTTGTTTTCTGATCATTGAGTACAAACACAGTACCCTGTGGTCTATTAGTGAGGGGAGGGGTTTTTCCTGGAGCTGACTCAATCGGTTGTCTTGACTGATCAGCCTGCAGGCTTAGCTCAGTGACTGTTCAATCCGTTCTCAGATCATGTAGCGCTTTCAATGGATGGCCAATAACGCAAAATCAATGTTAATGTTGCTCTACGACTTATCACCTCGAGCCTCAAGGTGATACCATATATACTACGGTATATAAGGGGACCCAGCCGGACGAGAGATTCAGTTTCGCTTCTTGAGTTGTCCTTGAGCAATATGAAAATATGCAGATTGGTACTGGAGATTGTATTTGAGAAAATGCAAAGTGCATCTGCTTGGATTGAGATAAACACATAGCCCCACATCCATGGCCATAGCATTTACATTTGTAAAATGCAGGGATGCATTCTGAAGTCACTATGAGCTCGTATGATCATTGAGCACAATACCACAATGCCTCGGCTTGATCAAGTCTCTGGTTCCTTGATGAATCTATTCTACAGAGGTCAACGACAAGTTGCACTCAAGATTAATCACACTCAATCTATCAGTGACGCGGAAACGACCGGGAATACATTGCTGACCCTCACTCTCTGCGCGCAAGGCAGCTACATCTGCATGTCCTTCATTTGAGCTCCGCTGCCGACGGCGGTGACAGGGAGGTCCCCCTTGGTAGTCGGGAGGACCGGCTGTGTCGCCTGCTGCACATCACTGAGAGTGAGCTGGTCCAGGATGTGACCCGGCTCCTGGCCGATCTGCTGCCACGGCGAAGGTGCAGGCGCCTCCTCCACAGGAGCATCCCTTGATGCCTCCAACAGCGTGTGCTGGTTCACAAGGTCCGGGCTCCACCCCTGTTGCACATCCCACACACAGCACCTCAGGCAGAGTTGTGCCAGACATTCCCATGCCAACAGTCTGCCATAGAGCAATCCATGCAACTGCACCCAAATAAAGGCAAAAAAGCCGATTCCATGCAATGAATGCAGGAAGGGAAAGGGTAAGGGGTGTACCTGGGATCTGGCGGCACTGACAAATGGCTCTTCAGTGTCGGACTCAGCGGCGTCGCTGTCCTCGTCCAGCGGCAGCGTGTCGGTGAAGGGCAGGCGCGCTGATGGGAAATACGAGGGCAGCCGCAAGCCCAGAAACAGCTCCACAATGGTCTGCCACATTGCACAAGATCTCTCTCATTCTTGTATATTTTGCCACATTCTGTTGGAAAGTCCGCCCAAATTTTTGGACAAATTTCCACTCACAGTGGTGGAAGCACACAGCGCTTATCATGACACACATTGAACCTGCCTGAGTTGAAGCCTACACAGCAAATGCTGCGGTCAGGAAGAGCAGCAGTCGTTTAGCTCTAAGACTCTAGACTTCAGCTCCTAGAAGTGCTGATGTCAGCGAGGGGCACCTGGCGGGTGGAGTCGGAGAGGACGTTGTTCCAGCGGCGCTGCACGGAGACGCTGATGTTCTGCAGGCGCCCCACGCCGGCCTTGCTCATGCCGCTGCCGTCCGGCTGCAGCAGCGACAGGATCGCGCTGTGCATCGCGCGCGACGACGTGTACAGGTTGCTGTTCATGTCGCCGTTGATCAGGAATATCTCCGCGTGCTGCGCCACCAGATCCGGCCGCAGCCGCGACCTCACCTGCGATCAAAACATGTGCCATCTGACATGCGCCATTATTCAATGTTATTTTCGACCTCTTGTACTTGAATCCCTTTGTGCTGTATTAGTGGTCATGTCTGCTCTAATGTACCCTGCAGCAATCCAGCTCTACAGCTCTGCTCTACACTTGCCAGCTCGACATGCTCTAAATATGTCAGCTCTTCTTCCCCTTTGCAAGCACATCAGGAGTGCTGTCAAGCTCTCACCTCGTCCACGCTCAGGCCAAAGAGGCCAAAGCGCTGCTCCCCTGGTTTGCCAGCAACCTCTGCATCCGGCTCCGCATTTGCCGGCGCCACTGCTGCCTCGCTGGCATCGTCGGCTGCGCTAGCGAGGTCATCAGAGGAGCCGTCGGGGGAGCCTCCCACTGGAGTGGCGCTGTCAGGGGTGCGCGCTGTCGGGGCCGGCAGGGGCGATGCCGGCCGCACCCAGGTGGTCTTCCGGGTGTTGTGGTCTATGTAGAAGTGGCGCCCTGTCACCTCATCTTTCCTTGCCTGGCAACACATAGATTCACTCTAAACAACCTGAGGATGACTAGTGAGCACAGAAAGAGCGCTTGCAAAGAGTGCGCAGCACTGCCAATAAAGAGTACAGAATAGGAAATGGTGTAGTGCTGTACCTCCCAGCCAGGCGGCAGAGAGGAGTCGCCATTGTACGGAGGCGGTTCGCCGGCGCCTGTTTTGGTGCGCTGGCTGGTGCGCATGTCCTCCTTGATGCGGCGGTGGATGCTGCTGATGTCCAAGTTCCAGGCTGGCTTCTTGCGTGCGACGCCCCTGGCCTCTGACAGCGCCGCTATGTGCGCACTGCTCGCCTCTATGCCGATGTCCAGCCGCCGGCACTGCTCGGAGAGCACCTGCACCAGGACACCTCTACGACTATAACACCCAGCCACTGAGATCACTGACAAAGGAATTGCAACAGGACAGTTCTACTGTGTAAAGGATGTCACTTCTTGCACAAATGGACAACGTCTTTGTCAAGTTGTTACGCGTTGTTTTGCTGAGGAAGGCGAATGGTAAGAGCCCACCTGCACTGCGCCAAAGTAGGAGGCTGCATTGGTGCGGTCCAGAGAGTCTGCACAGTTGTAGCGCACCACACCGCACTGCCGGCTGCGCCAGTGAATCTGCGCACAGCACAGCGGTGTCTCTTAAGAGAGGATTTCAGGGTAAGTCAGGCTATCAAACACAAAAACAATATAGTGGCCAGGACATGTTGAAGCAATTGGCTGTCCTCACCTTCCATTCGTCTCCCCAGGGAGTGGCACCAGATGTGCTGGCATCAGCACCGCTGCGCGCCCTCTCTTCAGACTCGCTCTCCTCTTGCACAGCAGTCCCAGACGGTTCCAGCGTGCCGACAGAAATGTCGCTCTGCATGCACAGTGGCACTCTCAGTCCCACCCACATATGCATGTATACGAACGACACGAAGGAAACTGCACAGCTGTTATGATTGATCAGATATGTGCACAGCCGCACCTGAGCAATGATGGTTTCCAGCAGTGCCCACAGCCCCTCTACAGCACCCTTCTCGCGCAAGTCCTTGACCATGCCATGCCAGTCAAAGTTGATGACCCGCAGAGGCGCGCCAGGCAGCCGCTTGCGCACAGTGCGCAGCCCCTCTGAGAAGTGCTCTGACAGCAGCAGCTCATCCTTCCTCTGCATGCAAAAATTCAAATCTCAGAGGGAAGCAAATGATCCAGGCATACTGTGGAGTCAATCCTCAATAGTAAACATGAGTACAGGGACTTGGATGCATTAAAACTGGGATACACAACCTGCATATTGCACCGCAGCAGGTTGATGCAAGTGACTGGTGTGTTGACGCCCTGCAGCTCAGACGGCTCTTTGGCGACATCTTCGCCGTTGCATGAAGCAGTCTTCTTGCTGGCATCCTCTGGCGAGTATCGCTTCTGCAGGCGGCGGAAGTACCTGCAGTGGTTTGACTGTCAGAACTGCCCCTTCTCTGGATACATTTGCCCTCTGAACATGTACCTGATTCAAGGACTTCAACAGACAGGCCTCGTTACACATATCACCAAAAGGCAAAGGAGGCCTGCATGTGCCAGCTGCATAAAACGACCTGGGCATAGGCTGACCTTCTGGTGCCGTTGTAGGGTCTGTCAGCGCTGACAACGATTGTGGCTTCACCCACTCCCCCAGACTTGATCTCCACTCCCCACCAGATCGGCACCGTTCCTCGCCGCCACACATAGCTGCTCCAAGACAGCGCAGCGCCCGGGCTCTGTGGCGCCAACCACAACAGCTGCACATGCCACAAAACAGTGAAGAGGTACATCATAAGCGATACACATCATTGCTGTGACAAATTACAAATGAGCCATGCCATTCGAATGACAGCACCAAGCACTCGTCAGCTTGATGTGTGCACAGTACCTGTTCACACTCAATCTCATTGCCCGGAGATGCCAAGCTGTTCAGCCCCCGTGCAATGTACCGCATGCCAGGGTGCAGCCTGCTCCGCCGTGAGAAGAGCACGAGGGTGTAACGCAGGCCCCTGTTGTCCTCTAATGTCCGTGACTCCACCACACCCTTTTACACAGGATACCCATCAGTTTATGACTCCCAAGATGAATTGCAGGGATGTCTAAACCTCTGAAATTCCGACATTTGTTTTGGTGCTGTTAATCACAACAATCTCCACAACAAGATGGGCAGGAATGGCATGCCTGCAAGAGGTGGGGACAGTGCGACAGCAGTCCAACATTCCGCAGAGATGCGGCGAGCCAGCGGTTCCACACAAACTCCCAGCTGGGGTTGTCCACGCTGTGGCTGCTGGGGAATGGCCGGGTGATGTCGGCTGTCTCACAGAAATAGTGAGCGTTGTTCAGCGTGAATTTGGGCATCATCTCAACCCGGTCCACCTCCTCTGGCGTTAGCCGCTGCCCGGACTCCTATAAAGTACCAGGAAAGCAGCACGTTAGAATCAGGCATTGGTGGGTCTGTCAGGGAGCGTAACATTCAACCTCCTGGTTCTAGGTAAATGCCGGAAAGGACAGGGTTGACAGTGTCATGCTCTTTACCGGCAATGGCAGCTGCAACCAGCGGCTCTCTGTCACCAGGCGCATGATATGGCCGCCAGGAAGGGTTGCTGCATTTCGCAGCCTTGTGGCAAGCAGCAGCATCCCGATATTCCCAATGGGTACATACCCAAGCAAGGCGCAGCCACGCTCCATGATCTGCATGTCCACATCACATCAACATTGTAAGATAATCTGCTTGAAGTCTGCCAGTGACGTGCAACATCAAGGAGCGAAGTACAAGATTTTATACAAAGTTGCATTAAGGGCCAAGAGGATACCTCTATGTCTGCCATAGCAGAGAGTACATCCAATGCCTCACCCTGCAGAGGCGAAATATGCCAGTCAGCACAAGGTGCAAAAACATCAGCACCTCGAAAGGATGTGGAGCAAAGAAAAATTGAATTACCTCTGTATCGAATACGTCGGCTCCTTTCCTGTTTCTAAATAAAATTCGGCCGTTCTGTGGATCAATTTGAAGAAGCTGGGTATCCCATCTGCCACAAACGGTGAGGAATCAATCAGCAGGCAATCAATACCTTCATAAGCACTGGATACTTGCATCTGACACGCCATCGTGGACATTCGATAATTGCAACACTATTTAGTGCTTCATGATAAACATCAGACCTGGTAGACAGCGATACAACAAGGCTGTACGTCTCTGGTTGCCTCTTGGACTTGACCACAACGCACGATGAGTTGCGCTTTGCAGAGGGATCGAAATGGTCGCGATTTGGACTTCCCTGCCTTCCATTACCATTTTCCATTGTTTGCATTCTTGATGGCAGGGGCTCTGGGTATTTCGGAACCCTTGGCTCACAGGATTGATGAGGACACCTTCCAGCACAGAGGAGTGCTTAGTCACATCAGTATTTCATGGTCCAAACAACATCCTTGCAGAGAAGCATTGTTACGTCTTCAGAAGCCCTTTCTCTGCGTCGAAAGTGTGTTTCGCGAAGTCCTTGGACGAGTCCCATGAGTTACTAACAGATGAGTCATTCCATCACATTGATCACACTGACGTTTCGGGAAGGGAACCACCACACAACAACCAATGGTCCATTCAAATCAATTCGTGGGATCAGTTCTTGCTGAACATGCTTGTGCATGCATTCTTACTCGAGATTTGGACATCTTGATTTTGTGTTGCCTAGATGTCTAATCGCTTTGCACATTCCAGACTTGTATGACGATTTGGAATCACCATTTGGATGTGGGTAACCAATTCTTGATGTAAGGGAACGACCACATTACAATTGTTCAATGTGGATAGCAGGATCTACCCATTGGACGTGGCCATCAGGTCATCGTGCTGTTTCCTTCTCGGCACAGCAAATGCGTCAGGCTTTGTCAATTTCGTTTCATCAATAGGCAGAATGAGTGTTCCTCTGGGCCAACTAAAGGAGCCAGAAAAGTCCCTGCAGGAAGGGCTGGAGTCTTCAGGGGGCTCTCTCAGATACCTCAGGCAGCTGATTGAAGATTGGATGAAGCCTTTCTCCTTGCAGAAGATCACGTCAGACAAGGGTTTTTTTGTCCTGGTGGTAGCAGTTGGGGCTGCTGCAGTCTCTCTGGGCATAGCCCTCCTGATTCCTGGCGCGTTTGTCCGGGCAGTCTTGCCGTTCATATGTGGGTTCTTGGGAGCCATTCTGCTCATGGTGATCACTGTGGTAAGTCTTGCTGACAATTCTGCACGCCCTCATGGTTCCATTGTTGTGCACTCCATTTCTACCAACCTGGGCAACACCTGCCTTTCGTGTTTCATCTGGTCTCTGAAATTGGTTTCACCATCAAGATCAGTTGCACTTCATTCGGCAGGTGTACTTGGTTCTGGCAGTGACCACCGCAAAGTTTTCTGCGGCTCCTGCCTCACAAGCGTCTCTCCTGATTCCCGGTCTTGGCGTCAGTTCGGACATGGGCGTGACACAGGAAGAAGTACAGCACGTCATGGACACAATAGGACAAGAGCTCTCTCAGGTAGGGACGCAGCCCAGATGAAATGTTGCTCTCGTGAGACTATTGTAACCCATTTTATGTGGGAACTTTCATAACGGCCTTAGTTTGGTTGCAGGCTCCTGTCGGGGACATTCCACCTTATCCAATGTGGAGCAACGGCAGATACAAGGGATGGATCTGGACCCTTGAGACTGCCAAGTTCGACAGAGCAGATGTGAGACGTCACCCTACTTTCCTTGCGCACTTTTACATTGCAACATGCGCATGTATGTGCTTACCTTCAAGTCTTCAGCATTGCCACTGTAGTAAGGTTTGTATGGTGCTCCAGACGTTGGTGAACTGGCCGCCATCAGTACCTGGGAGCTGTAGGTGGTGGGCGAGCCTGCAGGGGAGCACACTGGTCCTTGCCAGGGACAGGCCGCTGCCTGAGGAGATGCTGATGACATCTAGCGGCAGGCGGCAGTCCTCCGCTGGCGCTCCAGCCCATGAGCTGGAGGATGCACTCATTGTGAGAGAGGTCGATCTCACCGGCTGCAGGTGTGTATCTTCACAGAGCACTAAACTGGCATGCACTTCTAGTATTCTACTGCCTGGGGCATGCAAGGTCTTTGCTTCTGTAATGATCACTCCCTGTTCATTGCGAGGCTTTAACATATCTGCTCCTCTTCAAGTACGTGGAATGCTGCCATGCAGTGTGCACATTCTCACTGAGGGCTTGAGAGGCAAGTCCCGCTGGCTGCGCAAGAGCCCCCTGGAGATCAAGCATCCTGATCGTGACATCTTTGAGGGCCAGCGGGAGGTGCTGCTCTTTGCAGCAGGCAGCGCAGCCAAGGAGCAGTGGTTCATTGCGCTGTCAAGTGCCTGCAAGACTGATGGCGGCAGCGGCGCTGCCATCAGCGCCCTATACTCGTCCTTCTGTGACTATAGCCGAGCTTCTGCCTCAGTGGAGTACCCTCAGGTGCAAAACTTACTCAGTGCAGCGCTCTTGACGCACAGGAATGGCACATGCTGTTCACTTAATTAAGTGAACATCAAATATCCGAATTATGCATTGCATGCAGGTGGATGACGATAGTTCTGAGGCAAACCCACAGAATGATGAACACGGTAACGCCGAGCAGAAGCACCCGAGACGCTGGTTGTCGCGCTGGCTGCACAGAAGGGAGCACGGCAAGCAGAAGTCACCCGCACCTCCCAGACCCCCCTCTGCCAAGAGAACAAGCAAGAAGGACGAGCACCAGGGGTCAAAGGCATCAGACGGCAAGCCTGCAGGTTGGTGATCCGCATGGCACTTTGACAATTTGCATGAACAATTTCTTCGACAACATTTTAGGTCAAATAGCCTGATCATTGACAGGAGTATAGAAGGGTGTGCACAATGTCCAGCTCATACAGTCCTCAATAAGGTGTTCCTGCGTGCAGTGCTGAATCCCACGGAGTGCATGGACCAGCTGTGGATGGGCAAGGGTGGGAGTCCCTCCCCAGACAAGCGCAAGAGCCAGGTCTTGGATGGCTCCACAAGCTTGCCCGGTGAGATCAGGACAGTCCTGACATGCACCATATATTTACTTGCAATTTGCCTCAATTACTCCTTGCAAGCAAAGCCTACGCAGGTCTGATAAGTTTGTTGAGCTTTGGCATATACAGTGTCCAGAGTGTGCTGCTCATGATCAGAGTGTTGAACTGTGCAGGCCAGCCTGTCACAGAGAAAGAGGGCCGAAGTGCCAGCGCTCCGCTGCCCGCAATTGCTGCGCCGGACAGGGAGCTGCAGGACATGTCCAGAGCTGACAAGCCACAGAAAGGTCCTGCTGCAGCACCGGCGGCAGCCAGGCACCCCACAGTGTCCGTGAGCCCTAGCATGCCGGTCATGCATGCCAAAGCTGAAGCTGAAGAGGTAATACAATAATGATCTCTCATCATGATGCATGAGCTGCCTATGGACTTGTTGCAGCGTTTGAAAGCAAATCCTCATGCCGCTGATACGAAAACAGGCTGCAGGCAGCTGTTCTGTCGTTGCAAGGCACTTTGAGGAGGATGAATTGTGGGTTGGCTTGCAACGGCACAGGAGGAGAGCAGCAGCCACACAGAGGGAGGAGCACAATTGGCCCAGCAGGAGGATGATGGGTACCTGAGTGATGACAGGAGCTTCCCTGGAAGCCCCTCCACTCCGGCACACGTGCCCTCCAGGGACATGCGAGGTGCGCACCTCTCTTGGCCAATTCATTGGTACCTCTACAGTCATGTCCGAGCTCGTGTGAGGGTGCATCAGAGTGCATCCGTGTTGATGTACTGTCTTCCTGATGTTTACTGAGTATGTGGTTTACTGAGTATGTGGCTTACATAAGCTCAATTATGTGCTGCACAGGGCATGCGACCGACAGGTCAGCGGCAAGAAGAGGCAGGGCGAGCCAGCGGAGGGAGGCTGCTGCTTCGCTGCCATCTGTGCCGATGGAAGCTGGCGTGAACCTGCTCCTGGCGCGCATTGGCTTTGACCTGCTGCGCAGCAGCTCTGTGAAAGAGCACTTGCAGGCCCACATCCAGCGCAAGTTGAACCTCCTGCGCGTGCCTGAGTACATCAGCAGCCTCGAGGTGCCTCCTTTGCACGCAGGCTATGATATCTTATGTGCAAGATGTGATGCAAAGTGTCACTCTGTTCTGTTGGTGAAGTGTAATTGTTTAAGCCAGTTTGCACCCATGTATTAAATGCATTCGAGCATACATTGATGCGCTGTGCAGGTAGTGGATGTGGACATGGGGTGCTCTGTGCCCACCATCAGCAATCTCAAGGCGCTCCCATCGCCATCCTCGAACCTGTGGCCCCAGTTCCTCTTCGACATAAACTACCCTGGTGAGCTTAACTCACAGAAAACTCGACTACTTGATAATAGCGCACAGTGCCCTGAGCTATCCGGATAGTGACTGTCCCAATCAACCACGTTAGCAATGCGCATGTGCAATGCACCACAATGCCAGCCACTGCTATATAGCGTGCATGCGTATGTCTGGAAAGCCTCGCTAATAACATGTGCATGATGCCTAGCAGGCGGTCTAGTGGTGATAGTGGACGCCAAGCTGGAGCTGCGGGACCACTCTTCCTGGGACACGCTGGACCGGGCCATCAAGCGCGTGGGCGGCGTCGCTGCAGCAGCCGTCGAGGGCAACGGCAAAGGGGTGCCGGCTGCTGCCGCCCACGCGCCCGACGCCCTGTCACCCAGGGACAGCGATGACGAGGACTCCACAGGTGCAACTCGCCACTACCTGGCGCACTCGGCTCTTTGTCTTTTTTTTTTGGAGCTGCTCACTGCTGGAGAAATTTGACCTATTCTTCTTGCATGTGGGATGGGCAATGTGATAATTGTGACAATGTGTGCATGCAGCTCCTGGCGATGAGCCAGCACACAGCAGGCGGCAGGGCCGGCTGCAGCGACTGCGCGACATGGCTGCCAAGGGCATCCGCAACCTGGCAGAAATCACCGCAGAGCACATCTCAAAGTGTGCCTGCCTCCTGTCTTGAATATCTTCTCTGATCCTCTGAGTTACTTGATGCATCATGACGTGCCTTGGTGCAGATGTGTCTCCGGTGTAGAGAGCGGAGGCCATTTGGCTGCGCAGGATGCACCTGCGGGTACGCGTGGAGATACACTCTCTCCAGGGGACGGTGTGCGCCTGGGTGCCGCCGCCGCCGAACGACCGGCTGTGGTTTGGCTTTGTCACGCCCCCAGAACTGAAGGCTGAAGCGTCCCCCATCCTCAACGACGATGTGAGTTCCAGCATCACACCCCTGGCATCACAACAACGATATGTATGCACTTCCACAGGCAACTTGTGAGGCTAGAGCAGGCCTTCTGTGTGAGCTTATACTTTTCTGAAGTTGGTTAAGCGCTGCAGGCATTCCTGTTTTAGTACATTCCTGGCACTGTTGCATTCTGTGGAAGTACAGTCCCATCCTTATTTGTCACTATCTGGTCAAGAAGAGGAATAACTGCAGCACTGTACCACCCTCAGCGCCATGCATGAGATCACAAGACCAGCCAGGCTCAACAGGGGCGATAGTCAATACACGGTGTCATTTCCGCGAAGCCTTATTTCGCATGTCTCATGGAGCACAGCTTGCTCTGTGGGACAGATAGCCCCAGGTGGATCAGTACAGGTGCACAAACCCTCATGCAGTCAGATTACTGGCGCAGGTGAGGGGCCGCATGCTGATGTACTCGTACCAGATCACCAACGTGCCGCGCTGGGTGGCGGCCAAGCTGCAGAGCGCCATCACCAAGAACATGACGCTGCCCTCCTGCGCCGACATCCCCCTGCCCCACCTGCTGCCCATCGACCACCCCGCCATCGCGCATGCCCTGCCCGCCTTCCTGGCCGCCCTGCGCCAAGGTCTGCCATTTTTGTGCCTTGCCCTGACTGATCGTGTGTTGCCTGCTCAGATCAAGCCAAGCAGACCTGTCTGCATAACTGTGATGAACTTCTTTTTCAGCTGTCCTGACCTGCAGTAGAGTTGCATAAATTGTGGCTTGAACAGACATTCCTCCCAGTACAACCTAGTCTCAGCAACCCAGAGCATGCCAACCAAGCTGCTGCGTCTGAGAGTGTCTTGTGTGCGTCTGAGAGTGACCTGTGTCTGCCATTGCAGAGGAGGGAGTGGAAGCGATGCCAGAAGAGAGGAGCACTGCCGAGCGCGCGCACAGCCTGGAAGCCCCAAAGCCCGCAAGCACGCTCCCGCCTGCCTCGAAGGTGGGTGCCTCACACCTTTTGCGCCTGCACCCACCTTTTCTGTGTGCTGCTCCCGACTCCAATGTTCACGCAATGACAGAGGCTTGCTTTCTTCACTGAGAAGACTGTGTTTGCTGGCGAATCAGGAGGAACGCAAGCCCCTGAGGCCGATGATTCACTGGCCACGGCGCAGCAGCAGGAAGCCCAAGGTGGCAGCTGAGAAGGCGCCAGAGGAAGCTGCTCCTGCAGCTGCCGCCGCAGCTTCTCCCTCTGCATTGAAGAATAGGAGGGCCTCGCGCGAAGAGCAGCCCCCACACGACATGGAGCTGAGCACATTTCTGACCTCTGAGGAGAAGGCTGAGCAGGGAGAGGAGCTGCGCACCCTGGCCGTCACCCACAGCCGCACTGAGGTCAGCTGCTCTTTCGCCCCAAACAACATTTCTGGTCCCCGTATCTTGTCTGCCTGCCACCATTGGGGATGCCCTTGCATGGGGCTGACCTGAGGAGCATGGATTCTCCCAGCAGAAGCAGCACTCATTTCAAGAATATCCCGTGCCGATCGTTCTGAAGCTCATATTATTTACGCAGGCTGCGGGTGGTGCGGAGGCGTCGGATCCGCTCGGTGCGACAGCCAGCACGTCGCTGATCGTGCATGACGGCAGTGGCAGCCTCGCCGTGACCGCTGTTACCGGAGCCGGTGGGGAGGTTGCCGGTAGAGTGGACACAGCTGGCGAAGCCGAGGCCGTTCAGTCCTCAAGGAGCTTCTCCTCCAAGGAGCCGCCTGTGCAAGACCTCTCGCTGCTGCTGCCTCCACTGCCGGCAGTAGCGGTCCGGCCGAGCGCAGCTTCTCTTGGCGGCGGCAGCAGCGGGGCAGGCAGCAGCGCCGGAAGCACAGCTGGCGAGCCGGCCTCTGTGGCTAAACCTGACACAGGAATCCCATTGCTGGAGAGTGCAGCCAAGCAGGAAGCGCAGCCTGGGAGCTCTGCAGAGGCGCAGGCTGCAGGGCCCAGTTCGGGCAGAGAAGGAGCTGGCGGGAGTGTAAGGTTGGCGGCAGACCTGGCAGGATCCGTCAGCGATGAGTCACTGGACGGCCAGGAGCTGCTGCCAGCGCCTGGCTTGCATGCAAAGGGAACGCCTGCTGCCGAAGATGAGGTCCTGGGCTCCTCGCCGGACAGCTCGAGCAGGGGCGGCTGTGGCAGGTCGGCGTCGCTGGGCGGGGGGGGCTGGTCCCCCCAGGCCGACAGGGAGGGGTCCCCCGGTGGCAACCGCGGGGCCGGCCAGTGGCGCGAGCTCGGCGGCTCCGTGAGAAAGAAGTACTACGATAAATACTACAATCAGGTGGCCCTTCTGCACCTTCTTGCAGCACCAACTTTTGCATGTTAAACGTTTATATGATGCATGCATGCTCTTGATTGCCAACAAAGACCAATATGGCTGAAGCAGGTCCGGACATTTGAATGCAAATGACATAAGCGGCAACATTCATTAAGCATGCTTGGCTGTGAACAGGCACAGTCACTGGGAATGCAGGGCAAGAAGACATTTTCGTCACTGAAGGAGCAAGCCCAGGAGCAGATGCGCAAGGCGTTGGCCGCTCGAGAAAAGGCATCAAAGGAAGAGAAGAGGAACTAATGTGCCTGACAATTCATTTAATGGACTCACATGTTTTTTTAAATGTTGTTGTATTTGTAGATATATGTAGATAAGTAGATATGCATAATATGGTAGAACAGTAGGTACATATAAAGTAGTGTCTTGTACTCGTTTGTGTTATTTGCTGTGGCATTTTGCCAATCCAACTACAACTTTGAAACCATGTCTCTCTAGACAGACCGATCTCCCTGGAAAGGCAGAAATGTACATGTAGTGGTTTTTAGCATTCTGATGACACCGCAAAGCAGAATGAAAGTTTTTCAATGCATATGCAGCTCCCGAGACATTTCCAGATGATTATTGCTATAACCATACATGAGCTCCATGCGAACAATATGCAACCCCAGCAGATATGGCCAGCAGGTTCAGACCAGCTCAGGCAAATTGCTGATATACTACTTGGCATTATCGCACAATTGCAATTGAGCAGCCGACGAAATAAAATACTGGTTCTCAATATCTATCTCCTCAACATGCATCAACATCATACCTATTGTCCAGATTAAAAACCATTGCCTTCATGTCAACCATGCCATGAGTACCGTACCCATCATGGCATGCTGCACGTCCGGATGCATTCCCATGCAGAACGCACAATGCAACAAGAAAAGTCATCTGCTTCATCAATTGCCTGAACGGTCAGTCAGGAGGTCATGCATATTTGTGACGGCGGCTTCTGAAAGCGGCCTCAAGCCTGGACACAACATCTGCTGCCAACCGCGGACAGTCATCAATCTTGAGGTACAGAGGATCCTGTCAACACACCAACCCCATGTTCAGCGGATGGCACTTGCCATGTGAAGATGTGCAATCCACCACAGTTTTTTTAGTACAACCAAATCACCCATCACCTTGCTGCTACGTGCTGCTGCCATGAGGTCGGCCACAGGGCGCTCCAGTCTGGACATCTGCAGCTCGTGCAGGTTTGAGCATCCTCCAACATCCAAATGCCTCAAGCTCTTCCCTTGTAAATGCAACACCTGCCGCAATGCAAGACTGTGTTATTACAAGTACATGATAGCAAAGTTGTGGCAGGCAGGGTGAACCTTCTCACTGCAACCGTTCGGCGATTTTCAAGAAACCTTCAACAATACTTCCTCATCATCCAAGAAATGAAATGAACTCTACCTCCAAGAGCTGGCACGACTGCACCATGCAGACCTCCAGCGCTGCACTTCCACAGACAATCCTGCGCATCTGTCTGCAACCGGCAGCCTCCAACCGTAGCATCTCTGTCTGAGCATCCAATACCAGCCGAAACAAGCTGATGCAGCCGTTCACGTTCAGCGTCAACAGGCTTGTGCATGCGGCAAGAGACTCGTCCAGTCCTGCAAGCACAAATCGTCCTGATTTGTCGCATTGGCAGGGACGTTTGCAAAACCATAGAGACTCGCATTCGAGCTTCACAGCTGGTACAGCATAGGGTGCAATGCAATGCACCGCCGCACCCACAAAGAGCTTGGCAGTCTGTAACGTGTCCCAAGTTGCATTGGAAACTGCTCTCTATAGCAAATCACCTGCGAGACTCCTGCAGTTGGCAAAGTTGGCATGGAGCAGGCTGGGGAGGTGGCATCCCTCCTGCAGGCCCTCCAGCCTGAGGCACTGTGAGGCTGACAGCGCCTCCAGCGCATTGCACCTCAGAGCCAAGAAAGTGAGGCTGCTATTGCCGCTGATGTTCAGGCTGCGCAGCTGCGCGCATGTGACCACAATCTTGCCCAGGTTGGTGCACCCTGCACCACAGCAACACCTCAAAACAATATAAATGAAGCATTTGAATTTTAAGAAATCCTCCGCATGGGGATGGTACAGCTGAGAAGGAAAAGGTAGCGTTCAACGAGAGCATATGGGAATGCAGAAGAAGGCCGGAGGAATGTTGAGAGGCACATGGATCAACTACCTGACAGGTGTAGGTCCCTCAGCTGCACGGAAGGAGGTAGCTGCAAAGTGACGCTCGTCAGACCGCTGCACTGATTGGCTGTCAGCGATTGCAGCACGCCCTGCACTCCCTCCAAAACTCAGCTTTCATACTCTTGCGCTATTGAAGCTACCGTGCCATGCGTGTACAGACTCACAGGGGTAGCAAGCAGGAGACATGAAAAATGTGACTGCAGAAAAGACAGCGCGGACCCATTTGTCCTGAGGCAGGCAGGAGATGGCGGTGCGTGACACATTGAGCGATGTCAGCGAGCTAGCGCAGGCTTTCAAAAAAGCCAGGACTCCTTTGGAGGTGACTTCTGTACATCCGGCCACTGACAACGCTCGCAACATGCGCGCCTGCTGAGTGCTGCTCCCCTCATCCGAGCGCCACTCCGCCAGCGGGCTGTGGGCATGCCTTGCCGTTGCAAAAGCATCCTGCACACACAATCACATAATATAGGTCAAGTATTGTTATTATTATTATTATTATTATTATTATTATTATTATTATTATTATTATTATTATTATTATTATTATTATTATTATTATTATCATTATTATTATTATTATCATTATTATTATTATTATTATTAGAGACAAGCTGCAGTTAATGTCAAGTATAAATGGCTTGTAAAGCTTTGGACGTGCCACAGTGACGTGCCTCCACATGTAGCCGGGCCTTGCCAACCAGCCTGGGTTGCGAAGCATCCCGCACTTGCAGAGCCTCCCATGCAAGCGCGTCCTCCTCTGCCTCGGCTTCGGCTTGTCTCATGTAGGACGCCAGTGCTGCCAAGGTGTCATCTGACAGCTGTATGCAGTTTGACAGATCCAAATTCCTGCACACACGCGATTTTTTCCTGCTCACTCTAAAGCAGCCCTATTAGTGATTTGCAGGGCAATGCTTTGCAGGGCAACATGCTGCTGCATGCAGGGCACAATGCTGGCTTGTGATGCAGAAGTAAGAATTAGCACCAGCAGAATGCCAGGTGCTAAATTTGAGCAGCACCTGATCGTGTCAATGGTGGTGAAGTAATCCAGCAGGGCATGCTCGGAGAGGCTCCTGCAGCCGCTGAGGTCGAGGGATTCCAGGGCGGCTCCCTGCTCACGGGCATGCGCCCCCAGTGCAATGGCGTTGCTCATGCCGCGCATCTGCACGAGGGACGGGTGCACCCTCACCTTCTCGGCACGGCTGTGAGCCTTAACCATACCCCGAACAGCCGCCACAGAGAGCCCTGTCACAGGCACATCAACATTAGAATGATGATACAATGAGAAGGTCCTGTGTAATGAGAATAATTGCTGTCAGCTCTGGGGAGACTGGCAGATGTCTGCATCTAACTAGGTGCTCCGATTGGGAATGCCAACCTGCAGGCAGTTTTACGGTGCGTGTAGCCAAGCGCGACTCGTGAGCATAGGTAGCGAATTCCCGACATATACCAGCCGCTCTCGCGATGTCACGAAGAGTTAGGTGCTCCAAGACCTGCATTCATTTGGGAATCGCTTTAGCGATCTTTGCCGCTAGGCACTGGCAGATAGCCATGACTCCTTGCTGTCATTACCTGCAATTTGCATTCTTGAGGCAGCTCATCCCACCAGCATGGACCTGTAGCAGTGAAGCATGCAGTCAGCTACAGGCCTGAGGCACGGAATGCGACTTCAATTTCGTGGCAACCAAGCAACTGCATGTATGGCAGCTTATGACCATCTTGAATTTAGTGGCTCACCGTTGCTTTCATGAGTAATAATCCGCTGCTGCTCAATTGGGTCCCGACGGTGTGAGGTGGATGGATTGGTTTGTGGGCAGATGCTGATTAGTGCCTCCGTGGCAGCCTCCTTGCTGTAATTGAAATCCTCAAGAACATCAAGAACTATATCCGCATCTAGAATACCACGGAACATTTCCTGCAACTCCTGAGTGAGTCGCATATTCGTCCGATGCACGTCTTGCCCATCACTCAAGGATGACAAACTGTACTTTGAAGCCTTTTGAGAACCTTTTCCTCTTCTCCTAGCCATTGCAAAAGTAGTGTGCAAACCAGTGAGCAGCACCAGACAGTGTTGAACTTGATGTGCTGACAATGATTGAGCTTGGAAAACAACTGTTACCGGGCGCTGCGCTGCCCTCAGGACATTATCTAAATGTGAACTGCTCTAGAGACGTTGCAGATGAGCATTTGTTAGTCTGAAGCGAGTTGCACAGGGCAATTGCATCCTTCACGGGCACGTGACCACCTTGTGTCGATTGCCACGTCATTCGAACTTAAAGCGCAGGCATCCATCTGCTCGGAACGCGCTGATCGCACATACAAAGATAACTTCGCGCACAATAATTGGAAAAGAGTTGTTTGTTGGTGGATCCTGGGCTCAGAGAATATATCACGTGGCCGATGGCCCTGCCTAGGCTTTTCAGGGATGGCTACAAGACTCTCGGCAGATTCGTCCAGGAGCCAGCATGTGATGTAAGGCGTTGTTTGCCGCCGTCATGCACAGCCTTTGTTCGAGGCTATGCAGCAGAACCAGCGCCTATCGAACACGGTGAGAAATTTGGGAAAATTGCCTTCCAACTAGTGTAAGTAGAAACAATGAGTCTTTAGCATATTATTCACCACACTAGGTGCATTTGCGCTCTTGTTCGGATGCGGAGGCGTGCATGCGTGCTGAGAATTGACAAGAGTCCCTGCACTGTGCAGACATGGAGCCACCACCTTCCACAGGAGGCAGCTCTGGTGATCCGTCAGACAGTAACATTGAGATGAAGGGTATCAAACTGCGTGGAGCGCCGATGTACCTCGACATGCAGGCCACGACTCCCCTCGATCCAAGAGTGCTGGACGCTACACTGCCTTTCTTGACAGAGCAATACGGCAACCCCCATTCTCGCACTCACATGTATGGGTGGGAGAGTGAGGACGCCATGGAAGTTGCTCGCAAGCAGGTGGGTCTTGAAAGCTATTGCATGTGACTCCTGGAAAATGCCGCTTGCTGTCCAGCTCCTGCTGAGCAGTTTGTTAAATGCGGCATTCTGAAGACTGGTACATTATGCACAGGTGGCTTCATTGGTGGGCGCTGATCCCAAGGAGATCATATTCACTTCTGGCGCAACTGAGTCAAACAACCTGGCCATCAAGGGCATAGCCAATTTTTACAGGGACAAGAAGAAGCACATCATCACCACTCAAACCGAGCGTGAGTTGCTTTTGCATGCCAAATCACGTCAAATCAAACGTCAAATCAAGTCATTCAGCGCGGCTGTTGTTTCCAAAGCTAGCAGCCTTTGGCTTATTTTGGCCTTGGATTTGAGGTCTGTGATCCTCATCACGGGGAAGCTGATGCATGGGGTATCTGTGCTGCACAGACAAGTGCGTGCTGGACAGCTGTCGGTATATGCAGCAGAGGGGCTGGGATGTAACCTACCTGCCCGTCGACCAGGATGGCCTCATCAACCTGGATCAGCTCAAGGATGCCATCAGGGAGGACACAGCCATTGTGTCTGTCATGTACGTCAACAATGAAATTGGTGCGCATCTAGACCGCCCTTCACATGGATCTGACAACTCCTGCCCTATCTCTCTTTCAATCAGCAAATTCTGTAACTGTGCATAGGTACTCTCCTAAGTTACTAACACTTCACTCATTCTTGTTTGGACAAATTTCAGTCAGCATGTAAGGCGCTGCATGGGCTTGCTGCAGGCACTGTGCAGCCGATGGCAGAGATTGGCAAGCTGTGCCGGGAGCGCAAGGTGTTCTTCCACACAGACGCGGCGCAGGCGGTGGGCAAGATTCCGGTGGACGTCAACGCGGACAACATCGACCTCATGTCCATCTCCGGGCACAAGATCTACGGCCCCAAGGGCATCGGCGCCCTCTACGTGCGCCGCCGGCCGCGCGTGCGCCTGGAAGCCCAAATGAGCGGCGGCGGCCAGGTGCCTTCCCATCTGCCTCCCCTGCCGCCTTTCACCTCCTTGCACCCCTCCTCCTTGCATTTTATGATCAGAATCCAGAATTCGGAAGAGTACATCTTACTTTTGAAGATCGTGCAATGTTTGCTCATATTCAGCAAGCTGCCATGCATCTCAGCAACGCATAAAGACTGCTACCGGCACGAGCACATGCGAGGCGCCAGGTTTTGGAATGAATGAAAAGTCTTCCGAGGGAACTTAGAGATGTTGAATGAGCTGATGTGGGCTTGCACAGGAGCGCGGAGTGCGCAGCGGCACGGTGCCTGCGCCGCTGGTGGTGGGCTTTGGCGCGGCGGCGGCGCTGGCGCAGAGGGAGATGCAGGCGGACACGGAGCACATTCGCCGGCTGGCGCATCGGTTGTACGAGGGCGTGACCTCCCAGCTGGACGGTGTCGTGCTGAACGGCCCCGGTGACCTGGACGGCCGCCAGCGCTACATCGGCAACCTCAACCTGTCCTTCGCCTATGTGGAGGGCGAGTCCCTGCTCATGGGCCTCAAGGTGACCCTCCACGCCGCCAGAAGCGCTGGTGTGATTACTAGTATGGGCTTCGACCGTGTCTGCCCGCTTCTTTTTCTTCCATGTTGAAGGGACCCATTGATCTCTTGTTGGTGATGTTTGACAACAACAAAAAAGGCTTATTGCACAGCAGCTGTTTGCACCTCTACTTTGCTCTCAGACTTTTGTCACTTATTGCACTGCTGCTTGAAGGACTCTCAAAGTAGCCCCCTACTGTGCTGTCTTGTGGCACAGTCTTTGCAGAGCAGCCTGCTCTGAATCCCTCACTTCGTCATAGAGGACGGTAAATTTCTGTGCCGTGAAAGCACAGGTCCCACAATGTAGTGGCTTGGCTGGCGCAGGACCTGGCAGTGAGCAGCGGGAGTGCGTGCACGAGCGCGAGCCTGGAGCCGAGCTACGTGCTGCGCGCGCTGGGAGTGGAGGAGGACATGGCGCACACCTCGATCCGCTTCGGCCTGGGCCGCTTCACCACCGAGGCAGAGGTCGACCGCGCCGTGGCGCTGACGGTCGCCCACGTGGACAAGCTGCGCGAGATGAGCCCCCTCTGGGAGATGGTGCAGGAGGGCATCGACATCAAGAGCATCCAGTGGAGCCAGCACTAGGCCAGGGGAGGGGCTTCTAGGGGACGGGTCTGTAATCGAATCAAGGCTCAAGACAGTGCAGGCCAAGGTGTGAAAGACGTGGAGGGGGTCAAGGTGAATAGCATCCAGTAGAGTCAGCTGGCCAGCTTCAGTTGCCATCAGGGGACGGGTCTGTGGGCTGTTTGTGCCAAGATCAGGCTGAAGACAGTGCAGATCAAGGCATGCAAAAGCATTGAGGCTGTTGGGAGGAGGGCATTGACAGCAACAGGATCCAGCAGAGCCAGCACTGGGCAAGCTGTGTGCTGCAAGTGTCCATTAAGGAGCATGGGTGTTTCAAGTAGCAGGGGCTTGCAGAAAAGCAGGAGTATGGGCTGTATGTGTCGAGAAGAGGCTCAAGAATGATGCAGGTGAAGGTGTGTCGAGGGTGTTGGCATGATGAAGGTGCCTCATTGATATCTGCATAGCGTAGATTTGATGAATTATTTGAGTGTTAGCTTATTGATCTGCTGATGCACGTCACTGTCTTGTGGTTCAGACATGCCCTTTTAGACATGTCCTTTTCAAATAGTAGTGACAGTGGGATCAGCCTTAGACTTGAGAGAGATCCTCCAGTCATGACCAATCGATCAATGCAATGCGGTTGTTGCTTATTGTTGATAGCACCGTGACAGGTGACAGTGCTCATGTAAAGTCATGATTTCAATGTTGCGTAAATTTGCAGCTAAAGGACCGAGCATGACTCGGCGGGCTGCAGCCACCACTCCCAGGAGTGCCTGCTTGCCAATGCATGTATACTGTACAATGTGCATGGCATATTGACGTAATGAATGATCAGCATCCCCGGGCCGCTAGCGCTACTGCAGTAGCTCCGAGCTACTGAGTCAGCTCAGGCTCGAGCTCGTACCGGCCGCGTTGCATTACTAGTACTGCCAGTGGGCCAGCGTGGCTTGCGCTGGTTGTCGGCCTGCCGGCCTGACGCCATGCCACACAGATGGGAACACACTGAACTCATGCACGTGCCATCAAAGCCTTGCGCTGGCACAAGGAAGGAAGGAAGGAAAATTACATCACTCCACCAGCCACCTAGGCTGATCTGATGCCTGACTCTGGTTATTAGAGTCAGCGCCCAGCATGAATGTCCAATGTCCAATGTCCAATTGCCACTGGGAAGCCGTACTTCCTGGAATAGACCTGAGCGGCTAAAACAGGCAATACTCGTGATAACGACCTTGGATTCGGTCGACGGAGGCCAACGTTGCTAGTCCAGATGTATAGAAATCCCGAACACCCCTCGTCGACTTTACATTACATTCCACATCGTATCAATATACAGCACTGCACGCGGCTCTTACAACCATATCGGCGGGCCTTTCGTCATCAGGGTTTTCTTGAGTATCTTTTTCGAGGCCCCAGACTTTTAACGGTAAGTATTCATCAGAGAGTCGTGAAGGTTGTACCACAAGTTATATTGTTTGTCATATTTTGTGAGAGAAATATTTAGATGACCTGTGGCCAGGACCAGGCAACGATCGGTACGTAATGGAGGGCAGAGCGATGTCCCAGGAGCTTTGGGGCGAGGTGTGGAGGCAGGTCGGCTATCATATCGCTGACTATTGCTCCACAGTTGACTGGGTAAAAGGCCAGTGGGGCCAGCTTGGAAGTTTCGAAGGTGATTACCTTGCCTGACCTGACGCAGCTCGAAGTCATATGCTACCTGGAAATCACATCTAAGATTGTCCTGGTAGATCAGGCGCCGCTGCAGTTGCTGTTTCTCGTGCCTGCAGCTTTCTCTCTTATCAGCGCTGCCCTTTCCTATCCTGTGTGCCTTGCTACAGGTGAAGCCCAGCATAATTTGTATGTGCCCCAACAACTTGGAGGCACTTTCCTGGCTGTCAAAGCACAGCAACGAGGCAACGGTGCTGGATATGGAGTTTATCGGCGCCGAAGAGCAGACACAGGAATTGGTGCAGCATTCTCTGACTTTGGCTGCAGGTCTCACCACGTTGCAGGTACAGGGTTCCTAGCAGCTGCAAAAGTGTCGAAACAGTGCCTGCTCATAGCTTAGTAAGGGCCTGCCATTTGATTCCAAGTTGCTGATTACAGATTGCTGAAAACAAAGTGGACACCCACCTTCTCACATTCGCCCGCGCAGGCTCTGCGGCTGGTTGCTCGCCGGTTTGATGACATCAGCATCCTGACCCAGAGGCCACTGAGACATCTGGAGCTGAAGGCAGTCCATTTCACTGACAAGCGTGGCTTTTACATGCTGGGTTGCCTGCGCTCTTTGGAGACCCTGGCCATCCAGGTTCATGGGGAAGAAGCCGAGCTTCCTGGGCTGGACCTGAGCGGTTGTGTAAGGTTGCGCGGCTGCGCTTTGGCCGGCATCTCTGCGACTGAACTCCAAGTCCCAGCGGGCTGCTCTGTCCTGCTGAAATCTGGCTGCATGGGCATGATGCATCCGTGCAGCCCTGCTTGCCCATCTTGTCAGAGTAAAGACTACGATGTCCGTTCATTTCTCACCAGTGTGTTTGCGGCGTCGACCTTCCTGGAGGTGGGAAATAATCAAACAGACATCACCCTGGAGGTGCGTGAGAGCCTCCAGCACCTGGAGTCTCTGAGCATCAGCGGCCGCAGAGTCAAGCTGAGCACCAAAGTGCCTTTGCGGCTGACCTCTCTCCGGGCTCTTGCAAGCAGCGAGCTCTTGCTGAAATTCAGTCACTACAGGCATGCAACCAGCATGGCAGAAGCACTGCAGGCTTACACTTTCGAATGTGAGAGGGGTTTGGATGCATCTGACATGAGGCCACTTTTTGAAATCCTCAAGGACTTAGACAAGCTTGGTTTGCCTATGAACCGTTACGGTGAAGTCCCATCGGGAGGCGTACGCATAAAGCAGACAGCACGCAAAACAACGGGGCCTCCGGATCCACGAGAGTTTCAAGAAATCGGCTGGGTCAACGGCATCGAGCGTGACGAGATGTCCTCAGGAGCATACACGGCTGCTGTCGATGAACGCTTGGCAGCGCATGCTGGCTCTGCAGGCGCAACGGCGGCGATGTCCTTTGCGCAATTGCATAATCCAGTCTGCCGATTCTCTTAACTGCCGCTAACATCCACATGAGCAGCTGGAATTCTTGTGAATTGTCCCTTGCTGCTGATCTGAGGCAAGAGTGCGATTTCCAGCGGATCATTTGGGTAGTAGGCAAATGATTGATAAATTGGCCTACTTCAGTTGAGAGTGGCACCAGCATGTTGTATCATTTTTGTGTTTGCCCTAGGACCTGCCCCTTATAGGAAATGTCACCCTGTGTACATATTGCAGATGGTTTGCTAGGCCAGATTGTTTGCGCCGCCCCGACCAGCTCTTCAAGCAACCTCTGATTGCTCGTTGCTTGCGTGTATTCCTGAAGTGTAGGATGGGTTGTCACAGTCTGCCTGATGTCTCAGGCCGATGGGCTGAGGTTTCTTGGGCTCAGCGTCTCTGCCTGCATTGTGCCCAGCAAGGTGTTTGGGGATATATATGGCTATGGGGATATTATATAAGCGCCACAAGTTGTCTTTGAGGGCCCTGCCTTGCAAAAATTTTCGGGATAGATACCCTGGGTTGTTCCGAAATGGATGTTGTAAATAGCACAAACAAACAAATACACACAAGGTGGCGCTCATCCCCAATAACCTGCTGGGCACAACGCATGCACAAACCTTGGAAGAGTGCCAGAGACAGTGTGCCTATACAGGTATGCATGGGCAAGACATGGTAATCACATGTTCCCTCGTTTTCTTGGTAGACACTGAAAAGCACCTAGCAGCGCTTTGTAGGAGTGTCTGCTTGGTATTCCTCTTTCTATACTACTCCCAGTGTGGCTTTTTCCCCTCAATCAGGTGTCTCTCTTAACTTCGTTTGCCGAACGTTAAGTGATGCTCACTCCGCTTTGACTGCATGCTCGTTACAGAACTGGTGATCAAAAGGTTGTCGGATAATTTTATCTCGCTGACTTTTGATTGACGGTCAGTACCTGGCTGCCGACGTAAACGAGTGAATGACCAGCACTGACATTCCCATGACAAGTCCTTCACCGTCCTCGGAAGTAGATTACAGCGATCTATGCGGTCTTGCCGTCAAACTCAACCTAGCACTGCTTGATGCCGATGTGTTGAAGCTCGCTTCGGAATATCTCATGTCTACGCTTCCTTCCATCACATTTACTAGGTGAGGTCGACCACTCCAAACCGACGAAGACACTCGCCAGTCTCCAATCTTAATCCAATTTGACAATATCAAAGAATTTGTGCGTGCCATATTACCGGCAGAGCATGACTCTGAGTGAACTACAGTGAACTAGAGAGTTTGTCCCCAGGTTTGTGCACAGCATCAACAATTTTACACAGACTGTGATAATCAGACCTGGAGGGGCTGTGGAGAGATGGAAGTCCGCCCGTGCAACTCCAGCTAAAGGACCTGTTGGGGAATATCCCACGGTTTGCGGGGAACACACTGCCAGAGAAGGGTGCTTGTTATGACTCCTGATACATGTGCTGCTGCAGCCAAAATACAGTTGAAGAGGAAAGAAGCGGTACTGTCAATCTATGACATCTGTGTGAGGATCTTTACACACTCTTCTGTTGCGATTAGGGGTTCAGCTGGCACTAGTTTCTCGGCGGATGAGCCCGAAGCAGCCAGTGTACATGTGGCTCCTATGCACAGCAAGGGAAAGGCGCTTGGGACCCTCACTGTCGGCAGCAGCTCACCTGATGCCTTTGCAGGGTGCGCCTCCATGCTGAAGCCATCCCACGAGGCCCCTGAGCGCACTGAGCTAGATTCCACAAATCTTGAGGGCCAGTACATAATGACGCACTTGCCAGAGCTCGGCAACCTCACACCTGTCTTCTAGAGCGTGCTTCATTTGCAGGCGGCGGGCGGAAGCCGTGGACATAATAGCTGCCATGGTTGCCCCATACATGCACATCCATGACTTAAGGCAGCATCTGGAAGTCAAGCAGACGTGTCTTGTTGACTGTCTTCCTGCAAAGGTGAGCTGCACGTGCACTACCTGCTGATGTCAACACTCTGACAGTCATTCAAGTAGTGAGTGAGTGAATTATGACAGCATCTTATGATCTACTTCCTGTCAAGGAAAGCTTGACAGTGTTGAAACCATAGCAATTCTGGGCCCTGTGCTGCGCAGGTGGCATCTCACATGCTAGAAAAGAGGTCGCTGGGCATGACACCAGTCATGCACTCTGCCGAATATGACACAGACGCCTCCTCTTCAGACGGGCATGACCATGGTGATGGGACATAAGGGGATGTCCTCAACTTGCATAAGGACGTCTTCCCTCACATTGGTACTATTTTTGTAATGACTGATCAGAGACTATGACCAAGCTCTGAGCTTGTCACTCAGAGCTTTCAACGTGCTCAGATCTAGATGTTGATATTGTGACTCAGAGTGGTCGCTGCCTCGCTCACTTTGAGTACAGCATTATTTGAAGGGACTCGAATGCACATGTGGAGAAACCTTTTCCTCTGGTCTGAGCTTGATCCCACACTGATGATCTTGATCCCACCCTGCAGCTCATGAGCTGATCAGCTGACTTGAAGGCATATAAAATTCTGAGCTTGAGGGCGTACGAATGTGCTGGTCCTGATTATGTCAAGCTTGCAACAGCCTGGGGAACATTCACAATCTAATGATTACATTTGAATGAGCATCACACAACTCTTTGGAGGTTGCAGTGGTGTCCAACAGGCGCTTGAAAACAACATTCTACTCAGGAACCTACTAACCTAAGATTAACGCCAAGAGAAGACACATTGTACACATGCCCACTGGGGACGGCAGAGCACCAAGCTCTGATTAGCGTTGCCAACAGAAGGATGCTGAGCTCAAGCACCCAGCAGGCGCTCTACAGCAGCATTGACATTTCCTCCGGTAGCCTGCAGAGCCTGAATGTTTGCTTGCTCATCGAAGAAACCCATGGCCTGCAGGACACAGTAGCATTCCCTTGAAGCTCTTCTGATGGCACATCAGCCCTTTGCGAGCTTCTACAAATATCCATCTACACACTGACATGGCGAGGACAGGGCCATTTGCTGCATACATGAGCAAGCTATGACAGCCAACCATCGAGGAACTTGTTTGTTTGGGTCAAAGTGTGTCTTGAAAGAGTCGAACCGCACCCTGAGCTGCTCCAGCTGTGTGGCATATGCAGTCTCTGGGTTGGAGACAGCTGCGGGAACTCCAAAGCCTCCAAGGCCCCCGCCGCCACCCCCCATGTTGAGCGAGTTGAACATGGAGGCAAAGTTTGGTACAGCAGGTGGGGCACCTGCAAATGCAATGGCGCCCAGCATGAGACAGACATGACACCTTGATCAGTGTTGAGGATGAGCGGTGGTGCGGTGCTGTATGCTTGCGGTGTGCATGCTTGCGCCCTGCAGCAGTCCTCATTGTTTTAAGGCCTTGCTGTCAGCAACTGTTCTCGTAGTGCTGTCCTCGTACTGCTCTCCTCATAGGCATGTCCTCTATGTGGTGTCCCAATCATCCTTCTACACAACAGGCGCATTGGTAAGGGAGAAGCGAGGGGCACTGAGCAAGGGGGAGCTCCTAAATGGGCTGCGGACCTGCACTGACAGGTGGCTGCTCAAGACCGGCGCCCAGGCCACTGCCAAGACCAGCGCCGAGGCCGAGGGCCCCACCGGGGCCGGGGGGCATCAGGCCGCTGCCCTGCAGCTGCTGCATGGCCTGCTGCATCTGCATCATGGCCTGGATGTTGGCAGGGTCCAGGGAGCGGCGCAGCATGTCCGGATCTGACATTGCTGCCCTGTGCACAGCAATGTCGCAGTGTTTGAGGGACTGCATCCAATGCATGCATTGTCGCGCCACCACCCAACTCTAGCAACTTTGTGCCACTTGAAAATTCATGATCCCTGAGGATAGCAGTTGTATCGGAAGACCTTGGCCATGACAGAAATGCTTTGTCCTTCTGCATGGCAGAGACATGGCAGAGACATACAATGCTATCCAGACACAACAAAGGGGATAGCATCTGTAGCCCTATTACTCAGAATAAGTTAGGCAAAAGGTGCTCACACCTGAGGCGGGGGTCGGAATCCAGCATCTGGCGCAGCTGGGGGTTGTTGTTGACTGCGTTCTGAGTCAGAGCCTCCATCATTTGTGGCTGTGACATCATCTGCTGCAGCGCCTGCTGCATGGCCGGATTCTGCATCGCCTGTTCAGTCATTGACACCTCGTCATTTAGTTGCTGGTGGCTCAGAAAATTGCTTCTGAACCCTCATGAAAATACTAGCGAATGCTCCAAAGCCCGTCAGCACCTCATACGAGAAATATGCAGGACAGAGGGATGCACTGACCTGGAGGACTGAGTTCATATCATTGGGGTTGACGTTCTGCATGCCCATTCCCATATCGCCCATACCCATGCCGCCCAATCCCATGCCACCCATTCCCATGCCACCAAGGGAGCCCAGTCCTCCACCTCCCATACCCAGAACCCCTGCACATTGATGCCCATGTACTCAGCCAGCCTGTCAATAGATAGTGCATGCTCTCAGCGTTGAACCCTCCTCAGCAGGAAGCTGTACCATGCGCAGTGTGCTCACCATCGAGGAGATGTCCTGAACACAGAACACCGTATTCAAACTAAAAGCAATCTTAAATTAAGGGCCACACCTCCAAGGGGCTGTGTAGCAGCAGGTGCCCATGGGTTGGGCAGGGGAGAAGTGTTGGGCACAGCGGGGGCGGCAGAGTCAGCGGGCGCCCCTGTACCGGTGGCAGGCGCAGTGGAGGAGGGAGTACCAGCTGCCAGCGAGGCAAAGGGGTTCCTTGCATTGCCGGCTGCAAGATTGGCTGCATCATTTGCCGCAGCATCCATCAATGGCTCCTGACAAAAGGCAGGCCACGGCTTAGACAGTGCCAAAGTAGGTCTGCGACCTTTGCGTCTCGACTATTACAAAGGTACATGAAACTGCATCTAGAGTACATTCCATAAAGCTGTTGGAAGCCGTGCGGAATGGGAGGCCACCTGGATGTTCTCATACATGCGCCGGAGAGCATTGAATCCTTCAGGGTGCGACTCCAGGTTGCTGAAGGCTCGATCTGTGTTGCGCATCTGTTCGCGCATCAGAGCCTGCAAGAGCACATTTGTGATCAATTATATACACGTTGATCAATTGTATACACACACCTCGTTTGCTTTCTGTCCCTGCACAGCATCAGCCATCAACATGGACGCGGTAGATTACAGTACTCACATCCAGAGTCACACCAGACAAGGCAGAGCGCACCGGGTTGGCAGCCAGCTGCATTGACTCCCTCAGAAGCTGAGGGTTGTTCATGATCTGAGCAAATTCAGGGTTACGCTCCATGATCTGGAGGGCAATTGGCAGTGTCAGTGTTGCGCTGGACCTCCGGTGACACCCTTCATTTTGCACAGCAAAGCAGGACAGCAGCTATGAAAGGTGATGCTGAGAGTGAGTACCTGGGACACCATTGGGTTCTGTGAAAGCATGTTGCGCAGAAGCTCTGGATCATTCATCATGTTCTGCATGATCGGGGAATTCATCATCTGTGACATGAGCTCTGGGTTGTTGCCCATTCCTCCAAGACCCTGGAAGACATTCAACGAATCTCAGACTGCATATTCAGTGAAGTCACAATTTCAGTAGTAACAAGACATTTTGACGGAGATGCGACTTTGGTTGAGGTTAAAAGCATCGCCGTACCAGGTTTCCAAGGCCAGCATCAGGACCAAGCGCAACAGGAGGTGAAGTTGCAGCTGATGATGGCTGGGGAGTTGTACTGTGGCACACAAAGCACATCAAATGACGACACAAAGAGATCACAACGCTTTTCAGATCTAAATATGCAAAAAGCAGGACAGGGCATGAAGGCATCAAGAGGTCTAGCTACCTCGGTGCTCTTGCCCTTACTAGGTGCAGGACGTGATCCGCAGCCACGCCTGTAAAAGCATGCCTTGTCAGAGATCACGGGTGTAACATGCCTTTCACATGATTTTACAAAAATCGGGACGTGTGAGACGCACCATAACTCTCCACTGTCCTGTCATCCTTCAGCACCTGCCCCTTGTAAATCAGACGCTGATTATCAGCAGCGATGTTTGCCTTTTCGGCCACCAGAGACTTGACTTCCGCGATCGTCATTTCATTCCTGACATCAATGGAAATCTTTTCACCACCAGAAGTGGTCTTCAGATGCACAGTAAAGTGAGACATCTCGTGCCCTCGCTGTCCCACGCTATGTGCACACAATGTCCCTCGAAAATCCTGAGGGCTCACATACACAAATTTATTGTGCCTAACCTCCCATCACGTCTTCCGAGGCACTATGCGAGGTTCGGTCTTTTGGAGTGTGTCATCTCCCTAGATTTATTGGAGAGGTCTTATATTCTTAGGGTGTGTGAACTTGGCACCTTCTCCTCTTGGCAGGAGCTGGCCTATGCTCATGCAGAAAGGCTGAAACTCTGATAGACTTCGAGCACGAGGTGGCTGTTCCTCGACTGTGCGCGTAGGTCCCGCTGGGGTTCTGGCTTGAAGCATGGTTTGGCGCGGGACCACAAGCGCACTGTTTGTTTTGCTTGTAGGCTTGACATATGTCGAGAAGTCTCATGGGTTCTGCTACGGCATCAGCTCTGCAACTCCAATTGACTCCTTTCACTATAGAGCAGTCATTAACGCTCTTGGAAGATGCGCTCCAAACACCGTAAAGTGCGTTGCTCTAAAACCTGTGTTAATATTACAGTTTGATCAAGGATTCAAGGATTGATAAGCTGCTATGACTGATTGAGTTATGCTTGTCCTGACAGCTTTATCTGTGTTGTAGCATAACACGTTTCTACATGGTTGGGGCTTGCGCAAACACGAGGAGAAACGACTTCTCCTATCGACCAGACTGCAGAAATGACGGTGGAAGCGTACTGGATGGGAGTACAGCGACGTGTAACTCAGTCTTCAATTCGAGTACGCAACAAACCGCCCTTCATGCATTGCTGACTAAGCAATGTTTGGACGAAGAGCAGCAATTCATGCCCTCATTATTTTGCACCAAGGCATCCTAGTTCTGTTGCAGAGGCACCAAAGGATACTTTCAGGTCATTCGCTGATATTGGCCTCGGGAAAGTGTTTGATGAGGGTGACATATGCAACAAGGGCGTTCAGGTGCGGGGAGTGCCATGCATGCTGAGGTTGATCATGATCACCATTTCTGCACCAATTGCATGCCATGCATGATGTATTTCTATATCGTATAAAGTGACTCTACATGCTTACACCATCAGGTAGTCCTTCATCTCACAGCTGCGGGTGTCTTGATTGTGCAGGGCTACTTCTTTGTGAACACAACCTGCTCCACTTTCAGAGATGATACAAGGCTGCAAGTCAGCCAGGAGCGAAACAATTACTGCAGTGGCTCTTCCAGCTGGCGTGGGCTGAATTATGTGAGGATATGGTACCTTGTCACCTTCAATTGATTGGCCGACAAGCCTATGACTGGGAATATGTGGATGAGGATGCACTGTCTCACTGAGCTTCTGTCATGCCTGCTGCAGGGTTCCAGGATAGCTGTTGCAGTGGTGCTCGTGTTCTTAGCAGTGTTTGTCTTCTTCCTTGTGTTCTGGCTTGTGCGGCGCCGTCGCCGCAACGCCTTCCAGGTACATTACTCCCCCATTCTTGGCAGTGTGCCTGTGCAGTAAAGGGAAATATTGCTATCCAGATCAGTGACGCTGCAAAATACCTAAGTCACTCTTCTGCATTGCACACAATGCAGATGGCAATTGAAAGTCTCACTTTGTGCCAGGGGCCTGCAACTGTGGGCATGCAGCCATATCCGCCCCAGCAGGGCTACGGCCAGCAAGGATACGGGCAGCAGCCTTACGGACAGCAACCGTATGGTCAGCACACTTACGGTCAGCAGCCATATGGGCAACAGGCTTATGGGCAGCCATACCCCAATCAGTATGGCGTGCCTGCCTCGCAAGGGTACCAGCCCTCACAGGGCTATCCTGTGACCGGGCAACCAGTGCCAAATTCCAATGGTGCAGCCAGGCCCACTGTCTAGGATGAGCAGACTTCACAAGAGGAGGCTGTGATGGCTGCGTACAGCGGCAGCAGATTTGCAGATGAAGTACACGTCCAAGTATTGATAGTGATTTTGATTTTGTCCGGAACGAAACAAGTCCTGCTCGTACCAGCTTGCCATGATCATTTTTTTGTCACTGAGGAGTCCACAGCATCTGCTGTACATACCTGGTTATAGTAGCCATGTTGATTACGTCATGAAGATTAAGAGTACGGATGCAACATCATGATGCAGAATGCAATAGGTTCAGTTGAATTTAAATTGAACGGATTGTCTACCGCCGAGTGTACAGAAATTCGTTGCTGTACACATGCGAAGTTGCACAGCCGCCAGAAGTTTGCAATCAACCACACAGGTCTGCATAACTTTGACTCTGCACGGAGCACAAGCCTCCTTCGGATGGAGTCCTTCAAGGAAATTCCAGTGGCCCGGGGCCGGGCGTGCTCTGCATCATGATCATGATAATTTTATGCAGCCGCTGAAGGCAGGGTCCCGCCCGGCCCCAGGGCTGCATAAGGGCGTTCTTGAAGTCTGGTTTTCCTTGGCTTACAAGTGCTGGCATGGCCCATCCTGTCATGGGGGTGTCAAATTTTCCAGAGAACAATACTCAGAAGAGCCTGATCTGGCTCCTGACCCAGTGAGGCAGAGCGTCTTGGCTTGGCTTGGCCAATGCTACCGACGAAAGGCAATTAAAGGATACAGATGAAACAGCATTCTGATGCAAAGATCTTTAAATCAAAGCAAATTTCTCTAGCTCACGGAAGTGGTCCTTAATCTGCATTCAGAGAGATTTGGGGATTTGCGAAGTCAATCAAGTCTGAAAATGACAACAGCAGGTGGTGATGATGCCCCTGGGATACAGGATCCAAGAATAACGCTCGCAAATAAGGTGCTCATACCAAAATACCCTTGCCTCACTCGTCTGGAACAGACGTATTATGCATCTTGTCAAGTTGAGGTGCCTGACGTTTGCTGTCAAGTGAGCTTGTATGTTTCTTTGACCTGCAGTGTTTCTTATATAAATTACCTGGGAGAACTCAGAAAGAGAAGGCAAAGACGCAGCAAGAGATTTTAGAGACCATCTTCAAGGACGGTACGCTCCAGGAAAATGGAAATACAATCGCACCTAGACTCTATCATGCATTATAAAGATATCTAGAGTTCGTGAGGAACAGCTTGTTTTCTAAGATTCTAGGAGGACTTTTTGTTTTGTGGACTGAAGATTTGATGATGGTCTTTGAGTGCTCACGATGTATGATATCACGTCTGCAATGTGTCACAGATGCAGCGCCATTGTACGAAACCGTTTGCAAAGACCTTGGCTGGGAGGTAGACAGCGGGAGGCTAGCAGCCATGAAGTCTGCCAATGAAGCTGAGCTCGTCAGGCTGGAGGCCAGCATAAAGGACGCAGAGGAGAACCTGGGCGACATTGAAGTCAGGGATGCCTACCTCGCCAAGGCCGACTACCTCTACAAGATCGGTGTGTCTCCTTTAAACGGCCCATGCCTGCCACTGATCTGCACTTACACTTCAGGAGCCTCAAGTGTATCTTGGCATGGTCAGGTGACAGGGAAGCTGCCAAGGCAGCCTACCAGCAGACGGAGAGCAAGACTGCCGGCGTCGGCCAGAAAATGGATCTGGCCTTCAGCATGCTCAGGCGCGACACCTCACACACTTTACCCACCATGCACTCTATTCTTCTTGTGTTGCACCACTGCAAAAACAGGGACTGGGGAGCTCGAAACAACAGGATTTAACAGCAGATTCACAGATAGATGAAGAGTACAAATTTGGAAGTCTTCAAGCAGTTTCCTACGTGAAGACCACTCTAGTTCTCTTAAGCGACAGCTTCGAGCGCTCGACAAAGAGGGAATCATGTGCGCAGGCTGGATATAGCGGCGGGGGATTGGCACGCGGTGAAGGCGGGCCTGAAAGCGGCGGGGGAGCTGTGCGAAAACGGGGGCGATTGGGAGCGCAAGAACCGGCTCAAGGTGTACGACGCCACCTTCCGCATGGCCACGCGCGACCTCGCAGGCGCCGCCGGCCTCCTCCTTGACTCCATCGCCACCTTCACCTCGTGCGCTGCTCCCCTTAGAGCTCCCCTGCCAGGAGCCTAGAGCAGTTCAATGACCATTGCAGACGTCCTCCAAAAAGTTGAAGGGGTTCTTGTGCTCACTGTAATTGCTGTGATGGGTTATTGTCATCAACAGCACAGCTGAGGAGCCGGTAGATCATCTCGACTGACTGGAAAATGTGGGTTATTGATGACTGGGGCTGGACGCAGTCCTACTGAGCACGCTAGCGTTGCGGCCTGCCCCAGTTATCGAAATTCCTCCTCTGCCACTTTCTCTATAGACCAGGCAGATTTGACCCTCCAAGGTCTCCTGCTTCCAAGCCTCCCTTGGCTTGGCGCAGAATGAGCCCCTCTGACTGCATGCTTTGCCTGAGTTCCGCTGATCCACTGGGCTGGTGCAGGACGGAGCTGTTCAGCTACGAGACGTGCATCTTCTACACAGTGCTGACGACCATCCCGACTCTGGACCGCGTGTCGCTGAAGGCCAAGGTGGTGGACGCGCCGGAGATCCTGACAGTCATCGACACCATCCCCAACCTCTCCACCTTCCTCAACGCCCTCTACGAGTGCCGCTACGCCGACTTCTTCAAGGTGGGCAGCGCTGCCATGGCCCATTGTCATTGTCATCGCTACTGTGTTGCAATTTCATGTACAAAGCTTGTGCAATTCCTGCCAAAAAGGCAAGGTGCGCCTGCAGGCAAGCTGCTCTTTGAGCTGCCATGACTCCTATCCTTTTTCCATTGGGGATAGGGGTTTTAGCCGCAAGATTTCATGGAAGACCCATTTGTCCATGGGCAGCATGCTTGGTAATCTCACTGAGCTTGGGGATGTCCCCTTAGCCAATCTTTAAAGTTACAGTCGTGGCAGAGATGAACTTGTGGCATGCTTTCAGAGGGAATCGAGACGAAAGATGCAGTGCTCGCTGGAAGCAGCGCGGGGCTTCTGCATGCCCAGCAGACGCCACTTCACTTGCATTGTTGGCATTTGGCTGAGCAGAGTGCATGGGCTGCGCAGGCATTTGCAGGCATCGCGGACCAGACGCGCGAGGACGTGTATTTGCATCCCCATGTGCGCTACTACGTGCGGGAGGTCAGAGTGGTGGCTTACTCACAGGTCGGCACCGCCTTTGACAACCGATGCATGTGTCTTGCAATGCTATGAATGCATCTACCATGTGTGCATCTAAATTTATCGTGAAGTATGATGTGCACTTGTAGTTCCTTGACTCTTACAAGAGCGTGACGTTGGAGTCCATGGCGACCGCATTCGGCGTCTCTGTGGACTTCATTGACTATGAGCTGGTGGACTTCATAGTGGCTGGACGCCTCCCTGCCAAAATTGACAAGGTGGGCGCTGCTTGTATGAAACAGAACAACATTTCCTATATTGCGGATGCGCCTGTGCCGTCTTCAGCAAATACGGGGTTTGTATGCAGTTTGCATGGCATGAAAATTGTGTGTTTAATGTCTGGCTTGCCATCTGTGGGCAGGTGGCGGGTGTGATTGAGACAAAGCGGCCAGACGCGAAGAATGCGCAGTACCAGGCGGCCATCAAGCAGGGCGACCTGCTCTTGAATCGCCTGCAGAAGCTGAGCAAGGTCATCGATGACAGCTTCTGATCGCCATACTACTTACATGTCTGACTGCTACAAACAATAGTCCAATATGTGCTGTGCCGAGCTGTGTGTTCTTTTCAATAGGCGCAGTCCAGTCAACTTTACTTGTAACTGACAGCTGCAAACACCCATACTTGCTTGCACCCTTGCACATTTCTCAAGAAGGGGATGGACTGTTGCGCCTTATTGTCCTATAGCAGCCGCACCATTGGACACAAGTCCTCTAACAGAGAGATCAAACACCACGGATGCCCCACATGGCGCAATGGAGGATGCTGCAAGCATCGCTCTGCGCAGCATGGGCCCCTTGCATGTCAGCACAAGCCGCAGATTTGCCTGCGCCTTCCAGCTCTCACCCAGCGCGGGCCGCATGTCCTCATAGCCTACATTCACATGCATCCACCTTATGGTCTATCTCATAAGCCACAGCCACTCATACAAATTGTTGACCTCGCCATGCTACTCCAGCATTCTCAGTCCAGTCCATCCTCAGTCCACTGTAATCTGTGTGACCCTGCTTACCAGGACAGGGTGCACTACACAAGAAGACAGTGCCAGCGCCAGAGTTAAAAGAAGGGGCTGCCGCAGCATTCTCTCAAGAGTGCATCGACAGCACAATCGTGCAAATATTGCAGCATGAGGCTCGCGCACCTCCAACGAGATGGTTGGTGGTGAGTGCAACGAGGGAGAAGCGCTGGGCCAGCTGCTTGATGGCACGCCCCAGGCAGATCATCAGGGCGTGGCCATTCACCTCCGCGCTGCTCAGCATGGGCGCCACCAGGAAGGACAGCGAGTCTATCACCAGCAGGGAAGTCCTCTGCTGAGCCTGGTCCCCCTGGCGCCAAACACCCCATTTCAGCCTAAGCTTCCTCTGGAGTGAACAGAGATTGCACCGAACGAAGGCATTGCAAGACGCAGAAAAGGAGAAAGGGCTGCCTCGCAGGTTTGCACGAATGCATCAGCAGCACAAATAACCCCTGGTCTACGACTAGTAAACATCACCGTGCATGCATCCCACCTTCTGCTTTTTGGGTTCAAACGCGCCCTGGACAGGGCCAGCCGGCACTCTCAGAATTTACCTGAGGCTCTCGGCTTCAGAGTAACACAAAATCACGCATGACAGTATGCAAGAGCTGTGCGCACCTCGAGCTTGGTGTGTAGGGCGCTGAGGAGCTGCAGCATACCGTGCAGGTCGTGCACGCGGAACAGGTCCACGCAGCGCAGCGCGGCAACCAGGTCGGCCTCGGGGGCGCCCCCGGCCAGCCGCTCGTGCATGGCCGCAAAGCGCTTGCCGCTGAAGGACCCATCCGTGTCAATGTAGATCACCCGCTCGCGCCGCAGGGTTGTCTGTGCCGCCATCTGCCCACATGCACAATTTGTCTCGATACAATAATCCAAGAGCAGGACCGGTCCATTTACATCGACACATGTGTGTGAGGAGGTGAGAGACATTCAGTCTGCAGACCTGCATGCACATCTGTGTCTTCCCAGACCCGCTCTCCCCAGCAACCTCTGTGTGGTGCCCCTCCCGCAGCCCTCCCCTCAGCGGCCCCTTGTCTAAGCTGAAATAGCCACAACACACATCAGAGCTGTCCTGTCTACTAAGATGTTAAAATCGGCTGGTGCATGACAGTGACAGACCGGGGCGCCATCATGGACCTGGCAGTTTGGCATCATGGTGGAGTCCTCGCCTTTCACAGCCCGTGGGCAGCAGCCTGGTGTTGCGCAGGGCTGCCAGAAGTGATGCTCCCGTGTGCACAGCGGGGGCAACGTTGCAGCGCACGTACTCGAGCAGGGCTTCCTGTGCCTGCATGCACAAACCCACCATCAGCCCTTGCATGCATGCAAATCCCAAGGTTACATAGGATAAAGGGGTGGCTTCCTCACAAGCCCGACCTGCTCTTGCCCCGCATCTGCGGCATGACCAGCTCGCAGCTGAGTCCTCGGCCTCCCCTTCACGAAGTCTTCAACTGGGCACCCAAACAGTGGTGATCAGATTCTTGGGTTCCACCAGTAAGTGGTCCAAAGGCTTCATCAGCGACGCGCGGCAACTATACGCTCACCAGTCTGGTATTGCCGAGCGAGCTCTGCCTGGTGGGAATCATCGAGCTGCAATGGAAGCTGCGAGACTCGCTGCATTTCCGACAGATGTCATCGGTGATTTCGGATAGCTGGTTCCCCTTGCAACATCTGATCGATGCCAATTCTGTATTAGGCTCTGAGCATTAGAATGTGGTATTCTAGAGCATATTTGACAGCAGCGTTTGCGAGCTCGATGTGCAGATCAGAATTAAAACGGAGATCCCTACTTCATTGAATATGCGAAGATACCTCGACAGATGTCCACATAAAAATGAAAGACTCACAATCAGAGGTCGTTGCTTTCGAAACAATGAATTAGAGGGAAGTGCACGACATTCAGGGACGTGCCATGTGGGCATCCGACATGGATGACTTTTATGCTGATGTGGAGGACAGGCCACCAATGGTAGCGCTGTTTGGGAAGTTGCAGTTCACTTCGTCAATGCAGATCTGGGTGGGCAATTGAGTTCTTCCGTCTGTGACAAGTCTTGATTCTTAGGCACTTCGGCGTGGGTGTGAGCAAGCTCGGCTGCCCTAGAAAGTCCACCTGACTGTAAGTTCGCAGCCGGCTTGGCACCCGATGGACGCTGGAAGCCTTCTTAGACCCGCTGCCGCGGCCGCATCCCCGGCCAGGCAGCAGGATGCGTTCCCCTGCAGCAGTGCAGCACGCCCCACCTGTGCCCGGGCTGGCCTGGGCCACCCACACCGTGTCAGCTCGGTGCAAGGCGTGTCCGCTAAAATATCGTCGTCGCCAGTCAGTAGCAGGGCGCTGCAGGCTAGGCCAGGCGGTGTGCAGTGCTTTGCACGGGCAGACAAATTAGAGGAGAGGGGCGCGGACGAGCAGCTGTTCGCCCGGGGCAGCTTCGCGGAGAGCTTTACGCTGGGGGAGCTTCTTGGCGTGGGCAGCTTCGGGAAGGTGTACCAAGCGGTCAGCCGGGCCCAGCCCGGCCAGGACTACGCCGTGAAGATCGTTCAGAAACACAGGGAGGGAGTGTTGGATGAGCGCATAGCGCGCAGGATTCGAGAGGAGGTGGGCAGCAGTCCTGGTCAAATTGCACGTGATTTATTGGCATGTCCGTAACCGTTGTACCTCGTGGGGTGCCCTGCTGGCCCTGACAATGTTCCTGCATGTTGCAGATCGACATCCTGAAGATGCTGCAGAGCCGGCCAGAGGCCATGCAATTGGTGGGAGTGTTCGAGGTGAGATATATGGCAACACAACCTGAGCAGTGCTGTGGTACAGCAGTACGTTGCGTTTCTTACAGTCCCCTAGCATGTTAGTGCTGCAGGGGTAGATCAATGGCAAGCATCTGCTCACAGGCAGGGCAATTTGTAAGCATCTGACACTGCGCTGTGCAGGACGAGGACCAGGTGTGCATAGTCACTGAGATATGCCTGGGCGGGGACCTGGAGCACTTTCTGAAGGTGAGGAGACATTCACATCTTTCTATCACCACCAAATGTTGGGACCAGCCTGCAATAGTGATTTGGCGACCCCCCTTCTTGTCAGCTTCTCCATAAGCGTTGTCAACCGACAGCTTTCCCTCCCTTGCAGGATTATGGGTCCATGACAGAAGCAGAGGCTGCACATGCAGCGCACGACATTCTGCAAGTCCTTGCAGAGTGTCACAGGCAGGGCATCTGCTATGCGGATGTCAAGCCTGCCAATTTCCTGCTCAAGCGCCCATACAGCCGAGCTGCTCACAGCAGTGGCGAGGCTAGCACATCCGGCCGTGTCCTTGAGATCAGGGTCGCCGACTTTGGATGCTCACAGCGGCTGCAGGAGGTGTGTGCTTGCCCTATCAGTCCTCTGGAGCTTGTCAATGTTCTGGATGCGCAATTGCGCTCTGTTGTCGCCTTGCGTTTGTAAGAACTGAATTTTGGAATGGTGCGTGCAGAGGGAGAAGTTGAAGAAGCGGACGGGCACGCCACTGTACATGGCGCCAGAGCTGTTCATGCGCTACTATGGGGTGGAGTCGGATCAGGTGCGGCAACAGTGTATCCAGCAGTATTCACGTTTGCTTTGTGTCACTAGAGTTGTTCTTGTGGATTCTGTTATGAGCAACATGGCTGAGCTTTCTGCTGTGCTGTGCTGTTGCAGTGGGCCCTGGGGATCATGATGTACCAGCTGCTATCTGGTCATCTGCCCTTCTGGGACGAGCAGTCTGACCGGTCTCCCTTCGCAGTCATGTCAGCCATTCTTTCCAAGGAGGTGAGCCTGGTATCATGAATAGCTAAGGAACATCTTGTCATGCAGCAGAGTGCCACTTACAGGAGTGTCTGAGGGCGGTGGGCCGGCCTAGGTATTTAAGGCATGAGCTCAACAGTCTTGATGTGTGCCCAGGTGTGCTACAACGGACCTGAGTGGGAGGGCGTCTCTGACTCGGCCAAGGACTTTGTGGCAAGCCTCCTAGACCGCGACTACAACTCACGCATGACAGCTGCCGCAGCCCTGGAGCACCCCTGGATCACAGCCCACTGCAATGAAGATGGCTGCTCCGTCGCGAACAATGTTGTGCAGCTGAAGGGACGCAACCTGCACCTCAGCAAAAACCAGTAGGCACAACAAGTAGGGCTGCTTGCTCTGGAAGACCTTCTTGACCCACCAGATCACTGATTGCAATGCACTATTTTATTTCCCGAACGTCAGATATCAGGACTTGCATGCTGCAGCCCCGCATGGGCGCATTGACTGCAGACTAGTCACCCGCCATCCTGTTTTGCAGTAGATCTGTGGCTGCGGCACTCGCTGTGGTTAGAGGTACAACAATATCTTTTGGTGAGACAGTACGCTCACCTCGCAGCAATTGATTTCTTTTGCGGTTTGACAGTGTGCTTCTTACTTACCCCAGTGGGATGTTTGAACGCTTTAGAGCTTCGCAGGACTCTGTTGAGCCAGATTCCGTGACGGCATACCAAGTGATGTGCGTATTGTTGTATTGTTAGGCAGGAATTTTAAGCTTCTGGGTATCTTCACACCTGCTAGTGGGTGTCAGAAACATGCAGCACAATTGTGTTGCTGAACCCTCGTGTAGAATGGTATTGGCAGGGAAGCGTCTCATATTCACAAATCCACCGTAGCTGCATAGTTTGGTGTATCAGAGAGTGGTGATGACGTGCTACTTCCTCAAGGGAACCAACTTGAACCTGTTGACTGGGATTAGGCAGGCTCTGGGGCCTTGCATTGTATTTTTAGATGTCTTGCTTTGGGCAGAGTGGCTGCATTGGGATGTTACGGATTTCTTGGTGTGATATTGAACTGGAGTTTCTTGCAAGTGCCTGCTCAATCCTTGGCAAGCAAGAGTGGACAAAAATGCGTGCAACCGTTGCGCTGTGTATATAAGTGGACATGTCGACATCCAGACCTACCTGCAATGCCATGGAAATGAATCTTACAATGGGGAGTACATTAGTTTGCCTTGGTCATTTTGTTGCATTGAAGTGGGACATCAAGAGACATTTGCGTAACCAAGCAAGAGATCCGAAAATGACATTAAAAGGATTCCAATATCCTGCTGCTAATAATATCATTATATCATGATGTCGATAATATGTTGACGAAGATGCCGATGAAATCATAATATCGATATGATATTGCATCGCCAAGTTTTCTGCACAGCCCAAGCAATTGCAGGGGCATCAACTAATTGGCTTCAGGCTGTGCACACATGGGTGCAAAATTGCAGAATGCAAGGCTTCGAGATGATTCCCACATAGTGCCTCATGTACCGCGTGTCACAACAACTCTTCGGCCAAGCAGTACAATATCCTCATTGCGCTTTTACTTCTTTTGTGGTCTTTTCCCTCTTGGCCTTGTCAATTGCCGGCTTGCCTTGCCTTAAGAGCAATGCCGAAGTCACTGCCAAAAAAGCAAGGGTAGCGCCAGCGATCGCCTGCTCAAGCATGCAGACCCACCCATCAAAGAGCTGCAAGATGCAAATGCCTGCATGCATGCCTGGGCAAATGAAACAGTTTAGCACATCATTAGTCAGTTGAGTCCTCACCAGCTTGCTGTTGCTCTTCAACGCATCCAAAGCTGCTTCAATAGGAGAGGGCTCTGGCGGCACAAGCAGAGGCTCGCTGCTCTTGTATCCTTGTCTACTGAAATGTCCCAAAGCGTCCGCGCCAGTGTCAACCCCAGAATACTTGTACATCTGCATGGCAGGAAACTTGAATTGCACATCTGCCATGGCCAGCCACATCCCACCGAACTCATGTTACGACCTTCCTGTGATGACAGTAATTGACTGGATCTCTCAATCACCTTTCTGTCCCGGAAAAGCAAGAATGTTGGGACGCCCGATATCTTGAAGCGATCTGTTAGGTGGGGATCCTCGGCAGTGTCCACCAAGCCATGCAGGATGGGCTCTCCGGACTGCTCTTCACCCAGCTGCGCCCAGGCTTCTGAGAGCGGCTGCAGGCTCGGCTCTACAGAGGAAGTGAATAGCACAAACCTGCTCGCCGGATCACAATCTGCCTTTGTACCAGGTGACTCCAGATGACAAGATCTGGTCATCCACATGATGTCTGTGTGCATCAGAGAATGCATGCAATCTTGCATGTCTGAGGGGGGCCCACCAGACTCCAGTGGTCTGCCCAGTTGAGGCTTGGGTGACACCTTCAAAATTCTTGGAACTCAGCTGTATAAGGCGAGGTTGGGCGCTGGCGTTTGTGCACATGCATGACATCAAAGACAGAGACAGAAAACAAAAAGATCTGTAGAGGCTCTTGCTCTCCACCACCTTTCTCAACATCCAAAAACAGAGATCAAGATCAACCGAGGAAGTGATTTATTATGGCAATGGGCTGTGCGCTGCCCGGTAACCACGAATATTCTTCAGTACGTGGAAGCAATACGAATACTTTGCGTTTGACAATGATGCGCTCCAGATCCATCTGAGAACGGTGGACCAGTTCTCGGCCCCGCCTCGCCAGAAGCAAGTCGCTTGAACAAGGAATGGACAGAGATTCGAAAAGCTGTGGAAGGGAGGATCAAGCTTTAGCAATTCTAAAAATCATTACCCAGAATGTTGCGACAACAATCTATAGATCCACCTGTATCGGCATTTTTGAACTTTCTCTTATTGATTTGATGGTGCTCTGCTCTAGTAGCATATGGTGCATTAATTTTGAGATATGGTGCTGTGACATTATTATAGCACATACTCGTGAGTAGAGTACAACCCCATTGATTGACAGTTTGCCATTGGTTGAATGTATTGTGAGCATCGCTTTTAACTAAGCGATGAGTGACTCCAGCAACTGCCTTGTTGATCTTGATCTCCGTTCTGTAATCAACAGGTGCTCAACTACAACAAAACAGCAAGTTTCAATGCGCTTTTTCCTGCTGTGAATGTTAGGAAAGGTGTACTGAGAGCTGTCAACTTTCAATATTGATTGGTATATTTTGCAGACTCAAGGCAGAAAGTAAGGCGACAAAAAAGCATGTGGAGGCCACAAAGGCTTGGAAGAAGCAGCACAAGGAGAAAGTCAGAGCAGTCGAGAAGCAGACAGCACAGTATGACGCTTCAGACCTTCCAATCCTGGGGGCTGAAAACGTGGAACAGCTAGACCTTGATGGCGATCAATCCGATGATGCCGATGCAGAGGAGCTGCCCATCCACCAGCAAGTCTTCTTCCCACAGCAGGTGGGGTGGAAGGTCTCCAGTCCTGCATAGTCCTAGCGCCCTCAGGGAAAGGGCAAGCCAGCAACTGGGTGTACATTGATAATGCAGGTCCTAGAGCCCGAGTGCTCGTTGTCCGGAAGCGACACCCTCTTGGAAGCCTGCACAGCAGGCATCAGCAAGTTCAAGACAGTCGAGGCAGACAGCATGGAGCACAGCGCTCTGTCACAGGAGCTCATCAATGGGGGCTGGCTGACGGAGCATTACCAAAGGTATGCTTGACAGCTTAGCATGGTAGCTCTATGGCACCACCCACTGCACTCAGCCACTTCCCAAAAAGGACATGCTGATCTAAGGAGTACTTTCACGGACAAGTGTGCGTTTGTGCAGATCGCCGGAGTGCCCAGAAGAGACAGCAAAGTTGCTCTTCCGTGCGTCAGCCTTCTCGCGCAACGAGTCCCAGGCAGTGGCTGCTTGCTCAGCTCTGCTGACGCTGCTTGGAGCGCCTGACAGCAGCAACGCCTTCCTTGCTGCAGCCTGCACATCACACACCTATAGTGGGTGTCTCTCATCCAGCTGTCCACACCGCGTAGCTCTCCAGCTGCTCCAATAAATCAGGAAATTTGGTAGATTGTGTGTATTGTCCCTGGGTTAATAAGAGTGCCGTGATCATTTGCAAGGTATTGCCGGCCTTGCACGTTCCTGGTGACTAGTCTGGCTTTGTGTGCAGTGTCACCATTGTATGGGAGCGCTCCCAGCGGACGCGTCACAGAATGGGCGCCAGGAGCCAATGACATTCTGGAGGCCCTAGTGCAGCTGGGCTACAGGCCTGCGCCGGCGGCTGCAGGCGGCAGGCAAGCAAAGAGCGCCGCCGGCAAGAAAGAGGCAGAAGCAGCGCCTGAGGAGAGCAGCGCAGAACCCCAGCTCCTCAATGTGGCCCTGCTCCTTCGCATATTCAGAGCTGTTTGCCTGGCAAAGGTGCGTCTGGGGAGGAGACAAAATGCTCCTGTCTATTCATCATGCAGCATAATGCAGTGCACATGGGTGAACTGCACTACCTGTTTGGCAATACAGACTGGCAACGAAGGAGGTTGCCATGATTGGCCATTGCGCTTGTGCAGGAGGCTGTTGGTGGAGCTCAGGGGCCCTCTTGGAGCAGCCATGCAGAGCTATTGGTGGCCCTGTTGCGCCTCAGGATGGACCCTGAAACCTGCGCTTTGGCCGAGGATCTTGAGGTCAGCATCTCCTCTGTGCACCCCTGCCCCAATTTTTCATTGTGGTTACATCAGTTCTGTGTGCGCTCAGCTGGGCCTTGTTTGCCCTGACATGAGCTGATAGCATGGTGCTTGTGGCGCGCAGTCGGCAATGGATGCAGCGCTGCAGGCGTTTGGCGAGAGCACCTGGCAGCGCAAGTTTGTCACTCTGGCAGAGCAGGCCTCGCAGGTGGGATCCGCTCGGCTCATTCCCACCACTCTTCACGCATCACTGCAGCTTCCATTGATGATATTTTGTCAGAGGAGCGGCATTGGTCTCTGTGGTGAGGCATTTTGAAGCTGACTTCTACATCTACTGGCATAGGTGGGGGTCAGCCACAGGGGTCACTTGGAGGCAATCGGGCGAATCCCCACCCACTCACTGCGCGGCCGGGTGCTGCGTCAGCACGCTCTGGTGGCTCTGCTGCGCCACGTCATCCCCAGCAAGGCACGCACGGCCCCTGAGTGCCTGGCCATGTTTCCAAGCCGGACGGGACACCTTGGATGTTTGCCATTTGAATATTCTTAGGGGTGTTGGACGTGAGGGAAGGCTTCTGTTCAACTGTTGCAGGCGACGGGGAACAGCGGCGCCAACAAGCGCGGTGCAGTCTCTGAGGTGGACGTCCCCAAGGTACAGTAGGTCTTGGTCATGACAGCTCTGCCGCAGACAAGTAAAGAGAATGGACAGTGGAAACTCCATCAGAATTGCCCATTGGAGACGTGCTATCTGAGACTCGGCTCTGCTTTGCTGTGCAGGTGCTGCAGAGCCTGCCCTGGTTTTCAGACACCCGAGCCAGGCGCGACATGGCCGCCAGCGCCATGAGCGGCGAGGGCTCCTTCGGGGCCGTTGAGGTGCACACGGCCCTGCAGGCAGCCCACAAGCTGGTCTGGGACCACGAACTGATGCATGGTGCGCGCCTGCCCTGTCCTTTTCCTTACAAACTGGGAAACCACCCGTGCTAGTTGTTGAGCTGGAATTGAATGCACAGAAGTGCTTACGGCAGTTGCTGGCTGCTAGGCAGGTCAAAGGCAACCCCGTCTGATCAGGATCCTTTGGTAAATCCTAACAAAAATTACCTCCTCTAGAAATAGTGTGGCATGCGTGTGCAGGGCGCGATGAGTTTGTGGGGGAGACATGGCCGGGCTTCCTGAGGAGCCTGGAGGCGCAGTTTCTGACCTCCAAGAAGCTGGACAGAATGTCCGACCTCAAGCTGCTCTTCACTGCGCTCCTCAACTTCACTCCCGCCGACCAGATCTGAGGCTGACATGACCTCATTGGTGACTGGATACCTGATCAAGACGCATGTGGTCAAGAGGCTGCCATGCAGAACAGTCAAGCGCTGATGTGCTTGTTTTGATACCTGGTCTGGACATGGTAGATGAATTAGCTTGCAGAGGAGCCAAGGGACATGGTTCCCCTAGTACTGTATTTATGACTTCTGAGTATATTCCTGTCCTGCACGAAAAGGAAAGGCGGTACCGGATCTGTTGTAAACACCATTGCCAAGATGGTGATGCTCTGTGATGTTTCTTTATCATGGCACAGCATGGTGGCTATATTTGAGCATTCTTTACATGGATGTGGCAAGCCTGCATCTACAAAAGCAGCAAGGAGCTCCATTCACGTGGATCTAATTGCATTCCTGCAGGCTTCCAATGCTTAGGCTAGTACATGTATACACCACATGCCGCTGAAATTACACAACGTGGATACGCGCATGTCATGTGACAAAGTTGGTCCTATGCGACAAGTTGTGCTTAGAAGTGCCCGTCGGCACTGCCCAATGGATGCAAACTGTATGCCCTTCAACGTTGCAACTATATTTCCCTGTCCCACACACTCAGAACGGAATTGGTGCAGCAATAATATCTCAGCACTGACAACGGGACATGCAGTACCGCACAGACGTGTGACAAAACTCTGGACTGAGAGTCCTGCTCTCCTTGCAGCAGCTCATGTACTTGTAGTCTCAAAATTGTTGTTTTGGTGCAGTGAGAGCATGTTCCAGTCATTCCTGCTGTTTCTGTTCATTCCCAGGTTCTTGAGAACCATATCTTGCCGCTTGAAGGCGTATGCATCTGCATGTACTACAGTACAATTCACTCTTTCTGCTGTTCAATGTCTGCATTGATTAGGGTAGCAGACCGGTAGCCCCTTGCCTTCATGTCCTTGCAAATGACCCAAGAGATTCCCTGCTGACCCACTCCCCAGAATAAGAAGCCCCATCCATTGTACCTAACCCATTGTAGTTCTTAGTATGCCCCAGAATGAACCGCAGGAACACCTGGTGCTGGGCCTGGCATCCACTTGAATTCAACAAAAATGCACTGAAAGCGTGACATACAGGATGAAGCAGAAGGGAAAGAGAGAAAGGAGCGATGGGACCAGCACAGCACATCAGCAGGCACCATTTGCAGCCCGCCATGATGCACACCAGTGGCAGCTCACAGGGGGTTCCTGTTCTGTGCTGTTGTTCAGTACGGCATGCAATTTGACATTCTGGTTGTTTGCCCTCCCATTCAGGTGCAACTTCACCCTCACGGAGTTCCATTTTGATGCTCCCGTCCTCACACAAACTGCTTGCGTGCGTACAGCGAGGGGTGCCGATCGTCCAGGAAGGCGGCGGGCGGCTCCCGGGGGGTCGGCTTGCAGAGGGCGCGGTTGAACAGCGAGGTGACGCGAGTCATCAGGCCGGCGGCCGCGGCGTCCTCGTCAGCGGGAGGGGGAACTGGTGGCGGCCGCGGTGGCAGCAGCTGGCTCAGGTCGTGGGCCTCGCCGGGGGGTCCCTCCCCACCGAAGTGCCCCCCCACCTTGGACATCACCACTGGGCTTGGCGCCTTCATCTGCTGGGCCCCGCTAGCCTGTAGGCACCAACAGAAACAAGGACACATCAGCATGTTGCAGCTACCATGTTTATTTGGTGGTGGAAATGAAGGAAATCGTGAGATGCAGTGGCTACGGATGTGTGGAAAAGAATTGCAAGGCAAAAGAAAGTACCGCGGTGGCTGATGAGCTGAGGCTGCTGCGCCTTGTTTTCTGTGGCCACTGTGCAGAGTCCTCGTGAGGCATTGGTCTCCTGGACGCCGACAGCCGGTGAGGAGCCGCCCCCTGTGATGACAGCAAAGCAAGACCCTCATCAGATCCCCAGTCGCGAGGATGGCAAAGGAAGCCCAATAGCCGTTTGATCCAGGGGACTAAACAGCAGTCCTTATCCTCAAGGGCAATCCTTATGCTCAAGCCTTCTAGCCTTCTGCTCATCCATTCATCCCATTCTGCATGCGCCACCTCAGTGAGGATGTATTTTCGGCACTTCAACGCAGCAAGTGCACCTCTGCGCAAAGCTCCTCCCAATCTGTATTACCTTCTTGTTAGCATGTGGTCTTTGCTCTGTATGCGAGCTGGTGAAATCTCAGTGCACCTGTGCGGAGGTGGGGCGGCTGTCGTGCAGCAGTGGGGAAGTGGACCGGAAGCTGCCGGCGTCTGCGCCGCCGCCGGCGCGCATGCAGTCCTCGGCCGATGACGCGCTTCCGCTGGAGCGATTGTTGAACATGTCGCTGCTGCTCGCACTGCTGCCGCCGTCGCCCGCTCCGCCGCCGCTCAGACACTCGAACGCCGCGTGCCTCGCCTGCACTCAAACCCAACAATGCTCCTCAGGATCACAGTGATATTGTGTAAGAGCTACATGCGTCCTTCTGCTGCCTTAGCCCCTGACGTTGCATGTGCAAGTGTGTCATCTACCCTGCAATGTGTCTGGACTTCTGCGGAGTCCCTAGGCATACGAGAGTGGCTTCCAGAGCAAAGGTCAGATAGAAAGGCAAGCTAGGCTGTTCAGAAGGAAGATTGGCTTGCGTGAGGATCTGGACACAGATCTGGATTTAGGACAAGGTGTGTGGTCGGCTGGGGCGTGCCTTGATCAGGCTGCCGCCGGAGCCCTGGAGGATGAGGTGGGGTGCATTCACGTGGTGTGGCGCGATTTCGGGCGCGCTTGTGGCGGCCTGCCCCTGCCGCACAGAGAAGCTTCCCGACAGCGCTCCGCCGCCCGCGCCCCCGATGCTGATCGTTATCGTCCCCTGGGCCCCTGTGATTACCAGAACCCCCCATCAAATGAGATCCCCAGTGCCTGCTGTCCCAAGATCCTGGACACTGCCAGGGCCTTTAAACACCAGGCACGAATCCAGTGCCTAGTAGAGAAAAAGTAAGAGGAGTGCATACCTAAATGTACAGCTGTGGCGCACTCAGGAATAAATTGACACTGCAAATCTCACGCGCCGTGCGCCAAGTTTGAGAGACCAGGAAGCAGGGAACACACCGTTGCTGGGCCGCTTGCCGGTGGCTGTGAGGGCGATGGGCCGGGGGCCGTGCGCGCCATCCAGGGAGCTGACAGAGTCAGAGATTGACGCGGCCGACAGCAACTGCGGCTGCGGCGGCGGCGTGGCCGGGACCGGGGCCGGCACGGCGGCGCGAGTGTATCCCAGCACGATGGGGTGCTGCAGCAGCTGCCGGGCGCTCGGCCGCGCCTTGGCATCGCGCAGCATCATGGATCCCACAAAGCCCGCGCACGCCGGTGAGAGGTTCGCGCTGAACGGCCGCATGAGCCCCGCCGTGATCGCCGCCTTTATCTCCGCCTTGTCCCGCCCCTCAAACGGGAGATGGCCTGTGTTTGATGGCCACGACATGCCTTCAATGTACTGGGAGGACCCTTTCAGCCAAGAAAAGGCGTACAGGGCCGCGATATGAGCATGAGCTCACTCGAATGATCAAGGTGAGCCACCCTGTTCTCCTAGTTATAACTTTTTGCCATACTTGTCAGTGGCTTTATGAAGACTGTACACCACACTGGTGACCACAGCACCCTTGCATGCAAGGAAAGGGTAAAAGTTTGACAGCAGCACCGCAGTACCCTCACATCACATAGGCTGAATACATCAGGTAGGTAAAGCACGAATGCCTGACATTGAAGTCAAGGCGTGTGGGGACGATCCAAGACAGGTGGAAACGGTCGACTTGGCTGTGTTGGTTAGTTTGCAAGGAGGAGTACCTGTGAGGAGCTCGTAGAGAGTGACACCGAGCGCCCAGATGTCCACCTTCTCGGTGCAGGCTGCGATCTCTGAGGTTTTCACCGCCCCGCTGATGACTGCCTCCACTGGTGGCAATGCAACCACCTGCACATGCATCAATCTGCTCCTCAAGAGGCGCTGCTGCATCTCTTGCAGGAACCCAGGCTCCTCAAGGGTGCTGGTGCAGCCGTTGTGGGAAACTCAGACTCCTAAGAGGCGCAGTTGTGTATTCCTTGAAGACTTGAAGGCGTGAGCATTTGGGCAGATGAGTGTGTGGCCAGTGTGTGATTGGTAGCTGACCTCGGGTGCCATGTACTCTACAGTGCCCACAGGCGAGATGGCCATCTCCTGCTTCATGCTCATGGTCAGGCCAAAGTCCCCCAGCCGCACCCGCCCGTCGTTTGCGATGAACACATTTTCCAGCTTCACATCCCTGCACATCACCCCGACACCTCCAGCCTTCAGCACTGAAATTTTTGCAAGAGTCCTTTGGCAGCAAGAAATCACCGGCTCTGCCATGTCCTCTCAGGCCTGCGCACAACTTGCTGCAGCGATGCCGGTGGGGTGGTCTTCACATTGCATCTAATCCAGCCAAGACAGGGCTGATCCATCTCTGATCCAAGTTTACAGAATGAGCGCCTAGAATGGCATTCAGTCGCTCTTTCAGATGAACTGTTGTGCAAGGGCGTGGGAGGGTGCGGACCTGTGAATTATAGAGTTGCTGTGCATGTGCTGCAGGGTCTTCAGCAGGGGCACAGCCACTTCCAGGATGACTCGCCGCTCTGACATCGCGCGCCCCTCCTTCAGCAGCCGCTCCAGCAGGTCCCCCCCTCCGCAGTACTCCATGACCAGGAATATCTGGTACGCGTCTTGGAAGGCTCCATAGAACTGGGTGATCAGTGGCACCCTGTACCCCGCCAGAGCTCACATCACTTTGCACATGTAAAGCTGCTCACACCCAGGGGGGAGCTTGAGTCGCTAGGAAATATAAAGCCAAATGAAGTGGCTAATTTGCAAGGAGAGTGGTACCGTTTGCGCGTCATGTAGATCATCATTGCTGCTTCGCGCTTCACAGCGCGCAGCTTGGATGTGGACAGCTTGCTCTTCTCATACACCTTCACGGCCACCCTCCTCCCGTCCAGCTTGTGGCAGTAGGCTGAGTACACGACGCAGTCCCTGCAAAACAGCGCACAGGCTTGAGTCCAGGGGGCCAGCAACAAGCTACGACGCACCGTTCTGTGTCATCACCCCGGTGCTCTGACAGCTTCTGGAAGCAGCGTCCAGATATCATGGCTAACAATTTTATCTTCCATCAATTGTGCTGCGGGACAGAGAAAGGCTTGCCCGAACTACAGCTTTCAACCTCCGAAAGAAACCCTCGGGCATTGCTGGCAATCTGTCTGTTCGTACAGATGGACTTTGTAAACCACAAGGAACATCTGCAAGATAAAGCTTATATATATTATATGGAAAGACGAAGAGTTATTGTAATAACCCCATACATGGCGAATAGCACATCCTTCCGGACCGGGGAATTTCTCTACTATAGGGAATCTACTCACTTGCCCTTTCCGATGACCATGCTGTCCTTAAAGTCCTGCGGCCTGAAATTACAAACGCCTTCTGTCTCCTCAAAGCACGGCCCATCGACAGCATCGCTCCCTGGATAGGCCATCGTCACTTTCCGACACCCCACCGGGACCCTCCGAAATATCTTCCCTTGTAGCTCCCGTAGCCACAGGCCTATGAATCCATACGATGAGGATTCTAGCTACTTAGGTCTACAATAATCTACTCACATCAGATGTCTGTTATTCTGTGGCTTCTCGCTCTTGTGGCTTCTCTCGGGATGCACCGAAACCGTTGCTGACGATTCGGAACAATGAAGAGGCATCGGCAAGCCACACCTTGCAACTTCGATGTAATACATGTGAGTGTAAAAGAGCAAGCAGGGGCAGGTGCTTGTCCTGGTGCGCTCGCGAGTGTCCAGGCAGCTCAGAAGGGGGAACCTCCGCTACCACAGCGGGGGGACCGTTTCTCCTAAAAGGCGTTACAACAATCGACTCGAATCAGAACGTTATTGTAGATCTCTTGTCAATGAGTCTGCAGAGATGGGGTGTCTATAGGGTCAAGGATTCTAAAAGTGGCGATCGACGACAAATTGTGAGATGTAGTATCTCCTTCTGGTCCAAGGTGCTTCACATCCTGACGGCCTGTATGTGTAGTCGCAGATCACACATCAATGTAAAGACACGAGGTGACATGATTTATTCTGCCAATGGCAAAAATTCCGGGCCTTGCTCTGACACTATGGGTCTTGGTCCCTCTTTGAAGAATGAATGCTTGAATACCTATGAGCTTAAGCCCTTCAGCTGGAGTTAGAACTCATGCCTACTGTCAGCTCTATCAACGCATTATAGGTCTTGCTGGCCGGTCAGGGCGGCGGCTCTCAATCACTAAGTCCTTCGAAGAATTCTGCATCAGTCAGCAAAGTACCCAAGAGGCAGCACTTGTGTCATCATAAAATAAGTCTGTACCAGTAGTCTGCATGCGCAGCTTCCTGAAGGTTGCAACAGAGCAACACTATCAACTGCAACCGATAAAGCTCTTAGAATGCAACAAACTTCGCAAGGGGCACGGATGCAAGGCAGAGTCTTTCTGTATGTCCTCAGCTGATATTGGGGCAGCTGAGTTTGAAACACAACCAGGGGAATCAGAATATTACTTGTTTTGCTGGCCTGCAGGGCAGAGAACCTCAAGCACCATGTGCGTTGCATCCATCAACCTTCCACTGGGAACATCACAAAGCAGCAACTTTGCTGAAGAACGCATTCTTTTGAACGAGTCAGCAAGCACATGCATGCGCAGTTCACATACAGTAAATTATTCACTTTTCTATTGACAAACAGAGCATCATGGAACTACCGCACTTAGCAGGTCGTGATCGTTCGCAATCGAAAGTATAAGGTCATAAGCATGCATAGATATCCCTCCAAGAACTCTGAAAAAGAGTATGCTCCACTCAACCATGATAAATCATACCATCAGCCAAAACATGCCTTGTTTCGGGCTGCTGAAGGGCCGCACACAGTATTCTGACAAGTAGGAGATTTCCCCAAAGAAGCTGCAAGCACAGTGTGGCAGGCTGGCACAGGCCAATATAAAAAGAATGCAGAGAAAGTTTGCCAAGGACTTGGCTTCAAAATAAGCACATGAGCCTCCAAAGGATCAACGCAGGTGGATGCTTGCACGCCTGCAATCAAGCTGGCATCGTAAGACCTCGAATTCTGCATGCTGTGAAAAGCAAACTTGTCCTCACACCCCTTCCTGCTGCCTCACGCTGGGCTTGGCAGCTTCCGATCTGAACGGAAAGTAAGTCCGAAACAAAATGCTGACCTGCCATCTATCCATCCGTCAGGGCACACACTCAAAAGCAAGTAGAGATGCTGCTCCTCAGAACAATGCCCCATGGTCTTTTCATATCAAAAAGATACTTGTGTGCCAACACAGATTACCGCCAGGACAGACCTGGAACACAGTCAGGAAAACAAAGAACATTAATTGTACGTAATATAATAATTGTACGGCAGCAAATGCCACTGGCTTTGATCCACATCCCCAGAAGGATAATGCTGGTAAAGATTGATTTATGAATCGCAGGCGGGCGTTTCCTCAGAGGCTGGTCCTATCCTATCTCATCAAAATTCTGGGTCTGCCTCAGGTGGGTTCATCAGATCCCTCCTAAAACGACCTGTCTGTTGCACAGTATGATGCTACCTGAACCTCCTGCTGAGAAGAATGCTGGTCTTGAGTGTGGTACTTCCTGTCCTGCAAAAAGGAGAGCAGAATGTAGGGGACTGGCACATTGCTGACTGCAGAAGCCAACCTGGCTTCTTTCAACGGTTTTGCTTTTGCAGTAAAAAAAAAAGAAACTGCACACGTCCCACACCGACCAATCTGCAAGCAGGCACCAATCTGGTGATTCATCTCGATGATGCAAACTTGCATCCTAAATCATGCCACCTACTGGCGAGGCAGCGGCTCTGAAATGTTGTACACTTGCTGCCGCAGCAGGTTGTAGTCATCGAGGAGGCGCCTGTGGGCGTCTTGGAGCAGCGCCAGCTGTCCAAGCAGCACCTGCACGTGTTGGAGGGAACACGGATAAGCCTGTGATAATAGCGCCAATAAAAAAGTGTCTGATGAGTGATGCAACACCAGGCAAACGTGATCACTGGAGATTGTGGATGTACAAACACATGCCAGTAGAGTTGAGGCAGGGGGCGAAGTACGTATCAGTGTCTTTTGCTCCTCGACCTCCGTCCTGGGTTTCAGGCGCATCCGACGAGCAGACTCGCGGTTGATTTTGCGTCTCTTCTGCCTGCGTAGCTCCTCTGCGGTCATCTCTGGTTCCTCCCTCTTGCCCTCCTCCGAATTTGCGGAGCACTCCAAAGCTGTTTGGCAGCGAGTTATTTCTGAGTGCAAGCTGTGATCACACCCTCCTCCTATATTTGTGGACAAATCGAAGCCTGCCAGGCAGCAAATTTTGAAAGTGACCAGCTCATCCATCTGCACAAGAGAGTGCGTCGAGGAATTCCGCCTGAGGATCAAAAGACCGAAAACACGCACTAGGCTCTCCGCAGAAAGGCCTTCCGAAAGAATCATGGCGACCACCGCTCGAGGGTTGGTCGCGGATTGTCGCCTCGTTAAGGAGATGTGGGTTATCGGCGAAGGGCCTTCCGGAATGCTCACGCCTGCATGCACTTTCAGGAAGGGGGTATGTTCGTGCCTGTGCGCTCCATGTTTTGGGTGTGTGTGCTGTCCATATCAGCGCAGCTGCTCTCTTGCCGAGCTGATTGCAACCACAAGATCTCCTCAGCACCAAATCTGCCGGCGGGGTAATCACAGCCCGATTTATTGACGTCCGGCTGCATAGCGATGGGAAGCTCACAGGGTGCACAGTTGTCTTGCAGACCAGGGTGGTGCAGTTGTCCAACCCTGATGTGTTGCTCCGAGCCAAACAAGGGCTCCGGCTGATCAAGGAAGTTTTCAAAGAGCAGCATGTTGGGCATGCCCGGCATTCCTGCCATGTTGCTGAGTGAAAACTGCCCAGGCCACCCAGACGGCAAGACGGGTCCAATTTCGCGCTAAGCGCCCTTTCCTTGTAAGCACCAAAAGATCGCCAAATTTGGAAATCTGATCTGTGTCATAATTTTCTAATCTGGCAGTCCATGGATTTCGACTCGGATCGGCACGATACGGGACAGGACAGCCGCGGAGAGTCCACGGATTGTCCAACGCACGCATTCAATATGAATCCCGACAAGTAGACAGAGCTTAAAAAAAGCGTACCCAAACTAAACGATCAACAGGACGGCATCAACAGCAAGCTCTGCAGTGGCACTCCAAGGTTCGTTCACAGTCCGTTCACTCTCCGACCCATGCACTGCGACGCCTGCAAGCGTTTCCATATCTTCAAATGAACATATCACGATGTGTTTGTTTCAAACACGCGGGCTCGATTGCTCTAAAGAGCTAAATTCATATCTGTTCGGCGTGTACCGTGCTCGGCCTCTACGTCGTTTTAAATCTACTGTGGCCACCCTTGCAGATGTCGTCCAAGGTGACTGCGACGTTGGGCTTCTTCCTCTGCCTGGGCCTGGCGGCACAGCTTGCAAGTGCGCCTTCTCGAAACCCCTTCGTTAAATTGTCGATGCTGTAGCTGTGTACTGGACCCGTCTTGCTTCAGAGCTCCTTGTGAAAGCAGCAGAAAATTTTCATCATTGTTGCCTTTCCGGTCTACCAAGTGATGCGAGGAGCAGAAGGTCGTTATTTATATCGATGATTTGTGGGACGGCTCTGGAACGTCTGAAATCTGCTGCCTGCCTCGCAGGCGCCACATGGGAAGGAGAGGGCGACTACCCCTGGCTGAAGAAGGACGACAAGGGGGAAGTCGGTGATTATCCCCTCGAGAAGTACGAGCTAGACCATAATTTGTCGGACCTTGCCAGTAAGTACATCGAGGAAAAGGGTAAGGCAGACATGGCCGAGCACGACGATTTGCTCAAGAAGCTCACGGACACCAAGAACTACCTTCCCGCCAGCAAGTACTCCGTCTCCTCCCTCTACTACAAGGTCTTCCAGCTCGAGCGTGAGATCTGGTACATCCTCGGCTGCCTGAAGTCGGTACGCACCCACCTGCATCGCGCCCCTGTTTTGCAGCTGGCAATTTCTGCACCCTAGCAAACGTCCCATATGGCAGGCTGACATGCACACATGTGTCCCATTCAAACAACAGTGCTTTGATTTGATACGCACGAAGATGAACCGTTCTCTGAGGCGTCCTTGCGCTGGAAAACTCATCTTTGACGAGTCCAGCAAAAGGCATGAAACTCATGTGGGTCGTGCGCAGGGCAACTGCACTGTGGCCGGACCTCCAGGCCCCACTGGCGCCACCGGCCCTACAGGCCCCTCCGGCCCCTCCGGCCCTGCCGGTCCCACTGGTGAGCCCGCATTTATTATTGTTATTATTTGCTTTTCCTGCCAGAGGGGAGATGCGTCTGCAAGCTGCATGTAAACGCTGCCACATATCCTACCCCATGATGGAATCGCCAGATCCAAGCAAGACCCAATCAACCGTGGGCACGGTGCTCAGTTCTTACCAACCCCTGCCAGCCGAGGCCTATATCACACCAACATAAATGCACCGAGGTGTATGCCGGATTGACATGCACAGACTCACTGTGCTCACAGCTGCAGGCCTGTGGCAGAAGAAACATCGCCAGACTGGTGTAGTAATTGGCAGGCTGCATGCTTTGGCTTTGCTGCTGTGGGAATGTGCTGCTTGTGCTGCCATGCGTTGAACTAGCCTTCCCTGGCAGTGCCCAAAGTCAAGGATTTTAAGACACTATTTGCTGAACGGTGCTTGCTTTTGTGCTGCAGGTCCTATGGGTGCCAAGGGCGAGAACGGCACCTGCTCAGCAGACCAGTGCGAGAGTGCGTTGCTCCTTCCAGACTGCAGACTGCACGCATGCTTCTTGTTATTTTAATGGCTAATTGTATGCTTCTTGTGACTGTGCATGCTTCCTGCATGCTACTTGTCAGTGTGCTGGCTGCATGCGCACTTCTTGCGCTCTATTTTGCTTGCTAATGGCATGTGCAATACCTGCAGCTTTCTTCTGCAGCTGCATACGCGCTTCCTGTCGTTATGCTGGCAGTGACTGTTGTGTTGCAATCATAGAGTGCCCCGAGAAGGACATCATCAAAGCGACCGGCGGCGAGAAGATCTGCTGCAAGGACGATACCTGCCTCGTGGATGTGCCCCCTTCCTGGGGCGGCAAAGACATCGACTTCTACTACCCCCAGGACTACCCGTACGCGGAGGGCGCCTCACTCACCGGCCAAAAACCCGTCAAGGTCACCCTGGCACCGGGCACCTGCACCTACCCTGACGGAAAGAAGTGGCTCTGCAAGAGGGTGAGCTTCTTGCCTGCCACAGTGACGAGGCCATCATGTGCTTGAGAAAGAGAGAGGAAGGTGCATCGTGGAAGTGTTAAATGTCCAGCTTCCTGCAGCTACCTAATCACAGTAATTCTCATACTGTAAACTTGGATGTGCACAATAGCACATTTCGCCCTTGCGCCCACTAGAAATTGGCTGGATCCGGAAGCACAGATGACAGGTTTAAAATCTGATGAGATTTGTGGTGGCTATGCTTTCACAGGAGGATAAGGGGTTCGAGGGTCTGTGCGGTCAGCTGTACAAGGGCAAGTGCTGGTGCGTCCCGGATTAAATGTGTTCAGAAATCTTGATTCTGCTCGTCTACTGAGCAGTGACGAGTCTCCAAAGCGCACAGCTCGATTTGCTGCATGATCTGGCACGGCTCTTGTGCACATTTTTAACCGGCTTTTCTGTGGTTGCAGGGGCTTCTACAATGAGAAGTTCACCGAGAACGTTGTGATTGGAGGTGAGCAACCATAGACAGCGTATCAGACTGCTCCATACAGCACCAGGCCCAAACCAGGACTTGTACATACTATCCTGCAGGGCGCTCGTGCTGGCTCCCAGCTGTCTCACGACCAACTGCCTGCAAAGTCATCGAAGTTAGTTTCCACACCGCACGGAGCAAGCTTGCAGCTGTCAGTTGTGAAGAATTATCACAAAGATCAGGGCAAGGTCCTGCACTGCAGTTGCTTTGTGCTGAACGTTGAGCAACAGAACTCTGGAACTCGGAGGTGAACCTGTGAACATTGCCTTGAATAATGACGTGTGCACATATGCGATTGCTTTGATTTGATAGAGTGAGGTGGCTGATCACCCGCCTATTCATGAGTGCTCAGCCAGATCCTGGTATTTGATTGAAAGCTTGACAGCACTGTTTGATTGATGCCCTTTCATCCTGTGCCGTGCCTCAGATGGAGTTGATGTCTTGACTCTGCTTTTGCTGTAACAAGGGATGAGAATATCAGATTGTTGCACAAAGTTGCCAACAACACCGAATAGCCTGCATGCTGCTACTGATGCGCAGATGCCACTGCAAAGATTTACTTCAGCAAATCCCACCAGCAGGCACTCCCATTGCATGCCAATCTAGATAGGTCCTGCATTGAAATGGCATGCAAGACCTGCACCTGGTCAGGCATAGGCAGTCTCCTCCGAAGTACTTGTCAGCACAAATATCCGATACACCCAGGCTGCAGGAATTCCTCATGCTGGCAGGGCTGCAAGACCTAGGTTGAGACACACTCTGTCAGTATCACGACTGTGATTTCTTCCTAGGTTTCTGCCTATGGCAGAGCCCCTGCTGTTCGAACCCTCACAGCAAGCTATCATCATTAGACCAGGGGAACACAACCAATTACTGTTGTACCTAGCATCCACCTGCTCAGGCCAAGGTGCTCTGTACCTTGCAACGCAAACTTCATTCCCCAGCAATCAGAAGACCCGACAGCGGCCCGTGCACAGGACGCCCTTATGTTCCTTCTGCCCATTGCTGCATGCATGTCAGCTGCATGCAATTGTTGATCACAAACATAAGGGGCGCCTGGCTAAGGCACAATTTCCAATCAGGCTCAGGAGGACACTGAAATTCCTGTGCCCAATATACCGAGCCAAGGCCGTCTTCAAGCATCCCCGCTTTGCATGTCATGTCATAGCATGCCCCACTTGGAGTAATTTAATGCCTTTAGGCCAGAATATTCATAATACATTTATGTCCTGTTGGGCACATCCATATCCCCCTGTCGATCTCATACCGAGGACACTCTAAACTAATTTAGTTCGCAGTCCCCTGTCACACCAGGGGGCTGTATATGATGCAACAGAGGATGCAACAGAGGCAGCTTCAGTCACAGGCGGGTCACACATTTCAGAGGTATTATGTGCAGCTTCATGTATTACTAGATGAATTGTGTGATTGTCTTTCTTGTCTGCAGCATTACTGCTAACATACAACTCCCCCGGGGGTCAAGGCCTGCGGCCAGATGACAATATCAATGATGTCAATGAAGCTCACGCCAGGGGAATCTATGTCAGATATATAGAGGGGCCCCGGGGTTCAGGCGGCGGCAGCCTGCGGCCATACAATGATGTCGATGATGCTCATGCCGTCGCATGCATGCGTGCGGCGCGGGTGCAGCACGAAGTCGAAGCTGTCCCCGGCCTCGATGTCGCGCGTCCATTCCACGCGCCGGCGGTTGGATGTTCCCTCCGCCTCCGGCTTCATGTTGTACGCCTGCGCCATCAGCACCGACGGCGGCCTGCGTAGCAGACACATGCTGTTAGCACATTTACCATAATCTTTGAGATTTTGACTAATATAACAAAGGACCGCAACGCCAGCATTGGAGGCCTGAGGGCATACATGCAGGGCCACCTGCAGCCACATCTGCAGGGCCCACAACAGTCTGCAGGATTACCATCGTCGGAAACAATACTACGGCCTGGAGTGCCCTTGTCCTAACAGCCCTTCTAGTTTATGGAATCACCAGGCAGCCCAGCAGCTAGCCTGAGAGACAGTCAGTCAGTGACAAGTACATCACATCGCTCTTAGGGGGTATGGAATCAGATGCCTGACATTCGCTCCTCATGACCAGCGTCCAGCATGACAGCAAGGAGGACTGGAGATGAGCTGGGCACCACCAATAAGATAATCATGCCAGAAAACATGCAGACACATTATCTCACACATCTTCTGGCATCTGTCTGTAAGGCAGCTCGTTTGGCTGCCTCAAGCGTCAGCACTCAGCATGCGGAAGAGGCAGCGCTGCATTTCCGCAGATCCTGTCTACTGCTTCCACTCTCCCGATCCCCTGATGCCGCTGCCATCAATAACTTTTTTTGCTATGCCTTGCCGGATTGCACAGATAGATTCTTGTCCCAATGGGAGCTCGTACAACCACAACGTAAGGCTGCTGGTGCAGGAATTAGGAGCAGCTGCAGCTGCACCTTATAGTCAGTCAGGGAGGCGGCCAACAGATAGTCCACGTGTCTTGAGTAGTAGAAACCGTGCTTTGCTCACCTGCTGGGGTCGTAGAAGTTGTGGGAGACGATGAGGTCGATGCCGTCTCCACAGAGCGGGTACACATCGTACGCCAGCATGACGCGCGCCTGCATCGCGCGGAAGTGCGCCGTAAACCTCACCGCGGCCGCCGCATACGTCACGTTGCCGCAGCAGCGCCCCTCCTCCGACGCGCACGGGTGCATGCCGCCTGCGCGCATGGGAAGCCAGGTGAGTTGAGGCTTGCGGGAGCAATCCAGGTGTTGCCAGATTAATTCACAAGAAACTACAAGGGAACATGCCTCACGACAGAAGAGGCTGTCACGTGCGGAAACCCCTCTGTACTAAGTCATCTTCATGCAGCCCAGAAATGTGGCCTGCGATTCTTGCAGACCGGCTTGAGCGCTGCAACGCTGGGCACAATCTTGCTAGTGATGAAAGGTTTCGCAGTGGACCAAGATTTCCCGATATTCTGGTCTGACCAGTGAGCATGCTTCTACACTGGCAATACGAGTGCCTGCAAGGAGAGCCTGCCTGGTCTCATGGAGGGGAATTCGTAAGAGGCATCGGCGCAGCCCCACTTGTTCTCGGCCTCCCGCCACACCAGCTGCTCCAATTTGGTGGAGGCCGCCCCAGTGAAGTACCCAAACGTCCACCCCAGGTGCCGCTGGAAGGTGGGATAGTCCGCATTCAGCGACGCCAGCGGCCTGCACATACCCAACAACAGGGGTGTCAGCATTATGCGCAGGTGGACTTGAAGAAGCTCTTCCTTCTCAAGCTGGGCAATGCAATCACTGCCCGGGCGGCAGCGGCACATTTTACCAATCCATGCTCCTGTCTGAAGCCATGCGTGAGCATCATTCTCATCAAGTGCTCTCGCAGTTGCCAGCGCAGAAGTAGTGTCGCAGAGATCTTAGAGACTCAGAGGCAGCGCCAGGGCCACACGAAGTAGTGGGTATTCCTGGATTGGCTTGCTTATCCTGGGCGTGGCATCAAGATCACAGATGCAGGTGCAGTGCCACGGGCTTGGCAAAGGGCGAGGTAGCGCACCGGCCGGAGTGGCCGATCTGCATGTCCCACAGCGTCTGCTCGGCGTCCTGGAACAGCACGGCGGCCGCCTGCCCGTACTCTGCGCGCCGCTGCTCTGGCAGCCGCGTCGCCACGCACGGCTCAAAGCCCTCGCCCGCATCCCACTCCCCCACCCGGAAGAACGACTGCACATTCGCATAATGATCCTCCACATTGTTGAACGTTCCTTTGCTTTACAAGGCTTCAATGTGAAGACTCTGCTCTCCTTTGCGAAAGTCAATGCCACGCCCTCCAGCAGATTTCTCTTCTAGGAAAGTGTGGATTATCTCTACGTCAGCCTAGCTGATAAGTCCTATTGTCCGCCTGCTGCTCTGGAACAGCATGTGGCAGACAGGATACTGCATGGCCTCTCATCAAAGTTGTAGGAATGACGATGAGCAGAGATAATGAGATCATAAATGAAGAGCTCTTGGATCAGCACCTGGGGGTAGGTGTGCAGGTGGAGGCCGGCGTGGCTGAGCAGCCGGGCGAGGGCCCAGACGCTGTACGACTTAACCACCCCCGCGCGCGCCCCCGGGACCCTATCGCAGAAGGTGGACCCCCGCAGGATCACGGGGGCCCCGTCGTAGCAGCGTTTGGAGGGAACTCCCCCCGCGTGCAGCAGCCAGGTCGGGCTGGAAGGAAACGCGTGCTCCCCCGATGGCAGCTCCACCCCGAATGTCAGCGCCCCGATGCGCCCGCCGCGCGCCTCCGCCGTCGCTAGCAACCCCGCCATCGCCTGCACGCAAACCAAAGAGCCCCTCGGCGCTGCAACAAAGAGGACACGATGAAGGAAGCTGTCAGCTTGGGGCCAGCAGTCCATGCTCACGGGGTGCTGCAAAGCCATCTAAACTGGTCACTCCTGTAACTGGGTGCATGCCTTCTGCTGTCCTGGCAGTGCTGTGGTCCAGAGCCCAAGCAGCAGCAGAAGCAGGGCCCAGGAACAACAAGATGCTGGAATGGAAGAGAGGTCCTCCCACTGTCGTTTCCAAGACAACAAACCGTAATTCTTTGCGTGATGTGTCTGCTGCGTGGTGTGGGGGCACCTGCAAAATGCCCTCGCCCGGCAGCAGGGAGAAGCCGTCAGGAAGCAGAAGCAGCGTTTCTGCGATGCTTGTGCCGCCGCACGCCCTCTGCCAGAGCCGCTGCGCGGCATCTCCCCTTCGCACCGGCACCACCTGCACTTCCCCAGTCCCCCCGCTCTTCGCCACCGCCACATCAGCCTGCACAGTCGTGCAAAGACAGATTTGCATCCCGTGTGCCTGGACAGCAGCACTGCTTCTTGTGTTGCCACAGATCTCACCAAAATCCAAAATCTGGTGGTCACCTAGGTAGGGCGAAGAAACAGGAAGGACAGTGATTGCATCATGTATCTTGCAGTTGTACTGTTTGTAACAACCTATATCCTTGCAATGGCGCCATAGGACCTGACAGCACCCACCTGTGAGAGGGCGCTCCTTTGGGCCGCAAAGCTCCTGTGCCAGTCCACCCACTGCTGCGCCCCCGTCAAGGCCTGCACATTTCACTGCATTCATCTATTCCCGCCCTTTACCGATCCACATCCTACGCCCTCATGATATCAGCTCTAAACCTTCCCCGCACATGTTCAGCTCTGCACGCATGCATGAGCTGTGCATACGAAACAGAACCCTCTTTCTACCGCTGCGTACTGCTACTGATTGCAGTCAAACCTGTGATCACCATCCCTGCAGCGTTGCCTATGATCAAATAAGCCGGCTGCGCGCCTGCGGGCGCAGCGGCAGCAGGGGCAGCGTGCCGCGTTCCAGAACGGTCTGCAGCTGCGCAGCCAGTCGCGCCGCACCCGCCTCCGGCAACACAGCCTCTGAGAATGCGCTCAGGTCCACCAATTCAGACACGCCCCCCACGTCCGCCACCATGTACGGCACGCCCATCGCACCCACCTGTGCGCGGCAAACTCCCACTGTCAGTACTCTCAGCTGCGGCCTTATGTTCAAAAAGCCCACAGAATGCTACCTGATGCCCCGTATGGGTGTCAGACCTTGTCCCTTTCTCGCAGCAGTCATACCCCCAGAAGCGGTCGCCCTCGCACTTTGAGAATGCCCAGGCATTTCGTGCGCATGTCATCAATAAGTGGCGGTGCTTGACAAAATGGGCAGACGCCGGGTGTCAGGCTGTGCTCATCAGCTTACAACGCGCAGACATCGATTGCTCAGGTGAGGAAGGCCTGCCAGTGATTGAACTGAGCTAGCAGAGCGGGGCGATAAGATCTAGGATTCAAGGGGTGAGGCGGCCGCGCAGAGGGGTGCTTGAAAGGGGCGCGCCTCGGCGATGACGTAGGGCAGGTTCTCGACAAGGGAGCAGAAGACGACGAGCATGCCCGGTTGGGCCAGCACTTGCAGCGCCTCGGAGCGGGGGGCGTTCATGAGCAGGTGCGTCTTCCAGGGCCAGCCGCGCGACTGGTCCGCCAGCCACACGCTGCTCGGCTGGTACTGCACACTCGTGTCAGCGCCCAGGAAGTACACCTGCCGGGAATGGCATGACAGTTTTAGTGACTGACTGAGTGACTGAGTGATTGAGTGATTGACAAATTGGATGAATGAGTGAATGACTGAATGGAAGACGTCATTCAGCCACGTGGCTAGGTGCCTCGCAAAGGTATACTTCTGTCATTCTATAAGGGCTGCTAGGACTTCCAATTTTTGCGTGTAGGCTGTGGGAGAAATATGCCTCCACCAATCTTGACAGGATGGTAGGCTTCTCGAGTACCGCGCAAGGGCTGTGCTTCATGTCTGAGGCTTCATGAAATGACATGTAGCCTAATATGCGGCACAGCCCCCACGCAGCACTCATGAAAGCTGACAGCCAGGGACAGAATTCGTCTTTGAAGAGAAACGTCATTCCTGCCCTGTTCACAACTGCAGAACGTGTGCAGCGCAAGCATGCATGGGGCTGCTTGGTGCACTAGTAATGTTTGATCGCATGCACACCTCAAACTCTTCCTGCTGGCCGCGCAGGGCCGTCAGGCGCCGCCCGGTGCCGTTTGTGCTCCGCTCTACTCCGGCGCCGCCTGCCGAGCTTGCCTGCGCTGTGGCCGCTTGCTCCCTCCAAAGCTTCGAATTCACCTCCTGCACAACAATGGTGGAGGAGTAAGGCAGGGAGACTCTACAAGTGAGCACACCTGGCACCAGCTTGTCTAGGACAGGGCCTTCATTTCCAAATTTAGCCCATCAGCTGCTTGAACCTTTGAACATGGCACATGATGGCCTATGTGGATTCTAGACGAGGAACAAGCAATGTGCCAGTCATAAGCATGCTACATGCCTGCGGGCACCTTTTGCAACGATCCCTATGAGCCAAAGAGTCGAGCCCCCTCCCTTGATCTGGAAAAATGAGCAGCCCGAAATGACCCAACAGAAGCAAATTGTGCTCAGTTGGGGGCCAGGGCCTGCTTGATGTCACCACGTTCAATTGGTTTGGGGCGGAATGTGGCTGACTTTGTGGACACCAATCCATAAAACAATACGCCTGCTGGGGGCCTCCTACAGACTAGTTCTGCAGGGAGTGGTGTAGTTGGGGCGCCACAGCACCTGGCTCTGTTTGAGCGAGGCGGCGTTGAGCATATTCAGGGCATCCACAAACACTTTAATCCCCTTTCGCTCCTCCATGCGCGAGAAGAATGCCACCCGCCACACGCGCTTGACCGCGCCCGTCTGCAGCTGCATTGCCTCCCCCGGGGCCACCCCCTGCAGCTGCGGGGACCCCAAGGCCGGCATCACATTGGGGATGATCTTAGTGTCGTCCGGCAGCGTCCAGCCGCGCGCGTTCAGGTACGCGCGCATGTGCTGCGTGGGGCTCGCCAGCGTGTCGGCCATCAGGATTGCCATGCGCTCCTGGGCTCCACACAAGAGCCCAGTCATTTGGTGGTCATTTGCATGCTTGTTTGCATGTCTGCTTTACAGGTTTCAGGGGCTCTACCGGAAGATTTTACTGGTAATCTCCTTTCTGCTGCATGTGTTCTATGCAGTTTACACAAGACCCCCTCATGAACCCCTTGCAGACCCTCTGAAAGTGCACCATCTTCCTCTGCACACCGACACTCGTCAACTATCGAAACTTGTCTCGAAGGGACAAATGAACAAGCGCCCGAGCCAAGAAGGTTCGCCTCAGGATCCAAGAATGCAGGCGAATACGGGAATGAGGGGCTCCGGTGAAGAAATCTAATAATGCCGTACCTGTTCTCATATTGACTGCCCTTGACAACCACCTCTTGTCATGTGGCTGATGATAGCTTATGTGACTAACAGCAGAGGGGATGGGAAGGCATTAGGACACCTGGTGGTCGATCCGCAGGGGCTCCACGGAGAGGGATCGTTGGGGGCGCCACTGCAGGGACCACATGTGGCCGCCATGTGGTACGATGACTGTGCGCGTGCCGGGGGGCAGCCGCCGGAAGTAGCTGAGCGTGGCAGCGTCCACCAGCACGCCGCCCCACTCGTGCCCGTGGATCACCTCGCACAGATCCGCGTGCTCCCGCAGCCACGCCACGATCGCATGCTGCGCGCGTGATGTCTCTTGTTATCTAGGATGGAAGAGATTACATGGCACCCTTTCCTCTAATCTGGCAAGATTTAAACTGCATGACACCTTGTGCCTCTTTGCCCATTGCAGGGGTTCTACTCTGAGGCTGCCAGGATACAAATCAAACCATGCCACAGGAGCACAGCGCTCGTCAGCTGCTGCCATTTCTGCATTGTCATCTCTGATAAAATGTTGCACTGCATGCGCAGGCGAATTGACTGGTATGAGGTGAGATTACTGTGTGAAGTGCCCGGGGCTAGGCAGGGATCTGCGCACCGAGAGGGCTTCGTAAGGATATGTTTCCACCACCTTTGGCTGCTCAAAATGACGCTGCTGGAGACACTCGAAGCTGAGTCCAGCTGCCTTGTGCACCTGTACATCACGAATGATGCATGCATATTATGCTTTGATACAGAGCTTACTTGATAGACAGAGAGAGTCTCATAGTATGTATAGTCAGATAACATGCCCTACCTTCTGGGCCTGGGTGCAGACTTCCACCTCCTTCGTCACCCCCAGGAAGGTGACCTGGGTGAAGTCCTGCTCTCTCAGCGTGTTCGCAAGCAGATGACTGGCTGTCGCTGTTCCGCCACCTCCTTTCAGCATTGCACGAACGCCCCGCCCAGTGTCAGATTTGAGCATACCCCAGAAGTCTGCTGTGACGATGCAAATCTTCAGCTTAGCGTCATTTCTGGTGCTCTGGGCATCGCTATAGCTGTGTAGTACAGCTAGGCAGATCAGCCAAGCTATTAGCGAAGCACTTCTGCACTGAAAAGCCCCCATTTCTACATCATCGACATTCCTAGATCATATAACAGGTTAAGGTGCATTCGGGGGTGAAAGATGCCCGATTTGAAATGTCTGTAAAGAATTCGTTAAACATCGAGACCAGGACACAGCCTCGAGAACAGGTAAGGAATGTTCAGAAGAGGCCATCAATACTTCAAGATGTCCAAAAAACCTACGAACATCTCTCTAAGTGACATTCAGGATCGCCGTCCCCTCAAACCCAGGATCTGGACGGAATTTCCTTGGCTCGAACGCAGAACTCCGAAATGGGTTTCGAAACGCGGCATGCGTTCGCGGCGTTCCGTGTAATGGGCAGATTTTTGGGCAAGGTGGCGGGCAAGAGGCCCATGCAGGAGATGTGACAAGAGTGGGATCAAATGAAGTCAAATTATAGTTTGAGCTGAAAATTATGTGCTTCTGATCATGTGCACTGAACAACTTGTTCAGTACAAGTCAGCGCGGGTTGAGCAACTGGCATGCTTGCACTGCAGTGCCACTCCGGCTTTCAGTGATGGCGCCGGCTTTAAGCTTCAAGCTAAGTTAACTTCCAAAGTTGAGTAAATTTGAGCCTAGGCCTTAACTGGCACATCATGTGATCACTTGAACTTCACGGCGTTTAAGCCACTGCCAAGAAGCATCTGAAAAAGAGCCTGAGGCACGCAAACAGTTACGACAGTATAGTGATGTCAACAGCCAACTGTAGTACCGACATATTATGATTATTATTACACGCTTTTCCTGCCAGAAGCAAGGTGCGTCTGCAGACAAGCTGCAGTAAAGGCCAAAATCCTACCCCTCGATGGACTCGCCACATCCAAGCAAGACCCAATCAATCCTGGGCACGGTGCTCAGTATTTATACCGCCCCCCGCCAGCCGGGGCCAACGGGTAACCGACATATGGCACAAGTCATTCCATTGGCATCTTGCCGCTGCGGCGTAAAAGTCTGGAACCGCAGCTGAGCATATGCCAGTCATCATGATCAGCGCACTGATCAGAGTACTGCACCTCGTGCTCATCATAGGCAACTTCAAGAATTAGTGTCTGCAGGTTCACAAGAACCACAACGACAAACTCTGATTGTTCCAGAGCGTCCTTACTCCCTGGGACCTCATGTATCAACAATGCGGATGCCCTGCAACAGCAGCCACATGCATAAGACACAGTCCCTTGAAGGATGTGTGAGAGAGGCACGGCATCAGAAATGGCGCAAAGTCATTTAGAGAGAGTCATGTGAAGAAGACTTGCCATCGGCCGCATGCGCTGCAACTCCTGCTGACCTTGCTGCGACCTGGACAGCCACATGCAAGTCTGGTGTGTGCTCACATGCAACTACTCGGGGAAACCAGGCAATCTTGGGATGATAAACAGGACTTCATTCCGTCATGGTTCGAGCCAGAATGCTTGGGCCGGGTAATGGAACAGAGTTGCAGCGGGTGTTTGGGGCTCACTGTCCGCCTTGCCGCTTCTGCCGGTCCTGCTCCGCTCGTATCTGCGCCTCCTCCACCTATAAATAGTCAAGGCAGGACGCTTATTCCCAGCAGCATGGAGTCGTCTGGCTTTGCTCTGCCTGCCTTGCCTTGGGAAGGGCACACTGGCGCTCATCTGCAGCCTCCGACACACGCGTGAAATGCCTTTTTTAGTTTCCAACGATAGTGTATTTCAGGAGGATGCGCCTTGTGCACCTGCCAGCGGCAATTGATGACTATCTGGCATCCTTTTGCCACAGCAGATCTGGTAAGGTTGTGTCTGCTCGGGTGTGCACGTGGCAAAGCGGCAGGCCTTGCGCCACTTTTGGAAGAGGGCTCCAGACATGCAAAGGTATGGCCAGATAAATCCTGAACAGTATTACTCTGGGAAGTGTAAAAAAACTTTTGCAGGGAAGAATAGCCAGCGGGGCGTGCCTTGCGCCTGTTGTCGAGGAGGATGTGGTCGAGTTCCTCCTGCTTGCGCCGGCGCTCGTCCTGCTCTCGACGCTTGCGCTCCAGCAGCGTCGCCTTCTCCAACTCCAGCTGCCGCGCCACCTGTGCCAGTGCAACCCGCCATCTTTTCCTCTTTCCTTCTCCATCGTCCCCCAAGATTCTGTCAAACCCCTTCTGCAGGAAGCTATACTTGCATGATTACCGCGCCGCTGCAAACCAAGGCATGCCACGACAGTCTTCCGTACCCCTGCATTTACATGGGGGCCCTCCATCTGTGATGACGGCAGAAAGACCCTCTCTGCTGACATCACAGGGTTTACTTAAGACTACACAAAAGGGGGTAAGTCTTTAGTACCACATGGACAGTAGAGCCTACTGCCTGGAGGCTCAGCTCTCCACCCTTCAAGAGTCTGTCAAGGCCTCTTCAGCAGGAAGCTTTGCTTGGACAATCAACGCGTTTGTGGCATATGCACAGCAAAATGCCCTTTTCAAGGTACCAAGCGATCCCATGCAGGTGCTGTGTTGTTTAGGCATCCCATGCTTGCTCCGGCGTCGCACTGGCCCACAATGCCCTTGTGCCTGTCTGATGAAGCCTCCAATACAGAGTTCCTTGCACAGGGTCACATCTGTGGCGCAAAGTGCCGACGTGAGTATATTGTACTGTTCCAGGGCAGGGGGTGTGCCTTCTGCTCGAGGGCGGCCCGCTCTTCGCGCAGGCGCGCCTCGATCTGGCGCAGAACGTCCTCTGACTGCATGGCGGCCTCCACGCGCTCGCGCACGCGCTCCTCTATGCGCTGCGCCATCTCCTCCTCCTCTAATAACCGCGCAGCCGCGTCCTCCGCCTTCCCATTGCTGCGCAGAAAGACCACACCCCATGAGACCGAAGACTGCCAAGCACATGACCTGCACCAATAGCAGGGAAGTGGCGAAGTGCAGCCTCTCAGGCATTCCAGGGGCAAGGGCTTTGCAAGACGATGCAATCCCAAGAGAGCGCCAATGGAAATGTACGGCGTTCTGCTGAAGGGATCTGCCCAACAAGGCGTTGATGAGCCATATGATGAGCAGGTCGGCGCTTTGTGGGCGCCAGATCTGCACAAGGATGGGGTGAGGTGCCGACGTGGCACGGAGGGTGGCACACTGCTCAGGGCACACACCTCTGTGCCGGCTGGCTTTCCTTGTTGCCATCTCCCTTTCTTCGGTAGTGCCTGCACACCGAGCGGGGCTGCTCAGTCCTGGTCATTGCAGCGTAGTGCGCACCGGCAAGCATGCATGCATGCAGGTCGAGGCAGGGCTTGCCTTGTGCGTGCGGCAGGCCTCCGGGGGCTTGAAGGCGGGGAGCGAGAGGAGGATGGCCTGCTGCGGGGGGAGCTGCGGTCGCTGTCACTGCCAGAATCGTCCCTTTTCCTCCTCCTCCTTCCTCTGAAGGACAGAACTAGAGTGTCAGATTAGGATGTGGGTCCCAAGAGCTTGATACATCGAGAATGATGATGGATGCAGGAAGACACAGAGGGAATAGCAAATGACCTGTTGTCAGGTGACGAGCTCTCCCTGCTCCGACTTCTTCTCCTGGCCATGCCTTCCTTATGTCTTCCTTAGTGAACTATGAAATACTAATGATCTCTGTGCATAAGCACCTCAGTGGCCACTTCTGACAGGAATCGATCTGAATAATCGCGTGAATTCGATAGGGGCATAACACGATCTAATTTCTCTTCTGTCAAGATTGGACGTTGCACTGATCTTCTTAGAGAGTCTTGTGATCTCTCGCCTTGAAGGGAAAACCCTGCCTAGGGTTTTGGAAGCTCCTTGAAGGCCAACAGCTGGCTGGTTGGAATGCAAAGTAGGAATCTCTTCAATCTGCGATCACACATCACGGGCGTTCTGAGGGGCCCTGTGTGATATTGAGAGCAATCCTGGCGGTGCAGTCCTGTACTGCAGCCACTCTGACACTTCTGAAACGCCACATTTGGTAGTTTTAGGCCAATCGGGTACCGTACCGGCCTTCAAATGGAGCCTTTGACCTGCACCATGAGAGCCAGCTCCAGTAGCAGCTAAGATGTGCTTGGGATAGATCATCCAGTAGGGTCAAAAGTTAGGGTCAGAACGCGGAGATCGGAGCGGGAGGCGCTGGGGCGGGAAGACCTGACAGCTGGGGCAAACTGAAAGGCCAAACAGGAAGGATGGCGCCCGGCCACAACACCAGGCCGTCGCTATCTACAATGTTGTTTACGTTTGTGAGCTGCCTCGCGTGCTTATACGTTGCCGGCAGGTAGGCAACTGAAGCTCCTAAGAACCACTACTGAGCCATGCTGGATGCTGTCTGCCCTGCGGCTGCCTCAGCATGGCAGAGTTTTCTTAAGTATGACAGCATTGATAAAATAAGGTTTTCGACATAATCAGGGGATTTCCTGTTTCAAGAGAGGAAGTCAAAACAATCTCCGTCGAGGCACCAAGGGAATCTGTAGTGATGGGTGTATTTCCATTCATCGATCTTAGTTGCCCCAGAACGGTCCTTCGAGTGGGATGGGTTTTTTTGTGTCTGTATGCTCTCCCTTTCTTGGCTGTTCACACCACAGCCAGAAAGTTCAATCCAGACCATGTGCAGTATGTCAGACCTATTGGACATAGATGTATCACGTATACTTCCTCTATTCTGTAAATACCATCTTGAATAATATTGTGTGTTGTTGACAGGCTATGGAGCACCACCAGGGAACTCCATTACTTGGTAAGCCGCCTCTGCCTGAATATGGACTGTGACTATTATTGGCTATGACCTCATTCTGTCTGTTGACAGCTGCCCATTCTCATGCATCCTCAACTGAAGCAAGCACTCTTTGTCTGCAGAAGAAGGAGATGAAGGGCAGCCCATACAGAAGAGCAGGGAGCGGGTTCCCATTCATGGAGTCGGGTTCTGAGGCAAGCCCGGGGTGCGTTCAGCTGCCGTCCTTTGCTTTCATTCCAGTGCACAGCCTCTACCAAGTTCTGCAGCTTCCAACAACCCTGCACCCAACGGATGTCAACTCAGACAGCTGTGTGGGTTAACCAATAGGAGCGAGGGCGTTCTGTTCTATAGCATAAGACCTAGCGCGGGGCCGGCCACGCCGCTGACTGGCGCAGCAGTGGAGGACGACCTGCCACTGCAGACTGGGGACGAGGCGCTGCTTGGGCAAATCGATGGGGTGGAGTCTGGGGAGGTCGCCGGCTGGGCCTGCTTGAGAGGCTACATGTCCAAACCCTTGGAGGTCTGTCCACTTTATTGACACCTCAGATTCCTAAATCTTCTCCCGCAACGGCTCATCCTGTCCCTGCGTCGAGCCCCCGGCACCATTGCACCCGGACACTGACTGTGCGAGCAACGTATTTTATGTGAGCGTTGCAACACAGCATGGTCGTGCCAGGGCAAGCTGTGCTGTAGGCCTTGCGGCCGCCCTGTGACATTCTCAGGAGGACAAGATTCCGCGATTAATTGTTGCCCACATGTCACTTCTGCTCTCTGCTCTCAACAGCGTGATGTGCTGAGGGTGTGTGCGCGGGGTGGATCCCTCAGGTGGTGGTGTATGTGGACGGTGTGCGCGTGGGGGAGGCGCTGGCGTTGGAGGAGACCCCCCACCACATCATCCATCGACTGTGCGAGCTGGATCTGGCGGTGTCTGAGCTGGAGCAGCCGCCGCGTCAGAAGGGCGTGGGCTTCCGCCTCAAGCTGCCCAACCTCACGGAGGGCAAGCACGAGGTGCATGGCCATGCTGCTGATTTGACTGGAGCAGAAACATGTGAAGTTCATGACATTCCCACAGATGTAATTTGTCTGGGGTTGCGCGCCCTAGCGAGGTTTCTGTTTTGGTTGCCCTGTTGGCATCACCGTTGACCAATGTCGGAAATCTGGGGGCCCTACTGTCATGCAATGCTGCATGTCCACTACCTTGAAATTGCTAGCCATGGCAGCGTAGCTGGTTGACCACCAATGATGTTGCTCTGACTGTGCTCTGTGAATTGGCCTGTTTCCCAACTGAAGTTCAGTCCTCACTTTGAACTTTCTGTTGTCCTAGGTCCGGGCATTCGTGAAGAATAAGGAGGGCCTGGCAAAGCAGGAGCTTAACCAGTCCCCGCTTCCCTTCGTGGAGTCTGCTGCCCAGCCAGGTCCGCACCCTCCTTTGCTCCTCTGATCGCTCACCAAGTAAAATGCGAGCTTCTCATCCGCACTTTCTGTCTTTCTGCGTTGCGCCCAGGCACAATCCTTCCGGGGACACACTCTTCTATAAATCAATGTATGAGATGGCGCAGCAGAGGCCTGGGATTTGTTGGCTACGCTCTGCGTTCCTGTTGTCATTCCCAAATTTCAGGGGCCATTTGCAGAGCGCATGCAGGTCACAGGCCTAGGCTGTAGAGGAATGCTGGAACTAGTAAGGACTTGTTGCTCTATGGGTTGTGCTGCTGACGCCCTGGATGTGGACTGGCAGGGCTGGAGGAGGCGCTGAAGCGGAAGGACGCCATCATACGGGTGCGCAACGCCCAGATCAGCGCCCTCTGGGACGAGCTGCACACGCGCCAGCCCTGGACCAACGCCCTCTCGGGGGACGCCCCCATCAACCTCGCCACCGAGACCCCCGTCAATGCCTCGCGCAAACTTCTGGTCATCGGCATCAACACGGTGAGCATACTCTCTCGCTGCTTCATAGATAGGATTGGAGCAAGGCGGCGGTGTGTCCAAGAAACATTATCCAGTTGCACCATGAGCTGTTCCAGTGGACTGGTGGCCATGGCATGCACACGGTGGGTCTGCCAACTGCTGGTAAGAGAATACAGGTTGCTGGCAAGTATGCAGCATGTTGAGGACATCAGGGACTTGCATGAGAGCGCAGCAGGCACCGTCTTCGTGAGGGCACCCGGCATTGGGCTGCCATTCGCATGCCTTAGAAGGGCCAGCATGAAGGGCATCCCCCCCACATGGTGGCCATGCATAAGGCTGATTGGCGAATGATTTTTATATTGCATTGTTCAATCCTCTGGAGGTGAAGGGGGTGCGATGGATTGCGCAGGGCCTGGGCGCGCGGTCGCGGCGGGATTTGCTGCGCAAGACGTGGGTGCCCACGGGCAAGGGCCTCAAAACGCTGGAGGACGAGAAGAGCGTCGTCATCCGCTTCGTGGTCGGCTACAGGTGGGCCCTCCTTCCCTACCCGACGTCGCCTTCCCATGCATTCCTGACTGCTTCATTGCCCCCACTCTTTATCCAGATCCCTGGTGTGCTGCTTTGAGGGCAAGCACACAAGCGCAGGGTCAGATGGACCTGTCTTTCTCCTCGGATATCGTCGGAGCACTAGCCATACATGTAGGGAGATCCGCCAAGATAGCTTAGAATCTGAGGGAAATCTGGAGGATCCTTTTCCACTATTAGAGTCACACCAGTTGTCCCAGAAGTATACAGCTATGTAGAGCCCTGCACAGGGCAGTTGAGACACACGCTCCCCAGTGGGGCCATTGTCAAAGAGGGCACTGTCAAAGAGAACATTGCTGTAAAATTGGTACTGAATGGCTCGTATGGCTGTGTGCGCGCAGTGAGCAGAAGGACGACCCGGACGAGCTGCGGATACAGGAGGAGATAAAGCTGTACGGCGACATCCTGCGCCTGGACATGGTGGACACGTACGCGGACCTGTCACTGAAGACGCTGAAAATGTTCACCGTGCTGCCGGCCAAGTATGACGCCGACTTCTACTTTAAGATTGACGATGACGTGGCGGTCAACATCGATGCCATGGCCAACTACCTCGCTGCCAAGCGCAACCAGGGCAACCTCTACCTTGTGAGCCCCCTCTCCCGTGCCCGCCTTCCCTGATACTCATATGCCGTCACTGGCTGGGTGGAGTGTGGAAGTCGGCTGACTGTGGAAGGAGAAGGTGCAATGCAGCAGAAGAGCGCATGTTGTGCCGTGATAGATCCGCTTTGGGTGGCTGTTGTTCCTACTACATGAATTGCTGGACCAGCAGAATTGTAAGTGTGCAATGTGCGCGATGAGCAGGCGGGCATGGGGCGATCGTGGGTGTGTGCTGGGTGCAGGGTTGCATGAAGAGCGGGCAGGTGCTGACGGACCGGCGCTACAAGTGGTTTGAGCCTGAGTACTGGCGCTTTGGCGACCCCGCCTCCGCCGAGGGCCAGATCAACTACATGCGCCACGCCTCCGGCCAGGCACGTTCCCTCTCCCCATCACACCCACCCATCACCAGCACCTTACCTGTTGCAAGTTGCAGAAACCGCCCATTCTATCCTCTTGCTACTGTCTTGCTTCCGAAGTGCTCTTGCTGTCTGAGCAATGCGATGAAGGCAAACACAGGGTGCATGCGTGCTGCCGAAAAATGAGTCAGGGTCAGGGCAGGCACGGGCACCGAAAGAGCAGCAATGATGCGTGGCCTGAGGAGTGCAACAGCATAAACGACTGAGGACGGGATCAGGAACCTACCGGCAGTGCCTATGAAACCTACAGGGCAGACGAACAAGGACGCGGCTGACAAATCAGGGTGCGTGCAGGTGTATGGGCTGAGCGGGCCGGTGGCGCGGTACATTGGGCGCAACGGCCCCATCCTGCACCGCTTTGCCAACGAAGACGTGACGCTGGGCGCCTGGCTGGTCGGCCTCGAGGTCACCCACGTCGACGAACGCCGCTTCTGCTGCGACTCCGCCGAACGCTGCATGGCCCAGGTGCGGCTGTGATCTGGTTCTCTCTCTCTCTCCAATATGCAGCCCTGACTTGTGTACCTTGCTGGTCCCTATGAAGCACCAGCTTGACCTCTGGATGGGACATGTTGCTTGCTCAGGATGGGTGGCTGCAGTGTTGGTGGCGGCAAGTGAGGTGACTTGAGATGACCACTGTCGGCCTGGTGTTGTTGAGTTGTGCAGTGTAGCATGCAGTGCACCTGACAGCAGAATCTCTCAGTGTCTCTTGAACACATTCAGTATTCTGACAGAGGGCAGGAATCACACATTGACTGATGGCTTTGGTGGACTGACAAGAGGTAGTTCGTGCGTGCGCAGACAAACGAGAACAACGTGTGCCTGAGCTATTACGAGCACCAGTGCGCGGGCATTTGCAGCAGCGAGTCGCGCCTGGAGCCCATCTTTGAGTCCTGTCTCAAAGACCCCCTCAACCGCCTCGCCGCCCTGCTGGCCGAACAGGGCGAGACTCTGGAAGACCAGAAATAAGCGCTGCCTCCCAGTCCTCTCTTCTTCGCTAGGTATATTTAGTCTCATGCCCAGTGCTCATCCATGGCAATGCCTGGCCCTTAGAGAAGCTGACCCCTCTTCAGCTGTCTACTAGAGCTGCTTGCTAGATGCTGCACCAGGCAGCCCTCCCTATGGCACATGATTTTTGTGAGGCCACGCCAGCAAGTTTTTAAGAAGGTATCTTGAAGCATGCCTTCTCAATCGTGCGGGCCATCTAGCAGGGGCTTTCCAGTGACATATAATGGCGACTGGCCTGCTCATTTGAGATGCCTTCTTCTGATGGAGGGCACAGATCTCCAGTGATCTTGTTGGGGCAGGGGCGTGACTCTACAGCTCGTGCTGCATGTTGAGGTGCTTTCAAGGCTGCCCCACATTCATTTGGGAGAATGTATGTTGCTGGCTGTGCCAAGGGTGGCTGCATTTTTTTGTGGGTCTCAAGGGGAGACAGCCAGCACAGCAGCAGCATATCGATTCATGAGAAAAATTGCACTGCAGTTTGGTTGCAGTCGCAGTGTCTTGTTGGGGTTGCCGAGGTCTGACTGTCAGGCCAGTTGTCACACCTGTTGTTGCATTTGATTTTTCATTATGCAGTACTGACGCTTCTGGCCTTGCAGTGCCAGTGCATCAAGACTGGAATTGACTCAAGAACATGTCAAGACTGCCTGGCAAAAACACACTTCGACACCAAACAAATGGCTCCTGCAAGCACTTCCACCTTTTTTGCAATGCTCTTTTGCATCAAACCTGCGTTGAGTTGTTTGCTTGTGCTGTGGTAGATTATGCGCGTTGTTTTAGGCTTTTGTACCTGACACAGCAGCAGGGAAGGTATAGGGCAAGGGATAAGGAATGTCTCAACCAACACATTCGTTGGGCTAAGACATCCCAGATGAGGTCAGCATCACATGGTCACTGGGTAGATTAGAGGTGTACCATGCAGCCTGAGCGCTTGGGTTTGCAAAATTCGCAAGGTGTGGTTGGTCTCTGTGGCAGCTTTCACCTTCACATGGTGGCTTGGTTTGCCCTACAAGATTGCTGCTGTTTCTGCTCAGGCTGTTTGGCAGGGCCATGGCAGACTACACATTCTCAACGTTGTGACGATTCGTTGTAGGTGCCCCATGTGTGCTCCCCTATAGCAGGATGTGTAACATAAATTCACTAGAGATCTTTGCAAGAAACAGGCCGGAATTTGCAAGCGCAACACTTTGAGCAACCCTCAATGCATTACATAACCAGCACTCAAGGCTGCTGAGCATGCGCTGCTCCAAAAGTAGCATCCCATGAGAGTGCGAGTCTGTCCCCTTAGGGCAGACGCCTTCCGAGCTAACACTTATCAGTACAAAAAGCTACAGTCACTGGGACACTACGGTAATTGTGTCGCATTCAGCATGAAGCATTTATGGTACAGCACCGCAAACAACAAAAGCAGCGTCGCAACTGGCCCAAATGACTCATCAATTTCCTGGCAACATCACTTCGCCGCTTAAAAATCATAGTCATCCTCTTCAAAGTAGCCGGCCTCCTTCATCTCTGAGTAGTACATCAGGTCCATATCCAACTCCTCATTCGACCAGAAGAATTCTGACAGGAATGTCAGGTAGAGCAACTGCGCCAGCAATCACAGGTTACTCTCAACGTGCCATTGAAGGCACTTCAATAACTTGGCATTTGATGATGCAACAAGCGCAGGCAGAATGTCAGAGGGACAGGCATGACTCACCGGAGGGTATATGGCATAGTACAGGAATGTGGCGAGGCCATAAACACAATATCCACCAATCACGCCTGATCCCAACAAGATCGAACCTGTGCACAACACCCGCACAATGTGTGAGAGAACATGAGTGGCGTTTGCATGACTACAGAAGACATGCAGCGTGACATCTCAGAGCAGCAGTCAAGGTGGACAGAGTGCCCGTAGCTCACCTAATCCGGCCAGGACATTCAAGGCAAATAGAACCAGGATGTATCGGTAGAAAGAGGGCTTGGCAGGCAAGCGATCGCGCCATTTGGTGTTGGGCAGGATCAGAATGAGGGCATAGACCAGCAGAAACAGCACGGTGTGCGCCTGCATAAAGGCAGTCTCCTTGTAATTGGGCGAAAAGGATAGACCAAAATTGTCACTAAAGGGCATAGCAGAGAGCTCAGCTAGTCACTCACCAGCCAGAAGCCCCATTTGCTCCAGCGCAGATCATCCCCAGGTGCCTCCGGGCTTCCCCTGTCAGGAGGGCTGAGGTTCTCAGATGTGGCAATTGGCTGCTGTGGTATGTAGGGACTGAGAACCTCCGTAATGGGATAGGGAGAGCTGGGTGGACATACCCGTAGAGAAACAGGGGCACGTGCGCTCCAAATATGTATATCGATGCCACCACAGTCTCAAAGGCTGCATATGCTCCAGACATCCACAGAGTCCTGATAAGAGCCTGCATTGTCAAGGAACCTCAGAAGCGTTCCAACACTTGCCACGGCTCGAAAGTGAAGAGAAAGAAGTAAAATGCATCAATTCTGGCATGTGTCTGCTGCAGGGAGGATGGGCAAGTGTGCGTGAGTGCATCTGTACTCACCTCCCTCCCGCTTGTGAGATAGCCCTGCAGCAGAAACACCACCACCGATACCTCCAGCATCACCAGTCCTGCAAAGAATGGACACTACATGTCAAGACAAAGAACAGACTCCAACTTGGCTTGGCAAACGTGCACAAGTATCAGCATCACAGTGTCAATGGCACGTAAGCTACAGATGGTTTCGATTCTTTCTGACTCCATCTCACGCTCACAGAGTTTCCAAGCTGTATTTGAGGAAAGTGACAATAGGAGGGTGTTGCGCACCAAAGCGTGTGAGGAGCCAGAGGAGGTTGAGGAGGAGGGGGCTGGAAGATTCCACTTCTGCCACGAATGCGAGGCAGCGCAGCACGTTGAGCAGACCGACCACCCACAGGAATGCATAGTATGTGGTCATGATGTGGGACTGTGACCGCTGCAGCTTGCGGATTGAGGGCAGTAGGCGCCATCCCAAGAAAATCAAGAAGAGCACTGTGGGAAGCCCAATGACCTGCAGGACAAGCTGGGCTGTCATGTCCAACTCTTCAGATGGGGAACAAAGGTCAACAAGTGCTTGCCGATGGGGTGCAGACCTCAATATGAAGCATAACGCCCTTGATGAGATGGTGAGATTTAGCATGGCTAACAAACCACAGAGAGGCTGGTACTCCTTACAGGAAGCGGTGACGTTATGAGTAAGCAATGGTCAGACAACGCACCAGGGTGTAAATCAATGTTGAGCCATGACTATGTGGACTGACGAGATCTATACAGATGGAAGCACCCATGCTCGTCCTCTTCACGCCAGGGCCTTCATCAATAGCTGGTCGTCTTGGACTCAACAGTCTCGGCACCTTTCCACGAGCATTTTGGGAAGTGGCGAGTTCGCGCGATTTAGGATGTTTATTTAGCTTAGAGATTTATTCACAATCAGTGGAACAGAGCTCGAATGGCTTGAGGAGAGGTCATCCAGCCATCACCCTCAGTTTATAAGCAGCTTCTCCACTCGCGGAACCTGCCATCCCAACTGCGCCATTACACTTCTGGTGCGATTGATATTGGAGTCTTCTCTATGTTCTGTGGTAAGGAGGCAATCTGTATCCTATATACTGATCTGTGCACACAGCGACGTGATCAAGCCTTGAAATCTCCCAGATCATTCTAGCAGATGGCAAGCCAGCACCTTTGGCATGGAATAGCTGGTCTTTCGGGAGCAGCGGCAGTTTCTCTCGGTGCATATGGCGCTCATGCGTTCAAACCAAAAGATCCGTACTTTCTAGAGGCATGCTTATTTGTTCCCACGTATACACATGCCGAAGTGCCTTAACCTCAGAATATTTTCTTTCTTGTCAGCTGATAGCGATATCTTTTCAATGAGAATTTCTTCTTGAGTTGGGACTGGCCTGCAAATCCAGACGGGCTGAACACAGCACATCTATATGCGCAGGTATTTGACCGCGGCAATAAGTATCACCTCTTACACAGCCTACTTCTTGCTGTGGCACCTCTTGCCAGAAGACCAACAGCAGTTGGTGCCTGCGCAAGTGCTGGGATCCTGCTGTTCTCGGGCAGCTGCTATGCTGCCGCATTCACAGAAGACCGTGCAAATGCCAAACTTGCTCCCTTCGGGGGCATGGCCCTGATCGCTGCTTGGCTGTGTCTAGCAATTCCATGATCAGATTTGTCTCAAGTCCTCCTCTGTGAACACTGCTCGTTGGCATACAAGCAGTTGGTCCTGTTTCAGAGAACGGCTGTCCTGACACATGTCCCTGGTGTCCCTAAGTGGTGGATATGCAAGACAAATAAAATGATGTTCTGAATAAACAAGGACATTGTAAATTTGACAGCACATCCCACAACATGATCCATTCAATTTTTCCTGCTACTTGCCACACAATCATCTGCACGAAGAATTGCTCAGGCGTCAGCCTGAGCCTGCGGCTCTGTCTCTGGTCTGGGCTGCTGTCCTTCTGGCTGCTGCTGCTGCTGCTGCTGTGCCCTCTGCTGCCCCTCTCCCCCCTGAGGTTGCCTCTGCCCGAGAACAGCCACCCTTGGCTGCTGCTGGCCAGGCACCACAGGATTCCCTCCCAACCCCTGCAAATAATAGCGCAGCATGTGTAAAAAATGCCAGCGAGCTCAGGACAATTTTAACCAGAGTCATACTACCCAGAGGTCCGGACCCGAGAGCCTCCACCCTCAAAGAGCAATGGAGAAGTCTCACTACCGTATAATCCCACCGGAACATGGCAATATATCTAGGCACGGGGAAAAATCCCAGAATGGGTATCAGCGGCCAACTTTGCAAAGATGCATTTTGACAGCTGTGGCCTCTTATTCTGTCGCACAGGTGTATTTTGCTCTTTCTAGAGCCCTCTCTTAATAAGCGTCCTAAACAAGATCGACAGCAAAACAAGAGCTGCCAGGTGAAGCAGCAGGGGCCTGCACAAACGCTGCCTGCACTTCAGCACGAGCGGAGCATGAATTGAGTCCAGACAATGCCCAGGGCTTCTAGAAGCAGTGGGTGCGCGCGCACCTGCTGCTGGCCGGCGCGCAGGTTGCGGCGGCGCCAGAGCACGAGCCAGAGGCAGCCGCACAGCGCCAGCAGCAGCACGCTCTCAACGGTGTCGCCCATCGCGCCGCGGTCCGCGCCGTGCCACGCGCGGCCGGCCGTGTCCACCGCTCGCTCCAGCCAGCCCAGCCCCAGTCCCACGCTATCCCTCCTCGGCACCGCCCCCAGCGCCAGGGCCTGCACCGAGAATGGGACTGCCATTACCATCGTGCAATTCAATGGAATAAACATAAAATCATTTGCCGCAGAATGTCTTCCGGCATGAGGAGCCAGGTGCACAACCCGGGCCAGCAACACACAAGCTGTCATTGATCGCGTTCGGTTCTTTTGAACTCAAAAATTTAGTTCAGCTTGAATGCCTTGAAGTAAGATCGAAATTTTGCTTGAGCAGAGGGGACAGACCTTGCAGATTACAGACCTTGCAGATGATCAAACAAGAGAGCTCTTGGACCCACCTCTGGCCCAGGACCGGGGTCGCTGATGTTGTAAATCCGGCTGCTCAGCCAATGCAGCGCCATAGGAACGTGCGGCCTCACCGACTCCCACCTGCACGCACGCTGCACTGGTTAAGGCAAGCTGACTGGCCACACAGATGCCACTGGAGTGATCCCAGCTGCAGGTATTCAGAGAGGCACATGGACAGGTCGGCATTATTGGTGCATGGTATAGTAGCAGAGCATTCCTGCCAGCAAGGGCCAGGGGATGAGCAGCGGCATGGGCATACCAGGAGTGGAGCGCCAGTGAGAGCAGGGCCACTTGCACAGGCGCGGTGGCGTCCGGCTGAGCCTCCAGCGACTTGTCATAGAACCTCTTGGCCAGGTGCAAATCCTGCAGCGGTGCCACCACTTGTGTTCAAAATTGCCTTTTTATGCTTGAGCGGGCTGCTATTGATACCAGGTGCCCTGGCCATGTGTGTGACTGAGTGCCATTCCATAGTCTGCAACTATATAAGAGCAGGGTGCAGTGGGACTACTAGGATACCACCGGCAAAGTGAATTCCTCGAGGCTCTTCGTTGATGGGCGAATTGAGAGCATTTGTTTCGCTACAGGCCCTGAATGGGGCCCACACCTGTGGCAGGCCGGCGCCGAACTCGTGCATGAAGCCGAGGTTGAAGAGCGCCTGCGCGTTGCGGAATTTGGAGGCCGTCTGGTAGAGCTGCGCCGCGCGCGCCCAGTTGCGCTCGGCCCCGCGCCCGTACCAGTGGCTGTCCCCCAGCTGCAGCAGCGCGTCCACATTCCCCTGGTACAACCAAACTCTGCTCAACGCTGGTTTTGCGGAGCGGATTATGTGGCGTCTGACTGCTCAACGCTGTCTGTGTGAAGTGGATCATGCCGCGTCGGAGAGTCAGACGGTCAGCCAAGATGTGCAGTTCCTGATTGCATGAAGCACCTTATCCACTGAGCGGCCTGAGAGTTCTGCTTTCCTTGGCGACAGGAGTCTGCTGTGATAAGGCAAAAAGAGCTGCAGTATGTACAAGATGTCCAAGAACATAACCGATCCTTTCAAAGGCAGGGGTATGGTGCTTGCCTCCCCCGGTGAATAAGTCAGTGACAAACTTGTCCTGCTGATACTCTTTAGTGATCGATAGGCTCTGCATGAAAAAACATGCAGGGTGACCTCAGGGACAGCTGCGCCACCTGGCCGGCTGCGCGCTGGTGCAGCTTCTGGGCGAGCGCAGAGGCAGTTGGGCCGGCCGCGCCAAAGCCGCGCGAGAGCATCCAGGCGGCGTTGCTCTGGCCCACCTCCAGCCCCATCTCTGCCGCCTTCAGGTATGCCACCACTGCACCCTCATAGTCCCCAGTCCGATACTGCACCCACCAGCAATCACTGATCAGGCACTGGTTAAGCAACGCAGGAAGTGGTTCATGCACCCAAGCAGATCACTGGGTGGGGCATTTGGAGGGCTGGTTTGTGCGTTCACCCCTGTTCGACACTGTTATCAATCGTGTGCAGGCTGTCATTCTGCACCGATGCCATGCGTTATGCTTGCGCAGCACCACTTCCAGGCATGCAGAACTCGCCCGTCTCTGATCGGCAGGGCGAGCAGGATTATTTGAGCATATAAGAAAGGGTGGGTCTTGGCGCACCCAGTCAAAGGCTTCCTGCAGAACCGCCGCCCACGGGCCCCTCTCTGCTATCTTCTTCAGCAGTTCCAGCGCTGCAGTGCAGCCGCCCCTAAATAGCCAGAGCCACATGCACAATTTCAGGCCACCTTCAGAAGAAGTACTTGGCGAGCCCACGGCAGCACCATGGTGAACAACTAGGATCCCCCTCCCCATTAGCGACAGGTAAAGATATATTCCGCCCTCACAGAGCCACAGGACACAAAGTGATGATGGACAGGTGGGTGCCGCACTTGTCGGCGGCGGAGCCCTGCAGGTGCAGCATGGCGAGGTTGTACTGCGCCAGGACGTGGCCCAGCTTGGAGGCCATGTTGAAGAAGGTGAGCGCCTGCTGCGCGTTGGCCTTGGTCCCCCAGCCGTTCAGGTGCATCACGCCCAAATGGAACCACGACTCCACATGCCCCTGCCGCACCACTCCACAAGGTCAATTCCGGATGTCGCACCCAAAAAAGGCTTGATTACACTGAGAGGGGACTTTGCACCGGCGCAACGTCAGGATTTTTTTTTTGTTATTGGTGAGGGGCACCTCGGAAATGTAATAATACAGTATGACTCAGGCATGAGAATCTCTCGAAGCTGCTCCAAGCACAATACGGGTGACATTGAAAACAAATAGCCAAGCCAGGCCGTTTCAGCTTTAGAACAATCGAACCAAGCTACCCACAGGACATCATCGGCATGATAGATAAAAAAACCAGCGGCACTGCGCACCTGCTCAGAAGCAGAGGTGAAGTACTTGAAGGCCTTCTTGGCGTCCTTAGGCACGCCGTAGCCGGACAGGTGGAGGTAGCCCAGGCCGTACTGGCCGCTAGGGTGGTTGCGCCGAGCCGCGCGGTCAAACCAGTCCAGCGCCGACTCGTTGCTGGCCGCCACGCCCACACCGTTGGCATACATGTGCCCCAGGTGCGCCATCGCGTCCGCGTCACCCGCCTCCGCCGCTTGCCTGCGCAACAACAGCCACCGCATCAGGCACTGATGCTTGCGTTTCAGGTTTTGCGACTGTCATCTATTCACCTGCCATGAGTTGCTGCACAGACAAAAGACATGACCATTGCAGCCGCATCTGCTACTTGCAGAGCAATACCCAGCTTCGACTTTTTAATGGCGGCCATGCGGGGGGCAAGCCTGGTTGGACAATGGTCTAAACGGCAGCAGCAGATGGAGGTTTATTTTGGCACTGAAGTGGTTTATATTCTGGCAGAGCAGGGGCCCACCTGAAGTAGCGGAAGGCCTGCTCGGGGTCGCGCTGCACGCCCTGCGTGAGCATCTGTCCGAGCGCGCGCTGCGCTTCCGCGCTGCCCAGGTCGGCAAACCACTGGTAGTGCAGCACCTGCTGCTCGCGCGTTGGGTGGCCCCGCCACGACGCCCCAGCACTCAGCCGCATCCGCTCCACCTGCGTCATGATTCTCACACTACATTACTCCAGCAGCGCCGTATGACGGGCCAACGCGTCCTAAGCCATGGCGTCATTGATACAGCACAGGCAACCTCTACGTAGGTGATGCATTATCCAGGCCACCCCTTCCAACACAACGCCTCTTGACACTGGCGCATTTTAAAATGCAACATTGCTGAGAATCATCTCCGGCATGAAGAAGGGCTGCTGCGGTGTAAAGTGTCAGCCAGACAGCCACCCATTGGTGGGGTCTCCTATCTCTGTGGACCCTGAGGCCTTAGGTGACCTGTTAAGTGCGGCACGCTACTTCATGTGCTTTGCATGGGAGAAAAAGAGGGGCCGGGGCTCACGTAGGGCAGGCTGGCGGGCTGGCGGGCCAGCTCCACAACCTGCTCGGCCACAGGCTGGTAGTAGAGCACCGCAGTCTGACAGGACTTGGGCACGCCCAGGCCGTGCATGTGGCGGTAGCCCAGCGCCGCGCGCGCAAAGCTGTCGTTGCCGGCCGCCGCAAAAAAGTAGTGCGCCAGCGCCTCCGGCCACCGCGCCTGCCCAAGCTGGAACAGCGGCAGCGGATCGGCTGCATCTGCGCAACACACTTATAGTGTCAGCTCTTGTGTCCATGCAATCGCATTGCCTCAACTCATTCGGCGCTTTCAGCCCTCATGTCCGTAACATTGCAGCTCGATACCCTTCAGCCAGCGCGCTAGCAATATCGTTTGCAGGGCCTCAACTGTACGCTTGGAGTCACCATAATAGGTCTCAAACTGCCACTGCAAAGTGTGCTTCAACACAAACATTGCAGAAGAGCGCCTGGCGTGACATGGCTGCATTGCTCATGCGCGTTTGCCTGGCCCTGCTCATTTGGTCTGGCCAGCGCCACGGCGTGCAAGGTGGTATGTATGAAAAGGGAATGACCTTGTGGAGGGGGGTAGATGCCAATAGCCAGCCGGAAGCCCAACTCTGCCTGCGCCTCAGGATCGCCGCGCTCTGCAGCTGTGCGCAGCAGCTCGAATGACACCGCTGGGTTGAACAGAACCCCCTCCCCTGCATGCAAGGAGGATCACCCTTGAGGCATCGGCACATTCTCAAGTTGCAGACGATACTGCACACGAGGCATCGGCACATCGTTCATTCCATCCATTGATCCACGAGAGGCATCTGCACATCCATTGTTTTCCCAATCAAAGCTGCATGAGTCCACCAGAGCTGCTGTCAGACAAATAGGGTGGGGCCCACCGAGCTCGTAGCAGACTGCCAGCTCTTTTATGGCGCCGACATGCCCATTGTCAGCGATTTCCAGGCCAGAAAAGTGACTGGACAGGACATCATCATGTGCCCCGCTTCCCTCTGCATCTGTTGCATTCAGCGCTGTCTCTTCGACTGCCATAGATACCCCGAGGCTGACGCCCGCTGCAGACTTCAACAGATCTGCTGCCTGCCTCAACTGCTTTGCTGACGCATCTTTTTTTGACCTGCACCACCACTAGAGGTTTGAGTTCCACGTTTTCACCCACCCCATTGAGCGATACATCATCACATTTGTTGCATGTTTCGCATCGTGTACTGTCGTTGGGCTGATACCTGAGATCCACTGCCTTCTCATACTGCTGCTGCGGGAGGGAGGTATCCACCTCTGTCCCATGAGCTGCAAGGATCATCTGTCCAGCTAGAATGGCGACCATGACTCCCCATAATTCGGCAGCCCTGCCTCCCTGAAAGATCAAGACTTCTCATTCAGATTCGAAACATGGAGACTTCGATACATGATGGCACAGAGCCGCTGGGTTTGTTCATGTCGAAAAACTTGACTGTACAGCCCTACTTATGCAAAGCTCTGCTGTTCGATTGTCAAACTGTGGCGATGTTACCTTTCTTGCGCGGCCCATTAGATGTGAGTATCAGATGTAGATGTAGGATATGGACATTGGCTGAATTCACTTGATGGTTAGACCTGAGCTCTAGCTCGCCGTTCCCTGTGATCTTGTATTCCACTGTTCACCCATGTTGTTGCTTGGTTAATGATCTCAACTAAAAATACTGCTCATTTCCAGGCAGCGAAGACACAGTGTCAGTGATGAAGCACTTGTAACCTGAGAAAGCACACTCTTAGCTCCCAGAACGCGACTCCTTTCATGCAAACAATACAGGATGTCTAAAATAACAAATGACATGAGTTTGTGGCTGCTGACAAAGGAAAGTCGTCGAATGCAAGCCTTGATCGCAAGAAATTTCCTCGAAAGGAGGCAACTCCGCAAAAGCGATGCATGCATATGGGTGCATGGCCTAAATAGGATCCCTCGGATGCAATGTCTTTTCGGACGTAGGACTGAAATGGACTGGAAATGAGGGACTGGGTTGTGATTTTGATTGTCCTCGAACAATAGGGGGTTTAACAGTCAATCAAGGCTATCAGCATGAGAAGAGGATGCAGCTGGAGAGAGAAAACATTTGCCACGTGGCAGACGAGTTTCCTAGCTGAAAGCGCGTATAGAGAAGTCACTGTTCACCTGAATAGGTTTGACGCTCATTAGGCTCTCATCGTATGTTTGAGTGTTCTCTGGCCTAACAGATTGAAGACGCTGAGCGAAAATGGCACGGTTGCCGCTCATGCCTGCCCACCCATGGGCGATGTGACGTTGTCATGTTATAAGACTGGAGTATTGTTAGCGGATGCCAGATGCCAGATGCGTCCTATTCGTTTCACAATGTCAATGTCGGAGTCCTTGGCCACGTCGACAGCGGGAAGACCAGCCTCGGTGCGCCCAGTGACTTGCAGCATTGGGAGGCATCTTTCACAGTTGATGCGCCGCACTAGGATCCAGCCTTCAGCTGACACCTGGGAATTAAATAGAACATTGGACCGTAATTCTGTCTTGATTTTCATTGTCATGAGTCACCACATGCACAGCATGACAGGAGCACATTAACAACTTCCCTGGGCTGCCGCAGTTGCGGCCCTGTCTACCCAGCTGTCAACAGCTGCACTGGACAAGCACCCTCAGAGCAAGGAGAGGGGCATCACTTTGGACTTGGGCTTTTCATCCTTTTCAGTGCCGATGCCCGAGCGGCTGACCGGCAGCGTCCCTCTCCAGAATCTCCAGTTCACTCTGGTGGACTGCCCTGGGCATGCCTCCCTCATCCGCACCATCATCGGCGGCGCCCAAATCATCGACCTGATGATGCTGGTTATAGATGTCACCAAGGGCATCCAGGTAGGAGCTCCTCACACCTCGCATGACTTCCTTTGCCCTTTCAACAAGCTCTAGATAGGTGCTCATGTTGTTACGTCATAGTAAATTGTCAGGGTCCTGAGGTGCTCCTTCTCGGTGCAGGCTCAGACAGCGGAGTGTCTGGTGGTGGGGGAGATAGCGACGCGGCACATGCTGGTAGTCATCAATAAGGTGGACCTGCTGCCTGCCGAGCTGCGGCCCAAGCTGGTGGCCAAGGCTCGCAAGCGCCTGGCGCAGACCTTTGCTGCCACCACTTTCGCTGGATGCCCCATGGTTGCCGTCTCGGCCAAACCTGGTGCGAAAGTTTCATGCGTTTGATCTCTTCTCAGACCTTCTGAGAACATGGCCAATACTTGACGCTGCTTCAACCTGCTCTGAGGGCAGATGCGATCTCCCAACTTATTGTCACCTGCAAGCAAAGGCTGTCCTGCCACGGCACAGCCACAATGTACAGTATGGAATGGATCAGCCAAACTCTTGATGTGTTCAAGCAATTGATTCCACTGTGGCACGGGTATATGACAGTCTTGGAACAATGGCCAGGTGGCGGGGATGGGCCAGCACCGCCTGCAGAGGGAGTGGAGGCGCTGATAGAGGAGCTGGTGAAGCTGGTGCCGGCGCAGCCGCGACCGGTGAAGGGGCCGTTCCTGTTCTCTGTTGACCACTGCTTTGCAGTGAAGGGGCAGGGTACGGTGCTCACCGGCACTGTCCTGGCCGGCTCTGTTGAGGTATGCCACCCTCAAGCCTTGACAGAAGCCTGTGTCGTCACTTTCAGAACAAGATTACATTCAAAGTCATGCATATCCTCTCCTCTCCTACTTCCATCAGCAAACTCCTTTTGAATCTTGCTTAATGTGCACCTTCTCTGCATGTTCTCTGCAGAGATGATGAAGCCTCATGCTCGTTGGACATATGACCAATGCAGTCATATGAGACAACAAGCCTCTGATGGCGGGCCAATCATGGCACGCGGAGCTAGATCATCCTGGCTGGTCACTTGCAATTTGCCAGGCATGTCTTTGCATCCCTGCTTTCGATGGCATGTAGTGGACTGCGCCAGCTAGAATGAAGCTGGGGCCTCTGGATTTAGTGATTGAAATTGGAGCTGAGGGGTGCTTGTGGTTGCAGGTCGGGGGGATGGTGGAGCTGCCAGAGCTGCGGCTGGTGAAGAAGGTGAAGAGCATGCAGGTGTTCCGGCGGCCGGTGCCGTCCTGCGCGCAGGGCGACCGCGCAGGCATCTGCGTCACGCAGCTCAACGCGAGCAACTTAGAGCGCACGTTGCTGTGCGCGCCGGGCACCGTGCCGACCTTTAGCGCGGCCATTGCTGCGGTTGAGAAAGTCCGGTTCTTCTTGGGGACCCTGCCCTCCAAGAGCAAGGTGCGCAGCCCCATGCCTGGACGCAGCCGTGTGAATGATCACGAGTCATCTGACCTGGTTGGCTGGGAGGAGGTCTGTGACTGCAATTTGTGGATGGACCGCCTCAGACCTGCAGGAGGGCTTTGAAGATGCCAGGTCGTTTTTATCTTGACCGCTATTCCTCATTATAATTTATTGGGCTGGTGTTGCATGGAATCTCTTGATGCTGCCTGCTGCCTCTTATTGTGTCTGGCCAATCTGTGGCTACAGTCTAGTTGGCAAACCTGAGGCTAAGAATTAGTGCATGCAATGGAAGGTTACAATTTGTTCTCTAGGTGCTTTGAGTCTTTTATTGTACATGCCCTCAGCTGGGACTCTGGAGCAAGACACTGGATTAAGCTGCCGCTCAGTGCTGACGAGATGCTGCGCAGGTGCATGTGTCGCTGGGGCACAGCACAGTGATGGCGGAGGTGATGTACTTTGGAACACCCGACGGCAGCGGCCACGAGCCGGCTGCAGCCCTGCGCTCTGTCCTGGACCGCATCCGGCAGCTCGCTCTCAACGTGAGCCGACATCACCGTCCCATGCTCGCATGGGAATCCCTGGTGCAGCGTTTGACGTACTCACGCACTTTGCAAGTGGCAAGTAATAGTAGCCCAGCTGATGGTCGAATGATTTCTTGCAGGAGGACGTGAAGGACTTTGATTTTGGCGCTGAGTACGCGTACCAGAGCGAGCTGCACGGCTTGGAGGGGCGGCCCTGTGCTTCAGGGGCGCAGCCCACCACGCACCATGGGCCCCAGTGGGCTCTGCTGAAATTCAGCCAGCCCGTCACTGCACCCAAGGTGTGCTTTCCAGATAAATGTACAACCTGCCCCCCTGCACAAGTCCCTGGGTCTTTCAAGGCGTCCCTGAAGTCCCCTAACCCCTGAAATCGAATTGCGGATCATTGAAAGGTCACCCAAGAGCTACCAATCTGTGGCCGGCCTTGGTACGTATGCAGCTTCATACTGAAGAAACCAAGGTGATTTCTGCGGCATCACGTAAGGAATCATCGTGGTTGTCTCAATATATCCGGGGGCAGGGCCCACTTTCACCACGCTAGTGCCTGGATTGGCTAAAGGCCCTTGTTGCTGGAACAGGACGCATTGGTCATTGGGTCGCGCTTCGACACAGACGTGAGCAAGGCAGCGTGCCGGCTGGCATTCTACGGGCGGCTGACGGCGCTGCTGCGGGCCGAGGAGCCGGGCGAGCTGGCGCGGCTGCGCATCTTCAAGGCCAAGACGCGCGCCGGCAGCATCGACCGCATTGCCAAGGACGGCTTCAGTGCTGTCTGCAAGGGCATGTTCAGCAAGGACACCGACATCTCCCTCTTCGCCGGCATGAAGGTGCCTGCTCATCTTTCAAATTTGAGAAGATCAGCTGGATTATTTTGCTGATCACCTGCACGTGTTTCAGATGCAGTACTGCCCCTTCACTGATCTTCTTAACTAGCTAGGGTTTTCGCATAGTAGGTATGCACTTGTTTCACAGACAGGAAAGGGGAGAAATTCTTCACTCTTTGCCAGCCAACAAGGCTGATAAGATACTTGGGTGCTCGATCCCATGTATACTCTTTCTAACGAGTCTCTCATGAATTGAGCCACCTGCACAAGACTGGTGATCCCCTGCACATATGTGTAGCTGCCGTCTCCTCAATGCCAGGGCTGTCGCAGGCGCTGTAGAAAATGTGGCCCCAACTCACTGCTCCCAACGCTGTGGAAGAGTCATGTCACATGGCTTTTCAATGCAACGGATTGGTCCATGGCATAGAAGCATGTTTCTGTGCACTGAGTGGTGTCATGCTGCAGGTGACGACACAGAGCGGTGCAATAGGCACGATCGAGGGCTCCTTCGGCAAGTCTGGCAAGTTCAAGGTGGCCTTCCCAGAAGGCATTGCACCAGCAGCGCCCGGCCAGAATTCCATCACGTTGGTTTTTAAGCGCTTCATCTATGACCAGAATAAGAGAAATATGGTCCAATAGCTCCATTGCTTGGGCTTGCTGCCAGCCTCTCAGGGGCCTGAATCAGGGCAGCATTGCAACCTCCCGGTCAGTTCAGGGTCTGTTGAACGCTCAAATTTGTACAGATCTGCATTTTCAGTTTCAGCTCTGGACATGTGCAAAATGCTTGTAACTGAGGCCAGCATCCTTGCCAATAAATTTGTGTTCTACTCGGCAATTCATGATTGGCACCGTACCACCGGTGTTCTGTTGTTAACAACAAAACTACCTAAATTCCATCTGAATTTCAAAAGCATGCAGACAGTCTCTTCACTTAGAGGAGCAGATCATAACCGGATCAAACTTGCACAAAACCGGTGGAAGTTGAAACTGTTTTGAAGCCTACTTGACCCCCAAAGACGCCGCACACACTTGTGTGCACTCGGTCAAACAATACTGTCTGCTGCGAAACCCGTCTTTGAAAACTACCAGCTCCTTCCGCACAGACAGTGGTCCAAGTCCAGGCGCTCCTGCATAGGGAGGAATTCAAATATTGTCAAGTGTGCCCTATTAGCAGCCCTGCTGTACCCACCACAATTGCTGCCTTGGTCCTGGCTTGGAAAGCCAGCAGCATATCACACCAGGATTCCTCCTGTGTCAGACATGCGGCTTACTTTTCAGAGATGTTTGGATTAGGCAAACTATTTCAAGCATGGCACGCACCGTCGCCACCACGTATGCAAGTGGCCACGCACTTCCTTGCGCAATCCTGCACCTCCTTGTTTTTGAGAAGCTTCCCGAGATTGCCTACTGGCTTCACGCCTGCAGCATGTCCACTTACTCAAGCCAGTGTCAACCAGCCTCAGCATGGGAAGAGAACCTGGTGGTGCTGATGCTGACCTGTTGAAGACAGCTGAGATGGGATATTGTTCAGGTTGTCCTCAGAATTCAATGGACCAAATGCCAACGCAGGGCTGCCTGCAAGCAACACCTGCCAGACAGATGCACTTGAGCCTCAACAAGGGCATGACACTTTCTCTGCGCCACTGAAAAAGGTGTGAAGGGATGGATGCCTTCATGAAGACTGAGGTCATGTCCTCTTACAAGAGATATGCTGCTTGCTGCCACAATGGACTGCATGCTTCCTCTGCTGGCCGCAAGAACTGTGTCTAGAGGAAGTCTCAAGGCACCAATGAGTGTCCGTCTCGGAGCTGTGGCGGTGCATGGCACTCTGCTGGCCAAAACTGCTGGTGCCACTGGAACGGCAGAGATTACAGGGTGGGAAGGCCAGAGCATTGCCCTCTCCACTGCCTACAATTTTACCCTTTCCAAGAGTTGTCTGCAACCGCTACGATGTGGGCGTGTGCTTCAAGTGTGGACAAGGCAGCTGGCGCCAGATCGCTTGTTGATCACTATGCTGCGTCACAAGAGGTGTCCTCGCTGATCACAAAGCAAAGTCAATCTCCTTCGATATCTCCTTGATGTCAAATAGAGTGACTTTAAGATCTGTGTTCAGGTTCAAAAGATCAAATTTGGATTGATGTCCGAAACCAAGGTGCAGAAGATGTCCCGGAACAATCACGCAGTTTCGAAACAAAATTTGACTTATGTGCAAGCACAAAAGTTTGACTTTGACCAAGCCTCTTTCTCTCTCTCTCTCTCTATCTGTGTCTTTGCAACACCTACTGCCCATGTCACGAGACAGGACAATCCCATAAGTTTGGTTTTTGTGTGTGTCAATCTTGCTTTTGTTGCTCAAGCTGCATGCCGCATGCGGCATGCTGCGCAGCTGCAGTAGCCAGCTGCATTACTGCGCAATTGCAACCCTGGGCCGTGCGTGCAACCATGCCATGGCATTTTTTAAAATATTCAAGTCGCATCTAAGCCTTGTGGAAGAACTCCATTGACAGGCAGTGCTGTTTCTGTATATGCGCTGAACCTTGATAAGTAATTGTCAGCAGCGGGTGGGCTGGCCGATTGCCAGTGCCAATAGGAATACTCCAGTGTGCCCGACATCACAATCGCGCAAAAGAGACTAACTAGCATAGTAAGTGAAGAACTCATGCCTTTTAAGAGCATGCCTGTGCCTTGCTTGTTCTGCTTCATACCACCGCAAAATTGTCAATGGCAACACGACTGCCATTCTCTCACTGCACCTTCACTGCATTCTGGCCTTGGCTCTTGAAGAAGCCTGCTTCCCTCTGGCGCTCCAAGTCCATCAGCTGCATCCTCTGCCGGTGACCCTCCAGATCAAAGTCGTCCTTCTTGTCCCTGCACATTCCAATCACTCTAATCAAACAAACACCTCCACTTATGCTGGATATGGGCACTGGGACCCAACAAGACGGCATCAAATTTTGTTATGAAGTGCTTTAAACCAAGCACTCACCCGCCCAGACTTTGATACAGGTGTGCAGGCTGGATATGAGGCAGGAGCGCCGTGCGCAGCTCATCATTTGTGTACACCAGGGTGATCTTCGCGCTAGTCTTCTCATCCAGGAAGGCCTGCAATCACATCCCCTCCCTTGGTCATCACTAACGATGTGGGTACTATTGTGCTAGCGCTGCAAGTCTTCTGCCTCTAGAATGAACATGGTATGGCCGTGCACAGCTTGTTGTAGACTTTGGTCTTTTTAGAGCCAAAGCCCCGCGCCCCACCTGAGCTGCTGACCAGGCCAACCAGAAGTAAGTGGGGGGCCTTGACAGCACAGCAAAGGCCAGGCGCTCTGGGTAGTGATTTTGGGCGAGGTGGATGAAGCTGGCCAGCTGGGTGAGGCCCTCTGAGAAGTTTGCCAGGTCCGCAGCAACGATGACCTGGCCCACACCTGGGCATCAAGAGCGCATTTTGTGAGCTTCAGCCCCTTGGGTAATACTGTGTTCTTGTGTCTGACATGCCCATGGTGTGTAAGCACAAGAAGCATGCAGAGAGAATATCCTTACCAGCATCATCTGCCATTTTGCATGCCGTTTCCAGGTTGTATATCCAGAATTTTGTCTGCTCTTCCGTACTGCAAGCTGTCATAGGGCGCCTGCAAGCACCATACGCTTGTTCAACAGTGGCATCAGCAAGGTATGCTTTCTGACAAGCCCTGCAACGTGCATAAGGGCTTTCTGCACAATGATTTGTCAAGAGCTCAATTTAATATTGTTGGGCAGAACCCCACTTCAGCTGGTAGAAGATGATGGGTCTTCCAGAAAGGTCCCTCTCCGCTGCAACTTCGATTCTCCCAGATTGACCTGCTTTCTCGACATCTTTCCAAGTGATACTTTCAGGTCTGCTCTGCCTCCTCCATTCCAAGGTACTCCTACAGGTAGTGGTCAGACTTCATAAAGGATGTGCCCTGTGCTATGTGCAGCAAAACAAGCCTGCCAACACCTTCAGCCGCTTTATAATGCAATTTGCAGTGATACATGAGCAATTTCGAGCATCATAACACTTCAAAGATTCTCCTGCCCCGAAGAAGACGGGTACGGTGGGTTGGACCTTTACATGCTGATGTGAGTATATTGGGCTTTCACTTCGAGGCAGACCACACTGGCAGGGTCGCCCACCTCAGCATATATGTGGCTGCAGTAACGTCACCGTTGCGTGCTTTCACGTATCGCTCAATAGTGTTGGCACTGCAAAAAGCCGCCAGCGCATCATCGCTTGTGAGGTCGCGGAGTGCATTGCTGACTGTCTCGATACATGCATCGCTGCATTCCATTGAAGCTTGAGTGAATTTCTGATAGCCCCGATTCAGCGATGCAAATATAGCGTGACCTTGGAATTCTCACCAACTGATGAGGCTTCGTAGCTATAGCCTGACGCCCGAAGTTTGAGAACGCACTACTATCTTTCCGGCAAGTATTGAACTATATCAATCAGAGATTTTGGAAGAAGAGGAGAACAGGTGGGGTTTACGTGAAGCTCGTGTTTGTTTCGTCCAAGGATCGTTGACCGGTCAATCTTCTAAACTTGGACCGTAGAAAACCGTAGACACCTTGGGGCCTGCTGCCACAAACGTCAATGATCCATCATAGCATGAGTGGAAGGAAATCAATACATACTGTTACAGAAAGAGATATATTCAGTTTTCCTACTAGTGGTTTGCCGCGTAGGTCTTGCGAAGTGTAGGACACAGATTCACCTGATGAATACATCGTGATGGCGTGTGAGATTGTCAGCTTCGGGGTGGAGTCCCTAAGATGTAATTCTTCCACCATACAGATATGGTTGATGTCACGTTGATGGCTTTCAACGATTTTCTGGACGATGACTTTGATGACCTGGTATGCTACAGAACAAGATGGTGCTTGGTCTGTATAGTTCATTGGTTGTGGGATTTCAAATTTAGTCCTGTGTATATCATCCTAAGAAGATCGACAGACCACATTCTATATCTATATGCAGTCCATCTTCTGGTTGCCAGTCTCTCTGACAGGCTAGTGCATCCGTAGGACTTCTCAGTCCTCGAGGCTTTGGAGGCCCAACACTTGGCAGCAAGAGGTGGTGGAGGAGCTCATAGCCTGCAAGGAAGCAGGCTGCCTGCATGGACAGGAAGATCCGAGCCAGAGGTTGTCCCAGGAACTGGCGGCAGCAACCGGGGGCAGCATGTGCAGCGCGAGCAGCCAGACATCCCTGCAAGGATGCCCTTATCGCACAGTGGTCCACATCGCATAGATGCCGAGCCAGGAGCAGCGCATCCTTGGGGACAAGCCACTGCTGGGGGAGCTGATCAGCCGCAGCAATCTTGGAGTGGCAACAGGAGGCAACATGGCAGCGCACCTTCCACATCAGCTCATCATGTGGGCGCGCAGCAGAGCAAGTTGGGTCACACCAGCACGATGGCTACTGCTCCCACTCATGGCCACATGTATCCTGGAGCACCGGGTGCTAGCAATGGGTCTGCAGCAGGAGCTGACAGCAGATATTCTGCTGTCCAGCATCACAGCAACCATGCAGGGCCCTGGCAGCAGCCTCCTAGGGAACAAAGGCCGCCTGTGAGGACCACATGGGAGCCTGGAGGACACACCCAGAAAGGCACTTTCCAGAGCCATGCAGGGCAGCCCCATATGCAAGCACCCTTTGGCAGAGGAGAGGATCCAGTCAGCACATCCCCATCCTCAGCACCTGCGCAACAGGTGTTCCTTGGAGCTGCAGCACAACATACATCCACAGAGCAGCCGCGCTCAGATGGAATTAGCGCCCCAGCTCCGTTCGAATGGAATGACTGGCAGCCAGATGCGGGGGACGAGGCCACAGATTGGGACTACAACACAGGTGCTGGACCAGCAGAGTGGGTTGAGGGAGCAGGGCGCTGCTCTGAGGGCCGAGAGCCGCCTGAGGGAGAGAAATTGGGGGATGCAGCCACAGACATGGATGCAGAGCGACAGGGCATGCATGAGGAGGGAGCAGCTGCTGCAGCTGATGATGAGCCCAGACTGATGCAGTTCAACAGCACCAACAAGGGCATCCTGGTGGACACGTGTGTCCACATCTACCTGATGGATCTCTTCATGGTTGAGCAAAGTACAAACACATGCATGTTGGAAGTCTTATTTGCCCTCAGGCAGATGTCCTTGTTGCTCCTCAGCACTATGCGACTCCAGTGAGCATGAAGTGGTGGTAATATTGTCTTATGATTTGGGGCGTACAGGTTTGCTGCTAAGAACTGGATCTACCCAGAGGGTGTGCCAGAGAGGGCATACCAGGTGGCCATTGTGGAGCAGGCCCTGCTGAAGAACACCCTGGTCTGCCTGCCCACGGGCCTGGGCAAGACCTTCATCGCTGCTGTGGTCATGTACAACTTCTTTCGCTGGTTCCCTGAGGTGTGCGCAGCACCAAAGCATTCTTTGCTTCATCTGCTTGGCCTGCTACCAATTCCTGCCCATTAGGGGCCTCAGGGCGAGCTTTATGCTGTCAGGACTGCATTGGAGGACAAAGTGCTGATCTGTTAAAGAGATGACTGAAGCAATGTGCGGTTGGGCGGTGCAGGGCAAAGTTGTGTTCCTGGCTCCCACAAAGCCGCTCGTGCACCAGCAGATGGATGCTTGCCAGAAGTTCATGGGCAGCTCCAAGGTCAGCTTCCTATTCTGCTCTCTTCTCACATTTGGCTTTGGGAGGGGCTTGGCAACAAGACAAATGCCGGATTTACAGATTTGCTCAAGGCCAAGTTGCTTTGCAGGGCAACAGCATCGTGCTGGATGGCGGCGTGAACAGGGAGAACCGCATCGTCCAATGGGATTCTCCCCACAAGCGCATCATCTTCGCCACCCCCCAGACCTTCAAGAACGACGTCTGCACAGGTGTGTGCAAATGTATCCACTCGTGCAAGTCACTCACAAAGGAATGGGTTTGGGCCATGCTGCAGGGGTGTGTTCACTTGTGAGCGACTGGGCGTATGCAGGAGTGGGTTCACTAGTGAGCAATTGAGTGTCTGCAGGGGTGTGCCCGCTGGAGAAGATCACATGCGTGGTGGTGGACGAGTGCCATCGGGCCGTGGGCAAGAATGATGCCGTGGCGGTCATCGAGAAGCTGCGCTCAGAGGGCTGCAAATTCCGCGTTCTGGGGCTCAGCGCGACACCTGGCAGCAAGAGGGAGGCAGTGCAGGTCTGTTATTGTGGTCCTCTATTCGGTCAATCATATAAATTTACGGCTGGTCATTGCAGGGCCCTGAGCTTGATGGCATCCTGGCCAGAATACATGGATAGTGCATGTGATTGGTGGTGTGCACAGTGCAAAGATTCATGCGCAAGTCCCTTCCATAATGCACATGACTGATACACGTCAGGAGGCATATGAGGCACGTTCAGATTTATAGATTGGCAGCCATCAAGACTGAAGGACTGTTGTATGGGCTTCAAAGGGGCAGCATGTGTCGCAGGAGGTTCTGCAGAATCTGATGATCTCGGCGATAGAGTTCCGGGGCGAGGAGGACGCTGACGTGGTGCCGTACCGGCACGCGACGGCGCGCGAGATGATGGTGGTGGAGCCCAGCCGCGAGGTGGGCCACGCGCGCGCCATGCTACTCTCAGCCTTCCGCCACATCATGGCCGAACTCTGCCGCTCCAAGGTGACCTCCCTGGCCCTTGCACCAGTCTCCAGTCACTGCCTTGCGAAAGTGACTCCCGGGCAAGAGTCACTCCCTCACAGGTCCCTGGAAGAATGGTAGTATAAATGGGTTGTTCGGTAAATAGTCCTTCAAAACACTGCAAGCCCCGTCAACAGACCAAGGGAAAGATTGTCCTATTGGAACCTGTGCCAAGCATGGTGTGTGTTACAAGTAAGGTGTAGGGTAGGATTTCACAGAGGGTACACACTGAGGGGTTGTGCAAATGCAGATGTACTTTGGCAATGCTGACGCGGAGACTGTCACCCGTTTCGGGCTTCAGCAAGCGCAGCAGCAGCAGTACGGCCAGAAATTCGGCCCGGCCTCCGTGCTCTTCCGGCAGGTCTGGCCCAAGGCCCTCCATTTGCATCCTTTGCATGCATCTGCTGCCCTGCAGAACATCCCCTGGTCATCCACAATCAGGCATCATCCTGCAATGCAAAGTATACGAACCGCCGTCCAACGGGCACATATGGGTGGCTTCTGGGGAGCCATGCAGTTGACTAATGTGCAGCTGGCGAGCATGCTTGCATGTTTTGTTGCCATGATTTTAATCTCAGTTTCCATTCTGTATTCCCACTTGAACATAAATTAAAATTTGGATTTGGATGCGGCAGGCGATGCTGCTGGCGGACCTGCGCGACCACATGGACCTGCACGGCCTGGGCCAGGCGCAGGAGTACCTCAACGAGAAACTGGGCGCCGAAAACAACTCCCCCCTGCGCCGCCTACTCGACACCACGCAGGAATTCCGCGAGGTTCGCTGATCCTGCTTTCCCTGCTGCTCTACCACACCAGACCAACCACGTGTTCATCCTTCGACAAGGTTGCATTGGAAGTCTGCAGCTCGCTGACGGCGGGCAAATTGAAGTTGAGGTCCTGTCAGAGAGTGCAATCAGGTAAAAGTCGATAATAGGCAGTGCGCCGCACAGCTTGTTCCGTTGTCCATGGAACAAGCCCTCCCTTTCAGACAAATAGGTTCTTTATCTGCCGTTTGCAGTGCATTGTTCGGCACGTATCATCAGTGGGAAAGTTGATGTTGACAGCTGCTGTGCCTCTTGCTGCCCCGGCAGTTCCAGGCGCGGCTGGATCATCTGGTGAGGAGCGCGGCGGCGCACCCCAAGATGGCCGCGCTGCAGGAGGTGATCCTCGCGCATTTCAGCGCGCATGCGGCCTCGGCCGACGCTGGGCGGCCGACGCGCGTGATCGTGTTCACCAATCTGCGCGACAGCGTGCACCAGATCTGCGACGTCCTGCGCAAGCACGAGCCCCTCATCAAGGCCAGGCATGTACACTGGTTCGCATCCTGTCATGGTTGCGCCATGTCAGCAGATCAATTAAAGTGTGACATCCACTGCAGCTAGGCAACGTTCACAAGGTCAGACAGAGCTGTCATGGCTTTTTGAAGTGCATTCCGTACATCAAGTGCAGCACCAGCATGGTCCCCTGGTCACAGCCAGCAAGTCTACCGCTCTTTTCAGGGCAGAGCATTTCGATGACTGCAAGTATGACAGGCCCGCACACTTAAGCAAAGAGCATTCGGGGCTCTTCAAGCGCAACAAGGGCAGTGCGGATGTGTCCAGCAGAGCAGAGACCGGCGGACCCAGTGTTGCCACTTGTTAAAGTGTGATGTGTACTTAGTGCTGAGCGTGGGCCGCGCAGGATGTTCATAGGGCAGGGCGCTGGCAGCAAGAGGGGTGCCGGGGGCATGAAGCAGCTGGAGCAGAAGAAGGTGCTGGCCGACTTCAGGGCGGGCCTCTACAACACCATGGTCGCCACCTGCATCGGCGAGGAGGGCCTCGATATCCCCCAGGTCTGCCATCCCAATCATGACTCGCCCGTTGATGTAGTTCTCTCTCACTGTGCCATACTGTGAAGCCCCCAGCCTCAGGCAGCTGGCCTGACGCATGGTCGTGCTTGGAGGTATTGGCCTTGAGCAGATAGGGGATGACAACACCTCTGATAGTCGAAAGGAAAGGATCCTCAATTTCGTGAGAAATGCGTGACAATGAATTGGTTATTGCAGGTGGACCTGGTGCTGTGCTACGATGCAAACGCTTCGCCGATCCGCGACATCCAGCGCAGCGGGCGCACGGGGCGCCACAGGGAGGGAAAAGTCATCCACATCATGGCCGCCGGCAAAGAGGAGCAGAGCTACAAGAGGCAGCAGCTGGTGCTGTCCATGTGCAAGCTTCTCATTTAAATGATCGTTTTATTCAGTATGGGGGCCCCTCATATCGCTCTGATGGAAGTTGCTAGGCAGCGTCTGAGTTCCTGTCGGCTCATGGTGCAGGCGGCGCAAGATCTGCACCGCCAGCTGCGCCGCCAGGACTTTGAGCTGTACAAGCCCAATCCGCGCATGCTGCCGCGCAAGTATGAACCCCGCCAACTGAAAGCCGACGTCAGCTCCACATCCCCAGCCAAGGAGGCCAGCTCTGGCTCAGGCGCATCCGGTCGCGGCCGGGCCGGCCGCCGATCCGGCAGCGCAGCCGGTCGGGGCCACAGGCGCGGCCGCGCGCGCGGCGGTGCCGGGGACGCCAGCTCAGCCGGGGCCGAGGCGCCTGCGCCACCGACGGGCGGTGCAGCCGTCAGCCCTCGCAGCCGCTGGCGCGGCCCCGCAAAGGGCTCGGCACGCGGCGGCGCGGCGCGGCGCGGCCGGCCTGCCGGACCACGGCCGGCCCATGCAGACCCCGATGATGACAATCCAGCGGAGCAGGCCGAGGCGCCAGTGCAGGCTCCGGCTGCCAAGGCGGCGCCGATGAGCCTGAAGGAACGCATCGCTGCGAACAATGCCAGCCGCAATACCAGCGTTGTTTTGCCTGCGCGTGTGGCAGAGCCGGCACAGGAGGGTCCCATCGCGGACCCTGATGTGACTGTAATGGACAGCCCTCCCGCTGAGGAGGACCGGCCAGACTTTGGTGATGACACCGAGCCAAGCAGCAGGGCAGCTGGTGTCGACTGTGCTGCTGCCGTGGAGTCTGAGGAAGACCTGATGGAGCCGCTCTTCATAGACTCCGATGATCCCAAGGCAAACACCACTTGGCTACTTCCAACGTGCTCTGCACAAAACAGTTCCTGTCGATGGCCTTGCACTCACTGGTGTTCTCATTGGAGCAGCGCTGGTGTCCTCAGCCCCAGCATCATGAATAATGCATAATACTGGATTGTGCAGGAGAGAGACGGCAGTGCTGATGCGGCTGGTGATGTGGAGGTCGCATCACTCCAGGAGCCTGCTCATGAGGCCCAATGTGTTGCTCCAGACGCAAGTGCAGCAGAGCGCATAATGGCCGCGCTTCCATTCCCAGATTGTGCAGACTTCATCAGGTGCGCCACGCAAATTACTCTCAACAATTGCCTCTCTGGGCAATTGTCTTGTTCTTGGATGGTTTTATAGCTGAGACAAGCTCGGGATTATTGAAAGCCTTAGCTTCAACCTCCTTTTGGTGCAATTGTGCAGTGTCCAAGCAGACATGAGCATCCGAGTCAAGTCCCCACCACCGGAGCTGCTTGCCGCCGTATTTGGGCTTCCCACAGCAGCGCCCTCATCTGACGTGGGACGGCCGTTGGAGGCAATCTCTGCACAAGACTTCCATGCGGCTCAAAGCGACGCCGCCAGCAGCACAGCAGCCTGGCTCGCAGACCTGCACAGCATCCTCTGCGGTGACCAATCGCAAGGTGACGACGAAGATGGCCCTGCAGCGGCGCAGCCTGGCACAAGGGATCCAGCAGAGAAGCAGGCAGGAGGCGGCCATTGCCAGGGAGCGGCACAAGGGTCTGCGGCCATGGCCGCTGCACTGGCGGAGGCCGGTGCTAGGAAGGAGGGGAAGCAGCCAAGGAGGGGCAGCAAGGGGGAGAAGAGAGCCAGTGCATCAGCGCAGCCGGAGCAGCAGAAGCGGCAGAAGAAGGCTGCAAAGGACGCCGCTGCGGCAAGGAGGAAGGACAGCGAAGCCGCCGCACGAGCAGCAGAGCTACAGGCTGCCGAGGCAGCGGTTAGAGGCCCCCAGATGAGCCTGACGGAGAAGATGCAGCTCGCCAGCAGGGCACAGCAGCAGATGTCGGCCTCTGCTGCTGCTGCAGAGCTGGACTGCTTGGCTGGCGCTCACCAGGTCAGGGAGGCCCCCCCAGCTACTTTTGCTGCAGGCTTGGACGCAGCATTGCCGGAGACTGAGCAGCATGCAACTAGCAGCCACAGCACAGCTGCAGAGGTGCCAGAGGCAGATGCGGCAGAGGAGCAGAGTGCCAGCGACGGTGATGGCAAAGAGCGCCTGTCGCAGCAGCCGCTGCTTCAGAGGCTGCAGAACAGGCTGCGCCAGGCGAAGGGCAACAGCGCAACCGACCGCCAACTGCAACCGTCAGCGGCAAACGCCAGTCTACCAGAGCGCATTGAGGTGGGAGAGGGCGGCGAGCACGAGGAAACGCTGTCACAGGTGCCCCTGGCAGAGCGAGTCAGCGTCAGGGCAGCCCACGCCAGCAGGCATAGCCGGCATGCGCTCAGCACTGCCGTGCCCAGACAGGATGCGGGCCTAGATGCGAAGGCAGCGCAGCCAGACGCGTGCACAGCAGGAGCAGACTTCGAGGTGTGCAAGGTGCTGGACAGCGACACAGAGGCAGAGGTTGTGGCGCTGTCACAGATGCCTCTTGCCAGCCGACTGCCTCGCGCCAGGAGTGGGAAGCCTGGGCCTTTGCCAGCTCGGGCTGCGGCAGACAGGGTGCCTGATTCTACACCTGCGGGCACGCACGCGCACAGCAGCCGGCCGGCCAGCACAGCGCGCGACACGCGCCCTGGTGACATGTCCGCAGATGGCGGCGATCCTGTGCTTGTGGGCTCTTCTACACAGCGAGGCAGCGGGACGGGGGAAGCACAGCGCATGCAACCATGCAGAGCTCAGCAGAGCACAGAGACGCAGGCAGCTCAGGATCGCATGCACCAGGCGTGGCACGCCCGACCAAGCCCTGCGATCGCCGCCCGGTGCCAACTGCTAGCACAGCACGGCGTCGAAAATCGAGCGCGCAATGCAATCGAAGGGCCTGAGCGTGTGGCTGTGGCAGAGCAGCAGAGCAAGCAGCGGCCGCAGCCGGAAAGCAAGGAGGCCGTTGTCAAGGGCAACTGGGACCTGCTGGACGACTTGGGCGGACTGGACTTCTTCTCAGCGCCTCCCAGCCCCGGGCTCAAACCCCCTCTCGAGACGCCCTGCGCCACAGTGGGCGCGGCAGCGGCCGGGGCCAGTGCGGAGGAGCCCAGTACCAGCCCGGCACTCGCTGTGGGCAGGCCTGCAGCCAGGAGGGGGAATGTGCTGTGGAGCCCCGAGGAGGCAACGCCCCTGCCGCGGCCGCCGGAGCATTCGCGGCCGACAGACCCCGGTGACTCGACCGGCGGCTTCAGGCGGCCTGTCGCCAGGCGCAAGCGCGCAATCCTTGACAGCTGCACTCCAGGTTAACTCATGCACACACCTCTCAATATGTCTATCAGCGTTAACAGCTGTGCGTGACCATTATGTGATCCACTGGACCTCAAAAAATCAGCTTGACCTCTTGGTGGGCAAACATGGCTTTCAATGGAGGGATGCAATCGGATGCATTGTACTGCTTTATATCGCTTCTTTCGCCTGTGTAGCACGTGCTTGGTGTTGGATTTTTGTTCAGAGAAAACTTGGAATATCCATGAATATGAGAGTGAGCAAGATTGAGATTGCCGGATTTGTTTGCAGGCGAGCCAGAGCCAGAGGGCAAGCGCAAGCTGAAGAGGCTCAGCAAGCACAGAGATGTGCTCGCCGCAGCTGCCCCTGGCAATGACCTGCATGCTGCAACGCCGGCCCCGGCAAAGAAGACAAACGCTGGGAAAATCCAGAGGCAAGCGCCAAGCTTCTACTGTCTCTCACAGCAGCGGCTATCGCTGTATCACGCTTCCCATGTTGTGGTGATACAACAGTGCTTGCTCGAACAAGTCATGGTTCTGTTCTAGGCGGCTGATGGCGGCGGCGTTCATTGATGGGGAGGCTGAAGTGTCAGACGACGAGGACATGTCTGGCGATGAGGACGGCGAAGATGATGACATGCTCAGTGACCTCATCGATGACGAAACTCAGCCGTTTGGCTCTGTCCAGCCCAAAAAGTACCGCTCTGGCGCCTTCATTCTGCCTGCACAGTGGCGTGCTTTGCGGTCTGGATTGCTCTTGCCGTGAATGTGCACAGAAATCGCCGCATGTATATTTGGATGTCACTGGACCCCAAGGCCTCACACATTTTATATCAGACGCTGACAGATCTGAACAAGAATTTTACAGCCCGCTTCATCTGCATTGATAAAGAGAGGAAAAGAGACATCGGTATGCAGGCATCAAGGCAGGAAGAGGGGCAAAGAGTCTAGTTGCATTTGACAGTCCGGACCTCTGTGGCTTGCAGACAGAGCGAGATGATGGCTGTGTACCGCGACTCCCTGCGGCTGCACACGCCGACGCCCCTGAAGCAGCGGCTGGCGCGCTTCGCAGCGCGCGGCCCCGGTCGGACGCCGCTCGGCCCCGTGCCCGAGAACCAGTCCCCCGCGCCTTCAGAACCCTTCTTCGACTCCCCCTATGACCTCAGCGGCTCTTTCATTGCCACAGGTACCACCACTGAGTCTTTAGTTTCTTCCTTATCCCTGACCATTCACCTGCACTACCCGTGCTCTTATCTTGCCTCCTCTTATGACTTGCTTCAAGAATAGAGCGTGCACAAAGCATTTCAGCTCACTCTCATTGTTTGCATACTGAGTGAGCATGCCAAATTGCTTTTTACAGTGAGAGCCTTTACAGAGCTATGCACTGCGATTTGGTGCACATTCTCAAGTGCTCGAGTGAGGACATGTTTTGCGGTGTCAGTGGCATGCGCTGAAGAGTGAGGGATGTCATCATGCGCAGAGGGGGAGGCGAGCCAGCACATCCAGACGCAGCATGAGGACGTGTGCGGCATGTGCCACGACGATGGGGAGTTGCTGTGTTGTGATGGCTGCCCGGCTGCATTCCACCTGTCATGCCTCGGCCTCACCAGTGAACCGGCCGGGGACTGGTTCTGCGCTGTTTGCCGCGACGGCTGAGAATCTAGAAACTTCTAATCGCATGCATGGGCGTCAGCCTGTAGCGGCTGTTTTGGACCGTGTACTGGTTGATTTCAGCAGTAGGTGCGATTGTTTAGAGGGTTACCAGGATATATCTGTACTATATAGCTGAGTTGTTGAGAGGTGTAGATCATATTGCGCTTCGTCTAAGGGGCATGCACATTGTATCTTGTGCAATAGCTTTGTACCTGTGAAGTGGCTGTGCGATTCCAGATTATGAATGAATCATGTCATGCATTGTGCTTGTACAGCAAGAAATGACTGTCGCCCAAGCTTAAGCCTAGGTGACTTGGCTTGATCAGAAGCTTGAAGTTGTGTTTACATAAACCAACCCTCTACAAACAGTAGTCTACTCATCTGCTGATAAATTCAAATCCTCCAAGGTTGTTTAACGCGGACACCAGATGCACATACCTGTTTGAACCAATTCGTTGTCTCCTAACATGGGAGAGGCGCCTCATAAAGACACCCAGGAAAACTAGCAATCAAATACTGGGATTAAAAACCGGCTACATCAATTGTGGACACATGGACACTAGGGAATCATGGAGGTGACAGCGGGTTGTTCTGCGCATCAGCATTAGGAGCGCCAGGCTGCTGCAAGTCATGCTGCGGCGCCGCCTGCTGAGCAAAAACAGGATTCTGCACTACGTTGGCAGGTATCTGCTGGGCTGCCGGGGGACTCATAAACGGCGGCGGCCGTATCTGAGCCGACAGCTGCTGCAGCAGCCGCGCCACCGCAGGGGACTGCTGCTGCTGCTGGGCCCCGTAAACCCCCTGCTGCCCGTAAGGGTTGATGCCTGGTCCGTACTGGGGGACCGGCATCGCATTGCTCGCCATCTGCGACGCAAGCAGCGTCTGCAGCGGGTTCTGGAACTGGGGCACAGACCCAGGAACGCCCATAAATTGCTGCGGCGGTGGCTGCAAGCCGGCCGGTGTTGCTTGGCCAAGCATGTTGGAAAGCGCTGCTGCCTGAAGCTGCTGCAGCTGCTGTTGTTGTTGCTGATACTGCTGTTGTTGCTGCATCTGCTGTTGTTGCTGCAGCTGCAGCTGCAGTGCCAGGCGCTGGGCGTTGGCCGCCGCTTGCAGGTCTGCGCCGTTGGGAGCCGGCAGCACGGTATTTAGCGCGGCTGCAAAATTGTAGTCGGCTGAGGAGGCCTGCGCGCTCTGCTGGGTCTTGAGAGACGCCGCCTGCACAACAAGGAATTTTATTCACTGGAATATTTGCGCTGTGTACACAGAAAGCCCATGACAGCCCGTCATCTGCATTTGACAATAAAAGAGTGATACTGATGGAAGAAGGCCAAGAGTACCTGTGAGAGCAGGCTTGCGAGAGCGGCCGACTCAGTGGCTGCAGCTGGTGTGGTGCTGGGTTGCACGACGGGGGCGACCGTCTGGGCGGTGGGCACCGTGCTTCTGCCGGCAGTCTTGGCCCCGCTGAGCCGCTTGATGCCTTTGTCGGCCACTGCGCTGGCCACGGACGCAAACAGGCCCCTGCCCTCGCTCTTCCTGGGGCCGGTGCTGCCCTCTCCATCCACCCTGCCACACCCACACAATCAGACATCAACACATTGACACTGTCATGCATGGATCACATCCTCTGACCCGCCCACCCTTTTGCAACTCGCTGACTCTGAGCCAAAGACCTTCGGGACAAGCGGACCTGAGCAGCCCAATGAGCAGCTTTTGGCACAACAAGGGCGATCATGCACCAGACAAGTCTTGAACCGCAATGACTCAATTGTTATACATTCTGATCAGGCACAAGACTGGCAGATCAAGCTGGGGGCTATGCAGGGAGCAATGATGACCTGGCAGAGCTGGAGGCTGCGCCGATGAGGGCAGTGCCGGAGCCGGAGGCGGCCAGAGCGGCCAGCCGCGCCTCGTGCGCCTTCTCGGCAGCTTCCTCCTTCTTCCGCGCCTTCTCCTCAGCTTCCTTACTCTTCGCCTCGCCTTCCGCCCTCTTCCTCTCCTTCTTCGCCTCCCGCAGCTGCACCAGCCACATGATGAACTTCGCTACGATGTGCGGGGCCTTCGTAACTACATTTACCATGCCTCTACATGCACTGATCTTTCTGCCACTCTCGCGCTGGGTACTGCACTATAGAAACGGGAGCTTGACACCTCCACTGTGTTCTCAAAATAAGTGAGTAGGATAATTGACCAAGAAGCCGAGTTCACCTAGGACAATGGCTCCCAGGGGCATCGAACACTTGTTTACAGGACGTGCAGCAAGCAGAGGGGAAGAGTTCCCACCTCCTCTTTGCGGATGGCGGCCGGGGAGTCAGAGCGCGGCAGGGACTTGACGAGGCAGCAACAGCAGCCGAACATGCACTTGAGCAGCCCCCAGACGATGCGCACGAGCGTCTTAGACCAGCTCCAGCAGGGGAGGCAGTTCTTGAGCGCATAGAATGCAATCAGCACTCCAGCGACGGTGCCCAGCACGATGCACCACTTCTGCCACTGCAGGCCCAGGAATGCCTTCACGCGCGTGGCCACCGCCGACGCCGGCGTCGTGCTGTTCCCTCCTGCACCCCATGACGCACCCGTGACTCCCCCATGACTCATTGCCGTCACCGTTCCATGCATGCATGCGCCGCAAGCACTTTGTGCTCAAGAAGTCAAAATGCAGGTTGCAGTGGACTCCAGTAGTCCGAGCAAATGCCCTGGTGCTGTGTGCAATGCACAGACTCTCTTTTTTGTGAGGCGCCTAAATTGCATCGGTGTTGTTTAATGTGTTTGACGCGCAAGAGAATTTGGCAGACCATGCAAGCAGTGCCGGAGCTGATCGCTTACATGACCAACTGAGAACCGGCTGAGAGCCTTGGCGTTCGATCGTTTCCAAACATGATGGTGGGGCACACCCTAGTAAAGATTATTAGCAGCTTTGCCTGGACCATGCTGTCCTTTGGAGGGGTCTTGAAAGCACAGCATGGTCGAGAAACCATTCTGCCTATGTCGAGTCATAAAATGGGGTGTCTTGCAATGGGGAGCTAGCTCAAATTCAATCGAGTGCACCTGTGCGGCACTCGTACACGATCCCTATCGTAAGGATCAGCAGGATTGTCACGCACCAGGCGAGGGGCTGAGGCTGTCTGTGCCGGTGGTGCCGCCAGTGGTGGGCTTGGTGCAGTACAGGTAGTTGGCCAGGTCCTGGTTGGGGTAGGTGCCCCAGCCGGAGTCGCAGGTGCAGCCGCAGGTGCCGGCCTTTGGCGTGCCGTGGGTCCCGCAGTTCACTGTGCCGCACCCCAGCCCCTGCGCATGCATGCACCGCCTCAAATTACTGGCTGTATAGCCCAGTCAGAACCCCAGCCTAGGCAGCAGTCACCCAGTCTGAATGCTGAGTACCCAGCAGAATCTCAGGAAGGTCGGATCCGCCCAGCATACGCAGCCTGTGCAGTTCGGGGTGACGTAGTAACTCTCCTGGGGTTGCCTTGCTCCGAGGTCATAATGCTTGCAATCTTCACGTTTTGACCTTCCCGTCACACTCATCCATCCTTAGCACTGCTGTTCCTCATCACAGAAGTGCTGCAGCGACAGTGGGGCGGTTGTGGTGACAAAAGAATAAGCGCTGATTGATGTGCCCATACCGGCGGTGGGGGCGGGGCGGGCTTGGATGGCGGCGGCGGCCGCAGCGGTGGGGGCGGCGGCGACGGGGGTGGTGATGGCGGCGGCGGTGGCGGCACCGGGACCATATTGGTGACTACTGCAGAGAAAGAGGCCGCGCCCACTGACGCCTGCCATGCAAATGCTTGCTTAACTCCATGATGATGCACAACGTTTGCCAGGACACCATTTGCACAGGTATCCTGGCGCTGAAATCAACGTGAAATTGAGCGAGTCGATGAAGAAGCGATTGTCACAGGCAAGATTCCCGCTGACCTGGAAGGAGGGGTCAGATCCCAAGATGGCCGTCAGGTTCTGGGTCTGGAGGAGGCTCTTGTACGCGATGGCCAGCTGGTACAGATCGTTCTCACCAAACGTCACCTGCACAAACCATATTATAAAAGATCACCTCTGCATGCAGAGTCCACAACAACAGTTGGGATACCTATTATTATCCTTTATTCAAGGTCAAACGATTTAAGCCACAAACCGCAGGACATACACAGCATGAATGTAGTTCAAATTTAATCAAAATTTTTTAATTTGTAAGGCGCTCACAATGGTGACGATGGTGAGGCCGCCGGCCATGAGGCGCCTCCTGGACCCGGCCGCAACTTGCAGAGTCACCTGGCTGGACGGTACTTTTGCAGATGCTGCAATGGCGTTGCGGTACCTGCGAAAGCAGCTCTCAGTCAAGCGCTGGAAATACTTGAAGCCATGAAAGGTGCCGTCAGGCATGCAAAGCAGTGACAGACCAACTCATCATTTTACTCAGGCATTTGGAGGGAGAAAGTTTGACATGACAGTACTTATTCCATGATGCATGCCGTTGCAGGCCTTCAGATTTTGCAGACACTCTGGGCATGTGCTGAAAGCATCGGAGATGACCGGACCTGGATTGGAACGTGGCGGTGGCGTCGGTGGTAGTCAGGCTGGGGAAGTTGGCGGTGAAATTGATCCAGGGAGTGATGCCGATGGGAGGGGGTGGCGGAGAGGGGGGAGACGGTGGCGGCGGGGGGTGCGGCGGTGGCGAGGGGGGCGGCGGGGCACTTGGAATTCCAAAGCCTAACAGCACGCCGGGCCCAACCTGCGCACCAGGTCAGCATGGTCAGGGATTATAAGACACTATCATATAAATCTGATTACTCTGAATATTTTTTGTATTTAGTACCCCCTGAGACGGCGCTTTTGGGAATTAAAACTCAAAAGAAATTTTCAGGCAAGGTGCGTCTGCAGATGCACTGCCTTTAAGGGCTCAGTATTTTCAGTGCCTTCCGCCAGCCGGGGCCAAGGAACATGTGTATATTGCGAAAACCCTTGGGTTCCATGAGCTTTGTCTCCCGGGTGAGAAACCAGGTTGCAGATGGTGGGGGCGTACCTCAAAGTTGACGCTCATGTTGAAGACGCACTGGCCGAGGCCGCCCCATGAGTTTGAAGCGAGGGTAAGGGGGAAGGAGAAGGTTGCATTGTTGGTCGGCTGGAGCAGTGCAATCTGCACGCTGGTGTTGGCTATTGTTATTGCATTGGGATCGCAGGGGCCACCAGCAGCCGGTATGATGCAGCAGCTCACTGCCTGGACCCTCACACGGCCTGCACAAACATGCCCAAGCATTCCAAAGTCAATGTTGGTCATATGCATACATTGCACGTCCATCTTTGGAGAGAAGCGTGCATGTGCCATGTGGCATGCTCACACTTCTCTCAGTGGCTCTCCCTGGACTCCAGTGAGAGGAGGACGGGATACATGACACGTAACTTACAATAATCACAGTCCACCAGGTGGGGGTGGAGTGCTGCTCTGGAGAGGTATAATCTGTAATGCATGCAGATTCCAAGTCCAGGTGGTGTTCAGTGCAAATCAACCGGGTCAAGCATACCACCTGGCAAATGCACTGCATCTTTGGCTGTGACTTGGCACGATGCCTGTGACGTGCTAAATATTGTGCTCCACGTCAACACTTCATATAAGCATATGTGATCAAGAGTGCTGAAAGGGCTAAAACGTTCAATGCATGTGAAGCCCACCTTGCACGGTGTCATTGTTGAGGACTGGGAAGCTGAGGTTGCCGGTGAGGCTGTTGAAGGCCCAGTACTGGAGGCTGAGCAGGGGGATGAACTTCTGGGGATTGGCAGCGTTGGGGTTGGGCGGCGGAGTGTATCCCAGCGTGTAGGAGATGTTCAGCAGGCTGATGTCCATTCGCACAGTCACCTCCATGCTCGGGTTGAGGCTGGGCCCGTAGGTGCAGGAAATCTGCATGCGGCATCAAATATCTGAAAGACGCTGCGACAATTCTCCCCTGTGCCAAGTCATCTTGCAAGATGTGCTAGCCTGAGCAATGGGTGTGTTGGGCAGTGAGGACTGCCCATAAGGGACTACTGGCACATACAATATTGAAAAGCAATGACTTCTGCATTTCGGATCTGGGAATTACCTGCTGAGCATAGGCGTTGAAGGGAGTGTACAGGCCATTGAACAGAAAGCTGCAATTAGAATCAGACGATGGCTTCAGCAGGGAAGCCAACTGTGTGCCTGCACAGGTGGATGCTGTCAGTATTGCCCCACATAGCTCTTACCTCTAGCATATTTAGGAGAATTATAGAGTGTGTTCTTAGCGATTCAAGCAGATAATCAAGCGAATACCTCGATATAGGCTGAATTGGTCGGTGGCATTTGTGCTTCCCGTCACTTTTGTGCACTGGTTGACTGTGTTGCTGCATGCAAAGCAACTGTTCCAGCTGCTCTGGCTGATCCCTGGATGATTCGCCGACCCCCAATTTGCAAACTGGCTTTGGGGCACTGCAAATCCTGCACATGCAAGCTGAATCACTCATGCCTGCATTCTACCTTTCTTGCAGATCTCACCTGCCCACTGCTTCCTTTTTCGACAAATGCAGTCAATAAGCACAGCGACAAGATATTTGTCAACATGCCATCAAAAAATGATAGAAGCAAGCGATCCTGGAACAAAATGCAACCTGAGTCGGAAGTTCCATCAGAGCGCAAGGTACGAAATACATTTTCTATGGGAGCGCAGGGAAAGAGCACCTTGATCGGTTGACTGGACAGTGTTGGTGGCTTGGCACCAGCGCTTGCCAGTGTAGCCATCAAAGATGGACGAGTCATGAGGCGTCTGAGGTTTGACAATCACCCCTACGGCTGAGATATTTGGACCAGTGGTCTGTGCCCCTATCCAGGGTTGCACAGTCAATGGAAAGCCCGGAACTGCATTGCCATCCTGTGAGATGTTTACCTGCACATGCACACCTCAACTCCATGAGCTTTCTCAAGGCTTCGTGCTCTTATCTAAAGGTGAATACCTGCATCTGGTGTTATGACGGTGTATAGCTGAAGACGCCCCGGCTGGCGGGGGGCGGTACAAATACTGAGCACCGTGCCCACGGTTGATTGGGTCTTGCTTGGCTCTGGCGAGTCCAACAAGGGGTAGGAATTTGGCAGCCTTTACATGCAGCTTGTCTGCAGACGCACCTTGCCTTCGGCAGGAACAGCGTGTAACAACAATAATAATAGCTGAAGAAATGGGCTCTAACATGCACCGGAAGCAATCTCACAATGAGTGGGTGATCAGGGGGAATCCGCAGACCTGCAAGAGGAAGTCATTGGGCATCTCTAGGGGGTTCCAGCACTTGTAGGTGGTGCTGGTGTCCTGGACCAGCTGGGTGAGGCTATTGCTGGTGCAGCAGCCGACCACGCTGTTGCTGCATGCTTGCGCGGTGCGCGTCTCATAAGCATTGTTGACCTGGTACAGGTTTGGACCCCCATAGTCCGGGCCGCTATCGCCTGTGTCAAGGGTCGCCACAACTGCAGGGCACATGCTTGCTCTCTTCAATGGAGGCTGAATGCCCTTATGTCCGGTGATGTACTACCTTGATCAACAAGGAAGAAGCCCACCGGCACGCGCTGTGCACACACGACAACCGGGGAGGCACATTGGCGGCATTTCTTCTGGATTGTAGGGTGCTTTTCATTGGGTGCCCACCTATTCTATCGACATCCCCAGCAGACGCAGGGCTAATGTAAAGGGTGAGGTTGCTGCCTAGATGCCACGTGATGTTCCTGCCACTGTCCAGTGCTCCAGAGCCTGTGTTTCACAGCTGGTCACACATGTCAAGATGCAATTCTTGTGGAGCTTCTACATATTTTGGATGTTGTGTGACACAATGAATGTTGGAAACAGGTGAGAGATGACCTGCTGGCAGGCTGAAGACATTGGCAAAATAGCCCTGCCATTGACTGTATTTCAGCGTCACAGTAAATGTCGTATTTGAGACACCGACGACAGTTGCATACGGAGTGTACTGTGGCTGCCAAGCTGCTGTGCAACAGCCAATGAGTGCGCCGAAAAAAGCGATTGAAAAAAGTCTGCTCCTGACATCGGTCATGCTAGGTTGCACGATAAATCATCGATAGTATTTACAATTTCTTATTGAAACATCAAAGTCACGCCAGCTTCTCAAAGGAACGCGATAAATATGTCCAAGAAAGTCCTACAGCCTGCGACACTTTTCGGCAGGTTTCGAGGATTGTTCCGTACTAGACTAAAATCTGCATCTACAAAACTTTCATTGCACATCATATCTGCAAAAGATGAAATTCTTCAAATTCCACTAGCACTGAGAACGTGCCTGCGTGGCGCGGGTGCGCGATGCTAAATTTAGCCTTTCTTGGTTCAATCGATCCAGCGCAGAATTACAAAGCACTCAAATATTTTGGAATCAGCACAACATTCGCAGAGCAACACTGCAATTATGATCGACAATCTAAGTCTGCATTAGCGACGCTGAGGACTTGGCAAAGCTATCCGCAGCTTGCACCAAGCGTGGGCCCTGTTGCTGCCCGACCGCCATCATTTCCTGCAAGAAGAAATGCACCACTTGAGGGACAGCAATTAAAGAGACTCGTGCACTAGCTCATGGAAAGCCATCACACGCAATAAATTACAGGAAATCAATATATGGAAGCTGCAGCCGTACCTGCAGCACCGCAGAATTGACAGCTGATGGCACACAATGAATTACAGGAAATCAATATATTGAAGTGCAGCCGTACCTGCAACACCGCAGGATTGACAGCTGATGGCCCGACCTTGAAGAGACCACACAATTTACCACCGCCGTTCACAGCCACTTGGACTGCAGAGTCTATGCATGTCTCTTCCTGGGAGGATGCATCCAGGATGTAGGCACGGCCCGCCTGAAACATGACAATGTACCTCAAAAGAATCGCCGATAGAGCCACACTGTGACAAGCGGCATCTCATGTCCAATACTGTGTTGGCCACACAACAAGCAGGCAGGATGAAAATTTGCTGCATTGGAGGGGGTCTCGCCTGGGACACAGTGACGATGACAGGGACACTGCTCGTGTCTACTTGCGTGGCGTGCGCAGGATCGTCATCTAGTTCAAGTTCAGGCTCCTCATCTGGATTCTCTGTCGCCCCCACCTCCACCAGGGGGATCCTGGTGTCCTGCAGCGCTGCCTGCCACGCACAACAAGGCAGGCATCAAGCTACTGAAAGCTCCTTATTAACATGCAATCCTTCTGGAGCTTGCACTGATAGCAAATATAGACGTTGACAGCCAGAGCGGATCGTGACAATGGCAATGCCAATGCTACATTTTCTTCTTGACTTGAGTTTGTTTACTTCAGCGATCAGGAAATTTTGGTGCTGACTGTTAAAGAGATCCAGAGTCTACCTTTGCGGCTACGCTGAGTGCATCCAGCACGCTGCCATCTGCAGCCAGAATGAGCGCATCTATGCACAGAATCCAGCACCTTCTGCCGCTCACAATCGACAAGGCTCGCAGGTCCACACAGCCACCTGCACATTGCAAGCACACTTGGTGAGCCCAGGCACTCTTCACGGCCCTTACTACCAAAAGACTGCCTCTATCTTTAGTCTTCAGTCGCACATAGTCGTGCACGGTTGAACAATAAGACAGCCAAGGGCATTCCAGTCACAGCTAGTGCACCTTTGCCGCTGCGCCCAGGCTTCAGATAACGCTCCAAGCTCTTCGTGAGCTCGACCCCCAAGTCCTCGCCTGACTTTCCCTGCAATGGACACTCGTCTTATCATTGCTGTAGTGCTCCCAGGACACACAGGCCACAAAATATGTGATTGATGTCATTTCCTCCTTATAATTATATTGTGATCGTGAGCCTCACCTGATAGCTGGGACCAGCACAAGGGCTGCACTCCACAGTCACTTGCAAGCCGCCACAGTCCGGCGTTTCCTCGAGGGGAACCCCAATCTCAACCTGCCACCAGATGTCCGTTACTTAATCCAGCTGACATACTCTTTTATGTTTTGAAGGAAGTAGGAGCACAGAAGAGGCCATCATGAGGTGCTTAGAAGTGTCACACCTTGACCCCGACCAGCACTTCGGTGTTGCCCAGAGAACACCGGGCAGAGCCACTACACTGCTGCAAAACACCTAAAGCCAACTTAAGTGGCCGCACGTCCCTGCAGGAACGCCCATCCTCCCGCAGATCATCCTGGAAGCCTTGCACAGTGTATTGCTTCAAGTCCTTCCCAATCATGCCTGTTGCAGCGACGGCACCCAGATCGAGACGTTGTTATAGTAAGATGTCGGCTGGTGAATGCAGAGATGTCTTGCTCTGCAGGCTCGGAACGGGTGAAAAAACTGATCTGGTCAAGTCACTGACGTGTGCACACCGCAAAGGCAACATCAAGCAACAATTGTATTTCCATGATCTCTAACCCAGATGCATCAATGTGACACAGAATTGCTTCCTACTTCCTGTTTCTTTCTTTCAAACAGGAAAACAACACGTGAGGTCACATGACTTTAAAGAAGGGTTTTGGAAGAACCTGAGCGAAGCGATGAATACACTCGTTGACTTCACGCTATCAGGAGTGCGAGTACTTATCCTTATTGCGCAGAAGGGTCACAGCCTTGCAGAGAAGCAGCCGGGCCATGTTGCCACGGAGGGTGCTTGGCGGTCTGGCCGCGAGCAGAGCCGAAGGCGTTGATGGAACTTGCAGAGCACTAGTCTCATTGCAGAATGCACTTTGTAAGCCATCAGATACCGGTACAGTTCAATTTTCTTCTCCATGGCAGCAGCACCAGACTCGCGGACAGAAAGCTGCACCTACGCCGGCAAGTGAATTGCCATTGCAGACAGGCCGTGCCCGCATGGTTGTGCTTGGGACGGGCTGGGCAGCAGCGCGACTCATCAGAGATATTAATCCAAAGTTATTTGATTTCACGGTGACTGCCCATTTTGTGCGAGAGAGTTAATTGGCGGTGACCAAATAATTCTTGGACACTTTACATCCTTTCGGCATCAGGCAGTGATCTGTATTAGATATGAGAGTTATCGCTTGAAAAACTCATTTGTAAGTTGCTGAGATCCCTATCGTCCCTTAGACATATACTTTTGGCTGTTCATGCGCAATCATTGAAGGATCCTGAAATGGTCTACTGATCTTTTGCCCTACTTGCAGGTGATCTCACCGCGGAACCATATGGTGTTCACCCCTCTTCTCGCAAGCACTTGCGTTGGGACCCTTGAACCCAGATCTGTTGCTTTACCCTTGACAGACATCCAGCCTCAGCTCAAACAGCTTCAGGTCAGAGCAGCGCCGATCTTTTGGCCTGCTGCATTGAGCAACGTGCGTGCTTCAGATGTACACCAATCAACTTCCTGGATCTGACGATGCTCCTTCTCTGGTGCAGAACAAGTACTATGCAGCCGATGCTGTCGCCATCGATAAAGATAAACAGGTTGTGACATGCACTGAGGATGGGGTGGAGGAATTTGATGTCAAATTCGACATGCTGGCCATTGCCACTGGCTCACAGGTATGCTGCCTACCTGGCATTCTCCTTGTGGTTGAAAACAGGAAACATGTTGCTTTTTGCTTGAGGGATTGAAGCTCAATGAAGCAATGCATGGCACCGCTAAGGACTTGGCTGTGTGTCCAGGGTTCAACATTTGGGATCCCTGGAGTGGAGCAGCATGCCCACTTCCTCAGAGATGTGTCGAATGCGACTCACATCAGAAACCACCTTATTGCAAACTGGAACAAGGCCAACCTCCCAAGTATGGCGGATTCCCTCATCAGCAGACTTATGGCTCCCCACTCGTCCTCTTTGATGTAGTTACAGAGCCGGAGCTCTTACTGACATGAGACTGAGCCTGTGCATAATCTAGCAATGACCGACGATCGTTTTAATGCTGCTTCACAGCTCGGACCCAAAAGGAGCGCTCACGACTGCTCCAGATTGTAGTCGTCGGAGGTGGCCCAACTGGCGTCGAGTTTGCCGGCGAGCTCAGCAGCTTCATCTCTACCGTACGCCGCCCCCTCTCAACTGGCTCCGCGTTCACATTGCCACCTGCCCCAAGGCTTCATAATTGGTTCCCACTAGAGTTAATGATAGTCTAGTTGCACGCTGTTCCTGCCAGAGGCAAGGTGCGTCTGCAGACAAGCTGCATGTAATGGTTGCCAGAGATCCTACCCTTTGACGGACTTGCCAGATCTATGCAAGATCCAATGAACAGTGGGCACGGGGCTCAGTTGTTATACCGGCCTCCGCCAGCTGGGGCCATATGATGGTGCATGCAACTCCTGCTTTACGGCCCTGTGTGCGCAGGACCTGATGCGGATAGATGCCGAGCGCGCGAGAGACATTCGAATTTCGCTGGTAGAGGGGGCGCAGCTGCTTGGCAGCTTCGACGTGCGGCTGCGCGAATACGCCGCGCGCAAGCTGCACAACCAGGGCATCCACCTCATCAAGGTGTTCTACTACAGCATCCATGTGCATGCATGTCCTCCTTCACGCTGTTTGCCTTGGTTTGTGTGCACTTGTTGCTTGCATGTGTGTCCACCTTATCAAAGCGCCTGATCACAGACTCCACGTCCGTCCATGTCATCCTTCGTGCTTTTTGCCCGGTATGTGGGCATGTGTTGCCCGGACGTGTGTCGGTGAACCCAAGTTTGTTGTTCAGCAATGTGTGTAAGGGGTAGGTCATCAGGAAAGACCTCTTGAAGTGTGCTGGCAGCGCAGAGCATGGTGAAGGAAGTGAAGGAGACCGAACTTATCCTGCAGAACGGGGATGTCATTCCTTACGGCCTGTGTGTCTGGTGCGCCTCTAGGAAAATGTCAGAATCTATGCGCGACTGCTTTGGGTCGCCTCCCTGAATTTCCTGCACTATTTCCGGATCGTTGTCTTGAGTGAAGCACAGTATCCTGATCGCAGGAGTACTGGAGTGGGTCCCACAGATTTCACCACATCCCTACCCTTTGCAAAGACAGCCAGGGGGCGCATAGCAGTGGATGACTGCCTGCATGTGCTGGTGCACCCCCATAAAGACCACGGCCCCAAATCCCCAGCCGAGGTAACCTCCCTGTGCACTATACCTGTTATCTCTTTTCCATGTACAGGTATTCCATTTGTAGCTAGAGGTCCCCTTGTCTGGTGGTATCTCCCAGCATGCAAGTGGGAACAGCCCTGCACGGATGTGTTGCGAAGGTTGGGCAGAACGCTGTGGAGGCGGGCGACAAGTCAAGCAACGATGACTTCGAGCCTCTGCACAACATCTTTGCCCTGGGAGACTGCTGCGCAAATAAGGAGCACGCGTTGCCAGCGCTTGCACAGGTGCCCTGCTTGCCATTTGACATGTGGTTATGGATAGACGCAGAGGACACTGCACCCCTTCCACAATGTCACCTGCCCTTCTTGACAAGTGTTGTGTATGGGTGTGTGATTCAAGTGCCAAATGTCAAAATGTCAGGTGGCAGAGCAGCAGGGGATGTACCTAGCCAAGCAGCTGAATGCGGCAGCAAAGGCAAGGGTGGGCAAAGAGGAGGCGCCTCAATGGAAGCCATTCGAGTATCATCACCTGGGCTCCATGGCACTCGTTGGTCAGTCAACTGACCCCTCCTCTCCCTGTAACCGAATCCTCCATTGCATCTCTTCTGAAACACAAGCCAACCATACTGAGCAATCACCCTGCATCCATATGATGCTGTGCCCGTTCTGTTTGGGAATGCGTATCTGCTGATACTGATGTCTTTTTGCATGCAGCTTGTCTGCAAATGCGGCTCAGCTCTTGATAGGAACAGCGTGTAGTCAATGATCAACATTACGAATTTTTGTAAATTGACCCTTGCAGGGAAGGGGTCTGCAATTGTGGAGCTGGGGGATCACAGCAAGGGCAGGGGGCTGTCCCTGACCGGCTTCAAGAGCTGGCTGGCATGGCGCTCCGCATACCTCACGCGGCTGGGCAACGTGCGAAACCGGCTCTATGTGATGCTGGACTGGACAATCGCGCTGCTCTTTGGCCGGGACGTCTCCGCCTGGTGATCTGCATGCTTGGAACGCTTCCTGCATGCAGTTGCCCGTTGGTGTAGATTGAATTATCGTGTGAGGTAGTGCAGACATGGATTCTGCAGCGCTTTCCTAAGTTGCCCATTGAGGGGAGGCTGGGGAGTGGCGCAAGGAACCTGTATTGAACACGAACGCAGACTTAGAAGGTTGGTTTCAGGATGCCCGTGTCAGCTTGTGTTTGTTAGTAGTGATTCATTGAATGAAGGGGCTGAGCATGTTTTGCTGTATGATGTTGTTTGTGTCATATTCTTTGATGCTGTCAACATTGACATCACATTCTTTGAAGTGCGGACATGTGCTTCATGTTAACAAGTTTTGTCGTTTGACCATGTCTTTGACAGTAGCTAGCGCTAGATGGTGTATGATCCGCCAACAGAAGAAACATGGCGGCCATCGAATGAAACGCCCGGCCTTCCATATGGAAGGAGGATATTCGTAAATGCTTCATCAAGGAAAGCTCGTGAGCAGTCCATCATGGGCTGTTGCCTTACAAAAACCATCGCATACCACAGCTAGAAGAGATTTTCATATTGATGCCAATCTAGGAACATTTTCGACAACAATCCCCACAAGGCTGCATCCGCGACGTTGTCCAAGAACCATTCGTTTCACGAGAGTAACGTCCAGAACATCTCCTTTGATCAGAGCGAGGCGTCCACTTGCAGGTACACCGATTCTGAGATGTAGGGGACATCGGCATATTTGCCCCTGCACCATAAATAATCCCTTTTCGGTTGCCCCTTCAAATTCTCATAATGTTGTACTGAGCAGTGAAGGATATGTCTGGCCCAGAAAGAAAGTTCTGGCTACGAAGCAGCACAGCACTTGTGAACAAGGTATCCAGATTGCTATAAGCCACACTAAAGGCCATTCCCCGGCAGGTGTAAGAGCCAGGGATGGTGAGTGGGTGGCTACTGCGTGCTTGATGTATAATTCGCATTAATATCCCACACTGACTTCATTCACTTTTCAGGAAGCCAAGAGTGGACGCAAGACATACAAGGCAGTGCGAGCGCCAATCTTAAGGGACAAATCATTGTAGGGCTGCAATAAAAAGGCAATAGGAAAAGGCTAAGAGGCGCACGCAAGGGAGAAGAAGACGCAGTAGAGGATGGTGCACATGCAGATGTTCCAGGAGAACATGTCGTAGATGTCCAGAATGAACGACCACCGGACCTCAGCAGGCACGTATGCTCGCAGCAGAGTGAACAGCATGCTCACAATGTCCAGCATCACACCCTGCCATCCAAGCACAAAACTATTTCTAGGCTGCAAACTCGCAACCTTACATGAGGCAGCTCCATGCGCTCCATGCACAGCTGCGCATGGCTTCTGCGGAGGGACTGGGAAGCAGACTCTTAACAGGCAAAGAGGCTGTGTGTGCAGCTACTGGACATGCAGGCCTGACATAATGTGTACAGAAGCAACCGCACCTGCATGCAGTTGAAGCGCACAAAGTGGTGCAGCTTGTTGTTCTTGACGATGGCAAGGAAGAGGAGAAAGAAGACAATGAGCGGCACAAACTGGCCACTGTAGTACAAGGGTGCCAGCGGCCCTGCATAAAGAGCCCCAGTTGGTGTTCTGCTACACATTGATGTTAGAAATTCATGAGCCACTCTTACGTGTCCTACTGCCAAGCACCATCGGTTGCAGGTGCAGGTCTTGATGAACTCACCAGGGACCAGGTACAAGAGCAGGGATGTGGGGAAGAAGTGGTAGATTTCCCTGCCAAGCGTTAGGATGTCAATCCAGGGCACAATATACAAGAACGCCGACGCAAGTCTGACAAGGAGGCTTGGGGGGCCGCGGTTGCCAGTGGGAACAGCTGCTGCATCTGCTGCCCTGACTGGCGTCACACCCTGCAGTCCGTCAAGCAAATGGCTTTCAGCGACAAGGGTGACACAGAAACAATGAGGACTTGTTCGCATTGCGCTTGCTCAAGCTTCACCTGACGTGGGGGTTTTCTTCCTGCTCTTTGCTGCTGCAATGACCTGAGGCCTGTCACAAATGCACATGTGATAAGTTTACAAGAGCCATTGAGACACGAACAGGAATCATAAGATACATTAGATCGCTACAACAAAGCAATTAGAGGCATCGACAAAGAGGATGCAAAAAGACATCGAACTACAAAACTTAGCTTTTGCAAGCCCCTAAATATGGAGTGCAAGTTGCTACCTGGACTGAGAATTGTGTGCTGACGGCTTTCATTTCTGCGCAGACCTTCGCTGTGGAGCTTCGCGTTTGTGGAAACGTTTCTACAAGGATTGATGCTGCATAAGCGTGGTGCAATTATTCTACGATTTAAGCAAGCTACACCCTCTCTCGCGCTACAAGAAACAAACCCCTCCATGTCGCGAATCCTCTCCTTTCAGTTTGGAAGCAGCTTTGGGACCAGCCGGCAGGATAAGTCACAGTGGCTTATCCTATTTTGGCTTGCATGCACATTCCTAGATACACAGGATGATTTTTGGCTGACTAACTGGCCTTTGAAATTTGCTCTTTTGTAGGATCCTGTAAGCAGCAGCATACACTGCAGCAGGAGGACACTGGTATTTCGTTGAGAGGCGCAAATATTTGACAATTGCAATATTGTCACCGTGATAGTGACTGCGCAGTGCATGCATTTTGTCGCACTGCCGCGGCGCTGCCGGCAGCGATCGCTGGCGCCAGCAATCTCATCATCACATGATACTACGTGTCTAGTCATTCTTACAGCATTAAAACTTACTTGCATCCAGCACAGCCGCTACAAAATTCATACAAGGCCCCCGGCCCAGGGCCACCTGATCATGATGGATACCCGTCCATCGATGGACGGGGGCTATAATTAGGATTGACCTGCAGCGGCTGCTGCAGAGACTTCAGGAGAAATTGGGAGAGCACATATGGAGGTCCTGCATCACAGCAGCACAATTTTTAACTGTAGCACGATCCCCTAATGCTCATGCTACATACTTGAAAGAGCAGGGACAGTTCAGCTAACGGAGGAGTCATGCCAATTGGTGGGCAATCGGAAGCACACTTGTACTGGTTTGTAGATTTATCCTGCGCAACCATGAAGATTTTCTCAACATAGACACCCGCGCCACAGTGCAGTAATTTTTACAGGAAAATTTGCTTTAACACACAGTCAAACAGATTGAGCCGGCTCACCGAATTGGACAGGCGAGTGCTGTACGCAATGTAAGTCAGAGTTTTGTGGGCTTCATCAAGCAAGCGCCTGACTCGCAGCGTCTTGTTCTGAAAGAGGTTGAGCCCCTTGGACTCGCTGAACACTTCACCCCCAGATGAACCCCTCACCCTCTTCAAGTCCTTGATGCGTATAGGTCCCGTAGCTGCACATGTGACAGATGCCTGCGCACACCCCCTTGTATTTTAGAAGCAAGATCCCTGTGAAAGCACATGCATGCTTTCTGAACTGAGTTTGCGCAACCAGCTGTGTTCCTCTCTGCTGGGAGCGCATCTACCTGTGATGGCTCTGAGAAGAAGTTCTTGCTCAGTTTGTCCACAAGGGACCTTTTGAAGTCCGAGATGTAGACTGTGACACCCTCAACTGCACCCAGGCACAGTACATCAAGCATGTGCTAATTCCTGTTCTATGTTGAGGTCAGGAACCAAAGATCTGGAAGGTACCTTCAGGATCCTCCACTGCAACTACTTCCACGGTGTCCTTGAATATGAAACCGTTCCCTGTGAACTCCCCGACCTTGTCGGAGGCATGGGCTGCTTCCAGCACACACATCTCTTCAGATCTATGCAGGAGGAGTTTTTGTCTATACAGGACTGAACCCTCTGATGATGGGTGTAGCATCACACCTGTTAGGGGTGAAAGAAGCGCTGCTGAAAGCGCGGCAGCTCCTACTATGCTGACTGCACCTCTGCGAAGCAATTGAGTAGTTTGCGATCTGCGATGTTGGTGACATGTGCACGTCACCTGCGGCTTTTGACCCTTGACAGCACTGCAATGAAGCCGGGGAGGACTGGCCGATGATCGCCATTCCCCACACGCCACGGGCTTCATGATAAGCTCTTGATTGTGTGTCTGGTTACGGCTCTATAGATTTTCTTATTCAGCGCCAAAAACAGACTTTACTTACCATCTACTGCACCATCTGTCCTCTGATTGAGCGTGACGGAGCAGCAGCTTCTACCAAGCTGCAGGAAGCTTCCGCTTGGAGAAAAGATAAGGTGACGTTTGGAATGGAGAGGGAGGATAGGAAGTGTCCTGAGCCCTTGTTGAGCACATGCTGTGACCATCCCTCCCTCTCGTTCTCTTCCTTGTTACATGTTAGGGCCTCTACAGCTGTACCTACAGCTTCTACCTTGTTCCACGGGTACCGGTTTCTGCAGCTGCCATGATCATGATGGCATGGCATGTGCCATCAGCCATACAGTCAATAGACCCGCAATAAAGTACCATGTCATGAAGCTAGTCACAGTTCCTGTACGCACATTTGCATTCAAATCAGCTAGTAGCTGGCACAGTACGGCGCAGGTGCATCACTAAATGACAACGCAGCTAGTTCTCAGCAGATTCACTTTACCATTTTGTGCGTAGTCTTCTCAGAAAAAATCAAGCCTAGTGAAAGTTTCTAATAATAATAAGAGAAAGCACCACGCCTGGCGTTCACAACACGAGCTGAGGTCAACAGTAGTTTTCAGCCCCAAGGAGCCCGATCCCAGCGCAAACAAACAGCGCACGCCAGAACATTGACATACCTGCCCAGCAGATGTTTTTTCAGAGACGCCCCAAAACCAATCCACAACTGGTGCAGACACCAGCTGCTGACACAAAACCAAACCCAGTGACACGTGACGGTCCGAGACTTGTGGCAAATGCTCCCCCAAGCTCGGCTGACATGCACATGCCATGCTGGCATGTGACTCAGATAACAGTGCCGTCAGGGAAGGTAGTTCCCTTGATGACCACGATGATGCCATCCTTGATGACGTAGCCGTCCTCCTCCTTGTTGGCCTCCTGCACGTTGGCGCTGTTGATGATCTTGCAGTTGCTGCCGATGCGCGCGTTCTTATCAATGATGCACTTCCTCACCGTCGTGTTGGCGCCTGCAGTCAGTCAGTATATGTAAATTTCCAGGATTGTGTGCCTCCATTAGGAGAAAGCCCCACCTTGCAGTATGCCGTTCTAAATCACTGCGCACTTGCCTTGCACGGCTTGCGGAAGCATGTACCATGCAGGATAGGCAGCATGCATGGCGTGTACTCAAGCATCTGGAGCCCCCACTCCGCTGAAATGCTCTGAGCAGCTTTTAGAGAAAGCGATTGCATGCATTGTAGCAGAGCCGCCAGGGAGAACGGAGGAAGGGTTGCCGGGCAGTGTAATGCAATGCATGCAACATACAAGACACATCCTGAACTCGCGGTCTTTTAAACCCACATCTCCACAAATGATAGATCCATGCCAGGATCATCTCGAGGCATTCCCGCCCTCACAGCTCCACTAAGGCCTCAGGGTCCATTAAACCCAAAAAGATATTTTTCAAGATTTCAGAAGGCGCGCACCAAGGCCCATGGGCAGGCAGCCGGGCACGAGCGCGCACTCCTCCAGAGTCTCGTAGTAGTCAGCGCCCATGATCAGCGCGTCGTCGACGGTGCAGTTCTCGTTGATGAGCGCGCGCAGGCCGATGACGGAGTGGTTGATCTTGGAGCCTGCCCGGATGACGCAGCCGTCGCCCAGGATGCTGTTGTTCACCTCGCTGTCCTGCACCTTGGACGGCGGCAGGAAGCGCGACATAGTGTAGATCGGCGCGTCGCGGTCGTAGAAGCTGCACAGGCAAAGCCCCAAAATCGTGTTGGTCTTGGGTGCACAAAGTTTGTCTTGGCTACACAAATCATGTGCCCAAGGTGAGACTGCTCGACATGTCATACCTCTCAATACAGCGACCTCCCTTCTGGTCTCATTGTGTGCATATTCAAGCACTTTTGACTGATCATGCCCCATTTGAAAAGTGATTTCCCTTGTGATCTAACGTGTGCAGAGTGTTTTTGTCTAACAAGTGATGCCCCTCAGTACAGCAATCTCCATCGTGATATCATGTACACAAGGTAAGGTTTTGACTTGTCATGCCTGTTCAAAGCAGTCTGAATAAAATGCTCATCCTGGCACATGGAAAAGGAGATGGCTGTTGAAGCAAGATCTTTGCAAAGGGCCAAAGAGCAGCGCACAGCAAAAGGTCTGCACACCTGAACTTTGGGGTGGGGTTGTCTGTGAGGGCCAAGTTGGCCTCGTAGAAGGCCTCCACGGTTCCAATGTCCTCCCAGTAGCCGTCATAGAGGTAGGCCTGGATGTGCATGCCCATGTCCTTCGCGCCGGGGATCACCTCGCTGCCAAAGTCGTTCGCCTGCGCCATACACAGCCGTCAGCTGTCTTGCAAAATACACTCTGGTACCTTGTGATATGATGATTCATCTGATAAATTTTTTGGAAATGTCTGACAAAGCCTGTCATGGAAGGTGCTGCAGCAAAAAATGACCCACCTCGGGGAAGTGCTTTAGGAGCAGGTCCCTGATGGCTGAAGCCTTGGCCACGTAGATGCCCATGCTGGCAATGTAAGGCTCCTCCTTTGCCCTGCCCCCAAACAGCCCTCACTCAAACAATGCTTAGGGGCACCATGCCTTCCATCTCCCAAGCAAACCAACATGGTAACAAGTTGTTACTAACAACCAAATAATTGATACAGAAGAGTAAGAGCCAATTGATTTATCACCAGATACTAGCAAATATGACAGTGCAAGCGCTGTCACCTCTCAGCGTCAAGCCCCAGAATGGTGGTGTCCACTCTCATGGCTCTGAGAGCATCGCCGGTGGGCTTCTCTGCAAAGTCTATGATGCGACCCGAGTCGTCAATCTTCATGAGGCCAAAGGCAGTCGCCTTCTTCTCGTCAGATGGCAGAGCCGCCACTGTGATGTCGGCACCGGTCTTGCGATGCTTCAGGAGAAAGTCCTGGTAGTTCATGCGGTACAGGTGGTCGCCTGCATGCAGCACCACAGCTGACTTCCTTGCATTGAACCCTCACAAGCTGCTGACAGGGATGTGAGAAACAAAAAGGACGACTGACCCAGGCCTGTCTTTGCATCATGCCTTTCCAACCAGGTGCTTTCATGTTTAGCAGGTCAAGCTGGCACCTTGGGGTCAGTGATTTAGCGCATTGGGGAGCAGTCTTGCATTGGGATGGGAGAGGGTGCAAGGGGGTGTGCAGTGAAGGGCGCGGTGCACACCTGCCAGGATCAGGAAGTCCTCAACACCCTCTCTCATGGAGTTCTCAAAGAGCCACAGATATTGCCTGACAGCGTCGGCTGTGCCCTGGAACCACTTCTTCTGGAGAGGGCTCTGGCTGGCTGCAAGCACCTGCTCACAGCCACACAGAACGTTCAGATACACATTTTTGCGGACGATCATTATTACTACACGCTGTTGCCGCGCATAGAGGCAAGGCGCGCATGTAGATAAGCTGCAGGTACAGGCTGCCACATGTCCTACCCCTTGTTGGACTCGCCAGATCAAAGCGAGACCGAATCACCCATGGGCACGGTGCTCAATGCTATATGCTGACAATACCTGACATAAACGACAAGGATAGCCCAGTTGCAATGTTAGGAGCAAGCCGGGCTGCATCTTGTTTTGTGTTCAGCACAGAAGGGCAGGATGCATGGGCATACCTCCACAAAGCCTCTGCTGCTGTAGCCGCCCACATTGGCGTTGTAGGCCTGCGAGAGATGCCTGTTGAGGGAGGCTGAGTTGAACTGCGTGAGGCAGTAGATTTTGTTGACGTTGGAGTTTATGCAGTTGGACACTGGGATGTCGATTAGCCTGTAATTGGCGCCCAGAGGCACTGCCGGTTTTGCGCGCTTCTTTGTGAGAGGGTACAGCCGCGAGCCCGCTCCACCTCCCAGGATGATGCCCAGCACAGTCTGCACACGCATGAAATTACTTATGAGACTTTGACCTGACCTGACCTGACTAATGGCGACAAAACCTGAGCATTGTATACACCTGTGAACCTTAGGGCAGTACTGACGGGCAAGCTGGCAGCCTTTCGGCCTATAGAGGTGAACTGTTGTGAGGAAATAGCAAAGCTAGGGCAATGCACAACTGCACAAATATCAGAAAATGCTTCGAGAACTCAGTGCGCAAGAGCATGCTGCGCTTGGGGCCCGGTGGCAAACCTTGGACATGTCCTGCACTTGCAAGTCGAAGTCCAGAGCGCCGGCTGCCTTCCTGCTGCTTTCAAGAGCTGCCTCATTGATGATCGCCGCTTCACGCTCCAAAGACACTGCCGAGGCCCGCAGAGTCTGGAGGAAGGAGCATGCAGAGTGTTTCCCAAACGCCCAAAGTTACTGGCTTGCAGGAGGGTGGTAGATAACATATTTCGCAAGATATGTATTGATAACAGCAAAGGCAGACCTGGTGGCATCTCCTGCTCCTAGGAAGTGCCCTCTGAATGGTCGTTGTCAGGGGCCTGAGCTCTCCATAGAAGGTCTTCCCACCTGTTCAATAACCAAAAGAAATTTGTGAATAAGCTGCTGATCAAAGACATTTCAGGTGAAGAGGATATATTCTGGCTGGAAACAATATGCCAATAGACTTATATCCATGATATTCTTAAGCGCCAACAAAGTTTTTCTGATAGTAGTGTAGGGAAATACAGTGCCTTTTGCATACATAATTATTCTGCATCTAGGTCCGTAATGTTCATTATTGCATACCAGCGAGCAGTGCGTCCCTTCCAGCCATCGACTGCATATTCATGGCAGCCGACAGCTAAGGGGTCGCACTATCTTCACAAGCCCCCTTCGCCGTGATGCACTATTTATTGTCTTACAAAAAGCAAGTTTTGAGCCAGATACTTTTCTCGATCGACGTCTTCGTGCCTCAGAATGTCGCTGCCGTTCAGGTGCCAGAATAGGAGTCATCCAGATATTTTGCATGCTGTGAGATTCACCGCATGCTCACATAGAGGAAGGAAGTTATCCAAGAACTCAATTCTCCCATCAGGTAAGATGCAGCGCAGGCTGCAGATCAGCATTAACCTCTCCTTTTGACGAAGGTACTTCCTGACAAGTGCATTTGCGACGGCGGTTCAGTGCGCACTGCTGGCAGCTAGTGCCAACTGAGTTGAATTGCCGCCGGCGGCCAGTGAAAGGTACTCACCCGCACCATGCATGCTCATTAAATGGTAAAGTACCACTTTGTGTCTGTCAATGTTCACACAGCACAACCATTTTCGCGAATCTGAAAGCACCAACTGCTTGAAGTTCTCTAAGCTAGACACCAGTGCACTGAAGTACCTTGGACTCCTACGTTACACCAGTATGTCTCTTCTCCTGTCCAGTAGGAACCTCCATTCAATGAAATTATCAAATGACAGTTTTCGATGACGCTTCGCCTCCAACTACAAGTCAGAATGGTCATTCTCATGTACGGGTGAAGCTTTGCGCCTCAGATGTGGTGGCTTCAAGTTTTCTGGAAGATGATCCAGAGGGTGTTTGTACGTGCCAGCCTGAGTTCAAAGCATAATGAAAATATTCTTAGCTTAAAGTGCTGCTGATTCGTAACTCTGTGGTTTCGTAGCTTTGTTCCCAGGAGCTTCCATCAGCAGAATGAGGCCTTCCATACCTCTATTTGAGCTTTGATCTTTTCAAAAGCAGCCCAAACAGGATTTCCATCATCTTCTAATGATCCCATGTTTGCCCACTGCTTAGCCATGGCGGCATCCAGCCTTTGAGCTGCCTGGCATCCAAGAACGGAATCAACAGCAGACCTCCGGAAAGACAACTCACAATCCTGTTCCGATCCTTGGGCGCAATCGGAACAAGGAAGAATATCTCCAGTCATTTTTGGAACAGCAATACAGTCCAAAGCCGAAGATTACCTCTTCTCGTGAAGTGGCAGCCATCGCAAAGGTAGCCGCGAGAAAAACGAGCAGTGTGCAGGAAAGGAGAAACCTTGTAAGCTTCATAATATGTCGACCAAAGTGTCTTCTCCCTGTTATGTCTTTCTGATCATGAGATCACGTCCTTAGCTTAAAATGTCGCCCAAGTCAACAAAGGAGCCAACTCCAGATTATTGATATCAAAGCCCCTGTGCATGCAAGGGCATCATAAAGCGAGCGATCGCTGGTATGAAGCCGAGAGCTACAGCCTTCCTCTCCAGCATCGAACAAATAACAACAATTGAAATCACTGGTTAATGCAAAGCTAGATGCTCATGGCAAATAATTGTAAAAACATCGAAAGTCAACATCTTGTTACCTTTACTTTTTGCCTTTAAGCGATGATACGAGCTAAAATTTGCGCTATAAATCTACGAATGGTATCATTTGATGTGGCAGACTTCGTGCTGCAAGGAGTCTGACCCTGGGGAAGCTACATAAGATATTTGATCTGGAGACATCCCTGCAATCCAGTGTTCCTATTATTGAGAACATCCACCTATCAGAGTCCACATTGCAGTCCAACCATACAGTGTGTGTAATTGCTGCAAGGCAGGGGCTTGATGGGGGTTTTGGAGGCTTTGCTGTTCGACAACCTTGCTCTGCGGGCGCTGCCTGTGGACATAAGGGAAGGCAATGAAATACGCCCAGTCCCCAGGGCCTGCTATGCCAGGGTGAAGCCAACGCCCGTGGACAGCCCCCGCCTTGTGGCGGCATCGCCTAGCGCACTGGCTCTCCTGGACCTCGACATGACAGAGGTAAGCTTGACCACATTTGCGCATGATTGCAGCTGGACTGCATGGCACAGTGCACAACAACAGTGTGTGAGAGGCCTGTTCGTTGTTGCTGTTGGCATAAGTGTGTCAAGAGCCATACCGCATCAGATGTACTAGAAGCAACTCAAGGACTGAGCTGGTGCTGTGCTGCATGCATGCAGACAGAGCGCCAGGAATTTGTGGAGGTCATGGCAGGCAACAAATTGCTGCCCGGCATGGACCCTGCCGCCCACTGCTATTGTGGGCACCAGTTTGGCAACTTTGCCGGCCAGTTGGGGGACGGCGCTGTCATCTACCTAGGAGAGGTGAGCATGCTTGGCTCCATCTTCACTATATTGCTGGAACAGCTTGCACCCATCATCACCCTGAAATGAGCTTCTCCGGGGCTGAAAGAGTTTGCAGGTGATAAACAGCGCAGGTGCGCGGTGGGAGATGCAGCTGAAGGGGGCCGGGTTGACCCCTTTTTCACGCCAGGCTGACGGCAGGAAGGTGCTCCGCAGCAGCATCCGGGAGTTTCTGGCCAGCGAAGCCCTGCACCATCTGGTAAGGTATTCTAAGCCCATAGATCACTCCTTTGAGCAAGACTAAGCCACCTGCGCGTGATGCAATGAATGAGCTGGGTTTCCTCTGATGCCTGCTGACAGAGGGTGACCATATGAGCACCAGGACCACAGTCAATTCAGTCTTGCTTGGAACTGGCAGGCCTGACAAGGGGTAGAATGTTTTGGCAGCCTCTGGTGGCAGCTAGTCTGCACATGCAGCTTGCCTTCATTGGCAGATAAGCAGGCATTACTAGTAACAGTCACAGCAACAGCAAGAGTGATAGTAATGTTGATAGTAACAAGGTGGTGTCCATGCAGGGGGTTGCGACCACCAGAGCAGGGTGCATAATGACGTCGGACACACAGGTGGTGAGGGACGTGCTGTACACTGGCAACCCAGTCTCTGAGCGCGCAAGCCTAGTGCTGCGCATGGCGCCCACCTTCTTCCGCTTCGGCTCCTTTGAGGTCTTCAAGAAGACCGACACCCAGACAGGTGGACATCTGCCCTCCTGCTTCGTCCTTTCATCTGCTCTCACCGTTGGGAGAATCCGAGTCGCTGAGCCCACATCACCTGACCATGTTTCTTGTTGCAAGGCAATCACGCCCTCACTACTCGTTCTGGTATGTCTGTGTGTGCGCTCACCTCACACTCTCAGATGCCTCCCCATATTTGCATGTTAAGTGAAGAAGCAAGTTTACATCGCTTTCTTGGCATTTTGGAAAGACACACCAATCAGAAGATTAAGACAACCATGTGCATCTGGTGACTGACTACAATTTTAACATCACTGTGTATTGCCGAGCGAGTATCATGTGTCCGTTCTATAGGGCGCGCAGGGCCTTCGTATGATGAGAATGGGGAGATAGCAAGGAGCATGCTACCAGTGATGCTGGATCACATCATCAAAACCTTCTTTCCTGAGATCTGGGAGGAGATACCTGTCCTTCCAGATCAGGTGATTGGATGACCTCATATTTGAACTGCTAATTTGTGGTTTTTCTGCACTTTGCTTTCTGTTGTAATGGTCAATGCATGCCATGACTGACTGCTCAAAAAAGTGATGTTGTGCAGTCTGCAGAGCAGAGAGGGAAAACAGAAGAGAGGAGAGGGAACATGTATATGGATTTCTACACTGAGGTAGTCCGGCGGACATTCCAGCTTGCGGCTGCCTGGCAGTGTGTCGGCTTCTGCCATGGTGAGCGACCACCTGAGCCACATGAAGCAGCAATGACACAACACAGCCACATTGAATTCTCGATTTTTATCTTGGCATGCATAAAGTTATAGTGTTCTGGCCCAACAGGTGTCCTCAACACCGACAACATGAGCATCCTTGGACTGACGATCGACTATGGCCCCTATGGGTTCCTGGACCGGTGCGCCATGCAAACTCCTTGACATTTACCCTGCAGAATAATAATGTGCGCAATGCTGGCATGCTGGCAGGATCAAAATTACTCTGATCTACTTTGTAAGGAATTGAAGCCCTTATTGGGCATGTAAGACGGGCACTGGCCAGGAGGGACGAGGGGGTGGCTGACAGGTATCTGAGGGGGATCACTTTTATATAAATCGTGCCAATTCATCCACTGGGTACTTAATACCACAGGTATGACCCGGAGCACGTGTGCAACCACTCGGACGACAGCGGCCGCTACAGCTACGAAGCGCAGCCGGGCATCTGCGCATGGAACTGCGAGAAGCTGGCCGAGGCGCTGGCGCCTGTTCTGGACTCCAGCCGCGCGCGTGCACAGCTCGAGACACTCTTTGCCCAGGAGTACACCAAGTGCGTGAAACAATCTGCTCTGCAGCAGAATAAGGAAAGAACCTTGCATGCATGCGTACTGCTCAGCTGTCAGAGCCCCTGTGGTGTGTGCGGCAGCCAGAACTGCAAATGCTGCCCTGTACATTGCCGGGCGGACCTGACTATGGTGCCTTGCAAGGACCTCCTTCAATATCAGCGCACTCTGGGGAAGGAAGCGGAGGATGGGCTGCACATGGGTGTATTGGATAAAGCTGCAGGCGCCCATTGGCTGATCACTCTTGATTGTATGTTTGTTCAGGACCTACCAGCGCATCATGAGGCAGAAGCTTGGGCTGCTGGAGCTGGTGGATGAGGACAGGGATACCCAGCTGGTTGCAGACCTCCTGGAGGTTGAACCTCATCCCCATTCCCATTCCCTTGCATGCACTCTTTGATGCTTAGAAGCAGCCAATCTGTGATGACGCTGGAATGCGTATTTGAGTGCTGAGCACTTCAGCAGATGCTAGAGGGACTCGTGCTAGGGCGCAGGTTATGCACAAGACAGGAGCGGACTTCACCAACACGTTCCGGTGGCTGTCCACTGTGGAGATGCCACCTCCCAGTAGAGCACACAGCGATAACCAGGCCTCAATTTCTGGCACTTCCCAGGCGGGGATCTCAAATGGCGCGTCCACAAGTGGTACGGCACTCAGCCACCACGTCAGCTCGGCTGTCTATGCAGATCCTGTCTTGCAAAGATGCTCTGCTGGCGTCCCAGCTCTCTGTTATCATTTCTGGCACTAGCACGGTGCACTGAAATGAAGACTTTTGTGACAGCGTGCAGCGTGGGAAAGGCAGGCCTGTCAGATCCTGAATTGCTTGCATGAGGATGACTTGGATTCCATGGGATTGACATGCTGTTTGTGGAGAAAGTGCCAAGACAGGCAAAGCTGGAGGGGAATAATCGAGAGTTTGCTGCAACACACCTAGCCCTGTGGGCTGGAACAAGCGTGTAATGATAATAATAAGAACAATAAAGTGCGGATTGCAGGGGATGGAGGATTTCTGGAGCGTGTGCTGGGCAGCCTGGCGTTGCCGCAGGAGCTGGCGGAAGCTGCCCGGCCGCGCATGCACCCGCAGAACCTGCGCGTGCTGCTGCAGTTCTCACACAACGAGCTTCTCCTCGCCTCCATGGGCGTCACCAAGGAGGTCAGAGCCTCGAACTGAATTTTTTTACCTGAGGCTCTGTGAAACGTGCTCAAATGGGCGGTGCAGGAGCTTGAGACATCCTGTGTAGAAGAACATCACAGCATGGAGAGGGTGGTTCTTGTGCCTGAGAACCAATCAACCACCAACAAGAAATCCACCTCTCTCGCAATGGAGCCCGCGTGTGGAGCTGGCAGCGCAAATCAAACGTCATTTTCAGTGCTTCACCGGCTGCTATCAGTGCAGTGTATTGAAGCTGCAGTGGGCGATGGGGTGTTGGCTTACGGTCATTTCGTCGAGGATCAACAGCAGGCTGAGGCAGCGCTTGTCTCTGGCGTGCAGGTGCTGCATCAGGAGATGGCGCGGCTGGAGCGCTGCGAGGAGCTGGGGAAGCTGGACGCAGCTGCCAAGGCTCGCGCGGACGCGGATGCCTGGCGCGGCTGGCTGCGGCGGTACACAGCGCGGCTGCAGCAGGAGGCCGACGCGGGCGCCAATCCCCAACGCCGCATCGCCACCATGAACGGCATCAACCCCAGGTCTGACCGCATGCATGCCTGCACATGGCACCGTGATGATATTCAGCTCGTCAGCTGATTTCTCTGTATTGTAGGTACCCATGTGGTGCCACTTGCCAGGGGACTATGTCAATTTAGAGTCCCCTGCACGTGTTGCACCTGCGCAGCCCCGTTTGCTATATCTCCTCACTGCGCAGAGAAGAGGATCCTCATCCGTCATTTGTAATTGTGCCAAACTGCCTCTGTCGAGCTTAGGAGTGCCACATGTCTGCAAAGGGTGCAGGTTCTGTGCAAATGCACCAATGCTGGCGTGGTGACAATGCAATGGGGATGAGTGTGGCCAGGGCAGATCGGCTGATGAGGCTGGTGCGCGCAGGTATGTGCTGCGCAACTGGATAGCACAGCGCGCGATAGATGCGGCGGAGAAGGGCGACTACAGCGAGGTACGGCGAGTGCTGCGGCTGCTGGAGAACCCGTACTCTGACGATGCCGCGGCAGACCTGGATGCGAGCAGTGGGAGGAGTGGCAGCGAGGCTGCGTGCGGCCGCGAGCTTCAATATGATGGACCGGTGCCGCAATGGGCCAAAGGCCTCTGTGTCTCTTGCTCATCCTGAGCAGGGGAGGTGATGCATGGCAGTTGATGTCTGCAGCTGTACTGCGATAGTGTACAATTTTGTGACACTATATATAGATCCCACTTCAGAATTATGAGTGGGTTGTGAGCGACACCGCGTCCTGTTGACCTTCACCCGAATAAGTCAGTCGGCTCATTTGCTGCATGCAAATGACTTCGAATGCCACAAGATGTACTGAATTACTGAATTGGCAATCAAACTGTCATCTAATGAGCGCAGTCGCTCCAGCAAACTTGACAGAGGGCTTAGAGCCCTCTTTGCCGTCAGCGTCATTAACACCAGGTGTGCTTCTCAGCAGCAGATAATTCAACAAGTATCTTCCCTGCTGGACATATTGTACAGCCATTTACCTTATTTGCTGCCCTAATCCCATCAAATACACTATTGCAAAAGTATGGTTCAAATACGCAGCAGTTGTGGAATCCTCATTGCAATTACAGGCCCAACAACACATTGCAGTTGCTGTTCATTCCTCAACGTGCCAAAAGGGTCACAATCTGAGGGATGCTTCAACATGGTAATATGATGCCTTCTCCCTCCCCTGCCACAGCAAGGACCACCCAATCTACAGCTGCATTGTACAGTGGACCAGATGGAGACAGCGGACCTCGTTGGGGCAAGGCATGGATTTGATCCGCGCGTGCAAGATTTGATTTGGTGCATGACTTTGTGCAAAAACTGCAGGCCTACCTGCATGCGACACAGCTGCAACTCCGAAACGCACACAGAGCCGCCCTGAATCCCCACCAGGTCTGCATACGCTTCCTGCCAGTCGCACACAACATCACTCCGCATTCAAACTATTGGTGTGCACAACCTGTAGGTGTGCATTTCACCCCATTCACAAAAAGCACTGAAGAGGAAAACACTCCTTCAGAGATGTACCTCAGGAATCCCCTTCAGTTTGGCACCGTGCCCGCGCCGCATGCCCTTGAAGAGATTACTCAGCTTGGCAACAGTGATGTGGGCGGTGAAGGGCCGCCCATCATCCCCATCGGCTATGCCAGCATTCACAAAATGGGACCGCGCGGCTTCCGACAGCGCGACAAGCCTCTCATGCCCTGCGTCCTTGACGACTTCCAGAAACAGCACCTGAACACATTATGTATCGTCACTGGCTGTAGATTTATCATCACCTCCCCGTGAATGGAAGAATGATCCTCTGTTCTGCTCCAGTGCCTCTGGAGAGCAACAGCTCAGAATTATATTCACGTTTCTGTGAAAGGAAGGGTGATCCTCTGCACTGTGCCAAGTTTATAGAGCACCAGCTCAAAGGGACCCTGACCTGTCTCCTGAAGTCGCTGAGGCCTGCAATCTCTAAGGTGAGTGGGCCATGCTGGCCGCCATCCTGCAAAGCAGTCTGCAGGGCCTCCAGGGCATCCTTCGCCGCTTGCAGGCGATCCTCGCCATCCAGAGGCATGACCTGCGCACACAATACCATTGCGCGATTTTAGCTACTCAGCACCATGTGATATGAGGGTACATGATAGACTGAGCTTGCATGCAAAACCAAGGAGTCACCATCAGCGTAAGATGAGCAGTGATAGGCTCCACTAGGGCTCCTTGAAGAGCAGGCGTGTGCACAATGAGGGCGTCCTGGACTGAGTCCATAGCCTTGATCACTGACTCTGACAGAGACACGCGGGCTGCTATGAAGTGCGTCGGCCTGAAATGTCAACAGGTGAGTCATACTTCCAAAGTCAATGATGAATGAACTAGGTCACACTGCAAAATAGCTCATGCTCCAGCAGGTTGGTCGCATGTTCAGTTGGTGGACTGCAGACCTTTGTCTCTTCTTCTCCTTGGTTGGAGTGACAGTGACAGGGACAGGAACCTCTGTATCGGGTCTGAGCCGCTTTGTTCTCGACTCATCATGACCTTCGATGGCTGACACCGTGCTGCTTGATTTTGCCTCATGTTCTGCACCACATATCACGTCCAGGAGGAAATGCTGGCGTGACACGGGATCGAGAGACACTAGTTCATCCATACGATTATTGCGAACCAATCGCTCATTTTTCAATGGACTCCCAATTACATGACGAATTAGAAATACAAAAACCTTATTCGATCTCCAAGCACATTGACAAAAGGCAGATGTGGTCAACTTCCTTGCTAGTACTAGCATGCAAAGGTTGATGGGTGCGGTATCTTAATGACCGCACTGATGTTGATGGATCTTCAACTAATGCGATTTATCCGTGTGATTTTAATTGATCCTTGGAAAGGCTTGGTGCAGGCAGCGACAAGAAGAATAAATAGTCCCAAGCCTTGATATTCCATTTTGGAGCTGCCCAGCATGTGCCCATAGATTTGCTCAACTGCCCAAAAGGAAACTCTTGAGTTGGGATGCATGAAAGTTGCTCAATACTGATCAAATGAGTTGATTTCATTTAGGGTGCAACTTACAGGCCCGGAGTCTTCTTACAGGTCACCTCAGGTATGTCCCCCACGCCACCAAGCTCTTAAAACATGCCAGGCCATTGGAACTCTCTGTCGTCAATTCTCTTCAAAGCTGAAAGTAAATTATGGCCGGATGAGGTGTTCACCACCGTCCACAATCCTCGAGCTCACAATGACATCGCCGCTCTGCAGCTGTGGCACCAGCTCCAATCCCTGGAACAAAGATACAGGGATTGTTGAAGACACACCAAATTTCCCAACACACCACGGATTAGCGGCAAATTATGCATGTTTGCTCAGATGACTCACACAGTCACGCATAACAGACGGTCAATTGCTGGAACCTCACGTCAGTCACGTAGCCACACACTCCAAAAATGCCCTCATCGAACGCCAGTCCAGAAAGGCCGGCCTGCTCCTTGGAAAACTTGTATATGAAGAACTCATCGGCGGCTGAGTAGCCATCGGGAATGGGCGCCTGGTCTGATGATGCATGGGCCATTGCCACCTGCATCAAAGGGGCAGATTGCTATTTAAATCAAATCTTTCACCCTCAGATCAAAAGTGGGAAAGACCATGAATTGCTACAGAAATGCAGAAATGCCGCAGCTACAAGGGTAAGGATTAGAGAAATGGTATGCTGACATCAAATCAGAGCGAGGATTGCACCGCGCCATAAATTGAGAGTGGCAGCACAGGCAGCTCTCCAGACTGCACATCAAGCGTCGATCGGTACACCGGATCAAACTCTCCCAGCGGCAAAATCTCCAGCGGTACCAGCTTGCCTGCATGCACAGGGGAAGCCTTGGCTCTCCAATGTATTGGCAGGTGCATGCTACTTTGGTATGGGTCTAAGGAGCATTTATGGTGCATCAAAGAACCCAGTACCCGATACCACAAATACAAATTATAGAAAAGGGATGTAGGGCACAAATGCGGGTGGAGATAGTGCTTTGGCTTGCATTAAAATACGCACAGGTCAAGCGACATGAACATGGCTTTTTAGCAGCCCTCACATTGGGCTAGAGGTCGCAACAGGTAGGATATTCCAACCTGCCAAGTGCAAGTACGTTATTGGTGACGTACCAGGAAGTGCACCGGCGCCAGCCAGCACAGAAGCATAGCTGGCATTCAGCGTTTTGCCATTGTAGATGCCGTCCTGGATGTTGGCTGCCATGTTGCCAGCTGTCAGCGGAGCGGAGTAACCGTCCAGAGTGATGCCCAGCCTGGCCTGGCGGATAGGCCCACCCCCTTTCTGGTCCACAAACGCTGACTCGTCCCCTTTGCGCTCCAAAATTAGCTCCACCGTTGCCCTGCCTGCAAGGAGACAAATTGAATCAGAGAAACACATTAAGGAGGCCATGCGGCTGACTTTTCTGGGCAGATGCACAGGGAAAAGTAATACCTCAGACAAATACCATGCCAGAAAAATGCAGAAATCAAGGTCAGAGGAGAGAGCAATCAGAGCAAAAGCTGCAAAAGGTCACCTGTCAGCCGAGGCTGGCTGGAGAATTGGTCAGGGACGATGAAGGAGAGGCCTGGTGCCTGCAGGATCTCCAGGCTGGCCACATCCTTCAGCACATCCGCCACCCGCCTGGACACCTTGTCTGCATCCCTGCAATTACATCAAAATTCAAACCCTTCTCTGCCACTCTTAAACTCAGGAAACAACAAAAACACCCAAACCACGGCACAAGCAAAGCAAAAACCCTTCTGCCTAGAAGCTAACAAGCGGGGCGAGCCTTGCTACATAGAAAGCGATTCTAGGGAGATGAGATGACAGTCTAAAGTGTGAGATGAGATCACGCCAAAATCAGTGAAGACATGCAAGGCAGTACGAGCGCCATGCAAGGGGGAAGATTGTAACTAATTGGGAGGGCCTCACTTGGCATCAATGGCTCCGAGCACACCGCGCAGCCCGGAGCTGATACTCGCGTTCAGTTGCTGTGCCGTTCCCTCCTTCCCCTTGGGCACGCCGTACATGACCCTCTCCGGGGTGGCCATGACGGCAGCGGCCACGCCCACATCGTCGGCCATGGCCTGCCAAGGCTTGCGCTGCGGGATGCGCAGCTTGAACGCCACGTCCTCTAGCTTGGTCTGCACCTCGCGCACGTCCCCATTGAAGGCTGGAATGGCCCGCCTCAGCGCTGCATCCGCACTGATCACACGGCACACGGCACGGGTCAGGCCCCCCGGTGAGACGGCACTGTGAAATCCTGCAGCAACTGTGCAAATGCTGTACAGTATATGAATGCACAAGACCCCAGGCCTGACACCCTGGGCTAGTATGTGCCCCTCCTGGATACTGCCGAATGGTGTACAACAAAATTTGAGGTGAAAAGGTCAGCTTGCACTGTGTGGGGTCTGCCCAAAGTTCTTCAGCAACTGGGGTATTGTGAAGTGAGAAGGGAACATGCACTATTTGGGGTCCCCCTGAGTATGTTCACGGACAGGGACTGCTGTGAAGGGAAGGGTGAAGATGCAGGCTGTTCAATTGTGTTGAAAGATGTGGGGCACCTGCGGGCAATGCGGGCATTTGGCGAGTTCAGGACTGCAGCTGCGGGGCCCGGCAGAAGCATTTCTACGGCAAGTGGTGCAGTGGCCAGTTGCAGAGCTGCCAGCACTGTAGCCAATGCCTGCTGCCCGGATGTACACACCCTCACAGTCGCCTCTGCAGGCGCTGAGTTGGGGCTGGTGTTCTCTGGTGCAACAGCCTTCATGCGCCCAGCCTGCAACCCGACATGCGAAGATTAGCTGTGAGATTGCTGCTGTGATGTTGTGCGCTTGCATCCAAGTGGATGGTCTGTTTACCTGTACAATGTGATGGTTCTCCTTGGCAGGCATGCCTGCAGAACAGCGGGTGCCATTTGCAACAGCAGGTTTCCAATGTTGTGCACGTGGCGCAGATTGGAACGGCACAAATCTCTCTCTTGACTTGTTGAGACCAGCGCTGCGGCAAGGTGCCTTATCCCAGGCTATCGGACTCATCTCAACCACCCCTGGACAATTACAGGCGTCAGGCTTAATCATATTATTGTCATTGTCACAACTCAAGGACAGGAGAGAGAATTGCTGGCTTAAAGAATTGGAGCACACCTATGTTCTGGTCTTTGGTGTGTCAGGGCCTATATCCCGTGATCCACTGTTGATATAGGGCCCTCTGACAGCGGTGGATTGGGCCAGCGGCTTATTCGGATCAATCTTGAGGGGGACAAGGGAAGGATTCAGTCACTGTCCAATGAATAATATTGTGGGCATCTCGACAGGATCGAGATCAAGCTTCAAACCAATATTGCCACCAAGCAGCTGGCTGGGCGATCTGGCCTTTAGGACGATCGTTGAGCATTTATAAAAATTATGCCTTTTCACGATAAGCGTGAGAGAATGGAGCATACCCTGACTCCTCCTGACGGTTTTGCAAGATAGTAAGGGAACAAAGCAGCTGCAGAGATCAGAACAACTAGCCCTCCCGCTAGTAAACCGTTCCTGGCCTTGCTCATACCTGCTATGTCCACATTATAGCTCAGTATAGTATAAAAATCAAGAGAAATGCAGTGATGGTGAAAATGCTGACGTCCTCCGTCCTTGCTCAGAGTGTGTTACCTGGATCGGCATCGCTAATGAACACATCCTTGTGAATACGCAACTTTACATTCAGCAACCAGTGGTAAAATAGCGCATTGTCAATTGTAACTCGCAGTCTGCATCGTCTTTCAGCGAAGAATTCATTCAAAGTGAAAAGGAAGAGTTGATAAGGCACGTGGTCACATGAGTCACTTTTTCGAGAGCCAGGCATGGATGAAGTGGAGAATCAGACATTGGCAAGAATGCCACCAATCTGTGCAAGATTGCAAGATTGGGTGTATAATACCTCAGCTGTGATGATGACCTAGTCTGCATGCAAGTTGCAGACCTCTGAAAACTGCAGAACAGAACCTGTCAGGAAGTTGCCAGCATGTACTACAGTATACACCTAGGCATCAAGATGAACTTCACTCGCTCTGTACGCTACATGATGCTGATGTGATTGGTTTTGCAAATTTGAGAAGACATACTGCGTCTCGACCTATGACATTGTCAAGTGATTGCCAATCGGAGTAAGATAGGTTATCATCAGAAGGTATTGTTACAAGCAAATTAATCATCAGCAATCCCACTGTTGGCAGCTCTCATACTCATCACTCGGCAAGTATCATTCTGAAAATCTTACATCTCACAGAAACAGGACACCACCATTATGTCACAAGACCTAGTTCCATGGGGCCACGGACGACAAGAAGGTGTTCATGGTCTGCACACTGACAACGGCGTTGTTGACAATCTCTGCATTGATGGTGCCGTGGGGCAGATTCCAGAACTCAGGCACTGTCTTCCCGGACAGAGCCTCTGTCACCAAGATTGCTGTGAATCCAATCATAGCAAGCCTGCGAAAAATGGAGGAAGTGTCAAACAATTTTCAAAACAATTCCACTTGATCCTGATTGGACACTTGCCAGTAAGCTCTCAGCTCCTAAACAGGAGGTGCAAAGCCAACATTTTTGTACACTTCCGTTACAGGCAGTTGGGAAGAATATTGCAGGGATGCACACCTGCCATTCCAGTTCTCTGCCTTTGGACTCCAGAATGCGTTGGCGAAGGGCTCCTTCCGTGTGAAACCCCTGCAGATGCAGTTAGCAGATATGAGCAACAAATATGCGATACTACCAGCTCTAGACCACCATGACAAGCTTCCAAAGTAAAATTCATTACGTCTACCCTTTTTGCCAAGCGCATTGCCAAGAACGTGGAAAATACAGGACGCATATTGTCAGAAGGCAAGTAAGGACAAGTCACCTGACAATGGGGATGTAGGACGCCAGTGAGATAATGACGAAGGCAGCTACGATGCTCACGGGCGCAGTGGCAACCTGCTCCTTGATGCCGATGCCTGACACAAACTCTGCTGCAAGTGCGGATGTCACGCCCAACATTGCCAGGCGAGAGTTGATGGTCTCAGGCGCTGCACACACAGAATATTTTTTCAGAACTCACAAAGGCTGATCAAATTTCACTGAGCCTTTTGTATTCACAAATGTTTCACAGTTTCTGTACTACTAAGGTCTAGCTCCATGTAAGGCAGGTAAGAGTGTGACACAATACTCACCCACACCATCGAAGGCCTGGATGGAAGTGAAGGGCTGGTCGGGACCAGCGTCTGCACGCCTCTCAGCATTCTCGTTCGAGAGGTTGCCTGCCTCAATATTACTGATCTTGCTGCGGTCGACAGTGCCCGGCTCCATGACCTTCTGGTCACCCTGATCTCTCACCTGCGAGACGCTGGAGCTTCAGATGTACAGCCAAAGAATGCAAAGTGGTTTCAGAATATTCCGAAATAATTGTCATAGCCATCTCACTCAAAAGCTACGCTGGTACAGCACGCACAGCAACGCAAATAACGGACGCACGACCATGCCGGCCACGAGAACTTGCGTCGAGAACAATGCTTGAGGATCACCTCTGCACGCACAACCATGCGGTTCATTCTGCAGACAGACGGCAATGTCGATGAATACAAGCGGGCATGGACAGACGGCCTCGTCCTCAGAGTGGGCACTGACGTGAGGGCGCTGGTGGAAATCATGCTCATCGTTGCGGCCACGTTGTCCTCGACGTTGATAAGCAGTCTTGTCGTGAGTAAGTGTCTTTGGATATTCTTTGTATGTAGTTTGCAAGCCTTTGGATTTTTTAGAGCGCTCCCTGCACCGATCGGGGTTAAAAGCTGCAAAGCGAATTTTGGATGGGAAGTTGGGGTGACGTGGTTGCGTGGGTGGCCTATTATGCCGCAGCTGCACCTTTGAGAGAAGCTACAGGCTATTTTTGGAAGTGCGGTGCAGTGAAAACCATCTGCCCCATCCCAGCGATGTTCGGGATGCCAATATTGATGGTTATCATCGAGATCGAGTGCTAGCATGATGAAGTGCACTATATATAGTGCACTGGGAAAATAGGGCGTCCTAGTGGGCTCGAGCCAGGCTGGCGCCTATTGGGCCACCCAATAGGCTGCGGCAGCCCATGCATTGTGTGCACTTGTGTGGATCGGGCCTTTCAAACTCTGCAGCGCGTGCTCCATGTGCTTGGTGGAAGTAACATGCCATCTTGTGCGCACTTTTGCATTCAGAGCTTTTTTTTTCATTCTGTAAAGAGGACAACGTTGGTACCTTGAGGACTGTCCTAAACTACCTGAAGGATTCAACAAGTTGTCCTACTGGTAACCTCGTCCAGTTTGCACTGAAAAAGTTTTGTTGCACAGTTACCAAAGAGCTCCGGGGTCAAATTCACTTTTCGACACCGGTGGTACCTGTCGCAGACTTCGAAGTCTGAATTCACTGAATGGCATTCACTGCACAGCTTCTTGAATATAAAATCTGGCATCATGCGATACACTTCCGTTGCACACAGGTAGTGAAACAGCATCAGCCATATATGTGGCGTCCACTCGTAGTACAGTTGATGTGCCACAGAGATAAGATTCCTTCGAAGCCCTAAATGTTATGTGTAGCCACCTCTGGGTAGCCTCTGTGTAGCCACCCACCATAATCCTTCAGAAATGGCAGCTGGAGGACCATCTGCACAGATCCCAATGCACTGCATCAGTGCGCAGCAGCCTTGTCGCAACTCGCTCAGCATTGCCGGTTGAGGTACAGATGACGCCAACATTGCACAGTGCAATTGGGAGGAAAGATGCATGCACATCGAAGTCACCTGGACGGTGGTTTTTGGCATGTTGCACAAGGTTCACAGATTCACAGTTCTACAGCTAGTTAAATATTTGTCCTCTACTACTAAAGTAATGCCAGAAACCCACGATAGCATACAAGACAATGATAAAATACATGTGAAACAGGTGATTATTCTTCTGCAAGTCAAGGACATCCTAATAACCTGCATTGCATTATCAATTCTGGTGGTCAACTTGTCAGGTGATCGACTGACAACAAGTCTCATTGTCAGGCTTTATTGGCACATCATCCAGCCACATAGAAATCCATCTTGTGGACAGGCAGATTGAGGACAGAATCCTGCATGTGCTCCCAGGCCACAAAAGTGTATGGTGCCAGCCCACGCTTGTACTGCCTGCCCCCCTCCTCTTCCTCCTCCTCTCCTTCTGCATGATCTGCGCATGCAACAGAACCATTTCAAATTGAATAAAAACTTGACAGGTACCTGCCTAAGTTCATGAGCCTGCTGTAGGACGCTAAAAGAAGAACAACACAAGATATGAAGGCACAGCAAGCGCCAAAGTAGGAGGATGGCCTAACTCGCAGTGTCACGGAGTGCATCAGACGATACAAACATTTCCTGGACATTGAAATATACTTTTTCCTGCTGCTGCATGCATTACATTGATAAGATTAAGACGCACTCAGCATGGGCACTCCAGAGTCGCTGCCCCGGTCAAAGGACATGATCTTGTCCACGTCCAGGCGGTTGTTGCCGCCTCTGCAGGTTGATCGCAGTCGCAGCCGCGTCCGGATCTCTGTGCCGGCTGTATTCCCCAGTGGCAGCGATGTGAAGAGGTTGTCCTTCTGCAAAATTACACCCCACGGGTTGGCACTTTGCTCGCTCAGCACACACTAGACACCGCCTATTAACAAAGAGATGACCGCAGATCACTGCAATGGCTTGTGCGCGAGAAAGGAACGGCCATGTTCGGTGACTGCTCACCCTGAGCAAGTATCTGCCCCTGTGCACGCCCTCCTCCATCCTGTTGCGCACCAAGCGCATGGAGCGCTGCACCTGCACTGGGACCTCTGGGGAGGTGCGGTACAGCAGGGTGCCGTCCGGGAAGAACCTGAAGTAGCGGTAGTAGCATACCAGGTGCACCGGGTTCTTCACCCTCCACTCCACAATCCCTGACCGTCACACACATTCCCATCATCAGCACCAGGGCGCCTGACATGTTGCCTCCTTTATTCGTTACTACCAAATACAGTAGCACGAGAGAGCAGAAAGGGCAGTCACTGTATGATTGTGCTGGATAGTGGTTGCAACCGGCTGCGTTGAAGATAGCGCACCTGTCCGGATGTATGTATTACGCGACACGTAGAGCCCATCAAAGCGCAGGTGAGGCCGCTCCATGAACATTTTGTGCCAAGAGCCCCTGCATGAGCGAGAGGACCGATGAGACAATGTCTATCAGTTACTTGTATCATTGCAAATCTCAGAAGACACCAGCATCCCTTAGACAGAGAAAAGAGCCACCTGTACTGCGAGCGGACAAGAGTATGGATGGAAGCCACAGGTGCAAGCTCTCTGCTGAATTCCTGCCAGAAAGCCTCCACACAGGCCGGTCTCCACAGCGTGTCAGTGCAGCAGAGACTCCGGAACTGTTTGCAGACACACTGAGCCAGTCCCAGACTGAGGGATGGCAGCTTGCTCAGAATCTGAGTCAAGATCTCCTCTGGCAGCTTCGTCTGCAGCAGTGAAAGCTCTGCAACCTGCGCAGGAAGCAGTGTGCTGGGATGAGAGACGGCCTTGCGAGCCTAAGGCAAGACAGCAAGAAACCAAAACCTGATGCGGGAGAGCTACACAGAATGAATCAAGCTCCGACGACATGATGAGCATGTAAAAGAAAATACCTGCTTGCTGCTCTGCCGCAACCTGAGGCCATACATTGTCATCCATGGTCTCCAGGATGTCAGAAATGGGCTTGGTGCGTCAGGGGACCACGCAGCAGAAGGCCCTGGTGGCATGTTCTTGTCTAAGAGCACCGTGGCTGTCGACATCGCAGCAAAATACTCGAGAAGACTATAGATGCATCGATCCTCGCTGGCTACATATACACCTCAAGAATGGTTTCGAGCAAATCGAGAAACTAACGACTAAGTCTCCTTGCAAACAGAGTTGACGCAAACAGCATCCCTGATGCGTTCTTATACAATCTACACCTTCTCGACACGACACGATTTCTTCGAGCGAAAGGAAGAGCGCTTAAGGCAAAAGTTACGTAAGGCTGGGGTCGATACACAGTGAATGGTTTGTTTGATTTATCGACTCCTGAATCTCAAGCTCCAAGGTTCCCAAATTGCGCTGCACAAATCGACACATGGAACGTGGAGGGTCGTACTTAAAATTGGCCAGAAAACATCACGCGGAAACTAATCAAGTGCAAATCAGGCGAGGAACAAAATGCCTCTCCTCTGAAGGTCCCCTTCAGACACGAGGAAAGCTATTTCTTAAAGTAAAGAAGTACGGCCTCGTCCTGATCATACAGATACTGAACCATACATATATTAGTGAGATCCCCTCTTATAGTACGGCTTGGGGTCCCAGCGTAGCGCGGATGTCCTGACTACACCAACTCTCAGGATGAACGTTGCAAGATGAAGCTCTGAAGATTGCTTTATGGGAGCTCATCAAGATGGAGAGCTTGATACAGCTCTCCTTCGGGCCAGGATGGTCTGGTATGGTCATTCCCCGAGGATACTGAGAATTCAAATATTGTCCCCAAGTCGGCCTCGCAAGGGAGTCCAGTGGATCCCCCAGCCCCCATTAACAATAACAGATCTGTGCCTTTATCTGTTTTCGCCCTCACCTGCAACACAGTGCAGGGCTTGTGGCAGGTACAAGGACCAGTGCAGCCGCCTGCAGAGCGAGAAGGATGCCCTCCACTCCAGTGCTGGCGAAGAAAGTACAAACCTTCGAGACATCATAGAATATCTGGGGAGGGAGTTGTCAGCACGAGAGCTGGAAGTGAGCGAGCTCAAGAGCTTGCAGGCGACCTTGGAAGCAAGGTTGAAGGACTCTCAATCAGAAGCACAGGTGCTTGATTATCCCACTCTATAGAGCCATTGCCATCACGGATTACAACGGATATACTGCTGTGTATTGAGCAGACAATGCATGGTGTGCGTGTAGGCATGTGCAGAACAGTATGAGAGATATAGATCTGAGGCTGACGCAGAGCACCTCACAAGGCTGAAGCTCTTGGAACGGAGGCTGCAAGATGCAGGCAGCCTCTTTAAGCAAAATGAGCTGTTGACGGTGGAAAGAAACGCTCTGAAAGCTGCTCTGACAGAGGAGCGAACACTCAATCAGAAAAGACTGGGGTAATGCACCTTATGTCTCCGCTAGTTCTGAAGATACAAGAGGCACATCTGTACGACATCACACCTCACAAATCTCAGGTACACTCCTTCAATTTCACCTTCCTCAGACGTCTAAGGCTTTCTGCAGGGATTTGGAGAACAAGCATGTGCATGAGCGCGATGTTTGGGAGCAAAAGGCAGATGCGCAGATGCGCAGTGCTGTCTCTGCGGCAGAGCAGGCAGTGAAAATAAATGGTATCAGCAAGGGTGACATCGATGCAGAATTGCAGTACCAAGCTCAGCAGGTGTGTCCAGACAGGCGTCAGCAGCTGCAGCCTGATGACCATCTGCCTACATTTGTAAATGACAATATGCACGATAGCGACATTTCATCAATGGCACATGCATGAGTGATTGAAGCAATAATTTCTTGTGGTGCTCTTTGCCGCAGATTGACTTCATGTATGACAGCATGAAAGACGCAAAGTCAAAGATGGCTGCCATGAGAAGGGAGCTTGAGGTCTCAAGGGAACTGGGAGGCCGGCTGACAGCGCAGAATCAAGCCTTGCAGCACGCACTGAATGTTCTGGTGCGTCTCTCACACTCTCGATACAATGGAAATGACCTCAATGTATTGATTCTTGTGCCTGCCCACAGGTGATACCATCCCTTTCTGAGCCCGGCAGCTCCTGATCCTAATGAATGACAGAAAGAATTTTGCTCAACAGGCAGAGCGGCTGAAAGCGCAAAGCGCCACAGATGGGGCACAAGAGACGCATGTTTGTCCCACTCATCATGGAGCAAGGCAGGTGCCTAAGACAATTTCCCATGCGCAGACTTCAGCTTGCCTTAAGACACCTCTTGATCAGAAAGTGCAAAAAGCATATGTGGGGAGGACAAAAAGGCCCACAAAGGTGAGAAAAGCTTGTGAGACAATTTCTGACACAAATTACATGCACGGAGCGATCCGCCATAGACCAAATAGAATCTTGCCCAGTGAGCAGCTAAATTTGGCCAGAGGTAAAATGGATCTCACTGCTGCAGAGCTCCAGCCAATGGCTACTTACCCGAGCTAGCCCCACATGGACAACAGTGGAATTGCACCAGGAATATAAGCGAGCAACCTCTAAAACAATGGAGTGATCCCTTGCGCTCTGATGGTACTCGCCAGCATGCAATCAGCGAGGCATCTTGTGAAGTATTTGAAGGTGCAATGGAATGTACTATTGTCCTTTGCCGGCATCCGTTTAAACCGAACTGAAGTATTATCACTCAAAGGCCGCGTCAACACGTCAAGAAGGTTGATTTATGGGACAATGAACGTCAGTAAACACCGAAATCATCCTGTTATGCTTACCCCAGGCTTTCCAGGAAATAGGTCAAAGAGGCAATCAGTCAGCTGTACAATCAACAAATCTATCTACATCTAGCAACGAGTTGTCATCGTGTCTCCTACAAACTACCTTTTTTAGCCGTGCACATCCTAGGAAACTTGCTACTCTATGACACTGCTGAGGGCTGCGGCTCCTTGGGACCCAGCGGCAGCGGTGCAATGAGTGCTGCCACCTGCTCTACGAGGCCGGCATTACTGGCCGCCAGCACTCGCCGCCCCATGATATCAAAGGGCCCCCCTGCAGGGTCTGCCACATGCCCCCCAGCTTCCTCCACAATGAGCGATGCTGCTGCCACATCCCATGGCCCCCCAAAGCCCACCTCATAGCTGACCTCTGCCCGGCCGCATGCCACCGAGCACATGTCCAGCGCGCATGAGCCCATGCATCTCACCGAGCGCGCCTGTTTGCACAACAATTTCCTCGTTTTCATGTGACATTCAGGCGAGGAAAAAGACCCGTTGGCCTGCGCCAATGCCACAAGAGAAGCGAGATTATGAAGATCTGATTACCTGAGAAAATAGAGCACAAGAGAGCGGTGCGCACCCCTTTCACAATGGCCGAGATGCGGCCGAAGAGCGCGTCAAGTGTCGCGTCGTCGCGAGTCACCCCTATCTCTGTGATGATCAAGGCTGACCCCAGGTCTGTGCAGCCTGACACATTGATGGGCTGGCCATTCAGAAACGCGCCCTTGCCGCGCATAGCTGTGTAGAGCTCGTCAAGAATTGGGTTATAGACCACCCCCACTGCAACCTGCACCACACGACTAGACTCATGGACTTTTTGGAGCGGAAAGACAGCCAAGCAAGCAGGAGCACTCAGCCAAAGGGTCCGCCCAGTACCCAGTTCACTGGCGATTCTACAGCCACTGACAGTTCAACAGGGCTGCTTGGTACCTTCTTGTCGATTGCCAGCCCAATGCAGACACACACAAAGGGAAAGCGGTGCACGAAATTAGTGGTGCCATCGACAGGATCCACCATCCATGTAGGATTATCAGTCAAATCCGCTGTGAAGCCCTGCACAGAGTCACCGTTTCACATAAAATGTCTGTTATCTCAATCGAGCACTTCTGGGATAGCACTCCTTTGCGATCCAGCACAGGAAGTTACTCTCTACCTGAGCTGCGCTGTCCTCCTCCCCAATGAATTTGTGGTCTGGGAAAGCATCTCTGATGCTCGAGAAGATTATCTCCTCACACTTTTTGTCAGTCTCCGTCACAAGATCTACGATACCTGGTGCACAAATCATTCACTGTGATGCTGAGCTTGTCAAGAATGCTCTCAGGAAGATATAAGCCCACAATTACAATGCATTCGATTGCCAATGTGGTCTAATGTCACCTTACCTTTGTGTTGCACCTGCTTGTCTTTGTTAAAAGCATCTTTTATCTCGTTTCCTGTGCAGGGAATTTTGTGCCTCAATGTTGGTCTCATAAGATACCATTACTTCAGGTATAATGCATCCAAAATGGAATTACCATATCCTTGAGATGGAATGGCAGTGCAAGCATTTTGTTATTGATACCTGCTTGCTTGGCTGCCAAGAGCGCGACACGCAAATAATCCTCCATGCCGCGAGTCCCATTATCGATCGGCTTATCTCCTGGCCCTTCAGTTGCCCCCATCCGAGCTGTTTTCGCGGAAATTTTCAATCTATGTGTGGGTATGCTCGAGTACGGCCCTTTTACTTGGTTTTGTACGGTTGCTTGCGTATTCACAAGAGCTCGCCACTTAAAATTTCTCAGAGATGGAATCCAATTGCAGCGTCCAAGATTCCTGTAAGCAAGATACATTCATACTGGGCTGTGCTAACCAAAGCAATCCTTTTTCTTCCCAAGATCGGGCAGATTCCTCAAAGTAGGAAGTTCGGAACGGGTGTGTCGAGAACTCCACGTTAACGTTGGGTGAATCAACAAGGAACCCCCTCAGGTCAGTAGGTCGACACATCAAATGTTTCTCAACCGCTTCCTGCTCCTGCACACGACATATTTGATCTAGAGTGATCCAGGAACACCTGGAACTCCGAAAAGGTTTCATCTGATACAACGACAGGGCTGAAATGACCACTTTTGTTCAGGCATCAGGTCTGCACTCCTATTAATCTCTTTTCATAATGCGACATGTTCTCGACTCGGATTTCAGAAAGAGTCTGTCTGGTTGTTTGTCATTCAATGTTCCGCAACATAGTACACTGCTGTTTTGTCGAAAACAATACACATGTCAAGATCAGTCTGGTATCAGTTCACTTCTGGTGTTTGCGCGCAGGCTCGTCAACTAGATGGCAATGTCTTAGCAACGGCCCTCGTTGCACGACAGCCACACTCAGACAGCAGCAGCGGCCCTCGAGAATGCAGAGGCAGCGCATTGTAGCTGTCAGGTAACTGTTCTGCATGTCTCCTGTGAGGCATTTCTTTGAAAAAGTAGCCATCTTAAAGGATCTGTTTGCATCCCTTTTATGGATACAGTGTTGTTGATATAGCGCACAACACCAGTGGAAGTCACTTAGGAGCTTTGCTGCAGAGCGGAGAGGAATGGTAACGGTGGTGGATTCATCACTGGGTTCGTGGTGGGGGGAGCTATCTTTGGAGCATTGGGTTTCCTTTTTGCCCCTCAGATCTCAGCAGCCTTGCTCTCAGAGGACCAGCGCCTCAAGCTCCCAAAGTTCCTGGATGAGGATGAGAAGGACCCAGAAGCCACCAAGCAGGCATGCCCCTGGCTTTCCTCCTCGAGCTGAGCTCTTGCCGATGTCCTAGCAATGCAAGAAGTGAGCCGATAAGTGCCTTCATTTAATTTGTCTTCCTCCCTTGGTGGGGCTCGCACTATGTCTTGCAGCGGCCTTTGTTTTTATTTTAAGAGGTAACTTGCCCGTTGCAGGATTTGGCCGACAAGATTGCATCATTGAATGCGGCGATCGATGATGTTTCAGCGCAGCTGAAGGCACAGGACACAGTGGGCGAACCCGCAGCCTCCACAGCCACTGTCTCTTGAGAAGTCCACGTAAATGACGCGCAATTTGACGCGCAATTGTGTTCAATGGTCATGCAACGTTGCTCATGTTAACAGGCTGTATTAATGCGCAGTGCACAGGTCGTCTAGGGCAATTCCGAGCAAACATTGCAGTCCTGTGCTATCCAACGCTGTCATTGTGTGTCGACCTCAATCATATCAATATGCCATATTTGGTGTGGTGACTGATGTCATGTCTCATCGCATGTCTCAGCCTAGGAAATCCAGTTGTTCCAGTCCGACCCAGCATCTGCTCTTGTCATTATCCTTATTCTTAATTTCCTTATTTGACAATAAAGAGCCGCAGCATGCTGCAGTATAATTTATGTGCTACTACTGGTCGAGAAAGTGGGACATCAAATCAGCCCTGAGTGTGCTGGAATGATGTAATCTCTCTCTGTCTCTTCTGGGTAACCCAGCCAGCAAAACCCAAAAAATTTGACCAGCACTGAAAGTATCTTTTTACGTTTGCTTCTCTTCTTCCTCAGTGCTGTCACCCTGCCGGCCTCCTCTTTGTTTCATCCGCACCGCGGTGACAAGCCCAAACGCGAGCGGTCCCACATAGTTGCCAATGATGTTTGGAATGGCCACCAGGGCCAGGGACGAAAGATAGACATTTGGTGCATTCCGCAGAAAGTATCCCTGAATGCAGAGAAAACTAAGAACAGCGATTGTGTATATTGCTCTTGCTAGACAAAGCTGTATAGGAGGAAGTGAAGAAGCAAAGGACCAGGCAGGCGCAGAGGGGGGTGCTCACAATTGTCAGCTGGATCGGCATCGTTCCCAGTGCCCCAATGGATGCCCCAGTAGCAAATTGGGCCGCTGGAACGCCTGTGAACCCAGAAAGCAAGCAGAGGGGACCTCTGAATCCCAGGGAGAAGCGCTGTACAGCACCTGCACAAAGGACACTTGTCTGTAAAAGGAAACTAGAGCCTGATGCTAGAGAGCAAGCTTCTAGACATTTGTGTGAGGCATGCGAGGGGTAAGCTACAAGACAATGATGTGGGACATGCAAGGATGGCTCACCAATGTAGTTGCTCCACTTCGTGATCATTTGCTCCGCCTTTGTGATGCTAGCTGAGTTCTTCGGCAGGAGCTTGTCTTTCAGGGGTTTCAGGAGGCCTTGCCGCAAGGCCAAGCCTATGCAGAAGGTCAGCTGCATGCATGCATGCAAGCTTCCAAAACAAGGCCTCGAGCACACAGAACTGCAGAGGACACTGCAACATACAGTAGTATTTGAATAACAGGGAACAAGATTGGTAGTCTGACCGCACCATGTCACTGATCACGACGCCAATATAGACAATGAAGAGGACATAGGCCGCTTGCTGCCAGGCGCCATACATACCGCGCCACAGCTTTGACCCAATCCAGATGACAAAGGCATCCTCGCTGCACTATTACACACAGGCATGTTAACAAATTCTGACCAGGAGCATGCAGATTGAGAAACCTCGCCCATGTGTGCTGAAACACCCACCGGCATGCCCAGTCCAGCTGCAAACATGTAAATGAGGTAGTAGCTAGGAGGTGCATTCTCGATGAAGTTCAAAATGCTGGAAGATCCTCCCTGCATCGCAATATCAGCTCTGATCACGGTCTTGAGGTGGCGTATTGACCTGATGGAGCATTGTGTGTAAATCAAATGTTTGCACAGATGTGTACAAACTGTGCAAAATGATTACTAGTGGGTTCAGCAGACCTGTAGTTGCGAAATGGCAGTCCAAATTGTCGACGCTTCTGCTCTGACTCCAACACATCCCCGCCTGGCCCTTGGCCTCCGTTTGTATGCAGGATGATTCTTTAATTGTTGTCTAGTGTATGATACTCTAGTATGATTATTGCAATGTGCTAACAGCGGTAGTCGGCCGGAGTGTAAATCGCATCTGAGAGACATTGGACCGCAAGCTACGAAGTCATGCACATGTCGTCAAGGATGATCGGTCCTACAAACTGCACGATTGAGCACAGGCAACGTCCAATATCACAGATGTTACACTTATAAATCCTTTTAAGAGGGAAAGTATAGAAGTGGCAAATTTTGACTGTGAAGTCAGCGAGATAAACCATTGAGGGTTCAGAGCGTTGCTCCCCTGAACAGCTCAGTCCGAGGGGTCCATGATCCAAGAACAGCATTTGAATCTGGTTTTGACAATGCTAAGATCCGAACAATGTTTGTCACACATACTTCAGTTGGATATCTGGCTGTTGATCAGAAGCTGCGCCAACATCATGCCAGCATTGCCATCTTGCGGTACTTGATTCGCGTGGGGTCACCACCAGTCCTCTTGCGCAGATCAGCGTCATACTCTGAGTAGCCGCCTTCAAACCACACCTGCACACCACCATCTGACAATAAATGGCTGTACACCAGGTCGACGCAACAATGTGTCCTGAATGCACATGTTGAGCAGCTGAGACGGCCAGGATTCTGCTTCACACGCATGCTTCCGGCGCATCAGAAGTCATGCACATCAGATTGGCGGTCTAAACGAAAATATATCATGATGGATTGCAAGAAATCTGGTGGAAAAGTTAGCTGTGGTGGGAACATGCCTGGGAGCCGTCATCCTCAAAGGCGAGGATGTGTGTTGCCAAGCGGTCCAGGAACCATCTATCGTGGGAGATGATGAGGGATGTGCCTGCGGTGCGCATGCCACTCTTAAGCAATGTGGCCGCACATCAAGCAGACATCATTTCAATAATATGCAGCATATATGGCTCAGGACTGGTCTTTAAAATACCTGCAAAGGAGCCCAGTGCGTCCTCCAAGGCTCTCAGTGTCTCGACATCCAGATCATTCTCCGGTTCATCCTGCACAACCAATTAGACTTCAGGTGGCCTGTGGAGCTTTATATGACTTCAGGTGTTGCGCACAGCTGTGCTGTGATACAGCAGCTGGCAGGAACAAATTGTGGAATGGCAAGGCAGGGCCAGAAAGAAACCAAATCCCTCAAGTGGGAGATCTCACCAGTAACAAGACATTGCCGGTCTTCTTCAGGACCTGCACAGCATTACAAAAGGCTTGATTATTCAGGCTTGATTATCCTGAGGACATGATGGGGCGCACACTCCGCAGTTGCCGCACAGCAATCTGGTGTTCGCCCTTGACAAGATGTTCTAAGCTGTCCTTACCTTTGCCAGCTGCAGGCGGTTGCGCTCCCCGCCAGACAGGTTGGCCACCTTCTTCTGCTGGTCACCCCCTGCAAAATTGAACCAGGAGCAGTATGCTCGCATGTTCACCTTGCGCCCGTTCACGTCCAGCTCGTCCAGACCCTCCCCAATCTCCTCATACACCTGCATCAGGGTAACACACTCCTGTCATCCATCTGGCCATCGGTATTTCCCTGTACACCAGCACTGCCATTAGTAATTCCCTGTGATTCCCCGTTTAGCGGCATCGCTACTGGTAGTTCCCTGCGATTACAGCACCAACATGGCCATTGTGGCTCCATGTAATTCCCCTGTGCACTGACATGTTTAGAGCACCAGGCAGCTGAGCAGACAGAAATTCACCGTGCGGTCATTATCCAGGTTTTCTCTGGACTGCTCGGCGTACATGAGGGCCGCTGTCTGGCCGATGACGAGCTCCCCCTCATCTGGCTGCTCCAGTCCCATGATCATCCTGAACAGCGTGGACTTTCCAGATCCATTCCCTCCCACAATACCTGCCAACACACACAACCTCAAAGGAAGCCATTTGATATAATCCAGATGCCTTCAATGCCACAAATGTGGGTGCAGACATTGGAAATCGCAGAATGCAGCTACATGCTGAGCAATCCTGTTTGTACATAGCAAGAGGCATGCCAGTACACTGTGCTGGCGACGGCTTTGGGGCTTGCATAATAATGCGAGCCTTCCCATCATGAGAATACTACAAGCAGCTTGACAGCTGCGATTGGCCATACCTACGACACTGCCAGGAGGGACAGAGAAGCTCAGATTGTCCATGAGCACTCGATCGCCGTAGGACTTGCGCAGGTTCTTGGCTTCGATGACAATGTCACCCAGCCTGGGGCCCACTGGAATTGTGATTGACTCCATCGTGGACTGCCGCGTATACTCCGCAGCCTGTGCAAATCACAGCTTCATTTCAATGCCCACAGAAAAAGTTGCTATCTTTTCATGACCTCTGGCACCTTCAGCACAGCTATTTGTAGGCCTGACTGTTTTCAACATTAATTGCCAAAGCAACTCATGACTGGTAATAATTACATGCATGGCATGCGACAACTGTCTGAGATTGCGCACAAATCCTGGAGTTGCCTGATACATGATATAAGATCATGGAGATTTTGTAAAAATGCCATGCACCAAAGGATTCACCTTGACCTCGATTTGGGGTAATGACTGATGCTCACCTGCTGTACGAGGTCATCATAGCGGCGCATGCGGCTCTTGCCCTTCTTCTGCTGGCCCTTGGCCTGCGAGCGCACCCACTCCAGCTCTCCTTCAATCTGCTTCTGCAGCGCAGCCTGCTTCCTGGTCTCAGACCCCAGCCGCTTGGCCTTGGCCTCCAGCCACTGCGAGTAGTTGCCCTCAAAGGGGATCCCCTTGCCTCTGTCCAGCTCGAGGATCCACCCTGGCACAGCACACCCCAAGCGTGACTAAACTTGCCAAATATGCCTGCAGTCCATGCAAGCCCAGAGGCGCATGCAGCACTTGCAGCCACATCGGATTGGGGATTGCATATTGAGACGCATCACCTCTCATGACGGATCCAAATATGGCACTCAGCAGGAAGAGCAGATGCCACAGAGTATGTCCTAGAATCCACAGTGTACCCGGATGCGCTCAGTTGAATGTAGATACCTGCCTTTCTGCAAAAATGGCAGTCTGCAAATTGCTTTATACCTGCTACATTGTCCAGGAAGAAGCGGTCGTGAGTGACAGCGACCACGGTGCCCTTGAAGGCCGCCAGGGTGCGTTCCAGCCAGGCAACAGACTGCGCGTCCAGGTTGTTGGTGGGCTCATCCATGAGTAGGATGTCGGGCTGCGAGAGGAGCACTCGCGCAATTGCCACTCGCCTCTGCTCACCTCCGGACAGATTGGTCACCATGGCATCCCCTGCACAGTGAAGATTTGCCCCTTTACTTGATTAGAGCATAGATAACATTATAATCACGATTTGAAGCTTGTTGATTATCAGGCAGCAATGTCTTATAGATGTAGATTGATTAACACAAAGCGAACATTGGTGCAGCCAAGAAGGGCAGATGCAAGGATGCAGGACATGTAAATGATGCACAGCATCATGAAAAAGTATACGTCAAGCACAACTTTCTGAAAGCTAAGAAGGGCGGATGCAAATGTGCTGATTATGTAAATGATGAGGGTGAAATGTGAAACCTGGTGGACATCTGAGGGCATCAGTGGCGCGTTCCAGCTGGCGTTCCAACTCCCACCCTTCGCCAGCATCGATCTCTGACTGCAGCCTGTCCATGCGCGCCATCAGTGCATCCACTTCTGCATCTGGCTCCGCCATCTTCTGGCTCACCTGGTAACACCAGTCGTGCATGCATCAGATTAAGCTGGCTCAATACGCTCAGGGGGAGCACAGAAAGAGCGATTGTCTAATATTCTAATCAGTTCTCCCTTCTATTACACTCCCCTTGATACACTGAATGTGCTCTACTTAGCACCAATTTGGACCCACATAGAGCTTGGATAATTAGAGCTTGCGATCTTCAGCAGGTGGGGGGGAGGGCACCTCCTCAAACTCTGTGAGGAGGTTCTGCATGTGCGCCACAGCCGGGCGGACATTCTCGTCCACAGTGGGGCCATCATCCAGAGCAGGCTCCTGTTCCAGATAGCCCACCCTGATGCCATCTGCCAGCTGCAAGAAGCCATCAAACTCCTTGTCCTGACCCGCCAGGATTCGCAGCAGGGACGACTTCCCGCTGCCGTTCATGCCCAGAATGCCTGCGTAGCACCAAGTCTCTTGGACTCTCAGGACGGAGGGTTGTCTCCAGGCTGTTGATTCTGTACAACAGCTGAACCATGGGGTACTGTAGCAAGATAAGTTACCAATCTTGGCGCCCTTGTACATGCCGAGCCCGATGTCCTTCAGGATCTGCTTGCCGCTGGGGACCGTCTTGGACACACGATCCAGAGTCAGGATGGTTGTCCGTGTCTCCTCCTTGTACGCCGCTCTGCAGCAGGCGCACCGTTATCACCTAAATGCTTGCACGGTTCTTGACTTAGACGACAGGCTGAGTCAGAGTGTCATTAATGCGGAAGCTCTGAGAAACACACCCCTCCTTGACCTGCCCAGGAGATTTATATGACGGTCCCCCGCCACTCTTCCCACCAGTCTTCCCACCGGTTTGGCCGGTCTGGCCAGTCTTGGGCCCCTTGACTCTCTTCGCAGCCCTGCAAGCAGTATGGTAGACGTAGATTTCTAAATTGCAGGTGGAAGGTTTGCCAGTGGGGAACGCAACGTGCAATGTTGCGTTACATCTGTGCATTCTTGCGTGATCACACTAAAAGGCAGGTTTTATCAAATAAATTCAGTTACCTGATGCATCTATCTAAATTCCTGCTGTGAGTTCTCCCAGGGCAGAACTGTTTGCTGAGCCGACTTCCAAGGAAGCACGGTGCATTTTCGCGAGTTCCCGCAAAGACCGCAGAATTTGATAAGGCGAAAGATATCGACGTCATCAGAAAATGCTAATTTGGCGCCTGGACGTCTCGTCTATGACATCGCTTCGTGCCAGATCAGATCAATGCTTCCTTGGACAACTAGTCCACACCTTCAATTTGCCTTAAGAATATCAGCATCTCATCCTCTAAGACTTCGCAGCACGATTAAGAATACAGGGCACTTAGATTGAAACAGTCGCAACAGTTGACTTCAATCTCATCCGCCAACTCAGCAGTGACTAAGCCTACAGCTCAAACTTGAAATGCCTCCTTGGCCCTATTTTGCACTGCGATCAATGCAGAAGAAATGCGATTGTCTTCTTTGAAAATTCTTTTCTTTCGAGGCAATATCGTGCTTGTATTTCTGTAACTTTGACACCAAAAAGAAAAGCATTAACATGTCGAGCTTTGGATTGGGGTACTTTGACAAAGCCTTAGATAGCGTGATAGATGGTCTTGAAAATTCTGTCGTGGATCGCACAAGGGCCATTGCTTCAGATTTGCTTTCAGAAGAGTTTAAGGCGCCTGCCCATCAGCCAAACATCCCCGCTGATTCACTTGCAGTTTTGAGCAACCTTAAGGACGTCACAGGATATTGGCGACTCTTCAATATACAGGTGTGGTTTACATGCAAAATTGGTATATTTTCCCGTAATCCTAAGATCCAAGACTTGAAAAGCTGAACATCTGGAAGTGTATACGTTTTGCAGGAGAAAAGAGCAGAGCTGGCATGCCGACGAGCGGACTTTCAGACACCTCTTGACGGCAGAGACGCTGCCGCACTCAAAAGGTGGAGCTCAGAATTTACTACCTGAGGTTCTGTGGCCTGCGAAGTATTGCTGCACATGCCACCAACGATGCCTGTGCAATTGAGACGGGATACTGAAGGCCCAGCATGTGCAGGCGAGCAGAGGAGGCCACCAAGGCGTACTGCGAGCTGGCAGGCGTGCTGTCGCAGGCTCCAGATCCTCTGCCATTCCTGCATGCGCTGCAGCCATTGCAGAAGAGTCTGGCAGAGGTGCAGCGAGAGAACAAACGACTGCAACTGTACGGCCAGGCAGCTGAGAGCGAGGCCAGCAGCGCCAGTGAGGCGGTTCTCAAGAATCGAGAATTGGAGAGACAGGTTGCTGAGCTCCAGGCAGAGCTCAAGGAGAAGGTCTGGCATGTTTCAGCTTCAGCATAAAAAAACCATCCGTACATATGTAACGTGACTTTCACAGGGCTGAGTAGTAAATTAAGAAAAGGAGATTCATGCAGATTGTGCTGCATCAGGCCGAGAAGGACAGCCAGCTCCAACAAAATGTGAGCAAGGTGGAGGACTTGAAGCGGGAGGCAGACCAACAGCGGCAGGAATCTGAGCAGCAGATCAAAAGGCTGCGAGAGGATATGGCCTTACTCCAGGTGCTCATTGTGCATGCTACATATACACAAGGAGTGCTGCCAAAAGCTTGCATGCGCAGGCTAATGTGCCAAGGTGCACTCGTATAAATTGACCTTCAATCAAGCTGTCATGTTGTAGGCCGAGCATGAGAGGGTTCAGAGTCAGCTATTTGAGCTGAGGGAACAGAAAGAGGCGGCCAGCAATGTTGTTGCGTCAGCTGCTGAGCTGGCTGCTGAGGAGCGAGACAGTCTTGGTCTCCGTGTCAGGTCTGACTTGTCAATCCTGCCTGCTGCATGGCATCTGTGCTCTCAACAAAAGACATAGATGCACTGTATCCAGAGTATAAAGAAGGCATGCATGCTCAGGCAAGCAAATTTGTGGACAACAGGTCTTTGGAGCTTGAAAAGGACCTGTTGGAGGAACGGATAAATGGCCTGACAGCCGGTTCCCAGGATCGCGCAGGCCAATTCGCAGCTGCCGAGGACTCTGTCACACCAAGGGCCGCTGATGCCATCAGATCACTGAGGCAGGAGGTGGAGCAATTGGGCCAGCAGCTTGAGGCAAGTCTTTCCCTTGCTTGCACCAGCCAACTTCCAAGGCCCGCGACAATTGCCTCAGACTTTGCACTTGAAACAAGCACCCAGCAAGGTTTTACTGTCACACTACTTCTTGACCGAAGCTACCCGGGGGCACTGCAAGCCCAGGTTCTAGACTTGCATATATCTATCAAGCACCTCAACTGCCTGCTACTTCCAAAATTCACAAAAACCTACACAATGAAATCGATTTTCAACTGAAGATGGTGTTGAAACAACACCGGTTCGGGCTCCACAGTGGGGGTAATCCTTCCGCTTAGTAATTCGTGAAGGCATGGTCTAGTCAGCAGCTCCACCAAGGCAATTGAGCAGTGCAAGATGCATTTCCAGGAGGCGGAGTCGAGCCATGCGGAGGAGATGGGATTGGCGCAAGTGGAGCTGCAGCGGGCGGTGCAGCAGTGCGCGGCGCTGCAGGCTGATCTGGATTCGCGCGCGGCCCCCGATGAGGTGGCGGCCCTGCACGCACGCATCGAGACACTGCGCCACCTCGTGGACGTCCACGAGGAAACCGAGGGTGCGCGCCAGCCGCCGCCACATGATGACATCATTTTGCAAGACGACAGCTCTAACAGAAATTTGAACTGCCGGTCAGCAGACTTTGTCAAATGGCCTTCCTTTTGGTGGCAGCGGTCTTATGGAGGTGTACAGTGCAGAGTGAAGGGATGATGGGCCCTATAAAGCGCATCATTTGTCTTCCATGTGCAGGAGAGGAGCCGGAGACAAGTGGCCATGCAACATCATCTGCCTCCGCTGCATCCTTGCATGCCATCTTGCAGGTCAATAACCTCACCCTCTGGACAACTCCGTTCCCAACCAAGGAGGGAGCCCATATTTGTTTTCTTACACAGTCCATGTACCTTGAGCAATTGAAGGGTTGATGCTGAAATTAGGCAAAGTTTTGTGAATGGAGGGCGTTAATTTCTGGTGGTGCTTGTGCCGCAGGCGCGCAATCGACGGCTGGCGGCGGATCTGCAGTCGCTGCAGCAGCAGCTGAAGGCCAAGGACGACGCGATGGGGCAGATGCAGGATCGGCTGGCCGGCCTGCAGCAGGAAGCGCGGCACAAGGCCGCGCTCGTGCAGAGCCTGGAGAGGGACCTCCTGCAAGCCTCCCAGAATGTGGGGAGCACCGTCGATGGCAGCCGGCCCGCATCTGCAGGGCATGCCGAGAATGGCGAGGAGGCGTCAGGGCATCATGCCAGCGGAGCACCATCTTCATCCCTGCTCAGCATCATCACCAGCCAGCGGGACCGCTTCAGGGGAAGGTGCCTCCCCGAGCTTCTGAGCTCTGTCTGCATCTTGGGAGAGGCGTTCACAGTGCTTCACATTCCCTTTCAACAAGCTTGGGCACACCATCCTGCATATCACTACCGTCTCCCACCTAGCTGTCCACTTCCTGGTCTTTCCTGTTGATTTCTCCTAGGACTAATAACTGCTGTCTTTGGTTTCAATTGCGGCCTGCGCAGGGACCATGCTCTGACCACCCTTGGATCAAAAACGCTGTGCATGGCTCCCGACTGTGGTCCACACACTCATTAGAATTTTGAGCTTGGAGGTGTTGGCAACGCATGCAGGGTGGAGCAGCTGGAGGGTGAGATGGCTGGGATGAGGGGCCAGCTGGCGGCGGCGCGCTCGGACCTGGCGGGCGCTCGCGCGGACAGCGTGAAGCTGTACGAGAAGATCCGCTACCTGCAGCGCTTCTCCGCCAAGCACTCCGCCTCCGACGGGTTCCAGGTTGTCCAGGTTGACAGCGAGGGCGTGGCACACCCCAAGGTCAGCCCTGCAACAAGCCTGTACCTAACCAGGGGCAGGTACCTACACACAAACGTGTACAGAGCGTGTGCCGGCATTCCAATCGTGCAACCCTTTGCCCAAAATGCCTTCCCTTGCAGGAGATTGAGGGGTACAACTAGGTAGGGATCCACACACGACAGATGTATCACAGACTACGTGAAGTTTGTGCTGCACCGGTGGGTCTTGTCCGCCGCACATTCCGCTTTCTAGAAATAATTAAAGGCCCAAGGTCTCCAAGCTCCTGCTATGTATGAGCCAGAGCATCGTGCTGCCATGCAGGCCTCGCAGCAGCACCGCCTGCAGTGCGGCCCGGTGCACATCGACTTGGGCGGCAGTGGGTCGCCGGAGCGGGATGCGCGGCCGCAGGTGGGGCCGTCTGCATCCCCGTCACAGCTGCGCGCGCGGCCGGCCCGGCAGCGCAGCGCCTGCTTCGGCTTTGTTGAGGCCGATGACGAGGAAGCTGTGCACTCGGCCGCCGAGCAGCGCTACCTGAAGGTCGGTGTCACAGACGCCTTCCTTGCTGCAAGCATGGATACCAACAGCACCCCCTTAGAAGTGCTCAGCAGCAGGCAGCCGTGAGGCAGCCCCTTCTCCCTACATGGCACTCGCACTGCCTTGTGTCTCTTGCAATCCCGCTTGGCTTGATTTGTTTGATGCAGATTCCGAGTCTGAATTGTAAGGGATTATGGCGAGTGCAATGCTCGAGGGCAAAAGCAGGATCATGCAAGATGGCTGGTGCATGGCCTCGCAGGCGTACGAGGCGCGATTTAACCCATTTGCTGAGTTCCAGCAGAGCGAGGAGGTCAGCCGTGTGAAGTCGCTGCCGGTCCATGACAGAGCCATCCTGTCAGGAACAAGGTGAGTCACTGGTGGGGGATGTGCTGATCTGTAGATATTGGGTGCAGATCCCCAATTTTTCCGTTTGCAGACAAAGATATTGACCTCTGAAGTGGCCACGGCTGATATGATTGAGTCCGATTTTGTGCATTGGTGCAGGTTGCTGTTGCAGAATAAGGTTGGGCGCATTTTTGCGGCGGTCTACCTAACAGTGATTCATGTATTTGTTTTTGTACTGATTTACTATGCGGCTTTATCAAGTCAGCCGGTTGTAGCACCCATTGCAAGTCAAGCTGCATCTGCAGACGTATATGCTTCATGAAAGCTGCCTTTGAATACTGCCAGCATTTACCAACAGACCTGTAAGATGCAAGTTGTTTTACATGTTGTTTGTCACATTGTTCAGGGTTGCCTACACATCTAATAATATTTATTAGAGGGCTCATTGCAGTTGCTGGCAAGCCTTATGTCTTCTGTACAGCGTGAAGAGGTCAAGCTTCTGCATGTACATGTGGCAGAGCTAGATGCGTTATTGTTGTATATGGTACAGGCGGGCTCACAATTGTAATCCTGAAGTATCCAAATGCTGGAGCTTCAGAAAAGTCATGTCGGGCACGCCACTGCAATGGCATGCAAATAATTGCAAGAATCATGGTCGCATGTGTTTCGGCACTGTTGGCACTGTTGTGTCAAGACTGCGCAGCTGCTGTCACAATGGCAGCCGCGTAGCTGACGCTCGAGTCCCGGAAAGTGGCAACTCTGGCAGATTGGTCATAATTCTCAAAGTTGATCTCAAATTTTGTTCTGCAAGAGCGGACCATCTGCACAGCAGAATGCAAGCCTCAAGACATTGACCCGGAGCAGCGCTTCATTTTGCAAGTCATGCTGATGTCATCACAAAGGGGACAACACAGGAAGCAATTACTCACATTCAGGAAGACACTTATGGGATGTCGGCCACATATTGTGTTCCCATATCGCCTCAAATACTCTGTGAAGGCCTTGGGATCCCCCTGCAAGCCGGCATTCACAGCTCATACTGACATTATCAATGCCAGTGACAGGGTGAGGCCTTCAACTCAGCGCTGGTAAGAGTTCATCCACACCTCATACCTGCTCAATGATGTCCATGCCCTGTGTGTCAAGCCATTCTATGGCCTTGTAAATGGGCCCCTGCACATTGTTGCAAGACTGCTCGTTAGCAAGAGACATGACGGTATTATCTGTGGCTAAAGCTCATGTTACACAAAGTCCATCACGCAACAAAGCAGTTGCAACATCCCACCTTTGATGAGTCATTGAAGGTGTAGCTGAAGCGCGATCCCCAATGACAGAAGTCCGAGGAGATAATGAAGACATTGGATGGGTCATCCAGGTAACCTGCCAGCAACCTCCCATAGGCTGCCTCTCTGCAAAACATACCCAGATTCAGATGCTTCAGTGTGCACTGCAAATCTGTCAAGCATTGCCCAGCTCCCTGTTGCAAGCCAATGTCTTTCACTATTGGGGAAAAATCCTGAATAACACACCTCTCGGGAGTCAGAGATCCAACCATTATGGGGACAAGCTGAAACTGTCTCCCCCTGCAGCAGAACCAAAGTTCACAAGAATCTGCAACCACCATCCAGCCATGTAGGATTCAGTTTCCTCTTCAGTTTGCACACCTCATGATGTGCGCAAGATAGCCCATCTGCAGCTCTAGACTGTGCTCTGCCTGTCATTAACACACCAAGGCCTTAGACTGCGCAAGGCGCTCTTTGCAAGACTCTTGTGAGTGCACCACATAGCTGCCTCTCCAGCACACAGGCTCACCTCGTCCACATCAATGTCAATCACATCAAATTGTCCAGTGGCTTGGAGCTCCTGGTAAATGTCCAACGCTATGCTGACTGAACCTGCACACCAGCAGTATTGGGAATCCCAACCCTTGGGATGCATGCATGCATCAGAGTGACCTTTGGCATCGCTTGTGTACGCCAAGCTTGCAAAATTTACCGAGAGGGGTGTCATAGCTGCTCGCCGGAGACAGGCAGCACCTCCTTGTGTAATAATGATGTGATGGGCCCAGAATGAACACCCGGGACCTGTGCCACAGCAGGGCACTGGGGCTTTCACAAGAAGCACACAGAAAAATTACTCAATACACACTGCCTGCAGGAAATTTGTCACAACTTAGTATTATGGAGCGACGTACACTCTTTCTGGATTGATCTGCTTGTACGCATGAGCCATGACATGGCCGCAGTAGCTGTAGCCAGCATGTCTGTTGTGCACACACAAGGACGTCAGCCATGCGCATCCTTGGTAAAGAAGGGATACAGACACCAGAAGGGAGGCTTGAAGTGCTCACGGGCTTATGATGGCACGGGCATGAGCACCCCTTGGTGTTGGTACAGCACCAATCCAATTCTCGATCTGAGAAGCCAATCGAGTCCCTGAAGAGAACAGCCATAACATCGTTTCAAAAAGCTTTCTAAAGCTAAGTTGTCAGTATCGTGTTGAACAATGTTATGATGTGGATGCAGTATACGAGCATATTTCCAGGTTCCATGGATTTGCCAGAAATTTAAAAAGGAGGCATCGGTCCTCTCCAGCAATGAACACGCTCACATTATTGTTACTGCAAGCATTAGCCATACCGTCATCTTCATACCAAGATCCTGCGTGAGCTGGCCTCCGGTGGGGTCGGGGCATCTCAGTGTGATCTAGCTTTCTAGTACAAGGTCAACGCTCAAATATGCACACAGTAACTTCGTGACGATGTTGCTTGCTGACATGACCACTTGAAAGCACATTAGCTCATCCCTTTGCCTTGAATTTCCAGCTGAAGGCCTGAGAAGTCGAAGTAGGGTTGAGCGTAAAGCCCTTAAGCCCCCAAGCTTGGCAGGGATATTCCAGATTCTACCACCTTCCCCGTGAGAAAATGTTGAGGTTGGATTTTAGAAATGAGCCCAAATTGTGCAATTAGCCATAATATACAAAGCTAGCTTAGGGCTTGATCTAAGAGCCAATCCCCTGCATGCAACCATATATGGTGATATATATAGCTATATAGCAGCCGCTGCAGCACCCCTTTGGGAGCAGGGGGGATAAGCTCAGCTTGTGCTTTTGTTCCCCCTGGAGACAGGGGTCTTGCAGCCCTCGATGACAATTTAGCACAGCACCCACCAGCTCCCCTCATGTGGTTGACCTTAAAAAGTGATGGTAGACTCCGGGATTACGTAAAGGTTTGACTGCATGTATCACATGATTACACGGTGTAATCTACACATCGATAGCTTGATCTTGATCGAAGCTTCGATGCAAGATCTTGAGATCTTGCAAGCGTACTACGGTAGTCGCATGCGATTGCACTTGTCAATTAACCAATTGGGCCAAATCTGCCAGATGGATGCATTTCCACCTGTCACATTGCGTCAGTCCCTAGTCGTGTTCATTCAATTCTTGCTGACCGGTCTCACACTCTCCACTCTGTATAACACCACATGTACATCATGAGCAGGGCATGAGCAGCTCCTTATTCCTGCCAGCACCGTGCACCTTGTAACCTTTCTTCCAGAAGGCCTGATCTACGTCAATGAATTCAACAGGTCAAGAGGGTCAACAAGAGGCCACGTCATCCTGATACTCAAAGCAATGGCTGCAGGCGTACGGCTCAAGCAACTTTGCTCAGGAGTGGCGGGTCAGGCTGCAGCAGGCCCATGCCTAGGGGAGGCCGGCTGGGCGACAGGTAGTGCACCATCTCTCCGGCATTCCTAGCGCCGTTGGTCCAGCTGGCAAATCTGTGGCACACAGCCTTCTGCAGCTTCGGGTTGGTCAGCAGCGCCGTCGGCCCAAACATTTGCTGCAACCCCTCGGACATGATCGAGATGATCTGCTCGCACATCTCCTCCACGCGCGGCCGGCCGACAAAGAACTCCTCATCAAACCGGTGGGACAGCCACACCCACAGCGAGATCACCTGCGATGCATATCCCTACCCACTCACTACCCGGAACAGGCATGCGCCAAGCAAGGGTCCCCCAACATGCACACAGGCGGGAACGGGCCAGAGCCACCGCCTTCAATTCAAGGAGAGTGGAATGAGAAGCAAAAGTTTACAGGGACGAAGGAGTCATGGACCAGCCCTGACGCCTTCACTACAGCGACAGTGGTACGAGAAGCAGCAAAAATTGCTGCAAGAAAAGAGAGCACACCTGGTGAGCTGCTTCCAGGTCGCACAGCTCTTGGGAGGTCTGGGGGACGCGGTCCTTCCAGGGCACGTCGACAGGCACTTGCTGCTTGGCTGCATACTTCTGCGCAAAGCGCAGCAGGGCGGCCGCGGCCACCGGGTTGCGCAGGTTGGCGGGGGCCATGCAGAACCAAAAACGCTCCTGCACCCCAACCAGCACTGCTCAATATGACTACTATTACAACACGCCGCTCCTGCCAGAGGCAACGTGCGTCGGCAGACAAGCTGCAAGTAAGCTGCCACAAATCCTGCCCCTCAATGGACTTGATATAGTGCTTGTCAGAAGAGCTGAGGGCAAGATAACGACAATGTTTTGGTGCTGTATTGCAAGCTAACCAACATTGCTTTGGGCATTTGTCCCGCACCTGCAAGGACAGCCCTTCCACTTTGGACAGCAGGCGGGCGGCCTGGATGACCGACTCCTGCTTGCAGAACATGTATGTGCCATCTACTCGCGCCTCCGCTGCAAACCTGTTGAAACAATAGACATATATTACTCACCCTCCCGCAATCAGCGATCCCCTCCCACAATAAAAAAGTCATCTGCTGGATCATAACTGACAGAGACATTGGCAGCTCTCTGGCCAGCAAGCAATCAACAGGGGCAGGCCCCATGGACATGTGTTCCTCTGGTAATGAATTCTTATTATTAATCTCACACGCTTTTCCTGACAGAAGGCAAGGTGCATTCTGCAGGCAAGCTGCAGGTAAAGGCTGCCACAGATTCTACCCTTGTTGGACTCGCCAGATCCCAGCGAAGACCCAAACAATCGTGAGCACGGCGCTCAGAATTTGTATCGCCCCCCGCCAGCCGGGAAATTTATAACCTCTCGGAATGGGCGGAGCTTTCAAATATTGAATGGACTGCGGGGTCATGGATAAGCCATAAGAGCTACACCAGAAAGGTTGTAAGGGGCCAGAACCAGGGGGCCCCACCTAGACACACCCTATTACAGCATTGATAGCAGGGATGTGTGTAAAGGGGCCTGCCTGGTGAGGATGTTGTGGAAGTCCTGCTCGAGCTGGTTGCCAGCAAAGGCCTCCAGCTGCTCAAACTCGGGAAAGAGGCCGGCCGTGGGCGTGGACAGGGCCTCCAGAGGGGTGGCGACGGCCTCCTGCAGCCGCGGAATGTCCGCCCTGTTCAGGCACGTCACCAGCCCCTGCCCGTACACGCTGTTGCGCCGCCCGGCACGACCTGCACACAGCATTCCCTTGGTTTGAGTTGCCATGATTTGCTGCCATCACAGAAATCGACTTGCCTTCACTTCTCGGTATGCTCAAATGAGAGCAAGGCATGTAGTACATGAGGCCAGAAAGCTGCTGCACATCCACATCCACTGATGCAATGTCCTGTTCATAACTGCACACTCTCTCAATCATCTTTTCATCATCATGGGAGCGGCAAATGAGACTTTGACGTAAGATCTCATAAGGCCTGGCCACCCATTGGCATCTGTGAGGTGCAAGCACAGCCACATTGGAAGGAGATGATGCCAAGAATGTGACAGGAAGCCATGTGAGCGCGCGCCTGCGATCTGCTTGATCTGGGAGACGGAGATGGGGACGCGCGCGAAGCTGCCGTCGGTCTTCTCCAGGGTGTGGAAGATGATGCGGCGGATGTTAAGGTTGAGGCCCATGCCCACTGCGTCGCTGGCCACCAGCACGTCGTAGCCGCTGTCTGGATCGTTGAACAGCCGGGCCTGCGTCCGCCGCATCTCTGGCGGGAGCGCACCGTACACCACACACACCCTGCACGCACGACCCGCCGCATTATGAATGACCTTCAAGGAAGCCACATTTTGCATGGAAGGACCACAAAGCACAGCTGTATGTCCAAAGCCAAGACTCCTATCACGAGCATAGCATCCCCATAAGGAAATTGTGGAAGAAAATTCCCTCACAAGGAATTGATGCCCGTGACATGGCTCTGCATGCGGGGTGGCACGAATAGAGCGCCAATCAACCTCCAATCCGCCAAAGAGCATTTCCCACTCTTCACCTATGATCATACACTCTTCAATTGCTCAAATGTCGGCAGTGCAGGACAGGTTGCTCAAGCAAGTGGCAGATGAGTCACCGCTGGCCGGTGCCGGCCTCGATGAGCTGCTTGATGTCGTATATGTCGCGGCGCGAGAATGCGACGATGCAGTCCCCAGGCTGCACATCCAGATACCCGCGCGCCAGCCCCTCAGCCTCTATCGCCAGCGGCGTGAACCGCTCGTAGCTGTGCACCTGCCGCGCTCGCACACAGACTTCTGATCATTTCCAACTCTGTAGGCTTGGATATTTTACAATCAAAGCACTAGGAGATGGTATCCACGCATCTGAGCACACACTCTAATGCCACAGGTTGAACGCCACTAAGCAACAGCTTTCTCCCCAACAATATCTGCAGCGCCAAAGGATGGTAGCCATGCAGTGGAGTGTGGGCTCTTGAACGAACTTTGAACCTCCCACAGCATTCTCAGAAAGTCGTCCCAAAAAAATTGCAGGAATGGGGTTGGGTTGCCTCCCTATAGGAGAAAAAGGGATTAAGTTGACTCCCTAAAGGAGAATAAGGAAGCAGTTGAAGGGCTGCCTCGCACCTGCAGCTCCTCGCCCATCTGGTGCGCAAGCGTTCTGACCAAAGGCAGCGCGGAGCCATCGCCGCACATGTGGATCTCGTTCGCCGCCAGGCCCTGCAGCGCCCGCGTCCATGCCCACCCCCGCGAGTCATCCCCAATTTGCTGCACGGCAGGCCACAATTGCTGAGCATAAAAGAAATTTTACTTTTTCCTCTTACTTCATGGTACAAAGTCTGTGCATGAAAGCAGTAAAGGTGATCGTTGAAAACCCACCATGAAGCACAAGGTAATCTGGAGACAGACAGCAGATGTTGCATTGGATGAGCGATTCAGTGAGGCACAGCCTTTACCTGGATCTCATCGACCACTGCTACATCCACACGCTTTGACAGGTTTGTCATCTCGATTGTGCAAGCCGTATGCTGTGCAAAGGGCACCTCCTTGCGCTCCTGGCCTGTGCATGCATGCGGAACACAGCTCTGAGCGCTAAGAAGCGGCCCCAATCAAGAGCATAAAGACAGGGTATCGCCTGGATCCCCTCACATTGCCATCCCAACTCCACCTACAAGAAATGCAACCTCATTATAATCTGGCTCTCCTGACTGCAGTGCCCCTGCTGCACTTTTAACAGTGCCCCACAGAGAGGTTCACTCCAGTGTGCAAGCCTCCATGAGTCAGCGTGTGTAATCTCACCAGTGGTGAGGTTGCAGAAGGTGCCGGAGGCGTTGAGCTCGTCATAGACCTCCATGGCGAGCAGGCGGAGCGGCCCGCAGTAGAGGCCGGTCTCGGCGGCGCACATGGCGCGGAGGGCATTGTAGGTCTTGCCCGAGTTGGTAGGGCCCATGTGGTAGACCAGCCGCCGCTGCAGCGCGCGCGCCATCGGATACCACAGGTGCGGTTTGCGCAGGTCCAGCATCTTGATCGCCTCGCTGCAATTATAAAGGCAGCCAAATATCAGATTAACCATGCACATGACAAGATTACGAGTGCTGCAGGTACCAAGAGAAGGAGAGAATACTCGGCAGAATGTTAGCATATACCAGATATTGAGAAAATATCCGGGAGAATGACAGCATGCAACAAGACAGTGAGACAACATCAGGCGAAATGGGAGCATGTGATAGGAGAATGAGACAAGATCAGGCAGAGGCCAATTCATACTAGGCAAATATCAGCTTGGCAAGTACTCCGGCAGGGGCAATAGTGGGGAGCAAGATTGTTGCAAGAAGCGCGAATACAGGGAGGATGCTGCACCTGTATTTCTTGATCTGGTCGCCGAAGGTGTTGAGGGCAAAGGGGGCAAACAGGTTGAAGAGGGCGTCCTCAGCCTCGCCGGGCTCCAGGGCCACCAGAGTGTCCTTCAGCTGCGCTGACATGCCCCGGCCAAACCACTTGGAGAACTCCGTCGATGCCGTGAAGAACAGCTGCAATGGCGCAACCCACACAGAGTTAGGCACTTGCCTTGCTAACCACACAGCCACATACAGCGAACTTGCAGGGTGCGTCCGATGATGCGCTGTGCAACTGCTTAACATGTATCAATCTTGATGCTCTCATGAAACCTTAATTGGAGCTTTGATTGATGAAGGCGGCCGCCACCGACCTGATTATTGATGTAGAGGGCGCGAGCGGAGTCGCGCATTTTGGCGCTCTTGGAGAAGGCAGTCAGGTGGGCAGCTATGCGAGGGCCCTCCTCCATGGTGAGGTCCATGTGCGGCAGCAGTCCTGCCCGGCGCTGCTTCCACAGGTCCTCCATTTCCTGAAAGCTGGGCAGCCGCACCCTCTCCTTGGCCTTGGCTCCCGCCTTGCTGCTGCTCTGCACCTCCGCGTCCTTCTCCAGCATGCCTGCAGCAATGGCCTCCAGCTGCCGCTGCTTCCTGCCGACCCGCTTGAATTCCTCCATCCCCCCGCCGTCTTGCCTGCCAGGGCCGGCTCCCGGACTCGAGCTTCTGCCCCGTCTTCTGAGCGCCCCAGGAGCAATTTTGGCAGCGCCGGCCTCCGCTGCGGGTGCAGACCGCCGCCTCCTCGCCCGCGCTGGAGACTGTCTGAGTGCCGCAGCAGCAGGCTGTGCTGTAGGCTGCACCACCCGCTTTGGGGACCTGCCTATCCTCTTTGGCGCAGCTGCATCCACAGCGCTCAGTGTAGGGCCCGCAGACGCTTTGCATGCGATCCGCCGGGCAGCTGCTGTTAGATGCTTCTTCCCAGAGCTGCTGGCCTCGCTGTTGGACGCCTTCCTGGCATGCTTTGCGGCTGCCCCTTCTGCAGCTCCAAGCACCTGCATAGGCGCACAGACAGCCTCGGCACTAGGAGTGGAACGGAGGCGAGCATCACCGGCGACCGTGCATTGCTCTCAAGGTGCTGTCACTTACTGGTGCCAGAATCAACAGGATGAATGCAAATCTTACCTGCCCTGATCTGCCAGCCTTATAAGCGTGCTGTGAGGTGTGCAGGAAGCTGCGCAGGCTGAGGAGCTGGTCCTGAACGCCCAGGCTGGACAGCAGAGTGTTCACAGGCCTGCCGTCCACTTTCGAGAAGGCCTCAGAATTGGAAGGCAATTGACTGCTGCAAATGATTCTGCGCAGCAAAGCGGTCCCATTTCGCAGTGCCATGTTACTATGATGGGAATCAAACGCGCCCCAGGCTCGAGGATCTCAGCAACACCAATTGAAAAATGCTCGCAACAGAGAATGTGAAAGGGACGTTGGGACACCGATCAACTAGAGCCAATGGCCTTGTGCACTTTCGTTCATCTGTTCTCGGCTACTCTCTACTATTCTACTATTCTACTATAGTGCACTTAGATAACGACAAGGCTATATTATGTGTCCAAATACCACATTGCTTGATGCAAAAGTAATTTAAGCACGTTTGGTAGGAGGCAGCAGCATTGAGGGGCCACCTAGCTAGGGTATTGAAAGGACCCCATTCTATATCCCTCGTCACCTTATAGCCCTACATTATCCTCGGCCTCTCACCCAGCAGCCCTTCTCAGGTGTCCCTTGTGGTACATTGTGAAGTGTGATCGCCCAGAATGGCGAACACATTGGCAGCACAGATGTCTCATCTGCATGTCTCACACAGCACCAGCACGGTGAGGCCCCCCAGCTGCCGGTTGCATCCTGGGCACAAGAATGAAGTCTGTATCCTAAAGGCAGTGCTTTGGGCTGCTACAGCTTGATAAATTTGATCATTTATCAAGATCAGACACGGTGATTGACTTTCTGCTGCTTGACTTGCAGTCTCTGAGGAGCTTTGAGGGATTCAAGGCCAGCCACGTTTGCAGACCTGCTCAGGTTTTGGCTGTGAGAAGTCGTCAGGTGCGACGCATCTCTGAAGCTGCCTAATTTTACAAATTTGTTCTAGCAGCAGGAATCAGCCAGTGAGAAAATAAATGAAAGTGTAACTAACCCTGGTAGGCAAGTTCTCAGCTAGAGACACAAATTGTTTCGTTGAAGCCTTCTATTGCACCCATCAGGTGGCAGGACACAGGTTGCCACTCAGGATACAGGCAGCTCGTGTTGGTGGCGTGGAGATCCCAAACCAAAAGCGCATCGAGTACTCCCTGCAGTATGTCTTCGGAATAGGCCACACAACAGCAAAGGCCATTCTATCAGAGACGGTACGTTTCTTAACAGCACTGCCAGCATCAAATCTTAGTTTAGCTGCAGTCAGCCTGCTTGTTAGCCCTTTCACTGCTGAAGCCATTCCTAGTCAGCTGCAGCCAGGGTGCTTATCAGTACTTTTGACCTCTGCAGGGAATAGAGAACAAGCGGACAAGGGAGCTCTCAGAGGATGAGCTCACCAGGCTGCGTGACGAGGTGGACAAGTACTCGATTGAGGGAGACTTGAGGCGTTTCAATGCCCTCAACATCAAGCGCTTGAAAGAGATCCAGTGCTACCGGGGTCGCCGTCACATTGCGGTTGGAGCACTTTCCTCCTGTGCTTCATGTTCTGTGAATCTGAATGCAGGCGTAAAGTCAAAGCATGCGCTTCCTACATCTATGAATGTTTTGGTGTCATGCTGGGCGCTGACATTGGAAATTACAGGCAGGCATCCAATCGGCCTTGAGTTGCTTGGAATTTCAGATGATGTGACTCTTGAATGACATTTTCACTTGTTATATCGTCTCAGACGCTTGATAAATGTTGTGTTTCTGCAGCAACTCCCTGTGCGTGGACAGCAGACAAAGAACAATGCGCGCACACGCAAGGGCAAGGCAAAGCCCATCGCTGGAAAGAAGAAGTAGGAGTTCCGCTGGCGTTTCTTGCTCTATATTGTTGTTTTGTCCCTTTGGATCTGCGTCGATAGATTGAACATTATCTGGCAATGGTTACAGTACATTAGAACTGGAAATCATTGATTAACGCTCCAACTTGAACATGCCGTTGCAGCCATATGAAACGCTTGTAAATTATTTGGTCTCAAGAACACTAGTACGAATACAGACGTATGCCACGATTGGGGCCCCATTTATCATCGTATTCACAACAGCTGTACATGTCTGGTCAGGCTCAAATGTCTATTCTACATGCAAGCTGCACCAGGACATGCGCACTCTTGCTTCCCTGTGCCGTCATGGTGCTATGGTTGCTATAGCATGCTTGCTATGTCATACACTGCACAGAGTCATCGCGCATCCCAGCCCAGGCATTTCCGCCCCTGTTTCCTGTGATCACCAATGGGCATGCGCTCCCTGACAGAGGCCATGTACTGGAAGTCTATGTCAGCAACAGCAATGCCTGTTGCAAGGGAATTGTCCAGCCTGGCAATGATGTTTCCCCAGGGATCAACAATTATGGAGTGCCCATAACTCTCGCGCTTCTCGTTGTGCTTCCCTGCCTGTGCTGCTGCGATGACATAGCACTGCGTTTCCACGGCCCGAGCTCGCAGCAATAGCTCCCAATGTGCTTCACCTGAAATGAGCAGCATGCCAATCGTAACATGTATTTCCCTCACATTGCAGGAAGATATGATGACCATCTTGGCAACGTTAGCGCAGAAGGGCATGTCCCTTCTGAAACATCCGCCAGAGTGCAGGAGGTGCTAAAAGTAACCCTCTGCATCGACTGACATGGGACCCATGATGACAGACTGACCTGTCAATTTTGTGAATGCCGAGGGGACCAGCAAGACCTGAGCCCCATGGTCAAAGGCCAGGCGCTGGTAGACCTCTGGGAAGCGCAGGTCATAGCACACTGTCAGGCCCAGCCTGCCAGCTGGACTGTCGCACACTGCGAGCTGCACAGCCCAGCAAGATAAGATGCACACCAAATGTCTGATTCGGGCAGATAGCAGGTTGAGATGTCAGTATTCTGCACAAGATCAGCAAGGTGCTGATGCTTCTCACTTGATTGCCTGGGGCTGTGCTGCGGCTCTCCATAAGCACAGGGCCGTTGTGGACCTCAACATCAAAAAGATGCACCTGATCCAGGAAGCCCATATTTTATTAAACAAATAAATAGTACATCCTCCTTGCCACCCGTGCGACACTGGCCACATGGCATATCGATTCGATGCGCATTACCTTTCTGTATGATGCCACCAGCGTGCCATCAGAGCTGAGGACAACATGGGTGTTGTAAATGTGCTCCTTGTCTGGGCCGACCTCCTGGAAACCTCCCAGCGAAAGCCAGATGCCGACTTCACCAGCCAATTGTCTGAATCTTGACATGATCGGGCCATCAAGCTTCTCAGCAACAACCACCGTCTGCAAACAGGACACTGTGAACATCTGGAGCATGTCAGGCGATCAACGTGCGCTTTAGACTAGTCAGAGGTTGCAGCAAAATGTACAAGATATCAATGAGGCTTGCCTCGTTCTGGTTGACACCAATGAAGGAGAAGCACTCCGGCAAGAATAGCATTTTGCAGCCTTTGCGAGCTGCTTCGCGCGCTAGCTGACTGCAGACACTGAAGTTTGCATCCTGATTTCCAACTGATGTCATCTGCCCGACCGCCACCCTGACAGCAGGTTCTATATGACTTTGGCCATCACAACCAGCCGTGTCGCCTGAGTAACTCATGGCCAGGGGGCCTCTTGGAGTCGCGAGCTGAGCTCTTGTGGCAACTCTTCGGAGCTTCTGTAGCAGTGGATTAGGATGTCGATGGTAGCTTGCAGTTGTCAATGCCCATGGCTTACCAACGAATGACCTTTGGATACTCGTGAAGGCTTGATAGACGCGGGTTCGAAGACATATTGGGAGTATCATGTGTCTGTTCACAAAATGAGTCCTTGATGTGAAGTGTACACCACTCAAGGCTCGATATATAGGTTTTCATGGTGGCATCGTCCGAACACAGTTGAGCAAGGATGACCGCCAAACTTAATTCTCTGCCCAGATCTCAAGCTTTAAAGCGCGAATTGAAGATTTCTTTTGGACAGGAATGCTCTTGATGACCTCTGTGGGTCAAATAATTCTGAGATCCGACAGGATGCCATCACGTGCCCAGCACACCCGAGACTCCTTGGTTTCTTGTGCGCAAATTGCATCGCTATCTTGGAAATCAAACATTTGGTGTACATCAGAGCTTAGCCGCGCAGGATCAACGAACACAAGGCATATCACAGCTTTGAAGATAGCTAGTATTTCGTGTTGATGGTCATTGCCTGAGAGACTTCAGCGCCTCAAATTCGCTGTTCTTGTACTTAGCATTGTATCCATTTACTTGCCAAAACATACTCGTTTGAGTTTTAGGGGGACTTTTTCTCATGTAGCCCTCATGGCTTGCACAATAGTGTGCCTTAGTACTGTAGGAGGGTGCAAAGGCTGGTGTAATAATAAACGGTACTGTGGGTGCACCAGACTGTTCAGACCAAGGCCAAAGGCTGCCAAGAAACAGCTTGAGAGACAGCACGCAGGTGTCACTTATGCGCTCACCTGGAATGACTTCCCACGCATTGTCCAGGACCTCCCATACAGGAGGTACGAGCTCTGTGTGCATGGATTGTTTGGAGGCAGTCTATCCATCCTTTCCAAACAGGCTGATCAACCATGTCTGCCCACAGGTCCTTCGCTCCTCCCCTCTCAAATGGCCTGGACATGAATGGCACAGAAATTTTCAATTTCCTCTTTCCCGATGGCAGCATTTTCACAGCTCATTGGAGCTCGTATGCACTTCTTGCGCTGGTCCTAGCTGTAGCTGTGGAGCTGTGCACACGTGTATTGATGCTACTGTCTCAGGTGCGGTGCTGTCTCATTTCACTAGGTGATCAGGTTGTACATGTGAGCGGGAGGATATCATGACTCCTGAACAGTTCATGAATTGTTGATCTTGTCACTCAGGAGCCACCAAGCGAAGAGGAGCTGAGCAGACTGGAAGCCAAAGCCATGAAAGCTGAAGCCAGGGAAGCAGCCATAGAGAAGAGGGAAGAAGAACAGATAGAGCGAGAGAGGCGCCTGCGCATGGTGCAGCGAATCGCACAGGTCAAGTGGAAGAGGCTGGAGGATGCGAGAGCGGCCCGAAGACAACCACCAGCCACTCGGTAAGGAGTCCTCTATTGTCAATGCAGGAATTCATGTTTGAATGTTGGCAGTGCAGGGCTCAAAATTATCCTTTCAACAATATCGCATGCAATTTTAGAATGTACCAGATCATTGCTATCTCTCGCAGGGCTGGCAGTATCAGTGGCGAGGAGACAGTGCCTTCACAAGAGGATCTCCAAGTGGAGAAATATATCTTCCGTGATTACATTGTTGATGAGAGATACCGTGGTCTGAAGTGGCTGTCTATCATCACCCTGATGGCCATCTGGGTCACGGGCGTGCTCAACAAAGACAGTCCCCTCGCACCATGACATGTTCCTGTGGACTTTTTGTGAAGTGCTGATGTCTGCAAGATGTGCACATGTGCAGCATGCACAAAAGGTGCTGCAACTGGCAAGACAAAGCTGGATCGCCAAGCTGATGAGGCTGTGACCATTCAATCATATATTCCTTCTAAACAGAAGAGCATATCCTTGTAAAAGAGAACCTGTACTATGCTATGTATGCTAATCACAACAAAGGCCTTATAGTATGCAGGCAGCACCGAGATGTCATGCGGACTGATGCATGACAGTGATTTGTATCCTTTCCTAAGACTAACTGAGCTGCAGTGATATGGAGAAACAATATCAACAGTGCAAGCTACTTTGCGCTTTATTACATTATCCAGCATAGGCATGTCAGCTGGCCGTGCGCAGCAGGTCATCTTTGAGAGTGGGGTCACACTGCGGCGCAGGGCTCAGCCTCATGAAGTTGAGCAGGGCTGAGGGCAGGAGCTGGGCTTTGCGCATGCTGCCCATCGACGCAGCAATGGGCTTGCGGTCCGGGCCAATCAGGTCATAAGTGGCCCCAGGATCGCGCAGGCTGTCTGTCAGCCATTCAAAAATTGCCGCCACTGGCTCCCCTGACACAGAGAGAACTCCTTCAAACAAACATTCAGAAAACACTTTACAAGGGAGAGAATGTCTGTTGCATCACTATAAAGCAAGCACAGCCTTGGACTCCTACCTGCGTTGAATTCTCCCTGGAGGATGAGGCCTTCAGGCAGGCGTATGCGGATGACTGCAAAGCTGACTTTGGCCTGCTCCTTGTGCCCACTAGCCAGCTTCTCTCGATACGCCCTTGTCATCAGGGTCTGCGATAGGAACAAGCACCCACATGCATCATGCAGAGAACTTCACGCCAACATCAACCAATAGTCACAGAAACCACAAAGAGCAATGCAAAAAGAAATGTAGCTAAATCAACCTGGTCAAGATCCCGCTTTTTCTGCTTGGCCACAAAGGCCGCCTTCAGCTCTGCAGGGGACCGCGCAAAGAACCAGCTTGGCAGGGGCTGGTCATCCACTCCAGTGGGCAGGATGACCTGCAGCGGCACCTTCACATCACCTCCCCATGCATGCATGCTGCAGGGACACAATTTACGGCGTAACCACGACCATACGGGGTGAACGCTGACCTGTGTGTTGCGCGGCCGTGGGCCGGCAGCTGCACTGGGACCCGCAGGCGCAGCACTCTGCGAGGAAGAGGTGGAGGCTGCTCCTGAAGAAGACCTGCCGACGCCTGCACGAGCCGCCAACACTTACATCTTTACTTTCCTGCGAGCCATTAGTATTTACTGAAACATCAGGGACGTCATCCTGGCCAAGAAACACCAGCCAGATTGTTCCGCAGATTGTCTTAATCGAGGAAAATATGCTTGGCATACCTGGCTGCTGCGGCCTGGGTGACGGTGACGGTGAAGGTTCTGCCTGGCCCAGGAGCTGCAGGGCAGCCTGCAGCAGAGCAAGCTCGCAGTCATCTGAGAGAACAGCGAATGCCTCCTCCTGGCCGCCCTCGGCTGCCTCCTCAAAGATCAGCTCAAAGCCGCATGCCTGCACCGCACCATCGAGCAAGCGTTATGTTGCGCCATGCACAGCTTCTCCAAGATACTGGAGACTACACCATGCGAAAAGGGAACCATGCAAGGGTTTGTATTGCACAAGTTGTTTGCATTTGCAAAAGTGCACCGTGCAAGCTTCATGTCGCGCCACGCAAAGCTTCTCATAGACAGAGGAGATCATAGAACAATCGGATGGGAAAAGAGGACAATGCAGGGATTTGTACCTGTAGGAGTGCAACCCCGCCACTGACATCCACTATGGTCTCCTGGATGCGCTTGTTGCCCAGCCGCAGCCGCCTGTACTTGGCTTCTGACGGGTCCGCCAGTATGTTCCTCAGAACCTTCCCAAGCACCTCAGAAGCAGCGCCAGCCTGTGCAACACACCATCATCTGCCTCGGGCTTGCAGATTCGGGGTCTCACATTGTCGTTGCGGTAAGCATCCGAATGTCCCTTGCATCATCATCTGATGGCGTGTTGCGGCAGGTTTACGATAGAGACTGCACCTTATCAGAGGAGAGCAGGAGGGCAGCAGCAATTTGCACTTCGTCAATGCCCTCCACATCAGGCAGGCTTTGGCTTCTGCCTGCAGCGCTGTGGTTGAGTGTTCCAGAATTGGAAGGCTCTGGCTTTGGCGTGCTGGTGCTGAAGCCACGATCTGGAGCTCCAAAGTCACCTGCTGAAGTTCCCCAGAATCAGCAAGATAAGCAATTTAAGGGCCCTTTTATCAACCAGAGAACAAAACACGGTGTCAAGTTGCATCACACCTGCTTCCCTATTTCGTTGGGGTGCTAGTTCTGCCGTTCCCAGGCGTCTTCCAGGAGGTATGGGCTGTTTGGGAGCATCTGTACTCTTCGAGGGGACTCGTGACCCAGGAGCTGCTGACATTGGTTTTCTAGCTGGTGGTGGTGCCTGCAATTGGATGTCATTGGATTTCAGTGTATCGTTCACGAGGTGCGTATGCAGCAAGGTGAGGCAGGAATTCAGGTCAGTACTGTAAGCAGGCAGGCAGTTGGTAACGCACCTGATCTGCACGTCCGAGTACATTGCCCTTACCCTTGAAAGTCTTGGGCTTCGACTTGAAGAGCTTCTTGAGTTTTGAGCTCAAGTCATCCATCAGAGATGGTCCAATGTCTTCAGACTTCGGAAGCTTGAAGACTAAAAGATTCCGCAGTGTTGCAATACACTGGTATTAATCTTCCCGATACAATCGCAAAAGCAATTGCTGCAGGACAGATCTGCAAGCAATAGTCAACACGGCACGTGCGCATGTGCTCCCTCCATTTGCAGGGCAAGCAAGTTCGCCCAAAAGATCCTCGATTTTGTGTTTTCAGACATTGAAATGGCCTATATTGTGCTTGCAAGCAAACTTTCGTTCCTTTGATCGTACTCCTATAGCCACGTTCGCTTTGCAATCATTGCGAAATAGCACTAACTGGCCTTGAGCTGGGACAGAAGGATCAGTCATCCAATCTTCAATACATACCCTCAATACATTTGTGAAGACTGGAACTTCGTCAGACAGCAGGATGTCTGTGAACAAGATCTGGCGTTGTCAGATCCATCTGACATGCCGTGAGCATTGGGGGCAGCTACACCACAGACCGCAGAGGCTGTCATCTCTCTGTCAATCACGAAAACCTTACCTGCCAATAAGGACCACTATATGCGCTTCTCAGGTCAGGGCCGTAGCTCTCATGAAATCAGCAGATATTCCAGTTGTATCCAAGCTCACAATGCGTGAGTCAAGCGCTCTGTGTTTGCATGCAGGCTACATCACAACAAGAAATTCGGGACCTGAAATCTCTTGTGGTGGTGGGATCCATCAATGCTGATCTGGTCCTAGAAGTGGAGAGGCTCCCCAAGGATGGTGAGACACTCGGGGCTAGCAGCCTGAACACATTCCCAGGTGGAAAGGTATGGTAATAAGGGCGCAACTCAACGCAACTCAACTCAACTAGTCCGGTTCAGAGCACATCTACCTTCTCCAGATATGTCAGTGCGTTATTCACTGCTGCAGGGAGCAAATCAGGCTGCTGCTGCAGCACGTTTGCAGCACCCTACCTACATCATCGGTCAGGTACATGCTCACACAACCCCTGTGGAAGCTAGAAGCATTACCTGCCCTTTGGGCTCACAAGCCTGGAAAAATCAACTCTGCAGTTTTCAGGTGGGCAAGGACGCCAATGCCTCGCTTTTGAGGGATGCGCTGTCCGACTCGGGAGTGCGCTTGGATCACTTGAAAGAAGTGGATGGGCCCAGCGGCACAGCAGTCATCCTCCTGCAGCCATCCGGTACCACCTTAACACCTCTCAGGTTGCAAGTTGTCTCGAGCACTGGTGCAGAAGCAGTGGTGTGTTTAATACATTGTGATCCTCTTACAGGTGAGAACAGCATTTTGATAGTGGGGGGCGCCAACACAGCTGCATGGGATTTTGATGATGCTGCGCTTCAGGTGATGAGCTTCCTGGCATTCCAAAACTGTTCAGGCGACTGATGAGCTTTAAATCCCTTACGCCCTGTTGGATCTGGTGTTCAAATTGTTGAATTTGATTGGCTTGCAGCTTCTGCGCAGCGCCGGGGCTGTGCTGCTCCAGAGGGAGATCCCAGAGGAGGTCAATGTGCATGTGGCCAGCATTGCTGCAGCAGCTGGGGTGCCAGTGCTGCTGGACTGTGGTGGAGTTGAGGGGCCGATCTCGCCAGATCTGCTTAAGAACATCAGCATCCTGTCCCCGAATGAGACTGAGCTCGCCCGGCTGACTGGTGCGCACTTCACTGCAGAAAGTTTTTGCATGCATTGAACTTGCTTTGCACAAGGTCCTGTGCGTGCTTGCTGCAGAAGTCCTTGAGGTTAGCTTTCTGAGGAGGCGAGGTGACTTGCAGGTAGGAAGACTGAGTCAGAAGAGGAAGCAGAAGCTGCAGCACAGGTGATGCTAGAGCAGGGCGCAGACACTGTCCTGGTCAAGCGAGGAACCAGCGGCTCATTGCAAGTCAGCACTGACGGACGGATAAAACAACCTATTTTCTTGGTGGACACGGTAATTTCATCCTCACAGACATGTAGACGACATCTGTCTTGTATGCATAATCTGCCGCAGCCTGTAGTTTGGGCGTTGGATGTCCTGATCCAGCCTGTGTGATGTCGGAAGGTTGTTGACACGACTGGGGCGGGTGACTGCTTCACTGGAGCCTATGCTGTGGCAATCTTAGAAGGAAAGGGAGCAGCTGAATCGCTGAGATTTGCAGGTGCAAAAGTTGCCTTTGCCTACTATATTTTGTGCTCCCATGCTGGATAAAGGGCAATGTAATGTTGTTGTTGATGGTTGATTGTCATCATTGATCGATGATCGTCATCATTGATCATGATTGGAATCATGCAATCTTGCTGATGTGGACTGCTTGTTTGTGTGCAGCTGCAGCCAGCGCCCTGTGCGTGCAAAAGGCAGGAGCCATGCCAAGCCTTCCATATCGTGAAGAGGTACTAAGATTGCTGGAGGAAGCATGACACAATGGTGTGGAAAATGCAAGATTACAGAATGTGTAAAGCAAGCTTCAATTCACATCTCCAATCAAGATGCATATTGGGAATCAAACATGCCACCGCCTCTTTCGTGGTTCAAACGGATGAAAGTCCTGCCTAAATTCCAGCAACTTCAAAATAAGCTGTCAGGGTGGCCAGAGTCTGCAAAAGCATTCAGCTACTATAGTAGCTACTCATGCCTTGGCATCCTGACCACTGCTTTGGCGCCCTCCTATGCACCTTGCCATCCGCCAGAACTCCTTATTGCGCTTTCAGGCATGAATACAGGGCATGATGCATGTAGAAGTTACCAAGTGCAGCTCCAGCTCACCTTACCTGGACTGCGGCCATCCCTCAGGAGACAGGCAGAATCACTTCTTTGTGGGCGGCGGCCCGGGGAGGGCGGCTGCGTCCTTCTTGGCCTTCTCTGCCACCTGATCATCTGTGAGGGGCACCCAGTACAGCCAGGGCCGTGTGGTCGTCTTGCGGAACAGGTCCTCGAGTGACTTTGGCTCGTCCTCATCCTGTCACGCAGCACCCCTAGTCAGCAGCAGCCCTCCTTCCATACATGAAATGCAAGGTCAGTAACACAGAAGTGATGTAGCCAACAAAGGCAGCACAACCGCACAGTAAGTGAGAAACGCCGCCTTGCAATATGAATGCAATGTGTACAACACATAAGACACCTCCAACCGCCTGTATATCAGCAGACCGACAAAATCCAAACCAAGGCTCGTGACACACAGCAATGGTGAACAACGGCGGCGACATAACGCATATGAAGATGTCTGTGGAGGATGACAAGGTTGAGGAAGTCACCATGGGCTCTGGATCAGCCGCGTCAGCAGCAACTTCTGGTGCTCGCTCGCTCTTTCCCCCGCGCGCTCTTCTCCGCTCCTCCAGGATTGCACGCGCGTCAAGAGACTGCACCCACACCGCAACCATCAGCCTCTGCAACAGACACAGCTGCAACATCCCTTAAATCCCAATAAAGGTGTCCAATAAGGTGCCCTGAGCAGCCATAATGTCATGGAGATACATTATCACACTTGGCGCACTGGCAGGCAGACCTTAGTTTTGGTGATGCTATCGGCAGGCTTGGCAGCGGCCGCCCGGTTGTTGGGCTCGGCCGCCGCGGCTGCGGCAGCGGCCACCTGAGCCGACGCGCCAGAAGGCTTCCCGGCTGCCGCCGCCGCCGCTGGCCGGCGCGTCTCCTGAGGCACCCCTGTCTTTATGCTCTCCTCTGCATCCTCCACAGGCACGAACCTGCCCAATGCACGCCAAAACATGTCAGAAGCTGCAACAAGTTGTAACGAGCTCAGCATACCATCCAACAATGCTCCGTAAAGATTCAAGATGGCGCGGCCAATCTCAAGGGACAAGCGCTGATAAACAGAACATTGTTTTCAGGTCTAACATGAGCAGGAAGGTGGCTCACTTTGGACGGAGAGAGTTGCCATTTCCAAGAGGCCACTCGATGCCTGTGACGGCTTGCCGTGTGGCTTCTGCCTGTTCCTCAGTGGCATAGATGACATATGCCCTGTCTTTGATCTTCGTCATCCAGAAGCCTGTGATCTCACCTGCGGTGCAACATGCATCTAGGTCAGACCTGGCGTTCCTTATCTTATGTTTTCCAACTGCAGCGCCAGCGGCAGGAGCATCTAAAATTATATGACACTCCGCACCGGTCTCAGAAAGCTTCTGCTGGGCCTGCTTCTCAGTGAAGGGCCGAATGAAGCCAGTGATGAGGAGTGCGCACGAGGCTGCCTCCCTTGATGACGGCGCCCTCTTGGGAGGCACATCTGCCCCTTGGTCTGCCTGCTCCTCCTGTCCATACCAAGACCTTTATTAATAACCATTTAATAACCATAACTCTGTTGAACACAATCGCTTCCTATCAATCGTACAGTGTCGGCTCAGGTCCATGCTTCAGAGTGCAATACAGTACAAGAAACCATCAGAGGCATAGCTGGGAATGAGGAGGATGTCAGACCTTGCCAGAGCCACTCTTGAGCCGCTCAAAGACGGAGCGCTTGTCGTTGCTGTCTGTGCGAGCGAGCTTGGCTGCGCGTTCGGGAGCGTCGGCCGCATCACTCCCTTTGGTTTTGTCGCCGTTTGCCTCTGCAGCCGCCCTCTTCTCGCGGGGTACAAAGATAGGAATGGGCGCCCGCTTGCGCTTGCCATCTGTTCCACAGTACCAACCATGTCACTGGTGCACTGACTGGGACCACAGGAGAGAAACACACTAGACGCATGCACGGAAGAAGATGCTAGTGTGGATTGTGGCCCATACCTTTTGTGACAGCATCATCCTTGTCAGCTGCTTTGTCTCCTGGCCCAGTGGATTCTGTGCCCTTCTTCCCGCCAGCTTCGCTGGCTTTCCCTGCAGCTGACTTTCCCTGCAAGCAGAGAAGCGTTCATGCATGGAGGTCAACTAGCAATGTGCACCGGGCAAAAACTGGGGTGCACAATTTGAGCCGGGCTAGTCTGTCCTAAATGCACAAGCCCGCACCTCGGCTGCAGACTTGGCCTCGGACTGAGCTCGGGGCCGCCGTGCCTCGTGAGGGGCGGGCTCCTCTGGTGCAGTGGGCACCTCATCAATCACCTCGTCCGCCTCATAGTCCACTTCCTCCTCTGCAGCATCCTGCACCGGCACTGGCGCGGGCGCCTCCGCCCTCTCCGCTGCCAACTCCCGATGCCGCGGCTGCGGACTGCGCCATGTCACCTTGTGCGTCAGCAGCTTGACGATATGTTTGCCTGCTGAAAGACAGCATACCAAGACGCCAGCGCATCTGGGGACTCTTCACAAACATGCAATTACACGAGGGCAAAGGGGTCGAGCCCACCTGGCGGAGCCTTCCTGCAGGTCATCTCCTCTGTCGGCTGGCTTCTCCTCTTCTGCTGCTGCGCCCTCATCCGCATCTTTTGCAGCATCAGATGTCGGCACTGCAAACTCCTCTGCGGTTGCTTCATCTGCAGCTTTGGCATCGGGTGCATCCTGATCTGGCTCCTGGCTGACCTCCTTGTTTGGCACGTCCTTGGGAGCCTCTTTCATGTCGGGCTCCTCCTTTGCCTCTGCAGTCTCATCGGCTGCCACTATGCTGGCAGCTTCCTTTGGCTCTGCAATCTCGTCAGCTGCCTTGTTGCTCTCAGGAGCTGCTGACGGCTCATTCTTAGCCGCAGACCCTGGTGCCTGACCCAAAGTATCCTCCTTTGCCAGCTCCTTCTCCTCCTCGACAGCCTTGGGCTGCTCTTCCTGTGGTGCATCCTTAGCCTCTGGCTCAGCTGCTTCGGCATTCTGCGACAAGAAAGGATCTAATCACTTCATCATATTTTTGAGATGCCAGTTCAGTCTGAGATTGTTCACTCACGAATCGCCCATCTGCTCAAGACAATCCAGCAGCGAGAGGAAAATCTTAAAACTAGTCGAAATGGTCTGACCATTGATCAAATATGAGGGTTGTACACAGGAACAGCCATCGCAGGCTCACCTCTTGTCTGATTGCACCTAACAGTCGCTCTGCCAAAGCTGCTTTGAGGCCGGTGACTGCAAGCCCTCGGCTTTTCAACTCATCCCTCAAGTCTGCAACACGCAAGCCGGCTACCTCTTCTTCCTTCATCTTTAATGTATCAGACTAGGCCGATTGCCACTTCTGCTGGCCGAAGTGTGAATCCAGGTATTCAGGAAGCTTCGGAAAATAGACCCTGAAGCAATGTACAGAAAGTCACAAGATCGTTTATGATCCTATCAATAACAAAAGCCCTGCGCAAAGATCAGTGAAAGTTGCTGGCACCATGCCATATTCAGTAGGCGAATGTCAGCTTGGGAGGTAACGCGGTAATGCAGCTCCTGGCACAAGGCAGGTAGATGTCTGAACTGGTCTGCAAAAGATCATCAACAATCCACCAAGCTGTCATGGATGTGGTCACATTGTTGAAGTCCAGCGTTCAAATCCAGTGCGAATAATTGACGAGCCTGAATAAGTAGGGCATCCGATCCAAACAGCGCTCTGCGGTGGTGAGATAGGTGACAGCCAAGATGAGGATTATGATCAAGGGTGGTGTGTGGAAGAACACTGAGGTGCGTTCTCGATCTATCAGGGAAGATGTCTGCTCTGAGGTTTCACGGTGTCTGTTTTTGGCCGATCTTTAGAGCTCTTGGTAAATTATGGGCAATGCAACAATCGTGTGGAGTACTTAATATTTTTTTTCTGATTTTGTCCGCTCGGACTACGCCATGACCAGGCCTTAGAGTCTTGTGCTTCCGTTCCTCAACAAGTCAGGAACCTGTGTGCTTGTGTTTACAGGATGAAATCCTCAAAGCAGCGGTCATGAAATATGGCCTAAATCAATGGGCCCGTATCTCTTCGCTGCTGGTCCGCAAGTCTGCCAAGCAGTGCAAAGCCCGCTGGTATGAGTGGTTAGATCCAGCCATCAAGAAGACAGAGTGGACGCGTGAGGAGGATGAAAAGCTGCTGCATCTTGCGAAGCTTATGCCTACACAGTGGCGCACTATAGCACCCATTGTAGGCCGGACGCCGGCGCAATGCTTGGAGCGCTATGAGAAGCTCTTGTACGTTCCAATCCTCTAGTGGCCTCGCCGTGATAAAAGGATTTCTTGCTGTTTCTTGTGAACAGAATGCTACCATCTCAGTCAGCAAGTCCAGCAGTGAAAACGTGTACGAACCTTCCGTTATTCAGGTGCTTGTCAACCAAATACTGACGCATGCGCGGGAACTGATTGACTGCAGGGATGCAGCAGCAGCCAAGGACGACAATTATGATCCTGCGGATGACCCGCGCCGGCTGCGGCCCGGCGAGATCGACCCCAACCCAGAGGCCAAACCTGCTCGCCCTGACCCCATTGACATGGACGAAGACGAGAAGGAGATGCTGTCAGAAGCGCGAGCTCGCCTCGCCAACACCAGGTGTGCAGCCGTGTATCCAGCCTGCACATGAGGAGACAACTGAATCTAGTACCTACAGATGCCTCCGTTACAGTGCAAAGTGGAGCACCTCGTTTTGCTCTCAGCTATTCATTCGGTGCCTTTGGCTTGTTTTGCTGCTTGCCGCTGTCGGTACAGCAGCATCTCATGGCATGCTGTTGAGGGATGATGCCATTGGAAGACTAAGCAAGGGAGTTGGGGCGCGCACAGGGGCAAGAAGGCGAAGCGCAAGGCGAGGGAGCGGCAGCTGGAGGAGGCGCGGCGGCTGGCCTCGCTGCAGAAGAAGCGCGAGCTGCGCGCGGCCGGCATCGAGATGAAGGCGAAGGCGCAGCGCCGGCGCGGCATCGATTACAATCGCGAGGTAGCCTTTGAGCAGGCGCCTGCGGCCGGTTTCTTCGACACGGGCGCCGAGAAGGAGCGCACGCGCGAGATCGGCAAGGAATTCCGGCCCGCCACCCTCGAGGAAATGGAGGGCCGCCGGCGCAAGGTGCGCTTTTTTTCCTCTTCTGTGCTTGTTCCCTTGCTATACCCCAAGCCCAGTGGATGGCTCGTAGAAAAGCTCTTGACAGTCCCAAGCTCCTATCGCTGCATGTGCAGCAGTATTCCTGGTCTGCAGCCTGCAATTTGTGATGCCTTCCCCAAGAGGATGGTGTGTGACCTGACATTCGTGATGGATCTTGTGCAGGACATTGAGGCGAACCTGATGAAGGGCGACGAGCAGAAGGCAAAGCTGAGGGAGGCCCACAACCAGCCAGCAGCCGTGGCAAAGGCCATGGAGTTGAACGATGCCAGTGGCATGCGCCGCCGGGGCCGCATGATGCTTCCTGCCCCACAGGTCTGATGCAATGCTCTTGTTACTTTTGCTCCGGATTCAGCTCATGTTAAGAGGCGTCTGTGGAAATTGAAGGGCATCTTTCAGATAGAGCCCGAATGCAAACCCCAGAAAGTTGCCATTTGCTCGTGACTACCAGCACTTATTTAGAGACGCCTGAAGTGGATTTGTCATTTTGCAAAAATGTAGAGAAGAGACTGCTCTTGCAAAATATGCAGCACACTGGATGGTGAAAACCTGCTTGAACGCCCATCAAAGCGTGGAACACAGTGTGGTAACTGACCTTGATGAATTTTCCAGCTACTCAAAGTAATTGGTGGAGAATTTGCAAGGATAGGGGACCTAGGAAGACATCTGTTGAGCTGTCCCTGAACGCACCTAGTCTTGGATGGCTCATACCAGTGTTTTAAGATTGTTAGTATGTTTGCTATCTTCTGCTGGCATATCTTGGCCCAATATGCATTCGTGCCATCATCAATCAGGTGACAGAAGAGGAGCTGGAAGCCATTGCTAAGGGCGGTGGTGAGGTGGCCATGGATGTTGACATGGATGGTGCTGGCGGTGAGGCCACCCGGCGGCTGCTGGGCGACTACCAGACACCTGCCAGGTCAGCACCGACCCCCAAATCTCCCTTTCTTCACCCTCAAAATGATGGCTCCATTCCGAGTGAGCGCAGCTCGTTAGCAAGCTCATGTGTCTTGACACTCCAACAGTTGTGCCGACTTTGAGTACGGGCAGCTTGTCTGCAACTGTAGCGCCATATTTGATCATGGGGCGAGCTTATGCGCAGTAACTCTGTGCGTTTGGCCACGGCTGGCGGGGGGCGGTACAGATACTGAGCACCGTGCCCATGGTTGATTGGGTCTTGCTTGGATCTGGCGAGTCCATCAAGGGGTAGGTTTATGGCAGCCTTTAATTGCAGCTTGCCTGCAGGACGCACCTTGCCTCCTGGCAGCAAAAGCGTGTAATAGAAATAATAGTCATAATTTTTGCGTGCAGGATGGCGACTCCCATGCGGACGCCGCGGGCGGTGACGGCGAGCGGGCAGGACCGGGTGATGATGGAGGCGCAGAATCTGAGCCGGCTGCAGCAGGGGCAGACGCCGCTGTTCGGCGGCGAGAACCCGGAGCTCTTTGACTCCGACTTCAGCGGCATCACGCCCAAGCCCTTCACCGCCGCCACGCCAAACCCCCTCGCCGCTGGATTGACGCCTCGCATTGGAGCCACCCCTTCGCTGACCCATCCTGGCGCCACTCCCTCTGGTGGCCGCGCCATTGCAGGTGATGATCCGACCGCTGCTGCCGCTCATGCTGGTCTGATTGATATCGTTTCTGTTGTGAATTTTAATGATTGTTGTCTCGCCTCCCAAAGCAGATGCACAGGAATTCCCAGTCTGGAAAGCATGTCGATCATAGATGTGACCTTTGTTTTGGTCCTGCAGCCATGTTTGGATACACAGCCATGGCCTGAGCATAAATCATCCTTGGAAGACTGACGTGTGCCTTGCATGTGAGCAGGTGTCTCCGCGACGCCATCTGTGGCAGGTACGCCCCTACGCGGCGGCCCGGCCGCCGGCATGACGCCGATGCGCACCCCTGTCCGCGACGAGCTCGGCCTCAACGACCCTGACATGCTGCTGCCGGCCGAGGCCAGCCGCCGCGAAGCGCGCGCACGGGAGGCCATGGAGAAGAACAACCTGAAAGCGGGACTGGCCGGGCTGCCTGCTCCCAAAAACGAGTACCAGATCATGGTGCCAGAGGTGCGAGGTGGTCATGCATGTGCTGTGCAGTACATTCCAGCCACCCAATCTATAGTGTCTTGCGCAGAATGACTCTGCAGCCTCTTGATGTGCATGACATGTGATGGATTGACTCTGCGCTCTGCACCCATGTCTTCAAATTTGAGTTTGATCCCTGCTGATTTTGGGTTTTGTGTGTGGTCAGTTGCCGGAGGACAGAGACGACGGCGAAGCATTGTTGGAGGAGGATGCAGCAGACATTGCTGCGCGGCGCAAGGCCGCAGCCAGAGCGGCTGAGGAGGCGGAGCTGCGGAAGAGAAGCCAGGTGAGCAGCCTCACTGCACCAGTTTAAATCCACTCTGCTCCCTGACCATGTCCTCAAATATCGTTCCTGCTTGCACATATGGTGGGTCCTGCCCACGATTCCTGCCCGTGTCTGCAAATTCTCTCTTTGCATGTATTATCACGTGATGTAATATGTCATCTGACCAATGCACGTTTGGGGGTTCTTGCAAGTGGCGGCATGTTGATTGGTGCTTGTGTGGCGTCCTTGCAGGTGTTGCAGAGGGGCCTGCCGCGGCCGCTATCCCTGGAGCACGGCCCCGAGGCGCGCAACGCGGAGGAGGCCGGCGGGCTGTCTCAGAGGGAGGCCGCGGAGGCGCTGCTGTTCAGCGAGATGAAGGCGCTGCTGCAGCACGACGCTGCCAAGTACCCCGTCAAGGAGAGCAAGAAGGACAAAAAGGTAACGCCTCTGCCGCGGTCCACGTCATGTTTCTAGGCTTTTGGCAAAATCATGATTCAGCGCAGTGTTTGGCACTTTGCGATAGGAAACATTTGGCCTGGACATGTAGTGCATACGCCCAAGCCTTACCCTTGGCATGTCCTGCTCTAGAGGTTCACCAGCATTGAGATAAAGTTGTGCACATACGTTTTTATCGTCAGAAAATAACTCAATTCCAGATGTAGTACGTTCACCTGAACATGGCTGAGGGAAATGTGTTGCTTGTCGCAGAAAAAGCGGCCTCGGCCGGAGCCGCAGCCGGCAGAGCCGCTGGATGAGGTTGCTGAGGAGGACATGGCGTCGGCGCTGGCAGTGCTGCGCGCGGAGACGGCGCACGTTCGGCGCGCGATGGGCCACGAGGGAGTCTCGGAGGAGGAGTATATGGAGTCCTGGGCCGCACTCAGCCGCGAATTCATCTACCTGCCCAAGCGCCAGCGCTATGACCGCAGCATCTCTGCCACCAACACCGACCGCGTGGAGTCCATGCAGGCACGCAATACTTTATTTGCCCCGCTGCCAGTGCCGCTTCATTTGTTGTGACCTTACATAGGGAATTGAGGTGTCTCACGCGCGCGCTTAGGGACACTAGACGCTGCTTAAGAGGTGCCCCACCGTGTTATGAGCTTCATGATACTGCATTAACTATGGGGCCTCAGAGAAAGAAGTTTCTTGTGTGTTCTCTTGCTTTGCTGTATGAAGGGAGTTTTCTGGCCAGGCTGCAACTTGCAAGGTCCACTATTGATGGCATGAGTGTGTGCTGCAGAGCGAGCACGAGGCGGTGCGGTCGGAAATGGAGAAGGAGGCGATGCGCGCGGCAAAGTTGGAGAGCCGCCTTACTGTGCTGACTAAGGGTTACATCACGCGCGAGGCCGTTGTGCGCAAGGACATGGAGACGACGTGGCAGGCCGTTCAAACTGCCGAGCAGGTGCCCCCCCGCTGTGCCTTGCTGACTGGTTTGCTTCATGCTCAAAAATCCTCAATCTTGTGCTCTAGCATTGAGGGGCAGCAGCACTGAGAGTACCTCATGATGAGCTTCAAGCAAAGTGGTACTGCGGCAGCACATGCAGACGTGCCAGAGTGGCCTCGCGCAATTTAGGGAAAAGAATCGAAGAGGACAGCAAGGCGCTCAGCCTGAGTGACACATGTGCAGGAGCTGGCGTGCTTCCGAGCGCTGTCTCAGAGGGAGGCTCAGGCCATGCCAGAGCGGAAGGCGGCCGTGGCGGGGCGACTGGCTGCACAGGAAGAGCGGGAGCAGCTGCTGCAGAAGCGCTACAAGGCGCTCAGCAGTGATGTGGCTGAAGCCAGGAAGGCATTAACGGCTGTGGCTGCTGCGTGATTCCCTGTGAAAACAAAGTTGTGTACATATCGTACACTCGCTTGTTTGGGCAGGCTTCAGGTTGAGTGGGATCCAACGAATGGAAATTGCTGGAGGCTACAATATGTCGCACCTTACGCACTTATTGACTTTGGTGTGAGTGGTCCTGATGCTCGTGGCCAAACCTCCAGGTCATCCCAGAGTCTGTTAGCGATCCAATCACTCAGCTATGCATAGCCTGCACAGCTGGTAAAATGACAGATTTGCGGCTGTGATGATCTTTACTGTGAAGTTAGTTGCAATAAGCACGGTGACCAATACACATCACCATCACATACACGTGATGCCACACGTCATCATAATTACCGTGACAATAATACTATTTCAACTCCCAACTTGAAGACTGACTGTTCAAGTTTGACATCTTGAAGTCATACTATTCTAACTAAGTAAACCTATGGCTCATCGGAAATACATGCTATACATGTAGGTACATGAGCACAATGCGCATGCAGCGCATCCTCGGCGTCCATCAAGATCCTCATCGAGATCTGAATATTTGGTCCCGTGATATCCTGGACAGTCTCGGGTCTCACCCTCACACATGAGAGAGTCAGGAAGGGTGGATTTGGTCCAGATTAGGCTGAGTGGGTCAGGGAGGGACCATTAGGGTCGAGGGTCGGTGAGGAAAAAACCCATTATCAGCCGGCGTAGCTCGGGAGCAGAAAGGAGGTCATTCCAGTGTATAAACGAGTGCACATCATGGCTGCGAGGTCTCGAAGAGGGGCTGGCAGCTCCGCAGAGACACATAAGGAAAATGGAAAGGGGGAGGGTCTCAACAGGAAGACGATTGAGACCATCAAAGATGCAACAGGTCAGCACAAGCACTATCTTGGAGGCCTCATTTCGCGCAGGGCCTGGATTTCTTTCCACAAACGTAGAAGTTCCTTTCTAGCTTGTCTACAAGTAGGGAAAGGCACCAATGGAAGATCTCATGGGGTCCTTGACTGTTTGCAGGGGCCAGTGAGGAGGACATCATGGTGATGCTCCTTGAGTGCAACAATGATGTCAATGAGACAACCAGCCGGCTTATCGACAGTACGTTTTTTGTCGCTTTTTCTGCTGCAGCATTTCATTTCTTGCAAGATCTGTGCCGAAGATAACCCATTTCTGCTGTGCCTGCAGACCCGTTCAGCCAGGTCTTCAACAAGAAGCAGAAAAAGAAACAGGTGCGCCTGCATGTTCCTGCTGCAGCACTATATATTTTTGGAGCGAATGCGCTTGTCTTGAATATTTGCCATTGTCTGCAGAGGGAGGAGGAGAGAAAGAAGGATGGCTCCAAGGTGATTGAGGTGAGGCGGCAGCCAAGTGCAGGGCAGGGAGACAGACGGAATCGGGACAGGGGGCCTCGGGGCAGCCTTGATCGGAACGGTCCCGATCGAAACGCCAATAGAGGTGCACACCCTCGGCCATAGGCAACTGTCCTGTTCGGGATGGACCGATGTGGTTTTGTTTGCAACGGCGCTGAGGGAGTTGTGTTGGACCGTGCAGCAGCCAGAACCGGATCTGGGAAGCCGGCAGAGGATGGCTCGCATGCTGAAGAAGCCGTATCGGCGCCCACGGAGGAACAACGGCCGACCCCGTTGCCTGAGCCCACACCTGCAAAGTGCGTTACTTCCCCCGTGCAGCCATTCCACGCGAACTTTTGGTGATGGCGTGTTCGAGATTCGAGTTTCACATTTATGCATCGCAGACCAACCTACTCGAGAGCACCTGGGCCTCCACAACCAGCTGCTGCAGCACCTCCATCCTCGTGGCAGCCTGCAGTTGGCAGCACGCCGGGGCGGAAAACCATGGCAGACTTGTTCAAGCGGCCTCCTCCCCCAGCTGCGCCACTACCAATACCAAAAGCTGCCCACAGTGTGCAGGAAAGCTTCTCCCAGAAGGAGACAGCCCCCATCGCAGAGCTGGTACTTCCTGTCCTCCGCTGTATGCTGTCAATTTGACGATCTGGTCACACATGCAAGCACAGCAACCGTCTGATTTAGTGATACTTCTATTGCTGACATTCATATCATTGCCGTGGCGCAGGGAGACCTTTCCCTCGGCGACCCGGCAGTGAGCGCACCGCAGAGGATATCTAGCAGCCCTGCAGCCGGTGGCTCTCTACAGTCAAACCAGGTCACACAGGATGTGCAGGTCCGCATCCAGCCAACGATGTACCATGTACAATGTACCATGACACCGACCATGATCCTCCTGTCAATCTGGGGTGAAGCGGAGCCTCGCTGACGGAGCGTGTTGCCTGCAGGTGCAAGGACCGTCGCCGCGGCACACGCCCATCTCGGCCGCGCTGGGGATCGCCCCCGTGGTGGTGCCGCCGGCAAGATACCCGAGCTCGGAGAACAACGGACCGGCCGCGCCCGTCAACGCGTGGGGCAAGCCCAAGCCGCAGCCTGCCGCGCCTATGGGAGCGCTGGGGGCGTCTCTGCTGGGCACTGCGCAAGGCGTGCCGGGGAGCATGGCCGCGCCGGCGCCAAGCATCTCCCTCGCCAACAACGACGTGCTGTCAGTGGCTGATCCTCAGGTCACATCATCGGGATTGCTGAGCTCTTCTGCAGGCACCCAGTTGTCCGGGAGCTTCCAGCAGCAGGCGGACATGAAAGCCGCGGAGCGGGTGATCCTCCCGCAGCAGGCAAGAGTTTTTTTTTCTGTTTTCACTATGGCAGCTTTTCTGGGGTGGCAGCCCCCTCAACAACAAGTAGGAATACCAAAGACCAGGCTGTTACGAGCCTGGCATCACACAAGCCCCAGGGCATTGACGCCATAGAGCAGGTTCCCACACGCTGCAGCTGCTGCGCTCAGCCAGCGCCACCGAGAAGGGTCGATTACGGAGTTCCTATGCGCCTTCTAATCTTGAGGCAGTTTGTAGTTTCATGTCCTAAACTTTGTGCTACATGTCTGAAAGCCACCACTTTATCTACAAGTGGGCTAGTACTGTCTAGTTTTCTATGAGTCTCTGACTTACCTGAGTGGGGAACAGGTGCGGGATGTGACCAACCTGGGACTGCAGTTTGGCAACATCGGGTTTGACCCCAACCGCAAGGGTTACGCGGGCGCGATCAACACTGCAGATGACGACAGCTCCGCGCAGCAGCACACTGCGCCACAGGCGGTTCCCGAGCGCAACACCGCCGCAACTTCAAATGGAGCAGCATCTTCTCCTGCTGTGGATGTGTTCAACGGTGGAGGTATGCATCTCATGAACAGCCTCTCAATGGCAGCATGCCCCTGCATTCACCCATCAAGCCATGTCACCTGTGTACCATCAGCATTTCTGCTTGCATGTCTGCCAGGCAGGTGTACCTGGCACTAATGGTAGATGCACTGCAGATCCGCCCAAATTTGCGTTGTGCAGGCTATCACTTCTTCATGTCCAACCTCTTAGCCTTAGAAAAGGGCCGAGGATGATATTTGAGACACCATGCTTTTCAATTGTTGCAGGTATGGGCAGCAGCTTGGGCAGCTACCAGCAGGCTGGGAACACCGGCTACTCTACCTTCTCTGTACAAGGGCCCATTGTCAGCCAGCCCACTCCAGCGGCGGCGCCAACCCTGGCCCCTACCAGGCTCCAGGCATGCCCTTATCACCACTGTTGCAGTGCTTGTAATTGCTGCCATTACCATCATGGGCAGAAGGCAGTCCAGAATATCCAGAGTTCATGTTGTGCTGGGCAGCAAAGATGATGCGTCGGGAGGAGTGGCTACAGCTCAAAATGTGTACAAGTTTGATTGCTGAGAGGTTGTGCTTGGGATGCACAGGAGTCGTCGACAACGACGAGCCAGCCTGCCAGCAACTTCTTCTCCGGGCCCAGCTACCAGACAAGCGCACCCTCCACCAACTACAACAACTACCAGGCGCCGGCCGCGCAGCAGCAGCCGGCCAGCTATGGCCTGGGAGGTTACCAGTCAGCTGCGCCTCAGCCGCAGCAGCAGCAGCAGCAGGCACCAAGCAGCCAGCCTGCCTACTCCTACCAGGCCTCCGCTGTGTCCACCAGCCAACCGGCCTATGGCGCTCAGCAGCAGCACCTGCAGCAGCCGGCCGGTGGCTACCAGGCGCCCGCGAGCGCGCAGAACGCACAGTCGTCCTACAGCCAGTACGGGCAGCAGCAGCCGCAGCAGCCCCAGCAGCCGGCGGCGCAGTACGGGCAGCAGTACGAGGCCCCCACTGCCAGCACCAGCGCTCCTGCCGCCAAGCCTGCGGTGCGTGCCCCTCTCCTCTGTCATTTTTTCGGCTGTGCTGCTGTGCTGTACTGCTCCCAAGATTTTGCTAAGCTTCTTCGGCACAGGAAAGTATAGTACTGCGAGTTTGATCTGAGTCTACTTTAGATATCAATGATCGGACAATTTTCAGGAGGAATTCTCCGACGTTTTGCAAAAAGGGTTCCATGCCGACTGCCCCGGAGTGCTACGTGCATTGTTGCATAGTGGTGATGACATGTGTCTGGCGCAGGTGAGCTCGTACGACAACAGCCAGTACGGCAACTACAACCAGCAGTCGGCCCTAAAGGACTTCCAGCCAGCCCCCAAGTACAACGCCGGCAACGCACACAGCGCCGCCGGACACGCCGCCTACGGCGCACAACCGCACGCCACAGGCCAGTTCGGTGCCAACGCTGCAGCGGCCAGCACCTCTGCGCCCCTTGCCGCGGCAGCTGCCGGGCAGCAGCAGGTAAACAACCCATCTTTTGAGCTTGCAGATGCCCATATGCCTCTCTGGTGCTAGGACCCTGTCTGTTGATCAGACATGGGACCTCCATTTGTGCAGTCTTCTACCAGCAACACTGATCACTAATCACAGGGTTCTTGGTATTTCTCAGCAGGCGCCATTCGCAGCTCCAGGCATGCAGCAGGTGCCGCAGTACGCTGCCATGGGCTACGGGCAGCAATACCCCCCCTACATGCCGCACTACGGCGTGCAAAATGCATACTTCCCACAGCACCCTGGTGGCTATGGAGGCTACCCAGCACAGGTGTCCATCTCTTCCCATTTATGTTGATCTGCATACAAGCACGGAATGTTGAGGACAAGTCATTACTCCCATGCTGCTTCTGCTCAGCAGCTCAGGTTTGCTGTTTTTTTCACTTTATTTTGCAGTATAAACGGGCGCATTGTCATGTGGAGGAAGCGGCATGTGTTCATGCAAAGGTATTCTATACGCAGGCTCCCGGCTACGGCGGTGCAGCCAACCAGCCCAACGTGGACTTCCAAGCAGGTGGCAACTACTCCCATGCTCAGTCCAGCAAGTACCAAGGTGGCAGCGGCTACAGCGGGCAGGGAGGCTTGTACGGCAATCAACAGCGCATGCGAGGTGCGGCACCTTCAAAAACTATGTTCAGCCTCTAAGCTCCATGTTGTGCGCATTTTGTCCGTGCCTTAAGATTCACTACTGTGGAGCTCTGCAGGTTTTCAAGACGTTGCATCCATGGGACATCCTCATCTTGTGCGAAGTCACATTTGCTTGACATCAGTTGGCTGGGGTAATGCTTGCAGTCACAGCAGATGTATCTTCACTGCAAGCATTACCGCCCTCAAGTAAAGGTGGCTGTGCGCATGCAGGCAAGGAGAAAGACAGCTACCCACCGCATGCTGCCTCATCCCTGTATGGCCCTGACGGCTCGCAGCTCCATGCAGCAGGGCCTGCTGGCCAGTACCAGGTGTGCACCTGCCCTCTCTTACAGCCTGAATGGCAAGCGAGCTGCCTGCCCACCAGCTCATGAAGTCCTGCTCAAGCACTGTGTGCATGCGGGCTCCTGCCATGCGGGCTCCTAACATGCCGCAATGTGATGCCGCACACGATACTGTAATGCTCGAGTGCACACATTTGCTAAATGCACATTCGATTGTATGCTGCAGCACGGTGGCGCTGGCCGCGACAACCAGTACGGCTATGGGGCCCAGGGCCAGGCCGGGGCGCAGAGCTACGGGAACTACGGCACCGGCCAGGGCTACTCTGGGTACAATCAATATGGCTATGGAGGTGGCCAGAATGCTCCCAACGGCCAGTCTACCGGCTTTGGCAAACTCAACTGAGCGGCATGCGCGCGTACCGCACCAGGCATGGAGCACCACTTTTCCAAAGGATGCTGCCAAGTGGAGTGCCCTGCCTCGACGCGGTGCAGGCGGCCCTCACAGGTTCTTGCAGGCTGATGAATATGGGACTGGGCTGCCGGTGTGGTGTGGTTGCGTGGCTTCGTCTTAATGTATAGTGCTGTCATTGGACATGGTAGCCGGTCTGTAGCCTGGAAGGTACCCAACTCGCTCAAAGGCTGATCAGGAACTCTTCACCATAGTAGCTCCCAACATGGAGTCGTGCAGGCAAACCCAAATGGACATGCAAGTCTCTAGCGAGAGGAGATGCGGAGAGTGTCGGCCAAGACGCCAATCTGTTGATGGATGCAAGGTAGTTTTTCAGTTACTAAACTCATAGCAGGCTCCCGCTCAGAGAGCGTGCAGGGTGTCCTGTGGTTGATCCTTCTTTTCTTCTTCTTGGTTTGTGGCAGCTGCGTCAAAGCCCCTAGTACTCTGATTCTGTTGCGCCCCATCAACAACGGCTTGCTGGAAGGAACCGTCGGAAGTGTTAGATGAGACTGTATCTGGCTGTTGGCTTTCACGAGCGCCTCTGATAGCGTAGGACAGGGACAGTAATGAGGTGTCCAGCGAATCCCACGGGTGATGAAGGGGTGAGGCGCCCGGAAGGGGTTTTGACGAGAGAACGACATGTCATACAATTGTAGCACTGTTGTGAGTGAAGGGGCTGACTGGCTTTTAAGGAAGTTCTAGCTGAGGCACGTTGCTTCAATTCAGTCCCGCCATGCAAGGGCACATGGTCATACATAACTTGCATTGCAGGTTCCACCATATATAGCCCGACACTGCATTTCAGCACCGGTGCCATACATGCTACACAGCGGCTCCTTGCGCTGTATGTTGCACAATCTTTGCATCATAACTCTGTAGAACTCGACACAAATTCTGGGTGCAAAGCCAATATGCTGTCTGTACTCTGAACGCAGTCTTTGGTTCAAATCGCATATATCCCGATATTTCAGGGCAGCTGTGCTTGATATCAGGCCCTTGTGCTATCAATGACCTGCACTGTACAGTTTATCCATAAATGATTGTTTCCAACTTGAGCTCCAGAATCAACCGACACAAAATGCAAGGCCCCCCAACAAAATCAAGTTCATGCATGGGCGTATCCAACCTAGACTTTGACACGAGGCGCCATCCGCAGCCACTGCTCTATTCTTGAAGCTTCTTCTTCCACCACACCTCCCAAAAGCGTTGGCAAACCTTGTTAGCTTCTCGATGAGTTGGAGAAATTGATTTGACTGCTCATTGAACAGTAGAGCATTAGGGGCTCACTGCCACCTTGGGTGATCGGCCGAGGATTCGTTTAGGAGCAGCTAAAATATTTGGCATCACACCACAACTTTTCATCTGATTGCCATTGTCTATCTGAGCTATCGTTGAAGACGTGCCAAGGAGGCAAGAAAACGGCTCAAGGAAGGTGGGTCGGAAGCGCATCCTTCTGCCTTGGACGCAACGATGGACAACGTAATTCAGTGTGTAGTTGCAGTTGCGTCCAATTGTGAAATTTATATTGCTCATCATAAGTGAAACATCATTCAGAAAGGATGACCTTGAACGGCACACTGACCACGGCTAAAGTAAGTCCTAGTATTGTCAGCAAAAGTATTCCTCGGAAAGGACGGTGTGCCGTCAGGGCACCCGAGTAATCAAAATCCACTACTTTAGTGGATGTAAACGCTACTAATGTGGTGGATTATTGGCAATCAGGGGCCATGCCACCTGGTAACACATTCCATAGCATGCCATTTTGGTAATAAAAATTAGGCCTTTCGTCAGTAAGCATGGAGAATGATCAGTGATGTGTTTCTGTACCGAGCATGTCACTTATTATTGCTAGGATCCCGTGTTACAAGTGTGGCAGTGACAAGGAGAAGCTTCATCCGAACTGCGCAAGTTCAGAACGCTTGACTCGCTGTGTAGGTTGTGATTATATTATCAGATTCTATTCAGAAGGTCTGACAAAGGACGAATACGGCCACGACGCTGTTGCCGACTGGGTCTTCAAACAAGAGGCAAGGGTGCCATTGCAACGTTGCAATGCCGTGGACTCAGGGGTCAGATATTTCCATCAGAGCTGCCTTGGCCGAGATGAACCTTCAGCATTGTCCAGAGCTAATGGCTACTATTCTATTCGCGGGAAGATTGAGAGCGAAAAGTATCCAGAGCTCAGAAATATTACCCACAAATGCTGTGAGGACTGCGTCATTGCAGCCCAAACCAGGGGCAAGGATCTCAATGAGGATAAGTTGAATTTTATCATGCATCAAGGAGTGATTGGTAGGTCTCAATAAGCACTCCATCTTTGAAGGTTGGGAACACCTATGTTTTGAATCTCCCCATGACCTTGACACAGAGTAACTAACTCTGACTTTTGCGTTGCGTTCAGAGGCAGAGACCGGCGACTTGGAGAGGAAGAGAGCCGATAGGCGATCAAGCAAGATTCGAGGCATCATTGGTGGTCAGCAGGCTCGCCTCGAAGACAATGGGACGACTTCGACCGCCATCTTTGCAACGAGACACCTCAATCAGAAAGTCAGCTTCAGCAAGAGCGCCAGCAGATTGCTGGCAGCAGTGCCCAACCTGAACAGGACAGTGATGGCAGCCTCGTATCTCCAGGCCAGTGGACTTCAGGCAGGCCAGACAGCCCAAGGACAGGCGCAGAGGGGCGCCACAGCTGCAGCAGGCGGCATGCAGGGTCCCGCAGCCCCAGAGGCAGAAGCTGCAGGACCTTCGCAAGCGCCACAGCCAGGGATCAGCCGCAGGCAGCTCAGCGCTCAGGGAGCCGAGCAGGACATCGTCCAACGGTGGCTTGCGTTCAGCCTCAAGGCCTCATCCACCGTTGCAGAGCTGAAGCGGTTCCTGCTTGACAGAGGCCAGCGGCCAGTGATCTTCACCAGAAGCGCGCTGCTCGCCAGGGTGGAAGGGCTGCTTAGATTTGAGCATCCAGAAGGTAGCTATCCATGATGGCTGTAACGATCAGCGCCTACACATCTTATGCCTGGCAAATTAATAACATGTCCTCACCATTTCCTCTGGACATCTTATGCGCTGGCAGCTAATGGATGCTGTCATGCAGGTGGACTGGAGCCGAGTGCGGCGGCGGTTGAAGAGATCACAGCCGCTGTTGAGGCCGCAGCCCAACCGGCACGGCAAAGACCAGCAAGGCAGAAGGTGGGCATCTTGTTGAGGATCCTTATGTTTGCATGTGCTTTGTGAACGCCTCTCATCTGTCAAGCTGCTGGTGCAGTGAAAGCGAGTTTGGCTGAACACACTGATTGTAAGTTATTGTTGTTACAGGCGCCGAAGAAGTCACAGCTTCAGATGGAAGCGGCCAAGTCCATTGTTAACAAGGGTGAGTGGGCGCTCTCAGCTGGAAGCTCTGATCACCTGGTGACTGTTGCACACCCGAGAAGGCTTTAACTTCTGCAGATTTGATGGAAGGGAATGATAGCCAGTCAATTGAGGCGCTCACATGTTTGCAGGAGTGAGCAGCGGCCTGCCCGTGGTCAAACTCAAGCAGATTGACGAGTTGCTCTGGACCTTCGACAAGTGCCACTACCTGCCGCAGTTGGGGGAGAGCACTCCCTCGATTGGTGTCGCTCTCTGGGCCGTCACAAGCACGCTGCACCGCGACGGGGAGTTCCCAGCACGCAACTTGTCCCAGTTGGGTCGTGCTGCCAAGGCTCCTGTTGGTTTGGTGCGCGCTGTGCAGCCAGGCAGCGATGGCAACCAGCTGCATATGGAGATATGGTTCCTCGAGGCGCGCGTGCAGACAGATAGCCAGGGGGAGCCCGAGGCAGCGGTGGCAGGGGAAGGCGGTGGGGCACGCGCAGATGTGGAGGGACGGGGTGCAGGAGAGGCAGCCACCGGTGGGGGCGTGCAGGAAGGGCATGGGCGGGGTCGGGGCAGGAAGCGTGGCCGCCGCGGCACAGGCGGGGCGCGTGGCAGCAATCGGCCCAGAAGGGGCAGCCGAGGCAGGCTCAGGCGCCCAACCGCCAGAGCCGCAGAGTTTTGGGGTCCCCCCACTGAGGGCGACGAAGACGAGGTTGGGAACCTCTTCTCTGAGTCAGATGCGGATGACCAGCCAGCGCAGCAGCACAGTGACCCAGCAGAGCCAGAAGGGCAGGCAGAGGGTGTCCTGCCTGAGGCCAGCGAAGTGCCGCCGCAGCCCACAGCTTGTGCGAGCCAGTCGCCGTTGCACGGCTGCTTGCTGGCAGATGAGTCGCCGCAGCCTGTGCCAGTCCCCAACGTGCGGCTGAGCATGCAGGGGCATGCCGCATCGCCGGCCAAAATGGCTGTGCTGGTGATCGACTACCGGCACATTGCAGCGGCCCTCTGTCATCCAAAACGGCTGAAGGTGGCTCTCGGAGGCGCTGCCGGGAGCTCGCCCATGAACGTCGAAGAGGCTGCAACTGGTGTGGCGCTGGCAATGTTGCTGGCTGAGGAGCAGAATGCGGCGCGCGCCGGAGAAGGTGAGGAGCCATCATGGCTCTCTTTGTCCTGGCTTATATGATTCCACTCACAGTGAGTTTCTAAGTTATAATGCCATGCGAATCATACCCCGAAGGTTTATCGACAGGTAATTGTCAGCAATAAGCTGACGACAGGCATGTGTTGTCTAGGTGGGAGTGCTACGGCAGCGGAGCAGTCGCAGTCAGCCTTGGAGCAGTCACCGCTGTCTGGCGCCATGGTCTTCTTTGATCCTGCTCTGGAGCTCGCTGCCGATGAGGAGCCAGCTTCCTCCTACCGCTCTGCAGATGGCCCAGCAGGCATGTACAAAATCCTGCTCTGTCATTCCTGTGAACTTGTCAACTGACTGCTCTCATACGCTGGTGTAGTTGATTTGTTCATGTCTTGTCTCTCAATGCTGAAGTGTCTGCTTGCCCCTTTGCCTGAGCCATGCCTGTCTTTCACGCACCCTGCTCCACATGCTGTGCTTGCCCCTTTGCCTGAGTCATGCCTGTCACTCACGCACCCTGCTACATATGATGTGGTAGAGTGCCGCACCTAAGGGTCATCTGGGTAATACTAACAACAGGAATAAATTTGAGCTTGACATCCTAGCAAGACACTAGGGAAGATATTGCTTGAATGCGGTAATAATCGCGGATTGTAAGCAGCTGTGTGTTGGTGCGCGCAGGTCGACCGTCCCTGGAAGTTTCCTCCCCTGGGATCAACATGGAAGCTGCAATGGGTGTCATCGCAGGGCTGGCATGTCAGCTGAACCCCTCGCCGCAAGCCAGAGGCCATTCGAGCGCGCACAGTGACGTGCAGATTCTGCCAGATGACACAGTCTATGTCCTAACAGATGACAGGAGGATAGTGGGGACGGCAGAGGTGGTGCATATTGGGCCTGGCACACGGTTCCACGGTGCTGAGCTTGAGGGGTTTGGTGTTATTTGCGGGCTCACCATCACAGACGCAACTGGGGCTGGACACCAGAAGGCAT